TATAATTTTCTGGTTTTTTGAGATATGTCCCGTCGAAAAGTAGGAGCCCTCATAAATTTTTACTCTACTTGTTAGATTATCCTTCCTTTGAAATTTTGCCAACTTGTGTCCCGCCACGAATTATTGCGCGCCGGTAGGAAAAAAAGAGAATAAAGGGAGGGCGAATTTTTATTTTTTCAATGCGATTTTTTATCTTTTGGATGTAATTTTGCTGCCTTTCATCGATTTGCATCGTAATTTCCTCAATTATTTCAGGTAGACCTTTACACCAGCTATGGCCAAGTCGAAGAACCATACCAATCACAACCAGAGTGAGTTTTTTAGTATTCTTATTCTTCTTTTAGATTCGTGCGCATAAGGCGAGGTTGCTTGATTTTCATCATTAAAGTATTTAAGCGGTTTCGAATTTTGCGTATATAATAAATAACTACGGAATTTTTTATTCTCTACAGCGTACTGAGTTAGCCATTTTGCCGTTTCTCTCGCGTTATCGATGACATATGGTTTTTGCAACATGTGTTAGGCTTAATTGATATGTATTATTTTAAAATTTTTGTTTTAGACCGCAAGGATCACAGAAATGGTATCCACAAGCCAAAGAGACAGGCCAGAACCTCCATGAAAGGAGTGGACCCCAAGTTCTTGAAAAATCTCCGTTTTGCCAAGAAGGGAAGCAGAAAGGTCGTGAACAAGCAAAAGCAGGAATCTAAAGCTTAAGCTGTTGATGGGTCTTGTTTTTTGATATTGTTGTTATAAAGGTGAAATTTGTTTGTTTTTTGGTTGTGTATTAGAGATTTTATATTACGCTGTTATTGGAATCTTAGTAGTGCTCCCAAGTACCCTATTTCTATTGAAGCGTTGCGTTGACGGTCATCGTCATTTTCTTCTCATCAAGTAATACGGTTTAACAAATGCAGTGTACAGTTACGAACTTGACCAGTCGACTGATGATTAATCAAAGGTGTAACATAACGTAAATGATGCGTTACAATGAAATCCAATGTTTAAAAGAGCCTTTTACTTTTAACGTTTTTAAACAAGTGCCGGAATTTTCCAAAGATTGACCATCTCAGATTTTATTTGGCAAAGAAAGTACTTGTATGGAGTTGTTACAGTTTTTTACCAACTCAAAACTTTTGTTTTGCATGTCAAATTTGACTAATACTACACCTTAATAGTAGTTCCAGTGTGAAAAAGAAGTACTGCGCCAAAAATGATCGAACCCGTGAGTAGGTTCTCATCGAATGCTCACTCTAACCACTGGGCCACACCGCTGTCTCACTTGTGAAATATTGAGTAATCGTCGCACTTGTTGAACTCTTATAGCACAGTTGAACGTCAGTGCGAATTCTAAGGGGTTACCAGTAGTTAGTTTTGAGAATGATTTGGTTGGTGTGCAAAAACCTTCAGGGCGGAAAGGAAAGGCCATGTTTGCATTTTGCAATTACGGTGCTTTGAACGTTGATCAGCACCTCCAAACTTTTCCATTACATACATATAACAACAGTTCTACCAATTTTCACAAATGGGTGATCTCTTTCGATGGCTTTCTTTACAGGTTAATTTCAAAGTAAATACTTCCGATTCTCTCACTTTCTGTTTAACAAGGGATCGGCAAATAGTTGCAACCTTTAATCTTAACAAAACATATATCATTTGGAAGAGCGTAAAAGGTTGTGTATAAGGAAGAAAAAATTAGCTGCCTAATTTATGTTTGGACAAAGTTATGGCCAAAATACAGATTTTAGCCTAATTTCGCGCGTCACTTTATAAGCTCTTGGAGCCAACAGGGTTGCGTCCAATTGGCCGAGTGGTAGTGACTCCTACTTCCGGCGCAACAGGTCCTGGTTTCGAACCCGGGATCCGCAATTTTTTTGCATTTCGTATCTTATATGCCACAAAACCATGGTATGTTGATATTTTTAAACAATTTGTGTTCCTTCGCAAACAAAATTCATTTTTACGGGATTTCTCTGAATTTTTGGCTTTTTTTGAAACGACCACAAATTTGATGGTGATGAGAGTGGGGATACCACTATCATATAATTACAATTGTGTCATCCCAGTAGCCTGACCTATTATAATTATTGGACGTGAACTAAATTTACTAGGACCAGTAAATACACATTTTTTTCGAAAAAATACGAAGAGAAAATTGTAAAATCGGGCAAAAGACTATAGCTGACACAGTGGACCAACCGTTGGTAGGGCTAGGACATAAAAATTTTTAATTTTGAGATTTTAGTTTGTGAACGACCACAACGATCATATAAATGTATTTCCAAAGCTTTTAGCTCCAATTTTCTCATTAACCTGGTTTTATTTACATTTTTTTGGAACATGCAGTAATGTCTAATAACTCATAACCGAGGATAGGTAAAGCCATAAAACGACCGTGATAGACGTTTTCAGATACTAGAAAATCAATGGAGACGATTTCAAGCCGGCAGGATTACTGTAATATCAAAAACCGGCGTTTTGGCCGCATGTAACCACTTTAATAAAACGGACATAACTTTGTCCAAACATAAATTAGGCAGCTAATTTTTCTTGCGTTATGCGCTATTTTTAATGCTCTTTCAAACGATATATGTTTTGTTAAGATTAAAGCTTGCAACTATTTGCCGATCCCTTGTAAGTAGAGAACTCGGCAAGTACTAACTAGAGTGTACGACTTGACCACGTCTCTCCAAAGAAACATACTAGTCGCGGAAAAAAGTCCTTAGAATTTTCTGCGACTCTGCACTGTGCATTCACACGAAAACACATTTTGCACCGTGCATCCGGGCCGAAAAGTGCTTTTGCACAGTGCAATTTTGTTGTTTTTGCCTTATTGTCGCGCGCGATTCCCATTTTTCTCACAAGGGAATGGTCCCAACGATCCGTGGGATCCACAAATGAAACCTAGATATTCTGAAAGAGCAGGTAAAATTTAGTAGGAATCCGTTTTTTCTACTTGCCGAATAAGTCTGTGCGACGAGAAATGTCGTCGAAAAGATCCGACCAAAAAATCGAAAGAGAGAAAAGACGAACCGAAAGGCCTTCGAAGGCGTCACCAAATAGTCTAGTGGAAAAAGTTCCACCCACAAATCTTTTGGGGGAGGAAGTCTTTGGAGGTTCGAGTCCACCCGGAGCGGATATCTCCGGCTTGAACCTACGTGTTCATTACTGTATTCTACAGTTACTAGAAAAGATTTTTTTGTTTATTGACCTGTTTTGCAAGGTTTGTTGCAAAATTTTAAGAAAAGTTGACACTTCGGCAATATTTTTGATAAGCCCGATGTCGACATAGTGGTATTTTCAAGACACTTCTACTCGATTCTGGAAGGTTGTATAGGATCTTGCAGATCTTTTTCGGTTTCCCAAAAAGGATGTTGCCAAAATCTCACCTTTTCATAAAATTTTGCAAGAACAGTTGAAAAGAGAATTTTTGGGTCCTTGCATCAGCGTGTAGTAGACCCCGTGAATATTTACGAAAAAATCTATTTTGAGTTTTTTGGTTTAAAATGGCCGTGGACATGTGTTTAACAAATGCCCAAATTATTTTTGTCAAATTCTGCCCGGAAGGTATAAATTTGCATAAATTTGTCTTCTTTGGAACTTCGGACCTGGCGGCATCATAAAAAGAGGTAATGACCAGTGATTGCCAAGCCTTCGGATGAAAAAAATCTTGTAAAACGGGTTAAACAAAAAAATTTTTTTTGTATAACTGTAGAATACAGTAATGAACACGTAGGTTCAAATCCGGAGATGTCCGGCTCCGGGTGGACTCGAACCTCCAAGGCCTCCCTTCCCCAAAAGATTTGCGCGTGGAACTTTTTCCACTAGACTACTTGATGACGCCCTCGAAGGCCTTTCGGTTCGTCTTTTCTCTCTTTCGATTTTTTGGTCGGATCTTTTCGACGACATTTCTCGTCGCACAGACTTATTCGGCAAGTAGAAAAAACGGATTCCTACTAAATTTTACCTGCTCTTTCAGAATATCTAGGTTTCATTTGCGGATCCCACGGATCGTTGGGACCATTCCCTTGTCAGCGACAAATCGACTTTTCGGGGTGCGACGAGATTTGGGGGCCGCGAAAAATTCTAAGGACTTTTTTCCGCGACTAGTATTTTAACTATTTTTTAACAACACATCCAAAAGATAAGAACCTCATAAAGACTTCTTATTTGATAACATTTGATTGTATCCCTGACAATGAGGCATTTAGACTATGGTTATAATCTTTTAATGAGCCATGTTGTCTTTTAAGTTTCCTTTTCATAATCCTCCCAAATACTGCTGATAACAATGACTCCTTCGAGTTCTAAATATGTATTTGAACTAGCTACTACTTGCACTTCTTGAACCCGTATTTTTATTGACAGAATCCGATCATTAAAAGTAATTGAATTTGCTTTCAAAAACTATGTAATGGACTCATAAAATGTGACAAAAAGAATGTTTGGAAATAATCAGAAATCGTCGAAAATATGTACAGTAAGCGTAAATATGACATAAATAAATATTATCCTTTATTTTGAAAATTATTCGGGGAACGACCCTCCAAATGAACGGAAAATTCCCCTATGGTAGGCATCCATCAATTCGAGTAATAACAAGAAGAAATAGTAATAATACGCTTTTTCATCAACTCAGATCTTTTAAAATCATGTCATCTTTTGACTGCAATCTATATTCAAAGATCACGTTTTGTCAGTTGTAATCTAAAATAAAACAGTTATTACTATTTTTTATGAATAATGAATGGTCGACGTTTAAGGCCATTTTATTGTAAAATCCAATCTTTAAAATCGAATTGTTCCCCCAAAAAATAAATTCCATTTTCGGATCGCCTTAATGCTCTGAGGGGATCTTCCTGATGGGAAAATTCCCTGTAAAGCGAACTGGACGGCCTTTTGTTGGGGTTATTTGACAAACACCCCCTAAATTCTACTATATGACTCTAATCGGACGGTGGAAACAACCAAAAAATACGTCGAATAGGGGCGGAGCCTGAATGAGATCACTTTTAAAGAACCACCTCTGGAAAAAAGGAGCTAGCGACAGTTATCAAGGGCCCTTTTCCATCACAGATAAGGTCAGCGATGTTATTTATGGGAGTTCCGGACATTACTTTTGCCTTTATTTAGTAATTTACAGGGTCTTTCAAGAAACGTGAAGGAAAGTCGTGGATATAACTCCGGCGGAGGCGGCGCAAAGACTTCGTTTTTGGAATATGTATTCAACTTTGCTTCACATTTCTGAAGAGTCCCTGTATACAGGCTGCATTACGTATTTTTATAAAATCGCCTTCATTATTACCCTTTTGTTTTCGTATTCAGTCAATATACTTCAACGGTAGTGTAAACGCTGTTTCGGAACGTTGGTTTTGTTCCCTGAAATTTGTGTTTGACATAATTTGAGTAAAATTTCGTTTATAATAATAATTTATTTTCAGTGCACCGTGCACCTAGATTTATACTTTTAATCGTTTTAAAACGGTTTTTTGATTGATAGATTGTGATTTAATCCCGTTATCGTCCCCTGGGGTCATAAAAATACCTTAAATTCTCCAAGAGAGTAACTTTCCGAACAACAGTAGTTACAGTAACCCACACAAAGAGAGTCGAGTTTTTGGTAGAGTGCACGAGCACCGAGGGTAATCGCGACCTCCGACCTCTGCCTCCATCCTGTTCAGCGACCATGAAAGGCTTTTAAGGCTTGTGTATCCTGTTTTCTATCACTTTGTATTGTTTTAGATGACCAAAAATAATAAAATCGCTCCGATGGAGCTGAAGCCGGAGAAGAAGGGGTTCTATCCGAACATGTACACGTCTACCGATACTATCCAGAGTAACTTTGATGTATCAACCGCAACTGTCGTCTCCTCAGAACCCCCAGAAAAACGAGCCGGAGGGCTGAGTGCAAAATCAACGTTGATCAATTTCGTTAAGGTAAATATTTTGAGTGCAGATTTATGATCAACAAACACGCGAGGATATTTCTGTTGCGCAACCATTACTGGATCCTTTTGAAATCATTTACAATTTTAAATGGTTCCTATTAATAGAAAGTTAAGTAAATAACCCATTTCAGGGAATGATCGGGCCTGGATGTCTCAGTCTTCCCATCGCATTTCATCAAGCTGGTCTTTGGGTAAGTCCAAGAAGTAAAACAAGTTCTATTTAAATTGTGCCTATAATAAAAATTTATAATTCCGATTACTTTTTTCAGACAGCCTTAATTCTGATTTTTGCCTTTGGATTTCTCAACAACTATTGCATGTTACAACTAGTCGAATGCTCTCAAAAACTTTCCAAGAAGTAAGCCTTACAGCATTAATGTCGTGATTTAAATAATCAACAAATATTTATGCTAACCTAGCAAAAGCTGCATTTTTTTAGACGAGGAAAGGTTCTGGATTACGGAGGAGTCTCCTATCACGCTTGTTCTCACAGTTTTCCCTTCATCCGGCCTTATAACAATGTCTTTAGGTAAGGAAAACAAGCCCTTTGGCAACTACTCTTCAGAAATATAACCAACGGAGTCATAATTTTATTACAACTCGGAATCTGCAGTGTATTTTATGTCTTCGTCGCATCTCACGTGAAAGAGGTAAACGATTTAATCAATCGGAACTTTCGCCTATCATTTATTTACATCATTTTTATCGAGTTTTTACAAATACTTGGAATCTGTTCCTTCGATGATTTCCGCGTTTCAATATTGAAAGATTTTTGTCACAGCGCAGAATTCATAATCTGCGTCCCACAAACTCTCATGCACGGTGCAAGAAAGCATAAGTTCTTGTTTTTTGCACAGTGCGAAGAAAAAAGCGCAATAAACTCGCGCAGTAAAAATCATCAAAAAAGTTTCGTGTTTCGTGCACGACAGTTTCGCGCGTTATCGGTTTTAGTGCCGCAAAACTGTGCGCACAAAAAATGCCAAATGTGGGGCGAAAGTGAATCGCACTGTGGAAACATTTATGAAAGATGGCAGAGGTAAAATGGGAGGGAATTAAGTGCAATAAAACACAACAATAAGAAAAAAATAAGCTAATAAATTTTTAGCTGTTTGATGACAACAGCGACATTCGACTCAGCCCGACCATCTGGTCGTTACTGGTCCTCTTCCCCATGATTATTGTAAATCTCCTGAGGACATTAAAGATGATTGCGATTTTAAGTGTGGTCGGGAACATCTGTATGATCTCTTGTCTGATATTCATTATGCAGGTCAGTTGCAATCCCACTAACATCAACCATCAATTAGTAATCACAACTTAACTTTGAAATTTCAGTATCTGGTCAGAAAGCCTTTAATGATTACCGAATTGCCTGGAATTACCAACTTTGATGGGATTTTGATGGCATGTGGATCTATCTTATATTCATTTGAAGGTCAAGCGATGGTAAGTCCAGCTGAATTTTTAAAATATATTTGCAGGTACTCCCCATGGAGAACAAACTGAAGAGGCCGGCCTCCATGATCGGGCCTTTTGGCGTTCTCTCGGTAGGAATGACTATTGTCACCTTTGTGTATGCTGCTTGTGGGTTCTTTGGTTATGCCGTTTACGGGAACAATGTCCAAGGAAGTATTACTCTGAATCTCCCCAACGAGACTGCTTTTACGGGAGTCAAGGCACTTCTCATCTTTGTCATATATTCAGGCTTTGTGATCCAGCAATATGTGATTGTAGACATGGTGTGGCCTCGGTTAAAGAAGGTCATTCATCTCGATCATCTCAGTTATTGGCCCGACTTCTTGTGTGAGGCCATCTTTAGGACACTTCTGGTACTCATTGAGTGTAAGTTTGTGGCCATAGAGTTCCAGGCAGTTTGGGTTAACGATATATTTTTATATGACATATAAAAATATATCGTACATTGTAATCAATCGAGCTGATTTCGAAAATCACATGCATTTTTTGAAATTTAAATTTTATTTTACAGAGAAATGGAAAATGTAATTTTTTCTAAAAATATAAAGATGGTGACATACAAATCAAATCGGGTTTCGTGGCCAGAAACCGCCATTTCTTGTCTGTTAGGCTTCTAGACCAGAAATGTGTAATTCTTGTCTGAAATTGCGTAACATTGCGCAATATTGCGCAAATTTCTGCTCTCTCCCCGTGAAGATTTTTTTCTTTTTTTCTCTGCTCAGACAAGAATTGCGCATTTCTTGCCTAGAGGCCTAACAGACAAGAAATGGCGGTTTCCGGCAACGAAACCCGATTTGATTTGTATGTCGCCATCCTTATGTATATTGTATTTTCTGGCCAGAAATTTCTGGGGTTTCAATCATACTGATTATGAAATCATGATTATTTTTTTTTCTGATTTTACAACCATCCAAAAAAGTTCTTCCATTACTTTTAGAAAAAATGAAAATTACATTTTTACATTACTCTGTAAAATAGAAATGTGAGTATCAGAAAATATGGATACGATTTGCAAAATCGACACCATGGAATACCCATAAATACACTGCTTTCAAAAAAATATTGCTTAAGAAAAAAGTATAGAGCAGAAAAAATAAACATAATGATCGAAATCAGCACCGTCGATTATATGTGAAAATGTATTGTAGACCCAACGTGTCGTTGACCTGAACTGTCGCGAGCTGTCCCTGATACGAAAGCCGTAGCGCCCCATGTTTCAGTCTAATTTCTTCTCTTTCTACCACATTAGTCATTATGTATCTTAATTTTAGTTGTAATGGCGATAGCTGTTCCCAAATTGGAAGATATAATTCCCTTGGTTGGAGCGACGGCTGGGATGTTACTGGCGTTCGTATTCCCCGCCATTATCGACACTCTGACATTCGGGCCGGAACTGGTAGAAAGTGTCCGGAAAGACCCTTCCCAGCGACCTCAACTCTACCTCCGATTCGCTCGGAATGGTGCGCTGGTTCTGCTAGGAATCTTCGGCCTGATAGCCGGCTTCCAGTCCAATATTCGCGGCCTTCTCGCCTCCAAAGAATAAATAATTTATTCCTAATTTTCTGCAATATTAGTCGGAAAAAAGAGACCGCTGAATGGAGAAAAACTGCAATTATATAGAAGAATAAATCCAAAACAAGTAATAAATATAAAACCATCTCAAGACATGGAATCAACACGAATAAATTTGCAAATTTGACTGGAAATAGTCGAAAAAAAGTCCCCCATTCTACGGTCTCTCACCTCCCAAAAAGATTAGTCTTGCAGAAAACAGCGACGTCATGAGCTTTAATCAAATTGTTGAGTGTTGTTAAATAAAACATTTACAGGATTAGAGATATTCTCGGGTTTCTTTGGTGTCGCATTTTGTTCTCTCGATGTCCCCCACTCTTTTTCCCCGGCTCCCCGATGCAGTTTGCAAGTCTCGCACTGTCCAACTGCCGTTTTTTGCAGAAAAAAGCAAGGGGGGAGGACAGAGTCTCTCTCTTTTAAACTCTTCTCTTTACATTATCTTTGGAAGTACGTCAAAAAGATGCTGGTTAGGTGCTAATTTCGGGCGAACCAGTACTTTCTGACCTCCATTAATGTTTTCGCCCATCGTGTCGCCGATTTTTTTACATTCCGAACATAATTAATTGCGCAATAGCTACGCTGTTCGGGTTACGTAATCGCCGCAACAAGTCCAAAGTTATGGCAAAATTGTGGCCCAATTTCGGAGACTAATGAAAACCGCCGAAGTCCAACGGAAACTGTCCTTGGAGGATCAAAAGTAAGTAATTTAACACTAAAAAGTGAGTAATTTGACGTTGAAATAAATGGCCTCGACGGAATTTCTCGAAAATAGACCGTTTATACTATTATCTTATGTGACATAATAACAAGTAATGACACTATTAAAGTAGTTGAACACGATTTATTAATTCGAGAACTGTTTTTTAAAGCAAGAATTGTTCCAGAAGACTCTTTCAACGCCCAGTTCCCCCTTTGCCCCCAGGATGTCGAGATCCTCGGCCGAAATTCAAAGAGCCAGTGGCCAATCAAGAGTTCGATCAGCCCCAATTATGGCCTCAAGTGATGCCCACCTTTATGAGGGACTTCCTTATGTCCAAGAAACCCCTTGAAGCAGATGCTTATGTTGCCTGCAAGAACGGATATGTCTGGGCTGTCGCTTTATCCGATATCGCAAAAGTGGAGAAACTGTTTGTAAGCATTTTCTGGGTTGTGAATAGTTAATCTTTCAGTTCCTCAACAACAAGTGGAAGACGAAACTACAGGCCTATTTCTGGACCCTTCTACTCCATGTGCAATTTTGCCGTAAGTGTATTTACAAAAACAGAAAACCTTATTTTCAGAAGACCTAGATAGAAGTCATGGATTCCGTTATCGACTGAACCGAGCTACTAAAGCGCTGATTCAGGTGAAGATTGACGCTTTCGAATGTCGTAAGTACAAAACACATACAAGTACTCGCTTTTGAAGGGTATCGTAATTCGTTATTTTTAATTATAGCCTTGGAGAAACTCCTGATATTTGGAGATGACTACTTCCAATTAATATATAAATACAGCGAAATGAATGGCCTTAGGCAGATGAGACTCATCAAACGAAATGTTAACAGCATAAGAATCGGTCAGTTGGGCCAATCTTTGGACTCGCTCGTCAAACAATGGCCCTCTAACTACGAGGTCTTGTACTCAAGTAAGCCATCAAATTTGCAAAAAACAAGTTTCTTTGTCATTCTCACATACTCTAATACTCAAAGATGGTCACCACAGTAAATAATATCCCATTAAGCCCTTATGACGTATTTCAGAGATCCAGGACATTACCCTGGGGCTATGTTTCATGAAACAAGAGGCGCAACCTCTTCTCAACTGGATTATTCAACGGAATATCCCCACAATTCGAAGGCTAAACATCCCGTTGAGGGATCCGAGGTGGGAAATCTTCAAAAAACTTGATTTGGAATGGTGTCGAGGAGTAATCGACAGGAGATCGGACAAGAACTGCACCAAGATACTCAAACTGTGCACCGAAACGCTATGCTTGGAGTTCTACGGGGAATTTAAGCTGAGTATATTTGAAGAATTCCTAAAGTAAGAAAACTGTATCAAAGATACAACATTTATAGTTACAAAAGATCATTCCACAGCAGAATTCGGGTAATCGAATTCGTTTGGCATGGATTTGGAAGCGATTATATGAGATTGCTGGAACGATTGACCCGCTTGGTACTGCTGGTCAAGAAACATGGACCAAATATTCGTGTTCTGACATTCCGAGAAGGGCGGTCAATTAACATCGACCCCGGGGACAAGCAGTCCAACAATGTATGGAGTCGCGTTTTCCATTTCCGAAGGAAAATTAGAGAACAATTGGCCGAGAACTGGGACCAAAAGATCGGAAATCTCAGCTTTCGCGTGGTATTTAAACTGAGCTTCCACAGTTTTCAGAAGGTGAGTCGGATCTTAAATTACTTTAGACATATTCCTTTTAGTCTTGGCTAGGATGCGCAGAATTCGAAATCCAGCAAAACAGAATGTCCTTCCACTTTAACAACAACAACGGTGGCCGGAGAGAATGCATCGATCAACACCGCAATTTCTTTAATCTACCGGATCAGCAATTCAAAAACAGAGTTCTTAGGGAAATCTCGGTTAGACTGCCAAACAAACAATACTATTTTGTTGGTCCAACAAAGGGAAAGAAGTATCACTTATACGAGTCTCCGACGAAAAAGGAGAATCTGTACTTCCTTCATTTGGACTTGGAAGAATTCAACAGAAAGTACAAGGCCAAGGTGAGAATTTAAAATAGTAAAGACTTCTTATCCTACTTTGTTCTAATTTCTCGTTTCAGGATACCGCTCGCATATATTCCCTGGAAGACCGAACCCTAATCCGACCATCTGATATTGACTATCGCAAAGAGTTAGAACGTCTGAAGAACCGTCTTGAAGTTATCAGCTATCGCCGAGCATCTCGCCGAGATGCCCATACCTTCAGAAACGCTCAAATACCTCGCCGCATCTACACAAACCATAATATTATTCGTAAATTCAGGGTCTGGCAGAGCCCGAGTCTGCCCGCGGATCTCAAGAAGCCCATTTCAGATCAATCTCAGCCCTCGTCCTTCAGTTTCAAGTGTTTTAAAAAACCGAAACAAAAAAGAATTCCGCATAAGAAAATCTCACTGCCATTGGAGAAAACACATGTGATTATGTAGTATAAAGTACGGGTATATACAGGTTGTAAATATCTACCAATTTTAAATAAAGGGTAGCTGGTAAATCTCTTTGTTTTTGTGAACTATCTAGATGAACCCAAAATGGAGATCGCAGAAGTTGTTGACAATCACAAAATTGCATAAAATAAAGTTCATACGAGAACCCCTTTGACGTTGTTAATTGGATTTAGCCTGGGGATAACCTTTTTCTTGTTCTACAGGGTGGTTCGGCCGGAGCTTCCAACCTTATTTCAAGTATTTCTCCGGCAATACACGGTTTGCCCAAAACGACAAAAAAACGCCCGAAAAGACTTTTCTTGTTTTTTGCGAAAACCACTTTATACGATCAAAGTTTCAGAGAACTAACTGGGATGTTCACCTTGCAAGGCATTCTAAGCGTTACTGAAGATTGTGATTGATATAATTAGCATAAAGAAACACAATATTATCATCCGGTACTAGAAATGTCTTGTTAATAGACAAATATTATCTTGGCCAATGGAGTAACGAATAGGCCAAGTAGCCAACAACACAACTTTTTTTGCGTAATTCTTGGATTAAACCGGAATTTTTATTATATCTTTGCCTATTTTTATATTGTACATGCACCACGCTTTTTGGTTACACTCATCTACTTCGACTTGCACCCTATCAGCACATTTTTCGCCATCTCTAGTTCATTTGGGGACTACCCTCGTTCCCTGTCAGTCCTACTGTGCTTAAAAAAATTGAAATATCGCAATACTCAGTGCATCAGAAAAATCGGAAAAATTATTCTCCGTAATAAAATTAATATTATATTATGTAACAATAATATAACTACAATCATCATTCTTCAAATATTAAACCTGTGTGCCGCCCTTCCATAAAGATCATCATAATGGGACATTAAATCATTTTTCTACTACCACTACCAGTTTCCCGATGGTTTTGTCATCTTCACCATGATGACACTCTTTTTTCTGATTACCCTTCCACAGTTACCACATAAGTAACATTGCCTCAATACTGTTTATCTTCTCACGTCAAAATCTTTAAAAGATCAGGACAGTATCGAACATTTTTGTCAATAATTTTAAAGGCATTATGTTTTTGATACCATATCTACGGGATTTTGGTCATGACAGAAGCTGTTAAAACCCACGGTACAGTAAAAAATTGCATCTAGCGGTGTAGTTATTTGTTGTACAGCCCAGGAGAACCGTCACGACATCCCCTAGCCATCATGAAATTTTTTTTGCAAAACTTATTGTACTCAAGGGGTGATGCTCTCAGTGGGGTCCAGAAAATCGAATTAAATTTTAGGGCTAGAATTCTGAAACTTTCCAGTATTTGACTCTAGTGTATCCCTCGTCTAACAGAATTAAAAAATTTTCACAATGTTGTGTTCTACAGTATTTATAGAGTACTGTAAAAGGCCTATTTTTTGCGATTTTTTCTTCCGTATACCGCTCACTCCGAACACCCATGCCAGAAATCAATGGGTAGATGTGGAAAATGCAAGTCAGGTTTGATAAATGCTAGTGACACTCAGACCAGACCGGCTGTAACGGTTTTTTCGACGTAAAGTTGTTTTACACATCAATTTCCAAGTACTTTTTGGACCCTTCATTGGGGTCCAGAAAATGACCCTTCAAAATTCACCAAATTGCATGAAATTTTCAAGATATGTTGTTCTGATAGTCGTGTAACTAACAAAAATCAAACATCTTGAAAATCACCTCTAAGAAGCCATATATGACCCGCTAAAAAGCGCCTTAAAATTGCACATTTTCGAAAGCTCACGGCAAGTCAGAGTTTCGACATGGACGATGGGGAAACATTCAATACGACAGAAGAAGTGTGCAAGAATTCATTTTTACTCTTATTTTCTATCTTTCTGTTAGTCTTTGCTGTCTTTTACATTCAAACTTCTACCCTATAATTCCGGAATTTTTCACGACTCGGGCGCGAAGTGCGAAGTGCTCGGGCGCTTTTTTGTCGTTTTTTGTTCTATGTGGGCAAACCGTGTAATAATGCACCAATTTCTATAAAATTTATATCAAATTGAAGCTGAGGTAGCCCGTTTTTTGTCCACCAAATATGAGGGGCCCAAGCTCACGGAGGCCCCCATACTGACCATTGACATTTTCATTCCAAATTTTGGAGCCCGAAATCAGCGAAGCGCAGAAAATTTTTCGCGAAGTAAAAATTTCCGATTTTTTTTTTGATATTTCGCTCTGAAATCGATAATAGTGGCGAACACAAATGAAAATCCTCAAAAATCTACATCATTTTGTCCCGAAATTTACAACAGATGTAGAAAATCGTGCGTTGCGTGTCTTTTTCGTCCATCTAAGATGTCATAATTGCCAAACTTATTTGTTTTTAAATCGCCGTTCTAATAAAATATGTACTGGATATACTAAATTACGGTTAGTTCTAGCTTACTCAACCAACTTGGGTTCCAAAATGGCAGTCAAGGAAAGAAGAAAGGTCCATGAACTTCTGGAAGTCGAATCTAATATCCATGAACTGTGGAACAAGGAGAAACCCTTCGAATCAGATGCTCCAGAAGATGAAAAGTAGGTTTTATTTTAGCTTGGACCTTATTTTTTAGTTCAAAGGAAAAGAAATTTTTGGTCACCTTCCCTTTCCCCTATATGAACGGTCGTCTTCATGTTGGCCACAGCTTTACAGTGTCCAAAGCCGAGTTTGCTGTTGGATTTGAACGAATGTTGGGGAAAAGGGCGCTGTTCCCTTTTGCTTTCCATGCGACTGGAATGCCAATCAAGGCTTGTGCTGATAAATTGGTAGCTGAGATCGAAGAATTCGGAAATCCTCCAGTCTTCCCGGAACAGGAGGAGGTTAAAGTAGAGAAGTCGGAGATCGACGAGATCATTAAAGACAAATCTAAGAGTAAAAAAGTATGTTACCTTTTTGCTTCATTTTTGGTTTTAGTCAAAGGCAGTTGCTAAAAGTGGTTCTTCCAAGTACCAATGGAATATTATGAAATCTTTGGGGCTTTCCGACGAAGAAATTCCAAAATTTGCTGATCCAAATTATTGGCTGGATTACTTCCCAGATTATTGTATCAAGGATCTTCAGCGAATGGGAGTACGTGTTGATTGGCGGAGATCTTTTATGACCACTGAAAGGAACTTGTACTTTGACAGTTTCGTTAGATGGCAGTTCAGAAAGCTGAAAGCTCTGAATTTGATCGATTTTGGAAAGAGGTAGCAACACTGCAAGCGTTTTATTTTTGTTTGTAGATATACCGTCTACTCTCCAAAAGACGGTCAACCATGTATGGATCACGATCGTTCAGCGGGTGAAGGAGCCGGTCCTCAAGAATATACTTTGATTAAGATCAAAGTTGTTTCTGATGTTCCTGAAGCGCTGGCCAAGACCGGCAAGCCCGTGTTTCTGGTAGCTGCTACTCTTCGTCCCGAGACCATGTATGGCCAAACGAACTGCTTCATTCATCCTGAACTGAACTATGCGGCTTTTTATGTTGGTCAGAATGAAGACGAGATCTTTGTTGCCACCAAGAGAGCTGCTCGGAATATGTCATATCAAGGGTTTACGAAGGAAACAGGAGTTGTTAAATATGTTGATGGATGTGAAGCACTGAAAGGCCAAGTTTTTATTGGAGCGAAGTTGAAAGCTCCATTGGCCACATACGAACACGTGTATGCTCTTCCAATGATGACTATCAAGGAAGACAAGGGTACTGGAGTCGTAACAAGTGTGCCATCTGATGCTCCAGATGATCTTGTCACTTTGAATGAGTTGAAAAAGAAGCCTTTGTGGAGAGAAAAATGGGGAATTAAGGATGAACAGGTTCTGCCATTCGAGCCCGTTGAGATCATCGATATTCCCGGTTTGAGCACACTTAGTGCGGTATTGATGGTCGAGAAATTGAAGATCCAGAGTCCCAATGAAAAAGATAAATTAGAAAATGCCAAGAAAGAAGTTTATCTCAAAGGTTTCTACAATGGAATCATGATGGTTGGAAATCATAAGGGGAAAAAAACGGAGGAAGTGAAGAAATTGATCCAGAACGAATTAATCGAATCCAACGAAGCCGCTAAATACATGGAGCCAGAAAAACTGATCATCAGTAGGTCAGGAGATGAGTGCGTGGTGGCTCTTTGTGATCAATGGTACCTGGACTACGGTATTGAATCTTGGAAAGAAAAGGCAAAAGAAGCTGTGGCCGAGATGGAAACTTTCGGAGATGAAGTGAGGAGGAATCTGATCCACACAATCGATTGGCTTCATGAATATGCATGTGCCAGATCGTTCGGATTGGGAACGAAATTACCGTGGGATGAGAGATATCTGATCGAGAGTTTGTCCGACTCCACCATCTACACTTCCTATTATTCTTTTGCTCATATTCTCCAAAAGGGATCCCTGGATGGAAGAGACACCAAAAATGGAGTGCAGGATGTTAAGTGAGTTACCAGTGTTGTGTGGTTAAAGCCTTATGATTTTACAGGCCTGAGGCTTTGAATGACGCTTTCTGGGAGTATGTGTTGATAACTGGAGCTAAGTGGACTGACGACATCAAGGTGCCGAAGCCTATTGCCGACAAATGTAGAAGAGAATTCAACTTTTGGAGAGCGCCAGATCAGAGGGTTTCCGGGAAAGACCTGATCCAGAACCACTTGAGTTTTTATGTTTTCAACCATGTGGCCATCTTTGGAAACGATAAGAACAAATGGCCTAAGGGCATCAGAGCGAATGGTCACCTGTTGCTGAATAGTGAGAAAATGTCAAAGAGTACAGGAAACTTCTTGACTCTCTCAGAAGCCATCGATCGCTTCTCTTCGGACGGAATGAGGTTGGCCTTGGCTGATGCTGGAGATGGAATTGAAGACGCCAACTTTGTTTATGATGTGGCTGATGCCGGTGCTCTGAGACTTTATAATTTGATTGAAAGTACCAAAGAAACTGTCGAAAGGAAGAACAACAATGGATATAGATCTGGAGCTTTTACAACTATAGACAAGTATTTCGACAACCGAATGGCAGCGCTGAACGCATTAACCAAAGATTCTTACATCAAAACTGAATATAAAAACGCCCTAAAATACGGTCTCTTTGAATTCCAGGTGTGTTATTATCTAATCGAAGATTAATGATTGCGTTTACGTTTAGAGCGCGAAGGAATTGTACCGAGAAATGTGTGGAGGAGAAGAGAAAATGCATCTGGATTTGATTGTGAAGTACCTGAGAACACAGGTCTTGATACTCTCTCCTATCTGTCCTCATATCAGCGAACATATCTGGAGATTGTTGGGTGAGAAGGATCTTCTGGTCAATCAATTGTGGCCTGAACCCCAGGAAGTGGATGATGATCTGAGTCGGCAACTGGAGTTCATCACTGAAGTTGTTAAGACTTTTCGACAGAAACTTCAGGTTGGTTGTGTTTTTTTATGATAATCTTTCTGCAGAATCACTTGACTGTCAAGGGAAAGAAGGGCCCCAAAGTTGATCCCCCAACCGAGGCTCTTATCTATGTCGCCAATAAATATCCATCCTGGCAAGCAGAGGTGTTGTCCCTTCTAAAGAATCTGGCTGTGGACAACACTTTCCCGGATAATCGAGCAATTGCTGAGAAAACAAAGGAGTCCGAAAATCTGAAGAAGAACAAGAAGGTCATGCCTTTTGTGAACGCCGTGAAGATCGACTACGGGGTGAGGGGAGATGTCGCTCTCTCGGATACCTGTCTGATCTCCCAAACAGAAGTTCTGGAGTCTTGTGCTCATTATATCCAATATGCTTTGAACCTGCAATCTTTCAAGGTTCTGGATGTGGAAAAGGAAGAAACACTTGACCCCAATTTTGTCGAGAAATGCCTTCCTCTCAAACCTCTAATCACCTTCAATTAAGGGTACTGTACCCAAAATGACACAATTATGTCACCCAACCCTGTTACGTCTTCTTTGGCTTTCATTCCCATTGCGTCGTTCTAATGATTATATTGTTGAGTGTTAAATAATTTAAATAAAATTCATTTCGGATAAATGGGTCGTCGCTTTATCGGGCTCAAAGGCTGGACTTCTGGATGGAGAATTATTCGCATTGTGTCCTTCAAGCCTGCCGGCAATGAAAAGCCCATCCGATTCCAGGCCTCCCACACCTTGAAATACCATTATGGATATAGAAGAAAGAGTCCTTCGAATGGAATCAGGGTTACTGAATAAAATTATTGAGTTTTGTCTGTTCATTTAATATAATATAGGTGTGATTCCCTCAAATATATAATTTATAAAGAGTTTCTGTCTTGGATTAATTCCTGGGCGACGTATTCGGGCTGGAAGTGAAAGCAAACTGGGGCTCACGATAGAAGACGTACTCAGTGTAATGCGCCCATCGCTGCTCCTCAAAATCCCCGGAATTGCGTTGGTTCATCAATTCCTGAAACGGCCGAGGTCAGAAAGACCGAAAAGTGCTGGGATTGAGTTAGATTCAAGGGGCTGAGGCCATCTCCAAACGGGGTTAAAAAGACACTGATCAACTCAAAAAAAATAAACCCGTCAGTGTCATCGAACAGAAATCGAAGCCAGACGAAGGCACGGTTATTAGATCATGAGCAAAAGTAAAGAAAAAGAAATCACTCGAGCAAATAGAAACGGCATAACTACAATCAAACATCCAGACACGGTCCCGACTCTCGGACAGGTGGGATTTGACCTTACTTTAGAGATCTATATTGCATTAAAGAGCCGGATTCCCCTGGGTAAACAATACTGAAAAGAGTCTTACATGTGGTCGGGGATGGATCGTCTCTCCGTCCATGCCCTCCTTCGTGTTCCCGGTCCAGATGTTGAGGGTGGTTCGAGCTCTCCGGACACCGCCACTCAAGGTCGAGGCCATCGATGAAGAGCCGGAGCCGCCGTTCGTCTTGATGTTCTACGAGTGGTCAGTTTACGAGAATACAGTAGGATTCCAATATCAAAACAAACATGTTTACTTGACGATAACCGCAAGCGGAGAAAACGGCCGAAAAGGGAAAGTTTGGAGGCCAAGAGACAATCACAACATGGTCACCTCAGCCATCCACATCACCATCAACAAACAAGAAATTCATTTTAGATAAGACCAGTCTGAAGGGCTTCGCTACAGTGCAGAGAATACTGTAACAGCAGGAGTTGTAAACATCGAGTTGTTAATGTGAAGAAATTTTTGCTTTTGTTACAGTAGTCAAGCTCAAGGTGCGAGGAAGCAAAGGTAAATAGCTAGCTCCTACCTGCTGGGATTGGCTCGGCTGATTGGGCGTGGGCGTGGCAAGTCCGTTGGCTCCGCTTGAGCAAGAGGTTACCAATTTGAATCCCTTCTCGGCAAGATTATCACATGCCTAAAAGTGTATTACATTCGAAGTAAGATTATTTCCGGTATGTCTTTGTATTTAACACGCAACATCAGTCACGACAGTTAATCAAATTTGTAACGATGGGAGAATGAGACCATACCCTTTCCAGACACTGGTGTTTCAAGTACAATCTTGATGTATATCGCTCGATTCCTTCTCGATCCGGGTCCCGGCTCTCGTTCAAAGTGTCACCGAAGACTTCGCGACACAAAGCTGCTTTCCCGCAAACCAAAATACGATGAAGTTTCCTGAATTTGACATCAGCTTGACCATCTCGACCAAAGGCGAAGGTCCCACGATATCCGAGGGTTATGAAACCGCCTAAAAACAATGATTATACGGTGGTATCATCAAACAGATGCCTGTTATCTCAAATTTATATTTAGACCCAATCACTGTGGCTTCCCTCGCCCCCGTGACGCTCCCCATTCATCTTGTAATCCTTTTTTTCAATTTAAAGCAATTACTCACTAAGCCTGTTATAATGGCCATTCTTCGGCAGATAAACTTTGTCTCGTTTATTTGACATAAACGTGACATTCGACTATGCTACTAATACAACTCGTGAGTGATGGGTGCGGGAATGGGCCTTGGGGGCTCATAAATGGTCATAGGAAAAAATCGGGCTGATTTTAGAAAAGAAACCCGCAAAAGAAAACATCAACTAACCTTCCCGCTCATTCGTCGTTTGACAAGCCTTCTCTCGTTTAATCATCCTGCGGCAATTTAAAAAAATAAGCTGATCGGTCAAGGCAACAGACTACTCTAAGAGACTCCAAGATGACTAAAAAACTACTCTAAGACCACAATCATTACTGCCAGTCATTAAATCGGAGGGAACCCAAGCACTTTAGGTTGGAAACTCGAGGCCTACATGCAATCTCCAGTTTCATCTTTTAATTGAATTTCGCATTTCATATCAAACCCTAAGGGCAAAGACGACATCTCGGTCTTCAATTTTTTTCCTCCTTTCCTATTACGGGCATGTTTAGAAAATTGGGGAAATTTATTATATTAGGTTGATGCAAAAGGAATTGCGGATTTTTTAATTTATTCGTATTTTTTTATAGGATAGCTCAATTCAAAAATGGAAAAAGGTATATAGTAGTAAATTTTAAGAGGATTTTTCTGTATATGTGCTATTCTTATAAAAGTTATCAAACGTTACCATAAGTTACCACGAAAGTACCCTAAACATGTTAGTATATTTTAAACCAATTTTTTTACATATTGTTTTGCGGCTTTATCCATTTTTGAAAATATTTTGATAAAATACGTTATATTCTATCAAAAAACAAAAAAACCCCCATTTTTGGCAAAGAGTTAAAACGCTATCCCAAAAATTCAAATTTCAGCAAATTTTACAAATCGTGTCATATCTTTTTTTAATAAGTCCAAAATAAAAAATTCTTTTTGCTTTCGATTAGTAACAACATTTTTAAGATTTTTGTGACAAAAAACATCAAAATCAAAAAAATTTATTTTTTTGATATTTTTTGACCAAAAAATAAAATTCAAGATTTTGATGTCTTTTTTTCACGAAAGCCCTTATTAAAAAAAAGATATGACACGATTTGTAAAATTTGCTGAAATTTGAATTTTTGGGATAGCGTTTTAACGCTTTGCCAAAAATGGGGTTTTTTTTTGTTTTTTGATAGAATATAACGTATTTTATCAAAATATTTTCAAAAATGGATAAAGCCGCAAAAAAATATGTAAAAAAATTGGTTTAAAATGTACAAACATGTTTAGGGTACCTTCGTGGTAACTTATGGTAACGTTTGATAACTTTTATAAGAATAGCACATATACAGAAAAAATCCTCTTAAAATTTACTACTATATACTTTTTTCCATTTTTGAATTGAGCTATCCTATAAAAAATACGAATAAATTAAAAAATCCGCAATTCCTTTTGCATCAACCTAATAGAAAACCGTAGGGCCTAATTCACTTTGGAAAAAAAACAAATAAAACCTGTTCTGAGCAGAAAAGGAAGTGATCAATGATAGCTATAACAATTAACTGTTAAGTAAAGATTAAAAAAAGTAAAATTCGAAGAAAAGAATCAAGCAATTTAACACTTAATACTGTAGTGCAACACTACCCCAAAGTATAAGATTACCAACTTACCGTTCTCGAGAACACTATTTCCTCCATATCCATTACTGTAAAATCCGTTTTTGAGGGGATATTTGAAACTGTAATAGGGTACCAGCTGCTGTACAAGACCAGAAATCTGATAAAATAGAGCTTCCTCCTTCAGTCTGGCAATTTCTTTGAACTTGTCTGGCAACACGAGCTTGCCGTTACGTAAGTAATCGAGGACAAATGCAAAGAGTTCTCCATCTCGGTCAACAAAAAAGGATGACGCGTCCAAACGACAAACAACTTGTCGCCAATGATCTGGTAAAGCCGTGAGATCTTCAGTCTAAAAAGTAATGGTCGAATTAAAACCTTTTGGTACGCATGGACAGGTACAGACTTAAACGAACGGAGGTATTTGCTGATTAAAAATGTGCCAGACGAGCATGGGCCAGAATTACATAAAAATATTATCACTTTTATAATTCACCTGATTTCGAATTCATGTTTCCGGGTGATCTGTAACTTTATGTGACACAATCTTAATAGGATTGTTCTTCTATTCGGAGTTCATCCTCAAAAATCGAGATTTTTTATTTACGAATGAAGTAGTACCCCAAGTGCGACGCTCATTTTTTACGAAACAGGCTACAAATAAATATTAATTTTTCAAGACATGTGAGACGCCTAGCCCGCGCTTTGCAGAAACGACCGAGCTTTTTTAGATTTTTTAAGCCACTATTTTTGCGAATTCTGGCATGAAAAGCTTTATGCCTATATTTTCATCGTAGTATTGTTCCTCAAAAACTATTTTTTTCTCTGGAAACTGGTACGGGGAAAAGTGTTTTTATCTCTGACCTCACTCCGCGTTTCGCGTACTCTCTCGGCCGCAAAAATTGTTAAATATCTACATAGACGTGCTGGTAAAGCACGTCTAAAGTCGATATGTGGTCTATGCCAAACGTGTGTGCAAAATCTACAGAAAATTTAATTTAAAAGCCAAGATCTGAAAAATCGAAAATCAAGATGGCCAATCAAATTGTCATCAATGCAGTGAAAATTGATATTAAACCTCAATTTTTGGTAAATAACCGACCTGAATTAGTAGTCCAAAGAAACAATCAGGTTCTCGATTAATGAGCGTCCCTTTGGTGGTGGCGAAGTTCTTTCCACCCACATTCAGCTGGACCAACTCGCTCTCGTCGACCATGGCGTGGCTGTGTTCCCCCACCTCGACCAGGGCCCAATCCTCGGCGCCGAGCCAGTCGTGTCGCTCGTTGAAAAGGCGCTCAATCCACGGACTCTTGGGCTTCTTCTCGATCACTAAAACAAGACTCACAAGTCGACCGGAGGCACATGAAAACGACAAGAATAACGGTGAGGAACGGCGCCTCACTTATGACCGAAAAGAGATGGGCGGGAGAAAAGAGGGGAGATCGTGGCCGGAAATTGAAAGGCATCATCGTCATGCCAGGGAAGTGGCGCCAGGGGGGACGTCAAAATAAGAAGGAATTGCTGGCCTCGAGAATCTCCCCAGCCGTTTTTTGCAGAAGCTACCCATAGTTTTCGGCGTTCGAAGACAAAACAATAACATTTTCTACTCTTTAACTTCTCAGGGTCCCACGTCATCCAATCGACCGCCGGAATGGAATGGGACGTCTCCATTTCTGACTTTAGATTTCCTTCCAAGGTGGGGGATGTTTCGTCCCTCCTTTCGTCCATCCGCCCCACTAAACCCCTAATTAGAAGAAGTCCATTCGAAACTGCAAATGGCTTCATCCAGACCAACATTAATTGGCAACAGCATTTCCGGCCGCCTTTAAGACCCGTTCCGGCAGAAAAGAACACTCTACCGAAATAACTATCCCCAACATCCAATACTTGTGTGTTTAAGACTGGGTTTCCCAAAAAAATGGAGGCCAGAAAACGGAAATGTCATCGCACAGGTAATTAATTAAGTGGTGGTCACGGAAATCGTGGGCACGTCAACAACATTTACAGGGTCCCATCGAAACGGCGTGCCAATGAAGGACCGATAAAAAACAAATTTGGAGAGTCCCATCTCTCGAGATTCCAGGATTCCGTCTTTCAGGAAGCTCGAAACAAAAGAAGAATCAGCCGGACTAAATTAGAAAGGAGGAACTGACCAATAGTCATCCAAATGACATTATCTCAGACGTCTGACATCTAGAACACGTCAAAAATTTTAATGTCATTCAATCCTTGTATAGTCCGAACCCCATTCCAGACCTCCGACATCATTAAAACGTTTTCCTCTAAGACTTAAAAAGTCTTCGAAAGTCGGCTTTCTCCGCATTTAACTTTTTTTTGTTTTTCTTCTTTCAATTTGGAGACCAAAAACGACTGATAAACCCGATGAGAAGGCCCGAAAAATAGCCTGAGGCGCCTTAAATCCGAGAGCGGAACGTGGAGAACACCTCGGGCCATAACAGATATAAAAGGCGTGCTTTTCGAATTACTATTGGCCGCCCAACCTGGCCGCAAGTCCCAAGGAAATAAATAAATATGGGTTTGATACCCGAGGAAAGGACTTCACTCACCTGGGGCTATCACTGGATCGGATTGGGCCGGGATCTGAAAAAATAACCATTCACTTGAGGGTGGAATAGTGTGCAAAATTCAGGGATTATTCGAATTGGAATTGCTGGTGTTTTTATGGAAAACAGAATGATAACACCCAATTTCCAAATGTTTTTATCCCTTAAAATTTGCCGCAAAAAAACGGAGTTAAACACAGACTGGATACAAATTACATTCCTTACTTTTTTTGACTCGACTTCCTGTTCCGTTGAAAGCTCTTCTGGTTCTTCTCCTTCTTCCTCTTCTTCCTCTTCGATAACTTTGGTGTCTTCTTCTTCCAACTCAATTAATTTGTCATCATCTTCGGAGAATACAAGGTTACTGAGTTCTGTTTGAACGGCGACTTCTTGACTGCGAGCACTGATCGCTTCGACTTCTCTTAATTGTTCGGCCGCTCTTTTCACGACCTCTTCTCTGAACGAATTCTTCGAATTCCCGCTGACCCGGCTTAACGAGGAGCTCCGTCGAGATAAAGAGGAAGATCCCGAGCTCTTGTTGCTCTTGGAAGAGCTCCTTCGATTCTGCTCTGAGAGGAAAGAAGAGTATTTTCTATTTCACATCACCTACCACGGTTGACAATAGGTGGAAGGGTCCGTATATGCCTGTGTTTGGCATCAATGTTGGGCTCTTCGACCAGATTAAATGTAACTGAAGAGGTAGAAGTGGTCGATGCATTGCGTAACAACTTGTTCTTACCTTCAAATTGGAAAAAAATTACAATTTAATCCCGTAATTTTATATGGTCCCCGAGAGTACCGATTTAAACGGCTATTTTGGCAGCCCTAGATTAGGGAGTAATTTACTCGAGAAGGCCGTTTACTTGTTTTGGGAAAGACATGACATTACTATAAATAAAGTGGGTGTTATAATGAGATCATCAGACAAAACAAAGCTTACTGCTGTTTTTTCCGTTCGCCTTCACCCCACTGGTCCCATTGGTTCCAGTAGGGATGTCAAATGAGGCCGAATAAGTTCCCTTCCGTCGTCCCACAGTCCCGTTTCCGTTGGCTTTAACTGTTCGGACGGCCGTTCCATTGGCTAGCCGTGGGCCTGAGCCACGTCTCAGAATCGAGCCGGTCTGGGAGGGAATGATGAACACGGGAGAGGAGCAATTCGAACTAGGATCTGGCAATCCCGAGGCTATGGACGATCTGCGAGCTGCTAGAACATTAAATAGTCATGGAAATAATAGTTCTATTAGTATTAAGTAGGTAGTCTTTGTTACCTCTCTACTTCTATTTGTAAGCCCCCACTTTCCCTTATTCGCTCTTTCTTTCACTCCTTACCTTCACTTCTTCGGCCGTTCACCTGAAACGGCAAGAAATTCAGAGAAAGGTCCTGGAACGGCGGCTGGTCCAGGCGATATAATCTGCGGGAGAGCTCGAAGTCGGAGTCGGCTCGTCGAAAGAGTGCGGCTTGACTATTCTGAAGGTAGTGGCAATCAGAATGGGCCCAATTAAGGCTCATTGGAGGCCCTTTGAGGCTGCTTTAACAAGGATCCTAATTGAGAAAATTCCCATGGCCCTATCAGATATTTCATATTGTATATGGCCACAAACAAAGAATCACTCATTTTAACAAATTTTTATAGATTAGCGTCGCTTATTAGATGACATCGAGTAACGTTATTGTAACCGTATGAGGGCAGCGATCAGCGGAGAGCATTCGAAGGAATTAAGTGAGGTACTTGAAAACTATTGGGCAACTTTAAAAAAAAATCTTGGATATCGAAAATAAATAAAATTAAAACAATTTATCAAGTAACGACTCTAACTAAGGTCGTTTCAAGAAGTATTCCTGTAGTTTGTGGCTATCATAATAATGATGACTAGAAGATAGTCGGCCAAAAACATATCCAAAAATAACTCATTTCTTTTCCGTTTTCCTCCATTTACCCTACTCCACATTACCTAACAAAACTAACCCCAAATCCCTTAAAAGCTTACCATTACACGTATCCCTTAATAAGCATGGAGGCATTTACCTTGCCTCGACACAATTCCCCTTTTAGTAATTAAATCAAAAGGAATGTGAGAACGAATAAAATAAATTTTCTTAAAGAAAACAGCCGACTTACCCGAATACTGCCACTACCTTCCAGTCTATACAAATGTTTTCGGTCTTCCTTTAGCTGGCCTAATCCCTTGTCGAAGCTCTCCTCATCTCCGGTCAGTCCACTACTGTAGGCCGAGGACGTGGAGGCCGTCGACGGGAGTTGCGTCTGAATATGTTGACGGAAAATCTTGCTAAAATACGAATAAATTTTATTGTAGTTGTGTGTGCAAAATATACTTTACATAATCTAAAGGACTTTGGCGAAAAGATAAGGTCAAAATTACGAGCATTCCTGAAAAAATCGCGCCCTCGAAAAGTCATGGGAATATGAAATAAAACAGGACATTACTCGGGAATTCGGCGGTAACTCAGACGGCTTTTATTGTCCTAAACGGAGGTGCAAACACGAACACAAGAATGCTGTGGTTGGGTGGTCTGGCAGTGATGCCTGAGGCCGGTGCAGCTGGGGATGGCATCTAAATCATCGGAAATTATGCGCCCAACTCTTCTGATTACTCGGTATTTGGGGGACACTTGGCCATTCACATCCTCTGGCATCACGCAAGAAGGTGTAATCAAAGGCTTTCTCGGTCTCGAGTTCTCCTTTCGTCTTCCAGAATTCACCTGCTTTCTTATTAAATGTTTTTATTCGAATAAAAATAAGGCAAGGAAACGGTTATTCAAATACTCCGACAATTTCGGCCTCCTTGTAGACGCAGATTTCTCGATTGTCGACCTTTATCTTCTGACCTCCGTGAAGTGGGAGGATGACTCGATCTTTAACCTTCAGCTGATTTGGAACAACATTACCTAAAGCACAATATTATATGGTGTTACGTAATATGCAACAATATCTGATGGTATAGTGATATCCGACAGCATACCTGACTCAGTTCTAGCTCCTTCACCCACAGCCACCACCACTCCTTCGTGGAATTTGTCGGTTTCGGATTCAGGCAGCATAATTCCACCAGGGGTTTTGGATTTGGGTGCAGCTCTTTCCACAAGTACCCGATCGTACAATGGCCTGAGGCCGCGAAGAGCCTCACTATGACGGAGAAGCGAGAAGAAGACCATTCACGACCGATGAACTTCGATATATGACATTTTCACAAATAAATCCACGAAAATAAAAATTTATTCAAATTCAAAAAATAAACTTGGCGACTTTTAAAAGCTTTGGATATCGGAAGCACTTCCCTTCATGGCGCTTCTGGACCATTCTTGTATAATTTTCAACGATTAGAATAACCAATGCCACTATTATGATGATAAAACATACAATTAGAAGTCCGGAATACGGTATTATTCTCAAAGGGGCGGGGCCTACGGACGGGGAACAGAATCGCTGAGTTTTTTTCTTGGAGAGATTCTTATATTTCTTGACAATCCTCAATATATGTGCCTGATTCTCGAAGATGGCCTGGTTAAATTGATCAATGAGTTCAAAATCTTTTCTAAGCACAATATAAGATATAAATTATCACTTCATACCTGAAAAGAAGATGACTGGAGACCGTGGGCATTCCCGTCGTGATCTCCAATATATTGCAATACTTGAGAGTTGTGTATTTTGTGTCCTCGTCGTCCTGTGCAAAGGAGATGTAATTCCCCGAACTGATATGAGCAAGCGTCTCGTCGATGGTCTCCACTTTCTGAAGTGGATTCTTCTCCAAGGCCCATCTGAATTCCTTAAAAAGATTTTCATCGGAATTGTAGATCTTCTCATAAAACCAAGTTTCGTATCGAGAAGCAATCATTGTTTTCTTCCCATCTCTTATCTGCCTCAAAATCAATCCTAAGCGGTCGATGGGGTTCTCAATGGATTCCGTTATGATACTAGATAAGATCCACGTGCTAAAAACTCCAAGCAGAACGGCACATTGGACGAGGGAGAAGAGAAGAATCGATAATCGGCCTAGAAATTTACTTTTTAAACTTTACTGTAATACAATCAGACCTCTGGAATTTCTGCCAACTTACCTGCAATACTTTTGAAATAAATCTTTTCTGGCTGCATTAATTGTAATCTCAACATTTGCCAACCACTCTAAGGTCATCATACACTATCCACTTTGAGTACACCTACCTCAACAACTGTAATCGGTTTTTGTTTTGTAAAGGAAGCCTCAAAGTACCGTATACAAGTGCAAACCATGATCTGAACGACCAAAGCGACCAAGATGGCCAGCCATGTGTTGGAAGAGTAAGTTCGGAAGAAACTCCACATACTGCTCGATAACCCCAAATTCTTTCCGATTATTATACTTGTATCGGTCTTAAAATTCTCCAATATTTTTTTATTTTTGGTACCTGATACATTGGATGGCTAAAAGTAAACCATCGTTTCCGTCCTTCTGTGGGCTGAAAAGGCGATGCAATTATGTCGATGGTCCCATTGTAAAGAAGAAGAAACTCTCCATGAGGCTTCCCTTCCTTGTCAATCAATGGCTTTCGGAAGAGATCACGCCGAAACTCTGAACTCAACGCCGAAACCAAAGTCAGATTCATATCGCGGACCAGGTGATTCAATATCTAAACGTTTTTTTCTCTCCAATGGAATCAGACTTATATAGGTTTTTTATTTACCTCCACCATAAATCCCGGATACATGCAATTTACTGTAGGATGTAAGGTTGGGAACTCGCGACATTCTGAATGATCGACAGCCGGAAAAAATGGGGGATAGTAAACATTCAAGGGCCTCATCGGAAAGAAAACGCTGTTACACTTCGCTCTTTTTATACCGCATGTTTTATTCTCATCTTTACTCAACTTACTCACACTAGATGATGCCCATGGATAATTTATGGACTTTAAAAGCATAGACCACACTTTATAACTACCCCGCTTTTGCAGAGAAAAGTATCGAGTAACAAGCCTTAATATTGATGGGAAAGAGAACAAGAATTAGAGCAGAGATTCCAGAATGATAATTATCAACCGTTTATTTAAGGCAGATGTTTAAGTGAATACATAAAACGGAGAATGTTTTTGAACTCAGATCGAGGGAATGCGCCAAATAGATTAACATGAAAAAATAAATTAGATCTACATCAAAAGCAGAAATATAACTGGAGACCCATTCCATCCATCACATCCATCTCAGTTGTCTCTGAACTTATTGAGCAGGGAGTTGAGGATCTCGGAATGGGAGATTTCCGATTCGTCACTAGCCTAAACCAATGATTATAAACCAAATATTATTCTATTCACCTGAATCTGGAGGAACTTGGCGGTTCCAAGGGCCTGTTTGATGGCCGAAGCAGATGAAGCGTACACCATCTTCTTTTTAATGGAAGCACCATCGGGGCAGAGCTAAATCCAGTTCAATAAAAGTTCCGACAACTCACTTGGATGAAGATAATCTTGTCCACCTTAGAAATACCAGCTCCAGGACGGGGACAGGTGAATTTGAAATCGAAGACGGCGTATCTGCAGTCCTCGTAGTTCTCAGTTCTTTCCTTCAAGTCCTTGACAAACTGTTCGTAAGCAGTCTTGGAGTTCTCGTCGTGGTCATCCCCCGTAACACCAAGCTAAACATCAAGGATAACGTAGTACGAATACTTCCGACATACCTGATCTGGAGCAACCGCTGACTCCACAACAACATCCTTGCCTTCGATCTTGTAGATGATGTAACGGAGAGTGCGCTTCCCTTCGGACAACTGCTGGAACGTGGTCTGGCAGTCAGCGTGTACATTCACTCCGGAACTCATCTTGAACTAAGGTGTTGGTGGCTGGAAGAAGGACAAATAAATTTGCAAATTATTCTAAATAGAACTTGCGGAGAATAAGGAAAAAACGACGCGTTGAATCAGGATGAGTCAGAGGACCAGACAAGTGCGTTCCGAGCGAAAATGGAGAGAAAAATAAGAAAACGAACGGACAGCGAAAGGGAGGGGGCGAGGCTGCGAATCCAAAAAAGCCTCCACAAAGATGACGAAAACATGGAGAGAGCGAGGCAGAGTACGGGATCCTCTAAACAAACCAAATCTGGCACGGGTACCCTGGCCCCGATCTTCTCCCCTCTCTAATAAAACAATTCTAGATGGTCCGACAGACCTTCCAGTCGGCCTGGAGGGGGTGTGAATCATCCAAAACGGGAGAATTTCTGCTTTCCTAATCCGAGTACAGATCTGATTGCAGGCAATTTCACACAAAAGGGACCACAAAATCCCGGAGTAATCCAATTTACATCACTTTACACAACGGAACACAGTCCACTCGAATGATTAACACGAGAAGAAGGACTTCCCACCACTTACTCAGCCCAGCGTCCACTACTTTCCTCCACGAACGCCCCCACCGAACACTTTCGATCGCAAAAGAGTAGAAAAAAACGATTTGCCTTACCCACGCGCGGACATTTTATACGACGAAACTTGTCCGAAGACAGGAGGTGGCAATCTGGCCGGGCCGAAAATGGTCCGGCCCGCGGACCGAAACGGTCAGTCGATTCGGGTTTGTCCAAATTTCCTCAGACCAGGCCCGATGAAACCCTGGCCCGGCCGACATCAGATACAAACAGAATGTCAATGACTTTTGGCATCCATTTTTTTGTCCCTCGGGAAAATTGATGGTTTGCAAGGTATGCCCGCGGGATTACCAACGAGAGAATAACTACCTATTTTTCAAAATTAATTGTGCGCAATTAATCATCTGACCCGCAACTTCGGGTCTGAGAAAGGTGGCAAAACTTGGGATTTTAAAATAGTTGATTCGAATTTTGTGCATACGCCACTTATACCAAAAAATCTGACTATAGGAGGAATTATCAAGAATGTTATTTATTTTAAAATGTGTATAAGTCGAAAAGGTTCAGTCCAATCCATTTGGAAACTCAACCTTCCGGGACGAAGCGGCTAGGCTGGCCCGGGGCTTCTCCAAATCCGCCCAAGCCCGGCCAGCCCAAACACCCGCCCGATTGCCGTCTCTAATTAGGCTGAGAATTCCGTGACTAATAGGGTTGTTAAATCGTCAACTTTACGTGTTAGTCACGTTGTCAAATTTTTTTTGTCATTTTGATTGTCAAATTGAACTTTTTCGGAAGATTTTTGTAGTTTTTTTTCCTACAAAACCGTATGAATTTAAATTTTTTAAGAACTAAATTGCTCCTTGTCAAAACGACAGGCAAAATAAGTAGTAAAACTATTCACGACTAACATTAACGGTATTCATCATAGTCTATGTTAAACTCCCCTTTGAAAGCTGCGTATATCAGAGCTTTCAGTTCAGCCAAAATGAGGGCAATTCACTTTGGAAAATTCTGTCAAATTAATAACCCTAGTGACTAATAACAATTTATAAAATTCAAAAAATGTTAGTAGGATAAACGTTAGACGGAAATAACAATAGATTTCTTGGCGGTTGCATCGACCTCGACCCGTTTCCAAAGGCGTCCATCCTTGTATAAATCAAATCGACCATGACATCTACCACAACATTTAGAAGTAAGATCGACGGAAGGAGAGTGCCGTTTTACTCTAGAATCAGCGTCCGAGCTTTTGCGTAGCATACTTACTTTCCACTGCATTTCTGACATACATATTCGTATTTGTAATTGATCTCATAATTGTGTCTCGTCGTAATTGGGGGAATCAACGGAAAAACCTTGGTCACATGTTTAGCCCTAAAGAATAATTACTCCATTTTGATCCTTACCATTGTTTGAAGTATTTCCCGTGTCCTTCTTTTTCATTATTAATCTTTCTGACAGCACAATGGCATAGTTCATGAAGCAAGGTATTTCTGAGCCTTTCTCCACTTGTAAGCACTTTGACCGCGAGTTTAATAAGATCTTTCTGGCTCTTGCCAACGGATGAATAATATTGTCCGGCCGTTTTCCGAAGCCGAGCATTCCACTCGAATTCCAAATGCGGAAGCTGAAAAAGTCTTGATGACATATGAGATTGCGTAACGTTGCATATTAGGGTAGACACTCACCCTTCCACCGAAAATACGACGATCGTAAATGTCAATCAGTTTATCCACAATCGAATCTCTATTCCGAGAAGTCACTGCCACACCTGAGAGAGACAAAAGATAGGCTTCATCTTGATCCGCACCTAAAACAATATCAACTATAAGTTACAAACGTTAAATTCAAAATGAAAAACAAAGAACAAACTTAATTTTCTTTGGTATCTTTCGTTTGCTTGGCTCAACTTCATCAACCTCATCAGAATCTTCGTAATCTTCAGCCAAATCTGACTCTCCATCCGTTTCCCCTTTATCCGTTTCACTGAATGTCTCCTTTCCGAGTTCATTTTCTTTATTGCACTCTCCATGAGGTTCAAAATCACTGTCGTCTAAGAAAACTCTTCTGCTTGGAGTCTTTGGTGTACACGGAGGTTGTCTTTCTAAACAAAATTTAAGATCATTCAAATATCAGTTACCTTGATCATTTTGTAAGCTCATTCCTTTAACCGACTTCTCGATAATCTGGATGTCTTCATCCTCCTCTGCAGCCTTGTCTATTGATGCATAGGTTTGATTACATCCTTCTTTCCCATTGCTCTCATACTGATTGTGAGATGAGCTCTGATCTTGTTCCGTCAGCTCAGATTCTTTAGTAGCATTCTTATCATCTTCAGCGTTATCATTTTCAACCAAACTATCATGTAAATCTTCTCTTGATTCGTATCCTCGAGTTAGATCAGGGTTATCGTTTTCGTCCAATTCATTTCCATCATCTTCATTATCATCATCATAATTTGCACTAGAATCCTGTTCTGAATAAGTTGCGTTGAGATCAATAAAACTAAATTGTTCTGGATGTAATGCTCGACGATGGCACTCTTCAATCTTCATCTTCTCTATCTGAATATCTTCTTCATCGAGTTCAGAAAAGTCAGGATCGCTATCAGCAACAAAACTCTCTTTGAATCCATAAGACATTGAGAGTGAGGCGTTCAATGACGGCGCGAGTCTATTGAAGATTCGAGAATCTGAAATATCAAAAACAACAACACCAATTAATGTATTACACTAGACTCACCTGTCTCAAATTCACTCTCTTCTTCTATTTCATCATCTTCATACTCAACGTTTTCTCCATCCTCTTCAACTTCTTCGTCATAATCTTCACTACATTGTCCTTCACTTTCTAATTCCAAACCTTCATGTCCACCTTCTGGAATTTCATGTTCTTCTTCAACATATTCATCTTCCCCTTCATTCGTTTCGCTGTTTGCTCCACTTTCTTGGGTGAAAGTTTCCCCTGCTCTTTTCGACTTGTTAGTGCCATTAGACGATTGAGTGAAGTCCCCGCATGTAATGTTTTGTTTTACCTTATAACTCTCATCAAAAGAAAAAGAGGGATGGTCACTCGAACGGATATCCATTTCTTCTGGTATAGCAGCCGATGAGCCGTTTGGAGTAAACGAATCGTCGTACACTTCTTCCTGAATGCTTTCTTCATCAATGGTAGATTGACCACCATTTCGGCCCTTTATATATAATTGGTGTCTGCAGTCTTTGGTAGAGTCAAAGAAATTCTTTTGTGCAAGTATTAGTTGATTCTCACTTCCTCCACAAGCATTTGAAAGTTCCTGCGGCAACATTGACAACCTCGTCGAATTGAGGAATTCCATTTCGTTGAAGTTAATAGTATTGTTAATTGAAATTGATAGCTTCCTCTGTGGCAGAAGCGATTGCCTCCCTAAAGATCCATTAATAACTTCACAAAACGCTTACCTCTTCCATTAGACAACTGTTTGACAACGCTGCTAGATGTTGTGCCTGTAGATGCCACCTTTTCCTGCCCGTACTTCCTTACTCTGGATTCCAACATTTTTGGTCTCAAAGTTGTTCTAAATTGAGGAATCGGGATCTTACTCTTTGGCATGACTAAAATAAGGTAAGTGACTAAGAGAGCATAACAATACCCGTTTTAGGTCTAAGCGGCAGTGCTTTAATCGGAGTCTTTGAACTGTTGCCCTTTATCCCATTATCAACCTCCAACTGGCTCGGACTTTCCACTGAGTCGTAAAACTCGTCTTGTGAGCTGTCATCCGTTATTTCTGGAGCTTCTAAAATCCAAACATTTGTCGCTTAAACTCGATAACATACGCTTAGCGACAAAGCTTTCGTCGTCCGTCAACATGTGGCTATAGAAATCCTGGGAATCTGGCTCAACAGATTTCACTGCCATCAGGTGGCCCCTAAAAACGGAAGAAATAAAGGTTCTGTTATAAATGCCGTTATCAATAAGCTGAAATGCTAAAAACTGGGAATCAATATTTCCGATCCGACGAATTTCTGCTTTCAAAATTCTGTGATGCGCCAAGAAAGAGACTTGACGCAAGACAACTGTTCCTTTGCTCTAGAAATGTCGTCATTCTGACAACGGTAGTTTAGACAATTTGGAATATTTACTTGTTAATCCTGAGGTAATAAATACCATGCTATCCTGAACTACGTATTGTACATTTTTGTTAGCGAAAACTATGCGCTTTGCTTTTCGGTTAATTTCTTCAGTAATTACGACAGATTTTTTAGATTGCCTTTTTTGGAGGGAAAATAAAAACGCGAACGCGCATTGCAATCGCATAGCTGTATATAGTTGTATTCAAGCTCTGCGGAATATAGCCGTCTTTTGAATTTTCTTAATAGTTTTGTGTTTTATATTTTTAGTATCCTATCATCCTTACTTCATCATGAGCGACCAAAGAAACCAGCCTGAAGTTGTAACTGAGGAAGAACAGATCCCAACAACAGCTCAGAACGTGAGCGGAGAAACCAAGAACGTGCTGAAGGATGTGCTGAAGGGAATGAATGTGGAATTAGACGAAGAAGCTCTGAAGTTGGTCATGGAAGAAGGAGGAAAGGAATTTGATAAGATATTCACCCAGATAGCTGCTCAACAAGCTTTACATCAGGGAAGTAAGAAGTCGAAGAAGTAAATCCAACTTATTAAATTATTCATCTAACAAATTTCGTGAAATTCATGATAAATCCTGATGTGTAACATTGTTTTTAATTCTGCTTGCAATACTACCTTAAAAGTTGGCGGGTCTAAAGGCGTCGCGACATTTTGCGGGCAATGGGGTATCACATGGGTCGTCGCAGCAAGATGTTTCGCCTTGTCGAAATTTCCAGCTGCCGTCGCAAAGCGGTGGTGGGGAAACACTGTCTCGATTTTAGGTAACTAAATTCACTGAAAGGTTAGGTTGGTTTTAGTCTAGTTTGCATATGGGCAAAAATCGGCTGGCAGCAAATGTCGGCTGAATCAGCGTGTTTCTTTCTTCTTGTTGCCCCACAAATGTCGCCTGCCTGCAAGCGTAGGTGATGCAACCAAATGTCGACCCCTCAAATGTGCGCCCGCCGGTCGAAAACGTACATTGGAAGGGAATATTCTGTTCTTTGGTGTCATTAAATATGTCGGCATTTGAAATATAATTCATGGTCCGAAGGTAATCTGATCCGGTAATCGAATAAAATATGATTTCCGTCGCAAAGAAACGCTTACTTTGTTATATGCCGTAATATAATGTCCAGGAACCTCCGTGTTGTGTATCCGCGGACATTTCCTGCCGTGGATTGGACTAAATGTAGGGTATTTCCGACCCTGCGGGTCAGCAAAAACTGTCAATTCCCGGGGATGATGGTAGAGGTATGTAAAGTAATATCCATCAGGCGGTAGTTGATTAATTTATTTGCTGATAGTTTAAATCTCACGGTTGAGCCAGTTATAATCCAAAAACAAGATCCAGAACTTGTTCATGTGCCATTGATTGTAAGTGTGGATTCCGAATTCGAAAAAATCTATGCAGGTAAATGGAAAGGCAAATGGATTGCCGAAACTGCTAGCCAACGGGTCCGTCGATTTAATCGCAGCTCCATTCCAAGTCACAAAGAGCAGATCCAATTTGTTCTCGTTCAGTGAGCCATTGTATACGGTATGCCTGCACTAGAATAAAGTATTGTCGTTCTGTCTTGACTGACAAAGTTACAGTTAAGCACTAGCATGTTGACACATGATCCGATCAGTTTGAACAGCGACATCTGGAGTTTCTTCCGAACTTATACGAGCGAAACGTGGACTGTAATACTTATAGCCCTTCTTTTACAAATCAGTGTTTGTGTTATGATTCGTTATTTTGAAGCTAAAGTTATTCGAACCAAACATATCGGAGTTTTAGAGGTAATAATGATAATTTTTCACTTTCACTAAGATTGTGAATACTAATTTGCGTTACTTTAGAGTGCTTGGCAAATGCTCCGGCTTCAATTAATGCAGCCCGAGAAGATTTATTTTACAAGTTTGGCGGGTAAATATAATAGTGCTAATATAATTTATAAACGGTCATGTTTGTTTTCTTTTTCAGGTCGATTATCGATCATGATCTTCTCCTTGGTCCAATGTGCCGTTCTTCTTGGAGTATTTTCTTCCTGGATATTGACCAGTATAATCAGAGATGCAGCTACTGATGTTCCCTTTGAGAGCATGGATAACTTTGTAAAGGGATTGATGGCTAAGAAGTTCTACATGATCTCCGCCGAACCTGATACTTGGTTCTTCGAGGAAGTCAATCAATCTCAGGTATTCCCATTTAAACAGCTTCGGGCTGCTCTGGAGAGGAATCCCCTGAGGAGAGTAGATCGGACTAGAGTGGCGTTGCAGGCGGTAGTCAACGACAAGGCCGTCGTGTTTATGCAATCGGATAGTGACACCTTCTACACGTCCGTTAAGTTCTGCAATTTGAATCGGGTTTATCAGGACATGCCGGTGGTAACTTCCCATCTAATGTTTAGGTATGTACTCTATTGCTATTGTAATTTCTACAGTAATCTTTTCAGAAAGAATTGGCCTCTAGCAGCGTTATTTAACCGATCAATTGTCGAGAATAAGATGCATGTGAATAGAATCCTCCGCAAATACAAAACATTGTTAACAAAGGATAAGCCCATCTGTAAGACCAAGAGTTTGCATTCTTCCTTGAGCATCTATCCTTACCTGGGCCTTGTCATAATCTGCATGACTATAATCTCCGTTTCTTTTTTCATTTTGTTCTTGGAGAATTTTGTTCACAGTGCCAAGAAGAGTTTGACCAAAATAAACTGACTTCTATCCTTATCTGAATACTCCTGAACGGCCGCATGTTCCTTCCCCTCAAGAATACCCTTTTCACTTGTTATTATGCCGCTTTTTTTAACTTTCACAAACATATTTTTTCTCTGAAGAACACGTAAATTAACGTGAACGAATTGTCGTAAAAAAAGTCGGGACAAACAGCTGCCCCCATTCCAGACGGCCTATTTCTTTCGAATCAAAACCCTTAGGGGTTGATCCATTCGTTGTGGAGGTTAAACTCTTTGTTTATTTCAAATGGATATAAAAAGAGTAAGTAAATAAAACGATCTACATCTTGTTTTATGTCGTTGTAGATGAAGAATAAGGTTGATGACTCCAATTGGAGGATCACGCCCTATCGGAATGGGAACAGTCCGAGGTACACGTTCGACGAGATTGTGGCTGACAGGTATGAGATGAAATAAATTTCAATTTAAGCACAAATATTATTTTATTTGTTTCAGTTTCGACAGCGTCAAGAAGTTGGGGATAAATGCGAGCCATTGCCAGTTGTATGAAATGTACAACCCAAATCTGGGAAGACTTCGCCGAAGTCACACTTACAGTGCATTGGCACCTACCAACGGCATGAAATTCTTGTAAAATCAGCTACATTATTTCAGAGATCAGGACTTTCGTTTTGTCATCAAAAATATTTTTCCTAAATTTCAGTGACCGATATGTGCCCCCAGACATGAGACCTTACAGCCCATACAAACCGAAGCAATCAGAATGGAAGCTGACTTCAGAGAAGCAGACCAAGACCATCCACACCCCGGCCAACATTACCTCCGACAGTCCGCAGATCCCCCTTCCCCTCACTCATCGCCGCCAATACCCAGTTCCCGCTGATCCTACAAGATATGAGAACTTTGCGACTTATTGGGGAGGTCGCGCTCGGGGTTTAGAATACACTCAGCACTCTCTGCATGACCCTGATTACGATACTTACGGTACCACCGAAGATCGGAGATACCATCGCTTATATTGGGCTCCTCAATTAATCGAGAAACAGCCGACGGCACGACATGCCCGACAAGTGATCATGATACCTTACTATTAAAGAACAATATAACTTTACTTTTTACAAAATTTTGTACAGTAAGATGATTAAATGGATTACTTTGGAGATTAATTGAGTAAACGCTTGAATAACAATCTAGTAATCCAATTCGATATCCACCAGATTCTCCTTGAGCTGTTTCAGCATTCTCTTTCCGAATTCGTTGCCGCAAGGGCTTGTTTGCCAATGAGTTTGGCACAATGTCATCTTGCATCCCTCACATTCAGATGAGTCCACAATCTTCTTACACATCGAACATAAAGCCTTTTTATAATAAATAGACCCTCTCTCGATCCTCAAGAAATGGCCATTCATCTTCTCCACTTCCTTAATTGTATTCAAATTCATATTGGTCCCGATTACAGCAGTATAGAGATTAGCTGGGAGATATCGATTAAGTCGGAGTCGGGTGAACGTGGACCTGTTTTCTTGAGCCATCCGAAGAATTAGAGGGCCAATTGAGGCCTTGGGGAGATGGTGTTCATGGGCGGATGTCAGCAAAGTCAAGACTTGATCTGGTTTCACATGACTGATATTACTTTAGATGCTTGTTTTTCGTACTTACTCTAGATTTGCGGCTTCCAGATATAAACAGCATGCTTTTGTCAGACTTTCCACTTGATATTTATTGGCAAGACGAAGGAGGACTGGTAAATTCCATTCTAAAAATAGTTAATTTACTTTTTAAGGGTAACCCTTACCATTTATTTGTTGATGATCTTGAAGGCATCTCAAAAAGTCGGCGATGTCGTCGCTGTTCTCATCTACGATTTCTCTGGTTAACTCCCTTCCTCCATCAAAATCTCGGCCGAAACACATCAAAGCGAAGATGGGAGATAACTTACTCAACTTCTTTGAGTCCACTGTAAAGATCTCATTCTTGACCATTAATTTGAATGGTCTCTCGAAAGTTGAAGGACTTGGTTGACAATTAAGGCGTTTCTCTTCAATCCTCTTAATGCAAACATCTGTCATATTACTACAAAAAATACCAGATTACAATAAATTTGAGCCTACAATTCTTCCATGGAGTAATGGTAACAATCAGCGATCATTTCCCGCAAAAACTGACGCGACATTAGACCAAAAAAATATAGAACAACAGGTAGACAGACAAGGATAATAAAATAACATTGCTGGAAAACAAAATCTATCGGAAGCAGATCCGGCCATATCCAACCGGAACTCGGGACTCCAGTTTCAACTCAAAACGAGAACATTCCACTCTGATGTGAGTGGCAAATGCAGTAAAACAAGTAACAAACACTTGCATCCATATGACTACATCATCTTGAAGTACAGTAAATAGGCCCTCTTTACGCAGAATTGTGTCACAAACAGACCAACACTGGAAGGAGGGACGTCTGTTTTGGTCACCGCCTCGGGGCACGGCGTCTCTAATCCCGGGGTTTGAACCAAAAAAATTAAACCAAAAGTTTAGGGCCGACCCAACCATTTATGTAATTACCTTGACAGCCGGAACCGGCCAAAGCAAAAGTCGAATGTTGACAGAGAAAAACGGGGAGCAAAAACAATCAAATCTGGCCAGATCAGGCCATTAAAGAACAGAACGACCCCTGACCTGAGCATCTCAGCAGGTGCCATTTCCTCAATCAAAGGCCAGCACATGGTCAGCTGAACGTCACGGGAGCACATCCATCATCCCACTTCCAGTAAAAGATCCCCTGAGGGCACTTGGAGGTAGTCGGCCTGTTTGTTTGGCCACAAACCTCTTTTAAGGCATATAAAATGGACAGCCAACACAAAAGAATAAGTTATCTTGAATTCCGATATCAGATCCGTTTGTTTTGAGTATATTTATAAGTCGTTTCAAGAAGTTTTTGGGAGAAGGAAGGGCTGTCAGCGTCTCTTCCAGTTAATGAATATTATGCAGAAGGCCGTTCCAAAAAGTAAAAGATTTTTTGGAAACTTTCCTACAGCTTTTCTATAAATAATTCATTAAGCGTTCGTCAGAAAACAAAAGAAAACCGGATGATGACATTAGACACCGCAGAGTACCGTAGGAGTACTTATCGTTAGGGGTGCAAAAAATATTGCTCATGTCGAACTTTGAAGAGCTTAGAAATTGGGAAAAGATGTGCTTATGTTCTGTAAACCATTTGTAAACATTACTAATCTCAAAAAAGCATCATTTACGAGTTTGTCGGGAAAATAATAAGCGCAAAGTCGCATTGAACATTGCACCGCCGGCAAGAAAATGTATTGTTTCGCGGATCAAATTGCTTTTTACCTCAACGACGCAATAGGCGCAGCGATAGAGTGCTCACTATTTCCCAACAGACTGATGTTATATTTATCATGCAATCGCCGGCAAAGCTTGCCGTATAAAAGGACAACTGAACCTGCAGGCGACATGGGCGCGAGTCGGGACCTAAATATATTTTTTTTCGTTGAAAATCTGTTGATTGGATTTCCATTCTCGTGTATATTTAGATGACTTCCATAAGGAGTCTTTGTCGGTCTTTAAGGTCGGGCTTAACTCTAAAATCTTCCCCTGGGGCTATTGCCCCTCCTCCAATCCCTTTGTCCATTCCGAACGAGGACCATGTGAAGACACAGATAAAGATTTTACCTCCGGCTCATAATAAAGTCTACTGCTTCCCAACACCTGATAAATATGCCATGGAACTTCCTACTTTGAAATCTTTGATTTTGGATAAATCAGACCCTCAGAATTTGAACGTAAGTTTATATTCTAGCTTGTTTTTATGATTTTTAGTTGAGAATTGAGGAACCTACTTCAAACAAAGCTCCATTAATTGCCGGACCGAGGATGTTAACGATCAGGAGGAAGAAGATGAAGAAACATAAGAGAATCAAGCGATATCACCGGGATTACTTCAAATATCAGACTCATCATCGCAAAAAGAAGGCTAAGGTAAGTCCGTTCAGTAACATAGACCGTTGTTTTATTTTAAATCTTATATTGCTTTAGGCCGAGGCTTTGTTCCGACAAAGAATGCATGAAATAATGGATGAACTTCATTCCTTCGACCCTCTAGAGCATGTTAAAGACACTATTGCTCGCGCTCAACGCGAATGGAATACTTCTTTGGCTGAAAGCGGACGAAAAAAGTACCCACATTGGTCTCAATTAATGAGTTTGGAAGAATTGTACGGACTTCCAAAGATCACCCATATAGAAAAACACTTTGGATATCCAACCCCTGAAGATGAACCAAAGATAGGACAGCTGAGGAAGGAGTACTTCAAGAAATACACGAGGCTTCAGGTTAAGAAATCAGATTAGGTCTTTGTTGTTTTAGTTGATTTATTTGTTAAATATAAATGATTTCAAATAATGAAATTGATTTGATCAGATGTTTTCGGCTTCCTGCGTCTTTTGGTTGGCGATAAGTTCTTCTGCTTGCTTCAGCTCATCACGTAGTCTCTCCACATACTTAAATCTTAGTATTCTTTGTGGATTTTAATTACTGTATTAATTCAAGTTATAATAACCCACCTCTTGAGCATTTTCCTGGTCTCTTTGTCTTTTACATTCCAATTTACATTGTTCATAAGCGCTGAGAACCTTCAAACTTTTTGGCTTAACGATTCTTCTTTGATGTCCATTAACTTCGTCTTCTTGATGAACAAGTTCTTCATAAGGTTTGTGTTCGGCGAGTTCATCTTCAGGTTCATCTGGCTGTAGTTTCTGTTGGATTTCCTTTGATTTGTCTTCTACTGCCTTGGCCACTTTGGAGACATCTCTCTTGGCTCTTCTAAATTAAACCTTAGTAGCTGCAGTAACATCCCTACTCTTTGATGGTCTTTGGTTTCTTGGCAGCCACGGCCGAAACAAGAAAAACGGCTAAGAGTAGTAGAGACAAACGCATTTTCAAAACAAAGTAACTGCTTTTGGAGTTATTTCGTGGCTTTTCAAGCCCCTTCTTTGGTTGCTTATCACTGATTCTAATCAATAATTTTGGCCAGTGACGCATGAAGAGTAACAGATAAGGTCGCAAGCATGATAATTATCTTTTACGAAATGTATTTATTAATCAAGAAATATTGAAGTTTGATTGTTGCGGTAGTTTCCTCTCATGAAATCGTCGGCTCGCGCTTCCTTACAGTATGCCTGGAATTGGATGACGTCAAATAAATTTGTAGTCAATTGTGTACATTCTATGAAAGTTCAAAAAGCTCACTTTTATATTCCCTTTAATGGGTTTGAAACAATGGAGATGGGTCTCACAAGAGCAGGAATCCTCACATCCTTCTCCTATCTTGAAGCTATGTTTAACACATTTATTCTCATCCTTCTTTTTGTGACAACAGTGTCCTATTAATCATAATACAAGTAGAGCAACAACCTACCGGGCTTGCATTCATTATGTGTCGAACATGGGCTGTTGTGTTCTCCCGGTCTGGATCTGTTTTTCTGGGCCTCGAACACTTGAATCTAAATAAATCTAGAAGCCGGAAGAGTAAAACTTGCAATGCTGGGAGTGGTATTGACAAGGCCATTGTGTTTTTTGATGTCCTTGACAGTCTTCTTATGCTTTCTAAACGATTTTTCCAACCTGCGAAGCTTTTTCTGGATTCCATTGATTTTATTTCGGATTCTCTTCTTGAATCCTTTACTCTCAGATATTGTCACATTCCGAAGCATTTCCTTCTCGTTATTCAATTTTAGCTCCTGGTTGAGTGTTCGTATTTCATTCCTGAGGCTCTTTAATCTACTCAGCTTCAATTCGATGTCATCTTTAATTTGATTCAGCTGTAAACAAAGTGCTGATAATCAAATTCCAAGAATTCGATAACAACAATAAAATTCAACTTTTGACCTCGGAGATAGATTCAGCAAAGAGAAAAGAGGAAGCATGTGAAATAGAAAGAAACTGATCGCAGGTATAATACTAGTCATTATTACCTGAGTCTTCAACGATTTCAAAGACTTCTGCCGTTCTTTCCCATTGACGAACAGCAATAGCAAGGACACCAATAAGAAGGAGGTAGCCCTCATATCTCCCAAGATACGATCATACAAAGGCAAATTTTCATTCATATAAAATAAAACCAATCGGAAGAAGAAATGTCTTTAAGTGCCATCTCCGTCCTCCCTCCTTCTTTTGAGGCCTTCGCCCATGCTAAATTAAAGTCGAAAGCCCATATTAAATTAGATAAAAAAATCCTAGAGAAAACTTTATTCCTTTCCAAGATAAAACAATCTAAATTTAGATCTTCCAATCCATTACTTGAGGCTCTTAAAGGCCTTAGGCATCGCCTGAAACCATTCCAATTACCATTATACTAATGATAGCGGAGTAGTACAAATATAAAAAAACTTACACAATGGTCAAGATGGTGAATATACTCGACCATTTCCTGATGGCAAGTCTCGTCGGTCTGAGATTTGGATGACACTCGCTGATTGCATTCGTCCAAAAGTTCTTTAAACTTGCTCACTTTACCCTCACATTGTTCGCGGTAGTAAGCCAACTGATCTCCTTCAATCTGAAGACCATGGATAAATTATGGTCTCTTCCAAAAGCACAAGAAAAAATGAAGATGACCTACCTCTGACATCGTGTGGCACCGCAGTGAGAAATTACTGAAAAAATGACGTTTTCAATAATAAACATAAAAGTGTATGTGCGCGAAGACCGGAAAAAAGTAATTATAACATAAAAAAAACGTAAAGCCTTTAAAACGTACAAAGAAAGCTTAGAGATGATAATAACCACCACTAAACGTACAGGAATATTGTGCTCGTAATCATAGACAAGGTGAGAGCAAAACCCATAAAGTTGAAACAGAATGCCACAACTTTTGGCAAAGATGTTCTCGGTGCGAAGTTTTTTAGATAAAAATGTATTTTTTGCTTCTGATAGAGCTCTTTCACGTTCTTTGATGTTGGTTCAACGATAGCCTTGTGCCCCTCCTCTCATGTTATTAACCTTTCTACTAACACTGTTTCCAGTTTTTGAAGCTGATCATGTAAGATCAGAATGGGATCTCGATGGTCCTTGTCAGATTCATGTTCAGGTAAGCGAAAAATCTTGTTTTGATTGGGTTGTGCTTAGAACTTAGCTCGGGCTCAGGCTCGAATGGTCGAATGTTCAACCAATTTCTCGTCGCCACCCAAAGTCTGCACTAATTGCATTGATGAATATGTCCGATTCAAACAAATGGAATACGACACTCATCATCTGGTAAGTCTGCTCTCTGTTTATTATCAGCTTCCTAAGATCAATGTGACTTCATTGGATAATAAGACATGCTCAGAGATATTTTACGGAAATTATTTGTTATCTTATAGTAATGAGATCTCGAATGCATTGACTGGTCGTATTTGGGACGCATCTAGATGTGAATGTAAGAACAAAGACTATTAATCTTTACTGTTTAGCTTGTTTGAATATCGAGTGGGATTTTGCGCACAAGAATTCTTCCATTACTTATGACTCCAAGACGATTCTGTTTGAAAAAGTTTTGGTGGCATGGAGAAGATGTGTGGAGAATTTTGCGTCAGATAACAGTACAATTTGTGCGGAATGCGAGAAAGAATTTACTGAATTGTTTTCATATTACTGGAAGATATACAAGGAGCCAGGGATAGATTTTTGTGCAGATGTTGAGAGTACTGTGAGTGACTATAATAATGTAAAATTGTTGTAGATGAATGACACTATGAACATTTGGCACACGGTGTGGCAATGTCCAGATGAGAAGAAGGATATTAAACATGACATGACAATCGTGGCCATATCGGCGGCAGTTTTATTCGTTATAATTTCACTTTTTTACGTTGGAAGTTATGTTCAAATCGAAAGAGCTGAACGAAATTACATTAGATGTAAGATCTCATCTTTTTTTCTCATTCATTTTTAGACTCGAGAATACAAACGCCTCGTGGGCAAAGGTCAAGGCTTCTGAGTTCTTCCACGGCTGAAGGCTCTCACACTCCATCTTCGTCTTTACACGGGTAACAAGGATATCGAGTTGGGTATTTAATTTATACTTTTGATTTAAGTGATAATAAAGATCTGTGCTATGAAGAGTTCTGTTGTTGTTATGCGGTTTTGCCAACCTGAACTGATATCGAAAAAGTCTCCAAGCATAAAATATGTTGTGGTAAAGCAGGTTGAGATGTTGCGTAACTCGGTTCAAGCCTTTCGTTTTGCATCGAGCGCTGCCGCTGTGAAGCCGGCTGGAGCCAATGTGAAGACCTTTGAGATCTATCGCTTCAATCCCGACCAACCCGGTGCTAAACCAACTATTCAGGTATATCAATGATCGGTTGTGTCAGATATTTTCAGAAATATGACATTGACTTGAATGCCTGTGGACCCATGGTTCTGGATGCCCTGATCAAGATCAAGAATGAAGTGGATCCCACTCTGACCTTTAGAAGATCCTGTCGAGAAGGAATCTGCGGATCCTGCGCTATGAATATTGGTGGCGAGAACACTCTGGCTTGTATCTGCCACATTGATAATGATACCTCCAAGTCGACCAAGATCTACCCCCTCCCTCACATGTACGTTGTCAAGGATCTGGTCCCCGATATGAACCTTTTCTACACTCAATATGCTTCTATTCAGCCTTGGATTCAGAAGAACAATGGATTGAATCTGGGAGAGAGACAACTCCATCAAAGCATCGAAGAGCGAGAGAAATTGGTAAGGATTTGATGATGTTTTTATAATCTGCTTTTATAATATGTAATACATAATTTTTGGTGTTCAGGACGGTCTCTATGAATGTATCCTTTGCGCTTGTTGTTCTACTAGTTGCCCTTCTTACTGGTGGAACGCTGACAAATATCTTGGTCCCGCTGTTTTAATGCAAGCATACAGGTAAGAAATATAATTCTGTGTTACACTTGTATTTACAATCATAATTTTTCAGATGGGTTATTGACTCCCGTGATGACAAAGTAGAAGAACGCCTGAGTCGCATGCAGGATGCCTATTCCGCTTTCAAATGCCACACTATCCTTAACTGCACCAGAACCTGTCCTAAGGTGAGATGGTCGAATTAAGGCTTTCTGAGTCCTCGGAGTATTCGTTATCGGGATCATCGGGTGCTTGGATTTCTGGTGAAAACAGGCTTGGGGCATAGAGAACTGAGCTAAAGCTAAGACAGGATTACTTCAGTGTAAACATATTTAAAAGTGTTTACCTTCCAACCACCAGACTCTCACTTCTGTTAGTTTCCGAGGATTTACTCCCGAATAAGGGCATCATGTGGGAGAAAGACCTCTTAGCCTGACGCTCTTTCTTATCCCAATATGGATATTGATAGTTCTCTTGATACTTTTGCTTGTAATCTTGATGGGGGATTACTGTAGGAGCTGATTGTGCTTGTTCCTGAAACGTGAAAGAGATGACTCCCATCTCCATCATTCCCCTTTTACAATCTCTACTGACCGTCTCATCGTTCTTTGTTTGTTCTTTTTTCCTTAAGCTAGAGACCTTGAGTAGAAGAGAGATGGCAACCAAAGTGATTACGATAGCTATCAACAGTAGAATTACGGCCAATATACAAATCATATAACCGAGAATATCCTCGTGGCTCATAAGCGGTAATTACGGCAAGAGAAGGGGCTGCGAAGGGGGCCTGGCTGCCTCCTCAGGTCTGATTCTGAGTCAGAGATCGGACTCGAAGGAGGCAAGGGAACAACATTCTCAGCGTCCGTTCATGAATCGCCTCTTCTTCCAAACTTTTCTAATTCTTTAATTTTCAGCATCTGAATCCGGCCTTTGCAATTGGACAGCTCAAGAAATTGCTGACTGGCCTCGAGAAGAAACCACAGCAAGTCAAGGAATTCGCCTGAGGGCCCTCCCATTTTCCCTTAGGCTTTATCCATTTAGAATGCATATTTACCCTTGTGAAAAGAATAAATCGTTTAAGAATTGTATCGTCTTTACAATACTTTTCGTAACTTTACAAAAAAAGTCGACATTGTTTTTACCGAGTTAGGGTTTGAAGTTTAAAAAACGGAAAGAAGAAGATATATAAACCATGACAACAAAAAACATCAACCAATCATGGGCTTGCTGTTCGTATTACTGGTCCTCTTTACCATTCCTGTGGATGGGGAAGATCTGAAGCAATGTTGGGCTTCAGAGAATGGGGGCCCGGCCAGATTTTGGCCGAATGGGGAGATCATATTTAAAGGTACCCTTTGTGACATTTGTTTGATGCTGTTATAGATGAGTTCCTTTTCCAATGCTTTGATGGTAATCTTGAACCTTATGGATGTCGATTATCCAATGGAGAGATTTTATTTCTCAACGAACAGCTAATTGTTGATGATAAGGTCGTCAAATGCACCTATTTTGAATATTACATTGATCTTGTTGAGGTTGGCTGTGCAATTGATGGAATTACAGTAATCGAAGGAGGAAAATCATGGATAAAAGTAGTTTCATTACATTGTTAATTGAAGTTTGATTGTATCTTATTTAAGGACGGGGTTTACTATATTTGCAATGAAAGTAGAGGCCATTATCACATTAGTCCAAGTGCTTGTGTGCTTAAGGAAAGCGACGAAATGATCAGAATAGGGGAAACGGTGAACATCCATAACTACACGTATGCACTTTCACTTCTAGTAGCTGAGCCTGCTGTACAATAAAGTTACAGTAATCTTTACAGGTTGCAATGTCAGCCATCTGGTGATGGCAAACTAAAATTGGTGTCTACTGGATGTCTCAACAATGGCAAAAGATATAAAATAGGAGATCAGTGGACAGTAAGTCGCAGTTTCTCTTTTAGCAATGCTTTAAGGAAGATGGCTTTGTATTTTATTGTAAAAAGAAAAGCAACGAATGTGTAAAGAAGTGCGTGGGGTGCTCTTGGGATAATAAAACCCTCTACAACGGAGACAGATTCACAAAGGATAAGTGTGTTTTCGAATGTGTTATCAGACCAGAAAGACATATACAAGATCCGGTGGGCTGTCTTTTCAATGGAATCGAGAAAGTGGTTGGTTGTATGTGGTAAGAAAAGCCTTCCCTTCTCGTACATTGCAGGAAAGAGAACATGGGATCGTTCAGAACAGAACTAACTTGCGCTTCCGATGGGGAAAAGAGTGAGGTTATTGTGAATGGATGTCATTACCCTCAGGGAGAATACGATCTTTTCTTTATTCCATCCGAATCATACGCCATATTCAACGATGGACAACGTCAGATGGTTGCTGCTTGTCGTGGAAATAAAAATGATGTTTCTACATTTCAATTGGAAACCTTTACAGTGGATGAACTTCCATTTAGAACCAAAGGTCTAACTCAAGTTGAACCTCAAGGATAATAAAAAAATTTTATGGTATATGGACGGATAGTGTTTTGACAATCATTTACTGTACAGGGTGTTCCGAGAATTGTGGAAAAAACTATTCATTAATAACTTTGGGCTCGGTGGTCCAATCCGAAATTTTTTTTTTGCATTTTGCAGAAAAGCCTTGGAGTTTTTCGAATCAAAAAATTTTTTTTACTTTTATCGGCGGAGACTTCCGTAATCCGCATTGAATTCGACGGAGTGTTTTTTTCCAGAAAAAGGCTGTAAATCGATGTATGTGTAAAGAAAATGAGCGGAAAAAGATCCAGAGGATGCAATATGACATTTATTTCAAATTTTTGTGATTTGGCGGAGACATTTCTTGACCTCGGCGGACGATTTTTCTTCGACTTCGGCGAGTCAAAATTGGCTAAAACAAAAACGTATGGGTTCCCTGGTGGCATGGTGCTTAAATAGGACTTATTACGTCCTCGGCTGACTGGCAGATGAAAAAACGACAATTTGGCGGAGAAATCAGCGGAGAAAAAAATTAACCCATTTGTGTAATTATGAAAATTATCCGCCGAGCATCCGCCAATAAGAAGAATCATATTTTTTAGTTGATCAGGGCCGTATAAGACCTAGAATTTTAGTTTTCTCATCATAATTTCTTAAATGGGTTCACTTTTGCTACGCCGATTTTTCCGCCGAATTGCCGTTTTTTCATCTGCCAGTCAGCCGAGGACGTAATAAGTCTTATTTAAGCACCATACCACCAGGGAACCCATACGTTTTTGTTTTAGCCAATTTTGACTCGCCGAAGTCGAAGAAAAATCGTCCGCCGAGGTCAAGAAATGTCTCCGCCAAATCACAAAAATTTGAAATAAATGTCATATTGCATCCTCTGGATCTTTTTCCGCTCATTTTCTTTACACATACATCGATTTACAGCCTCATTTCAGGAAAAAAACACTCCGTCGAATTAAATGCGGATTACGGAAGTCTCCGCCGATAAAAGAAAAAAAATTTTTTTGATTCGAAAAACTCCAAGGCTTTTCTGCAAAATGCAAAAAAAAAATTTCGGATTGGCCCACTGAGCGCAAAGTTATTAATGAATAGTTTTTTCCACAATTCTCGGAACACCCTGTAGTTTATTTGTCACCAATTTTAAATCCGTAAAACCTGGTTCTTGTATTCGCGCAGCCTGCACATTTTCGGGCGCATCTTGGAAATCCATTATTCAAAGCGTTTTTTCAAGAAAACAGGGAGACTGCTGAATTATTGTTATTCACATTAGACGTTAGACTAAATCGCCAGCATATATTTTAGGTTTCTGATATGGCACAGGAGATGAAAAAAGAGCCTGAGACGGACCCCGAGATCATTCGGTAAGGACAATGTCGATTCTCTATTTCTCGATTATTGAGTTTGGTTTCTTCAATAGTATTGATTTTAAAAATTTTACCGTTTAAGTGAGGAAGAAGTAGAACCCCAAGGTGTGAAACCTTCAGCAGAGAATGATAACTCTAAAAACAATGATCAATTTACACTATTAGACGAGAGCATCAGCAATGTCGCTCATCACCGACCCTCTAATAATCGCAATGATGAGATTACAGTGGAACCGGAGCTGTATGCTGAAGAGGTAAATAATTTTCAAGTTATATTGTGGCGACGTTTAGTTATAAAATGGAAATTCTTTATAGCCTCGTTATTTCACCCACCGAGAAGGTCCGAAAGCAAGGAGACCTGTCTTTCGAGAAGAGCTTGATGAAAATACAATTCTGAATGCTGTCATTGCCGATGAGGCCTACATTGATACTGCAGATCTGGCCCAGAGGGTTCTCTATGAACTGAAACAATACTCTATTCCCCAAACTTTATTTGCCGATAAGATTTTGTGTCGAAGTCAAGGAACGTTGTCCGATCTGCTGAGGAATCCAAGACCGTGGAATGAGATGAAATCGGGGAAAGAGACCTATAGAAGGATGTTTAATTGGCTCCAACAACCTCTTCATATTAGACTATCCATCCTGAACTTGTATGATATAACAGGTGTATCGCCAAGTGCCCTTCAACCTTTGCTGCCTCCAGAACAGAAGAGGAAGATTCTACCGTCCAGTCAGGGCTTGTCTAACACTCCCTGCTCTTCGTACACACCATCGCCAAGCAAGAAACAACGATTTTTATTCACGGAACGGCAGAAGTCCACATTGAATACAATCTTCAACACTTACCCTCGGGTCTCCAAAGATTTACAGGTATAATATTGGTAATATTGGCAATAAGATAACATATAAAAGATTTTGCTTAACGTAATACGAGTCATCCTTTCTGGTTTATTAAGATAATCTCGTTTATTACATGTTGATAATGTGTAGGTCCAGTTGGAGTTAAGATTCGGTTTTTCGTCGCTTCTGCTGATGTTATCGCGGCGCAGCGCCATGCAGTCCCCTGATTACCTCTCTTTAATGTGTTATTTAGGATAAAATTGCCCAAAAACTCGGCCTTGATTCAAATACGGTTGCCAATTTCTTTATGAACGCTCGCCGGAGACAGAAGATTCAACAACAAGCAAGAGGAAGGGCAGAATATGAGACCGAATACTTGACAGAGGAATACGAAGACGAACCTGTGGATGTGACGGAGATCTCCAACGCTTAATACTTGGCACAAGGCTTGCTTAATACTTATTTTACAAGGCTTGATGTTTATTACAAAGTTGTAAAATAAACATTACGATGACCTAAGCTGAGACCATTTTACTTTACCCTTTATGAGGTCCAGTAATGTTGTACCAATCTTGTCTATCTAAAATAATTGTTATTGACACCGAAACTATATACTTACCTTGACTCGTATTTGTTCCATGGTCTTGATCTCTCTTAAAGTGACCGTTCCGTTCTCCTCCGTCTCATCGTCTAATGTAATCCCAAATGGAATTCCTGTTTCATCGTTCCTCGCGTATCTTTTTCCAATCGAATATCGATTATCAGCGGTGTTGAAGGTGATGTCAGCTTCCTCTAACCGTTTTTCGATACTATCTACGAACCGATTGAACTTCTCATCCCTAACAATCGGATAAATTGTGACATGGACTGGTGATATTGCAGGAGGAAACAAGAAGTACGGTCGTTTTGGTTCGCCTTCGGGATTTCGTTGATGGAATGAATGTTCAAGGACTGTTTGGAGGATCCGTCCAACACCGAAGGATGGCTCAACAACTTTTGGGTACTCGACTTCCCCATTCTTCGCACCAACGTCCAGACTGATATTTAGATGCTGAGAAAGGGCCTTCAAGTCGTAACTGGAACGATCTGAGAATCCAGCAATTTCGACCCAACCATGGGAAGTGAGTGCTTCGGCGTCCCAGCAATCCTATAATACAGTATCTGTGATCTCCCACTTACTTCGGCATAGTGTGCCATTTCTTTTGATCGATGTTGCCTGAATCTGAGTCTTTTGGGATTAACGCCGACCTTGGCCAAGAACAGATGACCCCGCGCAAGATAATATCCAATAATTTTGTTTTTGATTACACCTCCTCTTAGGGCCTCTCTGATCGAATACAACCTCGGACTTTCTTCTTCTTGTTGTCCTTTGGATGACCACAAAACTAATTCCATATCCAGGAGATCTTCAAGTCCAGGAGCCGTCTCCTCTTTTCCATGATAGAAGTGTTCAATCTCACATAAAGTGAATTCTCTGAGACGGAATAAATTATGTTTTGGGGCGATCTCATTTCTGTACACCGTCCCGATTTGTGCGGCGACCAATGGCAGTTTGCACTGTCACAAATGATGTTATATTATTGGTTTAACCTACCCCATTGTAGACGAAAAGTCTCTGGAAGTTTAAGAATATTCCTTGAGAAGTTTCTGGGCGGAGATAAGCGTTTGGAATTCCTTGAGCTCCCAATTGGGCGGCAAACATCAGATTAACCGTGCTCGGGGATGACAATTCATTTCCATTCTTTGATTTTATTCTGTATTTTTGTATAACCTCTTGTAATTTGGTGGAATCCGCAGTGTCAATAGCCCTTAATTCAGCCTCGACGGCCTTTATTTCGTTTGACGAGAACTTATTGTTCTAAAGACGTTCATCATTTATCGATTTTACTTACTTCCAGGAGCAGTTCTAGATGTTCCTTGACTAGGTGATCGGCCCTGTAGACTTCGTTGGTTTTTACATCTCGAACAACGTAATCAGTGAACTTGTCGACGTGCCCTGATGCTCTAAAAAATGCTAAATAATATTTATAGCTACTTTAAGACGTCAGCGGGTGTCATAGACGGGCACTCCACTTCCAACATATGATCATGTGATATGAAATGTTTTCTCCACTCTTTGATTATGTTATTCTTCACACCCACACCCAAAGGGCCCAGATCAATGAGTCCGGGATGTCCAGAATAAGACCGATCGAAGAAGAATCTGTTGGAAAGGAGATCGTAAAGCGCCATCTGATCTATGAAGGCATTTGGCGGCATTAGTTCATACTCCTGAAAGGTTACAATAAAATGATTTAATCCTCATCCTACTCTATCCTGAAGTTCTTCTTTGGCCCTCTTTAATGCCAATATATTTCTCTTTATCAATTGTTCATCCCCTCCCTCCTTCGCCTTCACCACAAGTTCTGTTGCTTCGATCACTCGTGCCCTGTAAGGCTGTAGCTCCTAAACAAATCATTATCATTTTGAATTTTTCTACCTTGTCAATTTCCGGTGAACCTAGTACCTTGAGGAATGTGGAGATCTTTGTCCTTAATCTTTTCGTCGGGGCTTTCTTTGCCGGTGCTGCGCTTGAATATCCTCTTGTACTTCTTAGTACAAAAAGGAGTCGCTTTACCTTATCCATTTACACTACCATAAAAATTTAGTTTTTATCAATTTTAAAATATCTTAGGCGAAACAAGGCGAACCAAGAAATCAAAGTCGCTACAGTAGGCGTAAGTCAAACTTTACTTTAAATTAACAACAACAAATGCTTAGTTTTCGGTAGCTGAAAACAACGGGAACTCTTTGGTGACTTGGACCCATTCACGACGATTATGAACTAGATCAGAGACCACTGGTCCAAGCTTTGCAATCTAAAATTATTTTAAATCCTCCAAATTTTAAATAATTCCCACCTCAAGCCGTACTTGCTGCATGGTTGGAGCATGACGAAGAGTGACCGTATGAGGAGTCTTTTCACTCTCAAAGTCTACAGTAATACCGAACGGAATTCCAATTTCATCAGTTCGAGCGTATCTTCTTCCAATGGATCCAGCACTGTCATCAACTTTATGACTCAATTCGTATTTGCTGAGCTCTCTTCGGACTTCTTCAATCAGAGGATTCAACTTCTCATTGGCACTGATTGGAAGAAGGGAGCATTTAATGGGGGCCACAATTGGTGGCAACTCCAAGTAATTTCTCTGTTCATCTCCTTCTCTGACTCTAAAGGCGTGTTCCAATACCGTATACATGACGCGCCCGATTCCAAACGAAGGTTCCACAACAGAAGGGACTATCTCTTGCACATGTTTGGTCTCCTCGACCTCATGGATAGCCAGTTCATCGGCAGTAATGGAAAACGTTTTCTTTTCTCCTTTAATCTCAACTTCCACCTCATATTTTCTGCAAATAATATAGCAACAACAATTTTTTCCTACCCATTTGCCTTTAGTTTGCCCGCGACTTCCTGAAGTTCCTTTTCATCCAAACCGTCGATATGCTGGGTGATAACTTTAGCATCTCCTCTAAATTTCTTTCCCAAAACTTGTTTATTTAGCTGCGCTTTTGTTACGACTACTTGAATTGGTTTTGGCAACTTCTTTTCGGCACTTAGTCTTTCGTTTGTAACCTTCGCATGAGCCTGGAGATCGTAACAAGATCTGTCGGCATTACCGACACACTCAATCCAGCCATAGGAAGTCAAACATTCAGCATCCCAACAATCCTGAAATTTAACATCTTCCACTCATAATTGACTTACCTGGGCATAATGAGCCATTTCATTGCTCATATGTTGTCTGAACCTGAGTCTATTGGGGTCAACACCCACTGCGATCAAGAACAAATAAGTTCTTGCCATATAATATCCAAGGGTCTCATTATCCACGATTCTATTCTTGACGGCTTCCCCAATCTTTGTCAATCTGGCTCCTTTTCCATCCATCTGATCGCATGCTGAGAATAAATTCAACTCGAGATCAGCGACTTCCTTAAAGCGAGGATGATCCTTATCGGTAGGGTCCAAGAAATGCTCGATCTCACACATAGTGAACTCTCGGACTCGAATAAGGCCTTGTCTTGGAGAAATTTCATTTCTAAACCCACTTCCAATTTGGGCGGCAGCGAATGGTAATCGACCCTAAACAATGTATAAAATAAAATAAAAATCTATCCACCTGGTTGAATTCCAATAATCGCTTGAAGTTGATGAAGATACCTTGTGCTGTCTCGGGTCTTAAGAAAGCTTTAAAGTCTCCAGTGGGGCCAATCTGAGATGGGAACATCAAGTTGAAGGCCACCGGTTCGGTCAAATTGTTCTTCGTGATGGGTGACTTGAATCCGTATTTCTTGATAGTATCTCCCATTTCTTGGCTTGAAAACCCATCAAGCTTCACCAAAATGTCTTCGAACTCGTCCTTTGTCTCCTTACTCAACTTTTTGTCCTTGTTTAGGATCTCTTCAATCGAATTTTTAATCAAATGATCAGCCCTGAAGCATTCTCCAGTCTTCTCATCCTTTACCATCCAGTCAACAAACCGCTCAACGTGGCCAGAAGCTCTAAAAAATAACAAAAGACATAATTATACCTACTTCAAGACACTTTCAGGGGTAAGAGCAGAGCACTCAACCTCCAACATACTCTCCTCTAGAATAAAATGTTTCCTCCAGATCTGAATCATATTGCTTTTCAAGGCACATCCCATAGGTCCATAATCGTATAATCCAGCAACTCCTCCGTAGATCGCAAAGGATTGATCGTAGAAGAACCGCCTCTTCAGCAAATCCTCAAGCTTCAACCGGTCGAACGACGGGGCTTTAGGGGCAAGCTCAAGCTCTCTATCTTCCAAGGCCTTCTTACGAGCTTTCAGCTCGTTGACAGCTCTTTTTATGTCGTTCTCATCAGCCTTGTCCAACTTAAGTTGCCGAACCTTGTCTCCAATCTCCTTCACGGCAGCTCTCAATGGCGCCAAGTCCTACAGACAAATGAAGAAAGATTGGATAGACTTACACTTTCCACGTCCACTGTCGCCATTGTCGAGTATTCCCACCTGAGAAGCTTACGGGGCTCTGAAAACAACAAAAAGGTTAAAAGAAAAAGTTCCACGTAGTACACGGGTGATGGTAATATTATCAATCAGCATCTACAACTTTATTAATACAAATAATTCAGAAAATTATCAAATGAGGTTGACAATACATGATGCAATACCTGAAAAGTTGGAGAAGGCCTTGGCCAAAAATAAAATTTTAATTAGGGCGCAGCTCGCGGATTTGCAGACTGCGAGAAAAAGTTTCCAGTTTAGAAATTCAAAAAATACAGTATTTTTCTCACTTCTTGAAAAACGAAAGTAAAGCTATTCGTTCTTTTTAAAATTTTGCGAGATGGTAGTCTATGTTATTTTATTGACTTTATTTTTGACAGCAAAGTTGGGAAAAAGCGTTGAGGATCCCAATAAACATACAAACCAGGCTATAAACTTGTTCCTGCGGGCCATGAAAGACCATTTTGACAAGGGAGGATTACCCAGAGTGATCAAAAGTTCATTGGAGTATAACGTTGAGCACGTTCAATTGAAATATTCCAAAGAGTTTAATGCGGTAAATTGAAGGGAAAGAAGTTAAAGATGTTTTTCAGACCGAGTGTCCGCAGAACCCTGACACCGAGATCTTTCCAAAGTTTGTAAAGGTCTTGGATCAATTGGTATCTGGTCTTCCGGATGAATCTGGGGCGGAATGTTTGGTAAAAGAGCTTACAGATCCAGCAAATCATGCTTGTAATCATGGAGAGCAAAGTTGTCTGATAATCCTTACCTCAAAAGACGCTTTTGTCTCTTGCATTGATACCAAGGTAAGTATCAAAAAAGAAGCTTTGTGGCAATATTGTAGACGTTAATTCTGCATCCTCCAAAACTTCGGGCCGTTAAAATCAGTAGTCCAGTTGCCAAACTGCATCGTAAGTTTTACTGCAACGTGACTACTTTTTAGCTGGTTTTACATATCATCACTCCAAATGTGTAGACGAACCAGATCATAAAAGGAAATGCATATTGTTGACGGTAAACTACAAAGGAGAGACTTTAACACAAGATTTGGACTGTTGCTGTGAAGGAGAAGATTGTGTGGATGTCATCATAGATCAGGGAAGTGTCTATTTTACGATTATTGTTGTTTTAGGCCAAATCTGGCTCCATCATCAGGATGAGATTAGGTTTAAAAGATCTGGACCATCCGAAACCCAGATCCTTACCTCTGTTATACAGACCAGACGATGAATATGACTGGAGTTGGTTGTTATGGCTGATACCCGTCCCTGTGTTGATGTTTATGATTGCCTTTGCCCTCTACCTTTTCTGGACTGAAAAGGTCGTGCAATCGCAGAGAGAGAACCTGGCCATCCATCTTGCACACGAGGCTGATTTATCGCCCAACGAACACGTCTTACTTGAGATTGCTGGATGACTTTACACCAATATTTTCTGCACATTTATCTATTCTGTTTTGGTTCTGTAGTTTAAAAGAAACTTCTTGATGAATTACTGACCCCCGCTTTAATTGTAAGTCATGTGAGAGATTACAATCAGATGTATTTAGCAGCAAATAATAAAAAAAGAACTCATTTCTTGACGTCTTGATTCTTCTGGATCAGAGAAAAGAGGCGTTTTGAATGATCCGCCTGAACTGGAGGAATAAATTGCTTTGTAGTGTTCAAGGTTAAAGTCTTTATTCCGATCACCTCTTTCTTTGCCTCCTTTTCGGTAAGACCCTTACAATCAAGTCTAAATAGTCCAACTCTTCTTTTTTGTTGGGTTGTCAATTCTAATATAAATTTATTGATCATGCAGTAACTCCTTGATATTACAACATCCTCTTGTTGTTACAGTAGCTTTTTGAGTGGATGATGATGTTTTGAAACCCGTTCAATTGAATTCCCGTCGTTACTTGTACTGGAATACCATTAAAGTTCTTGAGGGCTCTTAAGCGTTTACTTGTTTTTTCATCGCCCTTGTAACTCTTGAAGGACAGTTTATTGACGCCACTTCTATTTAAATTCATTCTGGCTGAAGTTGCCGGTTTGCTGCTTTTCGAGGGCTGTAAGTCCGTTGTCTTGGGGGCTGGAGCAGTAAGTTTAGTGTTCAGCTTTTCTTTTTTTTTGTTTCCTTTTCCCAAAAGAAGCGAGAAGACATTAATTTCTAATATTTGATTTCCCTTCTGAATCTTCGAATACCGATGGTCAGTCGATGAAGAAAACTTCTTGTGGAGCCTCTCAAATTACACTGTTGGCCTTTATATTGAGCAAATCTGCCGAATTTTGCGTTTTTGTTATACCTTGGCATGTAACCGGACAATCCCATAAGTGGTATAGTCTCAGTGGTAAACGTTACGAGTGATGGGATCTAGCCGGATCAATGGGTTTTGTGCCTCATATGAATGTGTAATATCATATAATCCTTAGTCACCTTGCTCAGCCTTTGTTCGTTGGATACGTGCGCTGCGTAATTCCTCCAAATAAAGGGAGGAATGACCAGAATAAGTTTCGCGTCATTTCCGTTTCTGTTACAGTATCTTGAGACGACGAAAAGGGTTGTGCGACACATTCAAAGTGGATTGCCTGGTTTGAGTTTTATTTCAATTTCTTTCCCGATTCCGTGCCCTGTAGTTTTGTGATTTCGCTTTTCCGGAGATTGTGATGACATAAGAGTGGACTTTTTCATAATTAAATAATTTTTTATGAATTATGAAAAGACGTTAAATTTGCTTTTTCTCATGTCCGTCTCATTTTTTCCATTCTATTTTTGCAAAAAAGTGAGGAAAGCAGTTTTAGCGTTTGCTTCAGAACGACCGGGGCGATCTTGTTGCTTCACCCTTACGTTGTTTGAATTGGAGATAATTCTGTTTTGTGTTTCTGGCAGTAGTATGTGCCATATTCATGTAGAAGATGCTGTTATGTTTGATATAAAAGATTTTTAAATCTGTCTTTCGGTTTGTTTTGACTTCAGATCTTAGCTGATGATCGCCAATTGAGTTGTTTTCCGTCTATTTCGGGGTTACCAACCCCAACCTGAGGCTATTTTTGTTTTCGCCCGCCTCGAGGCGTCTTCTTTCGGCTACAGAATGAAGTTAATACTTTCTGTACTCGTTAAATTGATTTGACGTGTTTTCTTATCCATCGTCGTGTGTTCGAGAAGATGGGGGAGGGATTGGGAAGATGGTGAAGAAGAAGAGGAAGATCTATCTATATCTTTATCTCACCTGACTCACACTTACCTCCTTTCAGCCCTCAGGTCGTTTCTACGTCGTTTTCGCGTTTTCTTCGTCGCTCAAAATAAATTTTAAGTCTTTGGGTGTGGTTCCATTGTTCCAACAAATTTCCAAAGTTTTAATAATTCTATTACGGTGATTGTTGCGAACGCAAGGTGGTTATTTATGTGCAATTTCTGTGAATAACAGTAATCAGATTCTGTGGTCTGAAGAGGATCGTTGAGCCTGGAGGGCAGTTCCAGTCGGATTAAATATTGTAAAATCATCAGACAAGATCAGAATCCCGAAGTAGCCTCACCGGAAGTTGTGCTAATCGAATGTGCGTGGATCCCCTTTTCCTTTGCTGGATTAAGGTCAGCTCTTTCTAATTTACTTTTTACGGTTTCGATCCCATTGTCAACCGGCGGACTGTTTGCGACGGATGCTGAGGAATGGGCAGCGGTCATTATGCATCCAAATAAACGCGATATTAATATTGTTATTGGTTTGGTGGCTAACTTTACTCTTAATCCGGATCGTTGTCAACTTTTTCTTGGTTTGTTGCTACTCCGAATTACGCCATCGTCTCTTCTTTTATTTGACGCCACCAGCAGACTCTTTCTTTCCCATTATTCGGCTCGCTTCCTTCTGAATCCGCACTTTATATTCTTCCCTCTTCTCCTCTTATCCCCTTTAAGACCTTTGAGTGGACTCGGCGTTGATTCCTCGCGGTTTGTTGCGCAAGGCTGTAACCAGTTATTTTGTTCCAAAATATGTTTATTGGGACTTGATAATATAATAGTCACTTTCCGTTTTTGTGCTTTTTTTCGGGGATACTGTAGGCTGAGAGTATAAGTAAGAATACTTTTAAATTGCGTCCACTTAATTTACCGTCCACCTTGATGTTGTTGAAATGGTTGTCCTTTCTGGGCTTTTTTGACGATTTACTGAATAGTTACCGTTTCTGGTGTTCTGTGTCGCTCTCCAAAGCCGTGTTACATCTCAATTCACACATTACAATGCAGGCTCCTGCAAAATGTTTGCTTCCGGACGTCCTTCCTTTTTAATGAATCTTTCTTTCTGATTAATTGTAACTTAGTTTATGATAGCTTTACCGTTTCAAGTCTCTCTGCTAGACTTTGGCATCACATTGGGTGCGCCGATTCCGTTTCGGTTCATAAACATTGGCCTTGAGGACCGGTTTGTAAGATCGTTGATTACTTCGCGCCGAGACAAATTTTAAAATTTTCGTGGAATTAAAGTTTATTTGTAACATTAATCAGTGCCTTCAGGCGGGTCGTAAAGTCGTATGTGTTGGAGGTTCTAATTCGAAGCGAACGACAAACAATCCGGGACGGCCGGAGATCATGAAACATCCGACCCATTATATCGAGAGGTTCTTCTACCAGCTGGGAACGGTAGTCGGACGACATCCGTACACTGTGATCGTCTCTATTCTCTGCTTTACATTGATCTCGGCATTCGGATGGACTCGATTTGAAGAGATTAATAACGTCAGAACAGAGTATTCTCCCCAGAATGCCCCTTCTCAGAAAGAATACGAAGTGGCCAAGAAGTTTTTGAAACAAAATGGAACCATGGACCCTTGCTATGTAATGACTCATGCCAGAGATGATGGGAGTTTGTTGAGGGAAAAGTATCGATGGTTGGTCTACAATCTGACTAAAGCTTTGCAAACTGAAGTGAAGGTGGAAAAGAATGGAAGATTCTACGGATATACGGATCTATGTGAGCCATATTGTGAACTGAATACGGCGTTCTTGGCTTTCCTAAAGTTATATGATCCGAAGAATCCGAGCACTTACACCTATCCATCCATCGATCTCTTTGGGAATCAAGCTTTTATTGGTAAGTTTATATTTTTTAAATCATCACGTACTATTCACATTGCGCAATATTAAAGTCTGGTTTTTATCGATTTATTTTTAGGAAACAATGTGTACGGTATCAAGATGAAGAAAAATACGAATGAATTGATCTCCTTCGACACTGCTGTCATGCCGTTCTTTGTGGTCGCGGCCTACGAAGATCTGGACGTTTTAGTGGCCTGGCAGCAAAAAGCTATCGAAACTTTAGAAAAACCAGAATTCAGCGATTTTTTAAAAGTAAGTGCCATCGTTTACAACCTCGGCAGTGACTGCCTTTTTGCTGCTCTTGAATTACTTTACAACAACATAATCGCTTTATTCCTAACTTCGAATTTACAGACCGGCATGACCGGCGACAACCTGGTATCCTATGAAGTTCGGAGAATGGGAATCGAGACGGCCCCATTAATTATCGGCTCCATCGCTGCCATGATTGTTTTTGTTGTTGTTTTCTCATTCAGGTAACGTTTAGGAAAAGCCCAAGGTCAAACCATTTCCTCTCCAAGAATGGTGTAATGTTACATTGCCTGTCCAGTCAGGGTACTGACAAGGTCTCTTAGAAAGTCCATTCAACACCCCTCTGCATAACATTGAGGGCATTTTCGTTACAATAGGGGGCATTGAGGCGGTCACGCTTTTGAAAAGAAAAGACCGAACCCAGTTGGATACTTTGTTATCGAATACCGGCAAAAAAAAGAAACCAAATTGGGATCGGATTTGGAGGTGAGAGGCAGTCAAAAAAAGAAAAAAAGGGGTCAGATGACTGTTTACAACGCAGAAACATAACCGGAAGTGTTCTTGCAGGGTGATCAAAGTACAGAGTAAGCCCTGGGAATCGTTCCTCGGATGTCTGATCCCACTGTTGGCCATGGCCTCGGCTGTGGGCCTCATGTCTTTGATCGGGATGAAGTTCCAATCCATTGTTGTGGCCGCTCTTTTCTTGGTCCTGTCAGTTGGAATCGATGACATCTTCATTCTGACTCGAGCCTGGAATCGGACGGATCACAGGAATTCCGTGCAGGACAGAATGGCCACAACTCTCGAGGACGCGGGTCCGTCCATCACCATCTCTGCCCTCACAAACATCATGTCCTTTGCCATTGGTGCTGCCTCGGATACCCCTGCGGTCCGAACTTTCTGTATTTTCTCGGCCGTTGCCATCTTTATTTGTTACGTCTATCAGCTGGTCCTGTTGTCGGCGATCCTCTGTTTGAGTGGATATCGAGAAGAGAAAGGATACCAGTCGTTGTTGTGTTGCTTGAAGGCTGACACGACGGCTACGTGTGGATTGGCCGAGGCCTGTAGTCGTCTTCACGACCGAGTTGTTTATATGTGGTCCAAAGCCGTGATAAAATGGCCAGTCCGGCTCTCTTTGGGACTTTTAATGATAGCCTACTTCTACATTTCGTGGACGGGGATTGCAAAGATGCAGTCCAATATCTCCATTGACAAGATGGCTTTGCCTGATTCGTACCTGCATGATTTCCAGGAGTCTTTTGAGAAGGCCTTAAGGAATATGCAGCCAATATCTGTGTTTGTTTTGAAACCTGGAGATCTTAGGGACCCGGTTCAGTTAGAACGTAAGTTTTATGCTTTATTAAGCGTACATCATGTATGTCATCCAAAACCTTCCTTTCAGGTGTTAAAAGACTTGTTCATGACTTTGAGAACTCTCTCAACTCTTATGGATCTGATTCTACTTTCTTTTGGCTCTCGCAATATGAAGATTTCCTTAGATTTTATGGAGAATCAGAAGAGTTCACGTACACGGAGATCCCCACTTTCTTCAAGTCAGCCACTTATTTCTTCTTGAGTTCGTTTGTCCATATGAATGAGTCAGCCTGTCTTTTGGATGACCCTGATTGTATCCAATCCTTCTTTTTCATCACCAATTTCCATGATGTCATCAAGTACCATGAGTTGGTGCCTACAGTAAAGAAATGGAGAGAATTGTGCCACAATTACAGTGATCTGGAGGTCTATTCTTACAGCGATCACACTCCATTTGTGGATCAGGTAAGTGTTTTTTGGTCATATATTAGGACATCTTTTAGACAATGGCCATCGATGCGACAGTATTCGGAAGTGTGGCCGCGGCCTTAGCATGCACTGCGGTTATATGTTTGTTTTTTATTCCCCATGTCCTGAGTGTTGCGGCGGCCGTGTTCTCGGTCTTCAGCATAAGTTGGGGTCTCTTCGGATTCCTCGCCCTTTGGGAAGTTGATCTGGATCCTCTGAGTATGGCAGCCCTCCTGATGGCCATCGGTTTCAGTGTCGATTTCACAGCTCATATTAGTTACCATTACTATAAAACTCCTAACACTGTAAGTTGAGATACATTTTGCACAAATTAAAGAATTTATTTATATTGTAATTAATATTATCGATGTTTAGCACCCCCAAAAGCGGATTGAGCATGCTCTTCTGGTTATCGGATGGCCGATGGCTCAAGTCGGTCTTTCCACAATTGTCGCTCTTCTCCCCCTCCTGTTCAAACAATCCTATCTTGCAATGGTATTCCTGAAGACGATCATCGTTGTTGTTCTTCTGGGCATGTTCCACGGTCTTATTTTGTTGCCAGCGGCACTTACAATGATCACCCGATATAATCCAGATAAGGCCAATTCCAGTGCGGAATCCTCAGAACGGTCTTCTCAACGGTCTACCGAACGAAAAGAAAGTTTTTACAAAGTAAGCAGCTACCAATTTGATGAATAACTTGAGTATTCTGCTGATTTTATGTTTATTTTTAGTCCCAGCATCTAATCAAAAGCCTAAACAAGGAAGTTGGATGGCTAGCCAGGAAAACGAACTCTTTCCGGAAGGATCGGATCAAGCCTTTGGACATAAATGAATTAAATAATACAACCTCAACCGGCCCTGTCGCCCTTGTTCACAAGATTCCCTTAGGGCGAACAACGTCCAATGCTACTTAAATTTATTTGTGGGAATCTCTCTTGACGGGTATTAGGAGGAGATCTCTTGACCTTGAGGGCATTGGATCTTCTTCTTTTAAGAGACTTCTGACATTCAGGATCCTTGGAAGTCGACTCGAAACATATCCATCTTCTTTCCCTGATCTCTAATACTAGATTTGTCTAAAATATCCAAATTTTAAGTGCCATTTCATTGGCGGGTTTTAAATTAATTAAATAAATCTCCTGTTGACTGCTGGAATTGTGCTTTTAACAATAGCCCCATGTATGCATTATTTATGTCTCTGCAGAATCACTGGATTCTTTTCAATTGTTGTCGATTAGTTTCTGTAGAAACAGGACAAAGGAACAAGCTGAGGAGGTAAAAAATTTCGTTTTAATATTATAAATGCAGATCGAAAATACACATTGCTAATTTAAAGGCAGCAGATGAAGAATAATGCAGTAAATGCGAGGAATTACAAAGTAAATGGACACTTCTTGTAACAACATGCTCGGTTAATCAAAATTCAAAAGAAGGAACGAGCTCACAAAAATGTCGCAATATTCTATTCTAACAGGGGAAGTACTCCAAGTGCGACACTTTTTTCCGCACGAAACTGCCAATGTTATGGCAAAAAGCGCTTCTCTCTCTGGCCGATCTCCACGTTTAGTGTGCTCTCTCGGCGGCAAAAATTGTTCGATATCTCGGCGGCGCCCGCAAAGCGCGAGATAAAACTTTCAGGAATTGATATTTAGTCCATACCTGACGTGTGTGCAATATTTAAAGAAAATCTGAGCGTCGCACTTGGAGTACTTCCCCTGTAAGTTGATTCCTAATTGATCACGATGTCAAAGAGTGATTACTTTGTAAATTTTGAATAATGTATTACAGAGTGTTTCAAGAAAAATTATAAAAACTTTTTGCGAATATCCTTGTGCTCTTTGCAGCTATCCAAGAAGTTTGTATTTCATACTAGAAGTCGTGCATTTTTAAAATGTAGAGTTCTGAACTAAGGATGAAATTATGTTTGTCATCTGGCAGGGTGTAATCAGCTAGTCTCGATAGCTTGCCGGATGTTTCACAAATTGGCGGGGCGGAGACGCCGTTTTCGGGGCTTGGCTTTTGTGAATCAAATCGAAAAATATCCTTTCATCAGATAAACTACTTTGGTATGTCTTGCACTGTTTTCTCCAGTCGGAGAAAAGGACATCAACAGGATCTAAAAACTCATTTTGGCATTCCTTTTGTCCCGCTCCCGTATATTTCACACTTCTCAAATTTTTAAAAATACCTCCGCGCGGAGGTATGGCCTCCGCCGAATCCTCCGCCAGCCTTTAAACACGAGAAAAGAAAAATCAAGACCGGATAAGTCGTAATGTGAAGTGACTGGCAACTTCTTTAATAGTTGCAGAGCATAAAGATATTTGCAAAAAGTTTTTCTTGAAACTCCCTGTAGATTATCTCCGTTTCCAATTATTATCAACATTCGGTTACTACTCCCTGCTCAAATCCCTTCGAGGGATTGAGTTGTCTGATGTTTATATACATTCATCCATACCTTTCGTTCCATCACTCTTATTTGCGTCGCCAAAAGAGGTTATTTTGTCAGAATTTGAATCTCCAAGGATACTTGGAGCCTCGAGTTCCCTCTAGTTTATGTACTGAACTTCCCTTCTTTTGGACAAAGTGTTCGGCGATGGCATAAACTATATACAGTGTGCTATCTGAAACCGATTTCTATACGATTAATAACTGCAAAATGAATCTCTCGAGTTGCGACTTTCGCTTCGAAAAGTACACATTCGTGTTCAATGGGGGTTTGGCAGGTCTTGAAGATGATTATACCGAGATGTTCTTGTCACTGTTTGCAAAGAGATAATCTCGAGAGGTTGCCGGGTCGAGTGGGGTTGTAAACCCCGTCTCATTTCACAAGTGTTATTAGGCCTGGATAAATATTGATGGGGTTGAACCCGACGCTCGTTTTCGAGCTTTAAGTGATGATATCGCTCAGTTTCAACCTCATTTCCAGAACCGCTCTTCTTGATCACGTGTCTATCAGAATCGTAGTACGCCTCTCTTAAGCAGTAGTCACGTCTTTGCGGACACTTGAGATGATCTACCCGTAACCGCTGCTTGGTCATCTAAAATAATATTTTGCCCGGTTAAACCCCTTTCGAGCTCCGTTCTTTTCCAGCTCACCGAGATTTGGGGCTTGTTTTACTTTCGGACTCTCTCAGATGGAAATTATTCAAATGTTTTGGAAAAAATTAGTTTCGGAAATGTTCAAAGATGGTTTCACGTTGTCGCAGAAAGTATACACTTTTTAATAAAATATATGGCTGAGGCTCTTGCAATTGTATAAATAATGAATCGGGGTTCATGGACATTGCTATACAACCCCTGCGTGTTTATTTACTATCAATTAATTTACTTTTTTTCGCGCAAATCGGATAAACTTGTAGAAGAATGGGAACGGAGTTGTTCTTTAAAGAATACTGGACATACAGTCCGCATGTTTGGGGACTGTTGAATCAGGGTTTGAATCAGCCGCTTGTGTCTTCAGTCTTTGCCCTTAGGGCCGAGCTCATAATTTTCAAATTTTTTGCTTAAATTCCTGATATGTCATATGATTTGTATAGGCTTCTGAATAGACATTGTCGTTGTTGGGTGCGGCCGCTCATGTATTCAAATAATTCTGAATTCAGAAATATTATAAAAACTGGCCCATCATCCAGAACAAATATACAGTAGTCCTTAACGTATTTGTACTGTGGTTTATGGGTAGGGAGAACCCTTAAAACGTCGTTCAATAGTTTCTAGAAGACTTTCATTGTTAAGTATACAGAATTTCTACAAACAAAACCGTTCCCAGATTGTCAATACCTTTTCAGTGAGAGTTATTGGTCCCTCATATCCCTTACTTAATCCCACCAAAATTTATGAAATCTTGATGTGCTACAAAGCCGGGAACTTGGAGCGCGAGTCCCTTTTCGCTTTTCCCGGATTTGGGCGATCATCCGAAATGGAGAACCGAATAACTGCGCGGCCTCTAAAGCCGAGAGGGCGTATTTGTATTGCAAAATACAAAGTTCCCCAAAGTTTACTGACGTTCCCCATTCAGAGTTACAAGACGGAGTTCAAGGGGTCTTGTCTTGGTCCCAAACTCGGTATTTAACGGGCGTCCTTACCCGCTGGGGTCGTGTGATTGCACTCATCACATCCCCGTCCGAGATCATGTCAGATCCCTTCACAACTTTGGACGCCAATTATTCTCTCTTTTACTGCGATAGCAGACGAGACGAACCTCGTAAACCCTTCACCTAACCATTATCTACGCTCTTTTGTGGGATTTTATTTGTTTTAATACACATACATCTATGGTATGATCACTTTTCCCACAGTCCGATCTCTGCCTCGACAGGGTTTGGGTTCCAGATATTGTTATTTTCCACCCTTTATGATTGAACGTTGACTAAGTGATTCTTGCAAAAATTCTTGTAATTTCGGGGTTCAGATCCTGAGCCCAGGTTGCGTTGTTGTGCTTCGTAGAAGCAATTGTAATCTTTAATATATTGCTCATCACTTCTAGCGCCATGACCGACCGCAAACAACGACGGTTCAGCACGGCCCAGCAGGTTAATCCAGACACCATGAAGGTGATGGATGGCCGGCTGAGTTCGATTACCACATTGGAAGACGGAGTAACGGGCCCTTATAGAAAGAACTCCATCCCCCACAAACTGACTTCCACCTTCGGTCAGCTGGCCTTGTTCAAGGATGATGAAGAAGATGAAGAACAACAAGTGGGCGGACAGAGTTTCATTAGTGGATTCACAACTCCAGGTCCAAAGGAGAGGGCTACAAGTGCAAAGAAAAAGGTAATGACCCCAAAATAAAAGATGCTCCAATGATATATGTAGACAAATTGTTTGGAGAATATTTCAGGCCAATCTAGGTGTAATGTTGGGCGTGTATCTCCCCACTATCCAACACATCCTGGGCGTCACCATGTTCATCCGTCTCTTCTGGGTCGTCGGAGTGGCTGGTATCTGGTACACACTCTTGTTGTTACTTCTTTGTTGTTCTTGTGTAAGAATAATAATTGCATGCTAATTATACTTGCTGCAGACATTACTCACTAGTATCTCTTTATCGGCAGTGGCGACAAATGGAGTTGTGGAATCCGGGGGTGCCTACTTCATGATCTCCCGGAACCTGGGTGCTGAATTCGGATCGGCGGTGGGGATTTTGTTCTATCTTGCGAATACAGTAGCAACTTCAATGTATCTTGTGGGTGGAGTGGAAGTATTGCTCCTTTATATATGTCCGCAAATTACAATTGGAGGTGAAGCAGCCCACAGCGATACTGGTACGTTATATTGTGTAATTCCCACGCAATATTTTGCGTATTTGTCATCAAAATCTCTGCAGGCTTGATGGGCATGATGTCCCACAATTACCGTATATACGGGACCGCCTTGTTGCTGATCATCATGGTCATTGTGGCCCTGGGAGTTAAATTTGTTCAACTTTTGGCCCCAATTTCCCTTGCTTGCGTCATCGCATCGTTGCTAGCTTGTTATGCTGGAGGTGTTGAAAAGGCGGTAACAGGCAGTGGGCAACACGTTTGCATTTTACAACCTGACGAAATGGGGCAGGCACATCTACTGCAGTCAAAGATATTGAAAATGCACAATGTTGACATCGGCGAGATCTGCAAATATTGCAAGAAATCTGATGCGTAAGTTAAATATCGCCTTCATTATGCAATAATATCCGATGACTTTTTTGTAATCTTTATATGTACTTTTAGATTGGGTGAATTATTTTGCACTGAAAATGCAAATGGCAGTGAAAGCGGATCTTGTCATCGGTACCAATCGGGGACACTAGAGTGCACGAACGGATTCCCAGGAATAAATGGTGACATAATGAGGAGCAATCTGCTTCCCATGTGGATGGAGGAAAAAGAAACGGCTCCCGGAGAGAAAGCAGATACGAATGTGGATGTGTTCCAGGATGTGAAGGTCACTTTCTTCGTTCTTCTGGCCATTTATTTCCCTGCCGTCACTGGAATTATGACCGGGTAAGTACTTCTTGACAAATCCAAGCTTTTATAATTTTGATTACAAAAGATAAAATAAAATTTTCAGTACAAACATGAGTGGAGATCTGAAGGATCCACAGAAAAGTATCCCCAGTGGAACCATTGCAGCAACAATAACGACTTCACTCATCTATGTAACCTTGGCCATCTTGTTCGGCTCGTCCATTATAGGGGAAGTGCTGCGAGATAAGAACGGGAAGAGTATCGAGAGTCACATGATCGTAGCTTCTCTTGCATGGCCATCACCTTGGGTTGTAATTGTTGGTTCTTTCCTTTCTACATTTGGTGCAGCTTTGCAATGTCTATGCAGTAAGAAAACAAAAATTGCGGAGTTAATCAAATTCCAGGTGCCCCACGTCTTCTGCAGTCCATTGCCAAGGATGACGTCATTCCTATCTTGAAGCCGTTTGCTCGAGTGACCAAGAACAACGAGCCTTTCCTGGGGTAAGCATATAACACTCCTCTTCCTTAGACTCCTGTTTAGACTTCTTATAACAACCTTCATCGCTGAATTGGCGATCCTTCTTGGGGCCGTGGATGCCATTGCCGAAGTCCTCGACTTCTTCTTCTTGATGTGTTATGCTTTCGTGAACCTTGTTTGTGCCTTACATTCTCTCCTGGGGGCTCCTAACTGGCGTCCTAGGTTTAAATATTATCATTGGTCGCTTTCTCTGACAGGCGCCTTCTTATGTTTCTTCATCATGTTCGCATCCCAATACGTTTATGCCTTGATTGCGTGTATCCTTACTGCCATTATCTACAAATATGTTGAATGGAAAGGGTAAGGAATCCGATTCATGAGATTTACGTCAACTTTCAGAGCAAAGAAGGAATGGGGAGATGGTATGAGAGGACTTGCGTTGTCCACAGCACAATACTCACTCATGAAGGTTGAAGATAAGGACCCCCATCCCAAGAATTGGCGACCGCAGTTGATGATTCTAGTTGATGGAAAATATTCCAAGGAAGTAATCGATATGAGATCCGTCAATCTTCTCAACCTGGCATCGCAAATGAAGGCTGGTAAAGGATTAGCGTTCACTGTGGCCTTTGTTATCTCTAACGGAGGGCATGGAGAAGATAAAAAGAAGGCCGAGGAGATCAAGGAACACGTCCAACGAGACATGGAACAGGCTAAACTGAGAGGATTCGGGAAAGCCCTGATATTTCAAGAGGATCAAATCCAGGGAAGTGTCTCCACTTTATATCAGAGTATCGGAATTGGAGGATTGAGACCTAACACAGTAATGCTCAACTTTCCCAGAATGGGAGGATTACAACATCACACAGAACAGCATATATTTGCAGGTAATCAAACATAAGACGTAAAGTAATCTTAATTCAGAACAACTAATCAGAGGGGTTCAGCATGAGAATTGTATTATTGTTTGCAAAGGAATCACGGATTTCCCGAAACAGAATGAACGCCTTAAGGGAACTATTGACATCTGGTGGATTGTACATGATGGTGGTATCTTGATGTTAATCGCCTACCTTCTTCAACAACATAAAGTATGGCGAGGATGCAAACTAAGGATTTATGTTATTACACATGACGACGACAGCAACGAAGAGATGAAAGCACGATTACAGAAACACATCTACATGTTGCGTATAGACGCTACTGTCTTTGTAAGTACAAAAAATCGTATAAAATCCCTTAGATTGTAAACATGATTGGCCCCGACATATCTGATGATGCGGTTCAAAAAACAATCAACATGGAGCAAAGGACCAAACTCATCAAGAATATGTCAAATGGATTCTCCAATGGTGGATTTGTTGGTGACGAGAGAAGTCCATCAAGGCAGAGCTCAATGAGGATGAACTTGGGACAAAACAACAACGACAGCTTGGGATCATTGTCCGTGCCCGGAAAACCCAGTCAAAACGATCTGATCGAGACCAGTTTTATACAACAAACATTCGAAGGAGATAACACAGACACACTCCAGAGTGGTGACACAATCGACATCAAGGATCTGGATGATACTAAAGTGAGTTCAACGTTGAGAAAAAATTATCTTCCAGGTTCAAAAAATGAGTGCAGCCATTCGAATGAACCAGGTAATACTGGAATACTCAAACGAGAGTCAACTCATTCTACTATCCCTTCCACGACCACCGAAACACACTCAGCGACTGGTCGAAAATTACCTTGCCTATGTCGAAGCCCTTACAGAAAAGTTGCCACGAGTCATGTTAATCGGAGGCTCTGGGAAGGAGGTGATCACGATCGACTCATAACACAAACACAAGCATAGTATCCACCCAATATCTCGCTTTTTTCTGAGGTCTACAAATCATTTGGTAACACATCTTTACTCTACATATGACACACTCAACCTGCTCCGGTGTTCATCGGGTTTCGCAATCCACAGATCCTTTTTGCAAGAACGATTATTTTATTCAGTACATCATATTTTTGAATCTTATAAACTCGTTGACAAAGCGTTGGGCTGGCTTTCGGAAAAGGAGAGGGTTTTTTGAAACAAAAGGTTTGAAATATTCATGGACAAAGTCAGTAACACGATCTACCATGACACAAGGGAAGCGCAAACAACGTAAAAACGCTTCTCGACACGACATAAGCGCGTCCATATATGTATACGTCCAGTCTACGGCTGACGCTTCTTCTGTCCCTGATCAATGAGATTCTGACATTGGAATGTTTCGATTGCACTAACTACCCTGACGGCATCGTTTGTTCCACAAAAGCATCTTGCGAGACTCAAGGCGGATGTTATTACGGTAATTTCAAAATTAAAAAAATTAATGTTTTCAGCATCTTCGAAAGAACCAGAATTAGCGGAAGAAAAGAAGATTCCGTGGTGGGTCTCGTCATGTGCAAACAACTTGAAAATCGAAAATTATCAGACATCTTGCTTCAATACAGCCAATGAAGAGTGAGAGTTTATTTACATTTGAACACAATGTTTCAGTACCATCTGTGTTTGCTTCCAAGACTACTGTAATACACCTGCAGAGATTGAAAAAGCCATAAATATTCGGTTTTCCCCTTTCAAAGAGAATCCCTTGCTGCCTTGGGCATTGGCTACAACAGCGACAACTACAGCATCAACGTCCACGATAACTTTGATCACATCAAAAGCGATTCCAACAACCCTACTTACTAAACCGGTAACTTCTACAACAACAACAATAATCACGACGACCGTGCATCTACTGACAGAAGAAAACCTCAAGGTAAAACCCAAAAAATAATCATATTCTTTCAGAAAACAGTGGAGACCACCATAATGCCCGCCAGGGTCATTGATCTAACGGAACAAAAACAAGACGCCAACAAGAGTTTAGCTTACCTGGGGAGTATAAGTCATGACAATCCAGGCCCAGCTGATACAATCAACACAACGGAAACAGTCATCGCAGAAGTAGACGAAGGAGAAGCTGTAAATCTAACAGAAATTTTTAGAAACTCGTCGAATTTTTGTAAATATCCAGGCGTCGCCATAACTTTGCTTATTTTAGTTTTATCTTACAAAAAATAAATTTTTTATGACTTTGTTTAGTTTCATTTGATTTCACAAGGAAATACGCTCTGATATCTTGACTAGCTTTAAAATATCAAACTGGACTAACAACAAGACTACATTCTAATAGTAAGTTTCAATGTAAAAAAAAAAATCTGCCAAAGAGGACCGAACCCGTGGGCAGGTTTCTCTATTGGATTCTCAATCTAGCGCTCTAACCACTCTACCATGCCGCTCTCTTCCGACGAAGGAGGCCAAATGCGTATTTTATGCCGCCGATTTTTTTGCTCGAGAAATATAAATATTTTTCGATAAAACTTGACATTTAGCGTTTTACAGAAATACGCCTCAGGTTTTTTCAAAATGCAGGATTCAAAAAAGGGGGGGCGTTCGGGCTCAACCCTTCTGTAACCCTAAAAAGGTCCGGAGTCCTTCGGTCTGCTAGTGGAGAATTTTAAAATGTTAAAGTATACCTACAGTAAGTTAAAAATTAAAAATTTTCACCTTCCCATATATATCTACCATAGTTACTAGCTAACTATGGTAGGTATATCACGTCTGTACTGTAATGTCTTGTTTTTTATGCACAGCTCGAGCCTCACGCAAACCCTGTTTTAAAACATGGTTTTGCGCAGTACTATGCCAAACCAACATCACTAACGCCTTCTGACCTCATAATTTACCTCGTACTATAAAGTAATAGGTGCTAATAGTACTTCAATTACTTTACAGTTTGTGCGATAACCACCTCTGAATCGCCTTTCAAATATCCTCAACCACCCTTAAGCGCTTGTATCTTTGTAAAAAAAATGTATGTTATGTGATCTTTAAAGATTTACGTTCACGATTTAAATTTTGATATTTTGGGTGTGTCCCACCATGACCAACTTTTCCGTGCTAAAAGTTTTGGCGTTGTGCAAAACCAGAAAATTCAGTATTTTATAAAATATCCACGATTTGGCCAAATAAATTTATTTCCATTCTAAACAGTTTTGCTAGCCGATCCAGATTTTCGGCTAGCCATCTAAAAAAAAATTGGCGTTGCGCCTGCTCTTTGACACAGTTTGGAAGATGGAAGATTCTTCAACTAGTTTTGAGATGCCTCGGGATTTAACTGAAGCAGAGAAGATACTGTTGTTGAATCAGAAGAGCATGTCTAAATTCAAGGAAAACAAATTAGAGATAGAAGCCCGGAAGAACTGGGATCGTTTCTATAAAAGAAATCAGGATAAGTTTTTCAAAGATCGACATTGGACAAGGAATGAAATTCATGATATTCTTGGCGACCTTGATTATAATGTAGGGACTTACAATCTTTTACTCCTTACCATTTCAATCCGCCTATTTCAATTAAATCCTATTCTTTCAGAAAAAGTTAGTGTTTGTGGAGATGGGTTGTGGAGTTGGAAACATGTTGTTTCCCCTCATTGAGTACTATCCACATTGGGATTTCTTTGGGTTTGATTTTTCCGAAAATGCGATTCAAGAACTAAAGAAAAGAGCTAGAAATTCTGGTGTTTCAAGTAAGCCAAATGGTTATTATTTCTATTGTTTAGTTACTGCCGATGTCCTAGATCTGACAGATAATCAAAGAAGACTGATGTTTCCAGAAGGTGATATAGCAACACTCATATTCGTTCTTTCCGCGATTCATCCGGATAAGCACCAAGATGTTATTGAGAACCTGAAGAAGTACATAAAGCCTGGGGGAATTATCTTTGTGAGAGATTATGGTGCCTTTGACTACGCTATGATACGTTTTGGAAGAGGAGCGAAAATATATGACAGATTCTATGCCAGACAAGACGGAACACGCGCCTATTACTTTTACACTCAAGAGCTCACGCAACTGTTCGAGAAAGCTGGATTCGAATGCCAGACCGCGGAATATCTCCACAAGAAGACCACCAACCATGAAAGGGAGATGACGGTCGATAGGATATTTGTGCAATGTCGGTTTAGACGGAAAGAATGGGAGTAGTTGTTGGTATTTCTTATGATATTTATTAAACAGATTTTCTGATTTGTAATACACGTTGTTTATGTTTTTATCATTTAAAGGTTTCGTCGTAGATCGACACCAAAACGATATAGACTATGCACAGGATACTCTGATTTATTTATAAGTAGATTTTTTACTTATATTTACCGGTATCTTACTTATAAGTTACAGAAGGCGGGGCCCCGAAAAAATAAACAAGCCCCGCGGGGCCCCGCGGGGCTTGTTTATTTTACTTATATTTACGTTTATTTTCTAATATAAAAATCAAGTTTATATAAGTAAAAAAGGCGTACATACTATATAACAATAAGTAAATCCAAGTTCCTTGTGTGCATGCAGTTATCCAGGATAACTGTGCACTTGTCCTTGTGAGAGTGCGAAGTGGCCCATCTCGGTATGGGTCAAGTGTTATTCTCTTCGAAAATTTCACATTTGGTGGATGGATCTCGATTGACAACGACGTTTCTGTTTCATATTCACAATGGCAGGTCCTACATGGCTGTTTAACCTGGACCAATTGCAATCCACACCTTCAAGACAAGCCGGAATGTCGGAGGCGGAGGAGAACCGACAGAGGCGGCATGCCGTCAAGATTATCATGGATTTGGGACAGGAAATGAATATGTAAGTGTCTAGTCTTTGTTTGTTGTTTCTTTTGTAGTTGTTCATACATGTAATTAAATTTAAGAAAAGTATGCCCAACAATAGCTACGGCCGCAGTTTTCTTTCATCGATTTTATATGTTTTCGTCTATGAGTGAGTACAGAGCTGAGAAAATTGCTCTTGCATGTCTATTCTTGGCTGGCAAAGTTGAAGAAACGCCGAAGAAATGCAAGGATCTTCTTCAAGTTGCTGCGGAGAAGTTTCCCGATTACTATGGTGATGATATTCCGGTAAATGATTTTTTAGCTATAAAATAAAATTTTCAGGGTGATATATTCGCGGCCGAAACCGTGCTGTTACACACTTTGCGATTTGATATTGAAGTCTTTCACCCATACAGCAAGATCATCGAGTACGTTAGCATATTTGAGCTGGAGAAACAGGATAAAAGTTTTTTGAGTACAACAGCTTGGACATTCATCAACGATAGTTTCTGCACTTCCTTATGTCTTATGTGGGAACCTGAAGTAAGCCCTTATACATCGTTAGGATTTATTCTTTTAGTTAATAGCCATTGCTGCCATCGAGATGGCCGTTATGATGGGAAGACATCAAAGAAATCTGCAAGTTCACTACAAAGAACAGGACAAATATCATCTTTGGTGGGAACACTTTGTTGGAAACCTTTCTCAAGAAACAGTCGATCTCATCTGTCATCAACTACTGGATTATTACTGGTTAGTAGAGAACGAAGACGGATCGTGATGTTCAGGTTTGTATCTTATTCATCAATTTCCATATTCGAATTGTAATTTATAACTTGTGATCTTGTGAGCAGTAATTAGCCTGTGTCAGACACTTTGATAGCGTATTGCCACTAACTCATCCCTCATATTTAAGTTATTCCCCTGAAAACATCCTTTCTAATAAATCGTTCATTCAGTAGAATCATTCTGTTACAATTTGATCCAGAATCAATCTTGCTAGTGATATAGTGCATTCTCTCGACTCAGCCTATCAGCCCGATTGCAGCGTTGCTCGTTATCGCTGTAACTCGAGTTTTTGGTGGAGCTCATGTTGGAGTCTTCTTCCCAATCAAACGGAGTATCAGGAAGAATGTGGAGGCGGATGGCAATGTCGTTGAGCTGATTGCACATTTGGTTGTAGTTTGGGGCATCATGAAACAAAAGACTGTCGATGTATGTCAAAATAGCATCGTATTCTTTGGGACAATCAGCCAAGAAATTGTCCCGGGAGATCGCCCTGGCTGAGAGTTTGGCGGCTTGGACTTGAGGTCTCTCCGTGATCGCTCTCCATGGCAATTGACCTTTTGTAATCTCAACCAACATGTAGAACCTAGAATATTATACGTCAATCGACACATGTATGCGTTTACCAGCTCTCGACGTCATCTCTTCTTCCCAGATCTTGCTTTAGATGGGCTTGCAGTGATCCGTAACGAGTGGTTCCTCTCCATCCGACTTCTTTCCGCGATGGGATGACATTTTTGTTCTTTAAAAGTTATTGATAACTAAACCACTGCTTACTTTGTCCACAAATTTTCGAGCCAAACCAAAGTCGATCAGGAAGATGGTTCGACTCTCAATGGAATTCGGATGGCCACATGCAAAGTTTCCTGGTTTCACATCACGAGAGATGTAACCACATTTCTCATGTAACTCGTGAAGGGCCTAAAAATAAATTTTCAAAATACTGACGTTAACTCTAAGTCCTTGAATCCCAACTCTGACAGCGGTTCCGAGAGTAAAGCGGCGCTCTTTCTGTTCGTTTCTCAACCGATGAATGTCTTTGCCCAACAACGGCATGATGACATACACATAATGTGGTCTCGATGTTCCCTAAACCAATTAAATCCTCCTTGGATTCAACTTACATGATCAATGAGCTCCACAATATGCTTGCAATGTTCAGCATTGGCCACGCGAAGGACATTGACCTCAATGTGAAGCATACTTTTCGAATACTTCTCCGTCTTCACCGCGACTTTTCTAACAATGATCGTCTTTACAGTACATAAAAGCTTACCGTATTTCGTCAGTAGCTTCGAAAACGGTACCATAACCCCCGTCTCCGATCACACTCAGAATCCGATACTTCTTCCGCGTTTTCTCACCAATCAGAAATTCATTGACCTGAGGCAATTTCTCGTTGGCTTCTGCGCTCTGAGAACTGGGCGGAGCTTGTCGGCTTATTCCTGGGGCCATCCGCGCATCCTTTGGGGCCACTTGAGCCATAAAATAGTAAAAGAAGCAGACCTCGGCACAACGAATCGAACCGATCTCACCACTTTGATTTATGCAAATGAAACGAACATTTTAATTTTTTTATTATAATTATTACAAGAAAAGGTGAATAAATAGATAATTAACAATTCCTTTCACATCCGGCCGGATCAGAAGAGATCTTTACGGTACTTTCGGGGGTCTTTAGGGTTACAGTTTCTCGAACAGCCTGAACGCCGACAGTTTTTAAAACTTTTGGTAGGATCACTTACTTCTTCTTCCCGTTTCCAAACCCACCGTAAGGGCCGTTATCGAATCCATTTGGTCCTCCCATATATCCGCCATCGTTGGGGCCGTTCATCCCATTCATTCCACCCATCGGCCCCATTCCACCGAAGCCTCCACCATATCCGCCGCCCATTCCCATAGGTCCCACCATTGGCAAACAGCAAGGTCCTACTCCGTTCTGGCAGCAATTAGATCCAAAGCCCATGGGTCCTCCTCCCATTCCACCCATGGGTCCCATTCCATTCATCCCGCCCATTGGCCCCATCGGTCCCATGCCCTGCCCGCCTCCCATTCCTCCGAAACCCCCCGGCCCCATGCCCCCTGGGCCCATTGGTCCCATCCCGCCGAAACCCCCAGGACCTCCAGGCCCCATGGAACCCGGGCCACCCATTCCATTTGGTCCATTCGAACATCCACCAGGACCATTGGGACCGTTAGGGCATCCGTTGAATTGACAATTTACCGTGCCAATCAAGAATACGAGTAGGAAATGTATGGGAGAGAAGAGAGAGTGTAGTGTGGAGGACATACTACTAAAACACTCAGTTTAAAATAAATCAAGGATAACGGGGCAACGTCAACAAATCAACTGGGCCGAATTCAATATTTAACGCAAAAAACCTCACGTAGAATACCGTAATTACAATGTTTATTCACAAAATACGCGCGAGCTGTTCGATTATGGACGGACTGACAGGAGAGCTATGTTTGGAAATTCTTTTAAATGGAGATGATCCGTGGACCGCCTCCAGAATCCGTCAGACTTCCGCTTCTTCAGTACAATTTAACCGGTCGGAGGAATGGACAAACAAACAAAAAAGGAACGAAAATAACGGAAATCATCTTTTTGTTCTCGTCTGAATCTCCACACCAACCTGGAACGGGGCCAATTATGTAGAGCACCAGAAATTATGTGTAACACATCCCTATTGGCAGACTTACAACATCACCGTCGATAACATGGGGCTTATGTTGGATCGCCTTCATCATCCCCTGTGGACTGTCGAACACCACATTCCCGAATCCTTTGTGTAACCCACACTTCGGATCCTTCAAATAGCTTACAAGAACGTTGTAAGACTTACGTAAAATAACTGAACCTCCTTAATGCTACCAAATTTACTAAAGTAATTCTTGAGCTGTCGTTTCCCGGTAATCCATTTAACATGCGTCAGATGTATAGTACTCGAATTATAACATCTGTTTGTAGCGTAGCGAAACAGCGAAGCACCCAAGCTAAGCATTGGAAAATTACAATTTTCCGCAGAACAAGCTTGGCTAAGCTAACTTAGCGTTTTTATATACAACGAAGTAGAAGTGTTGCACTTTCTAGTTTGTGGTCTGCAAAACTAGACACGATGACGCCTTTACTGACGATTTTTTTGGAAAATAAATAAATAATAAAAATGTAGAAAAAAATTGGGCGTTTTGCGCTTTCGTTTCAACAATTGTTTTACTTTATGCTGTCTGCGATATCCGGATTCAAATTACATAAAAATCGGTTTTTCTGAATCTGATAATGGCTGCAGTACAAAAAACGGCGAATGGCCAAGGTGGCCAGAAAGGTGAGTCAAGTGCAATCAAATCCAGGGCATTTAGTTGTGGCAACGAATGCCATTCGACCGGCCTCCGCTCTTGTCTTTAGCGATAAGAAGGAAAAGAAGAAACGCCAAATGGTGCAAGCTGGTGATAAAAAGGTATATTGGGTACTGAATGCATTGAATCTCCTTTTAGATCCATCGGATTATTCTCAATTCAGTGTCCTATGCGAAGTATGTATGGGCCACTTCTCCGAGTTGCATATGGTTTCGGTTGCCTAATCAAGACCCTGGATATTGTGATCTCAGAGAAAGGTGGGCATTCCTACCATTTTGAGTAATAAAATTTAGATATCGCATGAATCCATTTGAAGGGGAGATGGCTCGGTATTGTTATTGCATGGCACCTAGGTTTGAGTCAGATATGGACGCCCATGAGATGCTGGTTTATTCTCGGGCACGAATACTTTCTGTACAGAGGGACGACGAAACGGATACGATGTATTGTTATGTTCTTTTTATTGATCATGGTTTTGGTCAATGGGTGGACGGTCGGTCTCTTGGTGCTGTTCCTTATGATCTCACGTCGATTCCTTGGCAAACAATTCCTGTTGCTTTAGGAGGTGTAAGGCCCTTACGAACGGTATGTTCAGTAATGGTGTCTGATATAATGGTTTTAGTTTGAATCTACAAAATCCGGATGGTCTTCGTTCCATATCAAAGCCATTAGAGATATCATGCAGGAATTTGATCAGTTTGAGCTCTCTCCGTTCGTTCACCGAGGTGTTAGATTAACCTACGATGAGTATTCTAGAGTAAGTGGATGTAAAATTAATTTTCTCATTTTAGTTTAGGTACGTTTGGTTGGCACGAAGGAAAATGTAAAGAAGAATGATGATGATCAGGAAGCGGATGAAGACGATGAAGCCTCCAGTCAGTTCGATATTACAAGATTGTTCTTCCAACGTTGTATGAAAGAAGACCCCGTCCAATTGAGTCTGGAGATCTCAGAACTCACCGAACAATCGTTATACGATACCTTAGTGGATGAGGAGGTAGGTGATTAAATCTATTAGTTCTTTAATGTATTTAGATTCCTGATCTGGATGTCCGAACAATCCCTCCAGAATTTAAAGACTTTCCTCGTCCAAGTGCCCGGGAAGGTCCTGATGGAATCCCTTGTGTTACTCCGCCCGATAATGGAGAGCTGAGTATTCCCGAATTTGCTCCTTCCCCGATCAATCGTGATATCTTATCGCCGGAGTTTAAGGAGCCAGGGGACGATGATGTTGATGATCCGGCAGAAGATCCTATCAGCAAGTGGGATCCTGATATGAATGCCGCTTTTTATACGGAACAGGTTATTGAACGAAATGCCCAGAACATTGCTTTCTTTGTAAAGGAAGACGGGAAATGGACGACAATAGCAATAGACTCCGCATCAAGAGTAAGAATAACATGAACAAATCAGGCCTCGACTTTTTAGGAGTCCCCATTCAAGTTTTATGGATACCCTATGCCGTTTGTAAAGGGTAAATCATCAGCACTTGCCTATAACGAATTGACGAAAAAGTTTTATCTGGAACTTTCCGAATGGCAGGACCAGTTGAACGCCTTTTACTTTTTGACTGAGAACTGTTTCGTGCTTAGTTTCGATTACTTGAAGACGGTGCAATCTGCAGGTCAAGATGTGTATGCCATTTATTGTGACATTGACGAATCGGACAACCACAATTTCACAAGAGTGAAGCTTTTGGAATGTTGTCCAGAAAGACATGGGCTACATGAACATTGTCTGATCGTGTTCCTGGATCGTCCTGGAACACGAGTGGTCCCTTCTGGAACTTTGCTTCGTCTTCACTCAAAGTAAGCTTATAATTTAAACATTGCAATCTAAGAAATCTGTATTGAAAATGTTGTTGACCTTTAGATTCGCCAAACGGCCTCAGCTGTGCATTGAAATGAGATTAAATGACCTCATCCCACCAAATGGAACCGAGTGGGACCCCCAGCAGATAGATCAATTCCGCGAATGTTGTATTGCTGACGCTCCTATGCGATGCCAAATAGCGCGACTCTCCCAACGGTATGCTTGATTTTTACTTTTAATTTGTAGCGCGAGAGCGTAGCTCTGGGGAGCATGTTTGTGTTTTCTTTACGTTTCCAATACTTCAGAGCTCCAAGGGAATTAGCCACATTCAGTGTTTTCAATCTGACTCCGGCTTGGTTAAAAGTTAAATATTCGGTGGAGAATCTTCTTGTCAATGGAAGGATGGCCAACTTGACTCAATCGGAGTCTTAAATTTAACTTTAATATTCCACATGAGATCTCATATCTATTATTGAAAATACGAGTAAAAATGCGCTTTAACTGAGGCGTTTTATTTCTCTCATGGTTTACGACGAGAAATTGAAGAAGGGGTTTGAGGCTTTGAGAAATTGCATGTTGATTTGCGTTAGGTACGAAAAGCTCCACCAAAAAAGGTCCGCTGACGAAAAATAGTAATTTTTTTTTGTTTTCGCAAAGGAAGTAAGTGTGTCGCTCAGATTTTCATAAAAATTGGCATAGATAGATATTCGGATTTTCTTATTTGATTGCGCACTCTAGCTCGCGCTTTACAGAATCTGCCGAGAAGGAAGGGCCGGAATATCAACAAAAATCTTCAAATTCGGGTGGATTAAAAAATCTGAGCGGCGCACTTCCGTTCCCTGATAATTACAATCTCCTGATAATTATAAACAACTTTCCCATTAACTTTTTTGAATTATTTACCGTATCTCGGTATACTGTAACTTGACTAAAAATTATATATCTCGAAAACTAGACCTCCTACAAGGACGGGACTTTCACCACTGTATTCTCCATGCAAAATGAATGTCATTTTCGAAATCAGCATGGTCGATTACGATCGATTCACCTCTTACTCAAAAAAATTAAAAAAATTACTACATTTTTTTCGGTAAATTCCGAAGATAAAATAGTAAAATCGGGCACACTATTTCGGTAAGGCTAGGGCATAAGAAATTTTTGATTCTGAGATTTTCGTTTTTGAATGCCCTCGACCAACATAGAAATGTATTTCCAAAGCCTTTTGCTCCAATTTTCACATTAACCAGATTTTATTTATTTTTTTTTTTTTGTAATTAACAGTAATGTCTAATAACTGATAACTAAGGTTCGTCAAAGCCATAAAACGTCCATGATAAACGGTTTTCGATACTAGGAAATCAATGAAGACGATTTCAAGCCGCCAGGATTACTGTAATATAAGAAACCGGCACTTTGGCCGCATATAACAACCTCGGGGCTTTGGTAGTTCAGCCCCCCAGGAAAGGTAGTTCAAGCCCCCACTGTTTTGTCCATTTCACACCCCCATAATGAAAAAATTAGAATAACACAAAAAATGCAAATTAGAGTAAAATGACCTCCGGCGTTTTAACTCAAACCCCCAGTTCTCGTCCAAATTCGTTCTTGTGGTTCAGGCAACGATGATCGTAGCCGAGAGAACCCAATCCCAAGTAGGCGCTTCAGAGTGGATGAGGGGGTTTATACTGGGTCAAGGGGGGCTGAACTGGACTGGGGGGTTGTACTACCTTAGCCCCACAACCTCTTTTAAAAAAGGGTCGTATCTATGCCCTAAGGCAAATTAGGTAGCTAATTTTTCTTGCGTTGTGCACAATGCTCTTTCAATTTAATCCTTTATCAAACCCAAAATTGGGCAGCTAATTTTTACACATTGTTGATCAGCACAATTTTTCGGATTTTTGGATATCTCGTCAAAAAGTAGGAGCCCCCATAAAAGTACTTTCCTTGTTAAATTTCATAAAACGGCGAAGCGAAAACATTTGAAAATGTTGTTCCATTCGCGACAAGAAACGTGGGTTAACCTATCCGATGGGGGTAACCTATTCTCCACGGACGCAAATAAGTCCGAGAAATTTTTTTTCCACCGGAAAGCCACGAAAAATTCAAAGTGACATTTGTTTGATTTCAGCCATTACACTGTGGGCGAATCGTCTAAAGGAGCCGGGAAACACGCCGGGATGCTGTGACCCTTTTACCTTTCCCTTCTACCGTATCCTATTAGCTTTTTTGATGTTTTGGTGCACGATGCAATTGCGCAATGCGTTTGAAAATAATTCTGATCAGACAGCAGACGTTGAGACGAATTGGAAATACGTAGGCAGGGGAATCGGCAGTCTCTCGCAACAATTAACGCTGGAGTACTTTGGTAATAGGATTACAACATTTTCACGCGAAATGTTACAGAATGAAGTTTAAGTCGGCGAGGTTCGAGGAACTGGGAGAGAGAAGTGAATTCAATTTGGACTACACGGGCCGTGTTTCACGATCTACCAATTCTACATATAACACTGTATTATAAATATGTCTGGTCTTATTGCTCCGAAGATGAAGTGATATTGGTGTAATCAAGGACTCTTGCGGTTTATTTCCTTTTCTCTTGTCTGAATATGACAAATCACTTGATCGGACCTTCCTTTTTCACTGTAAATCGTCAGGAGCTGGCGTCGAGCACGAGAATTGTTACATAATATGCCCTACGAAGATTTTTCACGTTTCATCTCATCACAATATCTGAAAAAGGAAGACGTAAACATCGAAGGTAACAGATGCTTTACCTAGCAATGTGGGACAGACGGAGAAGTCGGTCTCTGTAACCTTTGTTTTTATATACTCCCCATACCGTGGAAGGGGAATTACTGTACTTTAAAGTAAATAAAAATAAACTTAGGGGGTGGTGCCTTCGGGGAGTATAAAAGTAACTGTAAATTACTGTCTCCCGAATGATGTCTGCCTTTAAAGCTGTAATATTTGATCTCGGTGGAGTCTTGTATCCCTTCAGGGATTACAGTAAATTCCAGAGGATTACTGCAAGAGGTATGCTTTATTCTCTAAATTAAAATAATTCCGTTTAGCTGCCGCTGATCCCTGGATAAAAGAAAAGCTTACTGGATGGCAAGAAGGCAAGTATCCAGTGTCCGAGATCCAGGAGTTTATTGTTGATGCCTTTGGGGAACTTGTATGTTTGTTTTCGTACTATACTATACTCAAAGGCGCAATATTGCGCAAATTTATGCCCTCTCCCTGTGGACATTTTTTTCTTTTTTTCTCTTCTCAGACAAGAATTACGCATTTCTTGTCTAGTGGTTTAACAGACAAGAAATCACAGTTTCTGGCCACGACACCCGATTTGATGCGTATGTCACAATCCTTATACCTCTCTCGGACTTCGAAATTCGCTCGGCCCATATTATATAAATCCTTCGTTTATTTGTATACGTGTCTGGATGTTAAAGTCTAAAATATAATAGTACAACGAATTCTTCTTCACTAAGCATTCGTTTGGTTTTAATTTATGAGGAACGTAAAACTACAAGAAAAAATGTTTCTGAACATGTTCAGTTGATTGAGTTGAATTATTTCCATATGCATATGTGTTTTCCTTGACTTATAGAGTGTATACATATATTTTTGTGGAGTTGAATTTAAAATTGTAATCATTTCAGCCCCCTAACTGTACAGATCTTGAGAATATCAACTTCGACGAAGTTGTTGGTCCTAAGGTAAGCATTCCTTTTGTTTTATTTCAATACTTACCAGGGAAGCAGTCTGGCGCTTAGATTTTCCTTAAATTTTGCACAAACCTCTGGCAAATGCGACACATCAATTTCTAAAAATTTTAGCGCGCGCTTTGCATTCGACGATCTTTGCGGCCGAACGAGTATGCAAAAAACGCGGAGTGCGGAGAAAAACGCCTTTTGGCCGTATCATTGCCAGTTCTGTGCTCTTCGGATTTCTCCTGAAAAATGAAAAACCGAATCTTCGCCTGCAAGGAGGCTTTTGACATAGGGGTTTTGTTAAAAAATTTTTTTTTTATGAATTTGTGCCAAGTTTAATCAGAATCTGCACTTGTAGTAAATTCCCTGTTGGTTATACTATACTGTAAACACCTTTTATTTTATAGCATGAAAAAATTTGGGCAGCTATCGAGCAGATCAAAAAACATGGCCTGAAAGTGGCATTGCTTACAAACAATGGATGGTGGACTCCCAGGAAAGGACGGACAGTTATTTGCGATGACTTGAGTCTATTCGATGTGGTAGTAGAGAGCTGTAAAGAGGGGATCTGCAAACCACATCCAAAGATTTTTCAGGTTAGACAACTTATCATTGTTTTATTGGAGGTTACCAGCAGCTGTTTAGTACTAGTCGCCGCAAAAAGTCTTTGGAATTTTCTGCGACTCTGCACTGTGCACAAACCCGAAAACACATTTTGCACCGTGCATCCGGCCCGAAAAGTGCTTTTGCACAGTGCAATTTTGTTGTTTTTGCCTTATTGTCGCGCGCGATTCCCATTTTTCTCAGCGACAAATCGACTTTTCGGGGTGCGACGGAATTTGGGGGCCGCGAAAAATTCCAAAGACTTTTTGCGCCGACTAGTACTAGTCGCGACATAAAGTCCGTAGAATTTTCTGCACTGTGCATAAACCCGAAAAAGCATTTTGCACTGTGCATTCACCCGAAAACACATTTTGCACTGTGCAATTTTGTTGATTTTGCCTTATTGTCGCGCGCGATTCCCGTTTTTCGCAGCGACAAATCAACATTTCGGAGCGCGACGGAATTTGGGGGCCGCGAAAAATTCTACGGACTTTATGTCGCGACTAGTAATTATCAGTCTGGCCGAAAAAGAACCGGCCTCCCCGAACCCTTCCGTCGCACTCACTCCAAACCCCAATTTGCACCGCGCAGAAATTTGGAGGACGTCGCCGAAGAAAAGAGCAAAAACGACGCATCGCCAGCGATAAATGGGGGTTTTGCACGGTGCAAATGCCCTTTTTCTGCTGTTTCGCACTGTGCAATCAACAAAATTCCCACAAATTCAGCGATCTTTCGATGTCGCGCGCACTTTTGCGATGCATCGCAAAAACATTCAATTTCGAGGTTGCGATTTCGATGCGCGAGGGGGGCCGGTTCTTTTTCGGCCAGACTGATATCAGTCTGGCCGAAAAAGAATTGTCCTCCGCGCCCCCCTCCATCGCACTCACTCGAAACCCCAATTTGCATCGCGGAGAAATTTGGAGGGCATCGCCGAAAGAAAGAGCAAAAACAACGCATCGCCAGCGAGAAAAGTGGGTTTTGCACAGTGCAAATGCCCTTTTTCTGCTGTTTCGCACTGTGCAATTCCACAAAGGGTCTATATTTTTCTCCCAGAATTAAAAATATTTTTCCCCAGAAAAGAGCATTATAGAAAAACTCCTATTTTCTCCCAGAAAAAATATATTTTCTCCCAGAAAGAAAATATTTTTCCCCAGAAAAGAGAATTATGAAAAAAAATGCTATTTTCTCCCAGAAAAGAAAATATTTTCTACCAGAAAACATGATTTTGTAAAAATAAAGCACGGAATTAGTAAAAATTAATGAATAAGTAACTTTACTAGTAAAATAAATTAAGCAGTAGCGTAAAATAGTATTTGTAGTAAGTTTTTTGAGGAAATACTGGAAAGAGATGTAATCGACGGTGCTGATTTCAAAAATGATGCTCATTTTTTGTGATTTTTACTTTTTTGTGGTCAAAGGGTGCATTGACAGCCTGTCTGTGTCGTCTTCTGCGTCAGGAAGAACATTCAGATTTACAATAAGAGAAACCCATCCATATTTTCATTGGGAACAAAAGACATCCAAGAATAAACCATTAAAGAATTCATTCATGCATGCCTTTGTATAAATCATTATAATTCTTACTTGTTTTTAAACTCAATTAAGAAGTCGTCTAAAGTAATATCATCTGGAAGTTGAAAATCTGAAAAAAAAATTAGAAAAACGTGGGATTTCCAGCTTTGTTGCAAGTAGTAATGTAAAATACGATCCATGGGTCCCAAAGAAGTGCATAATATCGGATTCGAACTGACTGACATATTGACTTGTCGTGCTGAATTATACCTTTAGGATATCAACGTCTTCGACATCACTATCTTTTAGAAGGTAGTAATCTCTCATGTTTTATTCTTGAATGTCTTTTTTTCCCGATGAAGATAAGGATGAATTTCTCTTATTGTAAATCTGAATGTTATTCCCGGCGCAGAAGGCGAAAAAGAAAGGCTGTCGATGTACACTTCAATGCACTCTTTGAGCACAAAAAAGTAAAAATCACAAAAAATTAGAATCATTTACGAAATCAGCACCGTCGATTACATCTCTTTCCAGTATTTCCTCAAAAACTTACTACAAATAATATTTTACACTACTGCTTAATTTATTTTACTAATTCCGTGCTTTATTTTTACAAAATCATGTTTTCTGGTTTCTGGGAGAAAATAGCATTTTTTTCATAATTCTCTTTTCTGGGGAAAAATATTTTCTTTCTGGGAGAAAATATATTTTTTCTGGGAGAAAATAGGAGTTTTTCTATAATGGTCTTTTCTGGGGAAAAATATTTTTAATTCTGGGCGAAAATATTTTTCCCTTCCACAAATTCAGCGATTTTTCGAAGTCGCGCGCACTTTTGCGATGCATCGCTCAAACTTTCGGTGCCGCTCATTTTCGAGGGTGCGATTTCGATGCTGCGACGAGGGTAATTCTTTTTCGGCCAGACTGATACTACTAGTCGCGACATAAAGTCCGTAGAATTTTTCGCGGCCCCCAAATTCCGTCGCGCTCCGAAATGTTGATTCGTCGCTGCGAAAAACGGGAATCGCGCGCGACAATAAGGCAAAATCAACAAAATTGCACAGTGCAAAATGTGTTTTCGGGTGAATGCACAGTGCAAAATGCTTTTTCGGGTTTATGCACAGTGCAGAAAATTCTACGGACTTTATGTCACGACTAGTAGTCGCGGAAAAAAGTCCTGGGATTTTCTCGCGCCCCCCAAATTCCGTCGCGCCTCGAAAAGTTGATTTGTCGCGGGAATCGCGCGCGACAATAAGGCAAAATCAACAAAATTGCACTGTGCAAAAGCACTTTTCGGGTTCATGCACAGTGCAGAGTCGCAGAAAAATCCCAGGACTTTTTTCCGCGACTAGTACTAGTCCTTCCGTAAAGTCGCTGGAATGTTTTCGGCGACATGCACTCCGCGAAAACGAAAGTTCACTTTGCACTGTGCAATTTTTGGCTTTTTGCACAGTGCAATAAGCTTTTTTGGGACGTCGCTCGCACCCTGAGTTTTCTTGCACAGTGCGCGTCGCCGAAATCATTCCAGCGACTTTACGGAAGGACTAGTACTAGTCCTTCCGGAAAGTCGCCGGACGGAAATCGGCGACATGCACTCCGCGAAAACGAAAGTTCACTTTGCACTGTGCAATTTTTGGCTTTTTGCACAGTGCAATAGGCTTTTTGGGGCTGTCGCTCGCACCCTGACTTTTTTCGCACAGTGCAAACGTCAAAAATCAGTCCGGCGACTTTCCGGAAGGACTAGTACTAGGCGGGCCAAAAAGTCTTGACATGTTTTCGCACCGTGCGGGCGCATGAATTCGGTGTCGCGACGAGGTGTCGCGCGATAAAACCTTTGGCGGGGTGCGAATGAAGAACGCACTGTGCGTTGTTTCCCCCTTTCAAAACAATCTTTTTTGCACTGTGCGGTGTCGCATTGCACCGTAAATTTTTCTTGTCGCCGCGCGACAAATTGCATGCACGACGGCGCACGTCAAGAAAAAGTAAAAGAAAAACGGGCGCCCAATGAAAAAGCCTAGAATTTTTTTTGGCATTCTGCCCGGTGCAAATCCGTTTTTGTCCAAATGGTTTTCAATATTTTGACATAAAGATTATTAGTAAATCACAAGATATTGATACCAATAGAAAGCTCGAGAGTTGCTTAAGCTAATAGAACCAAAATATACCCATAATCATAGTATTTTGACAGTCTTCCAAGGCGAAGAAAACAACGTCTAAATAAAATTTTGTATCGACGATACCGAGTCAGAGAGAACTGGAAGGGGGTATAGGCTCCACGTCAAAAAAATCGTTAAACTATTCTTCGAGTATCTACATCGGTCTCGTCCCGCTTGATGGGACAGTTTTTTTGATATTCGGCCTTGAAATTTGCACTATTTTTAGCCTAGCTCGAACCGTGTTCAAAAAATGCGTCACGATGACACCCATTCAGAATGTGCCAGTGGTATAAAAAATAGTTGTATACGACTAGTAGTACTCCCTAGAGCTCCCATAAAAAAAATTAGGTTAAACATTGTTGTTATGTGCAATTTGGATGACAGATTTTATGAATTTTTTTTCGCTGTGAGAACCTTTGCAATGCCCGCAATTTCTTGACGTGCGGCGCACTGTGCAGACATGTCAAGACTTTTTGGCCCGCCTAGTACTAGTCCGTTCGTAAAGTCGCTGGAATGTTTTCGGCGACATGCACCCCGCGAAACCGAAAGTTCACTTTGCACTGTGCAATTTTTGGCTGTTTGCACAGTGCAATAGGCTTTTTCGAGCTGTCGCTCGCACCCTGAGTTTTTTCGCACAGTGCACTTCGCCGAAATCATTCCAGCGACTTTACGGAAGGACTAGTACTAGTCGCGGAAAAAAGTCCTGGGATTTTCTCGCGCCCCCCAAATTCCGTCGCGCCCCGAAAATTTGATTTGTCGCGGGACTCGCGCGCGACAATAAGGCAAAATCAACAAAATTGCACTGTGCAAATGCACTTTTCGGGTTCATGCACAGTGCAGGGTCGCAGAAAAATCCCCCGACTTTTTTCCGCGACTAGTACTAAAAAGTCCTGACAATTTTCGCACCGTGCGAAACTTTGGGTTTTGGACGTCGCCCCTGCAAATTCGGGTTCGTCGCGCGCAAAAGTGCATGTCGCTAGTGAAAAAAAGGGAAATTGCGGCGACAAATGCGAAATGAAAGAAGAATGCACGGTGCGAAAATTGTCAGGACTTTTGAGCGCGATTAGTATTCGCGGGCGGACTTTTCGGGTCGACGGCAGTTCGTGTCAATACAAAATCGGTCGATGCGCGGTGTAGGGCAGGCGGAGACCCACAAAAGTGGTAGGAGGTACCTAGGAGCCTGACGAAACCGTCGTTTAATGCTGGCGGACTTTCGGCGAAGGCTTGCCGGATAATGGAGGCGATCCACAGTTGACCTGAACTGTGTCGCTAACCCCAAAAGTCGCAACACCCACCATTATTTTTTTTATCCTAATCTTATTTTTTTATTCCTTATTTAGACGACTCTAAAAAGGTTGGGATTGGAAGGACCTCAATGTTTGTTTGTCGACGATCTGCCAAAGAATATTGAGGGTGCTCGGAAATTGGGGATCCATGGCATCCAGGTGAGCAACTATGATTAGATAAAAAAAACGTTTATTAAGTGTATATTAGATATAATACTTTTGACGTTCCAGATGATTGATCAAAACCAAGATTTGGTGGTCCACAAACTGGAGCAGGCTCTGCAACTTCCCCTCCGCAACATTCCCCCTTACTCCATTAACCAAAGTACAGTATCTCAACCCATCGCGCGACTATAAATTGCCCTGATTAATGACCTCATCCTGGGTACCGTAATCCCCCGTTCCCATTGTAATCTGTTGTATAAAAACCACGGTTCGAACTCTGCTTAATGATTAATAAACAGTCTTGGAAACACTTGGAACATTAGAGTTGTATAAAATGGGAGCTGTGTTCTTTTATTTCGAGGACGATGTCTGCGATTAGAGCTGTGATTTTTGATTTGGGAGGCGTTTTGTATCCCTTTCGGGACTACAGCAAATTTAAATACATGTGTCAGAAAGGTAACCTTGGTGCGAGTTCGTGTTATTTCTGGTGTTGTAGCATCAGCCGATCCAAAAACTAAAAAAAATTTGATTGGGTGGCAAGAAGGGGCCTTGGCCACATCTCAAGTCCGCGATTTTTTCGAACAAACATTCGGTATCTTGGTGGGTTCTTACATTTATTAATAACGCAAAAAAAATTTTAGCCGAAAAATGTGGAATTGGAAAAGATAAAGTTGGAAGATTTTATGGGACCAAAAGTAAGCAATTATTATAAATACCGTATACTTTTTACCAGCATGAAAAAATATGGAAATGCATAAAAAAATTGAAACAAAACGACATCAAGACTGCTCTGCTGACCAACAATGGCTGGTGGACTGACAAGAAGGACAAGAGTGTGATATTTGAGGACCTCTCTCTCTTCGATGTTGTAGTAGAGTCTTGTAAAGAAGGAATCTGCAAGCCAAACCCCAGAATATTTGAAGTAAGAGATAGCTTCTCATTCTACCGTTTTTATTTATTAGAGCAAGACTCCTGGTCTTGTTTGAGCATTCATTTGAACAAAAAATATTTTAGATAACCTTAAATCGGCTCGGCCTAAAGCCCTCTCAATGTGCATTTATCGATGATCTCGAAAAGAATGTGGAAAGCGCCAATAGACTCGGAATCAACGGGATTCAGGTGACCTTTCTTATTACGTTCTTTCCGATTATTATCTTAATTTTGATCGGAAATAACGGCTTTTTAAAAAAACCCTTGAGCACGTTCGAAACGCTTAGTTTTTTTATCTTTTGGTCTCGTTTCGAAAATGTTGTGCGTTCTCTGCATAAAATGTGCTCATTACACAGACTTGGAATATTGTTTCAGATGGTGGACCAGGACCAAGATCTAGCTCTGGACAAATTGCAACAACTTCTCAGCGTCCCTCTAAAATAAATAAGATTAAACTGTTCTTTCCGAAGTGTTTTGTCTGTTCTTTCTAGGTATTTAAGGTCAGCAAAAGGTTTCATCTTTTTTACTATCACTTTTCTTTTTTTAAATAGCAACGTTATCATCACGTTTTTCGTTTTTTCTGCTCCCTGAGTCAAGTATTTAAGCTTGTGCACTATCTTTTTTATTGTTCATTTTGCTCTGGCGTGTCGATTTCATATCGAATATAACTCTCTTAATGGCTTCAGAAGGGGAAATGTCTCAAATAAAAGCCGTCATCTTTGATCTGGGAGGTGTTTTGTACAGATTCAGAGACTATAAAGCGTTCATCGGACTGCTGAACAAAGGTAATCGAAATCTGACCACTCAATAGTCTCTTAGCTCATACTGATCCTGTTATTAGGGAGAAAGTTCTGGCTTGGGAAACCGGAGATGTATCCACTGAGGCCGTTAGGGACATTCTGGAAGATGGGATTGGGAAGCTCGTAGGTTTGTTTGTATAGTTATAAAGTCATTTTATATTAGAAATGACGTTAATATAATGTAGTAAACTCAGAAATAAGCTTTGCAGCCGGACGACGTGAGTAGTTTGGAAGATGTCCCCTTCGAATCGGTGATGGGAAAACCTTTTGATAAGATCTGGGATTCTATTGATAAGCTCCGAGAAAACAAAGTTAAGGTGGCCATGCTGACAAACAACGGCTGGTGGACTGATAAGAAGGAGAAGAGCACTATTATCAGCAATACCGAGAAATTTGACGTTATCGTTGAGTCCTGCAGAGTTGGCCTCAGAAAACCTGATCCAAAGATTTTCGACGTTAGTTTTAGTTATTTATTTTTATTTGGACTGTTATAGATCGTATTACAAAAATTGAACCTAAAGCCAAACGAATGTGTTTTCATCGATGACCTTCCTAATAATGTGGAAGGAGCAAGCAAATTGGGGATAAACGCTATTCAGGTGACTCTTTTTATAATAATTTAATAAATCTAATTCCAGATGGTGGACGGAAATGAAGATCTCGTATTGAATAAACTGTCCAGCTACACCGGAATCAAGTTCTGACCTGGTTATCAAGACTTTTCTGTAAAAATACTCCGCTTTACTTTATTCGAATCGTGAATTAAACTTTGCCGTATAAGTAAACGTCAAGGCGTTTTTAAACTTAAAAATATTAATGTAGTCATAAATAATGTTCTTGTCGGCATCCAAGAGATGCCGACACATTTTGCCTCGACAAATCCACATTATTTTCCCTACAGACTGATGTAATAAGTGTACTTACTTGTTATTACGCAACGCTTTTTTCGTTATTATTACGCAACGACTTTCCGGGCTTTCTCTCGCCACGCTTTCTCGGAATGCCAATTGCGAGCTGCGCCCGATAGAAAAATAAATAAAATTATTTTTGAGCTCGGAAATTTCGTGAAAGGTTTAATGTTGTTGTAGATTATAGATTTGATCTACATTTCCTAATGACAGATCAAAAGGATTACCGGACCAAAATACCGAGGATTAAGCTGAGTTCATATGAGAGAATTCATATCTTGGAAGGATTCAATGAGGAAATCCGTACTGATGGAAGAGGGTATTATTTATTCGTACTGTTCGTTGTATCTTATATTTAGATTAAGGGAATTTAGACCAATTGGTATTGAACTAGGAGTTATCCCGCATGTAGATGGATCTTGTCGGTTAAAAGCCGGGAATGTGGATCTCGTTGTTGGAATACGGGGTGAGCTTGAGACAGTTATTGACACGGAAATGAACTCTGATTCACCTCCACCGCTAAGATTGGAGTTTAGTGTGGAGTTGAGCCCAAACTCAGATTTGAGATTTTTGGGGAAGGAGCCTATTGATCTTGCCGAACAAATAAAAACTGCATTGGCAAAAGCCTACGACAACGATGAAGCTCTTCCGCAACTTAAGGAGTGAGTTTTGAGTTATTAAAATGATGGTTTTAGTTTGCGTTTAACCAAGAGATTAGCTTGGAATATCTTTGCGGACATCGAAGTCCTAAGTTATGACGGGAATGTCATTGATTTTGCTGGAATGGCGGTAAGTTGAGACTCTTTAATAATATGCATTCAGCTAAAAGCAGCGTTAACTGATTTTAAAGTTCCAAAGATGAGAGTATTATCCGACGTTGTGGACGGTCTTGGAGCTGAGATGGACGGAGTCGAATTCCCCACAGAAGTGGAATTTATCACTCTAGATACCAAAAGGTAGGAGAATGTATTTATATAGACTTATTGTTTAGATGCCCGTTGTTCTGCACAGTAAATGTAATCAACGACATGTTGGCATTGGATGTGACGGAAGAAGAAGACTGCTGCGTTGTTTCAGCTGTTTGCATAGCTATTATACTCCCAGAAAACGATCCGGTAGGTGTAAACCATATTTTGTTGGGGTTTGACACATCTTTTTTACAGGAAGATTATCTAGTAACTTATGCAGCGACTGTTCACCGAGGAACAATGGAATTATCAACGACAAGGGAGCTCTACAAGTTTGCATACAAGACGATAAAACGATTGAATGTAGATCTGGAGACATTTATCCAACTCGAAAAGACGACCAAACAAATACGGATGGCCGAACTCGTCTTCTGAATCCTTTGTTGTTACTGTATCTATTCCCAATGGAATGGCCATGTTTTTTGTTGAGGTCAAATGAATTTAACATCCAGAGCGCCGCTCCTTTCTTTGCATTATGCAAATTACAAATCGCGCAGAATTGGACCTCACCTGCGAAGGGATGGGAGTCTGATTTAATTAAAGGGCCTGGAATCATCTGATGAAAGTTTTTTTGGTGTTTCATACGGTGGAACGTTTCTGGGCGAGGCGGTGCCCTTTCGATTCCGATCGGACCTTCTTCTAGATGATGATGATGATTCCTCTGCCATTTATGGGCCTCGCTCGGAAGGCCCAGACGTTTCATTAAATTTATTTTCCACCTACCCGATGGGCCTATTAACATGCTTACAATCACCTCGTGAGGTCAGGCCATCCCGTTTTATTTCCGCGGCCCGATTCCATTCGCGAAGTCTCATTAATTGCCGAGTTATGGCGTTGTTTCAGTGGATGGGCCTCCCGCTCACCTTCGGCCGTTTGTTTTGCTTGAGGCCGCGCTACCGTAGTATCTTTTAATTGACATGTACATGGATGGGTGGGTGCCCGGCCTTCTGCTCTCTTCCCGAAGACACACCTCTGAAGGCACGCGAGGACGGGGCTGGCGGATGCCTCAGGGCCTAATTCTCACGAATAGCAGGTGCTCTAATTTGGTTTGGCCGCTCTTTGGGGATGGGTTACGGTCCCCGAGAGTGATGTTTTCTTGCCGTTTCAGGTCTCGATTCTTTCGTTGCTTCCCGGAAAGTCCTCTAATATCCGCCTTTCCCGATTGACCGTTTTCCCGAATTCCCAATCAAAGAAAGACTTGAAGTCTCTGGGAAAGCGACTCAGGGAAATGGATTCCGGATCTGGCCGCTGAGTCAGCTCACACGCCTAGTCCGCTCATTTCGCGCAATAAGCCGGCGATTAACCGGCCATGCCAACCTGGTTTCTAAACAGATTAAATGAATTTCTGGGATTACGTAAGCGTTCATTTAACCTGGTCTCAGTCATCTGGGAGACCAATTAACGGCTGAGGAAGGGCTGAATGCGAGATGAAGTCGAGGAGAATGTCACCGAAGTCAATCTCCCAGATTGAAGGGATGGGCTGGGACTGCCCTTTGGCCCTATTCTGACATGAATGCCGAGGTTTCGGGAAATATACGGAATGAAAGGAGAGTGACACGTCTCAGGCTCTCATAATTCATGAATGAGATGTTTGAAGCCACTCACCCGGCTTCTGGATTCACTTTCCTTTGTCCTCTGCCCTCAGGGCATGCAGCACCCGGTCTACCTTTTTAATTAGGAGTTCCCACCATCCGAGATTGCGTGCCCAGAAAGTGTTGGCCCCAGGGGAAGTACAGTCGGATGGGCATCTTTCTCTTCCGACTCACCACCTTCACCATCTCCGGTCGACCTAGGCATCGGAGTGGAAGGAATCGGAGCTTCTGGATTGCCTCAGGCATTCCGCTGATTCACACTTACTGTAGTCTTTAGAGCCGCAAATTCCCCCCTTTCCCTTTGTATTGTATTTTTTTCGGAGCAGTTTTATTCAAAAACTTTTGAATCTAGAAAGATACCGTACTCTTCCTTTATATAAATCTGATCTCTACAGGCCATTTTCGCCTTATCCTGCTCTCGAAGACCCTTTTAATGACTTGTTTGTCTTCCATTCCGATCTACATCTTCCTCCATCCGGGCACCTTTCTTTCTTTTTGCTTGTATTTGCACGGATTCCCGTTGGAATAAAGTCTCGCGCATTACGGCGTTCCAATCGGGACAATCAAGTCAAAAAATGGAAACAGTCTCGGTCCTCTATTATGGTTTATTTGCACCCGGGTCAAGTATAATATTATGTTGGCTTCTGTTTGTCGAGCTCCGTCAATAATGCAGGAGCATCAGGGTTCTCCAGAAGAGGTGTGGATTTCGGCCCCTTCAACTTGGTCCTCAATCAGACACGCAAGGAAATGGATATCTTATTCTTGGTCTTCTTCAATGTCATCATTCGCAATTTGAGACATTCTAGGTGGAAAGGGTGGTTAATGTGGAAGGAAATCTTGACGCTGTATAAAAGAGGGCTGGCTGATTGACAAAATTACAGCAAGCTTTTCTATAACATGTAGTTTTTTGTTTCGGTGTAATTACATGGTATTGCCGGAGAATCAGTCTCTGGCTTTGCTCCTTTGATTCCAACATTTTGATTCACCGCAGGCATTCAGAAGAAAGGAGAAGGTGCAGGGGGCGGAGTCTGGAGATGACTTTGATTGGCGGAACTCGAGAATGTCTCTAAAAAGTCGAGAGGAAGAGGAACGAAGAAGCGCCAAGGGTACCGTCTCAGGAGAGTATCAGTCGGGGTGTTTGTGATTGCATATAAATATAACAAGTTCCTTCCTTTGTCGGGTTATATTACCGATTTTTACTTGGGTTATTAAATGGTATTTATTTTCATTCGCAATTCCTTTATCTCAGCTCTAATTCGACCATGAGTTTTATTACGATACTTGTGACTTGTTTAATGGTCTCTTCTTCCCCACCGTATTTTTTCTCTCCCACCATTATATTGGCCAAGGAGGGACTCTTCTTCTGGCCGCATCCCATTTCATCCATTCGCTCCCAGCCAATGCCTTCGGGCTTTTTATTCTCCCAGGCTGACCTTTTTTATCTCTTTCAGAGGCCTTCAATGAGCATCAACGGCGAGTTTCTGAGGTCCGTTGAAGTCAGAGCTGAGAAGAATGCCGAGGACAAGGAGGTCACATTCCTGGTGGCCAAGACGTCGTTAGCACCTGGGATGATCGTGGGATTGGTGGAAAAGGTAAGGAAAAGGTTGGACAATCATCCACTAGACTGTACTTTGTCAAAACAAACATTCAACAAAGCCTTTTGCATGCCGCTCGTTCTTGAGTTGGCGATCACTGCCGTCCCTTTCTCTGGATATACTTGAACTCTAATCTGCCGGTCCAATTAAAGAGTCCATGTAAACAAGCATTAACTGGGTCACTTGAGTCCGTTTAGTGACCTTATTGTGGCCAAGATCCCGGCGCACCTGGTCCAATTAGGGGAGAAGGGACGCCTTTTCTTAGCGCACTTCCTGTGGCCATGCTCAGACACCTCTCGACAGGTGGAAGTCTTCGGGGATAAGGTCTTTCAAATCTAATTCCAAGCGCGGCCTACCGTAATCGAATCCAAAGGCAATATTTGAATCCTAAATCATGGAAAGCGCATGCAGAGATTCCCAATCCCAACATTTGACGGAAGAGTAAAGAACTATCCCAAGATGTAAAGGACCTCGGGAAATAACAACTTGTTTCATTGCGCAATCTTTTCTCCTTTAGAGGATCACCCGAAAACAGCGTTATTGATTGCGTAACGTCTTCTTCCTGACCTCCCAAAAAGAATGACATTGCGTACAATTACTGTAAGGGGTATCCATGAAAATATTTGTGGATAAATGTACTGCGGGCATGTCTTTACGGATCGATTTATTGTATCTTTCAGTTCTTTGATCTCATGGACGGCATGGGACATTTTTCTTATTTTACATACTCTGGTCTTACCGAATCTCATCATCGCTGGGATCTTTATTACCCCAAATATCTTCCGGAGATCCGTCGAACCCATGTCCTGAGGGCTTGTCCTCTACCGGAAGGACGTCTTCAAGCCCGAGCAATCATCTTTTCTGCCAAGTCCTCTTCCTTCTCATTCTCTGCGGCCGGAAGTATGCCGCCCTTCTCTCTCATCTTCCCCAAACGGTGCGTCTTCAATTTTCCGGCATTGTCTCCGGTCCTCATGGGCTTCTTGATGGTCATATCTTCCTGGACGCCGAATGGAGGTAGACGTTTACCTTTTTGCCAAAGCTCAGGGACATCACAAAATGCGGGAAATAAACATCAAATAAAATTTTTGGCATCTGAAAAAAATGTCATCAAAGACAAATCTTTGTTGGACTAAATTTGTATAATAACAGCATGTAAATCCACACTAGACGCCATTCGGAAACATAAACAATCCGTGAGAAGTGACGTAACATAAGGTAATATAGGGAGAACAAAAAGTTTTGGGAAGAATCCGGAACACCGGGAGATAAGAGGCGGTCCATGAAGAAGATGGGCACCTGTCCTCAGTTTTATTACAGAACGGAAACGGATTTGAATCTGCGGTTTTATGATGTCCTTCATTGAGTCCTTTATAGGCCCTAATTAGGTGCTAACGGCGGGATAAATTTATATTTTCAAGGTTAAAATAACGGGACGGAGAGGGTTCTACAATTGAGGTCTACTGTATTTTCTGGAAATATTTAAATTATTTTTTAGATATTTGAGACTTTCCCGTGTCCTTCTGTCATAATTTTTTTGAATCGTCCGATCATCCAAATCTCAATAATCGTGCTTGTTTGACATGGTCTTGGCACCGGATTAACGGCAGCAGGTGTTTGAATCCCGACCATATTTCTGCAATTAAGCCCGCATAATTAGCAGTTAGGTTCAAGACTTAGTCCTTTTCTACCAGTACTTACAAGATGATCTTATCTCGTAATTTTTTATTATTTTTTCGCTATAACTCTCTCATTTGGAGTTCAGTGCCGGTGGACATATTCCAATTAGAGGGGTAAGCGCGGGCCAGATGTGGTCTCAAAATTCAACACCGATCTCTCTTCTCTACCTGTCTGTCCATCCTTCGGTAATCCTTCACAGTTTCTTATTAACTGGCCACGGTTTGGCCAATTTCCTGTTTTCGTCCCGTGGGATCCGTACAAGGGATTCGCTGCGTCAGTGCCTCAGGGGTTTCATTTAGAGAACCCGGCGTTTTTGTAATTGTTTGTCCTTTGGACTACTTATCGGAACGAAGGCAAAGGCAAGGTGTTCGGGAAGTGGTTGTCTTCGGTCAGCTGATTGGTATTATACGATTTTTTATGGACTTTTCAACTCCCGTTCCTCCACTTTATCAGTTACTTTTGGCAGATGGGATGCGTTCATCTATTTATGGCCTTCACTGTGTTGTTTAGATTATTTAAGATTCCTTTGTGTATTTTAGAACGGCATCAACGACTCCAACGCGCTTCTCCTGCTCAGTTTATTACGTCCTCTCCCAGACAAAGACGACGTAACTCCCAACATTCGAATACGACGTTTTGGATCGGCTGTAAGTGAGATCTCAAGTGCTTATTATTGTTTGTATGGGCTATCTCACTTGACCTGCTGATTGTAGATTTACATCCAAACAGCACGAATCATCGCCGTCGAGGAGCGCCTTGCATCGGAGACCTTTCTGGACTTTCGAGAAGAAGATTGTGTGGATAAAGTGCCCGACGAAGCCGAAGAGCCGTGAGTTTATCGCTTTGATTAGCTTGATTTGGCTGCGCTCAACCAAAGGTTGAAACTCATTCAAGTAGCTTATTAATTTGTAAATAAAGCGGGAGGGAGCTGCCTTCTGCTGCTTCGAATTTTATGGCTTTTCTTGTAAGTAACTGAACTACTCTTAACAGTCTCACTTTTACTATCTTCTCCACCTCGACCCACACTCCCATCTCAACTTGACTTTTGTTTTTGCGAAGATCCACTCGCTCCAGAATCCCGGAAAGAAGTTTTCCGGCTTCAGCCGAACAGCGTTCCGGGATCGCCTATCAACCCCATCCCCTTCCCTTAGGCTGTCTTTCTAGTGTAATCAGCGCTTATCAGGACGCGTCGAGGCCTTTATCGACAACCTGTTCACGCCATCCCTCCCAATTAGATGGTTGCCCTACTTCCTTTGAAGGAAGAGTAAATGATCATCATCATTTACTCCTCCCTCTTTTTTCCCACCTTTCCTTCAATCTCGCCGCCGCACCGGATGAAAGTGAAAACGGCAAAAAATTCGCTTTCTTTATTTTCTTGCGCCATAATTCGACTACTCGAGGAAATTGGAAGAGTTGGCGACTTCTGGAGAGGGTTGAAGTTACTGTAGTTTTGGGTGTATGCTAGGGTCAATGCAAAGATAGGGAGAGGGGACGATGATCCAATTCATGGTAACATCCCCTTGATAGCTTTGCTTACGTTATTACATGTAGGGCATCCCGATTACGGTCTAATCCTTCAACGGCTTCTTGTCTTTTCCCCTCTCCCCAATGCCACATTTCGAGTCCCATATTGGAAGTCAAGAGAATAGCCGGAACCGGTTTAATCGCGCGACCCAGTCCCGGGGATGCTGTCCCACCTAACGGGGTCGAGATCATCTTCCGCTCCTTCCACTTTCACTCCTCAGAATCCGTCCATTGTCTGGCTTTCTCTTACCCCGTTTTTCGTGATGGAGTCCATTTGCGATGCGGTCGGTCGCTACGCCCGTGCCGTTGTTCACTTTCCCTCTTAACCGCCGCATTCGCCCCCAGAATCCGTGCTCCACTGACCCAGATTACGCCATCCCGAAAATAACCAGAGGGCGACACCCTTAAGTGGAGGCGAGAGAGAGGCAGAGCGACGCCGACGACATCCAGATTCCGCCGAATGATGCGCGCGCGCTTCTACCGCCCCGTTCATGAGGTCATCTCGTCGAGGAGAAAGTCCATCCACAACGGTGAAAGTGAAGATAGCCGGGGGCGAGGGGGAGGGAGGCAGGAAGACACGTTCCTCACCCACATTCATGTTACTAGCCTCGTGCTGGGAAGTACTAGTCCACCTATCACTGATCATCGCAATGTTTTTGAGTGTTGTCCTAGTAAGCAGAATCTAATAGCACAACAGGTGGTTGTTCTAAAGGTTTCTAATGTGCTGTTAGGCAATATGGTTACGCCCCCGATAAATATAATTGCAAATTAATTTTGAAAAAGCCGTAAATCTTTACGAATGTTGCCCTCGGGGCCTTTTCCTGCGTATATTGTCACCCTACAGCTAGTTATATTGTCTTCCCTGACCCGAAGAAGTTCAGTTCGGGCCCAAACAAGAGCATCACTTGTCTTCAGAAGCATGTTCACCATCTTCTGGATACGCTTTTGTTTGCGTTTTCGCAACCTTTACTGAACTTGCGCTTTATGGGAAACGAGAGGAAGTTGGAGATATTTGACCTGCTGACCCCTTATTTTGGTATAATAATGTATTTTGTATTCCGTTGTTATTTTAATTACCGCTTAAGTGGGCATCTAATTTATAATTCAATTCCAGTTTTGATTCCCTTGAATCACAGCCCGATTACGGTGTTGGAGAAGAGGACGACGAGGAAGAAGTTGAGGAGTCTGAAGACGAAGAATCCTCGGTCGAACAGCGGCATCGCGAGCAACAAGTCGCAGCTGCCGTTGTAGCCGCAGCCGCCGCCGCCGCAGCCACAGGGCAATCCTTTGCCTCATTCACGAGGAAAGGCGTAGAGGAAGACGAGGTCGAGAACACAGACTTCAATCACAGCCGATCAGAGGGTCATTCCAGGCCAAATTCTTGCAGTTCCAACAACTCTAATCAACCTCACAAGTGTCCCGTCTGCCCTAAGGGGTTCTCATCAGCCAGGTATTTTACTTTCTTATTCGAGACTTTCATGATGATTTCCAAAATTTTTCAATCTTCTATGTTTTATTTTTTTAGTGGCCTAAAACAACATAGTCACATCCACAGTAGTAGTAAGCCTTTTCGTTGTAACGTGTGCAACAAGGCTTACACTCAATTCTCCAATCTTTGTCGGCATCGAAAAGTCCACCTTGTAAGTGAAAACGAGTATTCATTGCAAGGAATGACGTCGTTTTCTTATGTTTTCAATTTCAGGAAGGCTTTACATGCTCGGCTTGTAATCGTCAATTCACAAATCCCTCAGCCCTCCAAAAGCACCGTGCTCAGTGTGAACGGTATCTTCATCAGATGACCTCCACTTCTCTTTACAAGCCTTTCCATGTGGGCTCTGTCCCTCCCTTGGCTGCCCAAGCTGCCGGTCCAGCTTCAGCCCAGGCTAATCCCTTGAGCGTCGCTCCTCATCTCCAATTCGCTCCTTGGACTCAGATTCCTCAATTGCTTCATCTTGCCGCTGCTAGAAATGGTTTATTTGGTCTCCCTTCGGCTCTATTCGCTGCTACTGCCTCAGGCATGCAAACAGCTCAAACTCCTAGTGAAGAGTTGAGTCCTACAGATCAATTCAAGATCAAAAATGATTTCCCAACGGCCAGCAACACTATACAGAACCAGCACGAGAGTATCAGCCCTTCCAATTCGATCGGAAAGAAGTCATCCATATTCAGTGCAGAATCCCTCTTATCCCGAGATCCACCTCAAACTGTGATCCATAAAACACCGTCGTTTACAGAATCCAAGAAAGAGAATGAACTAAAAATAGATGACAATGATATAGCTACTACAGACTCAGATACTGTAGATGATGACGGGACTTCTTCGAGAACAGACTCCGAGAAGAATATTCTGATGGACACAAGTTCCAAGCTGGATGAAACGAAGACGCCCATGTTCAATGACCTGGCGCCCTTGATGAACCCATTTTCCTCGCAGGCCTTTCTCCACATGTTCAGGAATTCGATGGCTGGTCCAGGGGGTCCTGGACTAGTCCGCCCATCGCCTTATCCTTTCCTTCAAGCACAACAAGGAACCAACTTTGCTGCAGCGATGTCGGCGACCAATTCGAGTGGACTTCCCAATCATCCGCAGAACGCTCAGCAACCAGGCATCGCTCCCAGGATGATGAACGCTACCGTTAGATCAAATAAGGAACGATATATGTGCAAATTTTGTTCGAAGGTGTTCCCCCGAAGCGCCAATCTAACCAGACATTTGAGAACGCACACTGGGGAACAACCTTACAAAGTGAGTGCTCACATGTTTTCCACTGTTAATCTAATCTACTCTCCTTTCAACCCTTACTTTTTAGTGTACATATTGTGATCGCTCGTTCTCCATTAGTTCGAACCTCCAGCGTCATGTTAGGAATATCCACAACAAGGAGAAGCCGTTCAAATGTTCCCAATGCGATCGATGTTTCGGACAGCAAACAAATCTCGACAGGCACATCAAAAAGCACGAAATGCAAAGAGAAAACTCTGTCAGTCTCGATTCGAACGGTGGAAACAACAACATGAACAATCTGCCCTCAGGGTTTCTACTCGACTCGTTAAAACAGAAGGCTTCGGACACGATTCCCTTACACTTTAATGTATCCAATCTATTCCAACACAAAGAGTAGGGACACTTTTAGTTACAGTACTCTATCAATTACTCTGTGCATTTACATAAAAGCTTTTAAGAAGGGCTAGTTCCCTTTCTAATTCATAATTCCCGGTCACGAATCGAATATGGTTACCCGGAAGAGAATCAGGACGATAACTGTACTTCTGTCTTGTTTACATCGACAGCACCTGCCTTTCTCTCCCGGACTAACGCCTTTAATTGGGTTTTATATCGCTCTAGGTCATTCCTCACTCGCCCACTTACTCTATAACCATTCCTTAATGTAAACATTCCCTGTCTTTTACAGTTAACTTAGCTTAACCACGCTAAATTCATTGTAACTCCAACCATCCAAAGAAGTTTCGCTTATACCCGCAATAAAACATGTGTTGTATATAATAAATATGGAACTCAAACAAGTCATATAACCTGTGGATGATAATTTAGCTTTTATTCAAGGTCTTTTACGAATATCAGAACCAAAAAAAAAAATACATGAACTGACATTTACTCTCTTCGACCTTGAGGGCTGGCAAACTTCGGGGAACAAAAACAACCGAAAATGTAAACGGGATGTAGTCGTAGGATAACAATAGTAAAATATAATATTTAAAACATTTGAACTAACAGGATCTAGCAGAGCAATAAAGGATTAAATAGAATGGACGCGATTACTGCCTCCTCCCAAGAACAAGGTCTGGAAGACAGTGTCAGCAAAGTCTGGGTAGAATTGAGACGCCCGCTCACAATCAGGCATGAAATTGGCTTCCAGGAAAACAACATCCACGGCGTTGTGCTCACGGTCTAAAAAAATTATTTAGAATAAAACCATGCACTTACTCTTCCACTTCAACATAATATCGAATCCATACATCGCTCTTGATTGTAGGTTAGGAGCGACACCTTTAGGGGGTCTGTCTCTGGTGACGGTTTTGAACACTTCCTTTATTACATAATTTATCTGCTCTTTAACTTGGTTCCAATCAAGTTGTGGATTCAATTCCACCAAACTTTCAATGAATTCATCCGATGTTATCTAAAAGAACATTGCATCAGCAAATGCAAGCCTACATTTGAAACCTTGCTCTTATCGGTGTAATTGTGAACAGAAAGATGAGTGAAATTGTCGGCCAAGTCACTCAAGTCATATTCGCTGAAATAAAATAAATTGGAAATAAATGGGTCGAACATACTTAACGGCTAAACGAGGCCAAAAGTCATTGTAGACAAAGACCTCCAAAGGGTCTAGGCTTCTGACTAAGACGATGAATCTCAAGTCGAACTTGACTAGATTTCCATTATCAGGTCTTTTCATGAGAACAGGGTCTTCAATATATTTGGAAACCAATTTAGGGCCGGTTTCGACCATCCTGATGACACAATCAAGATTGTTCGTGACTACTGTATCCAATCCTCTCGCCAGATTCCAGGGCTTTATGATCCAAGTGTTATCCAAATTCTTCCGGGCTCTTTTTTGGAAATATGACACAAAAGCAGGGAGTTCTTCATTCAGATTGAACGTCGTCTGAAACCATTCTGGTCCCCATTCAAGAGTTTCTTCATTATATGACTTTTCATAACTCGGATCGGCTTCAATCAAAGCCGCGAATAGATCCTTTACAGTCAGATTGGACTCGAATGGAAATTGGTTTATCAAAACTTTTGGATTTTGCTCGGATAAAACCCTAAAAAGTATTTATGATTGAAGAATTAACCTACTTAAAGTCATGAAAGTGTTCCCGCATCCAAATGACATCCGCTTCCTTTACATCCTCGGCCATTTCGTACTGTACATCTTTTAAATGCTCTATTAACTGGGTATCTGAAGCCAGAATTCTGACGGTGTCCATGATCCCAATAGGATCTGAAGCGTTTCCTTTCTGAGATTCGGAGGGCAGATAATCCGGATGTCGCCCACTCTAAAAAAAGACATCTGAATTTAGCAAAAAACTAACCGTAAAGAACTTCTCGTCCTTGACCGACTTCTTGATTTCGCTTTCGCTCAGATCAACAGGTTCCCATGGATGTAAAAGAACATTGTACCAGTCTGGATGGGCTTTCAAAACAGCATTGTCCACATAATTCCGGGTGACTTCCTCTAAACAAGTTCATTTTTGGTTATGTCCCTTACCTTGATCTTTAATGTCTTTAATAGGAAACATTATACTGAAAGCTTGTCCGTTAAAACCATAGAAGAATGGAACAATACGGATGTTGGGTGTATTACTGTGTCCTATTCGCATTCCAAATTCATCCGGCAGATACCAAATGGGCATATCTCCCTCATCGAGGACATTCTTCGACCTACGGACGGTGTAAGTTTGCGCAAACTTCCAGATCTTCTCCATAATGGCATCTATTATCTTCTGCTCCAATTGTTCATTGATCTTGGTACCTTTTTCGTCACCTGTTCCAGGGTTTTCATCACCTCGAGCTGAAAAAAGAAACATGCAAAAAGTAGAAGTAACATACCAGTCGGATGGGCATCACCACTTTCACTTCCAATGTAATCAGAGCAACTGTCTACATCTTCAAATTCGTCAAGCTAAAATAATAATTCAATGCAAGAGTTGGGCAATCTTACAGTAATTCCCATCGATTCCATCAATCTCTCCTTAAAGCCGGGGACCTGCTTCAGTATACCCCTGGCATTATTCAAACGAAACGTGAAGCAATGGTCAATTAAGAAGATGCTAAAAAATGGATTGCAGACATAGCTGTACATACCTATCAGCACTTTCAGCTTCGATATCTTTCAACGCTATCACAGAGAAGCTGTTTTCTCCAGATTCATTCTCCTCCACGATGATTTGGAAATATTTTCCCGCATCGAACTCCTAAACCAATGAATAAAAACACATTTTGACTTACTTCATACTTCAATTTATTAAATAAACTTGGCCAAAAAACCTCTGGGACAGCAGAAGTCCTAAGTTGGGGTTCATGGACCTCGATAAATTGTTCCAAAGAAAATTCTGACATACTTTCTTTCAGCTCATATATTCGGCCGATGCTTTTATTTTCTTTATGTTGTTCTTGCACGTTCTGGCAAATTTGAGAAAGAAATAGTTTCTAGAAAAAATCAAAATGCTACTATTGATTATCGGGGTTGCCACAATTGCTCCCCTCGTTTAATTTTTAAAGATGGCGGCAGGGGTGGCAAACGGGCCTCTTTTTCCAAATTTCAGGCCCGGGGCCCGGCCCGGCAAAATCCCAGGCCCGGCCCGGCCCGGTTCAAAATTTTGCAGGCCCGGCCCGGCCCGGTAGAAATCAGGCCCGGCCCGGCCCGGCCCTGTAAAAGCCCGGTTAGGGCGCGAGCTGGAAATTTTCCTTTGATCTTACCGCCTCTGTAGTGTGCTAAAATCTGCTAAGAACTATCGTATATGTATTATATGTTCTAATTTGGACCTTATATTATAACATATATGCAAAAAAAGTACTATAAAGTAATAAACTATTGTAGAACTTGATATACTAAAAATACAAACCTATCCAAAAATTTTTCCGGCGCGAAAACATTGAATGCCAAACGCTTGGCATTTCGACAAAACCGGGCCGGGCCGGGCCTGAAAATGGCTCAGGCCCGCGGCCCGGCCCGGTAAAAAACAGGCCCGGCCCGGCCCGTTTCAAAATTTGCTAGGCCCGGCCCGTTTAGGCCCGATCTGGCCGGGCTTCGCCGGGCCGGGCCGGCCCGGAGAGACCGGATTAGAAACCAGGACTCGCTGCGCCGGAAGTGGGCTCACTACCACTCGGCCAACTGGACACAATTCTGTTGCCATTCCGAGAGCTTATAAAGCGAGACGGAAACTAGGCTAAAAACTGTATTTTGGCCATAACTTTATCCAAAGTGAATTTAGGCAGCTAATTCTTTTTGCGCTGTGAACTATTTTTAATGCTCTTTCAAATGATATAGGCTTCGTTAAGAAAGCAGGTTACAACTATTTGCCGATCCCTTGTTAGTGCCATCTATCTAATTGGGATGGATGGCGTGAACAGGTTTTCGATTATTAAAATAAGACAGACATTCACGCATGTTTTGGTTCCGTCTTTATTTTTTATCCTGACAAGGGAATGGACTTTATGTGTAAATCGATTTTGGCTTGGGACATAGTCAGATCGAAAGGTGTGTGGTAGTCGATTATTCACTTGGGGGGAAATCTCTGCGCGGGGCTTCAAAGCCGAGAAAATCGGCTTCAAAGTTTGGACGAAAATCAAAGGATAGGGATCCCGGAAAATGAGCAATAAAAAGTGTGAAGCAGTGGCCGAGTGGTCAGTGCGCTCGCTTTTTGCGCAAAAGGTTGCAGGTTCGAGTCTTTCCAAGTCCAAATTATTATTATCGTTTTTACTTCTGCTTTCTTCGTGCTAATCCGGCTATACATTTAAAAAAGTGGTATAGATAAAAAAGTCAACATAATGGAAAGTTGTTTTTGAATATATCAGGTTGATGGTGTGCTCTGCGCTCTAAAATTGTAAAAGGAAGGTGCAAAGCCGTTGAAAATGGAAAGATTCCGTTTAAAACATACTTTTTGCATCGATAATCGAGTTCAGGGGGAAAAAATTAATAGAAGTTTTTGTTTAAAAAAGTTATGAATGGAAGCAGATTCGAACTTGCGACCTTTTGCGCAAAAAGCGAGCGCACTGACCACTCGGCCACTGCTTCACACTTTTTATTGCTCATTTTCCGGGATCCCTATCCTTTGATTTTCGTCCAAACTTTGAAGCCGATTTTCTCGGCTTTGAAGCCCCGCGCAGAGATTTCCCCCCAAGTGAATAATCGACTACCACACACCTTTCGATCTGACTATGTCCCAAGCCAAAATCGATTTACACATAAAGTCCATTCCCTTGTGAAATGATCACACATCGTTATGATGCATCATCCCCTTTCATCGCAATATTTTCGGACATGGAAAGTTTGTTGACAATAGTAAGCGTAAAATTTATTCATCTTTTTGAAATTTACACATTAACAACAATAATGGAGAAGACAGATATGGGAAGACACCGAGTGGAGGAGGGGGCGAGTATTACAAAACGGAACATGGTACCCGAGAGAATTGACCATCAGAAGTAAACGAATGGTTAGGGAAGGCACGGAGAGTTCGCGGAACTTATTTCTCTTAGCAATAAGCTTCCTAAAATCAGCTATAAAATATTTTTGCGCTTCCAGCTAAAGGATAAATAAGATCCCCACCAACTCAGACTGATTCATTTAGAATCCTGGAGGTTTAGAAACAGACAACTTTTCAAACCCGGGAGGTGGCGCGACTCGAGATGCGGAACCGAGATCATCGGTAGTGTTTGGTCTAGGTGGTTCTGCAGACTTATCCTCCTTTGATTCTCCAAACCATCCCGTCAACGCCTTTATGCGGTCCAAGGCTGATTGGGGACCTGTTCTTTCTTCAGCATATTTCTTATGATTCTCCAGTAACTAAACCAATACATTCAGAAGTGTATTTACTTACAGCTTTCAGCAAAGGATCGTCCGTATCTTCTGGATTCTTTGGTCGGCTAGACCCAGGCATGTCCTCGGAGTCTTGTTCGCCATCCCACACCTTAACTTCTTCAAGTTTTCGAGCAGCTTCCGCAGATTCCCTCTCTTTTTTTTCATGTAGGAACTTCTCCAATGTCAGTTTTTCTTGCAATTTCTGCCACATTCAAATCATTTCAAACAATGTCTGACTTACCTTTTCCTCCTCTTCTTTTTTCTTCCTCCTTTCCTCCATCAACTTCTCTTTCTCTTCCTGTTTAGCGATCTTCTTCTTTAGCTTGGCTTTCATAGCCGTTGAAGATAACCATTCCTCAGTAGCGACCTCTTCATTGTCATCGTTATCCACAGAGGAGAACACATTAAACTTGGAGTTGTTTGCCGCGAGAGGTGTCGGCTTAACCTTCTCCATTACAGTTGACGCTTTCACGGTCTTCTTTTTGGGCTCCTTTTTCTTGGCCAAAACGACGTGAGGGTCGGGAAGCGGTGGATCTTCATCCGTGGGCTCCGGCAAACCTTGTTCTCTTGCCTCCAACTTCTTCTGCATATTCTCTGGCCATATATCCGGCAAGGGAACAAGTTTCTTTCGCTGAACATTTGATGTGGAAGGTTTTTGTGGCCTCTGAGCCGGTTGTCTCAACTAAATGCATTTTTAATACATTCAGCGCGTGTGCACTTACCACCGATGCAATATTCTTTGTTCCCCAAGACGTTCCAGAAGATACACTTGCAGCGGAATTTGATGGGCCCAATGAAGGGAATTGGCTGGCCAAGTCAAGGGGTTTACTTGGAGCGCTATTTGCCTGAGCTTGTCGGGAGGATTGAACTGATGCCTAAATCCATAAGCAAAAAATTAATTTGTCATACCCGCCAGTTAGTTCCGTTAACAGCGCTCGATGGAGGTCCTAGTGAAGGGAAGTCACCAATTTCAACTCTTGGTGGAGCTGGGACTGTTCGAGGCTGTTGGCGAGTAAACTGGGCGGAGGGAATGATGATTGCCTGTCTGGGGGCATTGATAACAGCTTCTCTCGCTGGGATTACAGAAACTCCAGAGGAAGAATTGGAATGAACAGCTGAGGTATTTCTCCCAGAGGATTCACCGAATCTCGAGATATTCCTGTTGAACTGGAAGTCCACAGGGATACTTCGATTCCCTTCACTGTGATGTTGGGCCTAAAACAATAAACGCAATTGATATAAAGGAAACCATTACGTTGTGAACATTTAGTTCCATTTCGTTTTTAAAGACAATTCCCATAGCCAAACAATCCTGATGTAAACACGGATGATGCTCTTTTTTATAATGACGATGAAGTTGCTCAACTCGGCTAAAAAAAATACTTTGACGTGCCTACACACTCTTACTTGAAGAAAACATTCTTCCCCATTTCAGATTCGCATAAAGAACAATAAAAGTGTTCTTTCCTCAGATGACGATATAAGAATTCATCATCATAGAACCTTTGGTGGCAAAAATCGCACTGGGGATGGCCTTTGAATCCCTCGTAACGTCCCTTCTCCCCATTCATATGCTTCTTGAGATCATCTTGGTTATAAAGCTCGCGATCTTTAGTCAAGACATTTAAATGTTCCAAACAAATGTGACAGAATGTCAATCCATGAGTTGTCACGTGTTGTTTTAGGGCTGGAAAAGTCGGAAATTCGGAGAACTCGCCTCTGAAACAAGATAAAAAATATATTAAAGATACTGAGAAACTCACTTCTTCTCACAGACTCGACACGAGAAGAGATTGTACTTTTCGTAACATTCTAATGTATAAGCGTCCTCAAAGGCGATATTAAACAAACCGCAGTCAGGATGTCGAACAATTGCATTCGAAGGAAGCGAATACTTCCAATCGACAGGTTTCCTGACAAAATACAATTTGTCGAGTTCAGCTCGACAAGCATGGCAGGACTTTTGTTCACCGAGACATCTCATCCGAATTACACACTCCATACAAGCCGGATGTAAACACTTTCCAATTCCAAACACATCAGACTTCTGACAACACACATCACAATCTTCAATTTGCCCTTCCATCGGTTTTCCATTGTGATCCCGTCGTTCCTAAAAGTCGAAAGACTCAGAAGTTTACCAATGTTGATGTCATACAACCTGCCTTTATAAACCGAGCATGCAAATTTCCGCCGCCACCTCTTCTACCACCTCCACTCGGACCGCCACGTCCTCTACGTGGCCTGTTATGGTTTCGATGCTGATCTTGAGGTTCAAATCCTGATGGAGGGCCGCCATACAGTGGCCCTTGGTTAATGTTTTCTTGATTCGATTGATGGTGGTTTGGTCTTCTTCTTCTGTTGTTTACGTTCTGACCCGTAGTTCCATTCATGGTAAACCTTCTTTCTGTCTCAAAGACTAAAATTGTAGACATTACTTTAAAACCTCTAAAATAAAGGCATAAAACAACGCTAAAATAACAGAAATTGCAACCATGATGAAAGAAATATTTTCTATCGTCTTGCCACACCTTCTGAACTGCAAGCAGTGTTTCTCCGTCTACTTCCACACAAATTTAGGTTCTTTACTCTGTTTGACACTTCGTTATTTTGAAAGACGGAATGCCAATATCAATTAGAAAATGTTTTTCTGATATTCAGAGTTCGATTTATTCAGAGCATATGACAACACTTACATGCTCCTCTTCAAAATATTTTAGGTGCATTCAAAACCAAAAGTCGGTGACGCGTTTCTCAAAAATGATGGTTGATGTAAACTTTAAGACTTGGATATGCCATTTGTTGTGTTTATTTCTGTAATTTATATTATTCGTTGGGTGTTTTTGCAATAATTACCGTTTAAACGCGTTTTCCTTCTTCAGTTTTTTTATTTTACAAGTTTTACAGGACCAATGGGTATAATATCCAGTACGGGCCGAAATAACGACGAGTTGGTGGATAATCTGGTCCAAGGAAAATATGTCCGTTTCAAATCCGTTGAGCTGGCAATGAGGTACTAGCTTAATAAACTGCCCTATGATCGGTTTTTAGACTTGTGGACCGTGGAGATTACTTTCCAGAGGAAGAACGAGAGAATGCCTACAAGGATATGGCGTGGAAAGAGACAGATTCGTTTGCCGGACCGGTTCATCTATCTGCTCCTTGTATATACGCAAATGCTTTAGAGTATCTAGATCTACAGCCGGGTTTATCTTTTTTGAATGTCGGATCAGGGAGTGGTTACTTGAGTACCGTAGCCGGGTTCTTGCTCAGTAAGTTATCACTATATGAACTTACCTTATTTTAGCTGAAACTGGGGTAAATCATGGAGTAGAACTCTATGAAAACATGGTCGAGTATGCACAGAGCCATCTTCAGGATGCAATGCAGACGCCTGCAGTATCTGCGTTTAGCTTTTGCCAGCCAGTATTTTTCCAAGGATCAGCTTTTTACTTGAAGAACAATATTATGTATGATAGGATTTATTGTGGAGCTCTGGTTCCTCATCACAGGCGCTCTTTCTTTGCCAATATGTTAAAGATAAATGGAATCTTAATATGTCCTTATGGGAACGAAGTAAGTTTACTGTTGTATCTTTTTTTATTTTATTTCTAGTTGATTCGAGTTAAACGAACTGGGGCCAGGACATTCGAAGTCTTCTCCATCAGCCAGGTCTCCTTCTCCAATCTAATTGCTCCAGTGGAAAACCGAGATTTTACTAAAGTTAAGGTGGTGTTGCCATATCACGAGGCCAAATCTCTTCAAGAAATTTGTCGAATTGCGATCAGGAAGGCTGTTAGAAACCATGTCCATCACCAATGTCCGTTAAAGCTTCATTTCGAATGTGAGCCAACTTCCAATAGGAGTGAACCGAGACGAGAGAGTCCCCTTGGGGCCGTTCTGGTGATCGGAGAAGACGAAGAAAGAGAAACTGAGGAAGGAGGACAGAGAAATGAGGGAGGAAGAGATGATGATGATATTGATCTTGATGCGATTCACAATCGAGTTAGAAGAGAGATGGACGAAACTATGGAGATCTTCAGGACTATCCAGAGAAGGCATGAGAACATACAGAGAAGGATCAGAGAGAACGCTGATCCACCTTTTCAGAGAATTTTCGCTTTGGTTCAGAATGGTAGCACGTCCATTAGGTGTTAAATATAATTTAGGTAATGATCCAGAAGCTCGGGAGAATGCCAACGCAGAGAGAAATCGTCGGGCCACCGTCGGATTTGTAATCGCTGACCTCGAAGAGAACTTGGAACAAGAAGAGGAAAATAATGATAATGATCGACGCCGCAATCAGGTCGTCCCTCTCGGAGAAGCCTTCCATGATCTTGACTATGTAAGGTTATGCCGAATTTTAAAGAATATGGTTTAGCCATGCGAGTTTGAAATTTTGGTTGAAGCACCGGAAGTGGATCACATTGATATGACCGCTATCCTCCCCGACTATGCCAGAGAACTCTTGAAGGCGCCTTTAACTCCGAAAAGAAGAAATATCAGAAGGACTAACGCTGACAATTTGGGTGAGATCCGTTTGTTTTGATTATTATTTTCTCAGCTCACCACCTTCCACGAAACGACCGCGGGATTCGGTTACACACCATCACCTACCGAGCCGGCAGAGGAAGAGATGGCCACAGAATTGAACATGTTGAAAGACTTATCAACAGGCAAGGGCGATTTGGAGTTTATATAATTTGATTTAGGTTGAGAGAAACCACTGTAAGAAGACAACGAGAGATCAGAGCCAGAAGAGAAGCCTTGGAGAGAAGCAGATCACTTATCCCAGCGAGAGCTCGGCCAGGCACCGTTACTGAGGCACCTCGGGAAGATCATCATGATATCCACGACGAAGATCAGCCAACCTCCACTTCTCGGCTGGGATTACAACCTCCCGCTTCCACTTCTCCAGATTCTGATAGAAAATCTGGAACTAAAAGATCGGCTCCAGAATCTTTCAACGATTATGATTCGTAAGCTTCCTGACATTTTTTTGTATTGATGCGATTTATGTTTTAATCATCATTATTTTTTTTCAGGAGTGTAAAGCGGAGCGCTTCGGATGGAAACATTCAGGAAATGGAAGTCTCCGAGCCGGTGAGAACTAGTCACAGCAGTCCTAGTGCTTCCAATGTTCCGGACGAAGAACTTCCTCATCAAGGAGAAGATACTCACGAATCTCTGTCTTCAACTTCCTCTTCCTCAACCTCTTCTGGCTCTTCTCCGGCTTCGAATTTCCGTAACAGTATGTCTGATTCGAATGCCGAGGATAAAGCTGACGCCAAGGATGAAGAAGAGGTAGGTTTTTATTGCACTTTATTTTTTATTTTTTGTAGGAGAAACTTCAAAAGGAACGCCAGAAGAGAGCTAACGACCAAAACCAGAGCCTGGAGGTGTTCCACAAGCACTACATCAAACTTATTTCGGGTTTGCCAATTTCGGAGCGATTGATTCGTTTTTTGATTTACGATGAGTAGAAAACGATAACAATTCATGACAACATTTGTATCTAAATTTGTCATAACGATTTCATAAACGTCTATTTCGCTTACCTTTGGGGTTTGAACAGATCTCTGAATCTCAAAGTATTTGTTTTGTGGTGGTGTCCGTTTTTTTAGTGTATCTTTAGTGTCATATGGAGATTGGTTCCGTGTTGAAATTAGATTTTGAAAAGTCGTTGTGCTTTGATAACTTTGGAGATGGAGAACCCTGTATTATGGGCATTGATGAAGCTGGTCGGGGCCCCGTCTTAGGTCCCATGGTCTATGCCTGTGCTGTTACACCAAAAAGTATGTTGATGAAGTTTGAGGAGTTCGGATTTATGGATTCGAAGGCATTAAGTGATAAGAAAAGGAGCATTATCTTCAAGAAGATGAACGCCGAAGAGAATAGAAAGGTATTTATGATTGTTTGTGATGCGTAATATTATTCAGCTGGTTTGCTATTGTTTTACCGAGATCTCCGCAAGATATTTGAGTTCCCAGATGCTAAACTCAAAACTTAAGAAGTCACTGAACGAAGTCTCACATGAATCTGCAATAAATCTCATTCAAATTGCTCTTGACTCCAACATCAAAGTAACTGAGGTAGATTATAAATTATTGTTTGTCATATTGATATTGAACTTTAGGTCTTCGTGGATACTGTCGGTCCAAAAGACAGTTACAAAGCATTGCTGCAATCCAAGTTTCCCCATTTGAGTATTACGGTATCCGAAAGGGCAGATTCTTTGTTTTCCGTAGTCAGTGCAGCTTCAATTGTGGCCAAAGTAACTCGAGATGAGAGGCTGAGGAATTACGTTTTTGTAGAGAAGCATTTGAATTCTTCAGAAGGGATGTTCGGGAGTGGATATCCAGGAGATCCGGTCTCGAGGAAGTATCTGATCGAAAATATTCATCCTGTTTTTGGCTTCAATTCTTTGGTCAGACACAGTTGGAAGCCCTCGATTAAAGCGTTGGATAAGGCAGCTGTCAAATGCGCATGGTTTGTATTTTAATTATTAATTTTACTGTAGTTTAGGATTGATCTGACCAGCCAGCAAAAGATTTCTTCCTTCTTCCAAATCACCTCTGGCAATCGAGTGATCCCCAGATGTAAATATTTCAAAAGTCGAAAACTTACTTCCGCTGTTAATTTTTAATTTTTTTCCGTTTAAAAATATCATAAATACTTTGATGTCAAATGCTAATCAAGTTTTGAGATGGATAACCAATTCATACTTTTGAGAATTGCAAAAAAGTAATTAAGTCTGCTAGAAGGGCAGCTCTAATGCCATCATGGGCATCTTCAACAAGATCTTATTCGGTCTTGTAGCTGCTTACATTGTCAATTCCATCCATACTTTTTACCAGATATTCTATTATGACAATTGTAATGATGAAAAATATTGTATAAATGTAAGTCACTTTACAATAACTAGGGAAACGTGCTTGCAGCCATCCCAAAACAAGATGCGGCATACACCATTCTAAAGAGCTTAAGAAGCCATACTATGAACAACTTTTATTTTTTGCTGACCATGTTTTGGCTAGCCATAAATAGCACATTTGCGGTTTCAAGGATAAAAGTTCGGTTTCGACTTTACGGTCGCCGAAAGAGTTCAGAAAAAAAGTAAAAGTTGCTTCTAGTACAACTTTTTGAGCCCTTTTTTTGAAACTTGTTTTGTGATGGGCGGTAAGTACACTTAAAACTTTTAGCCCTTGATCAAACGAGATATTGGACACGCATGGCCTCCAGTTCAATTGAGAGTGTATTTGGGAGCTGAGAAACGACATCAAAAGGATGATATTACTTTAGTTTATCAGAAGAAAAATTTTGATTTGGAGACCAATTTTGAAGATATGATCCAATACGAGATACCGCCGATCCTGAAAAACAATGGAAGCCTAAGGGCATACGTTGTTTTGGTAGAGAATGACTTTGAACTAGACGATTTGAAGAAAGCGGTAAATGAAAAGCGACTGTATTCTAATCAAATTGCAGAATTGGCAGTCCAGTGATGCTGAATTATTATCCAGATACGATTTACCCAAAGATAAGGCTTTCAGTTTGGTCACAGAAGAGAAGACGGAGAAGGTGTGTGTGTATTTTATTTTTTGTTTTCCATTAAGAGTTCACGTTCCTTGATAACTTTCAGGAAAAGAAAACGCCCATTCCCCACATGTCAAGTGTTATCCCAATCAGCTTCGTCCTTGATGATATTATATTTGATGAGAGAAGAATCCCGGATGAAACAAGGAACAGAATCTCAATCTTGAGGAAGGACGGAAAGAAGAGTTATGCTCCCATTATCAGCATCGATAACATGAGGATTCGAATGTCTGAAGAAGTGGAAATAGATCCGGAAATGAAGGCGGCCAATCTGAGTATAAATTACAAGCCAATTTCATGGGGAAGATACCGTCTGGGTTTGCATATGGAGATGTCTTTTCGACAATTAAAGGGCATGGGATTTGGCGATAAGGACTTTGATGATGTAGGTTTAGAAGCTCAAGTGTCGAAAGGTCCGCTGAGCAAAAACGGCCCGCATTTTTTTCCTAACCGCAGTGGGATCTGGAGGCTTTACAATTTTGTTAGGGTAACCGGCGGCGTTGATTTCAAAATCCAATTGATTTTTTCTGATCTTTACTTGTTTTTTTAATCTACACTCCGTTACGAAAGTATACCCCCTGGAAAATTGCAGTATCTAAGGTTTGGTAAGAGCTATCAAAAAATGCTTATGCCATCCGAAAGAGCATCGAATCAGCCGTTGAAAAAAAATTTGGTCGGTTTGGCAACTGTTTTAAAAGCGACTTCGCGAGAATTTGAATCAACCGGTAACAGTGATGTGCGGTAGAATTTTCCTATACAATTTTTTGAGTTTAAATGATATTATAGAATGGGTCATCTTTAACCCGTCTCCAAAATATTTTTGAAAAATATGGCATGATGACAGATATATGGCAAATTTACGTACTTGAAGAAAACGGTGTATAACGTCCCTACTTTTGCAACCAGGACGCTGAAACCTTCTGAAAATATGTTTTGTTCGTCATTTTTATTGTTGATACAATTTGGTCGGGATTACCGTAACACGGTGATTTTGGAACTGTGTACATTAAGAATAACAAAAAATCTCCATCTTGACGATTTCACGCGATTTCATGAAACTTTTTTCCATATTCGGAATCAGCGTTGAATTCTGCATCGGATGGAGTACCACGCATTGTACAGGGTGGGCCACTCGAAGCTTCCGTTCATTAGAAAAAATGGGTTGGATTTTTTAAATTAGCGCAGTTGATTACCGTACACCCCTTCATATCTCAACGGGCATAGAGAAATCGTTTCTGCGGACCTCTTTGTACCGACCGTTATTATCTGAAACAAAATTTAGATGAAAGCCATCTTTAACGAAATGAACTTCCCATTCTTGGTAATGATGGTCTCCGTGGCTGCTGTTCATCTTCTTTTTGATTTCCTCACCTTCAAAAATGATGTCCAATTCTGGCAACAAAGGAAAACAATGGTGGGGATATCCACGAAGACCTTGTTGTGGAGATGCGTCAGTGAAACGCTCATCTTCTTCTATCTGGCGGATGAGAAATCGAGTTATTTGGTGTTAATTCCTTCAGGCATTGGTACCATAGTTGAATATTGGAAACTGAGAAGGGCCCTGAAAATGGAGCTCTATCTGAAGAAGGGATGGATCCCATGGCTAAGATTTGGGAAACTTAACAAAGAAGAAGAAAAGACAGAAGCTCTGGACTCGGAAGGAATGAGATATCTCACCTTTCTCCTCATCCCTTTGTGTGTCATCGGTGCCATTTACAAGTTAGTTTTTCTTTTCGTTTCAAAAATGATTTATATTTTATTACATTACTATATGTATGTGTTTAGTTTGTTATATGTGCCTCAAAAGTCATGGTACAGTTGGTTGATCAAGTGTCTGGCCAATTGTATTTATGCCTTCGGGTTCCTGTTTATGTTACCTCAACTTTTCCTCAATTACAAGCTCAAATCCGTGGCTCATCTTCCCTGGAGAGCTTTTATGTATAAGGCAAGTTTCTATGTGTAATGAAATCTAACGTTTTTAGGCCTTTAACACCTTCATCGATGACGTTTTTGCATTTATAATCACCATGCCCACTGCCCATCGTCTTGCGTGTTTCCGCGACGATCTTGTTTTTGTCATCTTCTTGTATCAACGATATTTATATCCAGTTGATAAGAGTCGAGTCAACGAATTCGGAGAATCCTTTGAAGATGACAAGAAGAAGAAGGAGGAATGATCGTGTGTATTACATTATTTATTCATGTTTTACACACAATCGTTAATTTAATCGAGTAAACTGTGATTTGTTTGAATTGATATCTTTGATTTGAATGCCGATGCTAATCATTTTTACTGTTTATGCATGCATTCCCCGTATAATATCCACCAGAAGTTCAGACGCCCTTTTCCTGGAGAAGGTTGCGGTCCGTAAGTTTCGTAACTTTAGTAATAATCGACAAAAGTTAGCCCCGGCTTTACGTAAAGGACGACGCCTGTGAGCAAAACAATAATAGATCTGACCATGTAAAAATGGAAAATAAGAGGAATCGCCGCCTTTCAGTACAGTACTGACCTTTTCCCGGGCCCGAGACAATGCGGTCTGGGACAAAGCAACCGGTATAAAACGATCCGAGGCCGGGAAGAGTGTCAGTTCTTGTTTCAGTCCCCTTCCATCCTTTGCCTTAAGGCTCCAGACATGGGAAGACGGAATCTCTTCTGGGGGCTTCTGATTCTGGGAATCTGTTTGGCCGAAGCCAGTAAGTGGACTGGGAGTGGATTTGTTTACTTTATTTTTACATTGTAATGTTGCTTTGTAGGAGTTCGATTATCTGTTAGTAATAAAACCCCCAAAGAAGGAGCTGACACCAAGAAAGACGGGAAATGTTGCTGTCACATCTGTTTAGTAAGTCCTGTTTTTATCTAATAAGTTTTATCAGCATTACAATATATATGACATTGCAGGATTGCCCATGTTGTTCGTGTAAACAGGAGTATTTCAAATCCAAGAGAACACTTCTAGGATCTGAAGACAGAAAACTCAATTTTGCCGCTGATGCTACCCCGTTGACCCCACCGACACAGTCAGGTTCCCCCACAACCGCAGTGGTTACAGCTAAAACTGATATACCGATCACTACTACGACTGGTTCTACAACAACGGATACAACTACGCTTGCTACTACGACTACACCATCAAGTACCCCAGAAACCCAACCAACAGCCACTTCGGGCTATGCTACAACTCCTTGTGGAACCACCCAGCCCACGTACGCGACTCAGCCCACCTATGCCACCCAGCCTACTTATGCCACAGCCCCGACCTACGCCACCTCTCCGACCTACGCGACCCCACCTCCCGCTTATCCGACCCCGCCTCCCTGTGTTACCCCAACCAATCCCGGGTATCCAGCCCCATCTTGTCAAGTCAGCTTGGAAAGAGTCTGTTACCACTGTCCTTGCCTCGGGCAATGTGCATTGGTCCCTAGACAACAGTGTAATTGTATCGCCAATCCTATACAATATCATTGCCGTAAGTGTACCAAAATATAAGCAGCAATGTAATACAAATTTCAGAGCCTCCACAACAAATTCTTGTTGATTCTCTCCAGATTAATGTCTACTATGGTCAAGGATTCAATCTCTCGTCCGATCTGAACACCTTTGTCTGTCAGTCGTATCCAGCACCCCCCGCTCCAGGCCCTTACAATCCAGGGGTTCCAGGATATCCCTCAGGCCAACCTTCAGGACAAAACCAATGGTGGAATGGTCAGCCGGGATACATTCAGCCTGGCCCCGGCCCTTACAATCCACCAGTGCCAATCCCCACTCCAGGCCCTCCACAGCCAATCACCGGTGCTCCTCCCGCTCCACTTCCCCCACAACCACCAGTTCCAATCACATTCCCTCCCCAACCTGCTCCAATTCCCCCAGTTCCCACCCAAATCCCCTACAATCCAGTTCCTCCTTTCCCAACCAGACTTCCACCTGGGCCACCAGGTCCTTATTACCCACAGCCACCAGCGCCTTGGCCTCCAGTTCCCACGGTAGTCCCACCAGTGCCAGTGCCAGTCTACCCCTTCCCTCCAGGTCCACCAGTCCCAATCGTCAGCACTGTTGTCCCTCCAGTCCCGGTCTATCCCCTGCCCAATGGAACCACTCCAGTCTACGCTTCGACCAGTCCATCTGCCTACGTTCAGCCCAGCTCGACCACCAAGAAGCCCTCCAGTGCTTCATCGATCTCTCAACTTCTGACGATGGCCGTGATCGTGGTCTCATTCCTCTTGACATGCTTCTAATCTCAAGTTAATGTCCAGACACTCGCGTGTTAACTGTTTGTATAAAAAGCAGAGCCAATAAACCAGCATCGTAATTTTGGGGACTTTATAAATGCAATTCTTGAACTCTTAAAGATTAAAACCCTTTAATCTGGAGGCCTTGACGACCATTATGGTCAAAGATAAGACCACCATGATTCCAGTGATCAAGTTGAATAATATGAGGATCATCGGAGTTTTTGGGATGTTCTAAAAAGGAATTTCAAAGTATGCTTCCTCTTACTTGTTCGGGGATTTCATCGCTCTGTTCCTCAGCCGGATTATAAAATCTTTCGATCCGATCGGGATCTCGCGCCAAAAATTTTTCGGAATGAACGATCCATTCACAACAAATAAACATTATAATTGTGACTGAGAGGCCCACAATTAAAATATAAACTGGTAATCTACCATAGTATTCAGTCAACCCGATCTTCTGGAGCTGTACTCCAATAAAAGCATTCGCGCCTTCAATTATTTAAGTAAGAATAAAGTAATTAACCTACTGAATCCAATGTAAATAATATAACCAGTGAATGTGTGCAAGAGGTTCCATGCTTTTCGAGAGACGGCAGACACCGAGGGTCTACAGTAACCCGCCACGATCTGGGAGATCACCAGGGAGCCGATTATTGTACCCAAAATTGTGTGGAGTTGTTGGAAATAGGCCTAAATTAAAAGTTATTTTTTTAGCTATTTTTACATTGTAATCTTTACAGCGGATTCGGTCCGAACGGTGCACCTGACGAATTGTGCACCTGGCTGAACGGCGCACCTGGGTGAACTGTGCACCTGGCTGAACGGTGCACCCACCTGACATTTTATTGTTTGAACAGTGCACCTAGGCGAATGGTGCACCTTGAAAAATTGTTGAAGAAAATTATTGAAGAAAATTTGAAAGGTTTTCGTTTCGGGACAACGAAAAAGGATTTTTTTTTGAAAATTTTTTAAAAAATTTGAAAGGTTTTCGCTTCGGGACTGGGAAAAATGATTTTTTTGGAAATTTTTTAAAAAATCTGAAAGGTTTTCGCTTCGGGACAGGGAAAAAGGATTTTTTTGGAAATTTTTTAAAAGTTTTGAAAGGTTTTCGCTTCGGGACTGGGAAAAAGATTTTTTTTTGGAAAATTTTAATAAAATTTGAAAGGTTTTCGCTTCGGGACAGGGAAAAAGGATTTTTTTGGAAATTTTTTAAAAGTTTTGAAAGGTTTTCGCTTCGGGACTGGGAAAAAGATTTTTTTTTGGAAAATTTTAATAAAATTTGAAAGGTTTTCGCTTCGGGACAGGGAAAAAGGATTTTTTTGGAAAATTTTAATAAAATTTGAAAGGTTTTCGCTTCGGGACAGAAAAAAAGGATTTTTTTGGAAAATTTTTAAAAGTTTTCAAAGGTTTTCGCTTCGGGACAGGGAAAAAGGAATTTTTGTGTATAATTGAAAAGAATTTGGAAAGTTTTCCCTTCGAAAAAGGAAAAAACCCATTTTTTCTTTGTGAAAAGGTAAATATGACAATGGAGATCAAAGCAAGTTTTTTGACTGATTTTTTTGTGTGTGAAAAGATAAATATGACAAGGGGGGATCAAGGTAAGCCGTTTTTATCATTTTTTTTCATTGTGAAAAACTAAATATGGCAAGGGGAGATCAAGGTAAGCTTTTTTTGACAATTTTTTGTTTGTAAAAAGATAAATGAGGGGCAGCATAATGGATGGAATGCCATCTTAAAACACGATTTCTGACTCACTGAATCAGCCGTGTGCAAGGCCGGGACATAGGAAATTTTCGATTTTGAGATTTACAGCTGGATATGACCATCATATAAATGTGTCCCTGAAGCCTTTGCCCTAAATCTCCCGTTAACCTAGTTTTATTTACAATTTAAGCAATTTACAGTAACGTCAAATAACTCAAAATTGAGAAGACACAGAGGCGTAACACTGTTACCATGTATGTTTTTGGGTACTGGGAATCCAACGGAGGCGGTTTTGGGTCGAAACGATTACTGTAACATAGCAAACTTGAGCTTCGGCCGCACAAAATCGGCCGTAAAAAAGTTGTTTCTGAAAACCCACAGCTGAATTTTTGATATGTTGATCAGCATAAAATTCTGCCCTAGAAACATTAAAAAAAAGTCCAAAAATGCGGGGGGCTATTTTCGTGGTATAGTGGATTTTGACAAAAACTACCAATCTGACGGCCCGAGTTCGAGTCCGGGTGGACGCAAATCGCTTAGAATTGGTCGGGAATGACTTTAAAGGCGAGGATATGGAAGAGTGAATTTATTTCAGGTGATTTTGATAACATTCTGGCAATTTTCGGATTTTTTGGTGGAAAAAAGGCGAAAATACAACTTTTTAACAAATCGTATTTTACACGGCTGTTTTGCGTTCATGACAGAATAAGAACTTATATGTAGTGTTTTTAAGGTGTCTCCAACAAGTAGAAACCATTTTCTGAGTATTTAGATGTTATACTAGGAATCTGTTAATTTTGCCTCTTGCAGGCATCAGTAGTAACGACATTTGGCTAATAACAACGTAATTCACTGTTTTATGACCATATTTCACACTTTTTTCAGATGAGTTTAATTGCCAAAAAAACTCTTCAAACGATTAAATATAAGTTCTTATTCTGTCATGAACGCAAAACAGCCGTGTAAAATACGATTTGTTAAAAAGTTGTATTTTCGCCTTTTTTCCACCAAAAAATCCGAAAATTGCCAGAATGTTATCAAAATCACCTGAAATAAATTCACTCTTCCATATCCTCACCTTTAAAGTCATTCCCGACCAATTCTAAGCGATTTGCGTCCACCCGGACTCGAACTCGGGCCGTCAGATTGGTAGTTTTTGTCAAAATCCACTATACCACGAAAATAGCCCCCCGCATTTTTGGACTTTTTTTTAATGTTTCTAGGGCAGAATTTTATGCTGATCAACATATCAAAAATTCAGCTGTGGGTTTTCAGAAACAACTTTTTTACGGCCGATTTTGTGCGGCCGAAGCTCAAGTTTGCTATGTTACAGTAATCGTTTCGACCCAAAACCGCCTCCGTTGGATTCCCAGTACCCAAAAACATACATGGTAACAGTGTTACGCCTCTGTGTCTTCTCAATTTTGAGTTATTTGACGTTACTGTAAATTGCTTAAATTGTAAATAAAACTAGGTTAACGGGAGAATTAGGGCAAAAGACTTCAGGGACACACTTATATGATGAGTGCGGTCATATCCAGCTGTAAATCTCAAAATCGAAGATTTCCTATATCCACGGCTAATTCACCGAGTTAGAAATCGTGTTTTAAGCTCAAGTACAACGCTCAACAAATTCATTGAGTTAATAGCGCCTGATCTTGAAAAGCAGGGACTAAACATCCTTCCAATCTTGACAAATCAGGCAATGCCAAAACGTCGAGCCTCTGATGTAGCCAGAGATGAGATCATAACTCGTGGATCCGAAAAAAATATTGAAGAGATTGCAAGGAACATCGTGTTTCCCATGGTGAAAGTAAAACGGTAAGAAACGAAAGAACTACACTTACATCTGATTATTTTTAGGCTTGCTAGGTTCTGTTCGTATTTTTGTGGCGCACCGGCAACAGCCCTATTGGAGTAACATTTTTTTCACAGACGAAAAATTACTCAGAACAAGTTGCCTTGATCTCCCCTTTCATATCTAGCTTTTCACAAACAAAGAAATCAGTAAAAACGGCTTACCTTGATCCCCATTTGTCATATAAAAAAAATCCGTCAAAAGAATTTGCCTTGATCTACCCTTGCCATGTTTATCCCGAAGCGAAAACATTTCAAATTTTATTAAAATTTTCCAAAAAAAAATCCTTTTTCCCAGTCCCGAAGCGAAAACCTTTGAAAATTTTACTAAAATTTTCCAAAAAATCCTTTTTCCCTGTCCTGAAGCGAAAACCTTTCAAATTTTATTAAAATTTTCCAAAAAACTCCCTTTTCCCTGTCCCGAAGCGAAAACCTTTCAATTTTTGTTCAATTGTTCATGAAAAATCCTTTTTCCCAGTCCCGAAGCGAAAACATTTCAAATTTTATTAAAATTTTCCAAAAAAATCCTTTTTCCCAGTCCCGAAGTTCGCCCAGGTGCACTGTTCACACAGGTGCACCGTTCGCCCAGGTGCACAGTTCAAAATGTGTCAGGTGCACCGTTCGCTCAGGTGCCCCGTTCAGCCAGGTGCACTGTTTGTTTCAGGTGCACTGTTCGACACAACCATAGAGGGTAATGTTTCCGCAAAAAATCAATTTTTCCGCACGAAACTGCCAAAGTTATGGCCAAAAAGCGGTTTTTCCTCTGACCGCTCTCCACGTTTAGCGAGCTCTCTCGGCGGCAAAAATCGTTCAATATCTCGGCGGCGCTTGCAAAGCGCGAGCTAAAACTTTCAGGAATTGATATTTAGTCCATACCCGACGTGTGTGCAAAATTTAAAGAAAATCTGAGCGTCGCACTTGGGGTACTTCCCTTGTTAGCTTGCGTTTGAAAGCTTCATACATTAGAATTTTCAATTATTCTCCCTTACCTTTTGCACAAACGTCCTTAAACATTTCCTTTTCATTATCTACCATTATCTAGTGAATATAAATTTTTCTTTGAGCCGGACTGGATTGCAGCCATGCTCTTACTAAAGGTGTCCCTCAGTCTGTGTTGACCAGAAATGTCGTCAACCCGAATTGTCGGGGTAAGACACTTATGTTGTAAACTCACATAGATCTCACACATCTCTGTGCATTTAAATGTATTCCGATCCGATTGATAAAAAATCAAGAAAATGGCCACTGATAAACAGCAAAATCCGAGGCTATTGATCAAGCGATGTAACTGAAAGCATACTGTAACAAATTTCAAAAAATGATTACCTGAAACCAGACAAATTGATGGCAACATCTATTCAAATAATCCTTCCCAAATCTGGCAATCATAATACTGGTCGGGAATAAAACAAATAGTAAAATCAACATCAAGATCAGATGGGTCAGAATAAATTTTTGTTTGGTCAGTTGACTGAATGATTGGTCTTGTTTAAAGTCCGTCAACCAATCATAAGAGGGCTGGGAACAACTCGGACTGCAAAAAGTTGTAGTCTCTGTGCTGATAAATGGATACAGATTCCCCGGGGAAATTGAATGCATGTGGATGTTGTAGGCTAAGGTGACAAAAATATATTAATTTAATTAAGGTGCTTACTGTAAGCATCAGCTGATCCCCTGGCCAACAAAAAATGGTATTCGATACTATTGTCAGATAAATTATAGATTTTGGAAAGAGAATCAGCCGGGAGTTGATTGTAGGCATCCAGGTTCCACCTCCATTGACAAGTTATTTTGCCTGCGGCACTGACTTCAGCTTGGGAAATTAATAAATCAGATTCCTAAAGGGAAGTGACGACTAAAGAAGAACAAATTATGATTACCTTATATAATCGATAATTGTGAGTTCCATCATTCCAGGAGAGATAAACCGTACTGTTTCCCATGGCGTTCGTCACGCAAACGATTACCGTGTCAGCTCCCTAAAACAGTGATACTCTTAGGCTGTAAACAATTACCATAGTCTCATCCAAAGACAGGCCCAAGGCCACGTAATATCCACCATAAGTATTCAAATACTTGTGCAGATCGTCATTGTAAACTGCGAAGGTAAAAGTAATGTAAGAAGACTCGACCACCCAACTCAGAGCGCTCAGACAAGTCTGATCAGTGGTGTAACATTCATTAGGGATGATCCAACAACCAGTGCCAGAGCCATCTCTCCCATCATAACATTTGAATCCTGTGATGACAAATTATTTTGAAACATCACATTACTTTTATAATGAACTCTTACTTTGTTGCACAAAATTGTCACTTTTTACAAGATAGAGAAGAAAAAAAATCAAAAGTAAAACGAACATTTTAATCTAGTTAACGCAGACAGCATGGGGTTTCTAATGGGAAATTAATAAAACATTCGTTTCCTTGACAATCGAGCCTTTCCCATTCTCACATAAGGTTTCTCGAAAGTATCTTCACAAAATACAATCCTAAATTGGGATTATCTCGAACAAGCTTTTACAAAGTAACTAAGAATTCAGTTCCAATTTAATAAAACCCAAGTCCAGATAGGACAACTCAAAGATGGTCATAAAAAAAGGTGCCTTTCAGAAAAAGTTTACAGATGGCTAACGTACCTATGTCAATCATGGAATTTTTGCGTAATGATGAAACCCACAGCCCTTGTGTTTTGACATAATAACGCAAAAATTGTTACAGTAATCATTTTTTCGTATATAAGAGTGGTGCTTTATATTATTCCAAAAAGTTTCAAACTTACTTCATTTTTGGCCTACATGAAATTTTGTGGCCTACATCAAAATGCCGTCTGCCTACGTGAAAAAATTTCATGTGGGCCAAAAAATTTTTATTTTTTTTTGGCATATGTGCTTTTTTTCATGTGGGCGAAAAAAAAATTTTTTTTTGGCATATCAGTCTGGAAAATAACGGCGGGTCGTCGCATCAAAATGACTCGCCGCACCGCAATCGCGCACCAAATCTCCAGCTGTTGCCGCCGTCGCAAAGCGATGATGGGCGATTCCGAGGCGCGACGATCCACCGTTATTTTCCCGACAGACTGATACATTAAAAAAACACCTATGCCAAAAACAAATAAAAAATTTTTGGCCCACATGAAAAAAAATCACCTATGCAAAAAAAAATAAATTTTTTTGCCTAGGTTGAAAAAAACGAAAATTTTCATGTAGGCCAAAAATGAAGCAAGTTTGAAACTTTTTGGAATAATATAAAGCACCACTCTTATATCTTCCTAAAAAAATTGCCATGTTTTTGAAACATTTATTTTGAAAAATTAGAAAAATGATTCATTCTAACCTTTGTATCTTCCGGATGAGCGGTGTTCCAGATCGCCGTCGGATAAAGCGCTCCAATCGAAGTCAGAGTTCAGATCAGCCGCCCTCTTCACCCCAGCCGAGGAGACCTCCTCTGGACCCTAAGGACGGGAGATGGATGGCCTGGATCTCTTCAATGACCGGGGCAGACCCCTCAGTCCCTCCAAGTCATCATCAACAAGGAAATAAGCAAGGTCCGAAAAGAAGAATTCCGTCAAGAAGTCAGATCTGTATTGAAGAAGATGAGGAAACACAGAATCCAGTGCCAGGAAGCGAGAGGCAATGGGCTCGGAAGAAAGACAAGGGAATCCCTGATGTGGAGAGCACCGAAATATTCACAGATGTTCACGATGACATGACCGATGACAGTGTCAAAGAGTCCAAACCAAAGTCGGTGACCACTCGGGACGCTACAAATGTGAGACGATGCTTCTATCCGATTGTCAGGTCTTACACACGGGAATTGGTAAGTTTGTTTTTGCTTTGAGATTTGTTTTAGATCGTTGCTCCTCAATGCAAATACAAGACAATCTCATTCCACAAGCATCAACATGTCTTCGAAACCGATACCCAAAAACAAATCACCCATAAAAGAGCGATGAGATCCCGGGCGGATCCATGGAGAAGATATGGGGCTCAGCAAGCGATCCACAGACTGGGCGGTCATGTCATCACCTCCAATGTGAAGAAGAACAGGAAGACCAAATACGTGATCCCAGGGACTCCCATGCCCCCTCCTCCAAGTAGGTTGTTCTTTGGTCGCGGAAGATGACCTTTTCTCGATCTTGTGTAATGCATTGCAAACGGATCATTCTTTCGACCTGCAGTAATTGTAAATACTATCTCGATTAATGTTGAGTACTTACGATGATCGTTTTGCACTGTGCATTCTCCTTTTGTTTTTCAGAATTGAAGCCAATCACCACCCTCAAGGAACTGTACGCCCGTCCTCTGATCGGGGCCACTCGAAAGCCCAGTTTTCCCGAAGAGAAAGGTACTGATAACACGCATGCCCCTGATCTGGATGATCCAGGAGATTGCTGTTCTTCCCCTCCACCGTCTTCTCCTCAGTCGGAGAGGGAACGGTGAATGATCCACTGTTGCACATCTGTTTATAAAGTCTTTATCCGAGTTTCATCCGGATTGAAACGGAGCGTCGGTCCAGTCGGGGGTTTCACCTGGAACGACCTCCCTCCTCCAACTTCATTCTTCTTCTGACTTGTTTCGTCTCCAAGGGGGGTGCTTATTATTGCCTCCGACGTCTTCAGTTCTTGTTTTAAAACTCTCACTTTGTATATGTTTTGGTATTATTTCTCTGACGACCTTGGCTTTCCCGCCGAGTCATCTCATTTACAGCTCAGACACCATCCTGGACTGGCATTGCCTTAAATGGTGTGCAAGGCCGTGATCATTTGGATGGGTCGTTAAGTTTGAATGAGATTGTCAGAAATTCCGAACTTTCTGCCTCCCCCACCATCTCTTCAGATAGGATGGTGATCAACGATACGGACCTCGGTCAGCTACATCTAAATAATCATGGGCGTCAGTTAATTGAAGCGATAATTGACCGTCCCTTTGCGCAATAAGTCTTGTCTTGGGTGAAGCGTTAATTGCCTTCTGGAGAGTTATTGTACTCCGTTCTCCCTTCAGCGGAGATTCCTCTTTCCCCTCACTTGCAGTCTAACTAAGTGGCTCTTGGTTTAGATGATGAGGGGTCCCTGAACTCGTTCCGAACATGTTTGTATACCCGACTTTAATTATGTTACAATGCGTTCTATTTAACGCGAGATCCTTCTTTTGTACAATTCAAGGTCTTTAATCGCGTATCCATACCGATTTATTCGTTACGCATCGTTCCGTTCTTAATTCGGAGCTCTTTTGAGAATGCGATGTCGAATACCGACATTGGACAAGCCCTTGATGAGGCTGTTTGCCTGGTATACGGCCAACTTTCTGGTCGATTATTACTACCTGTTCATCGTGGGGCCTGTTCTCTTGACCGCATTCCTGAGCTTGGGCCTTTTTCGGATCAAAGAGCTGACGATTCTTGATGCCAAGTTGCTGTACACTCCCGCGACCGCACCTTGTTGGCATGAGGAAGAGACTTTGTCCAAGGTATCGATTATTTTGATTTCATAAGTCATCAAGTTTCTTCACAAAATATTTATTTATCTTTTCAGTTATGGCCAATCAGGCCGAACGAATTCCTTCCTGAACGGACTTTCGAATGGAATAGATTCGTTTATCTTGTTGTACATGGCAGGGAAAAGAATGAAACCGGTTTTCCAAATATTTTGGAGAACAAATACTTGGATGAGATCGAGAAACTGGAGGCTGACGTTGCTGAGAATGTAGCCTTTGGGATGAAAAAGGTCTGGAAAAGCAATCAAACCAGCAACATTAAAGACATTGTCAGATTCAAGGTAATCAAGTAATCACTTTTATCCGACCATTTGCAGGACATTTGTCTCAATTGGAATGGGGAATGTTATCGACAAACGGGCATCATCAATCTGCTCAAACGAAGATCCGAATTCGAATCTCATGGAATTGGGATCACTTTCCCTCGGGCAAATACCAAGGGAAACCCCATTTACTTGGCCTTTAATGTGGGGGGAGTAGAGACTTTCAAGAACGATTCTATCAAGGTAAGGTGAACAGCAATACTAGTAGTCTTGGGCAGTAATACTGGCGGGTTTAAACAGTAAAACAGGTTGAATTGAGCGGTAATTTCCAGATTAAAATTTCTCTTAATCTTTCCAGGTGGTGAAGGGCATGCGATTGTTTTATTTCCTCCGATTTGATACCCCCGAGTACAACGAAATGGGGGTCCAATGGGAAGACACCGCCAAGCAATACATCGAAAGTCATTGGATCCATCATCCATTGCTTGAGGTAATCAAAAAAGTCAAAAAACATCAAAAAACGACTTCTATCTATCTTCAGGTGCATGTAAAACATTCGAGGATATACGATCAGGGCTTGACCGAGAATGCAAACAATTTAAAGCCATATTTTACAGTTACGGTAATCGTACTCATCACTTTTACAACTCTGTACGCATTGAAATGGAGCTTTAATGAAGAATATCCATGTTTTCCAAGTGAGTTTTGACCAAGGTGCCGACATTACTCTTCAGTCTTGCTTTATGTCAGTAACCTTTTTAGTTCGAGTGGATTGGCTGAGATCAAAGCCAGCCTTGGCCTTAGGCGGTGTTCTGTCCTCAGGCATGGCCATCATCAGTGGGATTGGGATGCTCCTTTGGTTGGGCTGTTTCTTTGCGGAGATCACTTTAGTCGCTCCTTTCTTGGTTCTTTGTAAGTGGTAATGTAAAACGGCTGCCGACCCTTCGCCTATGTGTGAAACATCCGCGCCATCTTGGATAGCTGCCAAGAGCACGAAGATATATGGCTCGGGACTTGTAAATCTCTCCGCAAGAGTCCATACGAACCCTGCAAATTTAGTCCAAAGTTAAAAGTTGACAAAAAAGGAGGAGGCGACGGAGAAAGGCAGCAATTCTTACAAAGAGAGAAATTGCGCAATGTTATGTAAGATTGCGCAACTTTTAACTTTGTACTAAATTTGCAGGGTTCGGATGGACTCTAGCGGAGAGGTTTGGAAGTCCCGAGCCATACATATCCGTTAAATTTTTTTTCGATTTCATGAAACACCCTGTATCATCACAAATTAATCTGATTACAGCCATCGGAGTCGACGATATGTTCATTGCTGTGGCTGCATGGCATAATACAGAGTTGAAGTTCACGGAAAAGACAAAGGAGTCCCTCAAACATCGGATGGTGGATGCCATGTCCGAGAGCAGTGTGGCCATCTTCATCACCTCCATGACTGATGTATTTTCCTTCGCCATCGGATGCTATACAGACATCTTGGCGGTCAGGGGATTCTGTATGATGACTGCTGCTTGCATGTTCTTCACCTTCTTTTATCAAGTGAGTCGCTTTTATAACTTTTTATATTGTTCCCATATTATTATGTTTAATCAATCCTAATTTAGATAACTTTTTTTGCGGCGTTGATGGTGCTAAGCGCCAAGGTGCAGATGTCTCAACGGAACTCTTGTTTACCATGTGTAAAGACCATAGACAGATACGAAAATAATCCGAGAAAACAACTAAAGTCGAAGAAGAGGGAGAATAAATGTTTGGAGGAAGTGGTGGAAGCCAAAAGACGCGCGATTATGTTGGGTATAATAGAATATAGCAACGTCAGCCTGATTCCATCATGCTTTCAGATCAACGTCGCTTTGCAACCGATGAACTCAACTCAAAATATTCGAATGGGAGTTCTTCTCCCGGTTCCCAGGCCTCCAATTCCTCTTCAGAATACTCTCTGGATGCCAAATCTCGAGGAATTATGGGACAATTTTTCAGGTACAATGCTCACCGGATTACGTAATGATTGATCAAATTGCAGACAATATTACATCGACTTCATACTAGACTCAAAAACAAAAATTCTCATGTTTTTTGTGTTCATGGGATATTTGGGCTTATCCATTTATGGGATTATGACCATGGAACAGGGACTAGACTACGAGAAGCTGCTTTTGAATACAGATCCCTTAGTCAGGACCGTCAAAGTGGAGATAGAACTCTTCCATGGGGGCGATCAAATTGAAATTGCTGTCTCCAAGGCGCCGGATATGACCAAAAAAGAAAATCGACGGCTCATCGAGAGTATTGTAGAGGAATTCGAGGCTATCGAATACTCAATTGGACCCAAGGGCACTCAATTATGGACAAGAGAGTATCAAAAATACGCCAATCAGACTGGTAGGAGTCTTATAATAACAAAATAAAAAATAATTTCTAGGGTCTTTTCTTCACGATGACTATGAATCCTGGGTCCTTGGAGCCTACGAATGGAGTCAACTTTTTGCCTATTATAAATTATGGTCTCAAGATTTTGTCTGGGAAAACGAGCACATCCCAGAAAAAATCAAAATGACGTCATTTCGCTTCCGAATTGGGGTCACTGAGTTCAACACCCCCACAGATTTGGTAAGAGTCACCCAGATGTTGAGAGATATCGCCGCCAAATACGAAGATCTGGGTATTGTGACCTACCAGCAGAGTAGAAGTATCGCCGACCAACTGAATGTCCTCTTGCCGAACACAATGCAGAATGATGTAGCGGCAATGTTCTGCATGATCGTGATCAGTCTTTTGTTTATCCCTAATCCCATCTGCACTTTCTGGATCTCCGTGGCCATGGTGACCATTGATGTTGGTGTAATTGGTCTCCTCTCCTTGTGGAGTGTCAAGTTGGATCCCATCTCAATGATCACATTGATCCTTTCCATTGGATTCTCCATCGAATTCAGTGCCCATGTTACTTATGGCTTCGTCAGCAATGAGAATAACCTCACTCCAAGACAAAGATGCATTGATACCATGGAGAAATTGGCCTGGCCGATGGTCCATGGATCAATGTCCACGATCCTGGGAGTGCTGGTGTTGGCTTTCATTAACTCTTACATGGTCCTGGTCTTCTTCAAAACCATTTTCCTGGTGATGGTTGTTGGTATTTTCCATGCGCTCGTAATCTTACCCATCGTTCTTCATGATACTGCGCCCTTGACTGATAGACTGAATGATTACTTAGAGAAAAGGAAACAGGAGATGTAGTGATTTCAGCCAGTCATGATCTCAATGCCATCCTCTCAGGTTGTTTTTCTTGCAGTAGCTTCTAATATTTGTTGTAATTAACTCATTTGGAAAATAAAACGGGTTCACTTGATTCATCTATAGAAATGATCTTTTCAACCCAAATGAAAAATACCACAAATAAAACATGTTCGAGTTTATTACAAATAAAAATAATGAAATTTAGCGTTATATTCAAAGCTGGTAGAGAAAGAGATTAAGAGTGAAATACAACCGAAAATGGAAACAAAACAAGAAAAGGTACACGTATGGATAAAACTCTGTTCCGCCTTCTGATCCAACAAGTTTGCGGTCTTCTAGATGAACCCGAAACATCGAATAAATTAAAATAAAAACTTTTAAATAGTGAAAAGCTCATTGCACTGAACAAGATACGATAAAAAAACACCAGATTATTAGTAAACAGGAGTCCTTTCTTTGGTTTAGTGATTCAGGACTTTAGAGTCGCTCGTTCTGGTTCTGCAATTCATTAAAATGTAGTACGACCATCACTTGGAAACAACTAACGACAACTTTGTAAACTTACCTGTTGCTGATTAAACAAAGCCCCGTTTTCTTGGTCATATGCATAATTGTTTGGATGATAGAAATCAGGACGGGCATTCAAATTCTCGGTATTCAAGGGCTCGGTGGCCGAGTTCAGAACAAGTTGACTTGGGGGATTCGAAATCTGATGGGCGTTATTAGGGATGGCTCCAAGGGTATTGTCTCCACCACCAATATCCACCGTATCTAAAAAATATAAATATTAAATACCATTTATAACTTCATCCAATCCAAACTACTAAAAACGTGCCAGGATCTTCAACAGTTCTTCGGTAAATTGGATTGTCGAATTGAAGAGCGCTGAAGTGTTTGGACCGTTTTCCCTTCCACATGTATCCCACGATTCCAACAGCTGCCACAACCAGAATAAACATCATGAACATCATCGAGAAGTTGCCTCCTTTCACGCCAACAAGTTCATCTACGGCAGACTCCAAGGCAACACATTGATGAACTTGCTCGGGGTCAATCTTGAATCCCGATTCGCAGACACATTGGTAAGGAAGACCAACAATTTTCTTCTCATCTTTGGTATTCGTGGCAATCACATGAGCTCGGGGAAGGCACATCTGAGCACAGTTATTCTCCATACATTTGTTGGGATGAGATGGCTGAGCTTGTTCGTGATATACTCTAACCGTCATGGGACCAGCAACTCCCTTGAGAAGGGTAGTGACGTCATCTCCTCTGAACTTGTTGACGGTGAGGACTCCTTCTTGATCCCAATCAGTCCAATAAAGCCTTTCCTCAAACACGGTCAAAGAAAACGGATGACGGAGATGAGTGTGGGAATGGAGGACGGTGCGAACATTTTTTCCATAGTAGTCAGAAGAACTGATCATCTTCACCTTCGCATCGGCCCAGTAGATTCTTTGTTCGAGGATATCTAAGGCAAGTCCATTCGGCCATCTAACAGTACTGCCGGTCAACACTTCCATCCTGTCTTCCCCATTCATTCCGGCTCTTTCAATACGAGCATGATTTCCCCAATCAGTCCAGAAGATCAAGCCAGCTGAAGGATCGACGGCGATGGCGCGGGGTTCATCAAGACCTTGATCAATGATCACCTTCCGCTTTCGAGACACCAAATCCAAAACACTAATCTGAAACAAACATAATAAACACAAAAATTAAAATGGGAATGGATGAACAGCTACCACTTACTCGATCCAATCCAGTATCAGTCCAGAAAAGAAGCCCATGAATCCAATCAACGGCGAGTCCATCTGGAGTTTGAATATCAGTTCCAACCAAAACAGAATCTGGACGAGACAAACAATCCTTGACATCAGAATCTCCGAAGAACGTCTTGTTTTCCACTTGGCACATCATGATCTTCTCTTTGGCCACATCTGACCAGATTACGGTATTCTTTTGATGCCAGTAATCCATTGCCACTGCGGACTCCAGTTGTTCAACCAAAGGATGATATTTGTTGGTGATGAGATCATATCTTCTGATGGCTGCTCGGTTGGAGAGCAAGAGAAGAGGATCTTGGCCATTAGCCCTGCATTTGGTGGGGACTTGAGCTCCCTTTACACCGTACAACTTGTATCCGGGATGGCAATCACACTTGAAAGAGCCAATCGTATTGGTGCAGATTTGATCACAACTTCCGACAACCTCGCATTCATTGATATCTGAAATGAAAGAGTATAAACAACAGTAAAGAATTCCAAAGGCATTAAAACCAAATAGTCTCACCGACACATTGCCCATTCTTCAATTCAAATCCATTCAAACAATAGCAAACCTTGGCGTTGTTCTTTCCAGAACGGCAATAACAGGACGCATCCTTGGGATCACAAACCGCTAAAAATAATAATAAGACACATAAATAAGCTTCATTTTTTATCTTATGTTTAACATACCAATATCCTTGGAGCAGACAGATCTTGGGCAATCATTCATAGCAGCTTCGTTTCTGCATAGATCGGTGTATTTGATACATCTGATAGGAGTGGTCGTATTACAAGTATACTCAGTGGCCTGGTCACAAGCATAAGCAATGTTTGTTGGAGGGGGAATAGTGGGGCACCCAAACTCATCCGATCCATCAGTACAGTCATCATAACCATCACAGAAGCGGTTCTTGTCGAGACAAACACCGTTCTTGCATTGTTTCTGATTCTCTGTGCACTTGTGGACACATCCCAATTCATCAGAATGATCGGTGCAATCGAAGTCTCCATCACATCTCCATCTTTGACTAATGCACTGGACTCCATTCGCACAACGAAACTCCTAAAATCAAAACCATTGATATAAAAAACCAAATGTCGAATAAAATTGTAACATTACTCACATCAGGGTGACACGTCACGTTTCTGCTAGTCTTGATGGTTGGGCAATCCAATTCATCGCTCTGATCAGCACAATCGGCTTCTCCATCGCATTTCCATTCATGGGGAACACAAAAGGAAACGGTTTTACACTAAACGAGAATAACAAAAGTTAGGTGTTAAGCTTACCATAAAATGATCCTTCGGATTACAAGTGGCCTTGGGATCACAATTGAGTTCGTCACTTCCGTCGTCACAATCTTGATCGCCATCGCATTTCCAGCTGTTGAAGATGCATTTTTTGTTATCGAGGCAACGGAATTCAGATTCTTCGCATTTCTTTTCGGTCAACGTGCAATTCTTTTCATCGGACATATCAATACAATCGCTCTAAAATAACAGCCAAACAATCAAAATCATTCCCCTCTTCTCTAACATATTTCGAAACCTTCTACTCACCTGACCATCACAGATCCAACTCCTTGGAATACAAGATTCCAGATGACCTTGATAGCCCGGACATTTGAATTGATCGGTCTGACATTCAACACCTAAAGCGAGCCAATAAAAAGGCTAGGGAAACCCTTACTCTGACAACCAATTTCATCATCCTTGTTGGGGCAATCGTATTCTCCATCGCATTGCCATTTTTTGGGAATACATTTATTGGAGAAAAGGGAACCAGGTCGGGTAATTCGCCAACCCATGAAGGTCCGGTTGGTCTTCAAACTGGCATCTTCTTCTTGGCATTTGTATTCGTCTGCACCACAGTCATCGCCTTTGTTTCCCATTGCTAAAAAACTTGATAAGACGGGTTTCTAAATATCTAACAACGAAATGAGATTGCACTTACAACAACCGACTTCGTCGTCGCCATCCTCGCAATCCGTGTCGCCGTCACATCTCCAACTCTTTGGAATGCATCTACCAGATTCGCATTTGAATTCGCTCTCTCGGCAATTCCTATCTGAAGATTTATCATAAATACCACAACGCCTCTCCAAACATTAAAAAGTTCAGCAAAAATCTTACAAGTCGAAATGGTCGAAACTTTGGCTTGCCGATCCACACGAGGGTTAGCAATTGCTACAGCTGCAAGCGTCGCAATGGACAACAGAATTGCCCAATTGGAGGCCATGTTCAGGGCCTGAGGGTTAAGACTCTGCAAAAAATAATTCGTGATTCAAAGGTTATCAGAACTCTTATCAAATTCCTTTGAACAAACAATTCGCCCGATTTCAAAAGAGATGAATAATAAAAAATAGAGTTAATGGAGGGCCAAATATTATTCAAAGAGCGTATAAATCATCGTTCATTAAACTCGTCATAAGAGCCGAAAAAATTGAGAAAATGCCAGAGAGAATAGCTGAACCAACAAACTCGGTCGTGAAAGTTTTCGATTAATCAAATTATACTGTCTGAATTACCGACATCACTTTACAAACGCCAGCCTGATCTCGGTCTAGGAAACGATGAAATTGGCCACGTGAACAAAAAAAATACGGGCAAAACAGTTTTTGGAAGCTCAAAAAAATAGTGTAAAATGAATCATTGGAAAGGAAATGATTCACGTTAACTATTTCAGCAAATTAGACCATTAAAATATGTTAATCGGGCCTGCTTTGTGAAGAAAATAGTTTCACGGAAGAACCAAAGTCGAAATCGAATCTCAATTACCGAATTTTCTTATTTTCGCAACTCAAACGTGTCTCCCGATGGCCTTTCCATCTAATTAAATCCACTATCGCGCTTCAACACGCAAAAAAGACGAGAAATCCACGTAAAAGATCAGGTGTGGGTATAATCTGGTGCAAAACTAATAAAAAATGAGAGGAAACACACAAAAATGCATAAAATTGAACACCATGGAAATAACAAAGAAGAAATCCCTTTGAAAACGGGCGCATTCTCGCGGGAGTGATGATTTCCACAGGGAAGAAGTTGGGAGAGCGACACTTGACCCCACACCTTGTTTTTGGGTCAACTCTTCCCCACTGTACGGTAGTTTAATTTATAAACTTATAAAGGTAACATACTTTCGTTGTAGGGCCCAGTAGGGAACTCTGGTCGAAGAAACGAGTGGAAGTAATGTGATTGCAACTTGATTGTTAGTGGGTTTGTCAGCCGAGAGGGTCTTGACTCAAGGGAATGTTGTTTTAGTGGAAAAAGGGGAGAAATAGGTGGGGAACGGAGAATAAACACTGTCATGGGTTAAACGCTTTTGTGCAAATGATTCAATTTTGACCAAGTGAAATGGAATGAAGCCTTTCATGACTATAAATCTGTTTTGTAGTAAATATCTTCATTATTATTGGATTTTTATGTAGTTATTACAATGTTATGATAGTAACTATTAAATTGAAAAAAGAGAATGGTCAAGTTCCACAACCACCTTGTATTCAGCAGAGACCACAAGTTTGAGGGCAGATCTCCTTCTTTTTGTCCGCTTTTACCTTATCCGTCTCACAGAATCCGTACTTCTTCCAAATTGAACATTCTCTACAAAGTATTATTAAGGTATTGTAAGTTGTAAATATGTAATTTGAGTAAGAGCATGGCGTGCTCGCTCTGAGTGTAATGTAGTCTCGAAATGTTTTCTTACTTCATTTTGTCCTCACATCCAGGCGGTTTAGTGCTCCCATTGCTTCCACCGCCACAAAATCCACAAGTCTTTGCACATTCGGCCTTCATCATGTCAATCGAATCCTAAAATTATAGAATTTATGCTATTGCAAGAAGTTTGAAGAATAAAAATCTGAGTAGAATTACTGCGAGAGTAATTAATTGTGAGAATAACGTCATTAAAGTAATCATGACTTATTCATCCACTCAGAACGTTGAGTACACCCCCATTGGTAAGCGGATGGATTGGGTATGTAAATAAGTAATGAAAAAGTTTATTCTGGCGGTAAATCGAGTTGGCGAAACGGAAGCCAAAAACTTGTGAATTCCAGATGTCTGACCTCTAACTTGAGGAGATCAGGAAGTAATATTTTTGTGTTCTTTATGCCCTGAGGGATGTTATAATCAGTAATTAAGCACTAACGACACAAAGATTGTAATCTTGGGTTTTTCTGAGATTCGTATTTTTGGAACACTGCTAATTTAAGGGTTTTAATTCTTACTTCATCTTTACAGTACTCTTTTACTGAGTCACACTCGGTTTCATTGTTGTCTTTGCATTCCTCATCTGAAGCATCACTGTTCGATAATTTTGTAATTATTACTTTTACCTTTTGTTTTGCCATCTGGATTTGATTTTGCAGTGGAAGCTTTTTTATTGGGAGCACCTGGAATTAAGTCAATCATAGGGAATGTTTGCTTAGTAGCGGCATTACTATCCCCGTTTGCGTCCCTTTGAATTCGAGATTACACTGTGCAATATCGTTAATTAAAAATATTAAGTTCTGAATGTTGTCCTTACCAGAGGTGTAACAAAAATAGAAAATAACAATGGCAATGCTTAAAGTTCAGCAATACGTTTGTAGAATACTTGAACAGTTAAAAAAATGTTTGTTATAAAGCATGTATGTGTACTAGTGCTTAAAGTAATACTCACAACAATAATAGGTCCCTTCGATGGCCACACAAGAGAGTTCCGGGTCATCTTCGCAGAGCTTCGAGTTCTGGTTGCATTCTGAAGGCATTAACAACTACTATTTATCCACTTCCATTATAAATTTTGTTTGAAAACTTACGAAAGAAGGCGTCTTCTCCATCTGGACAAGTCGCTGAATAGGTGTAATTGAAATTAAGTAAAAGAATTAAGAATAAAATTACGATCATACTAATGCTATTTAAGGGAATGGATCTTCTAACGACATTTCTCTCGTTTCCTTTAGTATAATCATCTGTTCAAACATCACGAATCTCCTTTTTTGATTATGTTTGACGCGCAGATTACATTTTTCCGCATTACGATGTTTCTTAAGTAATATGTACTGTTAAAAAATGTCCCTGTAAAATGACTGTCCAACTTTATTTTGTTTGCTCGGTTTTATTTTTTTTCGCATCAGTTTTAACGGTAATTTGATTATTTCAAAGTGGATTACTACTAGTCGCGACATAAAGTCCTGACACATTTTGCACCGTGCGAAAGTTCGGGGTTTGGACGTCGCACCGCGCATTCTTCTTTCATTTCATCCGCACGGTGCATCTTTTTGCATTTGTCGCCGCGATTTTCCATTTTTGCACTAGCGACATGCACTTTCGCACCGTGCTTTCTCTTTCATTTTCATCCGCACGGTGCATCTTTTCGCATTTCTCGCCGCGATTTCCCGTTTTTGCACTAGCGACGTGCACTTTCGCGCGCGACAAACCCGAATTTGGGGGCGCGACGTCCAAACCCCGAACTTTCACACGGTGCAAAATGTGTCAGGACTTTATGGCGCGACTAGTAGGCCCACCCTCACAATCAGGTCATTCCTCCAAGTTACCGTTCAGTTCTAGACACTTGTCACCGATTATTTTTTAAACTCAGTTAGTTCCATGTTCCATGGGATGACAACAGTTTTTTATAATATTATTTTAGATTATTTTATATCGTCATAAAATACACTTGAAGTAACAACACAAAACATCGGAAGAGTACATCCGAGACCTGAAATTAGAGTACATAGAGGTTATTCCGGATCGATGAGGACCTCCGTCCTCCTCCCCTTAGGGCACAATGACCGGGACAAAAGAACCCGCGGAAATATTATAGAAAACCCGCCTTCTTGGGATCATTTCAGTTATTTCGAGAGCTCAGGTGGGAATGGGCTTAATCAAAAGACAGGCCAGGTTAAATTTAAAGGGGTTACTGCAACATCTTATTAGGGTTTTTCGTTTAGGTCATGTCACTGTCTCATCATATTATTTGTTTTACTTGATGACAACTTGAACTCTTTGGGAGATAATAGATGTTACAAAAAGCGCCTCGGGGGAGACGCTTTTTGTCATTCGAACCTTTTGGCAATTGGAAATAAATTATTTGGAATTAGAACTTGGATTAGACTCGGGCCTTTCCACGGGTGGAGTTTCAAACAAAAAACTAAATTGAACGTTTCCTTTCCTCGGCCGCCCTTCGGCCGTTCTTTCCGCATACCAGGTGACTCGGGGAGATAAGATCTCCTGTGGTTAATCCCTGATATGCGTTTATCACTTCCTTCTTCTCACGTTTGTCGGGTCAGACGTTTCTGCTCATATCAATATCATTCCCAGAAACGACACTTGTGGCTTTAATGTCTTCGTCAGTTTCGTCAAAACATACATTAGCTCTGCCTCCTTTTTGTATCCTTTATTCGGATCTCCAACCTTTAATCAGTGCTTTAAAATGTATTCGTTGTGTAATGTCCTCGCTGTATTACGTATGTTCTCCTGATTAATATTAAATTCTTCACGTTTCGTATTCGTATTTTCACACATTTTATGTTAAAATGTTTTGTAAAAGTTTCGCGATTTTATTCCACTTCCTGTAAATGCCGATACATCAGTTGTCCGTTCTGTTGCAATATGTGATTTATAGCCGTGGGTATCCCGCACATTCCCTGAGGGCATAGAAAGAAAGATAAACAGTTTACTGCAGTAAAAGAAAGGTCCCGTTTCAAAGTGCTCCTACTCGAATATTTGGGGGAAAGGCGGCAAAAGAAATGTCCAAATTGGATTGGAGCGATGGGAATTCGATGGCATCTGCCGTGTTTCGGCTACAGAAGCCCGCAGGCATTATAATCCGCTAATTTTATTTTCTTGGACCATCTGAGATTCTGGACTTTGGCAGCCGGAAATGGTCTCTTTTCTGCAAGGTTACTGTATTCGTTTGAATTAAGTCCATTCCGATCAGATTTATCTTCCCTTTCTTACTCTGTTAGATTAAAGTTTTATTTTCTTGCACTTTATTCTCGTGCTTTCTTTACATTTATATGTGGAACAATTCAGGTGTTAATTTTAAATTTGGAATGACAATTGTGAGTCTAAATATCAAAGTTTTTAAAATTTCCGAACGTTTTTAGCCAACTGAAACCCTAAATACCGTAGCTTTATGCGTGTATCCCAGACTTTGAGACCATTCATAAGACAAACGAAAGGACGGCATAATCGCTGGAGGGAATTAAGGGTCACTAATACAGTGGATTACTTCATTCTGCTTGAGTTTATCAGCAGAAGTAAGTAAATTGTGTTGATGTCTGTTTGCCTAGATAAAGGCCTTTTTGCGGGTTACAGCGACCTTATACTAGACATTCAGATGCCTCCTCGAAAACAGATGATCTATGTTTTGGAAACATTCGGTTGATTAAAATACGTTATTTACCACATTAAAGCTCGAAACGGGTATCAATTCGAATTAAGAGCGTTGAGTCAGAACACTGGCTTCGTTCTCGGCCCCGCCTTGGCAGCGGCTTTGTTTCCAAATTTGAATCTTACGGCCAAATTGGGAAGCAATCTTGTGTTTTCTAACCCTTCCCGACATCTGATTCCTCCGGAGATTCCCCTGAGGGCGATTACAGACCATTAAGATTCCAGTCTGGCGTGGCCCCTCAGGGCATCAAGATGGAGTCAGTCCGATCATTTCCGGGTTTTGACGTTTTTCTTGTTTATTCGCGGAGATTCGGATACGGATTACTGTTATTTTTCAGATGTTTTGTGAAGCCGACCCGGTGTTATTTGACCGAGGAAAGCACGGCCAACTCATTGAGGCCCTACAGGAATTCGCGGCGTATGTATTTTAGACAATTCTGTTATTCCTAGGGTTTCCCTTTTATCGATTTTGTCTTTCTTTCTTACAAAACTTACAATTAACGGCAAGACTCGGAAATATGGACTTGTAGTGTTTTTACATTACTTTTGAAGTTTCTCTAGGGCGTTATGAGGATGCTATTCCGATAAATACTTTTTGTTCTTACAACGCTTCCTTTCTTTGTCATAAAAAATGGAGTAACGCCACGAAAACGCGTCATTATTATTGGTCATGCATAATCTCATTAATTGGGAGTGTGGCCAAAGAAAAAAAAAACTAATTGTCCTTGTAAAACAGGCGCTGACTAAACTCGATAAGGATTTCCATTTGCCTGAGTGAGACTAGAAACATAATGTTGGATTCATTGAAGCTGTTTTGAGATGACACTTTCCCTGATTAGCATAATTTGTTCATGGTAACATTGCAGAGTCTACAACGCCATCCATCCGTTCCTCTGTCTGTTCATCTGTCCCCTGGGGATCTTGGCCAATCTGGTCCACATCCTCGTCCTCACTCGCCGCCGGATGCGGAGATGTGCCGTCAACTCTGTACTGATAGGGATCGCGATCTGTGACGTCATCACCATGACCAGCTACTTCATCTACATTGTGCGTTTCGAGTTCGCCAAGGGACTGACGAAGTGAGTTTTCTTCATTTTATGGGCTTCCGGGTTCTCGAAAGCACGTACTCGATCGGGCATTTCTGGCTTCTTGTTTTTACGGAAAACACCCGCTTAATATGCAGCGAAGCCATTAGCTCAGAAATGTATTGAGACCATAAATTTCAGCTACTTCTGGGCTGTTGTCCTTGAGTTCCATGCGACTCTCTCCATCTGCTTGCACACCATTAACCTCTACTTGTGCGTGACAATGGCATTCATAAGATGGAAGGCCATGCGGACCTCGAAAAGCGCCGTTATGAAGCCGAACACCGCCTGGTAATAATACCTCTGATTTCTTCTCTGGAGACCGCAAAACCTGAAGTAATCATCCAAATTTCAGGAAGATATTCTGTGTGATTGCTCTGGTCGTGAGTGTTCTCTGTGTCCCCACATTCCTGGTACATGAGGCCCATGAAGTGAACCTGACCGTCGAGAACACCACCTATTCGTTTTATACGGTGGATATCTCGGACTGGGCTCGGATGAATAGATGTAGATGGTTCAAGGCAAATCTCTGGATCATCGGAATCGTCCTCAAGGCCATTCCTTGCTTCCTTTTGCTATGGTTTACCATGGCTTTGATGATCCGACTTCACAAAAACAACGCCAAACGGGCCATGTTGTTGTACACGAATAGCGTGAAGGGTGCCCGGAAGAGACGTCAGAATTACGATCGAACTACTTTCACACTCATTGTCATGCTCACTGCCTTCTTAGTGAGTTTTGTTACGTAATCATGATTCACCTCTCCAACAAATTTATTTATTTATTTTAGCTTACCGAATTACCTCAAGGAATGCTTACCATGTTAAATGGAGTCTACACAAATGATGTGCACACAGTAATTTACATGAATCTTGCCAATGTTCTAGATGTTTTATCTCTTATCAATTGTTATGTTGGATTCATTGCTTACTGTTTCCTCTGCTCAAAATATCGGCAGACTTTCATGATGATGATATTGACGACGTAAGTTTGCATTATCATAGGCTCTAAGACGATTCTCAGGATGGAAAAATCTCCAAAAAAAGCTAAGATAGACGCCTATGTTCACACATCAAGAGCACTTTTGGATGAGATTACGACCAACAACATGACCAATGGGAATGTGAAGTAATCTCTGTCTGCACAACATGGTTTTGCATTATCTTTATATTATCCATAACAAGTACAACACCTTTATGTTGTATCTGCCGATGCATCTGATGGCCTTATTTCCGCGTTATATTAATGCGATTAATTTCACGGTGCTTCATGATACCTCTTTCTTTTCTCTCCCCCTTCATGTATCTCATCCCCAAATACCTGACATCTATCATCGTTCACACGGGTCATCCATCTTTTTTTTGTGCCAAATAAGAGATTGAAAACGGTTAAAAAATAAATTTTAAGTGGTCAGACGTTGGTTGTTCCGGGAATAAATGGAGGTCCAGACGGATCCAAAGCTACCCTTTCGGATCCCTTAGACTTGTTTAATCCCACAATAAGACCTTTAGTCGCTTTGTCTATAAGGAGGATAACATAAAATGTCATCTACTGACGTCCTTCCCTGATTTCATACATTATATTCAAGATTTGGATTAGCTAAAACAAATCCAATTAATTATAAAATATACGTTTAGGGATTACTCTTATGTCGAATAAATTAGCCTCATTACTGTAATTACATGCGGAACGTAGTAGAAAAGAATTCTTTAAATGTTTCCATTAATGCCTTCCGAAAACACGGAAACCTTAACAAAACATAATATGTCCATATTATGGACATCTAGAGAACAAGATTACGGCCTTCAGACATGCTTTTGTTGAGAGTAATGCGACTTTTATGTCCCTGACTTCTGAATCACAAAGGAATGAGTAAGTGAACGCCCGCGATTACTAAAAATACTTATTTATTATACTTACAAGGGCAGTCACATTTTTCGCAGATCGATCCTTACTGGGGACCTAGCGGATGTTGAAGGCACCAGAAAGTATAAGAAGAATCTGACTTCAGAAAGTGTTTACGGGCCTGTGGGCAGAGTTATGGCCCATCAAAGTTCACGCAAAAATCCCACCGAAAAGACCTTCAAAAAATACGAGCGTGAGGAAGTGAGCTTCGATAGTACAGTGGTTTGCAAACTTTTCTTTTGTTAGGAAGGTTCCGGGTTTGATTCCTCTTCCCGACAATAACTCAAAAATCATAGTGTAGAAGTAAATGACAAAAAAAATTTTTAATTTTTTATGAAAGAATTCATCATACATGTATACACAGCTATAAAAAATGCGAACTTCAGGATTTAGGGAAACAAGAAACTCTTAGGGTGCAAATCGTCTTATCTGACGATTAACATTTTTTCAGAACAAAAGTTGTAATAAGGTCATCTGTGAAGCGAAACAATCCTTTCATCGTTACCTGACAGTATTAGATCCATCAAAGACTAGTCCAATTACTGTGAGGCAAGATGAGGGGACTGTTTTAATCCATATACAGTATCCCCATGAGGAATAGCGGGGTCAGGAAGAGACAACGCAACCGGTAATGGCCAAGACGAAACGTCGGACTGCCTTCGATCTCGACCTTTTGCCACAAACTGGGTTTGATTCTCGATTAGGACCATGAATAATGTATTAAGAGGTCGATCGGAACTGGTTTTGTCGATCTCTTCCTGTCCCTCATGGAGCACGTTTTAATATATGGGAATGGGCCAGGTGAAGACCAACAATTTGTGGGGTTTTGAATAACAATCGAGGGCCCCCGCCCTGAAAAGGTCGTTTCTTCGACCACTAGAATGCATGGCCAAGCCCTTCTGTCCACAGCCCTCCCTTCTTCTGTAGGACCACCGTGTTTCCCGCGCACTCGAACTTCAAGGACCGACCGCACCTTACAACAATCTTCATCCCTCTTTGTTTGAGAAGTGTTTAAGATAAATATTAACTTGTTAACAGATTCAAAATAACCTTTATTCTGAAGAAACAGTCGTATAAAAATATTTTCTGATTTCGTCAATAATGTACAATTAATGTCATGGGTCAGTCAGTCAGTCGTCAACTTCTTGATTATCCAATTGCCGGGCTTGTACTGGAGGCGATCGGAGGGGCTGGGCTCTCTGAATTCTGGTATTAATATTACAATGGAGATTACCTGTTGGCCGATCTGTAATTCCTCTACTCCTAATCTTAAGGGATCTTCCACTGGTATTCCATCGTCAATATGAGGCCGCTGTGCTGGTGGAGCAGCTTCGTTTTGCTGGGCCTGTCCATTATTTTGAAGTGGTGCCGGCTAAAACACGTTTGTTTAATCGTAAAAAGATAAAAGCGCTGCATCCCCGCAATTACAAAAAATCTACCGAAAAAAATTATTACCTGAGGCAATGGATCACTGAAAGCCGTCGCCAAACTTGGATTTGACTTGGACTTTACGATGGGGCAAGCAAAATCGACATGCCGAGAGCGAGCCTCCTCCTTCTCCCAAGAACAATGTAGAAAAGGTCGTTGGACATAGTTGTAAATAACTTCGGCTTTGTTCTGACGTCTTTTCACTTTCTCCATGTGAGTTGGATATCCCTCAATCCCCAATCTGATCTTCTTGAGTTCATGTTCCTTCAAAACTTGCTTCGCTACATCTCGATTCTCTGCGTATTTAAAGAATTTGTATAAATTGGTACTGTAGACCACTTGACTGGTATCTTCGCCCATTTGGGGTGGATATTCTTGATCCCATTCAACGATATCATCATCCAAAAGTACAACAATGTGACACTCCCTATCTCCTCTCTAAACGTACAGCTATTCATCACAAATCATTACATACGTCAGCACTGATAACCAGTTGAGGAAGTATAACATTCTCGAGAAAAACAAGAAACTGTGTTCTTGCTCCATCATTACTCAATTCATGTAATAACCCCCTCAGGTCTTGGCATTTGACCGTATCTACACCAAACGGAATCAACATGTAGTCACACGCCTCTCTCAATTCGGATACACTCACTGACGGCGGGACTCTAATGAATCCGTGATGATAATAATCCTAAACACATTTTTCAACACCTACTAAGACGTACCAAAACACCTTTAAAACAGTTGGCACTGATCCCATCCGCAACTTCGTACTCATCCTGGTCATTCGGTCTGACCAGATCGGTCTTGTTCTTTTCTTGTTGTGATCGTAGGGCAAACATCCTGCCCAACATCGTATCTGGCTTACTCAATAAAACTTGGGGATCGACAATAAATCGAGTATTCTCCACCAAAAGCACCACAAAGACACCTAAAAGTAGATAATAAAATTACTCATACATGTTTCTTTTCTTCTCGTTTTGAATCGTATTAATTACCTAAATTCAAAAAATAAAATTAAAACCTTACCATTTTTGCCCCGGCTAACTTCAATTGTTTTCGATGGCTGCATGCACAGCAAAGACTCATGAGCCGGGCCGCCCAGCGACATGGACCGCTGGTTGCGGTTATAGGCCGAGTCCTGAAAAAGAAGAAATAGTTGTTAAACCTGCAAAACGCTATCACGGAGAAAAGAATGTCTTACTTTGCTATTTACGTGTGAATGCTTCAGGGTTGGTTCAATTTTGGGTCCTCTGAAAGAGAACCGACTGATAAATTCTATTGGTTAGTAAGGTCTGAGAATTAGAAACAGGAAGTGCGCTCAAGCTGAACAATCTTCTCCGATATGGTACTGGAGAATCCTGAAATTCAAATCATGCCAATATTATAAAATTCAAAGAATTTTTTGCAGGAACGAGCTCAATAAACATGAACAAAACGTCCAAAACCAAAACCGCACTTTCTGCCGGCCGGATCGATCAACAATTTCTCGAGAATTTTTTCTCGGGATTTTTCGTGGCTTTTCGTCCAAAAAATTATCGGTCGTGACATTTCGCTGAATGCCCTAGGGCGCGAACTCTGAAATTTTCTTTGCTCATAACGCCTGGACCGGTGCTATAAATCATTACTGTTGGGGTACCTAGAAATCGTATCTAATATTTTTTTTTGCTTATTTAACGTGCCTTCAAGAATGCCCGGAAAATCTTTTTAAGTCGCCTAGTTCCTTTCATATCTTTTGAAAGTTCCAATGATTTTGAAATGACAAATTCACGATGATAATACAATGTATGGAGTTGTGTTGTAGCCGTTTTGTAGCTAACTGAATAGCTACTCGTCCGTCCAATTGTACTTGACACCAACTTTCAAGTGGCTAGATTACTCCGTTCTGCCGAGTAATTTTAATTCTTTGGTACCAGACCAGAACAACATAGTCTTGGAGATGTACCCTGTACATATCACTCTATCTTGAATGGATTTTGCCTTACCGGAAAAGCATTGCGAGACTATTGTACCAGGAAATAGACATTCAAATGCGGAAAGTAATTTCTCAAAACTCGGCCGATCTTTGGTCCCATCGGAATGCGGAACAACAAGGAAAACGAACGCATACACGCGATTCACGACGACGACATGTCTGCGAGGCATTACAATAAGTTATTGAGCATTAAAGCCTAATATCTTATAGTATATAGTCTTTTATTTGAAAGATATGGCATGACATAGTAACTGTGAGATCGTGTGAAATAATTAAATTGCAATAATAATTAAACCAAGAATCCTGATGTTGAGCCGAAACTTAATCGTACGGAATGAAGAACACTCAGACATTCGCAATGCCCCATGCCCTCAGGGTTTAGTTCATCATGGGTCTTCCAGGAGAAGATGATCGCCTCCTCTTGGTAGCCGCAGAATTCCATACAAGTCTCCTTGCTGACGTCGGCCTTGCTGGATAACAACTTTCCTCCAAGTTCGTGATCATAGAAACGGTCTCGCTCTCCGTCATCTGTAATTACTATGATAATGTGGTTGTATTTGACGCTTTTCGAATTAAACTCTTTGCAAATTAAACTTTCACGCCTTTGCAAGTCATCTTAATGCTATGTGCAGTACATAAATTTGTTTCCCCCGCATTCTTTTTCTAACCTTTAAAAGTTTCGCTTGAGTGCCCTCACAACTTTCAACAGACCGGTCTTGTTTTAATCCCGTCCGACTGCGCGAAGTTAATCGAGAGTACCTTGAGATGGGAAAGTGACGAATGATGTCAGCCTTTATGTTTTCAGAAAATTTTGCTACCGTAGAAGCCAAAGCAAAAGTTAAACAGATTCCCCTGGGGCAATCCCCCGTGGGTTGACTTGCATTTTTTGAGGGCGTGGGTGGGGAAACTTTTGGTCGATCAACACTTACCAAAGTCCAAACACAACCCGAAATAAGCATTCGGCATGGCAGCGATGGTGCCGTTCAGGGACTTGCTCTTCAGGGTGCACTGACCTTCCACGAACTCGAATCCCATGCAACAAATATCTTGTTTACAGCTCTCGGCACACTCCTTCCTCGTGATCCCGTACTCGCGCCGATAATCCGAGCCCGGGATCGTTGTGCCCGGCCCAAAGAAGTAGCATTTAGCAGAAACTAAAAATTTATGATTAAAAGTGTTTATACTATACATTTAGGAAACTTTAAATTTATATTCGGATACTTTACTGACTATACTTATGAGTCATGCTTGAACTAGGAATTGAGGCAAATTATCATGCAAATTAAGAGGGGGCGTTGAAAACAAGGTCCTCGGCCGTGTAAAAGGCCCTTTCTTGCAAATTCAACCCTCTACGACACCTACAACCCTAATTTGTATGTATGCTTCGTACTTAAATAAAGGCCTACATAGTCACCCACGCCTCCAAAAATAGGGATGTAGACAACGGGAGCGATTTTTACATTGGGAAGAGATGACGTCGATACACAAATTACAGGAAAGATGCCGAGAAATATAACAGTACGACATGCACATCATTTCTTCCTTGTTCCGAGCCCCAGGGAATGGGAACCAAAAACACATATACATGTAAATTACACGCCCCGTGTCACACTAAAACTATACCCGGGTCAGTTGATATGTGACGTGATATTATGCGCGACGTCCGGGTCGGGGTGATGACATAACACACGAATTCCCCCGAATCTCAGGGGAATTGGTTTCAGTTCCGGGTGACGGATTCCGGAAGTTGTAAATATTTTTTTTGCTGTTCGCTCTTTCTTTTTACGTTCGATGCATGTATTTTTACATCCACCTACAACTGCGGATGTCACAAACACGCAATTAATGTTGGTATTCAGCACACATTCAAACGCAAATTACTCCTTTCAAGGAAGTCCCTTGAGCTTTGGTTCCCCTTTCAACACCCGCTACGTAACTTCTACGTGTCCCCAAATTGTCGGTATTCAAATTTTGAATTCAAATCAAGCCCAAAAAAATGCTGACCCACCTGCACTCCGAGATACCGTAGTCGAGATTAGTAAGCAGAATATAATACTTGTTTGTAAATATCGAGGGAATAAGGTCGCCGACGTCAGCAACGGCCTGTTGGATGTGTTGTAACTGGAGTTGTGAGAACGCTGATGGGAATAGGAATGGAAGTCACAAGAACAGGAAGCAGAACAGGGCTCCGGAGAGGACTTCGGCTCTCGGAAACGATCCGTCGACGTGGACGGATCACAGTTGATGAACATGGCCTCGACACGAAGAATGGGAAGACACACCGGCCTCAAATGAGAAAACTTTTTCAGCGACGAAACAATATGCGCAAAAAATAAACGCGGTTTCTTTTTCGGCCCACCACTTCCTTGGCCACCTGAAGCTCTCGGGGGGCGGGGCTTGCCTCATATTAAGGGCAGGTCCGCAAAGATCGCAACAAGTTACGAGATATACAATGTTAAAAGGTGTTGTCGACTTTGACTCGCTGCCAATGCGACGACGGGAAGAGAGTGAGATGAATGGCGACAGGTCAAAATAGTTAATTCAATTAAGAAAGGGGTTATTTTTAGACAAAAAAAAACACGGTAGGGGTATACAACATCACACCTCCTCCAGCAAAGGAATAACCAGCCAATTTCCGTGCATGAGATCAGGCAGAGTGCAGGGAATACGGTAATCTTCGATGACAATATAATTGGGTTAGCAGCTGAACTTTCCGTTAATTGTGGAAAGTTCAGACGCAAACGGGAAGAGTAACATCTCTGCCCTCGACTTGACACTACAATGACCTTTCAGTAATTGAGTACTCAGCTAACAGAGTGGTAAACAAGTTGTAAGTAGACTAATCATCCAATAAAAATATTTATTAAAAATACTTCTATTGTCAAAATAAACGACAAGGAAATAAGTCCAACCAATTCGAAACAGATTTCAAACTACAATGGGACAAGCTGTAAGTGTAAAAGTGTGACAAATCTTTTTATGCAAAAAGGGGGCGGCAAGACCGAGATCTAACTACAACCACAATTCCTGAGCATACTAAATATATGTATGTGTAACGCAAAACTTCTTAGGACGGCTTAACGGAGACGCTAGCGAATAAACCGCCAAAAAGGTTGACCAATCCCATCCTTCATCATACTCTCCCTGCCCTCCGGCATTGTTTTCGCATTGCTTAACCAAAAAATTAACCGATGTGAGAGCTACCGTAACCAACTCCGACTCGAGCCCGCCCCAACTCATTTGGAAAATGTCATAAAAGAATTGTTTCAACCCAAGTGATGTTGTAACGACCCGAACCAAGAATACTTCTCAAAATATTTGGTTTCCGCTTCCGCACATTCACCACACATTTCCCACGATTATGTGAGGGGTGGAGAGATGGCGATAATCATCCTCATCATGTACTTTGCATACCCACAATGCCCAACACGATGGAACTTCCTCGTTCAGGTCCTCGGAACCCTACGTTTACGACGACATAAACTCCCCGTAACGGCTATTACCGGCACATCTCCAGTAGATTCTAATATGATTTAATTTCCGGGAAGTGAGAGGGTGTACAATAAACCGGGGGAAAGTTATATTCCAAAATAGCTACAGTACGCTCGGACCCACTCAATAATGTAACACACCTGACCTCTGATAAATGGGAAAATAAAAGCCGGAAATTCAGATATCAGAGGTCCCGCCATCAATTATGAGATGACCTCAAACAAGTAATGTTATATTTTGATGCTACTAGAGTGCTCAGTAAGCCGTGAGCACACGCAAACGACGACTTTTCACGGTGTTTAAATGCAATTTACTTGAGACGAGTGAGTATGTACACAAAAAGGGAGGAAATGCTTCTCAGATTGTAACCCGTTCTCTGATACAACGAATCAGTTGGATGGTTTGGAAGATGAGCTGATTAGAGGCCACAAACACCTGGCCGGCGTCATGGACACGGAAGTAATCTTTGAGAGTATTGCTGAATCGCTTCGAGTAATGTACGAACTCCCTCTTCCGTTTTTCAATCGCTGAAATGAGATGGATAAGACCTTAAGCTCATTTGGTTATTTCTCACCACCTGGCATCTATCCACTAGTGTAATACAGACTGCTCAATTTTCAGAGTCGCGGTTGTTAAAGCAGAAAATGTGGGGACTAGCGCTAGTTTAACGGGTCAACTGTAGATTAGACGGACAGATAACACCCCCATATCACATTAAAAACAAATTTACAATCCATACGACCTCAAAGATTAACGGACCAAGCCCTTCCTGGTCCAAAAATACTACCAACACATGACGTCTACAACCTTTTGAAATGCACAAAATCCCCCTTCCCATCCACTCAGCCTTACAACAACATTTCCTCAAAAGAAAGAAAAGTATTTCTGCAATAGTTAAGACCCATAATAACAGTTCCCCCCTCTCAACTGTAATTACAGCATACTCTTCAAGAGTCGTAATTCCCCCTTTAAAACGAGTACAAAAGATACTCACATGGATGAACATTTGGAGGGACAGACTTGACGATCTCATTAGCGGCATCGAGCAGCACTCGAATGGAGGTGGCTATCTCCTTTATAGTCTCGAGAAAAGGACGGCGATCGGTCATTTCATTAGGGATTCGGGAAAGGACACGTCTCAGATGAATGGCCTTCTCAGATATGGCTGCGAATTTGGGGATATGTGACAATTCATTCAACTCGAGATCAGTCGAAGGGGCTTGGGCTTGCAATCGAAGGAATGACTCCTAAAACGATTAAAATTAACCATTGTCTTCCTAAATTGAACAGCAACTTAGAGTAAATTACCTGAATATCAATGTTGACCATCGATTCTTCTATCAGAACCTTTGCCAAATCATAAAGAAAGGCTGGAGACTCCTTCTCTGCCTTTAAAAAAGACTTTTCAAGACCCTGCAAGTGATAACAATTATTCTAGATGACTCATCAGATTATATTCGAATAAATACTCACAGCCAAGGCATCGGTAGCTTCTGGAGTTCCTGAGTGTGACGGCTTCACATTATTCAATGCCGGCCCAATCAGACAATTGTAAGTCATTGGCCCGAGGTAGCCTCCTCCTTCTTGGGCACTCATCCTTCAAAATTCGACCGTTAATTTCGCGGAAAATTAAAGAGAGAAAGGAAAACAATTTCGACCTCTTCGCACTTCTTATGATAATCCCCGCGGGACAATCGGACTTCAATACAAGTCAAACAGCTAATTAAAATAAAAATGTGCTAGACAAAAACCAAGATTTTTATTTGCACATTAGATCGTATAAAAAAATATTTTTCGAACTGCAAGTTCCGGAAAACTGGGCGCAAATTGCGGAAATATCTCCGTCTCTTTTTAGATTCAACGTGGAAAACCGTGCACTGTAAGTGGAACTCGTGAGTGTAAATGTGATGGGAACGGTTATTAGCACAGTGGATGACATTGCCGACTGTGAATTGCTCAAAAAATTATGCGACAAGGATAATATTGACGAAAATGACCCATTCTGGAACAAGTTATTCTCGTTCAATATTCATTTAGATCTACTTGACAAGTAAGCATTTAAGAGAGGTTAATTGCTTTAGAAAAATCCAAAAAGCATTGCTTTCGAAGGCAGAAGGTCTACTTCAATCCCTTCTTCATACTTCCAATTTCTCGGGGAACTTCTCCTCGCTGATCCAGGTCTTTTTCCGTTATAACAAGGAATTAATCGAGTCGGTCAAATGTGAGAAGTGAGTCAGCAGCGATATTTTCGACTCTTGATTTTAGTAAAGTGTTCGTGTGGCAGGTGACCAATTGTCTGCTACTTATTCGCTACATCTTGAACTTCTTTGCATGGAGGCTGAGTCCCCAACAGTTTGCAAAAACTTTCTCGTTTGTGAAGGAAGTTGAGGACGAGGAGTCTTCCGATTCTGATTATGAAAACACGGCTGAGGAATTTGTAATTAAATTGATTAAAATCTTGGTCGAGATACCAGTAATGTAGGCAAAGTAATATTAGTCGTTATATTTTTAGCGACATCACTCGAGAACTGCATGGTGAAGTAATTAGGACGCTGTTATGCTTGCTGAGTACTCAGTTATACGAAGAGAATGTGACTGAAACATCACCTTTCCTTGGATATATTATGAAATGGTACCTAAAACTAAATAGATCATCCTTGTTTTAGTGAACATGCCCGAGAATTGGTTCGGTGTTTATTAGAGAACTTCCTTTATCAGACACAAGAGATTTCGGTTTACAAAAAGCCTGCCCAAGTTGATTCCTTAGTCATTTCTTTGGCATGTAGGTCATGGATATTTGTTTCAATCCTGAATTGCAGCATCGATGTGGTCTGCTCTTTCAAAAACAGTGATGACGACAGAAGAGGAAACAGCAAAACCTCCAGAATCAGATGCTTTCCCTCCCCAAAGTGTCTCTTCGTTAAGCGTGACATTGCTTTTGATATTAGTGTGTCGACCGAAGTTCCAGATTGATGTAAACCCCTACAAATCGATGTTATCTTTATTCCAAAATGCCCAAGGTAATATAATAAGCGTTGTATGCATTCTTTAGAAGTTTCGTCTCTCGCCAACCTTGAAGCCAGCTTCAAATTAGATTTTTCTGCTTTATATGGTCGATTGTGTGTGACATGCCATCAGAAACAGCCAATGCTACTACTTTATATGGTCCTCCATGCTAATTCCTTCTTCAGAAATTTTGTTTTATCTAGGATTAACCTGGAAGACCTTGTATTGCCTGTTCTGAAAGTGTTGAATGATGGACTTAGTACGACTTCTGTTGGATCCCATTCCCATCAGACCTATCTCGCCATGATTGTCATCCTCATTCTAAGCGAGGACGACTTCTTCTGTAAATTGATCCATGAAGTCGTGAGTTTTATGCTTTGATGCTTTACAGCAAGTAATTTGTGTTCTAACACAAAATATATTTTAGAATATAAAGTCCGTTCCGTGGTATCCCAACCTAACGGATGTGTCCCTGGGTGGCTTGATTGTCTGTGTTTTTGCCAAAACCATTCATACAAATACTGTGAAGACAAGAGTAAGAATTGTAATGATTTCCAGATCAGGTTTTAGGATCGATATCTCCATACGAATTGTTTGGCCGCCTTGGCCAATATGTCCTCGTCTTTCAAATATCTCAGTCCATATGTGTCTCAGAAATTGATTGGACTGCTGGAAACCATGACTAAAAGGCATTCCAAACTTATCCAAAGCCTAAGAGAAAACGCGGAAATTGAGCTTGCAGACGATGAAGAACCGCAAGGATCAGAATTGGTATGATTGTTTACTGTAATATAAATTTTGTTTTAGAATCGGGACATAATGGCATTAGAAGAGGGGATCAGAATGATACTGGAGGTGATAAACTCAGCACTATGTTCCAATCTTAGATTCAATGCCAATCTTATCTACAGTATCCTCTACAAAAGAGAACTGTTTGAACAATACCATCATCATCCGATGTTCCATGACCTCGTTTGGAACATATACATGGTAAGGTTGAACGGAAAGACAAGTTTAACGTGAGATTTCTTCTCTTTGGAAGTGCGACCGATGGGTCTGGCACCTATTAAAATTATTAAACTCTCTGGTTTGCCCTTTGATGCGTCTTTTCCTTTCCGTCCCCTCGGGGCTGATGTTGAAATGTGTAGTAGATTGAGTCCACAAATCAGAAAACTCTTGTGTTTTGTGTCACCATCTGAATCCGGCTAATGCTTTCTGTCTTTAAAATAAAAACACACAAATACTCTGTCATAGTTCATGTTTTAGGTGATAAACCATTTCTCGTCACGAATCGAGAATGTGGATCCGACTTCAGTTACAGTAGTGCTGGATGCCATAAAGAAAGCGGCAATCCAATGGCCAACCGATCGTCTCAAGAAGTTCCCCGACCTCAAATATCGCTATGTAGAAGATGAGAACACGATCGACTTCTTTGTGCCTTATGCTTGGCGGCTGGTCTTCGAGAGCGCGGGTGTCTTCTTTGACTCCCATCTAGTCAAACTCTTCAAAGCGACAAGTATTTAATTGCCTTATTTTGTGCCTATTATAAGGTCTCCGAGAGACCTAATTTACCCCCGTAAATTTGGTTTAGCCTTATATTGTACATTTCATTTATAGTTAATATTAATAATAATAATAACTGTGATCGTTTCCTGAATGTTTTACTTCGATTGTGATAGGCATTTTGATGGGCAAGAGGGTGTGATTTGTTTTTCGGGAACAAATTTTACGTCACTAAACTGAAGGGAGTTGGAATTTCTTCCTTTCCAGGTCACTCTGTGTTGACAGTGCCTTCCCAGTGGTTCCCTCAGATCTCGGAGATGCGATCTCCCATCCTCATAACCTCCAACTCCCTTTTCTGGGTCGTTTCCTTCTAAAACGGGAAGTATTTTTTCATTGTGAATTTGAGCTGCGATTTGGGTGTAAAGTGGGCGGCTAATTTGGCTAGCCTGTGCCCCTAATGTTTTATATTCAATCGAATCGTTTGGTTCTTGTTTTATTTGTGATTAGACAATGGATAAAACGGAGTTTTGTCTGACTCAAGTTGAGCCTTTTTATGTAATGACTTGTTTTCCCATTACTTTTTTGCTTGAAATTCACCGTTTTAACAGAATTGAAAGTTTGGGGGTAATAACGAACAATTTCTTCAGACGTTTAAACATTATTTTGTATATTAACACCAGCAATTCCTAACTTTCTTACATGATGCAGAAGTTTTAAACACCCGAAAACAAGAATAAATAATGTTTCGCAGCGATGGTTTGGATATTTTTATTGTTTTAACAGATGAAAAGAGTAATTATCATTATTTAAGAATGCCCCCTATCTGGTTCCTTATCTCGTTCGTACCGGGTGTGTACCTCAGTTACAGGATCTTGAGGACGCTCTTCGCCCTTATTTGGGCCATCACATTGTACAAGATCATCCCCATTTTCTATGGGACAGCTCTTCAGAAGTATAAATCCAGATGGACAGGTCAGGTTGAGATCATTTTGGGAATTTTAAATCTCTCTATATAGCACGGTACTTATAAATTTCATCGCGCTAGTCCGCGGATTAAGTCCAAAGTTAAAAGTTCACAAAAAAGGGGGAGGGGAGGAGGAGCCGACAGAGAAAGGAAGAAATTTTTACAAAGAGAGAAATTGCGCAACGTTGTGTAAGATTGCGCAACTTTTAACTTTGGACTAAATCCGCGGGGTTGTGATGGACTAGCGCGCTGAAATTTATAAGTAACGTGCCATATAGGAGAGTCAGACGAGTGTTACAATTTAAGAACGAATGATTACACGCTCGAAAGCATTGCAAAGCACTTTCAAATAATCACTTTCTCTAGGTTAAACCATTAGATTCTAAACTTTGGCAAAAATAATAATATACCAATTTTAGTTGTAAGCGGAGGAACGGATGGAATTGGGAAGGCATACATGTTCGAGTTGGCCAAAAATGGCCTCAAAAAATTCATAATTGTTGGAAGAAATGAAAAGAAATTGGCAATTGTAAAAAAAGAATTGGGTGAGTTTCTATACCGTGCAAAAATCTTTACAAAAATTATACCTTTTACATTTATAGAAGACGACTATGATTGCCAGGTGATGACATATCTCTTTGACTTCTTTGATGGCGATTTTAAAGAACTCAGGCAGTATTTATCTGATAAGAACATTGGATTTGTTGTTAATTCAGTCGGCGTTGGACGAAAATATCTGGAAAGATACGGCGATCGCCCCGAGGCTGATTATCAGATGCTGAAAGTGAATGGTCTTGGCTCGGCAGAGGTACAATTCTGTTTAGTCTTTGTTAAATTCAATTTTAGTTTATGTCCTGTGTTCTCCCACCGATGGAAAAGAACGGCGGAGGGCAGATGGTTGTTCTCTCTTCAACTCAAGGGATCCGACCAATCCCTCTGTTGGCGGCTTATTCCTCCACCAAATCTTTGATCTCCTTCTTGTGTGAATGTATTGATCGAGAATACAAAACGATCAATGTTCAATGTTTAATGCCTGCTTTGGTGGCAACGAATATGACTTACTACAACGTAAATACAAAGCCTTAGTTTGAAACGTTTGTTTAGAAAGGCTCCTTGTTTGTTGTTACTCCTGAACAATTTGCCAAAGAAGCCCTGCGGACATTGGGTCTTTCAAAATGTACAAGTGGCTGTTTCAACCACGAACTTCAGGTGGGGACTGCCACTTTTGATTTCGAATTTTGTTTTTAGTGCCTTCTAAGACATTTCTTCCCATGGGCTCTTCTGAAACACATGATGATGCCCATCTATTGGAAACAGCAACAGAGAATGCTGAAGCTTCATGGAGAAGATGGAGCCATCCGGCCGGATATAGATCCAGTAGATCTCAATGGCAATTCGGATGCAAAGAAGGCCAGTCCTAATGGCACCTCTTGCATCCCCCGGAAGATCTCAAGAGCTTCAGTGCTCGAAGACAACCGATCACGGGCTTAAATTATTTCATTCTCCATTCATATCGCAAATTAAAATTTGATACGTAATACTGCTTAATAAATTCAAATTTGTTCCCAAAAAATGCATGTATTGAAATTGAAGATGGCCGTCGGCTATGCTAAAACTATACACCCCCGGGAAAAATTAAGGCGAATCAATCCCGAAACCAAAACTCTTCCTTAAGTTTCGAAGACCGATGACAAATTTTTTGGAATAATTAATACAGTTATTGTTCTTGATTTAGTTTGCGCACTGTGCTTTAGAGTATTCAACGGTGGCAAAGTAGGAGCATTCTGTCGTGAAAAATGGCCAATGAAGGTTGATCTTTTACGACAAATAAAATGCCGGAGTTGGACGATTGGGGAAAAAGACGATTGGGGAAACCGAAAAGTATTATTTTTCTTCGATGCAACTGTCGAAATTAGGATAATCGAGGGTGCTCATTTCGAAAATAACAATCATTTTTTGATTCTTACTTTTTTTCTTAAGTAGTACTGTAAAGTAGTAATTTTTTGAAAATTTTCCAAAAATACTGAATTTAGGGGTTTTCCAAGGTGCTGGTACTACATAGTATCAGATAGTACTAGTTAGTACTAGAGGAAAAGTTAACATGATTTTCGAAATCAGCACCTTCGAAAACCCCTACATATATCCAGTATTTTTAGAGAGATTTCGAAAAGTTACTTTTTAACACTACTACTTAAGGAAAACTAGTAAAGTTCAGAAAAAATGAACATGATTTTCAAAATCAGCACCCTCGAAAACCCCTAAACCGAGTATTTATGAAAAAAAAAACAAAAATTACTCTTTACAGTACTACTTAAGAAAAAAAGTAAGAATCAAAAAAAAAATTAATGTCATTTTCGAAACGAGCACCCTCGCTTATCCTAATTTCGGCATTTGCATCGAAAAAAGTAATACTTTTCGGTTTCCCCAATCGTCTTTTTCCCCAATCGTCCCAGTTCATAATATAAATAAAATGCGGCTAACCGCATAAGTACATACAGTCACTTTTGCTGCATATCATTATCAAGTTTAGAGTTTCCATCCACGATTTTTCGCAGTTTTCATGTAACAGTCGACTGTTGTATAATTATTTTTTAAAGTTAGTGGTAGAGCGCTGTTATTCCCAAAATAATGCAATATAAGGCGATTCAGTCAACAGTGCAATTACAGTAAAAGATTTGATTTCAATGACTCCGATTATCTGTTGAGCACTCAAGTAAATAAAAAACCATAGGACTTGTAAGCATCAAGGGTCTGTTTACCGTTACGTGAGAAACGAGAAAATCTAATGACCTTATTGTTCAAAGCGGTAATAGCCACTTTGTAATTAATGTCCTCAACGTATATGTAATATAAGTCTGTGAAGTATGTAATAAAAGGAACACAAACTAGATGACATCATATGCAATCACCCGACAAATTTACGCTTTTCCTTTTGCCTTTCCAAATCACTTGTCTGTTCATTGCTAATCGACAGTTTTATAGCAACAGTGCCAGCATGTATTGCAGTTGTACATGTCGACGTCCGATGGCCTCTTTTACGCCCTGACTCACGACAATCCATCAATTCGATGGCGGGTTCAAAGGGGAATCATTACTGAAATAGGTCTGTCAACAAACTACCAAGTAGAGGAGTTCTCTCATAAAAACTATGGCGGTGTAAGATCCATCAGTTGGGTTTATTTTGTGAACTTTTCTGTTACAGATCAGCCATTCGACTCGTCATATGTCTTATCTCTCTTGATCTCCGATGTGTAATTCAATTGTCATTCTTTTCATAGAAGAAAACATCAATTTCTTTAAATCAGACGTTTGCCAAATTGCATGGTAAATACGAAGGGCCCCTTTAAGGAACGCCCTTGGAAGGAACATTCTGATATTGTTCAGCAGATAATAGTTCTTGAATCAGTGCAAAGTTCTGTTTCCCTTATGTGTTAACATATTTTAAGCGGTTCATCTGCATTCTCGCAAAATACACAAGATTGTGTTTCTTTACACTACAACAAGTGACACCAGATACAAATCCCGCGTTCACTTATTTGCGCAACAAGAAGATCATGCTGATAATTAAAAAGCCGCAACCTCTCCTGACAGGTATATAGACCATTGTTTAGCCATCGCCCCTTCTCTAACATAGATCGCTCTTCTCGCAAAAGGTCGGTTGTGTATATAACGGGTATAAAAGGCTGTAAGTAAAAGTTCTGCAGAACCTTCAACTTTTTACTTCAAACATCATTTTTATATCAATTTTATGAAGGGCTGTTTGCCCTTCGTTCGTTCTTTCGCGGCTTGATGGAAAACGTTTGAGCGCTCGGGTGTCGCCTGAAAAAGGGCTGCTTCTCCGTGTGATCAATGATAATCGACTAGTTATCTGTTTCTCTCGCTCTTTCTATTCCCCAAATATTGAATTCAGGGTTTTCTTTAGCAAATCGCGTTTTCTAATGGACACCTCAGCCCAGTCTTCTTCCTCCAATCCCAACTTCTCGCAGGCATCCAGTCCAGTCACACCCGAGAGGCAATCTATGAACGGATCGCAACCCGCATTAAACGGAAGTCTCAGTGACCTCAATCAACAAAAACTACAAAGTTAGTCCGTTTTGTAACACATGTTTACAATAGATGTTATCTGGGAATGATTTCACAGAGTTGGGTTCTCTGTCCCTTGTCACACACCCTCGTGACTCTTATCATTTCTTCCCAATGTCGTTTCTCAAACAGTTAACTCTTCAAACTGCTCGTACGTCTTTTTCTTTCCTTGAAAATACGATCTTTAGGAAGAAAATCTGACTTAAACTTCATAAAAGTGCTCTAACTTCTAGCATGCCTATTTCTTCAGGAGTAAAGTCGCTAGAAACCTGTCGAGTATGTGGAGATGGGCCAGCACGAATGCATTATGGAGTTCCAACGTGTTTTGGGTGTAAGGGATTCTTCCGACGAACGTTAAAACGAACGAAAGAATACACTTGCAGGTACAATGGCAACTGCATTGTTGACCGATGTAAGTATGACAGCAAATTACGTTACCAGGGGCGTAGCTGACCAGAAAAGTTCTAGGGGGGAGGTCGTCTGGGGGGATCTCGTCTATGCATGTAAAAAATTTACAAAATCCTTGCTCCCCCCCTTACCACCTTTTTCTATTTTTTTCTACGACCCCGGCCTGGGGGGCCATTACAATTAAAGTAAATTAACAGTGGTGCTTTAGACGAACGAAACTCATGCCGATACTGTCGATTCAAACGATGTTTGGAGGTCGGGATGGACCCCAAAGGTAGACATAATAATTGCTTTGTTGATGATTATTCGTTTTGTTACACAACTCCGTCGTTTAGCTGTCCGTCCAGATCGCGATGCGGCAGGCCGAACTCATCCTATCAGACACCGCCGAAGTCGGATGTCAATGGATCAAGACGATGACGAGGAAGAGGAAACAACTGCTGAATGGATTCGAAAGTTGCCAGTTGACATGAGGACTCTTCTCATGCAGGTTATGAACATCGACCTTATGGTTCAAGGCGGTGATACCCATGCCGATCCCTTAAGTGTATATCCACTCCAAATCGGATCACTGCGTCAAATCCTCGAAGATCCGACGACCTTGGATGGCAAAAGAATAGAAGTACGGATAATCTTTATGTCTAATAATATCATCTAGATGAGATACGAGCCTTATCGCCGAGTACTTCCAGAAGAGATGGTGGTCGTCGCCCATAGGAGGTTGATCGAAGTCATCGATACAGTCGACCATCTCGCACAATTAATGGATCTTCACAATATCGACGACAAAGTAATATAAATATTTACTAGAAAGCATTACCCGAAAAATTCAAAAGAATGAGTATTACCATTAAGATATGATTACAGCTTGCCCTTGTAAAGTCCGCGTATGCTCCACTGGCTTTATTTTCAACTGTCTCGATGACTGCTAGGACAACCAAAGATCGCGATACATTCTGCTTATGTTGTTGTGGATACATTGCCCGGGGAATGTCTCTGAAACAATACGACGCCCCATAGTAAGTCGGAATTATAAAGCGTCAAATTTGAATGCTTAGTCATTTCACAAATCGTATTGTCGACCGAGCCCTGGATGAACTGGTAGAACCCTTCAGAGCATTCAACTTTAAGGAACAAGAAGTCGCCTTAATGAAGGCGATTGTTACCCTAAATCCTCGTAAGTTATTTGCAACTACAGGGTGTCCAGAAAAAGCGACCCTAACTTTTTGCTTAAAACCACCCTAACGTTTTCCCTGCCCAAATAGGTCTGAAATCGAGTTCCTCTGTATGACATTCAAAAATACATGCTAATCAATCGATAAAGTCATAAAAAAATACTAGGACAGCAAAACACGGCGAATTCCGCAAAAAATTATATCCAATATTGCAAAATTGGCTGACTAGCCAAGGGGGTTACTCTGTGTTCACACCGAAAATTCAATAGTACGACGCGCGCCATAAAGTCCGTAGAATTTTGCATGGTGCATTCGTTTCTTTTCCTTTTTCTCTGGTCAACCTGTACAAGTCGGCTTTTAAAAATGTCGTTAGCAAAGTCGTTCTTTAGATCTTCGTACACTTTCCACCGAAGGTTCAGAACAAGTAGCAGATCTACGTGACAGAATTCAAGAAACCCTTTACAACGTTGTCAGAGAATCCCATCCTAAAGAGGTCGCTTCATCACGTTTTGGCAATCTCCTTCTTTTTCTCCCAACCATTATGCTACTCGGAAACACAATGTATGAGAACCTCCAATTCCTTCAATCATTCAGTAATCGGAAGGTGGATCCCTTATTAGCAGAACTTCTGGATAACCTTGATCCTGTTCAGGACAATGGTGCAAACCCAGAAGATTTCTTAAACATATCCTCGTCAGAATATGGATCTCGAATGAGTCATTCACAGTCCAATTCGTCAATTTCTTCAATGGGAAGTCACGAAGAATTTAATGGCGTAATGTTAACCGAACAATATTACACACGGTAAGCCGGTCTCGACTAAAAAATAGATAAATCTCAGACGCCAATCAGCAGACCCCTGCTTTCCGGCTCCTTCTGGTTCCAACCAAGCCAACCCAAGTACATCCAATTCCAATTCAGCCCCAGCCCTTGACCAGCCTCAAGACTCTGATCCCGATTACAATGTAACTCTTACCGCCGAGACCTTTTCTGGGATGAGACAAGCTATAGCACAGTCCATGGAGGTTGACACCGACCAGCCCACCAATGGAGAGCAGTTCAATCGGTCTAAACCTCACTTTTACCTTGAGCCATTCTCTCAGCCAAGCAACTTTGTTCAACCACAACAACAATTCCAAGTAGGATCCAAGCACATATTCACTGTGGAGACGGCGAAACAACTGAGCAATTACAATAGTCAAACGACAACAGTATTCTCGAATGGGTCCCTCACCGAGCCCGCCCAGCCCTCACTCTCCAAATCTCAGTCTTATCCTTACTTTTATCAGTTCCCCAACAATGTCAACTTTCAGAACTATAACGGTCAATGAGGATTCTCCTCTTGGCTGATTCTTAATAAATTATTTTAGATACCTCATCGAGATCGTTTATTTTAATAAAGCGAGTTTGTCGTCGTTTAAAGCCATTGAACAACGGGTATTGATCCAGTAAAATAAGTGAAAGAGAATGACTTAAGGGCCTACTTGAGGATGCCCCGAATGAATGTTACGCACTTGTCTACATAAGGCTCGCGATCATCTTTCAAATGACTGCAATGACCAGCATTTGGCCACGTTAATTCATCTACAACAACTCCTTGATTCCTCTGAAGACTCTGAAACTCCCTAATAGAAGAAGGCAAACATATTGGATCGTTTTCAGAGTAGAAATATAACTGCCTTTTAGGCAAATCAGTGAAAGACGTCAGCATAAAGTATGCAAATTGAGTCTCATAAACGTTTGGCTTAACCAATGAAGTGGCATAACAGCAGAACCTGTGTACCGACAAGAAGGACGTCGTTGCTACTTTCACTGCCATTTTTAGTCCCCAAGCTTTGTGCCCCATACTCAACGCTTCCGCAACATGCCATGGCATTACATTTGCTGGAGAGCTACAATGTAAGTAAAGTGATCACCACAATGTCAGTAATGTCATAGCCCATAGTATTTCACCACGGTCTAGTCGTTGAGTAAACTCACCTATCAAAGATAACGCCCTTTACCCGCGCTTTTATGCTCTCACCGTCAGCAACTTCCGCCAGTAACCTCCATAACATTGCAAACAAAGAACAACCATTCATACTGAAGTTGTGTATGAATATTGGCCTCCCTTCTGTCTTATCCAATTGAAGAAGCTGTTCGTATAGCGTCAAAGCATATCGTTGATAACCGCCAAAGTGATAAACCTCCTTTATTGGTACAGTATATCGCGCAACCATGTAACTAAAAATAAAGATAAGAGGAAATGATACTTGGTAAGCTTACCCTTCGTCTACGTAGAATTCTGAATATTTGGAAAGATTCTTATCTGTTGCGTTAGCCCAACCAGTCAGGATAATTAATGGTGCTTGAGAATCGATGTCATCTTTATGTACCACCGTAATGCCTTCCTTGATCTCCTTATTTGGTTCATTTTCCAGTCGGAAATTGGAATTATCTCTTTTGATGTCTGCTAATCCTAATCCAGAAGACAAGTTGTCGGTTTCTGGTTTCACCGTGGCGGTCATCTGCAAAAATTGTCGAATTATTACGGTTCACAAAAAAGGAAACGCACAACATTCCGAATTATGCATTTTTGACGCCGACCAGCTGTAGATCAAAAATCTGACTAGAAACTTTGTTGCGGAGGTCATTACGAACAATCGTGCAAAAACAGCCTCTCAGGACCCCCACGGTGAAAGTTATAACGGTTACAGTATGGAACCCACGTATGCCCAATCTTGTGAAATACTGTAAACTATGATGAAAGATGGCTCTATATGGCCTTTGTGAGCTACTGGTAACGAGAGACACAATTTTAAGTTTTCGCTATACTAATACATACAGGAAAGAGTAAGCATGGCTGCAAATCGGGCCAGCCCGGCCCGGGCCTGGAAAAGTTGGAAACCCCGGCCCGGTTTGGGCCGGAAAATTTTTGTACTAGGCCGGAAAGAAACAAAGCAGGAAATGAAGGGAAAATTATGGCGCATTTTCGCAAAATGTAAAGAATAATTTAGCAAAACCTGTACATAGTGCAATTGCTGCTTGACTATTTTTATAAATTACTAAGTCGCCATAAATTGTCTTACCATATGGTTACAAAAAATCATAAAATTTTGTGTATAGTCACCCAAATTTTAGCAAAAATATTTTATCACAGATCTTTTATCGGATTTGAAAAAACCTACAAGCGTACTACGTATTTTTGAAAATTTTTCCTTTTTCTCTTTTTGCCAGCGTATTAACTATGAGGTCGCACTTTAGAATTTCTGAAAATTTTTTCAAATTGACTTGAAAATCATTTTTTTATTTGAGCGAGTGGTAAATAAGGTCACTTTACTTTCGCTATCAGCATTGTGTTCGAAAAAATGAAAAATCTATCGAAAAAGCTTATTTTTCCCCTTTTTTCCGGGCAAAACTCAGATTTCAAAAAAACCGGGCCGGCCCGGGCCTGAAAATCGAAGCCCGGGGTCGGGCCGAGAAATTAGTCGGCCCCTTAAAATTTTGGAAAGCCCGGCCCGGAGCCATGCCTAGGAGAGAGGGTGAAAAGTTGGGGATATGGTTTCGAAAATTTTTATGTACAGGGTGGTTCAGCCGAAGCTTCCATCCTTATTTCAAGTATTTCTCCGCCTATAATGCACCAATTTTTATAAAATTTATATCAAATTGAAGCTGAAGTTCCCCATTTTTTGTCCACCAAATATGACAGGCCCAAGTTCAAGGATACCCCCGTACTGACCTTTGACATTTTCATTCCAAATTTTGGAGCCCGAAATCGGTGAAAATTAGAAAATTTTTGGAATGATTTTCAATTGAGTTTCTCGGACTTGGAAAATTTTTGGATTTGCGGCAAAAACAAAGTCGCCAAATTCAATGAAAATTTTTAAAAAAAGTAAGGTTCACAGAAGTAGCAAGTGCCTAAAAAGCATATTTCAATCCGGCGAGGCACCAAATCGAACGATTGAAAACGAAAGCTCTTTTCTCGGGCAATTCAGGCCTTACAACTCGTTATTTATCTTCAGGGTGGATTTCGTCATCCACATAGACAGTCTCGCCCATTTTTTCGTATTTTTTAAAATTTCGATTAACAAAGCCTGTTACCCCAGAACACAAGAGCAATGCCTTCAAGATTAATTAGGAGTATTCCGTTGACTGCGGTCAATTTTTTCAGCAACTTCTGAATGTCATATTTAGCCAAAGACTCGAATATTTTCCAAGTACGAAAACTTAATTGAAAATCATTGCAAAAATTTTCTGTTTCACCGATTTCGGGCTCTAAAATTTGGAATGAATATGTCAAAGGTCAGTACGGGGGTATCCTTGAACTTGGGCCTGTCATATTTGGTGGACAAAAAATGGAGAACTTCAGCTTCAATTTGATATAAATTTTATAAAAAATGGTGCATTATCGGCGGAGAAATACTTGAAATAAGGATGGAAGCTTCGGCTGAACCACCCTGTAGTTCATCGATTCGGTCCGAACAGTGCACTTGGGTGAATTGTGCATCTGGGCGAACAGTGCACCTAGGCGAACAGTGCGACTAGGCGGACAGTGCACCTTGAAAAACGTTTTGAACGAAATTCGAAAGGTTTTCGCTTCGGGACAGGGGAAAAGGAATTTTTTGGAAAATTTGAACAAAATTTGAAAAGTTTTCGCTTCAGGAAAGGGAAAAATTTTTTTTTGGAAAATTCGAATAAAATTTGAAAGGTTTTCGCTTCGAGACAGGCAAAAAATAACTTCTTGTTTGTGAAAGGCTAAATATGACATCTATATTTCACAAACAAAAAAATCAGTCAAAACATCTTTATCCCCCTTGCCATACTTATATTTTTACAACAAAAAGTCAGTAAAAACGGCTTACCTTGATCCCCTCTCGTTATATTTTTCTTTTCACAAAAAAAAATCGGTCAAAAGAACTTGCCTTGATCTACCCTTGCCATATTTACCTTTTCACAACCCAAAAATTCTTTCTTCCTTTCCCCGAAGCGAAAACCTTTCAAATTTCGTTCAATCATTCACGAAAAATTCTTTTTTGCCTGTCTCAAAGCGAAAACATTTCAAACTTTGTTCAAATTTTTCAAAAAATTCCTTTTTGCCTGTCCCGAAACGAAAACCTTTCAAATTTGCACAATTCGCAAGGGTGCTCTGAAAGGATGGTTTCTAATTTGCAGTTCGTTGCAAAAAATTTATAAGAGTTATGTCAACTGGGGTACTAAGTCACCAGGTTAATGTAATTTCTAAAAAATGGCCTGACTTTTACAGCTCTGAACCAGCGAAAGTGTAGATAGAAGCGAAAAAAGACTATATAAGGGCATGGTCTAACATATTTTTTCGTATAAAGCGAAACTATAATAAAGCAAACAACATTTAAAGTTACCAACATTCCATGTACATCTACAAGGACGTAGCTGCGAGGCCTCACTGGGTAATTTTGCAGCTATGATAGTTAAACTATGCACTACGTAACGTTACTAATTCCGTATGTACGAACGTGCGTACGTTTTTTCACGGAGTTTTCCAATTTTTTGTTTTCTCCTGCCACGATATCCCTGAGAAATAAGGTTGACTACACCGACTCTCTTTCTGTTGGAATTTTTACGTCTACCGCGTGCACGGCTGACTCGTCAGTCGGTTATAGAAAGATTCTAGACGTTTTCGTGATGATGTATTTTTGATCCCAAATTTGCTTATGATATCTTACGAGAGATTTTAACTTTTATAAAAGTCCTATATTTCTTCTCATTTTTTTAATTTTTCAGGCACGATTTGGGCTTTTGATACGATGACCGATCGAAGGAACAAGAAATTCCGAAAAGTACGTTACTTTATTTGCTATTGTTATTGTTCAGGACCAACTGGACTCCAATAAACTATCCAAGGAGCAGGAAGCATGGGCCAATTTTGTAAGGTTTAACTGTCCGTGCAAGAAGTCCACGTTTGAAGGAAACGAAGTGGAGTATTTTACCGGTATAGTGCCTTTGCAAAAATACGATTTTTGTTATTCCAGTATAGATTAAACGTAAAATTTTGTCAGGTCAGAAAGCCATTGACACCCTTGTCGATTCAAAGAAGTTTGGGGCTAGCTCGAAAGAGCCAAAATTTTCGACTCGTGAACAAGCTGCGGCTTTCTTGAAAGTGCTCCTAGAGCGTGGATATTTCTTCAGGGCCAAGGTATTGGTTCCTAGACCAAAGCCTCGTCCAGGAGCGAATCAGGATACGAAGGACTCCCCAAGGGTTAGAAGATTAAAGGAAGAAAAAGAAAAGGCAGAGGAAAGTGCCAGGGATAATGAAACGGCAAACGAGTCATCGGCTGAGCAAAAGAAGGTATGTTAATGTGGACATAAATCTATGTTTCCAATTTGTGTTCACTTTACTATTTTATAGAATGATGAACGGAGAAAGAAGAAGATCAAATTGATCGTTCATGAAAGCCAGTATTTAAATGATGACTCGGATGTGTATGTGTGGATATACGATCCAACGCCGTTATACAAGAAGGTTATTGGAATTTTGATAAGTAGGCGTCCTTCTTCCAAAAATGATTTCTCTTTAGTTCTTGGGGTTATTGCCGGATGTCTCTTCCCACTTTGGCCGGACTGGACCAAGCTCTCTGTGTATTATATATCCATGGCTGGTATCATTTTCTTTGCTGTTATTTTGGGTATTGGAATCGGTAAGTTGCCCATTCGAAACTTTTAATATGAATATTTTTAGCCCGCACTATTTTGTTTGGAGTAATATACGCCGTCACAATGGGAAAACATCGTTTCTGGTTCTTACCTAATCTCTTGGCCGACGTTGGTTTCTTTGAATCATTCCAACCAGTTTATACATATGAATATGTGGACTCTGTAAACCAAAAGGATGTGAAGAAGGAGAAGAAGAAAGCAAAATCAAGCGGTGATGTAGAAACAAAGAAGGATAAACCTAAGAAAGACAAAGGTTAGTTGAAGACTTTATGGTATCATATTAGGGACTATGTTTTATGTGCAAAAAGACTTCGCTGTCCGCAATTTGTATGTTACTCTTAAAGTAATGTATTTTACTCTTTCTTCCGTGTTATCCACGCTATAGGCACGCACTCATGGTGACATTGTATATAGTATCGGTGATTTAATATTTCGGCAAATACTTGCCACGTGGTTTTTAACGAAACCAATATCATTTGAAAAAGCATAAAATAGTGTACAGCTGAAAAAATAGCAAAATTTCCGCCGTCACTTTATAAGGACTTGGAATTTCCACAGAGTTGTGTCCAGTTGGCCGGGTGGTGGTGGCCTCACTTCCTGCGCATAATGTCCTGGGTTCGACACTCTGCCCTGACATTTTTTTGTATATCATTTCTCCTGTATGCCACAAATCGATGATATCTTGCCATTTTTGAATAATTTTTGTTCCTTCACAGACAAAGTTTACGGGATTTTTTGAATTTGTTAAATTTGATGGTGATGAGAGGTCGAGATACGATTGATGTATACTGCCTATATTATCTTGTTTTCGTGACAAATAGAAAACTGTAAAGTCAGCCAAAAACGCTGTTTTTGACCCAGTGAATCAACCGTTAGTAAAGCGGGGACATAAGAAATTTTCGATTTTGAGATTTTCGTTGCGAACGACCACGACCATCATATAAATTTATTTCCAAATCCTTTTTCTTCAATTTTCCCATTAACCTAGTTTCATTTACAATTTTTTGTAACTAACAGTAAGGGCGAATGGCGGCGATACGACTTTTCGGGTCAACGATACTATGGATCGCGTCGGTTCGTCCTTTTATGCATGTGGGAGAGAGAAGGCTTAGTAGAAATTATAAGATCCGGGTGCAAGCATATCTTTTCACCTATTTTGTGGTATTTTAAATCTACCAATAACATCTAGATAAAAGTTACGGATCTTCGTTTTTTGCCACAAATTTTGGTACTTTATATGTTACAATAATTCAGGATAAAGGGAAATAACGTTTGTAATATGTCGAATAACTCTCATAACCGAGTATTAGCGAAGTCATAAAACGACTGTGGTAAACGTTTTTGGATACACTATTTTCGAAGCTCTTTCAAATGATACGTTTGGTTAAGAAACCAGGTGGCAAGTATATGCCGATCCCTTGTAGAGTATTAGAAGCATGTACACCTTTTATTCATGTTTTTCTAGTATAATAGAGGAGTGATTGTTACTTTAAACACCAACTGGTTTTTTCTTGGGTCCCTTCATTTGCCGACAGTGAGAAACGAGTCCTATTCGAATTTTAATATAATTTTATTTAGAACGAAAAGAGGAGAAAAAGGTAGAAGAGGAAGAACAAACTTTAATTAATGACCGTGAGAACGAAGAAGCGGAGAAATATTCAAATCCGTCTTCAGAGGAATCAGACGATAAGGCCGAAGAGGATAATGAGACCGGTTCCAGTAGTGCCGTTGATGCAAGTCCAAATCCCGCTAAGAAAGACTTGAGAAAGCGTCGAAATGTCAGAAAAGCGGATGAGGATGACTTTGTTTTGGTCGACGGCGAATAGATAGCTTAATATGTCGTTTCCTAACCCATTCCATCCCTCGGTACCGTCACTAACGCACTTCCCTTATTTATTTTTCTAATCGTCATAGATCATAATTTAGATATCAAAGTTTTAAAATGCATTCAATTGGTTTATTTCTAATATGTAAATGTGGATACTATGAACAGAAACTGAAAATAAACCTCTCGAACACAATAATTTAAGATAAAACTCTGTAAACCAACGATATATTACTCAGTTACTCCTTTTGGATGTTCCCGTGTTACGATTAATCTTCTGGCCATTCTGTCGTTTTGATGGCTGACTGAGATTACTCTTATTGTTTGGGGGCTGGATCTTGATATTCTTCAATGGTACCGGCTGAGCCGGGGGTATTCTTCCACCACCTGCAACTAAAGTAATATAAAGACCTTGTGAAAAAATACGACTTAAAAAACAGCATGCACATTACAAAATATAGCAAGGATTATAAGTATCCCATTCCTAAATCTAGACATACCGGTTTGATGTGGGAGTATGGAAGGCGGTGGAGGCAGCCATGCCGTTGTTGAAGGACAATAGATACCTTGGCCAAGATTTGGTGGCGGATGGCCATAAGGAAGAGTGAGATCCATCGGGGGTGGTGGGGGCATCCAAGTAGGTGGAGGAACAAAAGGAGCTGGAGAGGGAAAGGGTTGACGATTGGTTTGACCAAACCCTGACGACACATTTGGATTGCCCCCATGCATCATCATCATATGTGGATTCATTGGAGGTATCATTGAAGCCGAATGGTCCATTGGTCTGTGATAGAAATGCGTTTGTGGAGGAGGTATTTGCATGGGTTGTATGGGTCCAACATTACCTAAAGCATAAAATACATCGAACATAATGCCAACTTACTTTTCCGAGTATCCTCTGATAGCATTGGAACATGTGTGAGATGGTTTATGGGCTCGACGATAACTCCATTGGCCTCTGTTGGACCACCTTTGGCACCATTCTCCGATTTCCCATTACTAACCGTAGACTCCTTGCTTGTTTCGGGTTTCTTCCCGTCTTCTCCATTAAATATTCGTTCTCTAATCTTGTCATAGTTGGCAATGCGCTCCTGCAACAAAAAGATAAATACTTTTACCTCCAAACTAAAAAAACGAAAGCTCACACACATACATCAAGAGTTAGTTTGGCCAATGCTTTAGACGCATCTTCAGATTCAGAAGTTCTTGATAATCTCGTTGGTTGTTCTCTTTTCAGTAACCTCAATGGCTTCTGAATAATACTAAAAACAAAATTACTAGAAAATGCAGAAAAGTACCTTCCAATCCCTTGATCTATCGCTGGTTTTTCATCGTTTAAGCATTTCTCTTCCGCCGCCGCACTCTGCTGCTGTTGCTTGAGCATGGCCTGTTTTTGTTCGGCCAATTGAGAGACATGGTCTGATGGCAAAGATTCCCAATCATCTACCACCCCATCATTGGTAGGGATAACCGAGGTCATCAACAATTACGGCTGCTAGCGACTAGAGATGAAACCACCCTGAAATTAATCAATTTTATAAATTACACTTGATAGAAAAAATGCTCATGGACAAGAATAATCGCCGCTGACCGGGAAGACAACATCCAAGCACCCCGTTATGAAGGAGATGCAAAACCAGTTGGTCAAGCCCGAATATTTTTTTTGTTTCTCCGTTATTTTCACATAAAAAATACGAATAAAAAGTGAGGGTGCTGGGCGCAGCCTGCCGGTGGAGGTCGTTGTTACTACACCATAGCGAATGATGGTCTTTACAGAATATAAATACAAAAGATGTCGTTGCTCGAAAAGGTTTTTCGATTTTTACGGTACGGAGACTGAATCGCAAAACCTTTGGACGTCGCATAACGCAACGAAGCTTAAGATTATCTCAGGCTTTTGCTTAGCCTTGCATTAAGCTTAATTTAGGCTTAGGCTTGCCACACTTCCGGGCAACCACTTTGCGGGCAGGGCGGTGTTTGCGGGCAGCCGACGTTTGTGGGCAACATGAAGAAAGAGACACGCTCATTCTGTTGGAAGCTTCGGAAATCAGTGATGAATGTGTCACCTAAAAGTCGCGACATGCATAAATTCTGAAATTGTAATAATATAAAACACATTATCTTTTTTTAAACGTTAATTACAATGTATGTCATGAATAAATATTTTCAAAAAAAAGTCGCTACGGCAAAGTTCGAGCAACGAATACTTTCTTCTGCCTTCAGCTGAACCTCGCGTGAGCGCTGTATGTGTGTGATGACGTTTCAATCGGTCCTGACTCTTCGCTCCATGGCAGAATATTCTCAATTGATTGTTTTACTCGTTTCATCAATGGACTTCTTTCTTTTACTAAGCGGATAATGAGGGATAAGGTCAGGGCTTACTTTCCTCATCACTGACTTGAATGCACATTGGATTTGTCTGCACACATTCGTCGTCTGAATCGTCCGTTTCTTTGGTCCCCTTTCCCAGCATTACTTGCAAACAGAAAATGGAAAATCTGCGTGGGATCACAAATCTCATCTGTTTCTGTTGGGCCCAATGTCCAGTTACAATAGTTGGAACTTACTGTTATTATGTAGAAGTTCATGGCCAGCATTGTTTGCCCCAAGGCGATAAAAGGAAGATGAACAAACGGAAATAAATGGCGGCTCGGGAGATAGTCTCCAAAGCCAATCAGGGTCATTGATGTAAATGTAAAATACAAAGATTCAAGATAAGTCCATTCTTGCTGTCTTTCGATCATATAAAATACAGCAGCCACTAAATGAATATAGCTCATAAACAAGATGATTAGAAAAAGTGTGTTCATCGTCTTTGATCCATTTGAATGCCGATGAAGGAAACGTCGATTCAGGATTGCAACTATGCATGAGATGATATCTGACAGAAGAACGGCAGTATCCGAGGTGAAAGAGATGTACAAGGGAATCCCAATGATCGATACTACCATCGTTGCGTAACGACCGGCTACCGTGAAAGGAATCTAAGATACGGGATAAAAATAATCAATCAAAAAACATACAAGATCGCCGTATCCTAAGGTTGTGATCACGCTAAGCACATAAGTAATGCTGTTTTTGAACGTCATGCCGTAGACTATAACTTGAGCCCTACAAAAACAATAACTTATTGCACTACACCTTACTTCATGCATTTCTGAAATTTGTCTAATTCTTCGTTTACAATTGAAAGATCAGTTTGATTCTGTATAATCTGGGTTATATCTTGTTTAAAATGGTTGCATTTGCTCATCGCATCTTTGTCTCCATCATAACTTTCTTGATATTCCAAGATCTAATATAAATTACGGGTAATTAAGACGACATACATGTATAAGGTAGCCGGAGGTCACCGCAAAGATGATAAAGAACGGAATATAAAATAATGGGCACCATAGTCGTCGTTTTCGTGATCGTTTCTGCCGTCGTCGGCTGTAATATTCAAATATTCACAATCGAAACATTAAAAAAGAGAAACGCTTGTAGCTACCGTAACACGGGAAAGTCATCATTGGATGCGACCATCACTCAAAAAAATATAAAGTTATAAAATAAGCAACAAATCACTCTTTATTGATTTGATTATGCAAATCCTGCTATTGAAAAGCTAATGAGATCAAGAACCGCCCCGCGAGCTCCCGATTGGCTGTCTCATTAGCGCCTAAATACTTGAAAATGGCGCTCTTTCAAAGGCCCACTCTTTGGCCATACAGTATTTTGGAGGACACATTGTATTATCCCTCATATTTTTCGCGCAGTCGCCTCGTTAATGACAGAAGAGTGCGCGCGAACAGGAAGTTGTCAACTGTCTCAGGAACAACTTCTTCACCTCTGGGGTCAGTAATCTTAACTTACAGCATCCAAGGTTTTTTGTTATTCCATCCAAATTGTCATATCGTATTTCAGGGAACAAGACAATAAAACGGACCATGAGCAGTCTTTCTGGCCCAGCTGTCCATTCGTTAGGCACAAAACCAAAGGTAAGCATTGCTGCAGTTTGGGTTACTTTTCCAGGTAGCTACTCCCGGGGTTGTGGCCAAGATAGAGCAGTATAAAAAAGAAAACCCGACTATTTTTGCATGGGAAATACGCGAACGGCTAATACATGAAGGTAAGTCAGTCTTAATACCCTTAATTGCATGATAGCTGTATGTGATCAACCTCCAAGTGTGAGTTCCATTAATCGGATAATCAGGACAAAGACGGCGGAGAAAACCGCAGAAGGCCTCAGTTTGCTGCTTAAGAGTCACTCTGTTTTCGGATTTAACAATCATCTTCCTCAGTATAACGACCATACAATAAACCCATCTGGTATGTGGCATTTCATGATTTTTTGAAACCTAAGGAAGACATTAAATTTTCTGACTCATGCTTGATTTTTTTAGTAAATCCCTTCCCGATCCCTGCATTACTCCAGATACAGGCTTTGTTGCATAAAACAACTGCAAATCAAAGTAAATACACACTGTTCCCAACGCCCAGACGATGTTCTCGGAGTAGTTTTACAACTGGTATGTAACGTCATATCACATTAACTATAGCCTCAGAGCAACTTCATGTGCTAGAAAGGTCCTTTGAACTATCCCAATACCCGAGTATCGAAGAACGACAGCGTCTCTTCAAATTGACCAATATCCCCGATGCCCGAATTCAAGTCTGGTTCTCCAACCGACGAGCCAAATCCAGACGAATTCATCAAGATCAGAATCAACGGAATAGATACCGCGGTAATTCGATGGACGCATCTCCCAATAGTGCCTCAGGCCATCCTTTTAGCATCGATAATATCCTCAGTGAGGACATTAAAGGGCCCTTCGATTAATCAATAGATTCGAGCAGTTTATTCCACTTGTTACAGTATCCTTGCCGAGTCAACAAGCACTTGAAAATAAATGCGAGAGTGGTAGACAATAGCTGCAATTGGATCTAATTTGAAGTGGAAGCCGAGGAATGGCGAAAGAATATGTTATCCCAAGATTAGGGATGTACAGGTGAAAGTGTCAAGAGCCCTTTACTCACCGCCGCTCCTTTGTAATCCAAGACGGCTTCCGCTTTCGCCGAATATCTTCTTCGCACATTTTTGGCCTCTTAAAACGGTCATTCACTTGGCAAACTAGCAACTCCGGCAGGCGAAAAAAAAACCGAAAACATTACACCTCAAACAACGGACAAACTAAGGGCACGTTCAGCGGAAACAGTTCTTCTGATACGTAATTTCAAAGGCACTCCATGTAAACAAGATCACAATGCTCTCTCTTTCCAAGCATTTTATTTTGTGGATGAACTGCGGAAATGTCAATTAAAAAAGTTAAGGTTGTATTTTTTGTTGGGGGTTGCAGTCGAAGTAAATTCTTACGTTTCTAATTGAAGGAAGACGTCTTTTTTCTTCATTAAGAGCTGCATTGCTTTCAAACGTGAGTTTAAACAACGTGTGTCAAGTTTTTTGGGCCCACTCATTGCAAAGCGTTCCTTTTCACTGTCTGAAAAATCACGTAAGGACAGATAAATGGTCACTTTTCGGCTGGGAACGTTGTTTATCCGAGCACAAATTTTTTGGGAAAAACTATGTTCAAGGATATCTGTAGGATTATCTAAGGATGGATTATTTTTTTCAGAGAATAAATTTCGATACTTTGGGAGGCAGCTGATTAAATGAAATGTTTTGCTTAATCTTATCCGATCACAGCAATCACGTTCTTTGAGGAACAAACAGCGCGGTTGGAGCGTTCTTTGTGTTTATTTGTTTGGGTCAAAATGTGATTAAATTTTTGATAAGCTTCAAGCCTTTGCATACTCTTGAATCTCAAAAACCTTTATGTTTTTTCCGGTACCGTCATGAAAAATAAGGCGTTAATATACAGGGTGTACACATATTGTTGGGTGTACATATCGGCGATGATTTTTTAATTTCATGTTGCGCAATCTGACACAACGTTGCGCAATTTCCGTCTTTGTAAACATTTCTGCCTTTCTCTGTTGCCTCCTCCTCCTTTTTTGTGAACTTATAATTTTGGACAAAATTTGCATGGTTCGGACGGACTTGTGCGATGAAATTTAAAAATCATACATCGGGAAATCCGCGCAATTTTTTTAAAAGAATCGCGGTAGCAAACGGGCCGATTTTTTTTATTTTCAGGCCCGTGCCCGGCAAAAATCAGGCCGTGTGCCTGAGGCGAATTTCAAGCCCAGGCGCTATTCAATCAAGATCGGTTTGAAAATTTACTGCGGGAGTAGAGACACTGAAATAGCGGATGAAAGTGGAGTTAACCCTTTCCGGACGAGTCCGCACGCCCTGGAAAAAATGAAAGAGGGTATCCTACTGAGCAACGACATAAGTGCTTCAGCCCATCAAAGCGTTATTTGGGATTTATGACAAAAAATGTCCTAAAAAGTACCCCATATCACTTTTGATAGGTTTTTTTCATACGTTTTTTCTGGAAGCGGTTTCTTGTCATATCAGTCTGTCGGGAAAATAACGGCGGATCGTCGCAGCAAAATGTCTCGCCTCGCCGCTATCGCGCACCAAATCCCAATCAGCGGCTTGCAGTCGCAAAGCGATGATGTGCGATTCCAAAGCGCGCGTATGATCCTTGATGTGTAATGTGGCTGTCTTCCAATTTTTATGATTTTACATTAACATTCAAATTAATCCGAAAACAACAACGTGTCGCTGACCATTGCCTGTAAATAATTCCAATCAAAAAATTTTGTGTTTTATCGCAATGTATATTGTTTCGCTTACCGGTAAACCGTGAGTTAGAAGAGATGTTTATCTATCCGTTAGAGGCACAACAACATGTGTGATTAATTCCGTCTTCGAAATATTCATCCTAGCGGGCGACTTTTAGTTAGAAATCCTACGAAACTGGTCTGTCAGCACTACAACACCATTGTCAATCATCATTAAAAGTTTCAAAACTTCTGTGTAACTCGACTTATTATGCCATCTTTCCTACTGTTAGAATGGTTGCAATAGTTTCCCGGGTTTTTGGAAAAACTGACAATGTGAGAAATCCTTCGCGTTGCATTCCGCAACGCGACTAGACAGAGTTTAGTTATCAAGCTCAAATATGGTGGTTTAAGGATGAAACAGACCTGCTATAACAAGATAAATTCACTTATCGGGTCTACAGCTTTTTTCCGCCAAGATTTAATTCAATACTAGGCTAATAAATTACAATTCTCCTGATTTCTCTGAAAGTCCAAAGAAATTATTTAACAATATGCCAAACACTTGTTTTCGTGGCGGGCACAACGAGAGTTCCGTAAAAAGCGTTGTGACGATCTTACTCCTCGCGATTTGTTTTCGAATTCGCGACAACGAAAAAAAAAACTATTTTTTCAAAAAAATAATTTTACCAAACAGCGGCAGAAAATCAGAAGATGGCTGATCAAAAAAGAATCCCCAATGGCGTCAAATTTGCATTTGGAGGATTGGCAGGGTATTTTTATCTTCCACTTGACACCTAGATTGTAGAATGGGCGCTACATTCTTCGTCCAGCCATTGGATCTGGTGAAGAACAGAATGCAACTCTCTGGAACGACGGGAAAGAAGGAATATCGTTCTAGCATCCATGCACTTAGAACAATCATTGCCAACGAAGGTATCTTTGCAGTTTACAATGGGCTTTCTGCGGGGTTGGCTCGTCAAGCATCTTATACCACCACCCGGCTGGGTATTTACACATGGCTCTTCGAAACTGTCAGGTATTTTTTTTAGTCTGAACAAGGCTGTTTTTAGTAAGGATCAGACACCTTCGTTTTTCATGAAAGCCGGTCTTGGAATGACTGCCGGTGCCATCGGGTCCTTTGTGGGTAATCCAACCGAGGTTGCTTTAATCCGAATGACTTCTGATGGTCGTCTTCCTGTTGCGGAACGTCGAAATTACTCTAGTGTCTTCAATGCAATTGCCAGAATTTATAAAGAAGAGGGAATCCGCGCTTTATGGAGAGTAAGTGATGTTATAAAAACCTTTACACTTTAGGGATGCATTCCGACGATCGGACGTGCAATGGTTGTAAATGCTACTCAACTGGCAACCTACTCTCAAGCTAAGCAAGCCATTTTGGGTACAAAGTATCTTGAGGACGGGATTTTAACTCACTTTGTCGCTTCCATGATCAGTGGGCTTGCCACAACTATTGCTTCTATGCCTGTCGACATTGCAAAGACAAGGTTTGCAAAACTATGATGTTTAATATTGTATTTTAGAATCCAAAATATGCGAATTATTGATGGGAGGCCTGAGTATTCTGGGGCGTTGGACGTTCTGAAGAAAGTCGTAAGAAATGAAGGCTTCTTTTCTCTCTGGAAGGGGTTCACACCTTATTATATGCGTCTTGGACCTCACACGGTCTTAACGTTTATAATCTTGGAACAGATGAACGCACTTTACTTCAAGTTCGTCCTCAAAAGTGAAGGCCACAGTGCGATGTAACATCTTAGGAACGTGAAATATGTTAGACTTCTGAGTTCTTCATTATTTATATCTTATGGAACCCTTATATACATACAAATATAGTAACATAAAGTTCTAATTGAAGTTCTTAAATCGGGTTTCAAATTCGTCGCGTAGTTTGGGGTCCAATTTATCATATAAGGCAATTACGCGGCCCCAACTTTCTTCAGTGGTCAGTTCTGGGTTTCGGAGAAGGGCTGAAATCTTCGCAAATTGCTCTTGAGCAGGGTCGGACATCTCATTAACATATTTGTGCACTTTCTGCCTGTGGTCGTCCTCGATCTTATCATTTTCACTCATAAATTGGTGATAGAGTAACTGGAAGATGTCTTTTATTGCTATTAACCTTACTTGATGTTGGTCATCCAACTTTGCCACCAATTTTCCCAACTCTTGCACTTGCTCATCGTACCTGCTGTTAGGTTTTCGAATTATATCCTTGTATTGTTGCACCACCTCATCACCAACTCCCTCTAAGAATCTTGGTAACGAAAGTGACGAAGAAGATGATGAGGGGACCGATTGAGGTGGTTGCTCTCTTTCCTCCGGCCGACCATGTATTACTTGGATTGGTATCTCTTCTTGGAAATTGTGCTGGAATTGAGGGCTGACTCTGTTATGACCCATTCCTCCAGGATAGAAGGGTTGTGGACTCATTGGTCTTTGTTGCTGGAGAAGGTGAGCATTCTGACGGTAAGCAGCGTAATCAGACCCGATTTCAATAGGGTCAGGCAACACGTTCACCGGACTGATCGGATCAGCGTAATATGGCTGTGGTACTCGAGGAGGAGACCTCCTCAGCTGACCATACATTACCGGCGGCATCGCATTGTAAGGTTGATAAGCATTGGACGGCACAATTGGAGAGAAGTATTGACCGGAGACCAGGGGAAAGAGGACCATGTAGAGGAACAACATATCGACAAATGAAAGTTCACCACAACTACAAGCATTTCCAGGGTCAGTCCAGTTATATGAAAACTAGTTATCCCCGACCGGTCAGAAAACACCTCAACGGAGGGAGCGGCGAGTGAATCCGAGCGAAACGACCGAACGCGCGCGCATTCCAATGTCGCGGCACTTGACCCCGAATCCACTACCCGTGCAAAAATAGACTGATTCAACTAATTTATTTAAAGATACTGCAAAAATACAACCTAACATGTTAGTGTAGAACTACTTTAGCAGATTAAAGGGTCGTAAGAATGTCCTGTTTCTAAGCCTGAGGATTGCGGAACTTCTCTCCGGCATAGACAGCCTCAGGGCCCAATTCTTCTTCAATTCTCAGAAGCTGATTATACTTGGCCAAGCGCTCGGAACGGCATGGGGCACCAGTCTTAATTTGCCCAGTGGCCAAACCAACAACCAGATCGGCGATAAAAGTGTCCTCGGTTTCTCCGGATCTGTGAGAGACCATCACTCCCCATCCATTCTCGCGGGACAGGCGGGCCGCCTCGATCGATTCGGTTACAGATCCAATTTGGTTAACCTAAGAAAATGATCACATATAAGAATTTACAAACCTTCAAAAGCAGGCAATTGCAAGCCTTCTTCTCAACAGCATCCTTGATGCGCTTAGGATTCGTGACAGTGAGATCATCACCGACCAATTGGATGGAAGTTGAAGCTTGGAATTTGGTCCAGTTAGCCCAATCGTCTTGTTCGAAGGCATCTTCAATGGAGACAACTGGATATTCCTTGATAAAATCCTGGTAAAGTTGTCCTAATTCGTCACCAGAAATCCACTTTGATGGATCAGAGTTGGGATTTTTGAAGTCGAGATCGTATTTTCCATCTTTGTAGAACTCACTGGCTGCCACATCCATCCCAATAGTGACCTTGCCAGAGTATCCAGCAAGATCAATAGCAGTCTTAAGAAGATCCAAACCCTCCTTGTTGTCCAAAATGTTGGGAGCAAAACCTCCCTCATCCCCTACAGCAGTTGCATCCAGACCGTAACGCTTCTTGATCTCAGACTTCAAATGATGGTAAATCTCAGATCCCATTCTCATGGCTTCCTTGAAGGTAGAAGCACCAGTTGGGAGGATCATGAACTCTTGCATGGCTAGCTTGTTTCCGGCATGAGAGCCCCCATTGATAACATTGAACGCCGGGACTGGGAGGATGACTTTTTTGATTCCAGAAAGTTCAGCGATGTACTTGTAAAGAGGGAGACCCTTGTGGACGGCACCGGCCTTGGCGACAGCTAGAGAGACTCCAAGGATTGCGTTGGCTCCAAAGTTGGCTAAAACAGGCACTGTCGTTAAAAAAACTCGACTTACATTTGTTTTCGGTTCCATCCAATTCGATGATAAACCTATCAATGGCAGCCTGTTCGGTGACGGGAATACCCTTGGCCACAAGAGCAGGGCCAATCTTCTCATTAATGTTGGAAACGGCCTTCAGGACACCCTTCCCATGGTGAACGGCCTTGTCTTTGTCACGTAATTCCAAAGCTTCATGAATTCCAGTAGAAGCACCGGATGGAACTGCGGCACGAAACACGCCCTTATCGGTAGTAAGATCGACCTCAACTGTGGGGTTACCACGAGAGTCGTAGATTTGACGGGCGAAGACACGCACAATGGACATGGTTTAACTGAAATCGAATGGCGAATTTTAAGACACCAACAAAACGCGGAAAGGAGACAATTTTTGACCCGAACAAGCCACTTTTTGGAAAGTGGAGCCAATCTAGTTCATCAAAAAGCACAACGGTAAACATGGGAAATTCACGCAAACGAGAGAATGGAACGGAGCCCAGCTCTTTGGAACGGCTAAAAAATGCCGACGTCCCTTCAAGGCTGAAAAGAATAAGAAATAGAGAGAGACGAGGGGGAGACAGAGCAGTGGCCTCGAACGTGAGTGCTCCACCGCAAGTAACAAGCTTCGATTGCGGCAAAACAAATAATGAGAATTATCCTTCTGTCTTATTCTGTGAGACTGTCTTCATTAAACGCAAAGCAAAACGCCACTTTCATTACCTTATCATCCAAAAATTTATAAACAGCCTTTAATTTCATCACATAAAACATCCCGGTTTTTTATTGGGTTACCATCCAGCACAATCCTTGAAAACAAACATTATTTCCCTATTTTCCATATAAGCAAGAATAAAGAACAAAATCTTGCTCATTGGCAGCATTGGAAAGAAAATGAGCATTGCATAAATTCACAATGAGGCAATCTGACTGGCCGAGAAAAAATGACACAACGTTTTTTCATGGAAATCTCGTTACGTTACGCCATAGCATGCCATGAAAACAAATACTAGGTGTCAGGAATGGCTGTGTTTTTTACCATTACTATTATCTGTGAAATAGTTTGGCTATCCAACCGAACTTTTTGGCTAGCCATTACAAAATTTTTGGTTATACCCATTTTTTACACCTATTCCAACCTTTTGGCTAACTTTTTGCGAGATCTTTCAAAGCCATTCTGACACGTCAAATCGGTTTGCCGATCCAGATTTTTGGCTAGCTAAAATGTAGTTGTGATTTCAACCGGTTGGTCAAAGAAGAAAGCATACATATCGGCCAATACCCGATCTGCCCCAAATGCATTTTGGCCGGCCAAATGACAGACTGCGGAAAAATATTTTCTGTGATAAAAAATTCCCAAAAGTGTAGGACAAGCAGAATCGATATTTGCACTTCGTTAAAACACGAAATGTCAAGAAAAAATATTTTATTTTATTGTTAGGTTTTTACAAGGAAAGTACTTCTATGGGCATGGAGTTACAGTTCGAGACATATATCAAAAAAAAAAATCGCACAATTTTTCTGATTCAGAATATGTAAAAAGGTTTATCAAGCCGCCAGTGGTTGTTTTAGCTCAAAACAAAATATTTGAATTGGGAAAAACTTGGTCAAAAAGGCATTTGTGCGCAAAATAGTTGCGAGAAAAGTTCTGAGGATTTTTGTCGCTCTTACAAACCAAAATTAGGCAGCCAATTTTTACATTTTCTGAATCAGAAAAATTTTGCGATTTTTTTTGATATAAGGCGAGTGCGTTCTACACAATAGTCTATTCAAAAATTAAAGACAACTTTTTGGGCCTATGCGTTCCATATTAGACCAGGGGTTATGCCGAGCCCTTGTGAGGATTTTTTCACCCTTCCAAACAAAAATTTAGCAGGTAATTTTTACTTATTCTGAATCAGAAAAATTTTGCGAATTTGTTGATCTTAATTTTTTGACAAGTACTTTCCTTGTCAGAAAATTTTTGTAATACATTGATGTCTGTCGTTCAGGTATGTCATCAAAAAGGCTAGGTCGTTGTTTGAAAGGGGTTATTGTAAATCGTGTAAAGACACCGAATGGAATCAAATGCCAGGTGTTTTGCAGCCGCGTCGAAAATCTCATTACAATACACCTTCAAAACTATGAAATAGGAACTGTGTGCGACTTTACGATAGATGAAGACGGAATTGTGCACGATGTGGTCACATTGGACCAGAATAGAAAGCTGCAGTTTAAGGTAAGTAGATGTTATTCTACTATAGTTTTTTAGATAAAAAACTTGTTGCTAAAGGAGAATAGAGATGAAACACAACTACCATTCGGGCTCGTCGGCGAAGACGATATTTTCGGTGCCATCTTGGTGCCTTCGAGCGCTCACACTCAACCTGGGCTTACTGTTGATGTGGGTTTTCTTTGTTTGCCAATGTTTTTTAGGTTATTATTTCATACAACAATTTCATGGACATGAAATACAAATGGTATGCAATCAAAGTATACGATCATAGGGCCAAGACCTATACTTCGGTGAGTTTATTTTCTCCTTCTTTTTCATTATTGTTTAGATTCTCGGATGCAGTTCGCCTCTATCTTTAATGTCGTCAACGGTTCCAGAAGAAGATTCAGTGGACAATTTGACTGCTGCTACTTTAAAGTCTGACGCGGTGGAAGCGGCTTCTTATACCGAAGTTGAGGCGTCTCAGGATACGTTTTACGATGAGGATAGTATTGGCTCTGATAATTATAACTTTATGGACTTGGCTCGGCTCGGAAAACAGCCTTTACCGGATGTTTACCGATTATTTTCAAATTGTCAGGAGCCGTTAATACAATTTCCGATCTTCCCCAAGGACCGGCCTACGTGCAGTGAAAAGATGTATGAAGTAAGTGTACCCTTTGATGCCGCTAAATAATCTAGGATCGAGTCATTTTTCTGGCCAGATGTCCAGACTTTGCTATCGCGCTGTCATCGTCGGCCAAGGAGTTTGGGATTATGCTTCCAAACCACGAATCTTATCAACTGGCATGTTTGGGGAATGTCTCCAGATGTGATCTTTCAATACCCAATGAAAGAGTTGTTCTTGACTTTTACAGTTTTATTGTGGAAAAGGTTGGGACGTATATTAACAACTGGAAGCTTCGTTCGGTTCTCACCGTCTACGGAAATACAATCTCTCTGGCAGTATCGGTAAGATGAGTTCTTATTTTTTATTTTGCTGATTTAGGTTGCTCTGAGGGATGAGGACATTAAGAGAAGCCCGGGCGATGCAGATGGGATCTTCACTTTCCCGTTTGGGAAGGTTATGCTAGACAAGAAACTAAATGAGTACTACAGCAAGAGTAAAAAATTCGCCTTCCGTGCAACGTTATCTTCTTATGATCTCAGTCAAGCAACTGACGATCGAGTCGTATGGGTTGCTCATCATTCTCATTGTGCACTTCTTCCGTGATTTCTTTTGTCTGTAACTTTTGTTGTATTTATTAGAAGTTTTAGTGTATTAAACTGTGCTGTTGTAAGATTTTTCCCGCAAGATTTGTTGATTCATTTTCGGATATCTAATGGCTGATTCCGGCGGAAGATATACTCAACTTTGGGCCAAAAATTGGTCGAAATTTAAAATTCAATTTCCAAAAGTCGATAACTAATCCTGTAGTGGTCCGATTTGGACAGTTCTTGGATGTAACAGTAGTAGGACTCTCAGACTTTAACTTAGGGGTGGTTTCTAATTTACAGGTCGTTAGCAAAATTTCATAAGGGTTATGTCAACTGGGGGTACTTTTTAGGACATTTTTTGTCATAAGTCCCAAATAACGCTTCGATGGGCTGAACCACTATTATATTATTACTCACTAGAGTACCCTCTTTCATTTCTGCATGGAGGTGCCGACTCGTCCGGAAAGGGTTAATGACCTAAGATTCCCATTCAGCATATCGTCTTTATCGCCGCTCATATGTTAACAAAAAAAATTGGTAATCTGATCTTAATGAAGAATTAATTTTTCTACTAACGATAAGGTTTATACCATTTATTTACGGAAATATTTCATACAAAAAATGGGGGTTTTTGGGTTGGGGCAGATTTTGGCGCAGGAGGGTGAGTTTTGCGTTATTGGAAAAATGGGGTTAATTTTGGTGATTTTTGTTAAATAGTGGGGTAAAATTTGTGAAAAGGTGGTGTTTTTTTAGGAGGTTTAGGGGTGGGGAGGGTGCGCTAGAAATGGTATATGTATACTACTGCTATTCTAGTACATATTCTAGTACAACAAATATGAAAAATATAAAAAGATTCTGAGTTGGTCGTTTTCTGGAAATGTCCGGTCCATCCTTCAAGTTGCAAAAAACAATTTTTTAGATGATTCTAATTCAGGCCGACCCTCGAGATCGGCTTGATCTGCCGTTAAGACAAAGAGAACGATATCTTATTCGGCAATGTCTCTCATTTCCTATCCAATTCCAATTTGTCCACATGACCTCCAATTCTATTCAGCTTACAATGAACCTCGACTAACATGTTTTTTTACCAACTTTGTTATTACTTCTTGTGTATTTATCAAAAAAAAATCCTAAACAAATCTTGTGGCTAGCGAAACAATCTTGGCCATCTCGATATTATCCCTCTTCTTAAGCAGAGTTCCAGGGATCGGGGCCAAAACCCTATTGCCAATAGGATTTCCCTCGTCATCCTAAAAAATTGACTAAAGAATTTGATGAGAAACCTACCAATAAAACAACATTGTTGGTGTCAGTAGAAGGAATTCCATGTTTTCTGTAGTTGACATGCGTGTTAGCCCCAACAACATAAGCCTTCTTCATCTCCCCTTTTATGGCAACCAATATCTGTAAGGGTTGCAAAATTATCAATTTCTCCATTTACTGACCTTGTCACCTAATGTTGCGTGGGGCATATGTTTTGGCCGGTAACCTTTCTTGTAAACATGAATACAGTAGGCCAATCGGCCACTGCTATTCGCTTCCTTCCCAATGGCCGAGTTGTCTACAACAACACAACGAGTTCTTCGATGAATTCCAGGATTTGGTGGTCGAGAACGGTGGATTGATAACTCATAACTAAAAGTTTACAAATTCTAATGAGAGCTTTATTCAGAGATAATAGAACCCAGTATAAACAAGAGATTTCCTAACAGAATCCTGACAATTTTCAAGTCCATAAGGGCAATGTCGACATCCCTCCCCACAACATTTTTGATCATATAGCAGCGATGAAACCGTCCGGTGGGTGCTTTTGTCTAGGGGATCGATGTAAGTAAGTTTTCGGTCTTGTACAGCTTTGTAATGTGCCATGTAAACAGTTTTTTCGGCAGAAGTCATCGCGTTGTAAGTATTCCAGTGTACCTCACATTTTTTTATTGCATCCACAAAAAGATTATAGTCAGCCAAAAGTTCTCCTCCTTTCCCTTTTTTCAATTTATAGACAGCCCCGTCAGGTTTACGAGACTTGGCATAGATGGGGAATGCATTTTCGCGAGGCAGCCCTAGTTCTTTCGCTGTTGGAACCATCTGCTGAAGATCGCTTTGTTCAGGGCATTGGCTGTGTGATCGAAACGATCTGAAAATAAAGCGGCTATAAGTAACAGCCAATGCCCATCACACAAACTTGGTGCGCTTTTCTCACTAAGACCATAAAAAATAAATTATAACCTTACGTTGGCTGTGGATACCACCTTCCAGATGCGGAAGCTTGGCTCACAAATTGCGACAACCTCGGGAGCAAGTGCCTCAACATTTTGTACAACCTCAGCTTTCATACAAGACTGCAGTACTTTCCTCGAAAAAATATTAAAACTCGATAATAGATATGCGAAATGTCACAAACGATTTTTCGTTACGTGCATTGAAAAATGGAGATGGGAGCCGAAAGATCGAAGTTGCTCGTCACCGGTTCCCATCCACTCTTTAAAATTTTAGAGGTTAATTTGGAATGTAAGTCAAGAAATTTTTTAGTATTGAGAAGAATGGCGAAAAACGAAAACAGATAGTGGACGTGTTCGGCAAAAGTTCCAATAGGCGTTTTAACAAGTAGATAGACGCGTATTGTTTAGTCTTTTTTGGCCCTTCCTCTCTTTGCAATTTATTTCTATGGAGGGAAAATGTATTGGCAATCGAAAAAATTGGGAGCGAGTTGTACAATTTTTTTAATCTTATAAATGCATTTGGTGTAAGATAGCGCTTTTCCAGATATCTAGATGGATGTACAGCATAAATGAATCCGAAGTTTACCCGCAAAACCCTTCTGTTTCGGTTCAGAGAACACGACAATTTTACGAAAACATGAATAATTCGTTGAGCAACTCAGGGTACGACGGTGTGATGCATCCGCCTTCTCGTCGAAGAACTGCCCCTGCCGGGTCCTCTTCTCCGAGACGGGATCCTCAGTTTGCCGATCTTAATTTATCAGAAAGACCGTCAGGTTAGTTGATAAAATATGTTTTATATTCTGTCTTGCAGGCCTAAATTATTCGAATGAAGTCGAAATGTATACCGCCAGCCGTATACCGCTTTCTTATAACCTAAGAAAGAATATTCCGCCCGAATACTCCAATTCCCACACCGTAGCTCAATATTATCCTGGGTCTCCGGCTTCGTACCAAGCGGTGTACAGGATTCCTCGTGCGAACAGCCCCAGGACTGAGTATATGTACAGCAATCCCGTTCCAGACCAGCCCACAACAAGTTTTGGTAACGTTTTGATTCCTTTTTTTTCAGGGGCGTTATTTTTTTTCGAGGGGGGGGTTATTTTGGACCTGTTATTCTTATTTTTGATAACCCTTTCAATGAAGGTAAAATAATGCTTATTAATTACTTCAGAGATTCAAGATCAGTATGGGAGGAATCTGAATGCAATTGGGGCAACTTCAGGGACAATGGTAACAGTGCCAGAAACTGATATCATAGACAGTTCGACCGAAGAAGACGAAGTTATTAAGGATTGCGATAATGAGGAGTTTGAAGACGAGATTGACTGTAAGTGCCTGCTTATAGTTAATTTAGTTTTAATATATAACGTAGCCTCGAACGTAGTATCGAAGAAACGTAGGATCGGGCTCTATTTGTCTTCTATGATGTGTACTCCAGAACAGGGTCGTGAGTAAAAGGTGTTATTGGGAATGATATCCGTGGAGAGGGTCATATACAACCGTTTTTGTTTACATTGAGTGCTTAATTGCTTCTTAAAGAATATCAGATATCACCCTTTAAAGGTTCGAGATGACTGTTTGTATGGCCATGTAATTATTTTTATAAAGCCCTCAGGAATTACTGGACTTACTACGTTTACGTAATCTCCGACATTCCAAACAACTTTTTACTCTTTTGAACTGGAATTTTATGCCGTTCGGAAGGAGGTTGAGATTAATCTAGGACAATACTTCCTTCCAAAAACATTCACAATAGCCTAATTTGGGATTCGGGCAGCTGGTTTGGACGGCTTTTCTTGACATTTGCGGCTTTGATATTCCTTCCTTCACGCGCAAACTAAAATGGCTACGTTACAACGCTCCAAGTCTGTCAAGACCAACAATGTGAATATCCGAACGAGACGCAGGGTATCGGTGTACACCTCGACTCCTAGAAAGAGTTCTCTTATCGACTCTACTTCCAACAGTGTCCGATCTTGTCTAAGGAAATTAAGTGGCCAGCTGAATAAAACGGTGGTCCTGAGAGAGGTAAAGGGCTTCTTTGACGATTCCGGTGAGTATCAACATGTAATCTTATAGCATTACTTATTGTTAAAAGAATTGAATTCATTGAAACTATCGTGAGCCTGGCGCTTGAAAGGTTTAACCCTTTTTTTGAAAGGTGTACGTAAAGGGCATAAGTAATATCCTCGCAATTGTTGTTGTGCGTTCATTGCGGCTTTGTTAGCCGTTCTAGTCGACGCCCGGGTGGATGTATATATGAGGAAAGGGATCCAAGGTGCTCGGACATATTATTTTTGCTTTGTAATGGCGTCGTCCACTGTCTAATCTGTCCGAAGGGACTCATGGGGCAAAGGAAAGGGGGATTTAATCCTCTCGTTGGCCCCTAATCAGGCCAGTCAGGAGCGCGGTGGTTGAAAGGATAATGTGGTAGGTGAGTCGGTTGGTCTCGACTCTGTTTTCGCTTATTCTTATTCGTTTGATTTCTATTTTGGCACTCTCCCAGCAGGAAATTTTTTCTTCCGGTCTGTGTGTTTTTTATCTTAGAACGAGAAAGTTGACGCTGGTTGCTAAGCATGTCTCCATTGTTTACCTGCATAATCCCGGTTCCGATATCCTTAACTTGTGGTTCCCGAATGGCATCTCATAATTCTTTGGGCTCGTGGGATTAATGAGTTTTCTTCCCTCCTTTTTTTACCCTAATGGTAATTTTATGTTGGCCACCAGTTTCACTTCTATTAAACTCTTTCCTTTATTTGTTTTAATCCAAATTCGCATCGTTCTTTTCGAGTGCTTGGATGATAGACTTTGATGCTAATACTTGTAGAAGATGCCGAGCGCATTATGTGCCGGCAGTTCGCTTCCATTAGAACCTTCTCGGTCTCGGATCCCGGCGTCTGAATCTTCCCCACGTGGCCTGAATGGCTCACCTTCCAAAATATTGCATATGGAGGCGTTGAATAGGTCCTTCCACAATGCAACTGCACTTGCGTCGGAGATAAGAGAGAATATGAATAGCGTGACCAGGATAGAGAAGATCCGGCCTTCTTCAGTAAACAGCAAACGAAGTCAAGATTCTTCTTTTTTACCTTCAAATAACAGCCCAACTTCAATTGTTCGGCATTTTTCCATCAGGTTCAAGCATCATGTGCAGACTTCGCTTAGCGATCCACTGAGGACACGAACCTCTTTCCGGCGCAAGCAGAGGACAGTAACTCCCGTCAATCCATCAGGTGTTCTATTTGTCTCATTTTATTTTGCTTTGAATTATTGCTGTTTTTGGTGGTTCAAATGAAAATTAAACAAAGATTGCTCGTAGTTCTGAAGAAATTCAAGTTTTTCGGGGTTTTTAGGCCAAGATTTAGATGTGTGAGGGCGTCGTTTTTACATTAATTATTAATTGTTTGCAGATGAAAATGACGGCGGCGCTTCTTCCAGTGATGAGCTTGATGACCCGGAGGTCCTTGCACTTTTCGAACGTGAACAGATTGTCGAGAAATACGAAAAGGTGGGAGTACGACTTTTTAAGATTTTAATTTGCATTTAGGGGCCGGAACAAGAAGGAATCGATTCTTGGGAAAACCCTGACTTTGAACTCTACCACAAAACCGATAGATTTGGTTTTATTCAGTAAGATTTTAATTATTGGTTGACAAGAAAACTACTTTTATAGGGGCTCCTACTTTTCGACGGGGCATGTCTCAAAAAATCCGAAAAATTGTGCTGATCAAGAATATGTAGAAATTAGGTGCCCAATTTGGGGTTTAAGGGATCCCCAAAAAATGGCTAAATTTGTCGGCAAAATGCGCTGGCATTGCAAACGATAAAAATCGCGACCCTTTTGAAGTTGAACGTCTGAAAAAAATTTCTACCAAGACTTATTTATTACGACTTAGAATGTAGGACTTTAAGTCAATTTGCGATTGACTTTTTCACCACTAACAAGGGATCGGCAAATAGTTGCAACCTGCTTTCTTAACGAAACATGTATCATTTGAAAGAGCATTAAAAATAGTGCACATCGCAAAAAAATTAGCTGCCTAAATTACCTTAGGGCATAGATACGACCGCTTTTTGAAAGGGGTTATATGCGGCCAAAACGCCGGTTCCTTATATTACAGTAATCCTGGCGGTTTGAAATCGTCTTTATTAATTTCCTGGTATCCAAAAACGTCTATCACGGTCGTTTTATGGCTTTACCAATCCTCGGTTATATGTTATTAGACATTACTGCTAGTTACAGTAAATTGTAAATAAAACTAGGTTAAAGGGAAAATTGGAGCAAAAAGCTTTGGAAATACATTTATATGATCGTCGTGGTCATTCACAAGCGAAAGTTTCAAAATCGAAAATTTCTTATGTCCTAGCCTTACCAATGGTTGGTCCACTGTGTCAGCAATAGTGTCTTTGGCCGATTTTACAATTTTATCTTCGTATTTTTTCGAAAAAATGTATATTTATAGGCCCTTGTAAATTGAATTATCCTCCAGTAATCATAATCGGTCAGGTTACTGGGATAACACCCTTGTAATTATACGATAGTGACATATCCACTCCCAACACCATCAAATTTGTGGTCGTTTCAAAAAAATTCAAAAACTCAGAAAAATTGCGCAACCATGGATTTTGTCTGTGGAGGAACAAAAATTATTAAAAAATGTCAACATACCATGGTTTTGCGGCATATAAGAGACGAAACGCAAAATGTTTACAGAGACCGGATTCGAAACCAGGACTCGCTGCGCCGGAAGTGGGCTCACTACCACTCGGCCAACTGGACACAACTCTGTTGCCATTCCGAGAGCTTATAAAGCGAGGTGGAAATTAGGCTAAAATCCGTATTTTGGCCATAACTTTGTCCAAAGTGAATTTAGGCAGCTAATTCTTTTTGCGCTGTAAACTATTTTTAATTCTCTTTCAAATGATATAGGTTTCGTTAAGAAAGCAGGTTACAACTATTTGCCGATCCCTTGTAAAACCCAAAATTGAGCAGCTAATTTTTACATTTTCTTAATCAGCGTGGTTTTACATATTTTTTGAGAATGGCTAAAAGTATGAGCCCCTATAAAAATACTTTCCTGCTGATATATTATAAAATTCAAATATGTTTTGATTTATTTATGTTTTAGTAAGGAGGGACTGACTGAACAGGAGATAGAAAAGAAAGAACAAATGAAGGAAAGACGACGATGTCTTAAATGGGATGCTATGTACAAAGAATGGGAACACCGGGAACCCACCAAGATGAAGGAACGGATATGGAAAGGAATACCTGAGTCTTATAGAATACGAGTACGTTTTTTGTTTCCGGTTTCATGAGTTTGATTTTAGGCTTGGTCTAAAATGTTGCACATTGAGGAATACAAACGAGGAAATGAAAATAAGTACCAGGAATTATTGGTTAGAGGGCAACTACTGTCAAAGGAGGTCAAGCAAATCGATCTTGATGTTAACAGGACTTACAGGGATAATGTGGCATTTATGAAGAGATACGACATCTCACAGAAGAGGCTTTTCCACATCCTGACGGCATATTCAATGTACAATACGGAGGTTGGGTATTGTCAAGGGATGAATCACATCGTTGCGCTTCTTATTATGTATATGAGTGATGATGAAGATGCATTTTGGGGGCTGCATAGTTTGTTGGCTAACAAGAAATACACAATGCACGGTGAGCTCTTTTTATTGAGGTAATGCTTTCGATGTTATTCCAAGAATTATTTTCTGCGGGGTGTTTACGAAAGGAAGAGTATTATTACTATTGTTGTTGTTATTATGATTATGTTTACAGGTTTCTTCGTCCCCTCTTTCCCGAAGCTAAGGAAGTTCGAAGACCATTTTCTGAACCGTGTTCTTCCCAAATATGCTCCTCGAGTGCATAAACACTTTGAGAAGTTGATGTTACCTCCAATCTACTTGCCTAAATGGTGGTTCGGGTGTTTCTTAGATCGAGTTCCATTCAAATTGGTCCTTAGGATATGGGATGTCTTTCTTTTTCTGGGAGACGGGGTCTTGATGGCCATGGCTTTGAATATCTTCAAGATGCATGAAAGTAAGTTGTTTCTTTTAGGTTTTTTGGATTGCGATCCATGATATTTTTTTTTGATTTTTTAAATACACCTCGATTTTCAACAAGTTTCTGATTTCCCGTTAGACATAGGAGGCTGAATTTTCCTACCACCGGATAGTAAGGGTTTAACTTTTCAACGATATAAATTTTATAGAAAACCCAGCCTTACATGTCGTATTAACTTTCGGAAAACTTCGGGTAATTTTGCCCTTAAAGTACGTTTGTAATGGAGATACCTGGGACGTCCTTAAAAAATATTTGTTTTTATTTTTCAGAAAAGATTGTAAAAATGTCAATGGAACAGTTTATGGATTTTATCCAGAGAGAACTCCCTGCGGATTTTGGATATACTGATGATCAAGTGATGAACTCCTTGAAAAAGTGGCTGGAACGACTTCAGGACGACAAAATGGCGTTACCAGCGAGAAGAGAAGACGACTTCCCATCTCAGGAATTAGGTCTTATTCTCAAACGATCATTGGTAGACATTCGCATGGACATCGCCGAGATTCATTCACGATCTTCCCGAGCCAATTGTAAGTTAGTTTTGATATTGGGTTTGATCTCTCTGCTTCATTGTGCTGTGAATCTGTCGACTACTCCAACTCGTTTCTTTCTCAGTGCGTAACCCCTTGTTGGCCGCCATTGCTGCCAGTGCCGAGCTTTCTCTTGTCTATCGCCACTTTTACCGTCTCTATGCTGATCGGTATCGAAGACAAGTTTGGTAGAGTGCCGCTGCTTCTCTAACTTGTGCAACTTAAATCTTTCCAATGTCTAATAAAGATCATTTACCTTACTGTTTACAGCCCAGTTTCTTCTCGACCTTCCTTTTATTGATGACGATATGTAAAGCGAAGCAACCGTAATACCCTAGCAATCGGTTACCGTCTTATCGGGATAGATATGTTGTTGTTTGTGATGTCATCTACTGTTACCCCTTATATCAAGCTAGTCTACGTGCCATGTTGTTGTCTCTTCTTTTTGTTATCTATGGAAATGAGTCGTTTGGTGATTTCAGCCTTGGCTGGTCGTTCCCCAGCGCCTCTTCGAAGCCGTAGAGGTCAGAAGCCCAACGAGAAGACGGCCCTTTCCCAATCAGTTACTGCCCTCCCTAATCCCACTTCTCAGTTAACACGGACCAATGCTCCCGACTCGGATCCACGTCCACTTCGACCTTCAGGTACCCCTCCGGTTGATGGTTTCCGAAGAAAACCTTCTGTTCGGAATGGCCGTTCGGCCGCTCCACTTCCAATTCCGGATGCCGACGGCTTTGTTCCTTTGTCAGCGACCAAAAACAGACATTCTTTATACGATAATGTCACCCCTTCGACTACCCCGTCTTCAGGGGTGCGTCTTCCGACTCATTCGAGAGAGACTTCTTCAGATCGAGTCCACAGAGCCGCTAATAATGTGACATACATTCAGCTGGGGGATCATGAGCGAGCCCCCAGTCCCCCTCCTGATTATGACTTGGATGACCTTCGTTAGTTGCTACCACTAGGTCTTGCCTCCCAAGTCAAGAGCAGATATTATTCCTTAAACGGGTACCCTTCCTGACGCTCAGTCTTTCTGTAGGTATACTGGCCGGCGAATGATAGTTTCGCCGTTTGAGTGTTCCTTAATTTATTCTTTGGATGTAGCCATTTTTGTCGCATCAACCACTGTTTTGCGTAACCTTTCATTTGGGGCTTTTCATTTAAGGCATATCGGGTATCGGCCCAATATTTTTAGTCAATATAACACTGTGAAAAAAGGTCCGCCAAAAAGTCTAGGTCGTGACCAAGGTCAAGGTGGTTGCCCAAAATTTCCCGAAAACGATCTCAATGCTTATTAGTTCCCATCGACCAGGATGATCGTTGCACCTTCTTCAGGTGAGGTCGTCACCAAGCTCACGACCTAGGTCAGGACCATAGTCGGTATGGTTGTGACCTGACCAAACCAAAGTGCCAAAACCGTCCGGATCAACTAGTACGATTGTTTTAAGACGGTTTTTGACATTAATCCTGACCTAGGTCGTGAAATAGCTTGCTTTTCCCGAAAAACATGAATTTTATCATGGATTCAGCATGTTCACCCGACTGTAACGCTTTTGGAGGGCCATACCTGAACTAGCTAACGAACTAGGTCGCAGCCAAGCATAGCCAAAGTCAACCCGTTTTGCATCATTGGATACAAATAATGGCCGAGTACCTGATCTGCCTCAATGAAATCTGCCCCACATGAATTGTAGCCCTATTTTGTTGTTCTTTTCAATTCTCAGATTTTTATTATAACTCCAGAAATGGTATATTTTATTATTATATCGATATGTTTCAACTAGAACACTACTTATGTCATAAAGAAGATTGCGCATCGTTTCTAGTCTCTTTATGATATAATCTGAGTCACTCCTATGGCATAATAAAGTATTTGGTATTAAAATATAATGAGTTTTAATAGATCTGATCCGGGATTTGTTTTGTTTTGATGTAAGGGTATTTGCAAAATCATCAAAAAGCCAGCTTCCGTCGTATCTTTTGCGGACAAGAAGAAGGCCACTCCAAAACATTGAGGAAGAGATGTGGAGGAGGGGCGTCTGCTTCCAAATACTTGACAAGAGGGGACCAGCATGTCTGAGATAGCATATTCTTTTCGATATTTCCATCATGGAAAGTGCTGGCCAGCGAATGGTATGTCCAAAAGGTCCTCGTTGTGATCATGTAAGCCGCCAAGACATCTATTGAGTAGTGTTTTCGGGCAAGTAAAATACACAGAATCGCCACGAAAGCGAGTGATTGGTAGATGAAACCTGATAATTGTAATAAGTCTTGGCTTTTTCTTACCGATTATCACCAATTTTCGAGGAACATAGGCTTTCACAGTCATCGCTGATATGAATATTGTAATGGTATGCCCGCTGACGATCAGATCTCCACATAAGGTCCGAGGTCGGAGTTGTTCGATTCCCGCCGACCAGAATATTCCCATCATACGGTCGAATATTATACTAGCACTACTATTAACCTGGGGTGCACAGTAAGTATGCACTGAAGGGACCGGCACCTGCGACGGAACAACAAAATTAAAAGGTACAAACATACCGTTATTAGAAATATAAATTCCTTACCTGGAATAAAAAGATACAGAAAGCCCTGAAGGTATAACAAAGACCCGTACAGAACATTACTCTTCTAATCACAATCCATCGATGCTGATGGAGGAAGAGAACGGCGATGCCGGAGAGTGTGAGCAATAACATGATATATTCAGCAATGATCATAACCCATGTAATCTCGGGGAAGATTCTGAAGAAGGTATCCGGAAGAGGAGGTACGGATCGGGGGACATGGTCGTGGACCCAGGCAAGAACTACCTCGTTCAACACCGCTGCCAATATCTGAAATTTTCTTAATCTAAGTCCTGTTCTCGAAGTTCTTTTTTTTTCTTATCAGTCTGTCGGGAAAATAACGGCGGATTGTCGCAGCAAAATGTCTCACCTCGCCGCTATCGCGCACCAAATCCCAAGCCGCGGCTTGCAGTCGCAAAGCGATGATGGGCGATTCCGAGGCGCGACGATCCGCCGTTATTTTCCCGACAGACTGATATTAGCTCCAATCATCCACCATAAGGCTCAAAGCGGTCATTTTTCAACATAAAGTTTCTATAGCCTGACTAATCCAAAATATGAAAGGAATTGGAATGAAAATGATTACATTTCTGAACATAAAAGTATATTACGCATTACCACAGTCTCGAATCAAGTTCCTACTTTATTCGAGAATAGGCTTTTGCATACCGTAACAAACCTTACCACAAAAATTACAGTCAGAAAAGCGGGCATTCTCCGCACTTCATATGTCTTGGGCAAGTCCATGACCTGGGAACTCCTGCAACAACAAAAACACTATCCATGAGAGGGTGTAAGTATAATTCTGTGATTTATGACCATTGAATGTCATGGAAACAGAAGCGGAACGGTGACAAGTAAAATAAAACAAGTTACCCCCATCAATTCAGACAAAGTATTTTGAAACTGAGGAAATATCACAGTGAAAAATGATACGGTAGGGTTGTCATGGTAATAAATACAATTATAATATCATCATCTACGGCTTCGATAACGGAATGGCTTCAACAGAAACTTATCTGGTTAAGGACCAGCGGTTTCTACATTCCCATCTTCTCTCCATAAAATACTGTTTTCGTTGTGAAATTTATGTAAAATAGGTCTAAGATACATGATTTTGAAGTAAGCGCAATTCCAAGTTAGAAGAAACACAGACGCTTCGAAAAACAAAAATATGGGCAAAGGCGATTGGGCCGTGGTCAAATTCAATCGCTGCCGTCACCAACTGAAAGAACGGGCGGACAGGAGCATGTATAACATCCACGGAAATGTTAAAAAGTTTTTGAACCCTTGATTCGGTTGTAGTGTGCTGTTGCTTTGCCCGGATCGTGGAAACGTTTCCTCCGTCCGAAACACGCCCCCAAAGTTGCTCCTGACGACAGAATCCCCCAGACAACACAAGAACATTTGGAGCGAGGTTGGTGGACGGGCAACGAAAAGCCTAGCCTGATAAAAGGCGTTCAGATTAGGCTGGATCGTAACATCCGGTATTTAAGACGTCAAAGACGGCATTGCGGATGAACAGTATGCATTTTTATTGCGCAGATTAATGAATGGGCTGGGCTTAAATCTTGTCTAGAGACTTGAATATTGACTTCGCTCTTCTTTGGGAAGCTTTTGTTATAGTGACTTTTCAACATTTTACTCAATAATTTAAATTCCCGAAACAGCCGATTTCTTGGCAAAAGATCAAAAGCTTGGCATTATGCATCAGCCATTTAGTTTTATTTGCTCGTCGAGAAGATTATTTGTCTCCGGCTCGCGAGCTGCGTCCTTTAAAAGAAATAGTTCTTCGTTGAGGAGCATGCAGAAACCCGGATTGTGTTAGAGAAGGGCGACGGACGAAGAGAAAGCCAAAGTTTCTATTGTATCTGCAAGTGCTGGGCGCACATCGGAAGCGGACAAATGTAATACCAACCAAAAAATTGCACATCCCGCTTTGTACAATTGGTTGTACACCCTTCTATGACCATCCAACACATATCATCTATCGCGATTTATGAGACTCCATTTCATTTTTATGTTATTGGATCGGATCCATCGGAAACTAGATTCTGCACACTGAAGATCGACCGGCTCAATGAGTCTGAGTTTATTGTCGGCGAGCCAAATCATGAATATACCAAAGCTGATGTTGGAGAACTGTTGGCGACCATCTCATCTAGTTCTAGTAGGTTAAATATATTTTTATTGGCATTTTTCTCTTTTTAGTTGTGACACCTTCAGAGAAATGGAGTACAAGAAGAAATCCGAATCCTGGGTTGATCAGAACATTGGACAAGGCTTTGGGAATTATTGGGGCTGTTAAATTTTTAGAAGGTTATTATCTCTTAGTCGTGACAAAAGCCAGAGTGGCAGCCTCAATTGGCCATCATGTCATCTACAAGGTCGAGGATGTCTCCATGATTTATTTATTGGCTTCTGGGTCGCCTGTTAGTGCAGATGAACAGAGATACGCCAAGCTATTCCAGGTGACGGGTAAAATTTCGTTTACTTTGTTTAGACAGTGGACATGACAACAGATTTCTACTTCTCATACACTTACGATCTGAGCCGAAATCTGCAGGAAAATGTGCTGAAAGCAAAAGGATTGCACTTTAATAAGACGTCATACTCATCAGAAATGACAGCAGAGAATAAATTTGTTTGGAATGAATATTTGTTGGAGCCTTTTAGGAAGAACGACGTCAGTAAAAAATGGACGGTGGAACTTGTCCATGGTTATGTTGCGTATCAGATTGTCGAGTTGCCTTTCGCCAAACTAACTTTAGCAGTGCTGGCTAGAAGATCATCCAGATATGCCGGAACTCGGTTTCTGAAAAGGGGAACTAACTTTGAAGGTATCATTTTTGCGTTTCCTTGATTTTATTTTTATTTCATTATTAATGTATACAGGTCATGTTGCCAATGATGTCGAAACAGAACAAATTGTGTGGGACATGAATTCAAGTCCATCTCTGATCACAGGCCGTTTCTCTGGGTTTGTCCAACGTCGGGGATCAGTGCCTTTGTTCTGGTCTCAAGATCCTGCTACTCGGGGTGTTGTGGGGAAACCTCCAATTTACATTGATCTTGTGGAACCCCATGGATTAACAACTGCTGCTCATTTTAAGTAAGGGTTGCAACTCTTCTGCAATATTTCTTTAGGGAACTTCGGCGAAAATATTCCCATCCTATTATGGTGATTAATCTTGTGAAACGAAGAGAAAAACGACATCACGAAAATCTGCTTCATGAACAATTTCTGAAGGTTAGTTGGTTTTTTAAACAATGCATTTTTAGACCGTCAAGTATCTGAACGAGTTTCGAAAGCCAGGCCGGAAGATAGATTATATCAGCTTCGATGTAGCCAAGTGCAATAAAACGGGTCTAGTTCTCCCCCGATTGGAACAATTGGGGCTCAAGTCTGTCCTTAGGACTGGATGGTTTCAGGTAATGCAAGCAATAATCATTTAGTATTGTTTTTAGTCATTTCCCGAACTTATGGGTCATAAAATCAGAAGACATCCGCTTCTGAATTCTTTCGATCCTCTTTGCAGCGAGGATGGCCAGCTGATTTTACAGCACGGACTGGCGAGAACCAATTGCGTCGATTGTCTTGACCGCACAAATGTTGCGCAATATGGAATCGGTAGGTTGAATGGACTGTCAGCAGCTTTTTTAGGCCGGATTGCTTTAGGCTTTCAATTGTATGGCCTCGGCTACGTGGATGAACCCTGGATTTCCGTTAATGGAGAGTTATGTAGAGCTTATGAAGACCTTTTTGACGAGCATGGAGACACGTTAGCATTGCAGTATGCGGGTTCTCAACTTGTTCACTCCATCAAAACTTACAAGAAAACGTCGGCCTTTCAAGAGAGAAGTCGTGACGTCATTCAAACCATTTCCCGATATTACAGTAATACTTTCAACGACTTCGAGAAACAGAATGGTATCAACTTGTTCTTGGGGATTTACAAGTACGTTCTTTTTATGCTTGAGTTCTCTCTATCTACTTGATACTTTATGGGTCGGTGCTTTCCTTGACGTTATTTGGAGGGCTTTGGTTGGAGAAAAAATAATAACAGTACTATATCTTACGCATCTTTTGCCAAAATTGGTGAAATATTTGTGCGGAATTAGTAGAGAAACGAGTCAGATGCACATCACTTCGGAGCTGCCAATGACAGGTCTCAGTTCGACCCAAAACACAGTAACATTGACCTTAATCTTGTTTATTTCTGAACCTAGGAGTTGATTAGGAGAACATTTATTTGGCAAACGAAAAGATGAGAGATCGGGGGCGTGGAATTAAAGTTGTTGTTGGGTCAGGCTCTCTTCGTTGGCGGTGGAGGCCGAGGCTTTACTGCTGACGGTGTGTTGCGACTCCATTCAGCGCGCGGGTTTGGCATTGTTCGTAGGTATCGTACAGTTTCTGAAAGGATTAGTAGATTGTTAATACTTACATATAGCAAAACTTACCATGATTCTGTGGTGCAATTGAACAAGGGTTTGTGAGTATTCGGTGTTACACTTGTCTAATAGGGGATTGGAGTTTACTCCGCCTAAAACAAGAGGTTAGTCTAAGAAGATGCCCTCAATCGAACTTACTGTCGTCCCCGGCTGAGAATGGCTTCAATGGAGAAGATCGTTTTCCCCAGCCATCGGAGAATGTCATCTGTGCAGATGTCATCGTGACAGAAACCAAGAGCAAGATCATAATTGTCTGCATCGTATTTGTGAGGGACCTGTAGATGAGTTAGCTATTATAAGTAGAAGGAGACTCGAGATTACGGTACACACAGTATTACACATTTAACCCGGCAAAACACATGCTGAAATCCCACTCCGTCAGCCGTCAAATGTTTGAATTTGAATGACGTTTCCTTTGGAATGCCCCAGGCAATGGATATTCCTTCCTTTGGTGTTTTGCGGCAAATGCGATTACAATTTACATGTGAAATATGGGAAATTCATGGAAATAAATAAGAGAATGAACAGCACCTGCATACTAAGTCCATACTCGAGAAAGCTTTCATACAATTTCGGGAATTAAAATAGAAGTTGTCTTTACAACGACGTCAAGGGCAATGCATAGAACTTAACAGTATTTTTGTCTCATTACACTTGAAAAAGCGTAGGAAGACTGATATTTTAGAGGATAGCTTGACTTCAGAACGGTAAACGTTAAAGCTCGAAATGGAAGGCGGGCGGGAGTGTCAAGGATAATATAAGTAACCATAACCCAGTTACCCGGCCCCTTAAAATCTCTACCGTAGATGATAGCCCCGCCTTTTCCGGCGTCTGGGATCTCATGTTCACGCATCGAAATTTATTTATTTGACTGTTGTCATCCCGAACTCAAGTAGCTTTAACTAATGCTAATTGTTTTCCAACGGCTCCGAATAGCTGAGAATGGCCATAATTGGAGCGTGCTGAAGCGGGGGATAATCGTTCGAATTTATTTCCAAGCATTTGTTCCCGAAAAAAGACTTGCGCAATCTTACCGTAGCCTTGCGATATATTTAATTCGAGGTGCGCCTAAACAGGAATTATCTCAGCGGCTGCAGGCTAACCACATGGTCTTGGCTTGTCCTATATCTCGTTCTGTTATCTTTCCTTTTATACCCGGCTCCTTATCGTCTCATATCCGGAAATGGGACCTATTTGTTCCTTCGTTATCTCGAGTTTCGATTCAAACTAAGGCCTCAAATTTCAGACCATTTGAGCGTGCAAATCAACCGCATCTCTGGGATCTCGGCTCTGACCGCTATTTGCACTTTCCGGCAACGCATTCGAAACAGAACGAGTATTTACACTGGGCTTGCAACGTGACGTCAGACACCGAGGACGAGTCCGAGGAATGGCTCGAGGATTGGTTACAGAACCGGGCTTCGAACGCCGGCCTCGACGTCAATTTCGGGAAACAGGGTAAGTTTACAAACTCTAGACATATGTAGTATAAGAGTAGGTCAACAATTGCATTAGGTAGATTGGGTTACTGCACATTATATTACAGTAGCCGACTTTACGAAGAAAAATTCAAGCCGCCTGTTTTAGGATATTATCCCAGACATATCTACGAAACGTTTAAGAGACCGTTTGCGTCATAAATAAAGAGAAAAGGACTTCTTGACTTTGTTTTTGAGTTTTGGCTGATATTATATGCAATACAACGTTTGTGGTTTCAATGGTTGTAGACTGTACACGTTTTATGTCTTTATAAATGAGTTTATTGATGTCATTCACTTGAAATTATGTTAGGACGCCGTTTCGGCAAACATTTAAGAGTTAATCTTTGTTGCCTTGCATTTTATTTATTCACTTTATCCATGCTAATTGCAGAGCCCCACGGAGAGTCGCTGACGAATAATAAATATTCAGACCGGGATTTATTCGATTTGGTCAACCGGACATTCGAAATGACATCTTTTGACCAACTTCTGAAAGATCAGAGTCTTCTTACGAAGAAGTCATTACAATTAAACAGTCTGAATAAAACCAATAATCAGAGTAACAACTTTTTGAGGATATTCAAGTCAGAAGGGAAGAAGCTGCCCGAACAACAAAGTGTGGAAGAGGACGACGAGGACGATGAACATGATGAAATTGATGAAGATGACCTGAAAGAAGACCAAGATCTCAATTCAAGTCAAGTAATTTCTGAGAACATGGAAGAACAGTACTCAAGAGAGCGACTTAATTTATGTTCTGGTCTCAAGTCGTGCAGACTACTTTATGGATTCGACTTTGATTTGCCGATTTCGGATAGTGATATGGCCAAATACGAAAAGTATGTCCAGTTGGGTCAAAAGAATGTTGAGGATGTCCAGAAGGTGGATACGGCTGGATCTCTGAGTTCCTTCAGCCGGCTCCCTCTCATCTTCCAGTTCCAACACTTCTTTTATACCATCGACAGTGTGTTCTCGGTAAGGTTTGAATTCATTTTTTCGGTAAATAATGCCTTCATCTGGGAATATTTTGAAATTTCAGACAGAGTTGGATGACATTCCGGAGAAATCGATGAAAATCTACAGAGATATCATCCGCAAACAGGTTTTTGAACCTTCCGCTCAGGCCAGAAAATTATACGAACAATTCAATTAAATCTAAGCCACTGTGATGCAACTGTAATTACTGGTTTCTTATCTATAAAGCCGATTTATTTCTACGTTTTCATATCTGCGAGCATATCGTATGTCCGAGGTTACTGTAATCCTGCACCTACAATTTATTTGTTACGTCTAACATTGCCAAAGAAGGCAGAATACATCACAAAATAGTTGAACAGAATAGGAAACGGAGATGTATTCAACATCAACGATCAGTTCGTATCAATCGTTACAAAAATATTTGCGATATGATCTGATGACAAAAAAAATATTTATTCTCAAGAGAAAGAGATAAGTGAAACAAATTCAGAGAGCGTCCAGCGTTCCCTGCACACCTCCGATTGTAACAAACAAAGCGCGCTGCTTTTACATGCTCGCGGGTCATCGCTGTAAAACAAATGATATATATAACATGCCCTCGGGGCAGCAAACATTGTGTTTTGTACCTGATCGCGTGTAAGAAAGTTGTGATAGCAGAAGATTCTCGTCGCAAAAACGCCGCCCATCGAATTGATCTGTGAGGAATTGGAAAGGCGGTGTTGTCATCGATCTTAGAATACCGATGACATTGTTTTTGTATTTCCGGCTTAGTTTATGGAACGTAGGACCAAGAGGTCGATCGGTTTGATCCATTCTTATCATCGAAAAGAGCTGTTCTCCTCCCTCTTTGCGCCTTTCCATTTTTTGATAACGACTAATCAAATAACCCGTCAATGTCACTTTACTCTGTAGAAGCCGCGGTTTTCAGCGAGGGGGTCGGTAATTAGTTGAAAGCGATTGTGTCCTTGATGTCTCCCTTCCGTCAGATGTATTCTTTCTCCTTCTCCATGTGACCGCGAACCTTGATAAGGCGCACTCGGCGTGTATTTTGTGTTTCTGAGCCGCAATTAAAGTAACATCGTGGTGTAAAAGGGGAAGGAAGGGCTTCTCTCTTCTCTTATCAATATCAGCGAGGGCATTTGCGCTGTCCAAAAACTCTTTTGCCTCGATTTTTGTTTAGCCATCAGTGGGAAAAGATCACTTTCTCCCCGATTCTTTGGTTTTGCTGACCTTCACACCTGAATTCAATAAGAATAAGACATCAGCCGTCTTTAAATAAACTGCCGGGCTCTATGTAACCCTTCTTCGAATGTCATTCCATTTCTTTTTTTACACTTTCGCTTCTTTTTGATGGAGTTTTCATCAAGAAACGCATGGTTCTCTCCAGATACCGTATTTGGAATCAAAACTTTACAACTTTGCAGAAAGTAGTAATCTTCGTTTGTAAACTCGTTTCGTATTAGTTTTTCGATTCCTTCAAATTTTGTATAAGAAGATGTGGGTCGATGTATTGGTCGATTTGCTTGCGATCTACCATTCTTTTCCCATCCGACACTCCCATTGTGATCAGTACTAAACAAAGATTGAATGTATTTTGTGATGCCTACAAGTGCTTGATCGTTCTCAAAGTTTCTTTTTTTGAAATTATTTAAACAGTAATAGTAAAAGGGTCCCCCAGACGACCACCCAAGCCCTGAGGCGTTTTCGGATCGACCAGAGAGTGGAGAGATTCTGAAGCCATCATTTAAAAGTGCAAAACGAGATTATTTTAAATCGCGGAATGTGTTTCATAAAATTAGATTACCTATTTCTTTCCAGCCGATGAATTCTTTGGCCACCACATCCGCCGATGCGGAGAAACTGCTTGTTTGTTCGATCTGTTATGACGTCGCTGATGGTCAGCACTTTGGAGCCAACTCTTGCCGAGCTTGTGCTGCTTTCTTTAGGTATTTTGAGATCAAATATTCCTATAAACGTCCATTTCCTTCTTACAATTAATTTACTTTACTTTTAGACGAACTATCTCCAAAAAACTCAAATACATCTGCCGGTTTGATGGTGATTGTGAGATTGCAAAAGGTAAATAAGCATCATTGTGCTCAGTGTTTGATACGAAGGCATTAATATCTAGAGCTGTTGTTCACGTATTTACCTTACCTTTTGATTTCAGTTTACCGTTCTTTGTGTCGGGCATGTCGATTGGATAAATGTCTGGCCTGTGGAATGAATGCCTCAGGTAAATTTACATTCTTTTTTACTGTTTGCTCATTTTGAATGTTAGAAGTTTTATGTTTTGAACGAATTGATCTTGTTAAAACCATTCAATTATCTTCTAGCCGTCCGTTCTGAATGTGCTGAGATTGTTCGTCCACCAAAAGCCCCTCGAAAGAGTGTAAAATCAATCTCGCAAGACCGAGATCCCTATCCCCATCCCCCGATTCCTTCAAATGACTCTCCCAGTAATGGAGTATATGTCTGGGACACCCAGAGATCGGACTCCAATGCCTCAGGTGCTGCTATCTCGGATGTTTCTTACCCCTCCACCTCCGCTTCTTCGTGGCCTCGCACTTCTCCCACCGGTTCTCCCCAGCCTCAATCTTTTATCCATGATATTGTTGACGTCACCCCCAATGATTATGGAGTGGATTCCCAAACCCTTCCTCCCACTCATCCGAGCTTGATGAAGATGTTGTTGGCCTACGAGAATATTCAACGACTCCGAGATGCAACTTTCAATCGTTCCAAGGAATGTAATGGATTTCCTTGCAGAGTTTACACTAGAATCGAGGTAAGATTTGATGGGCTTTATAATGTTCCGGTTTAGAAATTGGACATGTATTCATTCTACACGATGACACAGGCTGAGTTGAGACATATCGCGGAATTTTTGAACATGTTTGATGGCTACAAGGAGCTTCCACATGAAGACAAGGTGAGACTTTACAACTATTTATAACTTACATTTGTTTAGGTAGAGATTTTCCGCCATTATTGGATCCGGCTTGTAATCTTGGAAAGGAATTTCGATACTTATCGTGTGCTCGGAGGGAATCTGGAGGACAAACAGATCGTCTTCCCTAATGGTGACATTGTGGACGTCATAAATTGTGAATATGACGTCAGTCAGATCACTGACGTCCCTTTGGATGATGTGAGTTTCTCAATCGTCGTATTCAACATGCTTTTTTAGATCCGACGATTAATCCAACCCTGGTATAAATTATCGGCGAAAGAGTTGATCCAACCCGTGAAAAAGCTCGGCCCAAGTGACGTGGAGATGATGTTTTGTCTCGGATATATGCTTTGGCACTTCAGTGGTAGGTTATTCTTTTAGATCATTGTTATTAACCTCTTCAGTTGTATATTATGTATACCTTGTTTTAGCTGAAACGGCCTCCAAACTCTCTCCGAATACTGTTTATAAGGCCGAGCAAACTGTAAATCAATTATATGACGAGTTGTGCTCGTATTACAGTACTACTGTCAGTGTGGATAATGTGGTGAGAAGAGTGGCCGAACTCATGAGCTTCATCTCATCAACCGAAGTGAGTTACTGTGGTCCAATTCCAATACTTTTATTACTCTTTTTAGAAGATTGTAATGTTCCGAAAAGAAGATATCATCTTGGCCCGGACTTTCCTCAACTTCAAAGTCGATATTTTCATGGAGGAATTGTTCGAGAAGGCTGTTTAGACCAGTTTTTTGATTACCAGAACATGACTTACACCTGCTTTATTGTAAATTATCTAATTTATCGATTACAACTACTCTTCGTATTTCCATAGTTATCAGTTCTGATATTTTCATTGAATAAATTTACCCGTTACAGTGAAGTCGAGTAGACTGTAGGTTGCATTACGATTCCTTTAATTTAATCAACCCCTAATTGGATTAAAATGCGGCTCCACAGGGAAATTGTAAGCCGTATCTAATTTTATTGTTAACGGTAAAGAAAGTTACTTTCGGAAAGCAATAAACAGTCTGATTCGACAGTAAGTAGTCAAAGACCTCCGATGACAAATATTGCGTAAGCGTGGGCGCAGACTGCACATGCCATTTTATACGAACAAATGTGTCCCAAAATTGTATCCCCAAATTTTTTTGCGAACATTTTTCTTCCGAAATAAAGAAAAATTCTGTAAATTTATTGCAGAAGCCTTATAGAATGAGTTCTTCTACTCTGGATTAGAGATGAGTTGCTCAATCGTAGTTGTTGATTGTAATTCGAGCAGTTGGGGTCAGCTAATTGAGAAATGGGGATCGGATAAGTTATTGAAGAAAGTAATCGGCTCCTTGATCATATTGGCCAACTCACATCTCCCCCTTTCTGCCGGGAATCGAATGCTGTTGGTGGCAGCTGGATCTTGTCTCCAAAATAAGGTCCTTTTCTCTTCTGAATTTATTTCCAAGTCGGTTTCCGTTGCTTCGGAGATTGATGCAAACATCCGGAAGGCAATTGAAATGTCAGCCAGGTCGTCGGAGTCATTCACTCATACCAATTATTCCAGTTCTTTTGCATTGGCTGTTTGTCGTAAGTAATTTTAATTTAATTTATTTTGTTCTTAGACTACAATCGCTTCAAAAGAGAGAACCCGAAAGCCGATGGGAGGATAATTGTCCTCAATATGTCTCCAGAATCTCATGCCGAACAATCCAAACTGATGAATCTGTTTTTGGGAGCTCAACAACAGAATCTTTGTATTCATGTGGCCTCTTTATCCTTGACAAATCCGATGTTAAGACAAGCCAGTGATGTGACCGGAGGAGTTCATAGAGAGATTCAGACGGTCGATGACCTCCCTGATTTCTTTACAGTAAGTGTGCATGTCGTATTCTTATTTGGAGTTCTAGAGATATTGTTTGGGGAACTCAAAAGAAGCCCAGGACGCATTTGCGATCAAAAACTTCGAGAAGATTGATTACCAGGCCTCGTGTTTCTGCCACAATCGGCCCGTCTCCTTGGGGTTCGTGTGTTCAGTATGTCTGGCCGTTCATTGTCAATATATCCCGATATGTGTTGCATGTGGAACGGCCTTCAAAGTGGCTCGAAAGAAGTAAACTTGCTGATTAGGTTATTATGGGTACTTCCCTTCTAACCACGGCAGAAAAGGTTGTGTAGGTCTCCGAATTTATACTTTGTTATTGTTACAGGTAATTTATTTCAAATAACATTATAATCTACAAAAAGAACCCATAATATTTACTTCCTGAGATTATGTGTGATATAATATGGTCAAAATCATCTATCTGTAATATTATTATAATCGGGGGGATAAATAATTTTATTTATACAACTACTGGCAACTTTTTATGCAATCTTGTAAAATTTTAAAAATAATTGATGGCTGAATAGAATCTCAGTTCTGAGGTAGTTCAACACGTTGAAACAAGAGATATAAAATCAGTTCAAATTTTTTGACTTTTCACGATCAAATATTGTGCAAAATTTTGGAACCAGATCGTCTCAACCTTAGCCAGTAGTTGTAGAAGTAAAATTATTTGGGAACCTCTGTATTTCCCGTAAGGGCCCACCCGAAAGGCCACCCTTTACAGGCGTGTTTCCATTTCAATCACCGTTTATTTATGGCATTCAAAGGTTGTCGTTGAGAGATCTTGTTGGGGCTGAAAGAACCGTCGATTGACTCCAAACTTCGTCCTAACTGAGTCCAAGAATACTTTTTGCGGCCCTTATAAGGAGTGTTGTGTTGGGAATAAATAGAACTTGCAGTAGAATGTTTCCCATGGGGAACAGCGTTCTTAATCATGATCGGGGGCTTGTTCATTGTCTTGATGCCGATGAATCTCCTTAATGTATGTTTGAATCCGGGCATTCCATATGCATAAATCACCGGATTCAAGGCACAATTTGCATGGGATAAGACCACCGTGAATAATGTCATCAATGGGGTGGGCTTTCTGTCCGGGAAGAAGAGGTCGATCGTGTTCAATAAATACAAGGGGAACCAGCAGACGGCGTATGTGCAGACCAACAAAGTCAGGGTTCTGATCAGTTTTCTCCGGTTTCTCATCCTTCTTCGTCTCTCGGACGCCCTCAGGAGACATTTTATTTGTTTTTCTTCTAATCCGATACGTCGGTAGATGGCAGTATAACAACACAAGATGATGACTGAGGGCACAATTATCGTTGCGAAGAAGATTACGTAGACCAAGTACCGGTAGTCGACCACCTGGAAAATGAAATTATTCAGACGTTAATTCGGTCAAGTAAAGCACGAATAATGTGTGTGGCTGATAATTAAATGGTCTTTCAAAAGCTTCGTACTGCGACGAACCAGGAACTGGACCAAAATAATGGTAAAAATGACGTCACTTACGAGAGTGAAATGACATTCCCCCTTGAACCGATGCCGATTTCGAGAAGCGAATTCAAAGACGTCGAACAATGGCAGGAGACCAATCACCGTGCCCATAATCCAAGCCAAAATAATGAGCATCCGGGCCCGGAAATGCCGTGCCTTTTGATCCATCCAAAACTGACACTGACAACAAATTGTAAGGTATTTGTCGATGGCAATAACCAGTAAATGGAAGGTAGAAACGGTACATAATATACACAAAATAAGATGGACGAACAAACAAGAGTTGAAGGAGTGAGGAGCCCTTGTGATCACCGAGAAAACTGTGATCGGGACACCCACGGCACCGGCCAGGAAATCGGTTAAAGCAAGGCTGAACATGTAGGTGTTGGTGGGGGTCCGGACAGGCCGTTTGGTCAGATATACCCATATTACAAGAGCGTTGGACACAGCAATTTGTAGAGCTAGCAACAACTCACATACTGCGTATATCAAGATGTCCGATGACATATTACATACCTGAAACAGGAAGGTTCGCTTCACAAAGTATAAGGAATACCCCGCAAAATCAAATTCAAGTGACACAATCGTCTCCTAAGCCACACAAAACGGATCCTCTTCAGCCGAAAGCAGGACTTGAAACACAACATTATTTGCAAAAAAATTTAAAATTAGCCAATGTTTCCTTCGGAGTATCAGTCTATCGGGAAAATAATGGCGAGTCGTCGCAGCAAATGTTTCGCCTCGTCGAAAAAAGGGAGCAGTCGCGCAACAAATCTCCAGCTTCGGCTAGCCGTCGCAAAGCGATGGTGGGCGATTCCAGGCGCGACGACCCGCCGTTGTTTTCCCGACAGACTGATATATTAAGTTACATGATTTGTGAGCAAAGAAAGAGGTATATGCGAAGAAACAGCGGTTGATGATCAAATCCCCTCAGGAAAAGACTTTATGAAACACATGGAGACTACCACTAAACAAATTCCGATCTCCCCTTAGGGCATAACGAGGAAGTGGGCCGGTCTTCTTGTCCAATTACCGTGCCAATCTCCATTGAACTCCGCGAGCAAAGCGAGGGTAACTTAAGAGATATGGACTCCACTTGGCCCATCCCATTTAAATTTAACCTCCAGTTGGGCGTCTTCCCAGGATCTCCGATTTCCGAGGAAGAATGATGACTTCAAAAGTCTGCAAACCCGTAGGTCAAATTCCTTTCTTCCCAATTATCCTCCGGCCCCACACGGGACATTAAAATACGTCAAAGAGTTCTGGCCATCGTCCAGAAGCATGACCCCATTCTCTGAGCCTTTCTTCTCGACTGGAAGTACAGCCAGAAAGCAGGAGGAAATTAAGTAATCATTCGGCCCAATGATTCCGCCCTTAAAGTCCCAAACTTTACATTCTGGTTATAAACTAATTTATTTCGAAAACCCCAAGCCACTGACTGCCTCCAGGAGGGCCGCGGTGTCAAATTAAATTATTTAAATTATCGTCCTGAGGCGAGGATTTTGCATCATAAGGGTGTGTCATGTCCGCACGACCATTCCTATATAATCCTGAGCAGAAACAACCGCCTTCTGGACGGGCACGTACGCAAACATCCAGTCTTATGTGTGATCGGGTTACGGTAATTGGCGGATGTGAAGCAAAAAATTGGAAGGGTTGTTAAGCTTACAAATAATTAAATTCATGTTCACCAGAAAGTCCCTCAAAGTCCGCAAACAAACTGAAGTGGGCCCTCCAATTACAATTAAAAGTACCCCCGAGTTCACTCCGAATGACAATACGATCCAAAATAATTGAAATTGACACCCGGGATCTATTCTCGGAATATTATATATGCCTTGGGATTAATGCACTTGGTCTTTGCTGTCATCTCGAGAAAAGAGGACACCTAGAGCCATTTCTGAAGTCATAATGCCCATGGAAATATGTATATGAATATCAGTTTTTACAGACAAACTCGTTTCTAAACTTCGCTCCCGAGCCATGCCCTAAGGGTTTCGATTACAAAAAGAATTCTGAATAAACGCCGGCCATAAATATTTATTAAGCCATTTGAAGAAAAGAAAAGAGTGTAGATGACCTGGATTTTACTATTACTCCGATTGACAATTAAGTGTTACCACCTGAAAATGAGGTCGCCCAAACAAGTAGTACAACATGTCCAGTGAAGGCTGACTTCCTCGGAAAGACCTGACCAATAAAACACAGATTTTATTCTTGTGTGATGAAGGTGGTATTTCCAAATAACCCTAACAAATCTAGCTCCACAAATGGAAATGTCATCAGAAACCAAAAGAAAATAAATGCAAAGAATCGGGAGGAGTTGGGACAGCAAGAGCTGGCTCAAAACTATGGCCTTTTCTTCTCAAGAGTCATTAACACCAGTTCTCCGATAAACATAGCCGACATCGTCAAACAAACAACCACTCCCCAGGCTATTCTCGAGACAAGATTCCCCTCAGACGTGACCATTGATCCCTTATAGTATTTATAAAAACAATACAGATTCAAGTTGAAGAATACATTCATATTTAAACCAGTTGTTTCTGATCGCTCTGATCGGAGATGTTGTCCACGGACAGAGACCTGACGGGCAGTGCGATCTTATTCCAAAGGGTCAGCATCACAGCGAACGGCATCACCAACCAGATCCCATTCATGAACCAGAAGACAACAGCAATCTTCCAGATGGGGGTACCCTCTACAAAGTAACTCGGGTTGCCTTCAGGAACTCCCACATAAAGCATCAGGAAGACAGCCGTCTTCCAGAAGACAAACGCCGACGAGGTAAAGGCGGTTAGAAGAGTATGACGAGATCCAACTCGATTCATCCATGCGGCAACCCAATCCATCACGATCTCCACCAGCATCAGGCGGCCAGTGGCCATGGTCACGATGTCCTTAGCATCCGCATAACGAATATCGACATCGGCATAGATATTCCCTGAAGAAAAATGCAATTTGGCGATGATTTAAGGAAGGCCATTTGCGATTTACCGAGGTCAAGAAATTAAAATCTTGGTAAATTTTAATTTTTTATAAGCAAAGTCGCGGCCGGTCTTCCTCTTTGGGGCAGAGCGGATATTGGGCCAATATGTACACTTTGGTCAGCCGACCCAGGCTATTGGCTAGCCGTTTAAAAAAATGGCAAGTCGGTCAAAAATTTCGATTCATCGAAAGTCCCCTTTATTTGTAAGGAAGTGGTGCATTAAAAACCACATGAGATATTATACTTACACAGGTAGTAGACGTTTTCCAGAGCTCCTCCACGAGTACTGTGCGGTCTGAGCATGGTAAATGAGACATCGATCAGGCAGATCAGACTGCTGGCAATGAGCCAGCACTCAACCCAAAAGGGAAGTTGGACCACTCGAGACGCTGTCATTACTCAACCAAACGACAAAAGAAGACTGATGAAATGAAGCGTTTCAAATCAAACTGTCTTATGCAAATGTTTCTGTCGAAGAATTACACGATCAAAGTTGGAAGTGGAACGAAATGGAGAATCCGCAATCGAAAATCGTAAAAATCCGTTCGAATGACCTCTTTTAGAAAATCGGGAGGGGTTGAACTTTGTCTGGCGATAATATAAATTCCATCAGCACCATAATTATTATAATAAACGTGACCCTTGTTTGAACACGCGTTGTGGCCTTTGGCGGAAACAATAAAGGAGCGGCGGCGTTCTTCTGGTCAGTATGACCATGAATCCAATTTATTACTTTCTGGGAAAATTTTTAAAGACATAAATATATTTTTGGTGTCTACCCATTAAACCATTGCCCTAGATTATAGTATTACAGTATCTGGCAAGTACATATCATCTATTGCGGATAACAGTGGATTCCACATCTGCACGCCAAAGGGCGCAGTTCGCCGAAAAAATTTTTTACAATTTTGGAAACAATCTACAATTTGAGTCCGTATGCATGGGTTGTCCTCTATCCTGTCGCGGATATTATTCCCTCCTAGAACCTCCTTCTTATCAAAAATGGTGAAAAAAGTAGAGAATTCACCTGAAACTCGCTTGATTTGGTTTGATGGAGAAATGACTGGTCTGGAGTTAGACAAAGTCCTGGTCGAGGTGGCCTGTGTGATTACAGAAGCAGATTTAACAGTAAGGTCTTTTGATTGTTTAATATTTTTTAGAAGGTGGCGGACTTTGGTCCAATTGTTATTCATCAGAATGAAGAAACCTTGGAGAAAATGAACCCTTGGTGTAAGAGGACGTTTAAGAAGAATGGACTTTTAGAGTTGATCAAGGAGAGCCAATATTCGGAAGAAACAGTCGACAACATGGTAGGGAAATTTATTGACTTGTTTGTTATGATTTGTGCTATTATATTTTATTATAGTTAAAAGAATTTTTGAATAAAAACACGCCTGAAAACAAGTGCCCTCTGGCAGGGAATTCTGTGGGAATGGACCGGATGTTCATTAACAAATATCTCCCACAGACAGCTGGACATATCCATTACAGGACGGTGGATGTGAGTACTATCAAAGAATTATGTAGACGGTGGCATCCAGACATATACGAGAAGGCGCCGGACAAAAAAATGAATCACAGATCTCTTGATGATGTTTACGAGAGCATTGATGAACTCAAGTATTATAGACAATCTTTATTTTTACCATGTTAAGTTTTTACAGAGTTTGTTGCATTTTGACTGTCATGGCGTTCAGATTTGCAAATGAAATAACCATTGATCATTTCATCGCTAATAATTGTTAGGAAATCCCTGAAAGCATTCAAATGCACCCGATCGAAGGTATCACTCCTTTCCAATTCCTCCATAAATGCAAGAACGAAGGTGCTCCAAAAGGAGATCTAAAAAGGATAATATAAAATGGGGTATCGGATTGCAAGGCTTAATATTGAAACAATCAGAAACACTCACATCGAACTCCACTTTGCATTGAATGGCCTGTTTCTCCCCCAGGGCGTAGGCCAGTCGTTTTATCGCGGACACATTCCTTAATTGCTGTATTAAGGGAATAAAGGGAAGGCCTTTGACTTACGCTCACGAGGACATCAAAGAATCCGTACATTTCTTCGGCCACATGACAAATAACAAGTTCATCGACATGCTCCGGTAAATTCATAAGTCTTATTCGAATGGCCGAGTCCCTTTTGCAGATGTTATACACAACCTGTCATCATCTTCTTCTCCTTTACAGTAAGACTTACTCTTATAAAAAACTTGGGCCTTGTCCCAATATACCTGTCCCACACATAACGGACATGTTTCTGATTGAGTCGACGTCTTCTGTACCTGTGCAACGTCGAGAATAGCTTGTTGAGAATTCCTATGACCATCTACAACATCCGAAAAGTCCAATTTCTCGTTCCCCGAGGGGCCAAAATGGAATTCCGGTCCTCTCGTCTCGGGTTTTAAGGCCGTGAAGGAGCCCCCTGTTGTTTTTATTTCTTTGGCTAGGAGGACTTTCCTGGACCTTTTCAGGACATTCCGAAAAAATGATGGCTTCATACACTTTAATTGACATAAAAAACACACATAATCATCTTTTATTCCTCAGTTTGAGGAGTTTTGGGTTTGATTTTGAGTAAAAATAACAACAAAAAATATCCCTATATGATTACATGTACAGTATCAAAAAACATGACATTGGAGAGATCTGTACCAAAGATCTCAAAAGTTTTTTTGTTGCATACAACAAGCGCAACATTCGAATACGAAGACGGCACTCGACAAACAGTGAGGTAAAGTCTTCTCGAGTTCAAGCACATTCCTCTCCATCTTCGTATTGTATACATAACAAACGAGACAGTTATCTCTGGGAGAATCTCTCACTTTCATTACACAGGATGAAGAAGGTAACCGTTCTGTTGTTCTTAACACTTTGTTCTGTAGCATCACGTAGGTTCATTGCGATATCTCATCCCATTTTCAGAACAAATTAATGCGAAACGGTTTCGTAAATTTGATAAAGTTAAATTGGATGACGAAGGATACAAAAAGGTGCACAACTTGCATGTCAATTGGTATATTACGTCAATCAAAGCATTAATGGGAGAGTTGGGGAAGGATCTCTACAAAAAGTTGGATTACGGTAAGAGGAGCAGTCGTTTTATCCCTTTCGAAGCGAATTGGCAAGGTGGTGGGCAGATTACCTCCATGCACGTCAATCCAACGTAGTTGAAGTCATTTCCTAGGGTTGTTAAGTTGCAAGGATTTTTCAAAATGACGTCAAATTACGTCAAACTGCCGTTATTTCCGTAATTTTGGCTAACAGTAAATTAAAAACTCTGATTTACGAAGCTTTGAAACGCGAGTTTAACATAGACTATGATGAATAGCCTTAATATTAGTCGTAACTATTTTTACTGAATCGGCCGTTTTGACAAGAAGGAGCAATTCAGTTCCTAAAATTTTAAATTCTTACGGTTTTTTAGCAAAAAGCTACAAAACTTTTCCAAAAAGGTAAAATTTGGCAATCAAAATGACAGAACAATTTGACATGGCGAAAATGACGGCAATTTGACAACGTGACTGGCGCGTCAAGTTGACGCCCTACTATTTCCTGACCAAGATTTAATCAATGTGGCGTTTCGCCACAAATGCAATTTTGGAGAAGATCTTTGGCCGTGTTTTTCTTGACTAGCCGGGACAAAACCTTACTTTCTGGTCCGAAAATAACGTTCTAAATTTTCCGTGATTTTTTAAGACCAATTTTGTCCTCCAAAAAATTTTCTGAAAGGACTTTGATATCTAAAATCTGTGGTCAATCGATAGTGTGTGGACGAAACGTCTAAATCGTTCGGGATTTTTTTTTATGTATTGACGTGCCATGCACGTATACTGATTACAAATAAGTATATAGGTCCGACCTCTGACTTGGGTTTCTGTTTGAAGAAATGATGTCATTAGGCCAAACATAGATGTCGCAAGTAAAACACTTTCTCAGTTGCTTATCGGTTACCTTGTGGAAACTTTTATTCAAGATTTTATTCAAAAAAAGAAGCAAGAATCTTAGAAAAAGATTGAATGCCTGTCCAGGGGCGTAGCTCGGAACTTGGGTAACAGTAAGGGTAGTTTTGTTATCAAACCTTTCGCAAAACGTTATCGCCCAGTCAGAACAAGTTGTGCCACTGTGGTATTATTACTCAGTGTCGTATACTCTCTCTCTCTTGTTCACCACCTTGCCCATTCGCCTCTAAAGGGCTAAGTATAATAATTAATTCAGTGGAAAGGAGAAGATTGGAGCGCTGTTTGTACAAGATTGAAAATAAAATGGACCTCGTTCGAAGTGCCCAATGTCTGACAAAGAGTCGGCGATCTTATTTATCATCCCTCCAGAGATTTGACACTACGAAAGTTGTTCTTCTCCATCAATCTGAACCAATCACAAAAGTTTTTGACTTCAGAAAACTTAAAATTCGAAGCAAAAGATCGTATTCATTGAGCGAGTCCACTACAAAAGAAGACAGAGTCAAAGTGAGTTATCCTAAAAACACTATGATATGAGAGTGAAGAAATAACGGCTACCGCGCCCCGACTTTTCGGGTAGACGACTGTTCGTGTCAAAACAACATCGATCGATAAGAGGGCAGGTGTAGACCTATAAGGTTGTAGGAGGTGCCTACAAAGTCGTCGCGACACTTGCGGGCAACCACTTTGCGGGCAGCCGACACTTGCCAATCAAAATTTTTAATCTACGAAATACGATAGCAATGTTGCATTGACAACTCCCTGGTACTGCGAAGTACATGAATCTGAAAAATTTCATTTGGATCCATCCACTGCTTCCAAAAATATGGGAGTTTGTTTTAACCCCCATCCTCGATAAAAAGTGCCTGATTAACCTTTTGGTAACTATTCAAACCATTTTTACATCTAGAAATTTAATTTGTAACATCTAACTGCCAAATCCATCGTTAGAATTTTCTGTTCTAAGCAAATGTTGGCTGATTTCCATTCGTGCCTGCAGAATTTCCGTGGTTCTTCTAGCTACCGTAAAACTGGTTGACCGCAATTATCAGCCCGCCGGCAGCTAAAAATGTAAAAAAAACTTTGCTATGTAAAAAATGTAAAAATTATATAAAACATTGTAAAAAATATGTAAGGGTATTGATGACATTTACAAGAATTTTAGAAATGTACCAATTATGGCATATGTCGTTTCACACGCCTTTTTAGCACTTGGTTTCTAAACGGCGGTTTTATTTCTTCACTCTGATATACTCTGTTTAGATCCGTAAAACAAATTATTACTCAATACACGAAAAGAAAAATTCCCCGGTGTCAAAAGTAGTAAACCTTATAAGTAAGATGACAACAAAAGAAGAGGACAAGAGACCTTGGAACGAGATATACCAAAGACTTCTCAAACTAAAAAAGAAAATGGAACTCAAAGAGAAATCTCCATCTTCCAAAGCTTACAATTTCCGGATGTATGACATCGTGTTGGATCGACAGACACCAAGTAAAGCAACAAAAGAAATGGTAGGAGCATTACAAGTTAATTCAATCTTTTACGTTAAGGGAGATCCCAAGACACTTATCAACATGGCAATGCAATTATTTTCTGGACTGAATGAATCGACCAAAGATGAGGGAAATTTTAAATTCTTATCCCCAAGAATCGCCCCTCTGATGCCAGATAAAATGCCCACCTCCAAATCAATCCTCTCACCTACACTATTATCCTTTTACGATGATAATAATACTATCGCTTCAATTCCATCTATCCTAAAACTATCGAATATCGGAGATAAAGAGAAGAATGAAATCATGACCTTGCTCATGCAGATGTCTGGTACGACAAATGCTATCGAAGAAGCGACAAATGTTTTAAAGGAGCTAAACTTTATGGGTAAGTCGGAATGAATTTGAGTTTTAGTCATTTGTAGACATCTCTGACGAACTCAACGATGTAAATACCAGGATAAATACAGTATACGATGGATTAAAAAGTAGCTTTAATCGTCGGCAGAAACGAGATCTCGATAAGAGCGGATTCACATTTATGGACAAACAACAATTGGATCACATGTACAATAATAAAGGTAATTAGTTATACATATCATCGATTATTTTTAGAATTTAAATTTCCAAAAGATAGTCTTGACTTTGAAGATTATCTCTCTCTAGAATACGATCAGAAAACCGAAGCCTTGTGGAACAGTATTGAAAGGATTGCTTTAGAAGAAAGTGTTGTGAGTTCGTGCCTTCATTGAAATCTATATAACCAATAATTTATAGGAAGATTACAAACTCAGACTTAGACGACGGAGACGTGCTCTTGGCTTGGCCAATGCCTTCTCTGCAGTTGTCCTCGGCCCTTATATGTTCGCCCCTTCATTTGGTCTGACAATCCTTGGCCCAGTTATTCTCTCCCCCAATATATTCTCCCCAGCTATTCTCAACCCGTCCATCCTTAGTCCTTATATCTTATCCCCAGCTATAGGGTTGACCAATATCTTATCCCCTTATGTTTTATCTCCAATGATTCTGAATCCGGTGCTGTTGGCTCCTCTTATTTTATCGCCTTACGTCCTCAGTCCAAATATTTTGACTCCAAACTTATTGAGTCCGCTCATCCTCAGTCCGTTAGTACTGTCACCTGATATCCTATCGCCTGGAGGACTTGGTGGAGCTGTTTTAAGTCCAGCTGTAGCGTCACCCGCAATATTAACAGAGTCCTTTCTTATGGCCACAATATTATCGCCGACTATTTTCTCTTAAGGTTTTTAAATTGCTCACAATTTAGAAAATAAACGGGTATCTAAAATTAATTGGCTTTCAGCCGTTACTTTTTAAAAATAAAACCCGTGCCAAAAACGTAATGCCAAAAGAACACTTCCTCTGCAGCCTGCGCCCTGTTTTCCATAAAAATATTTATCAAAAATAGTTTTGTGGAATACTCCGTTATTATTACTATATTACTTCGTCACGTTTAAACCATGTTTTGGAGAAGGGAAATTTCAGAACATGATCGAAGAATCGAAGAAGCTGTTAAGAGGCTAGAGGTCACTCGGGTGAGAGCTCATTTTAAAATAGATTTATTTTACCTTTTATATTTTAGATAGAACGAGAGATTGCTTTAAGAGAGGCTATTAATGAGAGGAAGAATGCCTACAAAGTAAGTTATCTTAATTATTCATGCGTCTTCTTGTTAGATAGCGGAGGCACAAGAGCGATTCAAATGGTTATCCCTCACCGGCGTCTCCATGTCTTTGATGAGTGTAGTAGCAGCAGTAAATCACAAAAACTTATTCTACTCCATCCCAGTTATTCCTTGTACTGTAATTATTGGTTATGAAGCGCATAAAGCTTATGGAAACAAATTGGAAACTATCATCGGTATGCTTAGTGTCATAAAATCTTGACTCTTCGTTTTAGAAAGCACAGAAGAGGTTATGAAGAAGGCCACGAGATCCCTTAGCTCAAGCTTCATCTCTGTCAAAGAAATTGATTCTCGAGTCGAAGATTTATTGACTTCTCCAGAGGTTCTTGATTAAAGTTAGGAAAGGATATTGCGGATTTTTGACTGCGGTATTCCGTTCTTGTTGATTATGTTTTATCGACGTTTATTTGACGTTATTTAGATGGGAATAGCCTATTCAAATGATGACTCTCTTAACCGATTGCGATCAGAGTATGACCGGCAGGTGAGAGACGCGTTCTTCAATATTTTTTTTAGCTTAACAGGCAAATCGTACTCATGGACCATTATTGGCAACATAAGCGGGCTGAGGAGTTTGCCACAAGGAAGGAGATCGTAGGCTGGGAAGTCATATCATTCGGAGCTATAGCCACAACACTCTTTTTCACCGCTATGAAGAAGAAAAACAAAGCATTGATACTACCTGTTATCCCGCTTGTCACATGGATTGGATACCGGATGACTCAAGCAACTGACGAATATATGGAGGTTGTCCATAAAAGAGCCAAGGAAATCCTAGATGACCCTAGACAAAAAAAATTGATCACTTTAGCTGGTGGAAGAATAACCCTCAAAGAATTGGACGAACGTCGAGCAGCTTGGAAGAACAACTTTTTTACGAGTGAAAGATGTGAATAAAACAATAAACATCAACAATAACAGTAACAATTGGTTATAAATCAGATAAGGAGCCTTTCGACCTCCTCCTTGATTGTTTGAATCTGGCCCTTGAGCTGAGATCCTTCATTGGAAGTGATCGAAGCAGCAATAACGGGCCTGGTAACTCCACAAGCTCTTCCCAACGCTGCCTTTGACTTGACGAACACGTAAGGCACGTTCTTATCCTCACAGAGAAGAGGAAGGTGCAAGATAATCTCCAAAGGTTCGGTATCAGCAGCCATGACGATCACCTAAAAATAAATGTGTAAAATAAGAATTTCATACAACTCGCGTACATAGGAAAGACTTACTTCAGCAATACCTCTGTTCAGAGTCTTGGTCGCTTCGTTGGCACCCTTTTTCAGCTGTTTGTAGTTGACGGCCTGCTGGACCACATCAAGGATCTTCTGGGTCAGCTGGTTGTCGGCCAAAGGTTGGGCCTTGGGATTGACTCCTTCATCAGCCATTTTAACAGCAGAGAGCTAAATTATAATAAAAACAAAGAATATAAAACGCGTTTGTGGTAATAAAAGCAGTGTTCGGACAATATCTGGAAAAAAAAGTAAAGCTTGTGAAACAGAAAACAAGCGAGAAGAGGGAAAAATTAGCGTTTTCGGTGTGGGACCTGGCCTATTCCACTATGCGCGACTTGCGCCCTATGTATGTAAACTACAAAATAATGGCCGCAACTCGCCGTGAAATAAATGGGAATTGTGATTTACAGCATCTCACAACAATTAATCTCGCTTGCAGTCTTTTGTCTCACCACGAAAATGAAAAGGGGTTTGGCATTCTGCAAAATAAAAGAATTTCCAAAGAATATTTTTTTTTATAAAAACGATTTTCTCGCCTTCCAAGTCCCGTTTCCTAGCCAAAAGTTCCTTTAGACGTCGGCAAGTTGCCAAATGACATGGGTATGAACCATCAAAGTCTAAATTATTACATAAAGACACTATAATTGATAAAATATATAAATCTTCATGACTTTTTTATATTTATTTTTCCCATTTGCAGAATGCCAAAAAGTGCCAAAAAGCCGGGAACTGATTTTTGTTATGGGGAAAGATTGATGTATAACTCCTCAGCCGAGTAGTAAATGTGCCGCGATTTTTTGCATACTGTTTGATAAGAATGTGTCAATGTTGACTTCCAAGTTTCATGCGATTTTTCGTTATTATAAGTCGGTTAGACCACGGCAAAGATTGCAATTGTTGAATACTTAAGGTGGCTATATCTTGCAAACGGTAAAAACTGCAAAAATTATTTTAGGTGGTGCAGATAGAGTTCTATTCCCTCCTTCTTATTTACTATTCACCCAATCACCCGATGTCCTCAAAAGTGAGAGGCGATAATATTTGTTGGACCGTGTTTTTGTAACGAAGTGTTCTAAAATTTCAATCAATAATTGAGAAGATTAGCTAAAAAAGCGCTTTTCAATTGGGATTAATTGTTGTGATCTAGTTTCTACTGCACTACTGAATTATCTAGTAGTATACATCAATATATGTTAATTGTTTGCAATGTTTTCAGAATGCCATCCAGAAAAAGAAAGATAGAGCCTGTTGATGTTTATGAGGAAGCATATCGAGATGGAGACAATTCGAATGCTTTGGTTATGGAATCCTCCAAGAAAAAGAAGACCGGAGTATCCAACAAATTGGTTACTGCGTCTGGGCAAAAAATGGATTTAAAGAAATCAAAGAAGATTAAAGAATTACGCCAGAAGAAAGAACAAAAGCTGACAAAGAACGAGAAACGAGAATTAAAGAAGTTGGAAGAAAGAAAAAAGGAAAAGAAAACAGTATGTTTGCTAAGCTAAGCTTAAAACTTTTGGCTAATTTTAGAGAGCAGAACTTATAGCAAGTCTCCAAGATTTCCAGATGAGTACTGAGTTGACTGCTCAAATTACACCAACAATAGCTAAGAATAGTGCTAAGGTTGTGTGAGTGCTGTATTTCTTCATTATTTATGTGTTTAGTGAAAAAAAATTTCCAAATAAAATTCGTGCGAATAACGGAACTCTGGAAGAAGAAAAAACAACTAGGAAAGTGACTGTGCATTATGACACTGGAAGTTCTGGAAGTGAAGATGAGAGCGAAGAGGAGAGAAAGGAAGAGGAATCAGTGAAATCGGTCTGCAAAGCACTTCAAGAACCAAAAATTGAAGAGAAGGTTGATCTGAGTATGGTTACAAGGACCGCCCAAGAGAAAGCTCAAGAGTTGAAAGAAAAGGAGGAAAGACGAAATAAGGAGAAAACTTTCTTTAAATTACTTGCCAAGATTAAAGGACAGAAGGTTGTAGTAAATAGAGATCCAGGAATCGAGAAGCAGAGGTCTCATCTACCAATTTATGCGGAGGAACAAATGTTGGTGGAACAAGTTAACGAGAATACAGTAAGCGTCTTTTGTTTTTATTTTTTCTATTTTAGGTAACAATAATATCGGGTGAAACGGGTTCCGGCAAGACCACGCAAATTCCTCAATTTCTTTACGAATGTGGATACACATCTAATGGCCATATGATTGGAGTCACCGAGCCAAGGAGAGTAGCCGCGATGAGTATGTCCGAACGGGTTGGAAGAGAACTTAATAATCCTGAGGTGTCTTCCTTCCAGGTATGCCACTTTTTTACGTTCAAAAAATTCATTATTTAGATTCGATTTGAAGGAAATAGAACTGAGAAAACGAAGATCTTATTTATGACCGATGGGGTTCTTTTAAAAGAATTACAGACGGACGTTCAGTTGAAGAAATACAGTGTGATCGTCATTGACGAAGCCCATGAGAGGTCAATGTATAGCGACGTTTTAATAGGTCTTTTGTCAAGAATCGCTATTCAAAGAGCAAAGTCTGGGACCCCGTTGAAATTAATTATTATGAGTGCTACTTTGAGGATTTCTGATTTTATGCAACCAAGGTAATCTCTACAATGTAAATAGTAACGTTTTAAAATTACTTTAGGCTTTTCCCATCTGCATTACCGAAGCTCATCAATGTGGAATCCCGCCAATTCCCGGTTACCATTCATTTTGAGAAGAAAACTCCTGACGATTACATTGCCGCCGCTTATCAAAAAGTCTGTAAAATACACGATAGATTGCCTGAAGGTGGAATTTTGGTCTTTGTCAGTGGCCAGAAAGAAGTGCACAGATTGATCAAGTTGCTGTCTGCCACTTACCCAACTCCTCAAGGGAGGGAGAAGGTTGATGGAAAAGATGACTCTAATGTAGATGAAAAAGAAACTGAAGAGCGTCTGGATGATGAAGTTGACTTTGATGAAGCGGGATTAGGAGAATGTGACGAAGATTCGGACGATGAGGAGGAAAAAGATGAATATGCACTCACGGCACCTAAGTTGGATTATGCTAAGAAGGGTCCGTTGTATTGTCTTTCGTTGTATTCAATGATGCCTTCTCATCTTCAACATAAGGTGTTCGAAGATCCTCCTGAAGGACACAGGTAAGCATTCTTTCTTTTAAATGGGTGTTTTCTTTTTAGGCTATGTGTGGTTGCCACAAATGTCGCTGAAACTTCCTTGACAATTCCAAATATACGATATGTAGTGGATACAGGGAAGGAGAAAAGGCGGGATTATGACCCCATTACCGGGGTTTATCAGTTCAATGTGTCCTGGATATCCCAGGCTTCAGCGAGTCAGAGATCTGGCCGTGCTGGTCGTGTTTCGGCAGGCCATGCTTATCGTTTATATTCTTCCGCAGTCTTTGAGGATTTCTCCAAATTCCCTCCTCCAGAGATTCTTCACAAGCCGATCGATCAAGTTGTACTTCATTTGAAGGCGATGAATATAAAGAAAGTCGGTAATTTTCCATTCCCAACACCTCCAGAAAAGGATCAGATCCAAATGGCTGAAGAACGGCTTCGGAAGGTTGGGGCTGTAGAGACAAAACCGGGTCAGGTATGGTTTACTCATTGATAACTTCATCTAAGACGGTTATATGATGCCAATAATTATAGGACGTCTCTTCAATTACGACTTTGGGCAGAACGTTATTGGCTTTTCCGTTGGCCCCGCATTTTGGAAAGATGATTGTCCTTTCGAACCAACATTCTGTGATGCCCTTTATGGTCACCTTGATATCAGCTCTTACAGTTAGGGAACCCATGATTAACATTGCGTCCATGGAAGGGTCTGACAATGTTGAAACCCAGGAATTAATGGTGATGTTGTTGAGGAAGCGAAGACAGTGGAGCAAAATGGGCCAGACAAAGAGATTCGGAGATCTGAATGTTCTTCTGAGGGCTTTGGGGACTGCCGACTTCGAGAAATTAGATCGAGGTGGCTGTGTTAAGGTGGGGTTGCGATACGAAGCTGTCAGAGAGGTCAGGAAGATGCGAAGGCAGTTAACACTGCTCATAAACAAGTCACTGAAGTTAAAGGAGCCTTTAGTATTGGACCCGGAGGCGAAACCGCCAACTGAGACTCAAGTTAAAATCATGCGGTAACTATTATTATGATAACTTCATTATTCTTGCCTTAGGCAGATATTTGTGGTTTGCCAACAAGAACAAATAGCCAGAAAAGTGAAGGGGAAAGAGATTCCGAAGGGCGCTTACCAGACTCAGAAGTTGAAGGAGTTTGTTTTCATCGATCCCGCATCGGTATTGGTGAAAGAAGAACCCGAATTTGTTTTATATCAAGAAATCGTACAATTAGATGGACAAATGAAGATGCAGATGGTTCTCGAAGTTGAGCCAGACTGGATGAATACGATAGCTAAGGATGTCAAGTTCCCTCAGCTGAACCAGAAGACGGAATAATTTTGTTATACGATTATATTGTTGATTTTTTTGTTAATTGTTATTTGGGATAAATTTTCAAAATATCGCTTTGGTTACGGTAAAATATGTTATGTCATGTTTTTGCTACGTTGAATTCTGACTGCATTCATAGTTTGAATAGATGTCAAGGATAGGGAGGGTGATGCGATGCTTTTCTTCTATGATTCCACCATTGGAAGTCGTCAAATCCTTGACTCCACAGGCTCGGAGAAACATGCCTTATGTTCTGGCAGAATTAGAAGTAAGCCGAGATTCATATTATCAAATTTTAACAGGTGTGGAGTGAATTATCGGGTTGTGAGATTCCAAAGATGGATTCAGAAGAATGGAGATATTTCTTAATGATGGAGAATCTCACGGAACGAGACAAATTCGTTAGCAGTTTTAACAAAGACGCAACTAGAGATACTGTAGGTCCGTTTTAAAGGAAATTTTTTTAGGGGCTCTTACTTTTGGATGTGACACATTCAAAAAAATTGCAAAATTATGTTGGTCAAGAACAACACAGCAGAATGGTTCTTAGTTGCAATGTATCTAGTCCGTCATGATGCTTTGATTCCCTAATTGTCAACTTCTCCAATTGCCTTTTTCCCAATCGTCACTCCCCGAGTTTGAAAAGGACGGCATTTTTCGACCTTGGGTCATGATCGGGTTCATTTTTTTTTGAACTCGATAAAGTCCAGACAGTCACATTAGCCGTGTTAATAATTTCAGATACTCTGGGGGCCGATAATATTATTCACAGCTTTTTAAGCAAAAACAGTAGGGGGCTCAATCATTTTGAAACAACCAAAATTCAAAAAAAAATGTGAGAAATAACTTGCAAGAGATTTTTCAAACCTAAAAACCAAAATTAGGCAGCTATTTTTCATCCAAAAGTAGGAGCCCCCATAAAAGTACTTTCCTTGTCAGAAACCATTAAATTCTTCTAGATCTCAGACACAGAACCTACCGGACAATTACCATATCTAATAAAAGGAAAAGATTTTCGAAATATGATTGATAAGACTTATGGGGCCAAGATTTGGACTAAGCTGAAGTTGGACGAGGAGTTTCCTCAAATTCGAGTGGATTGCTCTCTGCTATACACTTTACCTCCCAGATATCTCTCTGAAGCACTACAGTAAGAAATCGTTTAATACGGACTATATTTAATCAGAGGTGTAAGCAAAATCGTAAACGAAAACTGGGCGTCACCAACCCCACTGATCATCCATATTAATGGTTATTCTCCTGATACTCGGATCAGCCCTTTGGCAAAACGACACTGGCCTTTTTTGTATGGGCCCCAGAAAGGTGACAAACATTTTATTCCACATCCATTGGGACCTTCAGTGTCCTCTAGAAACGTGACAGAGTCCTGCAACGTCCCAGAAGGTAACTATATTAGTATTCGCGACACTAAAACTACTTTATAGATCAGATCATATTCGTAAGCAATTATGGGCGAGAAGAACTTAATGAGACTGACTTAAATAAAGGAAAACTATTCGTAGTGAACGCTGTTTCGGACGACAGAATACCTAAATCTCTGAGGGAAACTTCGAAGGCTAACAGCTTCAGATTACCCATCGACAAATACGTAAAGTAAGGAGTTATTAGGGTGGCCCATAAGTCTTGTGTATTTTGTATGTTGTAGATGGAAACGGGGAACAAAGTCATTGCCTTCATTTGTTACTGTAAATATATTGCGGGACGTATTGGAAAGAAAACTGGAACTTGGAGATGCATTGATACGAAATATACCAGAAAAGCATATTACTGATGCCGAAGTGACACGAGAAGATGCGCTTCAAATTGAAAGGGAACTCAGGGTAGATGTAGGTTTTGGATCGTAATGAAAACATAATATCAGATCCTCGAATCCGCAAGCCAGTTGTTAAAGATGCAGAAAAATGACAGGGAAATCATGTTTGGAAAGGAATTGCCTGAAGTTCAACAGCTCCCACCAACAGATAAAAGGAAAGTGAGGTTCCACAGATATTCGAGGGAAGAACGGAACCATCGAAGAGCGCGGGAACAAGTGCCAAACAAATAATTATTGGACAGATTTGATCAGATCGTTCTTATTGTGACTCGATTTACACCTTACTCTTAGCTGTTTGATAAATTCTTTAATCAATTCATCGTATAACATGTCTCTTTCGATCCGCGCTCGTTTCGGTTGCACTTTGCGGGAACGGAAATAAATGTTTCTAAAACTTTTTGTGGAATTTGTATTATAATTATGGAAAGACTGTAGTCTTTCCATAATTATAATTTATAAATGTAAACTGCCTAGACTTTTTGTCGGTACATATTCTGTAATGCATTTTGCCTCTTTTTGCACTGTGCAATTGTCTGTCGCGCGCAGAATTCGCGGCTACGCAGTTGGAAAAAGCGTCCCGGCGTTTTCGAATTGCACAGTGCAAAAAACTTCGCGACTGAAAGTCTACGCACTTTCTAGAATTCTTTTTACTAGTATATTTTGAGGTGGAACACCGTAATTTTATTTTCCTCAATTAATTATATCGCCATGGAGAATAAGAATGTCAAGGAAATGAGTAAGCAGCGTAATAATAATTTTAAAATATATCTTCAGTTCCATTCGTCCCCGAAAACAACTCGGTCCAAGTGTGCAGCAGAGATCATGTTCACCGAATTCACGATGCTAATGATCCTGTCGTCCTTTATAAGTCTTTAATCGCTGCTAAGGAAACTGTAAGGATATCAGCAAACTCTAAATTGTCAGCTTTAGGAAAACAGATGGATTTCTTGATCAAGGTGAGATTTCTTCTTTTTTATTATCTTGTTTAGGAAGCAAACAAAATAGTAGAACAGAGCAAACGCGATGAGCAACTGCATAATATTCCCTGTAATTTCAAAAAAATTGCCGGGAATGTATATTATTTATACAAAAGAGGAAATGGGACTGAATTCTTTTCTATGTTATCGCCTGATGAATGGGGAAGACAGCTAAATAATTTTGAGTATGTTGGCGGATATAGATTGGATGGAGACTACGGGTTCACATGCGTTGATGGTGCTGAAGATGAGGGAAGAGAAGAAGAAAGATATCGACAAATTTTTAAAAGGATAGGATACTGAACCAGATTGTACAATAAACTTCTATTTCTCATCTGTCCTTGAATTTCTTCTGGTTTTATCCATCCCGGAATACCTGAAGTATTACAATTTGAATATTATTTTTGTCAGGATGAAGAGGCGGAATAGAGAAGGGGTGTTCAATAATGCCATCTACTCGAAAATTGTGCGGGCCGCTGAGGAGACGGATGTTCTATTAGGTGTAGAAGAAGATCTCGAGTTCATAACAAAGAAGAATCCTTATGACAACAGTCGTGTTTGGAATAATGCCCCTGGATCTGCTTCAGGAAGTGTGGTAGAGAACACGCTGCCTCCGATGAGGCAGCCCGGGAGAGGATTGGGACGACTCAGGAGAACTAACGACTTGTAGGTAAAATTTTTGAATCGTTTATTCTTTGTTTAGTTTTGTAACGAAGACGATAAAGCCGGGGGAGAGACGTAAAGCAATAACGGAAACGGAAGAATCAGAAGAGAGTCCGATTTGTGTGCAGGATGATGAACCGAGGCGGAAGTATAATGTTGGAAACAACATGACAGTGAGGAGCGATTACAGAGAGGTCCATAGACATACGGACATCTTTAAGAAGCCAGGAGTTCCGACGACAAAACCTCCCCGGGGTGCTTCGATCTTCGAATCAATTCCAATGAAAGAGAAACCACGGAATTTGACTACGAGTAATTTTGATTCTGGAAATTGTAGTAACATTTCCCTGGATGAAGTCGCTTCGAGGGTATCAGAACATCTTCCGAAGCTCCCTCTCAGAATAGGACACCCGTTATGTTATGCTGATTTGGTGTCTGATCTCTGCAAAAAAAATTTCAAAACCGACGAGAGTTCGTTAAATATAACCAAAGGAAGGATCAATACTTTGAATGAGGTAGGAGTCTTTGTCTAAAACACCGTAATCCAAAAAATAATTTTAGACTGTAGGTCGGGCGGCTAAAGCATATTCGGAGTACATGAGGAAGGCGGATATGGCTCGTACCACTTCTGAATTCCACACTGAGAGCCCTTTGACGCATGCTTCTCCTCCATCAACTCAGCAAAGTCTTCAATTGGAATCAGCCAGCATGGTTTCAGGACGTAAGTATATTTTTTATAATGTTTATTAGTAGGTAATTCTGCTGATAGAGTCTGCGGATTTGAGAAACCATTTAAATTCTCGAGTCAGAATTTCGGAGTTGAGAATTCCCCCAGTGACGTAAGTTCCTCATTGAGTTCAAAGAAGTCAAATTCAAATTCCTTCGCCTTTTATGGTTTGGACGATCTCCAAGATTGGCCTGGATCTGGATCCAGAAGCTCTTCTGATGCTTCTAAGTCCACTGTTAAGTTCCTAGAGCCCAGTTTTATAGGATAGACGAGTTAGATATATATGTTATATGCTGTTTGCACTTAGGTTTGAAGTAGTTTTTACGTTGTTGAGATGTTTTTGTTAACGGGTATTTGACAGGTTACGGTAGTTTTGTTTCTTGGTTATTGACGTTGTTGAAAGTTCTTACAGTTACTTGTTTTTTGTTACTTTAATAAATGATTATAACGGGTTTTATTATGCCTTCGTTGGTGTTTTTCTCACTTCGTTATCATTTTTTTACCATTTCCATCTTAATTTTTAGGCCTCTATGAGGACCCTTGTTTTAGATAATGGGGCTGCAAATATACGGGCAAATTATTCAACGGAGGATCTCCCGATGTAAGTTAGTTTCAAACCTTTGTCTAATTACTTATATTTGTTATTTAGTGTTATACCAAATGCAATATTCAAATTTCGAGCGGAAAAACGGAGAGTTTTTGTAGCAGACGAGATAAAGGATTATAATGATCGGAGCAAAATGTATTATATGTTGCCGCATGAGAAGGGTTATCTGGGTGAGTATGAATACATGTATTCTCTGCCGATTTAATTTTGACTAACCCAAATTTCGAAAACGGTGATAGACATGAACTCCATGACTTTAACAAGTTTGGTCAGGGTTGATTCTTTGGTGTAAGGCAGAAAAATATTTTTTTTCTTTCCTCGGGCACAAAAAAAATTTAGAGATTTTAATTTCAGTTGTCGGAAAAGTCCAGGGCAACAAAAGTTTGCGTTTCTTTATCACTACATTGGATGAAGTAATAATAATTTGAGAAACTATTCGTTCTACCCTGTTGCTTCTAATGATGCGCAATTTCGTTGTTCACGTGGTGCTTATAGCCCTGAAGGCATTTTCTAAAGCTCCCTCTTATAATGATGAAAAAAATTTCAAAATTTTGTATTTTTAGCTTAAATTAGCTTTAACGTAGCCACTGTTTATGGTGTTTTTATTGGGAAATGTAATCATGTATATTTTCGTACGCTGGGGGTTTACGCGATTCGAACTCAATTTGGCTGGCTTTCCGGAAGCCTCATCGAAACATGTTGACAGAAAGTGCTTGAAATGTTTCAGCTCGGGTTAGTACCTCATAACGTAATAAATATATGGTATACTGTAGTGTATCTACCAGCTTTTTTTATTTTTGAAAACTTTTGAAATAAGTAAAAAAAATCTTTGGGTACAGTCTTTACAAAATCAGCGGGCAGGAGATACACAGATTTTTTCGCACCGAAGGGTAGTGGTAAGAGAACCGTATGATCTTAAGAAACATTGCACTAGGTACCGAATTCAGTTTAGAGATAATTTTCACCTCATTTAGGTTATTCCTCAAGCATTAGGGCAAAAGATCTTTTTTTTTTGCAATTTTCTTTAAAAATGCCCTCAGGGCTCTATGCACCACGTGAACAACGAAATTGCGCATCATTAGAATCAGCAGGGTGTCACGAATAGTTTCTCAAATTATCATGGCTTCATCCCATGTAATGATAAAGAAATGCAAATTTTTGTTGCCCTGGTCTTTTCCAACAACTGAAATTAAAATCTCCAAAAATTTATTGCGCCTGAAGGAAGCAGAAATATTTTTCTGCCTTACACCATACAATAAGCTCTTGACCAAACTTGTTGAAGACGTGGAGTTCATATCTATCACCGTTTTCGAGTTTTGGAGAGGTTAAAATTAAATCGGCGGAGTATGTCTAACGTTCGTAAGATGTTTTTTGTAGTGAATTGGAATGTCGAATTTGAGGTCTGGGATCGTCTCTTTGGATCAGACGTGCTGAATGTCCCATTTGAAGACACGAGATTGCTCTTGACTGATATTAATTCATTGTTTCCGGCATTTAAGGATAGCCTTGAGGAAATCGTCTTCGAATCATATCAATTCCAATCTTTGAATAGAGCTTCAGGTAATAACAAATGGTCGAGTATTTTTATTCAAGTTATTAGCCCCCAGTCTTATTGCAACATATGAGTTGACCCAGAAGAAGAATCCCTTCTGTATGATTATTGACTCTGGATTTTCCTTTACCCATATTCTCCCATTCTTTGATGGCGGTTTAATATCTAGTGGGGCGGTAAGGTGAGTATAGTGTAATATACTTATATTATACCTATTTTAAGGCTGGATTTAGGAGGAAAAGCCTTGACGAATCAACTTAAAGAGTGGATTTCTTATCGTCAACTTGATGTTAGAGATGAGACCTTCCTTATGAATCAATGCAAAGAAGATATATGTTATGTTTCCACGGATTTCAAACGAGATATGGAGATATGTGCGAAGTAGGGGCTTTGGTTGTTTGCCTTAATTGCTTTGAATTACTTTTGTAGACGAACATATAATGGAAACACGGTCGCGAGAGATTATTTATTGCCCGATTTTTTGAACCACCATCGAGGAGTTGTTATGGAACCGTCGTCCAAAGAGCCTCAGGATCGGCAGAAGTTGGCGGTTAACACCGAGAGATTCACAATTCCAGAACTGTTGTTCTCCTCTTCTGATATTGGACTAAATCAAAGTGGAATCCCGGAGTCTTTTGCCCAATCTCTGGCCGAGGTTGGAGCTGCATTTCCCAGTAAGTTTTGACGGGGTACGGTTTGCTATGCCTTTTCCTATAAAATTTCAGACGTTGCTTTTAATCTTCCTTCAAACATAATATGTGTTGGCGGAAATACGAAGTTTCCTGGATTCATCGAACGATTACACAAGGAGCTCCTCTCGTGGTGCCCTCAGGGCTCTAAGATCTTGTTAAATTCTCCATCAGATCCTTTAGATTATGCTTGGAGATGTGGCCGAGAACTGACAGTGGTCAAGGAAATGATGATCGAAGATGGATACATTTCTAGGAATGAATATTTAGAACACGGGGACTCTCTGTTCTACAAAAAGGCCAGCAGAAACATATTTTCGTTTTAAGTGTACATATGGAATAAAGGAAATGACAACAAACAAGGTTTTGATTATGATTTTACGGGTTATGTCCGTGATTACTTTAATATCGATCATTCGTATTATTTTCTTATTGTTTAGATGACATCGGCGCCGCTATTAGAACGAAACCAAGATGCTACAGTATACGTGGGAGGTCTGGACGAGAAAGTGACAGAAGGAATTCTTTGGGAACTGTTTGTGCAGGCAGGTCCAGTGGTCAGTGTGAATATGCCCAAAGATAGAATTACTGGCAGTCATCAAGGTTTTGGATTTGTGGAGTTTATGGGGGAAGAAGATGCCGATTATGCCATTAAGATCATGAATATGATCAAGTTATTTGGAAAACCAATCAAAGTCAACAAGGCATCGGCAAATGAGAAGAACATTGACATTGGGGCCAATCTGTTTGTTGGTAATTTGGATCCAGAAGTCGATGAGAAATTGTTGTTTGATACTTTTAGCGCCTTCGGAATGATCTTACAGGTTAGGTTTAGAAAATGCAATGTAAAATTACATAAATTTATGTTTCTAGGTCCCGAAGATCATGAGAGATCCTGAATCCGGGAACTCAAAAGGTTACGCCTTCATCAACTTCTCCAGTTTTGAAGCTTCCGATATGGCCTTAGAAGCCATGAATGGCCAATTCTTGTGCAACAGGCCTATCACTTGTTCTTACGCCTTCAAAAAGGATGCGAAAGGAGAGCGACACGGAACGGCGGCCGAACGATTACTCGCCGCCCAGAATCCCTTATTCACTCAAGATCGTCCCCATCAGATGTTCGCTGACATGCCCGGAGGTATCAGGCCGAATACTGCCCAGGCGGTGGCCGCGGCTCAAGGATTGCCCATGGCCAATGGAATGCCCCCACTTTCTGGAGCTCTGGGACACATGGGGCCGGGAATGGGGCTTGCTGGAATTGGTGGAGTACCTCCCATTGGTCTGGGCATGGGAATGCCACCTCCACCCCCACCACAATTCATGGCTCCGCCCCCAATTCCGGGCATGATGCCGGGAATGATGGCCCCCAATCCGATGTTCTTGGGCGGCCGTCCGATTCCTCCTCCTCCTCCGCCTCCACAAGCTCAAATGGGCGGTAAGTTCAAGTACTGTGTGTTTTTATTCATCTTTAGCTCCACCAGGCGGAATGGGCTGGGCCGTTCCACCCCCACCGCCCCCGATGGGCGGGTTACCAACTCCAACACCTCCCCCTCCACCACCTTCAGCATTCGTGATTCCACCACCTCCACCACCCGTCAGTTAATTATTTTTTTTATTATGTATATCACCAAGGCTTCTGTTAAAAATTATTTATTATGACATGAAGATCTCTTGTGATTACAAATACAAGGCGACCACCACTGATGTGTTTTGATTATATAAGAGTGAAAAAATAGGAGTGGTTTTTTGGATTTTGGAAAAGCACAATTTATTTCACTTTCATAAAAAAGGAGTTTGAGTCGATCCACTTTCTCCCAGGGAAATAGTCGGAGCTCCTCTAGACATCAAACCGAAATAGGGCAGCCTGCTTTTACTAGGGAAGTGTACAAACGAACCCTCACCAAATGGCAAGTGTTCTAATATAATATAATTTACAGTATGTGTCGCGGAAAGGCATTCTGCAAAAAATGAAAATGGTGTCTTGTACCATTTTTCAAGTTATCTTTAATGAGGTATGCCACTTATCATTTGGTGAGGGGTTGTTTGTACACGTCCCTAGTTAGTAAAAGTTCCTTTTTGGGCCAAAAAATTGTGTTCATTCAGAAAATTGATGGGGAAAAATAAAAACAATTCTTCTCAACTTCTGTTGAGGAACAATTGCTGATTGTATCATACAGAAAGAGAAATTTTCCACTTTGGAGAGTGGATCGGCTCAGACTCTTTCTCCCCATAAAAAGTGAATTAGGCCACTTTTTTAAAATCCAAATAACCACTCTTATATTCTCGAGCCGAATACGGTAGAATCTTGGCTGCAAAGAATAACTTCTTTCTGATGTTTAGACACGTGTTCACGAATGTTCATTGCCGAAATGAATCATTTGATATAAAGCCCTGAGGAATTTATTTAAACAGTGCGGTTTTTGTGCTTCTGGTTGATAAATGGAGCCGGAATTGACACCTGATGGACGTCGGAGCGAAGAGGGAAAGGTCTTTCCTATGCTCTGATAAGACGAACGAGGTCTCCTTTCACTCTCCCTTCCCTCCCGACCTACCTTGACCTTAAATTCGAACGCGAAAAGCTTAATGACCGTACGAGACTCGGCTCTTTGTTGAATCCGCGAACAAGTGAGGAAAGGATGGCATCCGGACGTGGGACTCGTCTTCGTTTCTCCGTCTTCTTCATTCTTCTTTTGGCTGTTGTAACTCCTGAGATCATATCAGACTTCGATGATGTTGAGATTCATTTAGAAGGAGAGGAATTGGAACGACTCCAGAATCCATCACGATACGATCGGGAGTCCACTGATGATCTGGGCGAGTTCATGTCCGACTTTTTTGCTGATTCCGGTGCCCAATTGGTTGTGGATCTTGATCTTTTCCGAGATTTGTGGAGAGAACTCAAGAACTACGAAGATTCTGCCAAAGAGGGGGATGTGGATTATGTTCAACAAGCCATCGATTTCATGGCCCCTCTTCAAGCATACGACGTCTCCGCTCCTTGTTTGGCTGACCTCAGTCATTTCCTTTGGACTACATACAAATATGCCCGAACAGCAGCTGAGGCGAGGAAATGTGAGTCCTGTAATTGCACCAGGGGATTCAAAAATGAGTTCGCTAAATATCAATGGATTTTCAATGTCGTGGATGCGATGGGAAAAGTGCCTGCAGCTATTTTCGGAGGGAATAATCTGTGGACAGGCTCTTGGTACACATGTCGGAAGGTCTCCGTTCAAAAGAACCATCAGGAGTGAGTAAATTCTGAATCTTTGTTTTGTTTTACTTCCTTATTACCCTTTTCCCTTTCAAACCAAAGTTTATAAGTTAATTTAATTATATTCCCAGACAAAAATGGAACGGGCAATACTGTATGGCAAGGTTTCAACCTTACAACAAGCATAATCCGCTGAAGGCATTCGTCTCTCAACCGGTCGATCCTGCCGCTGTATGTAAGTACGTGGTTTGGATTAATTTTAACATTAATTTTGGATTGCTGTCTATTAGTAAAAGATGGTTTTTAATTTAAAATCATTGCCGATTAATTGTGAATTTTTAGAAATAATATAACGAAAGGAACGCCTGAGGCATGGAGTGAGGAGGATAAGAAATGTTTCGACCTTTTACCCCTCCTCAATCTTGGATTATGCACCCCAGACACTTGCACTGACTATGATGTAAAGAAAATCATCCAATTCAGTAAGAAAATAAGGAACTCGGACGATTGGGGAAAACGAAAAGCATTATTTTTCTTTGGACAATCGAGGGTGCTGATTTCGAAAATGACGTTCATTTTTTTTTTGATCTTTACTTTTTTCCTTAAGTAGCAGTACTGTAAAGTAGTAATTTTTTGATTTTTTTAATAAATACTGCTTAAGGAAAAAAGTAACTATCAAAAACATGAGTGCCATCAAATCAGCACCATCGAAAACCAACTAATCGAGTATTTGCGAAAAAAAATCAAAAAATTACTACTTTACAGTATTACTTAAGGAAAAAAGTAAGGATCAAAAATTAATTTCATTTTCGAAATCAGCACCATCGATTATCCTAATTTCGACACTTGCATCGAAGAGAAATAATGCTTTTCGGTTTCCCCAATCGTCCAACTCCGAGAAAATAATCCAAAAAAAAATATCTAATTACAGTATACCATGCGGTGGAAGTGTCGATGGGACAGAGGCTGGTCTGCAATGTGAATGTTCAGTGCAGTAATGCCCGTCCTGAGAGCTCCATGTGGAATAACCCGAGTTCAGTGGCCTTTTCGTAAGTTGATTGAGACTTTGCATAAGTGTTTCAGTTGTTTATTGTTATTTATTGCAACTTTAATGGTCTTTGGGACTCTCTACGATATCTACGTAGAACGGCCAAATCAAGAGCAGATTCTTCGGCGGATCAAAGAGGATGAACTCATCTTCGGGCATGAACAAAGCAAGGCTCGCGAAGCTTTGAACCGGTCGAAAAGTCAGCCGATTTTTTTTTATTTATTGTATTTTACCTGTTTGCTAAGTTATTTTATTTCAGCTGCTTTTGAAAGCCTTTTACTGATATTTTCGATGACGAAGAACGTGGAATACATAATGGACACGAGGACGGAAAAGGGGCAGATTACCTGTTTGCACGGATGCCGCTTTCTGAGTATGTGCTGGATCATCTTCGGCCACACCTATTACTATATTTGCACCAGTCTGACTACTGGTAAGGCTCTTTATAATCCTTATTTTTATTTTCCAGACAATCTTCTTCAAACTTTGAAAGAGTTTCCCAAACAATTCTACAATCAACTGGTCGTCCAGGCCCCTCTGGCCGTCGATTCTTTCTTTTTTTTGAGTGGCCTTCTCACGTCGTATATTTTTATTGGTAAAATACGAAGAGGCCAGGTGAGAATTGACCTCTGGACCACTTGGTTTGCGTATTATATTAGACGTTACATCAGACTGACACCTGTTTATGTGATGATTATGTTGTTGGAGGTGACTATCTTTGTTTATATCTCGGAGGGGCCTTTCTGGAGGCCAATCGAACCAACTTACTGCATAAACACATGGTGGGTCAATCTGCTGTATGTCAATAACTTTTTCAAACAGGATGATTCTGCAAGTGTTTTAAAAATCTTTAAAATACACTTTAATAGTTTTGATGACTAAAAGAATATTTTTATTAATTTAGTGTATGGGATGGACTTGGTACATGGCGAATGACTTCCAATTTTACGTGTTTGCTCCTATTTTGATTATTTTACTTTACAAGTTTAATGTGGGAGGAGTTCTGGTGGGAGTTATGGGATTAATTATGTCATCCTTGATCACCCTTCTGATCACTCTGCAAAAAGGATACCCTCCGGCACCTATTCTTACCTCCAGATTGACCATGTAGGCCTAATATTCTCTAATGGTATCTTTAGTGTGACTGTTCTGAATGATTATTGGGTTGATCTTTATGTGAAACCTTATACAAGATGTGGTCCTTATATCGTCGGCTGTTTGGTCGGGTACCTTCTGTTGGAGAAGTCAAGGCCGATGTTTCAACTGAGTCGAGTCAAGTCAATGGGATGTTGGGTCTTTTTCTCTTTCTGCGGGATTTACTCAGTGTTCGGGCTGTTTAATTACACCAAAACTGGGGAGATCACCACTTTCTGGTTTATATTATACACTCTGTGCGGCCGACCAGCCTTTGCCCTGTTCTTGGGATGGATTGTATTTGCATGTGAAACTGGTTATGCGAGTAAGTGCACTTTATTATTTATGTTTTATTTTGTATTTCAGACAAGATAAATTCGATCCTCTCCCATAAGATGTTTATCCCCTTGAGTAAAACCACTTTCTGTGCGTATCTTATCCATCCAGTCCTTTTACAAACTTACTACTTAAGCAGACCTACCGCTTTTCATTTTACTCACTCTTTCCAATTAGTAAGTCGAATATGAATTTTGATCTGATCTTTGTAGTTGTATATGTTCTTTGTTGCTGTTTTTACATCCTATTGCGCTGCGTTGATCTTGGCATTGGCGTTTGAAGTACCGGTGAATCACGTGGATAGGATAATATTTGGGGATGGAAAGAAGAAACCAAAGGAACCAAACGATGTCAAATTAGAGCCCTTAGGGCCGAAGGAAGAAAATAAATTGATAGAAAATGGAAAAAGTTAGGAAAAAATAAATGTTTATTGTCTGTGATCTGAATAATTATAGTAGAAAAATTAACAAGAGAATTCAGCAAGGTAATTGTATTCAAATAAACAGTGACCCAGAAGTCAAAGCAGGAGCTGGAATCTCTAATCCAGAGAAGTTCGAAATCCGCGAGTCAAGGGAAGAGAGCGCGCGATGGGAGAAGAATGCCGCTCCAGAATTGGGATCTCCCGACTCGAAGCGATCGAATTGGAAGGAGAAACACCATGGAGCAGTGGATTCATGTCTGTTTCTCTATTTTTCTTCACCTTCTTGGAATATCTACTGGCCTCTGGATATGGTATCTGTTCCCCAAAAATGTAATGTCATCATTTTTTTTAAATTTTTATATACATATATATTTTCAGCCATTGAAAAATACTACCCGAATAGCGGTGGAGAAGAGAGGAGAAGGGCACAACAATGACCGAATACCTTTAATTCTACCAAAGAGACATAGTGGATAAACAAATAAATAAATAAAGGAATAGATATTAATATGGAGTCCGTTCTTTGTTCATCTGAGTCCTCTTCTCGAGCCGTTTCTCCCAATGACAATCGAGATCATAGGGCTTGTCATCCACCAAGTAGTACTCTCCATTCGGCAGCGGCTTCCCACATAGATTGCAGACGAAACAACGGGGATGCCAGTGCTTGTCCAGGGCCAGAAGACAGGTGTCCACCATGGTTTCGTTGCATCCTACAATATACCATATCAAAATAAACGCATCATATCAAAATAACTGAATCGAGAGGCGGGAAAACACAAGGCTTACCAGCACACTTCGGGTTGAAAGTCTGAGCATAGCACTGGACACAGTAAGGGAATCCCCCATGGACCTGAAGATACATTGTACCAATACATTTATAATTTAGAAACAAAAACTGTAGCAAAGCGCATACTTGGAATGTTTGGCGGATCGGTTTTTTGCATGCATTGCAAAGAAAGTGATCAGGATGCCAGAGGCGATTCAATGCCATGACAGCCTCCTCACCCAAGGAGGCGTCACAGTAGCCACACATACGACGATCTTCGGAAGCCGCACATCTCAGTTCACTCATTTTCCCCAAATGATTTCATTCCTTTCCATTTCTTATTTCTTCTGTTTATGCAAATTTTAATTTCTAATTTTATGCCAAACTTAACACTTTGATTTAATTGCATGTCTAAAGGGATAACGTTCTTAGTAACTCCTTTAAAGAACTTTAAAATACTTGTATCAGTTTTTTTTTGAAGGTGTCGCGTCATACTTAGTAATTATCATTACAACACCGTCCAGATCACCCAAGAACTTTCCCGCTTCAAAATGAACTCCATTTTTAGATTTAGATTCCTGATGGTCGAAAACTCCAAAAAGCGTACAATTGCAAAAATTTTTTAAAAAATTTTAAAACACGATTTCTGAGTCACTGAATTAGCCGTGGACATAGAAAAAAATCGATTTTGAGTTTTTTGTTTTAAAATGACCGTAGGCATCCAATAAACATATGACTGAAATATTTTTGTCTAATTCTCCCATTAACATACTGTAATTTACAATTTAATGTTTTTTACAGTAATCGACTATTACTCCAAAACTACGCATCGTAAATAGTTGAAATTAAGAATACTTATGTTTTAGCACATGCTCGTCAAAGTGAATACAAAATTTTGGCACTCAGGTTACTGTAACATACCGCAATGTTGGTTCGGCCACACAAAATCGGCCATAAAAAAGTTGTTTCTGAAAACCCGCAGCTGATTTTTACATATGTTAATCAGCGTAAAATTCTGCCCTATACACATTAAAAAAAAGTTTAAAAAGTCGTGCCCCGATTTTCGTGGTGTAGTGGATTTTGGTCAAGTTTAGTATTCCGAAGGTCGCGGGTTCGATCCCGGTGGAACCAAAATCCGTAAAACCGCACAAAACTTCAAAAAATCGTGTTGAGGGGAATTGATAATATACATGCAGAGTACCAAAAACTGTATCATGGGTTATTCGCAAATTAGAAGGAATTTTTCGGAGTTAAAATTATTATTTTGGTCTTCGCGGATTCTGGCCCAAATTTAGTTAAGCAAAATGGCTAAAAATGATAATATATACCTTTTCTAGCCTTCTGAGTTCAATGCACCCAATTTTTCGGACCTAGGTTTACTGTAACATGGCGAAAACGGATTTCGGCCGCTAAAATCGGCCGTAAAACTGTTCATTGCAAGTATACGCAGCTAATTCTTCGATTTTTCGAATCAGCGTGAAATTTTGCCCCAGAATCATTGTATAATATGTCTTAGCTGACCATTTTTATTTCGCAGAAATTTTGCACTGAAGATTACATACAAATTTTTTGGTTGAAAAAAAAATTTAAAAATTTGGGTTTTTGGTCTATAAATGTGTGGATCCATCGTTTAAATTCAGATTTGAAGTATTTTTGGCTTAATCCAGAACTAATGCAGTTTTATTTACAATTTTCAAACTTGAAAGTAATTCACCACAGTGAAAAAAGTGTTTAACTGAGAAAGTCAACTTTGAGTGTCACTAGTGTGGAATTTCATGCTGATTCGAAAAATCGAAGAATTAGCTGCGTATACTCGCAATGAACAGTTTTACGGCCGATTTTAGCGGCCGAAATCCGTTTTCGCCATGTTACAGTAATCCTAGGTCCGAAAAATTGGGTGCATTGAACTCAGAAGGCTAGAAAAGGTATATATTATCATTTTTAGCCATTTTTCTTAACTAAATTTGGGCCAGAATCCGCGAAGACCAAAATAATAATTTTAACTCCGAAAAATGCCTTCTAATTTGCGAATAACCCATGATACAGTTTTTGGTACTCTGCATGTATATTATCAATTCCCCTCGACACGATTTTTTGAAGTTTTGTGCGGTTTTACAGATTTTGGTTCCACCGGGATCGAACCCGCGACCTTCGGATTACTAAACTTGACCAAAATCCACTACACCACGAAAATCGGGGCACGACTTTTTAAACTTTTTTTAAATGTTTCTAGGGCAGAATTTTACGCTGAACAACATATGTAAAAATCAGCTGCGGGTTTTCAGAAAAAAATTTTTTACGGCCGATTTTGTGCGGCCGAACCTATATTGCGGTATGTTACAGTAACCTGTATGCCGAAATTCTGTGTCTATTATGACGAGCATGCTCGGAAACATCAGTATTCTCAATTTCAGCCGCTTCCTATGCCTAGTTGTCTAGTAATGGTCGATTACTGTAAAAACATTAAATTGTAAATTACAGTAGGTTAATGAGAGAATTAGGCAAAAATATTTTGGTCATATGTTTATAGGATGCCTACAGTCAATTTAAGATCAAAAACCCAAAATCCATTTTTTTCTATGTCCGGGCCTAACTGGCGGCTGATTCAGTGGCTCAAAAATCGTGTTTTAACAATTTTACGTCGTATTTAGTAGCCATTAGCAGGATATTTTATATTTAGTGCAATATTTTCTTCGTCATCCGACAATTCGTCCACCCCAAAATTCCATCACCCGAAATTGCGATCACCCGAAAACTTTCACCCGAACCTGCACCACCCGACTCTGCGTCACCCATAATTTCAGTCACCCACTTCAGGGTCATACTGTATGAGGATCATGAAAGAGATTGTTTCAAGTTACAGTAATCTTAACACACTATTCTTTGGATCGTTGCTGTATTTTGAAAGAAAAAAGTTGTAGAATTACTATTTATTGGAAATAACCAGTTCTCTCTCGAGCACCAACATATACGATTATGAATATATTATACTTATCATTAAAAGATCCTTGTAAATAAACAGCCGCAGAGAATCAGAAGACGAGAAAAGACCCAGAGAACGAAGTGTGAGAGGAGAGTCAGAGAAAAGACGAGAGATCCATGAGACTGGCAGTGCTGCTGCACGGTGCAGCTTTCAAATATCAACTACCAAGGGGCGCATTGGACGCGGCGTTGTTTTGGGAAAAGACAGAATGAAGTGAAGAGACGATCATACAAACGAGAGAACCCCCGAGAGAACGTAAGGTGTGCGAGGAATGAGAGATTCACCATAGAAAATTTTACATGAGATAAAAAAAGTCGGACGAACCAAGGAGGACAGGGAGAGAGGGCGAGAGAAAAAGAAATTCGAAACAAAAGAGAGACGAAATAGTATTCACGGAAGAGGGGAGCGAGCGACAAAAACAAAAAAAACGCTGCGTCGGTACGGAAAAGACAGAATGGGTTTTGGTGAGAACGTTTCTCTGACGTTTTTTTTTCTGTCGCTCTGTGCAGCGACCTCGACGCGACGCTTTGGAAGAGCTAGAGTGCGAGTGCGGCCCAGGGAATTTCGGACGCTGAATGCATTTTTTCTCTTCGAATGGAAAAATAGAAAAGTTTCTACTTTTTTTATATCTCAGGGAGAACTGTCTTCGCCGACTTCGCCGTTCGGAGCGCTTTGCCTTCGCGTACGCGGGGTTTTTCTCTGCATAACGCGCCTTCTGCAGGCGTTCGGACCATATTTTTTATCCAAAAACGTCGAGCTTTACCTAGCAAAATAGTTGGTTTACTTGGTACATTATTGCAGGTGTCTGTAGGGATTTGGAACCTCACAGGCGCGGGCTTTGATGAATTTGAAGAATTTCTAGATTTACATCTTCTTGTTTTCGATTTTTGCAGTTTTTTACAGTGGAGGCCGCAAAGATGACCATAGTGGTATGAACTCTGTGGTCATTCGCTGGAGGGCTTCGAAGACGAAGTGATATTATTAAAACCGTTTTACAAGAATGAGCGAAACCCGTATGATCTATTGTCAAAGTAATTTTTTTATCCAGAATTAGAGCTTTGTATCTTTTAGGTAATATTAGGATGTCGACGTTTTTAGTTATTTTTGACGGATGGCGGGAAAACGCTGAGCCGCACGAAGGGTTTCGTTTAATAAAACCATTCTCTGATTATGGTTATTCCAACGAGTTTCGTGGTTTTATGCATATTTTTTATACTTTGTTACCTAAAATCTGAACTTTATTTTAGTCTCGACTTTCGAGTCGCTTCGAGTGGCTAGCCACCTTATTCTCCCGTTTTTGTCAACAGTTTGTGGCCCGCGAAGAGCGCGGGCCGTGTTAAGCTTTTTATTTCATTCTGTTACCTAATTTATTCAAAAACTATGGATCGACGACGTCGCACTTCAGCAACAGAACTTTATCTTAAGAGTCTCGAAGAAGCGAAGGAATTCAAGGAGAAGCGCCAACTATTCTACAACAATCTAAGATTCTTTTATAAAAGGAAGTGGTAAGGTTATTTTAAGTGTGTTGATTGCTCAATTTTAGGAACGCCAACCTTACTGTTCCCTTTATAAACGGCATTCCTGTTGATCTGTTTCTTTTATATGACACAGTCAGCAATCTTGGGGGATCCCATAGAGTAACAAGTCTCGAGAAATGGGGAGAAGTTGCCAAGGATGTCCTGGGATATGGTGAAAATTCGGCCGGAGGAGATTACTGCGCAAAATTGCTTTTTGTAAGATATCTAAGCAAGTTCGAGCAATGCGAATTAGTCGGAGACGTGGATGATAATGAACCTGAGCTGAGTTCAAGGTCACGAGTCAGAGGATACACAAGTTTTGTCTCTTCTGAATGTCCTACCAACACTACTAAGAGAAGTAAGTCATAAAAGTTATAATTTTAACCTGCTTTAGATTTGGTTGAAGACGATGGAGGTTATGATCGGATAGTGAAGGGCTTCTGCAGTCGTCTTCCCAACGAAATCGATTTCTGTGTGAATCTATGCACAATATTATCTGCCCCAGGACCTCACTCTTTGCAAATCGAGACCTTCCCTAGCATTATTAATCTATTGCTTGCTCATATTGGAATCTTTGATGAAACGTCGGAGTACCTTGAAGCTGAATTCAAAGAGTTTGAGAAGAAATTGAATAGAGACTTTGACAGATTTTGGGCATCGTTGGGGATTGTGGACCCAGAAGTTTTAAATATGTTACGCGATCCGCCTGGAAAGGAAGTGACTTCTGAAGATATTGCCGTATTCCCAGCCCTGAGACAGGTCAAAATGGGGGACAAGGAGTTCAAGATTCACGAATTGAGAGTGAATCAGGTCCTCAATATATTCAGAAACTTGTCTTTTGAAGATTTGAATCGTGTAGCGCTGGCTACATCTTCAGTTCTTGTCAGGTAAGTGTTTTAGTTTTCATTCTTCAACGGTGTTAATGCTTTTTATTGCTTTAGATTTTTGACAATATGCATTGCCTCCGACCATTATCCGTTAAGAAATGCGGCTCTGGATACTCTGGGGGAGCTTGCGAACAATGTAAGTTTTGTTATAAAGCTAAACTGATTTCTGTTTTAGGTGAATTTGACAGAAAGTTTTATGGAGAGTTATACTTATGTCGTTCTCCGGCATATAAGATCTTTCTTCTTCGCCGATGACAGATTTCTCATTGTTCGAGCTGCGGAAGCTACCGGCGGGTTTTGTAATGTAATGGATAACGAAGCCATCTTGTGTGACTTCTTCGATACCGATCTTGCAGAACGATTCAGGGATCTAATGACCATCCAAGATGTTCTTATATCCAGTCATATTTTAGAGTCGCTTTACTTGGTAAGTTCAATTATCTTTTGATCATCTGAATTCGTCGATCTATATTAATCCTCTCATTCAGATGTCTGAGACAGGAAAGACAATGTGCGATAAGATCTGTAACACCCCTCTGATGCTGCCGACCTTATTGAATTTCACTACCGTTGAAGGAAATAAATTCACATTTTCAAATCTTCAAGGAGTGAAAGTGGTAGAATATCGAGACGAGTCTGAAAGAACGCAACCACCAATGCAGCCTGTAGGATATTATTTTATGTTTTATATTTGCTGTATTTTCGTTTTAATTAACAATATTTTAGTATGCAATAAGAACACCGATTGCCACCTCGGCTCCCCAAACTCTCCAAACCCGAATTGTCTCTTCTGTTCAACAGATACCTACTACACCTTATAGGCCGCATATTGTGGTCAATTCTAAGGGAGAGTATCCTCTCCCTCTTCCCAAGACTCCTTTGACCGCCCAGCTGTCGAAGCCTGCCGAAATGAGCTCTGAATTAAGAGTGGAGCACTATTCAAAGATATGGATTCGTCAAAATTGTCAAGCTGATCCTAATGGAATGGTTGATCGTGGAGATATTTATGCCGCTTATGTTGAACACTTCCGGAATACCCATAAGATATTATCTTGTTCATTGCTTAACTTCTGTAAATTCATTAAGTAAGCGCCGTCGATATCGATCTAAACTTTTTTTTAGGGATATATTTCCTGCTGTCGACATCAAAAATAATCCAGAAACGAGGACAATGTGCATTGAGGGGATTCGCTTCCTAAGGAAAGAAGTCAGAGGTAAGATTTGGATTGTGTTTTTATATTGTTGAGGACAGGATTTAATCTCTTATCTTTTTAAAGGGACAAATCAGACAAACAAAACTACGCGAAGTCTGGAGTCCAACGAAAACATTGCCCCCGAAAAGGTAGTAAAGAAGGAGCCCTCTGATGAGGTTGGTTGTTTTCCGTGGCCTTATTTTGTTTCTAATTTCGTTTACGCTTGTTCCATTTTCAGAGGTGTAATGGTGTAGTTAACAATAAGCCCTTATGTAATGGCTTGAGTGAAGTGAAAAAAGAGGCCAACGGACAATGCAATGGATTGATCACTCCCAAAACCGAGGTTGTGGAGAATGGAAATGGGAAAGTGAACGGAATTGAACACAAGGAGAACGACGGTTTATCCGAAAAAGACTCGGATACACACGAGGAAGAACTTGAAGGCCCACATACAAGTGTGGATCATGAAGAGATTGTGGAGACCTCCGAGTCTATCGAGATCAACGGAAAGGAAGAACTTTTAGAAGATCTTGAGGAAGATCATAAGGACGGGGAAATGATCTCAGGGGAGAATAAGGAGGCGCCGACGGAGAACGGAGCCTCCAAACTTCCCGATGAGAACGGAACAGCGAAACCAGCAAAGGAACAAACTGTCAAAGAGCATCTGGAACAGAAAGAAATCCTCAACGGACTGATCAAGAAAAACAAACGGCCTTCGGATGAGGTACTCCAGAACGGAAGTCCCACCAAAAAACAAAAAACTCTGAAGAAGAAGAGCAATGGAATCGATTCCGTGATTGAAGATGGAACGGATACTCCGTCCACGTCTGCTACAATATCTCCTTCGAAGATGCCTCAGTTTATGTGCGAATGGGATGTCTGCACCCGGTACTTCCATAACGGGCAGGCGATGATTTATCACGTTCTTCATGAGCACTTGGAACAAGTTGAGCAATCATTGACGTTATGTAGATGGCCTGGTTGTGAAAGAACACCAAGATCACGGTGGTCTTTAATCACACATCTTCAAGATCATCACTGCAATGACGCTGTATTGAGCAATGCACAGAGGAAACGGAAAGAAATGGGAGAAATGAATTATATCGCCCAGATGAAGAAGTTGGTGGAGACCGAGACCCCGGCCACAAATCATGCCGGATATTCGAAATTCGCTGCTTATGATGCCATTCGAAGACATGCGTTTAATTTTATGAGCAAAGAGTTTACTGTAAGTTCATGTTTAAATAGATAAATGGTTAATTTCAGGATGAACCTGAAGGACCAGTGACAAAGAACCTCCGATTAACAAGTTGTCTTATACTTAGAAATATGGCTACCCATTCGATTGATTGTCGAAGGTAAGGGTTGATATTGTATTCTATTTTTAGCATATATATTTTATTTGATAAGGAAAGTACTTTTATGAGCGCTCTTACTTTTAGACGGGAAATATCTCAAAAAATACGTAAAATTATGCTGACTAAGAATATGTAAAAAATAGCTGCTCAATTTTGGGTTTTAGGGGTGAAAAATCAGTCGCAAGTTGACTTGACCTGTATAGACCCTTTCCGCACAATTTTCCCCATGTTTACAAATTTTATTTCAGCTTAAAGTGATGTTTCTTTTTTGGGCACGCTCGACCCTTAAACCTAAAATTGGGCTGCTAAGCTTTATATATTCTTGATCAGCACAATTTTTCGGATTTTTTAAGATATGTGTGTCCCGTCTAAAAGTAGGAGCACCCATAAAAGTACTTTCCCTGTTAGTATTATAAGGTCCTAATTGTTTGATTATAGGAAAATACGGAGATACGAAGGTTTCTTTTCTTACCTCGCTATGTCACGTATGGAAAGCAGCACGGCTGTGGCCCAACTTCTTGGTGCTCTCAACAATGTGGAAGCTTGAAATGGTCTCAACTTATGTCCTCTTACACGATGTCAAACGGTGTCTTTTCTAAGAGCTGGGACATCGGATGTCATCATATTGTATAATTAAACTACAGTGCCTTTAACTTATTATTTATTCGTCTCTTATCTGTTCCGCATACATAGTAACATTGACGTTGTTGTGAACGATCGCAGCGCCTCTCCTGTAGTCGGGTATTTGCTGAAACATTTCCAGGTTTGATTCTCCTTTACAATGGGATATTCTCGTAGCATTTGACTCCATCCATCCCTCCTATTCTTCGTTTTTGATTGTAAATACGACTACCTAATTAGTTATCCTTTTTTTGTTGTTGCTGGTCTCGGTTTCCACGGTAATGTGGCAATATATCTTTTGATTTAATTATAATAATATTACATGGTATTATAAATAGTACATTCAATTGATCGTGTTCTTGCTGAGGATAGGTACAATACCGGGATTAAACGAAATACTTTCCACAAAAGATAAAATAATTTTAAATTTGCTTTAGGAAGATGGTAGCTAGGGATCGGATCTGTTATTTTTATTACGAAGGGGTTGGAAACTTCCACTATGGGCCTCATCATCCAATGAAACCTCATCGCTTGGCTGCTTGTCACAATCTTGTCGTCAATTATGGATTAACGGAATATATGAAATGCATTCAACCAGCTAAAGCCTCAGCCCAAGACATGATGAGATTTCATTCAACAGATTACATTAACTTTTTGCAAAGAGTAACCCCATCAAACGCTGATATGTACGAGAAATACTTTGGCAAGTTTAACATTGGAGAAGATTGGTAAGTATTTCTAAATGGAGTATAATGCAACATCATTTAGCCCTGTCTTTGACGGCGTCTATGATTTCTGCTCGATGTACACAGGAGGTTCATTGGAAGGGGCCATGAGATTGAATGCCGGTGACTGTCAGATAGCCGTTAATTGGAGTGGAGGATTGCATCACGCCAAAAAATGGGAAGCCAGTGGATTTTGTTATGTAAACGACATTGTCATTGCTATTACTGAGTTATTAAAATGGCACAGTCGGTAAGAGAGCCTGTTTCATTAAAAAGCATCACCTTCACAGAGTTTTGTACATTGACATCGACATTCATCACGGCGATGGTGTAGAAGAGGCCTTCCAGTTGACCGACCGCGTGATGACTGTTTCCTTTCACAAATACGGGAATTCCTTTTTTCCGGGTACCGGCGATATGTATGATATTGGGATGGCCAGAGGGAGATATTATTCAGTTAATGTACCCATGAGAGAAGGAATGGATGACGAGGGGTACCATCAGTTATTCAAGCCTATTATTAGTGCCGTAATGGAAAATTACGACCCCTCAGCGATTGTTTTACAGTGCGGATCCGATTCCTTGGGATGTGACCGATTGGGATGCTTCAATCTTAGCTTTGATGGACATGGGTAAGATCTTCAGCGTACACTCACAATTTAAATATTTTGTGTCTTTAGGGAATGTGTGAAGTATGTGAAAGGATTTGGGAGGCCTCTTCTTGTCCTGGGAGGTGGTGGATACACATTAAGGAACGTGGCCAGATGCTGGGCCAATGAAACCGCCATTTTGGTGGACAAACGGGACGAAATCTCCAACGAAATCCCGGAAAGCTCACCTTATTTGGAGTTCTTTGCACCTGACTTTACCCTACGGCCCGAATTGGCACGGAGATGTGATAATATGAATACGAAAGAGGTAATATTCGTGTCCGTCCAAAATTGGCAGAAACCAAAATGGGGATGCCATGACGGACAGATTTATGAAATCTTTGCAAATATCCTCAACATCCTTATATCTTTGTAAAAAATGTGTACCTTATGTGAAAGTTATATTCCTTTTTATGATTTTCTTGGCATCCATTGGATGACCAATGTTTTTGTGCCAAAGAGAAAAAATTTACATTTATTTTTCAAAATTACATTTCTATCAGAAAAATGACTTTTGTAGCGATCTCATTGCCCATGAATTGACTATTTTTAGAACCAACTTAAAAAGATTTACATTTTTACTTTACAATACGGGAAAAATGTAAAAATCAAATTAAATACACATTCTTTACAAGGTGTTGGATATTTCAGAAATCTGCCCATTGTGGTTTCTGTCCATTATGAATAATAAATGCATTATGGACCGTTGCCGTAATATTGCTTAATGTAGCTGTATTTAATGTTTAAAAAATTGCAGTTCATACAAGCAATAAAACTGGAGATACTGGAGAACTTGAAGATGGTCAAGCACGCACCTTCAGTTCAAATGCAACCAGTTCCTGATGATTTATATGATTTTAAAGATTACGAAAACAAAACCATTGAGGACAGAGACCCCGAGAAAGTCTACGATGATAATAACTACTGATCTCGTGTACATATCGTGATTTATATTACTACAGTTATTAGTCTTATTTGAATAATTAAAATGTTTTAATTTTCCAGTTAAATTAGAGTTATTTTGCAAAATCGTATATTGTAATCGGTTGAAAATGCAGAGAAAGAAGCTGCCAAAAAGCTCTTCTAGCAATGTTTCTTCGAACAATAGCAGTCTTGTGAACGAAAAACGGTGTAAGTTATAATTACAATGTGATGAAAATACTGCCTTTAGTAACATCTGAACGTTCTTCCGCTCGGCGTTTCATATTCACTGTGACCATCGTATTCCTTCTGCTGGGCCTTACTTTAATCGGACTTGGCGGCGCCATCCATTACCGCGTTATCTCTTTCCAATCATCCCCATCATAACCCCCTTTTTTGAGTCCCGGCGCGATATATTTTAGGACTGTAAAAAAATAAATAAATATTTTGGAAAAATATTTCTCGAATATCTTTTTCTGTTTCAATTACAGGTTGAGTTGACGCAATGTCTGCACAGCAGGGAAAAGATGCCATCAACAAGATTCTGAAGAATTCCAAAGGAGCTGGAGCCGGACTTGGTCTCCTTGCTGTCGCCGGAGCTGGAGCATATGCTATCTCTCAGTCCATGTTCACAGGTGAGTTTGTTTCTTTCATCATTGAACATTCAAATTTTTAGTGGACGCTGGTCACAGAGCTATCATGTTCAACAGAATTGGTGGTCTGAGTGAAGATGTCTACAAAGAAGGGCTTCACTTCAGAATCCCGTGGTTTCAGTATCCGATCGTGTATGATATCCGTGCCAGACCCAACCAAGTCCGATCTCCCACTGGATCCAAGGATCTTCAGATGGTAAATATTGGCCTTCGAGTCCTCTCCAGACCTGATCCGAACTCTTTGACCAAAATCTACAGGACGTTGGGCATAAATTGGGAAGAGAGAATCCTGCCTTCCATTTGTAATGAAGTACGTTTTTGATGTGTTAGGCGATTTGTTGTCGTTCTGCACGGTTTCATGTTTTCTATTATTTTAGGTATTGAAAGGAGTTGTTGCGAAATTCAACGCGTCTCAATTGATCACACAGCGTCAGCAAGTTTCTCTTCTGGTCAGAAAAGGATTAATTGAAAGAGCATTGGACTTTAACATTATTCTTGATGATGTTGCCCTTACCGAATTGGCGTTCTCTCCGCAATACTCGGCTGCTGTTGAAGCTAAGCAAGTAGCTGCCCAAGAAGCGCAGAGAGCTTCGTTCCTGGTTGAGAAGGCCATTCAACAGCGTCAAGAGAAGATTGTACAAGCTGAGGGAGAAGCTCAAGCAGCCAAATTGGTAAGTGATATCGGTTAATGAAGGGATCGTTGAGAATCTTGACAACCTTTCGTGACAGTTTAAAGGATTGTTGTAAAACCAACGTAGATGATTTGATTGCTGGAACTAATTTAATCGCGAAATGCTGCCATTAACTTTTTAAGCAAGCAATCTACATTATATTATTTTAGCTGGGAGAATCGATGAAACAAGATCCCGGCTTTTTGAAACTTCGAAAGATCCGTGCCGCTCAGAAGATTGCCAGGAATGTGGCGTCATCTTCCAACAAGGTCTACCTCCCTTCAGATGGCCTTATGTTGAACATTGCCGATAGTGAATATCTGAATTTCAGTAAGGATAAACAACGTCGAGGATACCTGTAAACCTCATTCTCTTATATTCCAATCAGAATTAATAGGTCTTTGTTGTTTTTGTTTTGGTTTATTAAGGTATTTTGATAAATGTTTTCCATTATATACAGATAGGACTCGTCTCTAGAACTACTGGATGATTTCTCCTGATATTATGGCGTCTTTAAAGCAGGTCTTCACGTCATTTAATACAGCCCAGCAAGGGAGATAACTGGCATCAGCTTGGAAGTGGGAGTCCGGCCTCAGATTGCAGAAAGCGAGGCATTTCTCCCCTGCTGATGTTCTCTGGACATTCTTGATACGACAGCATGGAGTGTGGTCGGAGTCCTGCGCTGCGCAAGCAAACAGGTCCAAGCCATAACGTTGCGGACAAGGATCAGATCCCAAAAACATGGCTGTCAACTGCAAGAGTGGTTATAGATAGGTTAATTGTTAGTTTACAAATTTTAAGCAAACCTACAATTTTCTTATTGATGTTGTCAAAGTTACACCTTGATTCACACGACTTGGCCACCTTTTTTTCCTTACAACATTGAAGGAAGTATTTGTTAGGCTGAATGTGCTGTTCATCGTTTCTTCTGGAACTTACGTTCTTCTTAGTAGGTGACAGATGGGACACGTGGTCGTTTACTTCTGATGCTACTGTCGTTGTTAGGGTCGCAGTAGTTGTAGTAGGGGCTGGTGTTGAAGTAGTGGAGGCGGGTCGGTGTTGTTCTTGATGCCCGGTTCGATGAGTTCGGCCTTCACTCGTCGCCACAATCCGATGTTGTGGTCGTTTAGGTCGAGTTTGTTTGGCCTGGTCTACTTGTTTTGTGTTCTGGAGGATCTTAGCTCGTTCTTCATCAGGTAGGAAGCGGCTTGGAGGTGGAGGTGGGAGGTCGAACTCATAAGTGTTCGCTGAAACCACCTTGACTGCCTTCTCCAACTCAGGAGGGGTAATTTTTTCTTGAACGTTGGAGACTTGAGGTCGTTGAGGCTGGGGTCTGACGGGTTGAGGGGCAGCTTGCGGTATTTGCTGATATGTCGTTGGTTGGGGCTGCTGGTACTGTTGTACTGGTTGGGGTTGTGCTTGTTGATATTGCTGGGAGGGGGGTGGAGGGAGTTGTTGATACTGTTGCTGAGGTATGTATTGGACGGGAGGTGGCTGGGGTTGTGCCACCGGCTGATATACTTGTTGCGATGGTTGCTGGTAAACCTGTTGCTGGAACTGTGGTTGCTGTACTAATTGTTGTTGATAGGCAGGCTGTGGTCGATATAATTGCTGATAATTCTGTTGCTGATAGTAATATTGTTGTTGTTCTGGGTAGTTAACTACATAATATTGCGCACAAAGACCTGGAGAAATCGTGAGTGTTAAGGAGTTAAAGTCATCATTAACTCAGTGACTCAAAGAAACTTACCAGAAATGGCACTGAACAAGATGAACTTCGAAAGTGGAGACCTCATCTGGAGACCAAGTCTTCCGGCACGAACAGCCTGAATGAACCGTTAGTTGGAGTTACGGTAAGCGGAGGAAGAGGAACAACAATTACTTCACGCCACAGATTACGTATTAAATTAAAATTCCGGAAAAGTCAACTCAAGTGGCGGATCGGACCGCGCACTCTTAAACTTCGCGACGTGAAACGGCGGTGAGGCCGTGACTCTCACCTCAGCTCTTAATCACATCGATGAACCGCCTTTCGAAACGACTCTGGAAGACGGTGTTCATCAGCTCGAAGGTAATCTTCATTACCTTATTTGAGGGGGTGGATTCGAGGTTGAAAGAGAAGACACTGACATTTGAAGTTTTCGCTTGCTTTCCCTTAGGGTGTTTCGTCTGACTTTTCGCGAAGGGGAACTTTCGGTCGGTGGAACCCTTTGGAAAGCGATCCCTCAGCCAACCCAATCCACCTTCTCTTCCCCTCGAATCGCCGCTGGCCATTTCCATGGGATAACGACGTTTCCCTCTTTCAGACTCGTTTTCGTCGACGATGATTTGGCAGCGTTTCGAACTTTAGGGACGAACGAAATCCGCAAACTGCGCCCTGACCTCAAGAAAATAAAAATTAAAAAACTCCAAAGTACAATGTTCCCGGTTTCAGCTAGGGAAGATGTCTAACAAATATGCAGATGCAATTCGAAAAGTAATTACTGCTTATGGAAAACAAAAAAATTTCAGCAGTTTTCTGGGAAGGGTAAGATCTTGGATGTCTAATTATATTTATACCGGATATAGAAACAAAACCTTCCTTTAATTGCAGTGCAATCTGGTATCCGCTGAGAAAAACCGTGTAAAGGTTGAATTCACAGTGACCGAGGATCTGACCAACGGATGGCAAACTCTTCACGGCGGATGTACTGCAACCATGGTGGATATGGTCACAACTGCTGCGTTATATGCGACGGATGACAAAGATGTCCATCCCGGTGTTAGCGTGGATATGGCATTATCGTAAGTGGAATAGAAAAAAATTATGTTTGCCCAGGTATTATGGCCCTGCTAATTTGGGGGATACTGTAATCTTGGATGCTACAGTAATCCGAAAAGGAAGAACACTGGCATACACAAAAGCCGATCTCTATTTGAAGGGATCTCAGAAACCCATTGCTTTTGGCACTCACACGAAGGCTTTTCCACCTGTAAAACAGTAACATGAGAGCAGCAATGAGTTGTTTATTAGATAAACCCGGTATTTCTACTTTTGCCTTTCTTTGTCTTAGCTCCCAATTCAAGGCCTTTGATATATTTCTTTTGTATTCCAAGCTCATTCTGGAAGAGTTCTCCAAGGTAATTGACATGGTTTCCATGCACTAGAAGTTGGGGACCTTCACAATTAGGAACGTCTTGGTTTATACTAGCCCCTGTGGCCATTGCATTTTGAACTTTCTTGGATAGCGCTTTTGCATCAACGCCGAAGAAAGAAAAGTTGCTGACAAGAGTTACTGTCTTATTTCCACTTCGTTTTTCCACCTGTAATACAAATAATTATGTGATAAATCTATACCTTGAATTCGATGAATGGTGTTTGATTTCTTTTGATATTCTTCCTCCCGTCTTCTAGAGTCACCACAATGGTTTTAGTCATATGTGATACCAACTTTTGAACAACATCATTGACGATGACAATGGCGGGAAGGAAGTGCCTCATCAGAGTTTGTAGATTATCATCCAATTCTATGCCTTTACCATTGTTCCGGATCAGATTCTGAAGACTCTATAAAACGAATTAATGGCTTACTTACATGTTTGGTTCCATAGTTCACAACACATTCTCTGACCTGATTCTGTTGGATCACATCTCCTCTTCGGTATCCAAATGGCCCCAAGAATGGCATCACTGCTTCGGTGATGGAAAAACATTCGGAGATCCTCGGTCTCCCGATCCCTTTCGGTCCCTCTTCATCATTCGCACCTTGTAATTGCTCTGCTTGTTGTATTAGAGGATGGGAAAAGTTTATCTAAAGACTTCCTCTAATTTTAAATTATATCCCACCTCGGTGATTGAGTCGACACCTTTTTTATTGGCTACTTTTAACACTTCTCCATTGCTAAAATCGTTGACCTTCTTTAAAAAAGTGCTGAATTTTTTAAATGACGTTTTCTTGAGGTTAATGCGAACGCCCTCAGGCAGTTTTTTTAATAAATAAATGGCATAGAACTGTCCGGCGTCAATGGGCAAGATAGATGAATCCACATTGTTCTTCAGGGCCCAGAAGAAATACTTCCTCAACTATAAAATGGCTCACAATCACTTAAGATAAAGTTTGCGAGAAATCGAAGGTTCGCAACGACATTGAATTTTTAACATTGTTTTGATTTTTTAACCTCATTTTTTATCTGTTAAACGCATAGAATGCAGGTGGAAAACCATATTGGCCCATTACCGAGTTATGCCCTCCGGCAAAGATTTCGGGTGACTTCCGCACTGGGGTTTTGGTGGATGCAGGCGCTAAACTTTGGTATAGTGTTCCGTATAGCCTTTTACACCATTAGACTAAAATAGAATTTTGATAAGCATGTGTCAGTGGTGGGCCAACAGCTTGTCGGAACGTTGAGATATGAGCGGTTTTGTGAGTTTTCGTACATGCTTAGTAAACGTTTTAATTGAAAAGTTCAAGATTTTGGCACTTCGGACTAGTAGTACCAAAATTAAAGTGGTACTTGTGGAACTCCTAGTACACTCCATTTCAAAATGATAGACACGCCTATAAAATTTGCAATTGCGGTGTCGGGGTTCAGTTGACGGATACGAAACCTAAACAGGTTGAAAGAGGAGGTTTGAAAACCTACACCTACAAATCAATTTTCTCATTGCACTGTAATTGCACTTTACACAAAAGATTTTCCAAATTTTGGGTGTTTCAAAATGATAGACACGGCTGATATTTTTGCCAAAAACTTGCGAATATGGGCCCCATGGAGCTTGAAATTATTAGTATGACTGTATTGCAACTGTCTGGACTTTACTGAGCTCAAAAAGCCCAAATTTTAATGCAATTGTCCCGGAATTGCACATATACCTCCATTTTGTGCAATCTGGCCTGCATTTGTCAGAAGTCCACTTTCCATGGGCACAGACAGTGCAGAAGCGACCTATGGTATGTAATGGCGTAGATCCAGTCAGTTTTCACCGGTATGCAACACAAAAATGCGTGGCAATTGCAACAAAAACTGATTCCGCTGCGACATAGTCAGCTTTGAAGGCTACCCTACGTTTCGAAACAAGCTAGATGCGAAGAAAGACTTCTTGGCTGGAATGTTTAGGGTTTTGTAAATACGTTTAGCACGGTAGCATGTGCAGCATTGCTTCGGCGGGTCCGCAGTGCACCATTATTTTGCGAATCTATGCAGAATAGGCTTAAAAATGGGTTAAAAAGGGCTTTTTGCAAACTTGACGTTTTCTGGCGTTGGCCCGACTGAACGTGGACATAAGGATTATGTAATAACGTTTGTTTGTGGGTTTTCAAGATAGTTCAGAGCTTTTTGGGTTGTGCAAACGACAGGCACCCGCTTGAGAAGCTTTAAAAGTGACGACTTTCGCTGCGGAATCAGTTTTCGTTGCAATTTCCACGCATTTTTGTGTTGCATACCGGTGAAAACTGACTGGATCTACTCCATTACATACCATAGGTCGCTTCTGCACTGTCTGTGCCCATGGAAAGTGGACTTCTGACAAATGCAGGCCAGATTGCACAAAATGGAGGTATATGTGCAATTCCGGGACAATTGCATTAAAATTTGGGCTTTTTGAGCTCAGTAAAGTCCAGACAGTTGCAATACAGTCATACTAATAATTTCAAGCTCCATGGGGCCCATATTCGCAAGTTTTTGGCAAAAATATCAGCCGTGTCTATCATTTTGAAACACCCAAAATTTGGAAAATCTTTTGTGTAAAGTGCAATTACAGTGCAATGAGAAAATTGATTTGTAGGTGTAGGTTTTCAAACCTCCTCTTTCAACCTGTTTAGGTTTCGTATCCGTCAACTGAACCCCGACACCGCAATTGCAAATTTTATAGGCGTGTCTATCATTTTGAAATGGAGTGTACTATGGAAACAAAAGTTGACTACGGCCTTAAATACCCTATGGGCTAAATCATAAATGTAGATATGGTTCCCACCAGAGATTGCCACGGTCAAAATTTCGGCTCCGGCTCTTAGCTCCCAGTGCCGGAGCCGAGGCCAAATTTGCAGCTCCGGCTCTTGGCTCCGTGCAAAATTTAAAAAGGCCTCCGGCTCCGAATCCCGGCTCCTATGCAAAATGTTTTTTTAGAAGTATTTTTCCAAAAATAAAAGTTATTAGTGCCAGCCAACGTTTTTGCAGTCAAGTGACATCCTCCGCAGTGTTTTTTCAAGCAATTTGGTTTAACAAGATCACGAAATTTTTACTTTTCTGACCGCTGGGAAGCCTGGCTCCGACTTTGGGCTCGGGAGCCGGAGCCGACCCCAAAATTTCCGGCTCCGGCTCTGAGCGGCTCCGGAGCCGTGGCAATCTCTGGTTCCCATCAGTTAAAAATTGAACGTCGCCAGCTAAACAGGAAAAGTTTCAATTTCTCGCTAACTGTCTCTGAAAAAAACGATGTCATTAACCGCCAGTCAGGTGTGGACATAGGAAAAAAATCTTTTTTGCATTACTAAAAATGATTGTAAGCCATAAGAAAATTTAACGGGAAATTTCTTACAATAACAATTAGAATAAGTGTTATCAAACTCAAACGGTTTGAAAAAAGTTAATTTCCGTCTTCTTTTCGATATTCGCACCCAGTCGGACCCGAACTCAGCTCGCAGGATTAGTAGTCCCGGCCACTATGTCACAAAGTTTATCGCTGCTTTTTCAAAACTTTTTTTTTCGATTACTTCTAGAGTAGCATGTTACGATGATTACAAAAATCGTAAAATCGCCTGTGAAATTTTCAGAATGAAAGATTCTACCACCGTTTTTATCGGCCGATACGGCATCTTACAGATAGGAAATCGGAAAAATAATGGTTCCATTATCGATCTTTTTCTATGTCCACGGATACTGACTGCACTGAATAAGAAACCGTCTTTTAAAAAAGAGTACTTTTTCGTCGTTTTCTTCCACGCTGTCTTCGTTTTCTTCTTTTTCTTCCTTCTCTTCTACTTTCTCTTCTTCTGGTTCCTGATTTAATTGTAATACGGACTCAATCGTAGATCCCAAATCTTCTTCAACCTCATCCGTTGCTGATTGAAATATGGTCTCTAATTGAATTATGGGTGGATTTCCCTTAGCTCCCTCATCCCATAGATGATCATGGATAACATGATGAACAGTAACCCCTCGTCCTTTCATTCCACATGCTCTCATCTCTTGTGAAGACATCAGCGAGACTCCCACTGCCACAGGACCACTCACAGTCCCATGTTTTCCAGAATAAATACCAATAGAAACGGGAGAATTGACCGGGAATTCGGGGAACTTGTAATCCGGATGAATAAAAACGCCTGAAGATATAAGCCTAAACAGGTCCACCCACCAGGAAGCATTAAATCTGCACCATTTTGAATAAATTCAAATACTTGATCATGAATTAAAAGAATAGGAATGGCGGCCGGAAATTGCCACAGAAAATATAAAGTAGGGTAGATGTTAGCATCATCCGAAATGTTGAAGAAAACAGGAGTTCTTTCACAGAAGTAGACATTTACTTCTCTTTGTTGAAAGTTGATCACTTTACAGATGGAAAAAACTGCCTTGGACGGGAATTTATCGACGGAATCAGATGGAAAAGACGCAAAAAGCTTCTTCCTGTGGGAATCTTGTTTTGTTATATTGGCCCTACCTTTCAGAGTTCCTTATATTTGTATTACTCTTTACGGAAAATGGCTTTTTGAACATCTGGAAACAATTTCACCCTTAAAAAGTGTTACGGTAGTATGATTCACAACTTGCTCAAATTTTCATCCCAATAAATAAGGCAAATACCAAAAAATAAAGATTTATTTTCTACAAAACACCCGGTATTATGTGACTTGAAAGTTTAGTGTAAGATCATCGATGATTCGGTTGAAGTTGGGCCCCAATTCGTTGGAGGAACAGTTTGACTCTACCCTCCGCTTCTTGGTGATATTTCCTGTTGATATGCTTCTTCACAGCGCCTCCGTTACCGAACATGTGCGAGAATCTTATAAAAGGTTTTTTGATGAAAGCAGCATTTGCACTTTGGGCTTTACTCGGAGGAAAGAGGGAACAATACCTAACTTGAAAGTTAATTTTAGAGAGAACCACTTACCGACAAAAGAGCCCCTTATACATTGGCGAATAGACCATGGAGTTGCAATCCGTTCTTTCCGTGAAACTCGGATTCAATCTTCTGACAATCTTTTTTCCGTTTAGAATCCTAGTTTCATACGGCCATTCATGTAGCGGAGGTTTTGGAGGCGTGTAATAATTGTTAAGGAAATGCAGTCGCTGTTGAGGCATCAGTTTCTCCGGCCCGATCTTAATTGCATGACCAAAATCATCGGGATTTACTTCAGCATATCGATTGCCACAGAAAGGAATCACATTCTCCGGCAAATGTTTTGAGGTACATGGCCCGTTCATCTGCGCCAAACATGGCTGGAGAGGTATCATGCCAGAGAGATCATGTCCGTGGAAATCTAAATGAATAAAAATCATATAAATATTGTACTTACTCTGATCCCAGCTAAACTGATCCAGTTTGTCTAGGAGTTCATAAGCTGTAGGCATTAACAAGATTTCTCCACCTTCTGGCTCTCAATCCGGATATCCACAAACAACGAAAATTTACTCAAAATCTTTTTTCGAAAACCGAAATAAAAAGATTTTGGCAATTTTAAGTTTTTTGGTTTGGCAACGAAACATTTAATTGGCATTGCGCACTTATTTGCATATTTTTTGTTGAATTATTTTTGGTTTGTTACAATTAGAATCTCGATGAAAGGGAGTATGAGCTTGCTCCTTCCATTATTCTTCTTGTTTGGTACGGGATTTTGTCTTTTCGAAGATCAAATTGGAAAATGGGATTGGTAGGTTATAATGGTAACATTTAGTAACAAATTCAGGAAATTTGATGGTATTGGATGCCTTGTTGACGTTCATTGCTCAAGGAGGGCTGACGGTGGCGATATTTTAGTGGTTTCAACTGTGAAGAATGTAATTGCGTCTGTTAACCTGAATTCAGGAGGCCTAGGTAGGTTTATAACTTCGCTATGTTTCCAACTCATTGAGTTCAGTTTGGCGACAACTCAACGAAGAAAAACCACAGGCTTCTCCTCAAATTTTTGTTGACGGAAATGGTAAGTTTCGAATACTTGTGCAATTTGTTTTGTGTTAAGATGTGGTGACTCTTTTAAATGGTGGTGAATATATTCGGGTCTTTGACGTAAACACTGGTGGTCTAAAATCTCAGAAGAGACTCTCCGTCAGTAGATTGGCGTAAGTTCGGAGTTTTAATTTGAATGCGTTTGTTTTTTAGGGTAGACCATCTTGCTAAATTTGAGAATGCCATTTTTGTGCTTCTGAAAAACGAATTGAAAGCCTTCGAAGCTGGAGACTCCCCCATTTGGAGCAAAACTTTAGATGCGGATATTGAATGGAACCGGGTATTTGCTATAGGAAAGGAGATTGTGGTTATTGGAAAACAAAAAACTGGGAAATTGGTAACAAAAACATTTAGTGTAGAAGGAAATCAACTCAATTCTGATTCCAACTTTGACATTCTTTTGGATGGGTAGGTTACTTCAACCTGAGTAGTTTGAGCTCTTTGTTCATCCATAATAAGAAAGTTTAGCGTTGTGTATTCCGACCGATCGTTGGCCGTTTTGAATGGAGGTAATCTAAAGGCTGTTTTCTTCAAGAACGGTGGAGAACGGGCTGGTTTTACCTTAAAGTCTGCTGCCGGAGAACTTCAATCTCTTGGGCAAAACTTCTACTTATTAAAAAGCTCCGGTGGCTGGAATTTTGTTGAAGTTACCGAAAATGGAATTCAGGAACATCAAAAGACAAATGCTGGGGATAAGGCCACAATGACATTAAACTCAGCTCGCGAACCAATCTTTGCTGTCTACTATGAAGCTAAAAAGAAGTTAAGAATCCTGCGCAACTCCGAGACTTTTGATTTGGATATTGAGAACAAGGATCAGGCCCCGGTTCAGAAGATTGCTTTAATAAGTTCTGAAGATCGAAAACAATATCAAATTATTCTGATAAGGAAGGATTGCCGGATCGATTTCTTTGAGGGCCGAAAAACGTCCAGAATTCCTACTTTGGAATGGAGTCGGTTTGAAGGGCTGACTTCGATTAGTTCCGTCGAGATGGTTGACTTGCCCTTGTCTGATGCCCAGGCAACTATTGAATCTGAATTTAGTGCAGTTGATGGTACGTATATTTTCTTGATTGATTCTATTTTTAGCTCCCTTATGGAAGTCTTTTCTTCTTCGCATCTACGGACAGTCCGAACAGTTGAGACACACAGTTCTTTCGTTCGTCCATCGACTTTTCACATCTCTGGAAGCAGTCTCAGGAGGACGGAGCTCAGTGACTGTTGTTCTTCGGGATCTCTTTGGTCTGAATCTGATTTCATCGAGAACGCTGCATCCTGGATCCTTCATTGGGGCCGACAAAGACAAAATCGGGATGGAAAGGGATTACTTTAATCTAAGAAAGGTTGTTGTTGTAAGCACTCTGGATGGATCGGTGTATGGCATCCACAATGATCATGGGGTCATTTTGTGGTCTCTTTATCTGGGCACTCAGTTTGAACCTTTAAAGACGCAATTGGGTGAAAAGAAGGTCCCGTTGTTCCTCCAAAGGTCTACATCACATTATCAATATGATGCACAGGCGGCTGTTGTTCACAATTTGAAGGTAATTTTGTTTTATTTTTTCGAAGCTAAACGTTTATATTTTAGGGAGATAAAAAGACGCGGGTTGTGTTATTTGACCCAGTTTCTGGTGAGGTTCAGAACTCTCACACCTTTAATCAACTTCGAAGAGTTGAGTTGTCTCCGTTTGTGAATGATCAGCAGCTGAATCCGCTTCTCTTGGTGGATGTCACCGAAAAGATTCAATTCTTGCCTCCTTTACCTTCTTCATTCCAATCTATTCAATCTCTACATCTATTTAATATCCAAGTCGATGACGGTTTATTGAGTGGAGGGCGGGTTAACACAACTACAAATTCATTTGTTAACTTGTGGGAGACAAGGCTGAATCTGGGTCCGGATGAAAAGATTAAGGCTGTTCAGGGAAAGCCTCCAAATCGTAGGTTTTTTTTCTGATTCCCAACTTGACTCTTTTACTTTGTGATCTACCGTATCCTTTACAGAGAAAGTCCATAGTCAAGGAAAAGTTTTGGGCGACAGAAATGTTTTATACAAATACTCGAACCCCAATTTAATTGCGATTCTGACCGTGGACCGAGCACATACTACTCTCACATTATATCTTGTTGATGTTGTCACTGGGGAAATAATCCATGTTGCAAAGCATGATCGGGCTTATGAACCGGTTACACTATTACACTGTGAAAATTGGGTTGCGGTATGTTAATATTACGACTGACTTTGATATTGTAATGTTTTAGTACACATACTGGAACGAGAAGGCTCGGAGGACAGAGATTGGAGTGGTCGAGCTGTACGAAGGTATGGAACAAACTAATGGAAGGTACTTTAATTCATACACGGGTCTCAAGAATCCATTGGAAGTTATTTCTAAATCATTTGTTTTCCCTCAAGGAGTCAGCGCGATTGGAGCCTCCGATACTGGCAAGTTATTTTTGACGTGTGTGTGAAAAATATTTTTAGAGCTTGGCTTAACTACCAGATCTGTATTGATCGCCATGCCTTTTGGTGGTGTAATGGAAGTGTCTAGGAGGGTTCTGGATGCCAGAAGACCCTTGGAAATGACAGCTGAGCTCAGGGAAGAGATGGTTATCCCTTATATCCCCGAGATCCCTATTGCTACGGAAGATTTGATCAATTATAATCAGACCGTCCTCCAAGTCAAAGGAATCAAAACTTCGTAAGTTTTTCTTTGATTTATGAGAAAGTGAGGCCATCTGTAAAACTAATGGTAACTCTGGTTTAAATATTGAACAAATTTTAGACCGTCGGGGCTAGAATCAACTAGCTTAATGTTTGCTTATGGGTTGGACTTGTTCTACACTCGATTAACGCCTTCAGGCACTTTCGATATTCTAAAAGATGACTTTGATTACATCCTGATTTCGTTGGTAATGATTGCCCTGGTGGTAGCCAGTGTGGTGTGTAAGAGGTTATCGCGGTATCAAACTCTCAAACAGTCGTGGGCTTAAACGATTCTCACTTAAACATTCTTAATTGCCTATTTTGTAAAATTAATAAAGTTATCAGGGTATTATACTCAGTCTTTATTATTATTTTATACTAGTATCCTTCCGTGAATGCATGGGTCTTGCTCTAGTCTTACTTCAGTTTTTTGCATCATCATTGTTACCGGGGTATCACCGCACATTGTTCTTCAAATATTCCATAAGCTTCTCCTTTTTGTCATTAAATTCTTAAGTGTTAGGATGAATCGTTTACTATCTATCTATTGGGTTGCTCGCTAAGGGGCCAGTCCTAGCGAGTAAAAAATGAGGAACGTAACAATACAAAAAAATGAAACAAAATAACGGTAACTGCCTGATTATCAGAGCCGATTTAAAGATCAGCGAGGTTGGAGGAAGAAATGCGAGAACGAGATGGCTGACGGAGAATGGCGGCAGACTGGGAGGTCTGGATTCCACCACCGGGGGCAACAGAGGCGGCCGAACGACTCTTGGCACGCATCTTGGAGAGAGAGTTCTCGGCAACATCGGCACGCTCTTCGGCGTCTTCCAACTGGTGTTGGAGTTGGCGGTACTTCTGGAGGTTGGTGTTGGCAACTTCCTCCTGAAATAGGAAAATAATTATTTGAATGTGGTCATTTATTATTCGATATATCAGTCTGACGGGAAAATAGTGAGCACTATGTCGCATCAAAGTCGCATCGCCGCCGAGAAAATTAATTTTGCCACGACAAAGTCAAACTGCTTTTCACTTCAGCGACGTGGATGGCGCAGCGACACTGCGCTCACTATTTTCCCGACAGAATGATAAAAAATCATTGCTTACAGCCTCCTCAAGCTGTTTCTTCTGGGTCTTGAGTTTGTTCTGGAGTTTGTCAACGAGGTCTTGCATTCTTTCGAAGTTCTTCTTGTCTTCATCGATCTGGAATTGGAGTTCACGAACTCTGCGATCCAGTTTGCTGGCATTCTTGTTGGCATCCTGGAAGCGACGTTGCTCTCCATCCAATTCAGATTCTACTTCACGGATACGTTGTTCGAGTTTGGCAATGACCTTCTTGCCACCCTTGAGTGCAGCGGCTTCGGCCTCGTCAAGTCTGACTTGCATCTCCTTGACTTGTTGTTCAAGTCCCTTGCGGAGACGTTCGTTGTGAAGAGAGTGCTCTTGCTCTTGGCGGAGTTCTTCAGCGAGCCTTGAGGCATCAGCCATAGCCTTCTTGGATCGTTCTTCGGCAGACTTGTATTCGTTGAGTGTTTCATCGAGATCGGCCTGAAATTAGTTCATTAATCGTAGAATTACTTTCCCCTTTTATTTACTTTTGGCTGCTCCGCTTCCTCCTCTTCATCGTGGACCTCATAATAGTGGAAACTGTGATGTCTAATAGGTACTCTCCGCCTCCTCATTAGCGTAATATTACCGAAATAAATACGAGATGGACTCTGACTAAATGATCCTTGTCTTGATCAGCGCTAACAGTGAGGGGGGAGCGCGCATTTCAAAAGTAAGGGCCTCACGAAATGGATTTTTTAAAACAAATCCCAGATATTTTTACCAAAGAGCGCGCGCACTGTACGCCTACAAGAAATTAATTACTCACATGAAGGGCCTGGAGTTCACCTTCCAATTTGCGTTTCAATCCGTTGAGGGAGTTGAGTTGGGCGTTGGCCTCGTTGGCCTGTTCGCGAGCATCTTGAGCTTCATACTCCGCCTGCTTGCGAGCACGCTCAGCTTGTTCCAAAGCAACGGCAATTTCTTCGCGCTCTGATTGGAGGATGGTGGCTCTCTTTTCGGCGTTGAGGTATTGTTCACGAAGATCGTCACGGGTACGTTGTTCTTCTTCAACTTGAAGCTGCAATTCGCGGATTTGTTCTTGATGACGTTTCAAGTTCTTCTGTGCATCAGCATTGGCCTTGTTGGCATGATCGAGAGCAATTTCGAGTTCATTGATGTCAGATTCCAACTTCTTCTTTACGCGCAACAACTCAGCCTTGCCTCGGGCTTCGCTTTCCAAGGAAGCTTGCATTGAGTCCATGGCGCGTTGGTGGTTCTTTCTGGTGTTTTCGAATTCCTCTTCTTTCTCTTGGATTCTCTTTTCGATTTCGGAACGAATTTGAGACACTTCGACTTGGGCACGGAGAACTTTCGATTCTTCGGCCTCAAGGGCTGCCTCAGCCTCGTCGAGAGCATGTTGGAGCTCTTCTTTCTCGATCTCGAGTCGACGGATGATCTTTTGCATCTCGTGGACAGAACGTCCGCCCTCTCCAAGCTGGTCAGTGAGGTCCTTGATCTCCTGCGCAAGGTTCTTGTTCTCACGGCGGAGACCTTCAACGACTTCTTGAAGTTCCTCTTGCGAGTTCTTGGCACGGAAGAGTTCGGTGGCGGCATTACGGCTGTCACGTTGAGCTGCATCAAGCTCTGCGTTGAGGTCGTCCACCTTGTGTTTCCATTCGTCGATGATCTTGTCGAAGCCCTTCTGTTTCTTTTCCATCTGGGCGGCGAAGGAGTTGGCGCGTTCAACATCAACCTGAGCATCGTCCAAGTCGTTGCAGAGACGAGAGCGAGTTTTGTCAAGGTTAGCAATCTTGGAGTTGGCAGCATCAAGGGCTTCCTGAAGTTCGTTGATCTTCTGTTGTTGACGCTTCTTGGCATCTTCCAATTCGTCGGCCTTGAGGATACCTTCTCCCTCGAAACGGGTCTTCCATTGTTGGATTTCGGCGTTGGCTTTACTCAACTGACGGAGAACCTCGTTCTTAGATTCAATCTCGTCTTCCAGGGATTCCTGAAGTTGTTCCAATTCGTGTTGATAGTTTTTGGCAGATGCAGCGGCGGCCTGGCGTTCGCGGGCTTCTTCGTCGGCGGTGCGGCGAGCCTCTTCCAGCTGGCTGGTGAGTTGAGACTTCAGACGGGAAAGGTTGTTGACCTGAGACTCGGCTTCTTCCAATTGACGGCTAAGGTCGCCGTTTTCATTGTGCAGACGCCCCTTAAGAGAAGTGAAGTCTTGCAGCAAACGAGATTGCTCATCGCACTTGGCTTGAAGTTCTCCCAATTGAAGTTCAAATTGCTTGGCTACTTTCTCGCTGTTTAAACGGCCAGAGCTTTCAGAGTCTATCTGACTTTGGAGATCTTCCAACTCGTGTTGGATTTGTTGACGATCCTTCTCGGCCTTCTGCTTCTGTTTTTGAAGCTGTTCAAGTTGGTCGCTTAATTCGGCAACAGCGTCGGTGTGCTTTTTACGGAGAGATCCTAGTTGAGTTTCGTGGTTGAGGTTAGCCTCTTCGAGATCGCGGCGAAGTTTGGCTAACTCAGCTTCACGCTTCTTGTTAACCTCAACTTGGGCGGCAGTAGCGCCACCTTGTTCGTCAAGACGCTCGGAGAGTTCTTCCAACTCACGTTGGAGTTCGGACTTAGTGCGGTCAGCCTTCGAGCGGGCACCACGTTCGCTCTCAATCTCCTCTTCAAGCTCACCGATGCGGGCTTGCTGTTCCTTGATCTGGCGTTGGAGTTTGCCGACCAGGGACTGTTCATCCTCGAGTTTGGAGGAGACAGAGTGAAGTTCGGCCTCCTTTCTCTTAAGGTTGTTCTCAACATCGGTCTTCTGCTTGGAGACCTCGTCAATGTTTTCTTGAGCAATCTTCAGCTCTCCTTCAACCTTTCTCTTCTGCTTTTCGATCTCAGCACGAGAACGCTTTTCGCGTTCGAGAGTGTCCTCGAGGTCGTCAAGGTTTTGTTCCAGCTTTGTCTTCAGTTTGTTGGTGTGGTTGGTCTTGTCTTCTTCGGATTGAAGGTCCTCTTGGAGCTTACGGTTGATCTCCTCTTGATGCTTCTTCTCCTTGTTTAGCTTAGCAATGTTCTCATCTTGTTGTTGCATCTCATCTTGAAGGGAACGGATCTGGTGGTCCTTGGACTGTTTCTCCGATTCAGATTTGCGCAGAGAAAGTTCGAGATCCTGGATCTGCTTCTTCAAGTTTTCGAGCTCGCTCTCGACCTTCTTCTTGGCTCGAGATAAGTCAGCGTTACGGTCTTCTTCATCACCCAATCGGTCATTCAGTTCGCTGAGTTGACGGTCCAGGTCTCCCTTCTGGCTGGTGAGCTTGGAGAGCTTGTCTTCAGACTCAGAAAGTTGGGTCTTGGTAGTTTCCAAGTTAGTGAAGAGTTGATTCTTCTCCTCAACAAGTTTGGCTCCTTGGTCTTCGGCTTCCTTGCGGAGTTGTTGTTCCTTGGCCAAGGCGTCTTCCAATTCCTTCATTTTTTCGCCGAGTTTTTCCATCTCTTCGGCTTCCTTTCCAGCCTTCAACATGGGCTTTACTTTACCGTACAACTTGAACCATTCCCATGTACGCAGAGTACACCATGAACGGATGTTCCGTTGGAGGATGAGGAGACCAGCGCGCTGTTGCATACGGCGACGACGGTCAGCCAAACCGAGGTACCAACGAATGGTAGCTTGGAATCCGGTCATGATTTGTCCCAATTTCTCATCACGAAGATCTTCAAGAGCGGCCAAGACTCCAGCCTTGAAGAACACCTTGGTGAGACCGACACGGAAGTTCTCTTCAGTCAGTTTTCCTTCATTGACAAGTTGTTGAAGGATGGCTTCGGCAGCCTTCTTCGGGTCTTCAGAGGACTTGGCGGCGTCAGCAGCAAGGACTGAGTAACGCTGACGGAAGTCAGCATGGACGGTTCTGTTGGGGAAACCTTTTCGGCAAATACGGATACCTTCCAGCACACCGTTACAGGTCAGCTGGTTGAGCACCAAAGAAGCATCGATCACACCAGACTGCTTCTTCTCGTTGGGGATAATACAACGGATGAAGTGAGGGTGAGTGGAGTGCAACATGGTCATCAGCTTGTTCAGAGACTCTCTGTACATCATGGAGACAGTCATGAAAGATCCAGACTTTCCCTTCTTCTTTCCGCCGCCGCCACCACCGCCTTCCTTGGCCTTAACAGCGGCTTCTTCTTGAGTGGTGTAGTCCTTCCAGACTTCCAATAAGAGAGCGTTGGCTTGAGAAGCCTTCATAACAGAGACCACGGTGTCGTTGAGAGGGTCCTTGTTCTTCTCCAACCAGTTGGTGACGTTGTAACGCACGGTTCCAGCATAATGTCGCATGGCAAAGTGAGCATCTCCTTGCTTACCCTTTGGTGGTTTGGGCTTTTCAAAGTTGGGGTGTTTGCCCAAATGTTGATCAAGCAATTTCTGAGCAAGGGTCAAATCAGTGGCTTTGGGTACAATACATTCTTCATCCAACATGGAGATGATACCCATGGGCTAAAATTAAATCTAACCTGGTGCTTTGACTATCCTACCTTTTCAATAAGTTCGATACAAGCTTGCAAGTCAAGACCGAAATCGATGAAGGTCCATTGGATACCTTCACGGGCGTACTCTTCCTGCTCGAGGACAAACATGTGGTGATTGAAGAACTGTTGCAACTTTTCGTTTACGAAGTTGATCCACAGTTGTTCAAAACTATTGAAATCAAAGATCTCGAAACCGGCGATATCCAATACACCGATAAAGTGATCACGAGATAGACCCTTCTGGTCAAGAGTCATGTTGCACTTGGCTACCAACCAGTGGAACACGCGAGCATAGAGACCCTTGGACATGGCTCCAATTCCCCAGTTGACCTGTTCCATGTTCTGACCCTTGGATACCCACTCAGTACCGACCTTGACGCGAGGCTTGGTCAGGGCCTTCAAGAACACTTCGGTATCAATGCCGTACATTGCTGCGGCCTTTTCGGCTTCATCGGTTCCATCAGGCTCGGCTTGTTCTTCACGTGGGCGCTGTTTGAACTTCATGTTACCCATATGCATGATACCAGACATCAGTTTGTAACAGTCCAACTTCTCATCAGCACTGAAGTTGAGGACATCGAAGGCTTCATCAGTCAGTTGATGCTCTTCCTTATCATCAATACCGTCGATGGTCAACTCGGCTTGAGCGATGAACCAGTAGTCCTTGACTGGTTTGTCGAGTTGAAGGGTCTTGATCAGCTCGGGTTTGAAACCGGAGAAGATTTGGTAGAAGATGTGATAACAACGTTCTCCTGGGGCTTGACGGATGACACGAGACTTCTCAAGAAGATCTGTTAAAAATTTTATTACTTTTAAAATAAGTGATAACTTACAGTGCTCAATGTCACAAGAAGCGACGCGGCCGGCTCTGTTGAAGTGAATTCGGATGAATTTACCGAAACGGGAAGAGTTGTTGTTTCGGACCGTCTTGGCGTTACCGAAGGCTTCCAACACAGGGTTGGTCTGGACGATCTGGTCCTCAAGAGTAACACGCTTGGTATCAACCTGGGTGACAACACCGGCCTTGGCATCGGCAGCCTCTTGCTGAGAGGCACCGACGGCAGCGAAGTAGGCAATAACCTTCTTGGTATTCTCGGTCTTTCCGGCTCCAGATTCGCCGGTAATAAGCATGGACTGGTTCTCGTGGTCTTGCAACATGTTACGGTAGGCCTCATCGGAGACGGCGAAGAGATGTGGAGGCATCTCATTACGACGTTTACCCATGAACATGCGAGCAACCGAATCGGTGTAGATGGGAAGTCTCTTATAGGGGTTAATGACGACACAGAAGAGACCGGAGTAGGTCTGAAAGACGACTTCAAGAAATAGTGAGATTACTTACGTAGATGAGCAAGACAGCGTAACGGGATCTCAAGTTTCCCAAGACAGAAGCGTCGTTCAAGAAGGTCAAGTTGGACATGTCCTCGGTCTTCTCGAACTTAGGAGGGTTCATTTCCTGGACCAACTCTTTCTTCATAGTTTGTTCGTTACCCTTGCTGGTGACGACAGTGATGTCATCTCCTGCGGTGCTCTTGATCTCAGCGGCTACGTAGCCCTCCTCGGGATCGGGGACCCAGCAGTTCTTCTTGGAGTCATAGGGCTTGGATTGTTCCTAAAGGTGGTCAAGTGGAAAATACGAAATATATAACTCAGACCAGCTACCCGCAATGACATACCTGAAGCATAACTTCGCGGGAAAGGCGCAAATATTGCCACCCTGGATCATTTTCGTGGTCCATGATGATGGCTTAATTTTTATCCAACTGAATAGATGGATATGGTAGGGTCTCTGTAACAAGGACAGAGATGAGACCGACGGCGAGCACTGGCCTTTTCGACGTCGAGAGTGAAGATTCCGGCGTTGGATTGGGCTTGATCCCGAAGGAGGGTGGGGACACAAGTGAGGGGTGTCATCCTCTGTCTCTGCATTCTCAACGTCTCTTTCATGCCGCAATCAGTTTTTTTTTCGTATGTTTGTGCCTGCTGTTCTTGTTTCGGCCTCAAGGCGTTTGTCCCATCGGGTCTCGGCAGACATTCGGAGACCTGTCAAGGCCTGACTCCGCCCCCGGCAGTGTCGCAGATACTGTAACGGTTTGATCTTTCAACAGGTGGCTTCTTCAGCAGACGTATACCGCCGTTCATGACTGACATCCGCCGAATCTTTAGTTTTTTGCACTTTCATCTAAAGGATGATTTGCATGTGAAAGTGGACTGTGAGAAAAGAACAAATGTTCCGTGAACCGGGGACAGGAGTTCGTGACGGACTGGCAGCCAGCTATTGTTTATAGTTTAGAGGCATTTTGTGATCTGATACGAAGATTTAGGCAATTACACCGACTTCCGAAAGGATGCCTTGAATAGTTCAGTCTTGCAGATTCAAGGTATCAGAAGTTATGGACTACTAAAAGTTGGTCGCCAGTAAATTCCTTTCTTTTAATTTGAAATACATTATGGAGTTATCGGTGCATATGTCACTAATCAAAGCCTGTGGGTTTCCTTGTCTCCGCACATATGGCACTCTCCCACTGACGAGTGGGACGATCGGTTTGCCCACATGCCGTGAAATTCAAGTAGCCGCTTTACAACCCAAACTTAAACAAGTTCTGTGGTTAAGATAAGAAGACCCCCCAATCACCCACGCACTTTGCATCCCGGCTTGTTTTTCCAACTGTTTTCCCCTTTTTCCGTAAGAACCGTCTCGGCACAGACAATTGGCGAACATTTGGCCTGCACAAAGAACCGAGAGAATGGATTGGACACATTAACTCGGCGGAACACCGGACGCAAAGTCAAAGATAAATATCGGGGGTCACAAAAAATACATATTTGCAAACAAAGGACAACTCCCAAATTTCTTGTTAATTTTACTTTTTCTTATGATGTCGAAATGACACTCAGTTTTGGAGTTCTTTATTCAATCCTTTGTGCATTTGCGCTTGGTAATCAAAATATAAAACTAAAATCTAAAAAAATGCTAGTTTAGCCAGATGTCTCCCAGCCTACCATGATTACAAACGCGATGTCAAAAGCCAAAACAGCTGAAACGTTATCGAAAAAAATCGCTGGGTTTATTGTAATTAATATTCAATTACATTTTGGAGGGCTGACCTTTCTGCATTTGCACTAAAAATTTTTTGAGTGATACGGTAATACTAGACACGGCCCCTTGACGGTTTCAAGGGACCGACGGGCTTAAACGCGTCACTTGTTTTTCAAGCCCGTTCTAAATCCCGGATTCTCGTCTCGATGTCTCTTTCCGATCAATCAGTAAGCGAACGATGAGTCCCGACGTTATCCCTCCGGCTGTCCGAGTCTGGGACATAAGCGACAGTCCCCTCCTGATCAAGAATTTATTTTTTTCTCAAAAAAAACAATTTAAGAAGATAAACTAATGTCTGAGGAAGCAATGATAAACCATTATTTGCGATGCTGACTTGATATGGTATCGCTGAGAGTGAGCTCAATTAAATGACATCATCTTAGAATTGGCCTTGGGTAGCTGAACGACGAATTCCGTTAACTTCGCCGCCATTTATGGGCTGGGTGGCTGAGGGAGTAAGACCGGGACGGCCTCGGAATTTGGTCTTGATACGTACAAGACTGTTCTCGGCCTCATCAGCTCTTTCCTCAGCGTGGTCCAAAGCAATTTGGATCTGACGATACTTCTGGAGATTCATGCCGGCAACCTCTTCCTGAAATCAACCAGATTGTCGGGATAATTAAAATACTAAATCACAAACATAAGATTACAAACTATTTCCTCGAATTAGATTAATGTCGGGAGCAAGTTTTTCATAACACAATAAAAATTTGATTCCTTACAGCCTCTTCCAACTGCTTTTTATGAGTCTTGATCTTCGACTGGAGTTTTTCGATGAGCTCTTGCATTTTCGCAGCGCTCTTTTTCTGCTCTTCAAGTTCGAATTTTCGTTCTCTGACATCGCGATCATACTTGGCCAATTGTTTCTGGACTTCCTTGTGTCTCTTCTGTTCCGAATCCAGCTCTCTTTCACGCAGACGGACATTCTGTTCAAGCTTTTCAATGGTTCGTTGACTAACCCTCAGGGCACCTTGTTCGGCTTCTTCGAGTTTGGCTTGTAACTCCTTAAAATTATATGTACATTATACACATTATACTGTAACCCTAAATCCTACATTACAACATTATTCCGTGTTGAAAAAATCTACAGTAATTTATATAAAAGATGTCATGCGGACAGACATTTCTAAACGATTTCTAGAAAAAGGATTTTTATTTGTTGACTGACCTTAATTTGGAGCTCGAGGCCTTTTCGGAGCCTGTCTAAATGTTCATAATGGGCTTGTTCTTGTCGAAGCTCTTCAGTCAGTCGAGTAACATCACCGTTCACCTTTTTAAAGGTTTCCTCGGTATGTTTCAGATCCGAGATGGCCTTGTCCAATTCACTCTGAATTTTGTTTAGAGGTTAGTTGTTTGCCTTACCTTAACGATTTGGATCTCATTCTCAGCCTGCCGTTTAACTGCAGCCAGTTGGAGATTTTCATTTTGGGCTTCAGCTCGAATGCTTCTTTGCTCGTTGACATCCGCGTCCAACTTGGCTTTCTGCTGTTCTAAAGCTTGTTTATGAACGGCCTGTTCGTCCTTTTCGGTAAGAACCGTAAGCAACTTCTTCTCAGCAATCAAGAAGTTCTCCCTGAACTCCTCTCTCTGGCGTTGTTCCTCTTCCAACTGAGCTTGCAATTCCTGAACTTGGGAGATCAGCTTCTTTAGACTCTTTTGGGCTTCTAGGTTTTGTTTGTTGGCAACATCCAGAGCAAGTTCGCGTTCATGGATATCTGTTTCCAACTTCTTCTTGGCTTGCAATAGTTGATTTTTACCCTTTGATTCTGTTTCCAGTGAAGTTTGAATAGATTCCATGGCACGTTGGTGGTTTTTCAGAGTATTCTCAAAGTCCTCTTCTTTTTCTTGAATTCTTCTGTCGATTTCAGCTCTGATCTGTGAGACCTCAGTTTGTAACCTTAGGACCTTGCTCTCTTCCACTTCCAAGGCACTTTCAGTTTCGTCCAAGTTGTGTTGGATCTCCTCTTTCTCCATCTCATAGAGCCTGACCTTCTTTCCAACATCGTGCGCTTGCCTGTTAGACGCTCCAATTTGTTCGTTGAGGTCCTTGATTTCATTGTTGAGGTTCTTGTTTTCTCGTCTCAAGTCATCAACTTGTTCAGTAAGGGACGTAGAAGCGGTTTGAAGGCTGTACACGTCAGCTGCGCTTCTTCTGGCCTCTTGCTGAGCTCGTTCAGTTTCTTGGGCGAGCTCGTCGCATTGGCGTCTCCAATCCTCGATGATTCTGTCGAAGGAAAGTTGTTTCTTCTCGAGTTGAGCGATCAGACCACGGTTTCTTTCCATGTCAGATCGGGCATCTTCAGCTTCTTGAATCTAAACAAAAAAAATGTGAAGAAATATCTTAGCCAGCATTTTACAACTTACCAGACGTGAGTTGGCCTTTTCAATAGTAATGATTTTGTTGTTGACGTCTTGCAGAGTGTCTTGGACTTCGAGTTTCTTGTTACCCCGTCGTCTACGGTCTTCTTCCATCTCATCAGCAGCTATCAATCCTTCACCTTCAAACTTTGCCTTCCATTGCTGTGATTCGGCCTTGGCTTTGCTCAACTGTCTCAAGAGTTCTTCTTTCTGTTGAGCCTCATCTTCGATGCAGTCGTGAATATGTTCAATTTCGTGCTCAAGGTTCTTTACGGTGGCACTTAGGGCCTGGCGTTCTTGGTGTTCTTCATCCACAGTTCTTTTGGCATCTTCTAGTTGGGCTAAACATTGGGCCTTTCGTTTGCTCAAGGCGGTCAGTTGTGTATCGTAATCCTCAATTTGTTGCTCCATATCGGCATTCTCTGCTTGGAGACGAGATCTTGTTGCGGTGTAATCCTAAAATTTAGGCCTAGGGGTTTTTTTTTCATCCTACCTGAATAAGCCTATGCTGCTCATCACATCGACTTTGAAGTTCAGCGACCTGTCCTTCGTACATCTTAGCCAGTCTTTCTTGTTCCGACTTGTTCTTGGTCTCTTCATTAACTTGAGATGTGACATCGTCGAGTTGTCTGCGCACCGCATCCTTGTCCTTATCGATCTTAGCCTTTGAATTCTGCATATTCTCCAGACGTTCGCTGAGATTGGATATGTCGTCAGCGTTCTTCTTTCTCATTAATGCCAGTTGGGCTTCATGATTTTGGTTTGCCTGTTCCAATTCTTGTCTCAAACGAATAAGCTCGAGCTCTTTCTTCTTGTTCAGTTCGATTTGAGCTGTTGTTTTTCCGTTTTCATCGTCTAAGGAATCGTTTATGTCTTCCAACATCATCTGAATGGCGCCTTTGCTCTTGTCACTCTTGGCGCGGTGATGACGCTCAGAGTCCAATTCCTCTTCCAACTCGATGATCTTTGCTGCTTGGTCTTTTAGTTGACGGTTCAATCTGGCTACTTGTCCCTGTTCGTCATCTAATTTTTGGTTGAGTTCACGGAGCTCTTCCTCGGTCGTTTGAAGTTTACTCTCGATCTCGGCCTTTCTTCTGCTTATTTCATCGATTGTTTCTTCAGTCGCGGCCAATTCATTCTCAGCCTTCTTGCGTCCCTTGTCCAAGTCCATGCGATGTCTACGTTCTCGCTCCAAGGTGTCTTCTATGTCTTCAATACTTCTTTCAATCTTCACCTTGCTTCGGTTTGACTGACTGTTCTTTTCTTCCTCTGCTTGAAGAGTTTCAGCCATGGCACGGTTCTCTTCTTCATTTCTTTTCTTTTCTCTATTAATTGCCGCTATTGCTTCATCCTGCTTGGCCATGGCTTCGTGAAGGGCCTTTATTTTCTCTTCGCGTTCATGCTTCTCTTCCTCGATCTTCTGTTGACTAGCCTCCAAACTGGCGATCTGCTCATTCATATTTTGCTTGTCTTTCTCTACTCTTTTAACTTGACGCTGGATCTCTTCAGTTCTGGCTTCTTGATCTGCCAAACGATCTTTCAAGTCGTTAGCTGCACGTTCTAATTCCGCCTTAGCTGCGGACAATGAACTGATCTTGTCTTCGATAGCGGCTCCACCACTTTTTGATAGTTCCATCTCTTCCAAGAGCTTGGCTCTTTCTTCAGCGAACTTCTTATGTTCAGCTTCAACCTTTTTCCGGGCTTCTTCCTCAGCCTTCAGCTTTTCTGCCATAGCAGCCAATTCTTTTTGGGCCTTTTCCATTTCCTCTGCAATCTTGTTGCCCTTTAACATCGGGCGGACAAAGCCATAGACTTTGTACCATTCCCAGCTTCTAAGGACAGACCAAGATCTAATGTTCTTTTGAAGGACCAAGTATGCATCAGCTTGATGTTTGCGCTTCCCATATTCAACCTGAAACCGAAAATTGAAAAGGTAAAAATTTATAGTTAACTGAATTGATTGAACTCACCAATGCAAAATAGGCTCTACAGTAGGCTTGAATGCCAGAGATAAGTTCATTCATTCGTTCGTCACGGATATCTTCCATCTTAGCTAAGATACCAGCCTTGAAGAAGACCTTAGTGTGCCCAACCCTGAATTCATCAGCTTCCATCTTCTTCAAACTAACTAGTTTCTGGAGGATCGCATTTGCTGATTCTTTAGGTTCTTTATGTTCTCGGGCTTCCTTTCCGGCGAGAACCGAGTATCGAAGACAGAAGTCAACATGGGAAGACCTGTTGGGGAAGCCTTTACGGCAAATACGGATACCCTCCAACACCCCGTTACAGGTCAATTGGTTGAGGACAAGAGATGCATCAATCACACCTGATTGTTTCTTTTCATTGGGGATGATGCAACGGATGAAATGGGGATGAGTAGTGTGCAGCATTGTCATCAGCTTGTTCAGAGATTCCCTGTACATCATGGAGACAGTCATGAAAGATCCAGATTTTCCCTTCTTTTTTCCACCGGACTTCTGCGCAACAACGGCTTCTTCTTGGGTTTGATAGTCAGACCAGATTGTGTTCAAGAGTTTTCGTTCTTTGGAGCTTTTAAATACGGCCACCATAGTATCATTCAAAGGATCTTTGTTCTTCTCCAACCAGTTTGACACGTTGTATCTTACAGTGCCTGCATAATGGCGCATGGCAAAATGAGCTTCAGCTTGTTTTCCCTTTGGCGGCTTCGGCTTCTCGAAGTTGGGATGTTTTCCAAGATGTTGCTCTAGCAATTTTTGCGCCAACGTTTGGTCGCTGGCTTTGGGGACAATACACTCTTCATCCAACATGGAGATGATACCCATGGGCTAAAATTAAATTTAACCTGGTTCTTTGACTATCCTACCTTTTCAATCAGTTCGATACAAGCTTGCAAGTCAAGACCGAAATCGATGAAGGTCCATTGGATACCTTCACGGGCGTACTCTTCCTGCTCGAGGACAAACATGTGGTGATTGAAGAACTGTTGCAACTTTTCGTTTACGAAGTTGATCCACAGTTGTTCAAAACTGTTGAAATCAAAGATCTCGAAACCGGCGATATCCAATACACCGATGAAGTAATCACGGGATAGGCCTTTCTGGTCAAGAGTCATGTTACATTTGGTAACTAGCCAATGGAATACACGGGCGTAAAGACCCTTGACCATAGCACCAATCGACCAGTTGACTTGTTCTACAGACTGGCCCTTGGCCACCCACTCTGTGCCGACTCTGACTCTGGGTTTGATCATAGCATTCAACATTTCATCCGGATTAACTCCGAACATCTCGGCGGCGTATCCGGCTTCTTCGGTCTCATCTACTTCAGCTTGTTCTTCACGTGGGCGTTGTTTGAACTTCATGTTACCCATATGCATGATACCAGACATCAATTTGTAGCAGTCCAACTTCTCTTCCGCGTTAAAGTTGAGGACATCAAAAGCTTCGTCGGTCAAAGCAAACTCTTCCGTATCGTTCATTCCATCGATGGTTAACTCAGCTTGGGCAACAAACCAATATTCTGGGAGAGGCTTCGTAAATTTCAAAATATCTTTGAGCTCAGGTTTATGATCGGAGAAGATTTGGTAGAAGATGTGATAACAACGTTCTCCTGGGGCTTGACGAATGACACGAGACTTCTCAAGAAGGTCTAAACAACTCAGGTTAGAACAAAGACGCTTCGTTTGAGGAGTAGAAAGAAGAATGCTTACAATGTTCGATGTCACAAGAGGCCACTCTTCCGACTTTGTTGAAGTGAATTCGGATGAATTTACCGAAACGGGAAGAGTTGTTGTTTCGGACCGTCTTGGCGTTACCGAAGGCTTCCAACACAGGGTTGGTCTGGACGATCTGATCCTCCAGAGTGACCTTCTTTCCTCCGTCATCAGCTTTGGGGGCAATACCCAAGGCTTCAGCTTGAGCGGCACCCACAGAAGCGAAGTAAGAGATTACCTTCTTGGTATTCTCGGTCTTTCCTGCTCCAGATTCACCGGTAATGAGCATAGACTGGTTCTCGTGATTTTGTAACATGTTACGGTAGGCCTCATCAGAAACGGCGAACAGATGGGGAGGCATCTCATTCCTCCTTTTGCCCATGAACAGTCTGGCCATCGAGTCCGTGTAGATGGGAAGTCTTTTGTAGGGATTGATGACGACACAGAATAATCCAGAATAAGTCTGAAAGGAGTTGTATTTTTTGAACTTTTCCTTACATAGATCAACATTGTTGCGTAGCGTGACCTCAGGTTATGCAAAACGGAAGCATCATTCAAAAATGACAAATTGGACATGTCTTCGTTCATCTCGAATTTGGATGGATTCATTTCTTGCAAGAGGTCCTTCTTAACTGTTCTCTGAAAGCATTTGATCAATAAAGTTTTAATAACTTACATCAGCTCCATTGACAGTAACGGTGACATTGTCCCCCTTGGTCTCTTTGACGACGGCGGCAACGTAGCCTTCCTCGGCGTCAGGAACCCAGAAATCTTTCTTGGAATCATAGGGCTTGCTTTGGAACTGAAAATCACAAAAACGATATACGATTATAACGCTAGGATATCACTAACACAATGTTTAAGCAATTACCTCAAGCAATTTCTCTCGGGAATGGCGGAGATATTGCCATCCGGGATCTTTTTCGTACTCGTTAAGCATTTGGCGGTGGTAACGAGTAAAAGCGCGACAACAAACGGCCTCCGACCGTGCTGACTGTGATCAGTCTTGAGAGAGATCCTTTCTCCAAAACACAAAAGCGTCAAATCCTTGGCCCGTTTCCTGGGATCAACCGAGAGAAGTGGGCGTCAGGAATGCGCGACTTTCACTTATCCATCCACCTATCTCTCGAGACCATGGATGCAATTAGCACGGCCAGAGAGAAAGTTAAACAAGCAAATGCAAACAAAACTTGAAATTCAGAGATAAAACAAAGCTGGAAGTCTTTTTATCATGGTGCTATCACAGGCGAGAAACAATATATATCAATAAGTTATGTCATCTTATATAAATTCAGATGGTTGTCGTGCTAGGCTGGGCGGCCGGCTGGGATTGTCTGCTCAAGAACTGAAGACATCATATTAACCATGGTCCGAAAACTCTCGTAATACAAAATAAACAAACGTAAACGAACTTAAAATAAATCTTACCGAGAAAAAAGCCATCTTAGTGAAATAATTGGTCATTTCAGTAGTGTTATTCCATTTACATCGCAAATATCCATACAAATTGGCCAAATTCATTGAACATCCGAGAACAGCGACCACCATCCACTCGAATTTCAATGTCATGAATGCAGTGAAGACAAAGAGAATCCACAAAGCGGGACCGGCCACCAAGCTCATCCAGAAAATGTATCTTTCACTTGGATCAAAACGACTTGGATCCTTCGCCGATTCGAACCTCCAGTGATTTTTTCCCTCGGCATCCACGAAATTCCACCATCTAAGTCCAACCAGTAAACGACCGGATATATTTTTAACAGTCCAAAAATCGGCGGAAAGAAGAAGTAACTAAAAAAACTTCTCTTTTTAGCATCAAGCACTTACAAGGATCAAAAATTGGACAATAAAAGAGCTCGAGAAGAAATTGGCGAAGAAATAAAATAACAACGCTGCTCCTCTGAATCCCACATGGGCAAGGACCACCATAGGATGTCTAAATATGGAATATTAACCGTTAGAAGAACGTTCGACATACCTAAGAGCTCTAAACCCTGAAATCGGGGGTTGTGCACCAAAAGCAACATTTCCATCAAAATGTTGCGCCATACCTAAAGCTAAGATAATAAAAATAAATACCGAAAATGATATAATTGGTGCCAATACCAGGGAAATCATAGGTACTAAAGAACAAATATAACTCTTTTATAATCATAACAACTAAATGACAAGTCTAGAGGCTTGTTGCCTCAAAATCCTGGCTTCCTCGGGAAGAGTCATTATATATAATCCGTAATTATCAGCAAAATATTTGATGTCATCTATCATACGTTCGAGAACAAAGGGACTTTTGGATTCTTCCATCATTAGACTCTTCGAGTATGGACAATCTCTCATTGCAACTGGATACATCTAAAAATAATAACAATATGAATTTGCCTCCAACTTACTGATTCAAATTTGAAAGTCTTATTATTTTCATGTTGATAATTCAAGAAGAACTTCCACATAAAGGAATCGGGAACACCGCGTTTGGACAGAAAACTGATGGATTCATCGAAGAACTTCCTAAACCAAGTGTCCAGACCATCCACAACTACTTCATCATCGTTCTCCTTTGCTTTCTGAAGTCGTCTGTAGACCGCCGCGATTCTGCACAACAATCTGGCATTTCTTTTTAAGTCATCTAAAAATAAAAATCCCTTACCAAGGAGATCTACTTACTTTTTTCGTTAAGTTTAATCAAACTCAATTCATGGCAACTCTTGACGGAATAGACGTTCGTAAGATGTCTGTAGACGTTCACCTGATCTGGATATCTGTCGAAGGCTTCATCCACCCATTTCGAATATTCCTTGAAGTCAAATAAGTGATGTTCAGCAAGTTCAAATGCAAAATCAAGACGAATCTGAATTCTATTCCTAGATTTTTCTACAAATCCATTAACATTATCATTAGTGAAGGCGGAGACGCCAGTACACTCGAACATAAAGACGGAGAACAGCTCAAAAACAATGTCCTGCGTACTGTTGATCGATTTGGCGTCGTCTCCGACTGGCTCTTCAAGAGTTGAAAATGTTTGGAATTGATCTTGCCAGAAATCCCTGGCCGTTTTGATGTCCTCATCCGAAATTAACGCATTCTTAAATATAGCGGTGAATAACTTTGACTTACTACATCGAGGAAGTTTTTGATCTTGTCCACAACCAGGAATGTCAACAACCTGAGCCGATTGATGACAAATTTTCCTTTTCTGGAGTGCTTTGATGGCAACTTTTGGCACAAACGGAAGGCCGCCTCCAATACAATCTGCCGCTGAACATTGGCCGGCAAATTAAAAGGATTCTGATTCAGGTAGGTCAAATAACTGGTGACCACTCTTTGACGAGCCGTCTTCTTCTCGCCTACACAATAATCATCTGTATTGACACCGGTAAATGTACTTCGTAACCCAGCAAAAGTTGCGAGACTATCCAGAATGGAGAAGAAGGCCAGGTGAGATGCGATTTGAGGTCCCTTGGGTAGACTCTTATGCAATGAATTAATCTCCTTTAGACTCTCGGATGGCGTAGATCCAGAAAGCCGTAGATTTATCGTAACCGTCTTGACCAGAGCTTGCAAACATCTTCCGGAATCTATGACTGGCGAGTTAACAAGTAATTTTAGAAGGTTACATTGAAACTGAGGAAATCCTTTGATCGGAATTAATGACGAAGACGAGTATTCAGGACAGAGAACGCGGAAAACATTCTGATGACCGTCGTCTTCTTTCATAGGATCCACGATCCCGATTGTCCTGAGCAATGAGAACACTAGCTCCTCTACGTTTACGTTCTCCCCAAGATCCAACAGATTGGCGCCGAAGTCTGACAACCCAACGTAGCGAGTTTCATACTATAATACACAAATATACAGGTTGGGGCAGTTTGAGGTGCGATTTGAATCGGTTATAAAGTCTTTATTTTTTGGGCCAACTGTTAAGATTCCTTTTCCTCAGAATCTTCCGTTTGAAACTACCTATTACACAATTTAACAACAAGCATAAAACTTCTTTTAGTTAACTTTTTTTGGTCGTTGTCTGACTGAAAATGGGATGCAACGCGTTGCAACGTTGAACAAAAAGCTCGAACTGTCGTTTAATATGGCTGTGGATGCTCAAGTTCAAGCCCTTTCACGTTTTTACATTTTTGAATTTTTCATTATAGAGGGAGGGAGTTATGAACGCTTGAAAATGATTTTTTTAACCAAATTCTTGGCCATTAAATTTCAAAAATTTTCGAATTTCCTTTATTTTTTGGCAAATTTCACCTTTTCTGGGGCTTTAGCATTGCCTCAAGCTTGCGGATTCTAAAATATATCCCCCTCCGGTTTTACTCCTCGAGGGGATTTTTTCGATTTCCTGATTCCAGCCAATTCTACGCAAAATTGTAAGCCTTCTGGGCCCGGTTTGCCACATATCTTCGATCGTTCCCGAGATACAGGCGACTTTCGACATGTTTTGATTTTCACTATGAAGACGACGGAATTATTGCGTTCATATAACAAACAAAACGGAAGGCTCTTAGAATCCAGGAAAAAAGAATCTTTACATTTGGCCGAAAATAAAGAATTTAAAGCCAATTCAAATCGAGCCAAAAAAATAATAAAAACTAAAAAGTGAAAATTACCCACCCCGTAATCCTCGCCCATTTTAGGTTGTCTCAGAGGTCTCCATGAAATATTTATCCTTATCTGCTCTAATTGATTCCAAAAGATACACTCATTCCAGGTAGATCCGTAAACCGGTGAGATTAAACTCCTCTCAGCCGCTGATTGTTCTTCATATTCCATCAAAATATTCTGTTTCTCTTCTTCTCTGAATACTTTCAAGTCGATCTCACTGATTCGGGTATTCATCCATCCTAAAAAAAGTAAATACCAACAATAGAAAAGAGCTTACCTTTAGCCCCGTCATCTCCTATTCGAGGTGCTCCGCTCTCCCAGAATGTCAAAAACCTTTTTATCTTAACAGAATTTGTGGCATTTTTCACATCTTTTGGAGGAAAACAATAGTACTCGATGACGGCTTGGGTCATGGCCAAAGCTCGATGTAAATAGCCGGCTTCAATTAGCAATCTACACCTATTTCTTATCAATTCCACAACATAACCAGGAGTGCTGGGGAGGGCACAATGAGAAACGAAGGTCCCGTTGTTAATGGCTATCATTCTGACTATGGTCTCATCGTATAACGAGATCTAAACAATTATTTCATTATATGGTATATAAAGAACTTACAACTCTGTTCAGCTGGAAACGATCGGTCAGATTGACTCGAATTGCAAATCTGGAGACTTCCGGTTGATTTGGATACGAAGATTTGAGCTGAAGGAAAACAAATTAGGATAAGGGAGGGAGCTCTTACCTTATTGTAAAACTCTTTAACTTTCTCACTTTCCAGTTCATTAATTCTTGACATGGCGTATAATTGTTCCATTAAAAATTCGAATTTGAAATGTCCAGGTAGATTTCTAATGGCATCTTTAATAATCTCCACTTTTCTTTCAAAATAAACAGGAGCTAAACTGTCGACGGAAACGCCTGCGCTCCTCGCAGCCTCTTCAAGTTCTTTATCCTAAAATAATAAAATTTTCAGCCGAATTTAATCGCATACCTCAAATTCCAGAAACTCATCCCACAGTTCCTTGTTTCTCGGATTATATTTTAATTTCGATTTGAGAAGTTTTCTCCGTTCATCATACGTCAGCCCATCTATTCCAACGCTTTGGCCTTTCATGAAAATATCAAACTCCTCAGCATTCATTCCAGTATAAAAGCTCTCCAGATTGGATTCCTAAACAAAAAGTTCTATATAAAGAAAATAAACGCACCCTTTCCACATCTTCTCCAGCTGGTTCGGTGGACAACGGGATGAAAGTTTCCGACTGGTCATGCCTGATCTTCCTGAATATACGCTCTTTGGCCGGCTTTTCCAATTTTCTTGCGGTTTTTGCGTTAAAATATCGATTTTCTCGATCATAAAATTGCCCAGGATATAAATCATCAATAACAGAATTCAACTGAGTAATAGAAATAAGTGCACGAGGGTGAACTTTCAAGCCAAACCTCTTCACATTTCGTGTAAAATTGTAATTATCTACCTAAAATTGAACAAACTGAGTACAAGTTGAGTATAACATACTTTTTCCTCTTCTGGTGACTGTGGCCTTGAACCGAAGGATGTTATAGAATCAGAGGACGATGAATGTCTTCGACTTCTCTTATGCTAAACATAAAATTTACATTAGAATTGTTTCTTCATTAAAATATTACCTTTTTGTGCTTGGACTTGCGCTTCTTCTCCTTCTTCTTCTTTGTTCTAATCACTTCTCCGGTAACTTCAACATCGCTCTAAAAAAGCTTGTAAGTTTTGTTGACGACAACTTACCCCACTTTGATCGTTCTCGCTCAACGCCTGAAGTTGTTCTTGTCGGTTTCTTTCGAGCAGCAGAAAAGAAGAATAAGAATTTGAAGTTGATGGCGTATCTGTGTCATCTAATACCGGAATACGACCTTTTGCTGAACTAAACATCCTTTCGTAAAATCGTGGAGCCGAATTTCAGCAAAAATGCAACTATCCGATAGCGTAATGTCAATATCGATTAAAAAATATTTCGTAAGTGAGCTTTTATATTATATTACATTTCTGTATTTTCCGTGTACTGGAGAAGCTCATGTGTCTATTTTTTCAATAATTTATCTATTTGCGCTGTAATCTTCCCCAATGTTTATTAGTTTCCGAAATTTTAAACGGGAAAAGAAAGGGCGAAGACAATTGAGAATCTTTCCAAAAAAATATTGTTGGTTTTAATGGATCACGACTCTATAAATTCCTATTTCCGTCTTTTTATTTATGCATTTCCCATCGAATATTTTATATTTCACCTGACACAGCGCGCTACGTTCTGTACTTTGAGCAATTCTGTATCTTGGAGAGAATTTCGTTCTCTATAACATTACAATCTCAATTCAGTCGTTTGATCAAAAAAATTTTAAGAGGCAAATTCTGCGCGATTAGTTCGAAAATATGGGGATTATATAGACCCGCAGGGCAGGTGACGATTCCTGACCAACCTGTGTATGGCAATCATGCCAAGTTTTAGATTTTAGCTTTTGTTTATAGCGCGATCACTTGTGTCGAAGTTCCCATTGAGTTTATTGACGCCACCTACCTTTAGGCGGTATTTTAGGATGCTGTTAAGTTGCTCAATATGGTTTGTGGTCAAAAAACCTCCCGAATCGCGCTTTTATGCTGCATGCAATATGATAAGCAAGAAGTGGCCACTTCTTGCTTACCACTAGTGGTGCCCGCCAGCAATTTGAACTGTGGTATGAGTCTACCTCCAGCAACGTGATAATTCGCGTGAAAACAGCGAAGTAGCTGGAAACTCCCCGTTGCACCTTTTGCAACACAAACATTTTACAATTTTAGTATACCGTCTTAGGGTAGGCCAAGCAAAGGGAGTTTCTTGCTCAAAAGTACAGAACGCTCTGCCCGACTTTAGAAATTTTTGTTCGTCGCGCAACAATTTTATTTTATGAGTTTGAAGTCGATGAATTGAGTCGAATGAATGAGAGTTTGAAAATGACTCGGCCAGTCCTAGTGAATCGCATGCGATTAACAATTTCCTTATGACCGGAAATTGTTGTTGACTTGAAGAAAGTGACGCGTTCATCATTCCCCCTTTCAGAAATAAAGGGAAAGAAAGGTCGCTCTGATCGTTCTGTTGCCGCCTCACTCCTGAGGTCTTTCCGAAGTGAAAGATGTGTCATCGACGACCCTCTAAGTGGCTTTAAAGCATGGCTGCCAGTCGAAGATATCAAACTGTTATGATTATCGACCCTTGGGAGTACCGGGGCTTCTGTTTTCGCGGAGAAGGTCGACGGAATCTGGTGGTCAGCGCCAAACACGAGAAGGAGGATTTGAGGTGAGTTTTTGCTCAATTTTATGAGGAAACAAAATGTGAGGATTAAGCTTTCACAGTTAAATGTACAACTATATTTTCCTTCAGGATTGTATGGAGATTAACCAAAGACAAACGGGCTCGAATTGTGGCCTTCAATTCGAACAGCGAGTTGTTGATAAAGTACATCAGAAGCTACGTTCTCCCTCTGGTGAATCCCCATTTCTTCAACGAACCCCGACTGGTGAATATGCATTTCAATGATCTGATTCACATCTCCAAGGTAAAGTTTGGTCCTTGTTTTTGTGATTCAAATTTTCAAGGGTTTAATAATGTATTTTAGATCCCTTTGTTGCCCCACAATCAGAAGGTGGATTCCTTTTCCGAACTCTGTGACAACATCCGATTCCCTTTATCCCTCTTTCCTCTTGATTACCGTTCTCGATCTGAATTCGGTATTTTCTTTGAGGATTGGAGTCTGGAGAATGTTCTTCCGTCTTTGGAGATGAACCCATTTGTTTCAGTACTCCAAATGCCTGATGCCACACGAATGCCCAAGAAGATATTTAGTAATCTGGTAATGTATGGGCCAACTCTTACTGTGGAGATCAAACCGAAGCAAGGATTCTATCAGAAACATCATGGAGTCAATCTCCCCTTTTGCAATAACTGTATTTTGCAGGTAAGATGCATATACTTTGATTTTAACATGATGTAAATTGTAATTTTTTTTAGTTGGAGAAGACGCAATCCAAAGAATTTTGCCGGATGTATGATTTCTGTCCCCTAGAACTTTACAGTGGGGAATTTCCTCGAATGATGGACGCTCTCATTTCCCTGTTTAAGAACCCCCACAGAAATCTGCGTCTTTTCCGGGACGGGGATTGTGTTTATGATGATCAATCCGATTTCTCCGATCTCCGTCGTCTCGACAATCAGATATTTCCAGGACAAAACAATTCCATTAACCTTCTATTGTCCTTGGTAAGCAATTTCGCCCTGATTGTTATGTAGTATTTGCAGTTGTGTTATGCGTTGGCTGGTGTCCGAGCTTCGGATGAGCCATTTTATTTGCACGAAAACTCCATTCTGGCCACTTTATTAAAGGCCCAAAGAGTAGATTCGATCGGAATTGTGAAAGCAAAAGAAATCTATGATCGACAGCCACAGGAAGTAAAAGTAAGGGAATTTTGACGAACTAGTCATCTCCGAGTATTTTTTTATTAAACGATTAATTTGCAGGAACAGTTAATGGACGAAAGTAACTTACTCCAGAAGGACGGGGCCAAATTGTTTACATCAAACGACGAACGTTCGCTTCTAGAACGATACTTTGTGGCCGCCACGATGAAAGACTGTAGTTTAATGATCAATTGTCGCTTGGTCAGAGGGCCGACAGTATTCACGGATGAGAGCCCAAGCAGTCGTCTGATCCGCATTGAGACTAATGCGGATCCCCTTTACTTTGCTGTCCATGTTCAAGTTGTAGATCTTGATCCAAAGCTTCCTCGGAATCTTCTTAATGCACATCAACGATTTATGAATGGAGTCCAGATCATAAACAACACTCCCGGTATTCACAAGCCTTGTCATATCCACTAAGGGCGCCAGCTCGCCACATTCATAATGTCATAGATCTCCATCAACGCTCAAAAATTATATCCTGGTATTCTTCTCACATATCGCTTCCAATTTCCACAGTAATAACTGGTGTATTATATAAGGCTGGTGCTATTCCTCTGTCACTTTTTATGCTTAATAAAAGAACTGGATTTTGCATGACATAAACATGTCATTCAGTGAGCCCAATTAACCCGTTTGTGGCAGGAAACCTCTTTGAGTATCGGGACGTATCGGACTTCATCTCTGCTTTCCGATGAAAGAAAGGTTTTCGTTATTTGTTGTGCAGACTCTGGGCCATGTAATGGTTGCAGGAAGAGATTTTAGATCTAAATTGTATCCAAGTATAATCTCGCGGGTATCAGGATAGATTTTTCTAAGCTCATGTCAGTAGATCTGGAGGGTATAGTGCAATCGACCGTGCTTTAGAAAATCCAATTTCTAATCTTTACTTGTTTGTCTTAGGTAGTACTGTAAATTAGCAATGTTTTGATTATTAAAAAAAGACGTGGATTAACCATCGGTTAAACCCCTCCAGATCCCACAAAATTTTGCGGATCTTTTTGCTGACCGGACCTTTTCAACACTTGCGTGTTAGTATAAGCCAAATAATGATGGGCAAGGTTTGGGAAAAGCCTTTATCTAGTAGTGTATCAAGTTGAAGCCGGGTCGAATGTCCGTGCGCGATTCCAATTTCCGCTAGGGAAGGGGATTCTGTTTCCAGTGGGTGCAGTGCGGGTTGTGGAGGCAAACGGAAAAGGTAAAATGCTGTCCTTTCCTCACGCGGTGCCGCTCTTTTGTTTTTATAAGCATCTCGGCCGAGTCTTGAGGTGTCTGGCCCCCTTGGCCCAGCTCGGGACCTGCTCCAAAATCGGTCATTTTGCGGAGATTGCGCTTTTCTGGTTCCTGTGGCGCCGCAGGGTTCGTGGAGGAGAGGCGGCTTTATTCTCTGTGTTTTTATCTCGAGATTATGCCCAATCGAATGCTGTGCCAGTCCCACGAGTCCACCCCTTCTCTCCCCTGCCCTTCCCCGGCAGCCTCAGATGGGCCGTTCATCAAGCTGGACATTGATTATACCACGAAGATGAGTTAAGACTCCCGAAATATGGACCGGAACCTCGACGTTCCAGGGGACCGACGCGGTTCCTTCTACTTGACCCAATACCCCTCAGGACAGCGGTTTTTATTTCCAACTGCCGGCCCAAACTGCTAATGTGTTTCTGAAAGAGTGGGAATCCCTTAGGGTGTGAGAGGTTGGGTGCTGGAGGTCGGCCAAAAAAAAGTTGGGAAAAGCGGTTTCGGCTTCGAAAGCGGTAAAAGATGCGTGATGTGACCATTGGTCTTTGCGACGTACAGCAAGTTTAACAAGACACGTCGGAGCCGTCAAGCATTACTTTTTAATCGTCTAAAGCCCAGACGCGTCTTGATACTTTTTACGATTTGAGGATCCCAATTTATCACCTAAGGCCATTTCACGATTGTATAGTCTTGGGAAATGAACGGCGATTCAGCTTTTCGTATTGTTTTGTGGGGCGGCTCGATTTGCCGAGATCGATTGGTCGCTTGGCCACAAAAACACCGGGATTGTATAGCTAGTCCGAAACAAAGAGCAGCCATTCTTGTGCTTTGTGATCTGTTTTCTGATTTAAAATGGCATTAGTTATCCAAGGTAAGGGTCATTTTTGATGGGAGGCCACTTGTTTTTTGGAATCCCTTTTCTTCGGGTCATTCTATTGTCCAATGCTTCCAATTTCTCTAGTGTACTGAGGACACGCTTAAAAAGTTTCTAATTTTTGATGATTTTTTATATACAGTACCTTTATATTTATCTTTCCAGTCCTACAGTACTTACATTTATATTTTTATTTTTAAGCTTTTCGTCATTTGAATCTTTGCATACTTAACCCTGTTTATAATAATTTATTCAGCGATGACTTCGGCCGAGTGCAGCATGGGGCTGCGCTCCTTTCTCCAGGACGAACCCCTCAGTGCGAATCACTTAAAAAGCGACCGCAGTCGAATCTGCGAAGAGTTGGAGATAAAAAATCTGATGGATTCAGCCCACGAATACGAGGCCAAGCCCAAAACAAGTGTCGATTATGGTGAGGGCAAATGTATGATTATGTATCTAAGTCATTTCCTATTCTGACTCCCCCCTTTGTCCGTGTTAACTGGGCCTTGACCGGCTCGTCCTCCCCCTGCCTGGTGTTTTGGTTCACGGGAATCCGACTTCAGAAAATCCCGTCCCAAGGCCGAAAGCCGTGACCCTCGGAGACGCATCCCTTTCCTCACCCATCCCTTCAAGCCCGTTCTAGGCCAATATGTGCAAATTTTGTTATTTCCAGGCACTCACGAGGGAAGTTCCTCGACATCCAGCTCTTCGGTTTGCTCCACAAACGGTGTTCGGCCGGCCAGAAGAGACTCGAATGGCAGCAAGGTGATCCCAGTTATCCAGTCCAAGATCATCCAGAAGCAACCTTCTAGGACCCCCTCTACAGCATCCACCTCCATCTCTTCAAACGGAACTGTTCGACAACACAAACACGACAAAGGTATGCTCTTTTGATGACGGATTTGATGGTAACTAGTCTGGGACCTCGACAGTTTATGCTAGCTATGCTTTAAAGGCCCATAGACAGCCCCAGGGCATTGCCTAACGAACCTCATTAGATTGGGCACTGCACCGTGCAATTGACTCTCGCCCTCTTTTCAAGTCCAATTGCTTTCAATTACGGCCGACCGCGCGTTAGGCGACATGTAGTTGTGAAGGGGAAAGGGAGGGAACGATTAGAGTGTTTCGGCCTCGAACCCGAAGAAGGAGCCGGCTCTAATCGCTAACACCCTTCCTTTCATGGGATGCATGGTCGATTGGACCGGGCCCAACAGGTCCGGTTGTTGGGTGGGGATCTCAGTGAACTCCGGACAGTGTTCAGGAGATCGATGCTCCTCCAACTGAGTCGGCGGGGATATCAGCCCGGTTATGGGAGTCTGGCTGGTCAGTACAGTCTCACCTTAATCTAATCCCTTTTCAGCCCGTCCTGAACACACTGAGCCCACCGTTCTGGTGACCAGCCATCATCGTTCCTCCCAGCATATTCAGAACCCAGTCAGCAGTCAGACGAATGAGGGGCTGATCGAGAGTTCCCTTTCTCGGCCACGTCGTGATTCCCAGGACTCTCAATTGGCGGATGCCGAAGTCTGCGAGGCCTTGAGGAATCGCAGGTGTAGGACAACCTCGGAAGAAATGGCCGATGAGGACGTCCTCTTGGACGAGGATTGTGGTGCAAATGAGGATTTTGGGAATAATGAGGCCGGGCGTGGCATCCATTCGAGACGCCGAGTTTCGCCGGAAACTCCCAGTCCTGAGACTGTTCGCGGATTCAAGATGTGTGCCCCAAATAAGACACAGGTCCTTAATTACATCGCCACCACCAAATCTCTGTGTATAAGAAGGGCTGGAACCGAACTTCAAGTCAGTTTCTTTTATTAAATAGTCATCATGTAACGCAACGTGACGTAATTACTTTACTGTAATTCTCTTTCAGGTCACTGATACGACCGGATTCCCGTTGCTTGATGTCTGGCAGAAAACAAGCTGTTTTTCGAGTACTTGGGTATTGGAATCTTATGGCCGAACTGTGTTATTATTGACGGATTCCGGCCGATCGTGGAAGCCTTGGAACTTCAATCAACCCAAATCGAACTTCCTGGAAGTGACGGATGAAGAAGATGAGATTGTTGGCTATTTCCAAGTTGGTGGGTGGGACGAATAAAGAGTGATCTGTTTACAGGAGAGCCGTTCGTCGTCCAAAACAAGGACCGTACCCCCATTGCTCGGTTCATGGGCTACGAAAGCGGAGATGGGAGGCAAGTGAACAAGGCGAAATTAATCAAATTTCAGGACAATTCTCTTCCAATGCGTGTTGGAATGCAGTGGGGAAGAGGTGGGGAGACTGGAGCCGAGGAAGAGCCAGCTTTCACAGCTCCGCTTCAGTCCATTGGCCATCAGTTTCCAGCTCAAGTTGCTGGTTTTGGCGGCCGCCATCCGGATTGCGGCCCTTCCTCAGCCAGCCGGTTGTCCGGTGGGCAATCAACGGGTCAAGAAACGCAACAAGAAAGGCGTCTGCTGCTCCATTGTGTAGCGCCAAGTCAATATACAAACACGTGTACAGTGCCTGGGATATTACCGTGATAATAAAAGTTTTATTAAACTCCCCATTACTCATTACAACCATGTCAAAATATGTTTTTCCCGTTCTGAATAACAGAGTACGTCATTTCTCGGTACTGTGCTCTCTCCGTGTTTGTTATTTTCATTACTCAACACTTAGATTCCCTGGAAATCTGCACGACTTTTCGATGAGAAAAGAGGTCAGAGAACACAATTAGTCTAAGTGTAAGATCGAAATGGTGGTACGAGTCATTGATAACGCAAAAGGAAATGATCTCGTTATTTTTTGGTGGAGGTTTGGAGAAGATCTGATCTGAAAAACACCTCTGTCCAATCTCTGAACTGTTATTAGTGTAATAGGAGACCGTATTCTGACTGTGAATACTGTATTGTTGATAAGAAACAAGAAAAAAGATGTTTTCCAAAAACATTCATCCGATAAAAACGTGTTTCTCTGAACTTTGTTTAGAACTTGTTATCATTCCCGCAACTGCGTTTGCTCTTAAAATTCTCTGGTAAAAAGTCTTCTTACTCCGTTTTTTATTGTCTAGATTAATAAACTGAGATCACGATGACGCAACCGACTTCAGAGCACCATCGTGGAAAATTCTGAACACGAAAATCAGCTAGTGGAGTAAATCAAGGTTGTAAATTTGAAGTAAAAGACGTTGCATCATTCGGCTTTTTCAACGAAATCTTGTAACTTTGTTTATTTATAATAACAGGGACGCCCCGTGTACGGTAAAAGTCAAGTAAAAGTAGGCGTTTGTGAAAACCCCAAAAGTGCAAAAAATTAATTTTTATTTGGTAAAATTCGGGGCTTTCGGCGTTTTTTCAAACAAATAAAATAACATCGCCCTTTTTTTGTTTCGTTCATTTATCACTCGCTTATTTTCGGTTATCATCTTTTCCTACAAAGATTACTGTATTTTTATTGATTACTTGAATCTATTATAATTTAATGTAATGTATGACCTTTTTTTTGTCTGAAAAGGGGTTCGTGGAGTCCAGTTCAGGAAGGATACTTCGTCGAAAAAAATTGTCGGCTTACGGAACGTACAGTTGGACATTTATTTTACAAGTTACAGTATGATGTAATGTTGGTTTCGTAGAGCTAATAACATAACTTGGTATGAGACCATTAATAAGACCGTCTGAACACAATAAAGATAAGACATTACCCGCTTTATGGGCCCCTCTGATTATAACCGGTTCTACTGTCGTCTACATAACATACCTTACTTCCAACATCACCTTTTTCCCTTCGTTTTTTGTGTTGTTTTTTGTAGAGCTCGGACCGTGCCGGGCACTGCCATGTCATGCTGGCGGAGGCGTGCTCTGGAAGAGCATCCGGAGGGCCGAATTAAGATACCGCGAGCCCCCCCCCTGGCTGATCTCAGGCCCTAATTAAACGAGAGAGAGCCGAGAATGACCAGCGCCGTTCCGCGCCGTTCTACTCTCGACCGCCCCGTATAAAACATGGCCTGCGGGCCGAAGTGTAAGGCAAGCTGTGCCGGCCGGTACCAGTTGAGAGTTTCTCCTCTCCCCATTCCCCTCAAACGGCCGGCGGGGCGGGCCTGGCTCTGTTTCGCATATGCTTGGCCATTCTGTCTTTCGGCCCCGAGCACACTCACGGATCTACAAAAAAGAACTCCTAAACACACAAAACCGGTGCACGATTCCGTTCGTTACTGGAATCGCTTCCCTGCTGGATACAGTAGGCCGGTTTACAACATTTGGAGGAGACTGATAGGGTGTTGGGAATCACGGTATGCCCGGTTTGTTGATGGTTTATCTTGGACAGTGTTTTGTTACTTTCCGTTACATCTGTCTCGATCTGAAGGTATTTTATATGTAATGTGACTTGCCCGTCTCTCAGAACACTCATTTCGCGAGCAAACGCGCTGCCATTTCCTTGCCCTTTTATATTAATCACTTTTGTTATCACCAATCAGACGTCTCGCTACGTCGTTGGCTGACCCATTTCCATTCTTATGACATTTCCCTCCTTCCCCCACGTGGTTATATTTGCGCAAAGTCGGCACAACGTGACTTGATTGATCGCCCTGACTCCAGCCACCCTTCTGGTGGTCTTATCAGTCGCGGAAAGTGATCGCTTATTTACAGCCACGTGTTGTGGCGCCATTCCTACTACTTGAGCTTTCTTTTACAACGCTCTTATTACTTTTACAATACTTCCACTTTTGTTTCGTTCTTGAGTGGTGGATTTATTAGCATTTCTTGTTTTTTTTGGATTCTGCAAATAACTTTTTATTTTGTGTTTCGAATCACAGAGATTGGGATGGATTCTTGTCCCACTGGAGAGGACAGGGGGAGGCGGTCGGAGTAAGTGGCAGTGAGCCGGAACGGCCGGCCGTTCCTGGGCTTTCCGGCTCCCGAATGTCCCCGTTCCCCGTCCGAGAGAGTTGCCCCACAGATCTCTAACTGGAGAACAACCGGCCATTCTCTCTCTCCCTCTCTATCTATCTCTCTTTCCCTCCCTCTATTTCCCCCTTCCTTTCCCCTTCAGAGCAGCAACAGCAACATTAAAAGAGTTGCAGTGCGACTCGACCCCTGCCCTTCACTCCCCCCTCCCCCTTTCTGCCTCGATTAACCCCTTGAGGAGCAGCAAAGGGAACGGCGGCCGTTCTTTTTTCGTTCCGTCCCATCGTTTCTGACCTTTTTCTCGGGCCTTTTGATGTTCTCGGCCGACTGTTTCGGCAACATTTATTTCAATTGGGGGCCTTTCCCCCAAAGGCTGTCCCCCGAGGCCAGATTTTTTGTCGTTTTGTGGTCTTTGGGTATTCTTTTTTTGGGGCCTACTCTTCTTCTGCAGACACACAAAATCCTCCAATTACTGGGATAATCTGCTCTGCACCATTCAATCGGCCCCTTTCTTAATCCGTTTTGGCGTGGACACTAGCTTGAAATGATACATTACTCCTTAACGACTTCTTTTCAAGGTCGACTTTGAAGAGGCACATCCACAATGATGGACTTACAGCATCAATCATCCTCGATGAATGGGATGGACGGGATCTGCATGGTTTGTGGAGACAAATCTGCCGGAAAACATTACGGGGTAGGTCTCTCATTCACCTTGAGACTTGCGGAAATAAAGAGACTACAAGAATCTCTTTCAGATTCTTGCTTGTTATGGCTGCAAAGGCTTTTTTCGACGATCTATTCGCTCCAATCAGACATACACATGCAGATTCATGCAGAAATGTAGTATCGACAAAGGTAGCGATGATGTTATACCCTTGTATTTATACTTTAAGACCAGAGAAATGCCTGCCGCTTCTGTAGATTCCAAAGGTGCCTGCAAGTCGGGATGGAACCTGAGGCAATCAGACCTGATCGAGATGTCATTGGGAAACAAAAAAATCCACGAAAAAGGAAAATCAAGAAAGAAGACGATGACCAGCCGGTAGATGAGGGATCCCAGCAAGAAGATTCCCTTCTCAGCTATCTCATTGAGGTCGAGATGAAGAAAACTCAAGCCCCTAAGTTTGTGGAACACCCTCTTCATTATCAAAGGTCTGAATCCATTGGGATTTTGAAAGTAAAACAAGAAATGGAGGCATCTTTATATGAATTATTCGAGGATCGAAATCTCTTAAATCTCTACAGAAATCCGATGAATAATCAAGATGCTCCCAGAACAGCCAGTGTGGAACAACTCTCTCTGGCCATGAGAGCTTATGCAGTCTCGGCCATCGATTGGGTCAACGCTCTTTTCTCTTTGGCCAATGTTAATGACACGGCCGAGAAGGTGAGTAAATACAGTACCCATTATTAGTAGCATCCTAATAATTAGCTACACGTGCAATAATAACAACATATTTACAGTGTGCTCTGCTGAAGAATTCGTTTGCGGCATTTGCTGCTTTTCAGAAGGCCACCAATACAGCAAATGTTTGCCCTGCAGAAAACGATTCACTGTGCCTTTGTAATGGTGCGTTGATTCCCAGAAATCTTCCAAGACATTTAATCGACACAAAGTAAGTGTCCAGGACAATCACTGTTATATTTTTAGTCTTCTTGCAAATAACATGGTTGGCCGAATATTGGACGAATTGGTCCGTCCCATCAGAAAACTACATCTTCTGGAAGCAGAGAGGGTTGCGTTATCTGCTTTGATCTTACTTGATGGAGGTATGTAGACCTTAATCTTCCCTCAGAAACTCAGTTTACAATTCCATTATTTTATGCCCCATCTTGTTTTCAGACAGCTGCGGTTGCTCCTTACAGACCTCTGAAGCTTTAAATTTGGTCAAAGACAAGGTCCAGAACGCTTTGTTCCAATTCATCAGAGAACGCAGCGAACATTCTCTGAGCAACGCTTCTTCTCGCTTTGCCAACATATTGTTGTTACTCCCGTCCATCGCTAAGCTCTCAGCCATTTACAACGAGAATTTCCAATTGGCCAAGATGTTTGGTTGTCGTTCTCTGGATCCATTGTTGGCCGAGATCCTGCTGGATGGCGGAGGAGACATGGTGCAGTCGGGAGAGTTGTCTCCCTCCTCCAAGACCCGTTCTGACGCTGCCACGCAGACGAAAGACACCAACGAACTTAATATATCGACATGTCTCAGTCACACCTCCACTGAATCCACCTTGAGTTCAGTGAGTTCAGCCTCGGCCGAAGATTCCGCCTTGGAGAATATAATCGCTCTGAGACTGGAGATGGAACAACGAGCAGCTCAAGCCAAGGCTGAAGCCGAGGCCAACAACCAAATGAAATCAAATGGACAGTTATCGCAGATAAATGTGGACGTAACCAACCGCAATGAGTATAACAACTACTTCTTCGGCTACGATTACCATCAGAATGGCTTCGGGACTGTTGTCGACACGGTCAGAAATGGCTTCGGCTACCAGATGGAAGGCCAAACTCATCCCCAAACACCTCAGAAGACGGACATGGCGTTCAAGTTCTTGTGATCCATCAAGCCGGCTTGATGCGACAGCTTTGTTTACTTATCCTTGTTAGATGCGCCACTCTCTTCACTCGTCCACCTCTTTATTTTTGGTCCGGAGGGGATCAGGGCGGCTTTGAGATAGACAATACAAGAAGCGCAGGATTTGTAGTTTTAGAATAATTGGTAGCAAACGTGAAAGTCGGCCCAGGAAGCTGGCTTCTAATCCGCGAAAATGCTCTTTGTCACTGGTGACACATTGCCAATTTTTGTGGCATTTTGCCAAACATCAATTGCGTAAACAACAATCATGATAGGAACCGATTTTAATCTCGTCAAATCTACTTGGCTGCCGCCCTGTCCATTTCTGGACCGTCTTTATAGTTTTAGGCTCGTAGCAAACAGAAAAATCTCACAAACGCCTTGATAGCTACCTAAAGTCTCGATTAAGTTATTACTGAATAGATCCCCGGTTCTTTTTCTTCCTCGAGTGCCCTCTTATTCTTGTTTTTGATAGTTCTTGTTGCTGTTATTACCGTAGTGTTTTAGTTTTTCGACAACCGGTAATTTTATTAATATTAATATAATTATTACTTCATAAACACGAGAAATTCAAAGAATCCCGGCGATTATGACTCAAGGTCGAAAAAGCCATCCTTTTCACAGGAAACGGCTAGCCAAACACCTGGGCTGGTAGGCAAACGGTCCAAATCGCTAGCCAGACACGTGGCCCGTGGCCATTTTACATTTTTTGAAGTCGTACTGTAAAGCACTCATTTTTAGATTTTTTTCAAAAATTACTCGATTTGCTTTTAATGGTGGTTATTTCAAAAATCATGTTCATTTTTCCGATTTTACATAGTAAAATTTTTTATTTTTTCTTTCCAACCTTCGTGGAATATTTTACCGTAAGTGGATTACTGTGTAAAAAATACGTTTTAATTTTTAATGTAAAATGTTTAACATTCCTTTTAAAAGTTATTTGATTGCCAAATCCACCATCGAAATCCCGGAGAAACGAGATGGTCGTCGATGATTAATTTCAGAAATAAATTAATGTGATTCTACTTTTTGACGGGGCATGTCTCAAAAAATCCGAAAAATTGTGCTGATGAGGAATGTGTAAAAATTAGCTCCCCAATTTTGGGTTTTAGGAGTGAAAATCAATAGCAAGTTGACTTAAAGTCGTACCATAAACTAAGCATGGCTGCAAACCGGGCCAGCCCGGCCCGGGCCCGCGGGCCGGGCCTAAATCTCTAAGCCCGGCCCGGGCCCGGGCTTGTAAAATTTGGAAAGCCCGGCTCGGTTCGGCCCGGAAAATTTTTGTACTACGCTGGAAAGGAACAAAGCAGGAAATGAAGGGGAAATATGGTACATTTTCGCAAAATGTAAAGGATAATTTAGCAAAACATATACATAGTTCAATTGCCGCTTGACTATTTTTATAAATTACTAAGCCGCCATAAATTGTCTTACCATATGGTTACAAAAAATCATAAGCTTTTGTGTATAGTCACTCAAATTTTAGCAAAAATATTTTATACAGATCTTTTATTGAATTTGAAAAAGACTACAAGCGTGTTGCGTAGTTTTGAAAATTTTTCCTTTTTCTTTTTTTGCCAGCGTATTAACTATGAGGTCGCACTTTAGAATTTCTGAAATTTTTTTCAAATTGCCTTGAAAATCATTTTTTTATTTGGGCGAGTGGTAAATAAGGTGATTTTACGTTCGCTATCAGCATTGCGTTCGAAAAAAAGAAAAATTTTATCGAAAAAGCTTATTTTTTTCCCTTTTTTCCGGGCAAAACTCAGATTTCAAAAAAACCGGGCCGGGCCGGGCCTGAAAATCGAAGCCCGGGGGCGGGCCGAGAAATTAGTCGGCCCGGCCCGGGCCGGAAAATTTTGGAAAGCCCGGCCCGGAGCCATGCTTACCATAAACTAGGCATGGCTCCGGGCCGGGCTATCCAAAATTTTCCGGGCCGGGCCGACTAATTTCTCGGCCCGACTCCGGGCTTCGATTTTCAGGGCGGCCCGGTTTTTTTGAAATCTGAGTTTTGCCCGGAAAAAAGGGAAAAAATAAGCTTTTTCGATAAAATTTTTCATTTTTTTCGAGCTCAATGCTGATAGCGAAAGTAAAGTGACCTTATTTACCACTCGCTCAAATAAAAAAAATTATTTTCAAGTCAATTTGAAAAAATTTTCAGAAATTCTTAAGTGCGACCTCATAGTTAATTAACACGCTGGCAAAAAAAGAAAAAGGAAAAATTTTCAAAACTAGGCAATACGCTTGTAGGTTTTTTCAAATTCAATAAAAGATCTGTGATAAAATATTTTTGCTAAAATTTGGGTGACTATACACAAAATTTTATGATTTTTTGTAACCATATGGTAAGACAATTTATGGCGGCTTAGTATAATAATTTATAAAAATAGTCAAGCAGCAATTGAACTATGTATATGGTTTGCTAAATTATCCTTTACATTTTGCGAAAATGTGCCATAATTTTCCCTTCATTTCCGGCTTTTCTTTCCAGCGTAGTACAAAAATTTTCCGGGCCGGGCTTTCCAAATTTTGCAAGCCCGGGCCCGGGCCGGACTTGGAGATTTAGGCCCGGCCCGGGCCGGGCCTGGCTGGCCCGGTTTGCAGCCATGCTTACATAAACCCTTTTCCGCTCAATTTTTCACAGGTTAAAAAATTTTTTAGCTTTAAATGATGTTTTTTGAGTTTCTAAGGCGTAATAAACAATGTCTGCGCCTTAGTTTTTGGGTATTTTCGACCCAAAACGAGGCAGCTAATTTTTGTATATTCTTCATCAGCACAATTTTTCGAATTTTTTGAGATGTCCTAAAGTAGGAGGTCCCATGAAGGTACTTTCCTTGTTAGAAAAAGTTCAAAAGATTTATACTTTCCAGTACTACTTAAGAAAATGTAAAATGGCCGCCGACCGAGGGGTTTGGATGTTTATTACTCGAATTTGGAGATATCTTAGCCGATCGATAACTGATTAGCTGTTTAACCGGGTTCCATTCATAAGTTCTAATTGTTGAGAAATGGAACGAGGAATTCGATGAAAAGACCCCATCAGATTGGTCTGATTATATTTATTCGACAGGCCAGACCCTGAGGGCGAACCCAGGAAACGACCGATAGACGATGGATCCTCGAAGTTGGACTCCTCTTCTTCGATCCTGCAAAAGTTAAATCAAATGTTTATATCAACACAAATGCTGCTCTATCCCTCACTTACCGATGCAAAACTGCGTTTCGGAAGTTGGTATCGGCTGAGCTCTCGTCCAGTTCGGTGATGTAGTTCTTCTCTCCTTTCTCGTAATATATTCTGGCTCTATCTTCGCTTTCCATTGTAATTGCATAACTTCCTGATCCCGTTGTTTCCATGATTGATCCGAATCCCAAACTTGATGCATCCGGACTACAAATGTCGGTTGGAACATGTTTACACTCACCTTGAGAGATTCGATTGACCTAATGTTGTTGTAATATGGTGACTTGTTATGTTAGACCTTCTGGCAGGAGTAGAATGTGCGGTGTCCGGAGGAGGAGGGGGCTCTGGAGGTGTATATGGAGGAGGGTTTAGCTAAAAGATACACTTAATGTCTCCAGTTCCTTACTTTATATAAAGGTTGAGGTAGTGGATCGGCTAGCACTGAGTAATTGCGGGTTCTATTCACAAGGGAACGACTGTCGCGTGTAGAAACATACGTCTGTAAATATTGGCTTTACACATGTAAAATTAAAATTAAACGATTTTTAGAGACCCTACCCTGTCAATGGAGATGAGGTCACATTCGGGGGGATTGCTGTTTCGGTTATTGTTATATACATATATATCTTCGTCTAATTCTAATTCATCGTCCTCTGGAATTGTTGCGCAACTTTTAGTTGTTCCAGCCTCGAATGACGTAACTCTACTATCCGGGGTTCCTAACAAGGGAGTTCCCTGAGAACGATCTGCAAGTTTTGTTTTGACGCCGACTTAACAATCAGACGATAATATTATTATAACCTACTCAATCTATAACTGGATCCATTTAAGGGAACGATCAGAGTGCGGCCTCCTGTGGATCTCCTGGGAGGTGGCGGACTCTCATCTGCTGGTCGAATATTATGTTTTCGAAGAAAGAGCTCACGTGAAAGGTGCTGTTCGAGTTGCTGGGGCTGAAATTAAATCTTTATTGACTTGGAATTGCTGCGGAAAGCATTAGAATCTAGGCCGTGCGACGTAATACGATTATCGACAAAGAAATTTCGGTTTGTTTTTTAAAACTCCCCCCAACAACTTCAGTGTTGAAATCTTACCTCTTTATTCTCATCCGGACATGTGTTGACCAATGGCGTTTGTATTTCTTCTTCTCTTGTACGATTGACAGCCTGCTTACTCTACAAATCAATCGCACGTCAATCCAGCGCCGTTAGACATTTCGTCCACACAATATCAGTGGACTAAAATGTTTTACTTACAAGGGAAGTACCCCAAGTGCGACGTTCAGATTTTATTTAAATTTTGCGGGCATAGACCAAATATTAATTTCTGAAATTTTTTGTTCGCGCTTTCCAAGCTCCGCCGAGATATCTTTGCCGCCGAGAGAGTACGCTAAACGTGGAGAGCGGCCAGAGAGAAAAACACTTTTGGCCATAACTTCTCTAGTTTCGTGCGGAAAAAATTGATGACCGGATAATGACCCTGTATGGTAGAAATTGGCATGACACTTTTCGTGCCAAAAAAAGTTATTTCTGCAAAGCGCGAGCTAGGATCCTCGCATATATTTTAGAAAAGTTTATTCTAAATTGTGCCAGTTTCATCCAAATTTGAACGTCGCACTTGGGGTACTTCCCCTGTTCGTTAGATATGAAAATTCTTTCGGAAGAATTTTTGAAGATCGAAATTAGTCTCAAAAAATCAAGGAAAGTTTAAAACGTTATTTTGTACCCAGAAAGCATGATTTTGTTCCGGCTAGGTATGAAAAAGCAGCCGTTTTTTCTCCAAAATTCTATTTGCGACGAAACGCGCATAATAAATCGTGGTCAGGAAATAGATTCAACTACGCTGGATTGGCGTGTACTGGCTGTAGCACTTACGCGACTGGTTGTTAATCGTTTGCTGTTCTTCCGGGTCTTCCGATTACAACAACATATCAAGGGCATGCATGTCTGGAAACAATGCATGGGGAATATTCTCGCCCCAAATAAAAGACTTTTCCCCCCAATAACCCGTAAAGGAACGTCCGAAAAAGTAAAGGGAGGCCTTTCTCTCTTCGAATGTCATGAAATAATCCCAAGAGAGTATGATACTCGTCCGGGATGATACTCTTTCTTTTTTGCTTGTCCGTCTTCTTCCAACAACGAGTAAATAATAAACATATTGGTGGGAGGGTACGGTAGGTTTCTTAGTCATCATATTTAAATTCTTTTTATAACCGCGTTACCATATTTGATATACAACTTACCACTATACAAACTATAAATCCTCCAAAGATTACAAGCCCGATCAAAGAGAATGGCTGAATATGTAGATTGATCTTAACCGTCTGTCTTAGTCGGGTCCAGAGTCTAGCTAGCCAATGGAGGAAGTTGTGGATGTTATATACATCATGGCGTCCCAGATTCATCTCGTTCGGTTAGATTGCGTGAATCTGAGGGCATGCATGAACTTATCTTTCGTTGGGATCAGATCCTTCCATTTTGAGTCTCAAAAAATGTTATATCCAGGACAGATATAAAAACTGGTTCGAAAATACATATGGTCAGAAAAAAAGAAACAACGGAGAATTTGCAATGTTGGTACAAAAACTTTTCGATTCGAAGAAACAAAGAGTTATTGGGGCGTTATTCTTCGACTACTCAAGCGAGAATTGCTTGGCCATAATCCCGTATAATATAGGGCCATGAATTCATCATTTAAAACCAAAATCTGCAATTAATCGGGGATCCAAATGGGGTTAAATAAACAATTAGAAGCCCGAGACAATAAGCGGCAACCCAACGCATTTAATAGCTCCGACTCGAGCCTTGAGGGCACAAAGTGGACCCTCGGGCGACAATCCTTTTATGCAAATTTGGCTTCGAAAAGGACAATCGGGCCGAAGAGGAAGAGGCCGTGATGTCAAGGGTATCTCCAAGTTCTGCGGCCATTCTGAAGACCAAAACATCTTCGAAAAGCCCTCGAATCTTAAGAACCCCGAGGGCACAGTGCTTGATTGTAAGACAAGGCCGAAATAACTTTAAAATTCAATATATTCAAGAAAGAAAAGGACATTGCGCATTTATCTTCTGACAGCCTTAGGCCGGGAAGAAGAATGGACACCAGTTTGAATGGAAAAGTTATCTTTTATTTATGAAAATAATATTTAAACACCGAAACTACCGCAATATTTATAAGTTTATATTCTCTATAGATACAGAAACGCTGAGATCATAGTGGGGAAGACAGCAGAGTAGTACACTAACCTAAACATCGTCCATTCTAACGTCCTTGTCATCGTCCACGGAACAGGAGGCACTGTTCTGGCTCTTTTTCCTGTGGGATCTAGCGTTGTTACTGAAGATAAATATTTCACAAATAAGTATCTAGATAACATCAATCAGATTTTTTTAATTTGGGAAACAAAGGGAAGATGAAAATAAAAAACTCACAAGTAATTTCTGGCCACAGTCCCAGCAATTGTTCTCGCCTGAGGCAATAATTGTGCTCTTTGAGTTTTGGATGGATTAAAACCATCACAAATCGCTTCTAAAATAAAATACAGTAGCAGAATAAGGATAGATACGGTAGCTGGATAAAAGATCGCTTACCAGAGAGTTCTTTTATAAATTCAGTTGGAATTTTAGCGTAACGGGCAGGTCGTCCCTTCCCCACGGAGTCTTCTGTATAAGTGTATTTGTCGGCTTCTGATTCGAACAACTAAAATAAAATATTGTCCTACATAGTAATGATTTTAAAAAGTAAAAAGACTTACTTTTCTGATGACTCCGGTTGTGATTGGCTGTACCACTTGACCCAAACTGCAGCCATTAAAGTTGTGCCCATTGGCAAAATCGGCCACAATTTCCCCTAAGGAGATCGTTCTTTCCGGATTCAGAGGGTCAAAGTCGTTGATCTTGTGCTCCTCGACATAGACTGCATTAAAAAGTAATTTCTCATCCACGGCCCCCGCAATGATGGAGTAATGCTGCTGCTCGTTGAGCTGTCGCCTAAGGGCATCGTTCTCCATCTTGAGTTCTTGGACCGTCTGAATGAGGTAGACTAGGCTGGAGGAGACTTGCTGTCTCCATTCCATCTCGTTCTCCATCAGTAAATTCATCAATAGATTCGGGTTGTTAATAATTATCGGGTCCATCGTTCCTTACTTTTAAATGACCCGCAGTTGTAACCGTCGACCGGGTTCGGGTCGGGCATTGACGCAAGGGGAGGACCCGTTTTAAACACGGTCGGTCGTTCCCCGCCGTTCCGTGTTTCTGTCCGGGTTTTTGGCGAATTGGCGATCAGAGAAAGGGTCGATTCGAGACCGTTTTTGCAGCCCCTTCTATGCACTTTCCCCGGCTCCTAGAGTCTTTTAAACTGATTCTAGTCGGGTTCTAAGAGATTCTGAAGATCTTCTCTTCATCTTTGGATCTCCCAAATCCAGCAATCTTTTTGCGAATTACGGTAACTTTCGAGAAATATAGAGACGAAAAGAAAGTATTCCAATTTGATTGAAACGTACTTTACTGTTGCTTTTGACGATTTGCGTCACCAAAATCAAATGATCGGAAGTGAAAATACATTTGCTGAACAAACCATCCTCTCTACACACCCCCATGTTGATGTCAATAAGAACAGAGCACAATTGTGTGGACGGATCCCGTACTCGCGCAACTGGAATGGCAATTATAGTCTTCAGTGAGAGCTTAGACTAGAGTTTTACCCGGGTGTCATAGTTTTAAGACCAACTTCGCCTTAGCGCAACGTGATTCTTCCATTTTATTTTAGAACTTAACCTTACAAAAAAATTAAAATCTGTAGTATAAATAATTGCAGAGATCAGTAACATTCTTTGGCCACATGGTCGTCGAAGCAGTCGGCGCTTGTCTTAACATTCTCTATCATCTGGGTTAAAATCTCGAGGTCATTCTTTTTATCCAAGCGATTCTTTTCTTCTCTGAACATCTCCTTTAATTGCGCACTCTTTTCCTTCCATTTCTCATCTACTTTCTCTAACCTCTCCAATAAAATCAGAGCCTTTTCCTTGACTTGAATATTACTTTCGAGTAATAAAACTTCTTCCATGATGTCATTTAGATGTCCAAGTGAAGCGAGTTCCGAGTCAGAAGTTAAGAGCAATCGTTCAAGTACAGCAATTCTGGAAGAGAGACCAAGTTGGGGTGAATTAAGCAGTAATTAATTACCTGATTTCGAGGTTATTTCCATTCAGAAAAAGTCCTTTCATCTCCTCTTTGATCATGTCTGGGCAGTTTTTTAGTAAGAATTTGGCCGCGCTCTCCTTGACGTAATCAATGTCCTCATGTTCTCGGGTTTTCATTAATTCGAATATCCTTTTGTGGACCGTATCTTCATCTGAAGATTTAGAAAATATTTTTATAAATTTTCAGCCAATGAGATTGACATGAGAAAAACTACCATAATCGAAGAAATCGGCGATCTTGTCGAGAATTAATATCGCGGAATCGACCAAAATCCAATTGGGGAATCCCTTGACCATCAGGATGTTGACGGTGAGGTCATTGAACACATTTCTGATTAGATTCTCCCTCAAGAGATCACACAATTCTTCAGATTCACTCAAAATGAAGTCAAGAATCTCCGGGGAGTTCTGAATCCTTAACTTAGCTGAGTCAAACGCCTGAATATATTCGGAAGAAGAGACCCCGGACCTGAGCCGAATATAATTGAGGTATTTAATTAATGAGTCATTTGAGCATTTCTTTGGCAAAGGGAGATTGGCGTTCAGATCTCTTCGGATTCTTGTCATTTCCTAAACTAAAAGCCATCGACCTCGTCATTAATTGTAATGATATCCATTATAAATTGATGTTCACCATCAAAGAGGCCTACTTCTTGGAAAATGTCTTCAATCTCTTCCAAATACTCGATTACACAGTCAGAAGACTGTCGTATATTAGAAACGACAACTCGAAGGAGTTCGGGTTGAAGTTGTAAACTGGAAATAACATTGCTTCCGTGACCCTCACTTACGTGCAAGTCTTGAGAAGTTCGGAACAAAGCTGTTGGGTCAACCTTTTATCTTCAACGTCTTCAATCTTCTTCAATACTTCGTTTTCGTTCAGTAATCTATAAAAGTACGACCTTTTACTTTAATCTTACAGTATACTCGCAATCAGTTTGATGACATTTAATCCAGGTCTCGTTAATTCCAAAAACTTTTTATAAATGCCCTCGATTTGTTGTTTATCCAATGTTTCGAAGAGATCTGTTTGTCGAAACACATAACTGGCTTCGTCGATTACTGTAACATCATCAGACTCCATCCAGCCTTTGAATAAAACCGCTCGGATTTCCTGTTCCTCTGTCGAATCCTTGGAGACTTCCACCATAAAATGCGCGATCTGTCTTCGAATCACAACATTTGATCTTTCGGACAACAAAACGGTCGCCCCCGAGGATAAGAGCACTGTAATCAAAACAATTGTTTATCGAACATGGAAACCAACCGTCTTTTACATCTCTCTGAAGCAATTTTCTCTTTTCCAATTCCATGGCAAGATCGTAAAGAAGTTGTTTTAAGCAAGAGCATTCGTTTGAAGCTTCCAGAAGATCTCTAATATGCTTGGAAACATAACCAACCCCTTCGGCCAGGTTATCTTCATTTAAAAAAGACGCAATCAACGCGCACAGGAGAGTAGTACTGCTTGAATTTCTATTCAATAAAGAGTAGATGTCCTCCAATTTAACAAGATCTTCAAATAAAACTTCTTTCTGCAATAACTTACTGGATAAAAACAGTTTTTGTGTCAAGTTCTTGAAAAAATAATGATCAAAATCCGAGGGAACATGATGAAATTCGGCGAGTCCAGCAAGTATATGTGCCATCTAAACTACTCTTCAATGCTTTACAACAAGCAAAAAAGTAATCAGAATCAAAAACTGGATCAACCAAGGCAATCGTCGAAGTAACAAAGATTTATTGGACAACAAGTAAGAGTAACAAAACATTCAACCAGTCGATTTATTTCCATTATTTTCTTTTTTTGGTCACCTTTCCTTTTCCGATTTTTTTGATTTTGTATTCTTTTCTCCCTCCAGAACCCTTCTGATTTTGATTATGTTTCCGATCCCGATATCTAATCTTTTGGCCAAACTTTTTGGGTAAATTTTTCATTCCGTCCTTTACCAAACTGGCCTTGGATTTCTTGAGCATGGCTTCCTTTCTGGCCTTCTGTTCATCCGTATCTCGTCGATAACCTTGTTCTTGCATCTGTTTTCGATTCTCTTTGATCCTCAGGGCATTCAAATTCTCTATCGAAAACTCGACAATTGGTCGCTAAAATAATTAAAATGATGAAGTAATACAAATAAACCTACTCTTTCATCTGTAAAGACCTCAGGGTTGTTATTCAGATTCCTCAAACAAGTCAGGGCGTCCAAATGATCAACAAATTCGACGAATCCGAATCCCTTGGATCTCCCCAGGATGGGCCGTCCTTGTTGATCCACGCCCGTTTTATTCCTCATAATCCTACATTCTTTTATGTAAGCATTCTTTGTCGCCTGATTCAAACACAAATTGAAAAGATCATCATCCCGAAATTTGAAGGGAATGTTATGAATCTAAATTTACGATTTTGTAAATTCATTTTGACTTACCGCTAACCTAGTGGGAGACACGAACATATGTAAGTTCTTGAGTTTTGTCTTAGCGGCTTCAATCAGCTTCTGTCTGAACTTGGCATCTTCTTCGCTCATTTCCTTGGCTTGAGCAGTTCCCATCCGAATCAACGATGCCCTCAACAACTTCAGATTTCTCTTATCCTTCCCTTCCTTCTTTTTACCCTCCGATTCAAACTTTTTGGCTTCTTCTCGAGGAACAGCCCGATGGCCCTCAATAATCCGGCCTTCAAAAAAGATACCAGATACCTAAAGCAATATAATTAATGTTCAAAAACTTACATCCAACTCTTCCAAACATTTATCCGCAGCTTCTTTTGTCTTAAAATGAACGAATGCGTTTCCACTTTTCTGTTCTGTTCCTGGGAATTTACAGAGAATGGCCAAAGAAACCTCACCAAACTTCTCCATATACGTTTTCAAACTCTCATTTGTTGCGTCAAACGACAGATTTCTAAACCAAAAAATTAAAACTGAATTTCATACAAACCTCAAGAAAACAACACGACCTTCGGCCACTGCATCATCCTTTTTATTTACTTTCTTCTCCTTAATCTCCTCCTCTTCGTCTGCCTCATCGTCCTCACCATCCATTAATTCGTCCTCTTCTTCTGTCTCCGATTCGTCCATGTCCTCATTATCCGCACTTTCAACATCGCTTGTGTTCTCTTCTTCTTCCACTTCTTCAGAATCAGATCCTGATTTATCAGATTCAACTTTCTCATCTTCTTTCGAATCATCAAACTTTTTAGCAACTTTCATGAGGTTTGAATGTTCAGCATTGCCTAAAGCAATAAAATAATTATTATAATATCCACATACCAACTTGTCGACTCATATAATCATCTTTATGCAAAGCCCAATCGACGGCAATCTTCCGGCCTTTAAATTGAGTAAAGTTGAGCTCCTTAACAGCATTTCTAGCGGACTCCCTAGCTCCATACTGAATGAATCCAAATCCAGCGATTGAATTAGGATATTTTTTATCTTTACACTTAGGTAATTGGATATCCTTGACAATGCCAAACTTAGAAAACAGCTCCTCAAACTCTTCTTTCGTCGTCTACACACAGCCAATTATCGAAAAATTATTCAAGACTCACATTAAAAGGTAGGTTCCGGACAACAATCCTAAACGCCTTCAGGCCAATATTCGGTTTCTTCTTGGGCCCACCAAAGTTCTTTTTGATGTCTGCGTCACCCACCTCTTCGTCCTTCACATCATTCAACTCTAATTTCTTGTAGTACTTGCTCATGATAACCATAGTAAATATTTTTCGTAAAAACAAAAAAAAATAATTTGTTTTTTCAAAAAGTCAATTGTTGCATTTCGTTTACTCGATTTGCAATTCGTTGAAATGAAAAGAGCATTCCGATGACACTGATCATGATTAGAAGAGGTTAACATACTCCGCAAAAAGGTTTGACCCGCTCTAACTCGGCCTAGAGTATACCAATTCGTACAAAAACATGGTACGTAGTCCACTGACAACCAAATAATAAAAAATAACTTACCAGGACAAACGACATAGTTGTATTTTGAAACCTAGGGACAGTTTTTCAAAATGACCTCAGAAAATTGGGGGGAAAATTGACCTGTAACCTAATGTCGCCAGCGACTGCCACCAGAACCGTATGTATTAACAGTATTCAACGCGTTAAGCCATTTGCTGCGTATACTTTACAAAGTGGTGAAAATCTTCCTCATGCATTTTCCAAAAATTCTAAATTATATCGATATCAGGTGGTTTAGACGGCTGGCTAATCAGCTATATTAAACTTGTCTTTCCGAAAAGGTCCGTGGTGGCCTCGGCGATGTGGACTCGGCAGATCTATTGTTGTCAGGTATTCAGTTTAATCTTAAGACTCCTATAGTGTGGCTGATGTGTTTCCCTTTACTTTCGAATGAGCTATTTTTCACGTGTAATCATTGATATCAAGGAGAATACAACGAACGATTTCAAAATGAAAAACGTCTGAGTTATTCTATTTAATTAGTGCGACTTCAATTTGCATTATGTTTTTGGAGATTCCCATGTACGGATTTGAATATAAACGCGTTGTTCTGATGTCATTGATAAAATAAACGCGTTGGAGAACATCTCCGATTACAATATCAGCAGAATGGAGAGTTACACACGCATATCTCTGCGTCATGATTCATTGTTCTCGTTGTGATAAGGGAGTTGAGGAGACAGAGAGAGTAATGGTTCGAATGACTAGAGAAGAGACGCCAGCCTTCTAATCAGTGATGGGAATGTGAAGAGTAAGAGATGGGAGTGCGAGTAAATCGATCGCTGAGTCGTTGACGAGAGGCCGTCAACGAAATGGGGGATGGGCACACCACCAATTAGGACCATCGCCCCTCTCTTCTTCACAATTCCTTTCTCTTTACAGTTAAATCTATTTAATTGAGTCATGTTATCGGGATCCCCGGGTCTCTCATCCAACGAAGTAAGTGCCAGTTATGTAATAATTCGCCTTTTCTCATTCTTAATTACTTGTTGTAATTGTCATCAATTTTACATAATTTTTTTACAGTTTTTGTTTACATTTATTTTTAGCTCAGACGAGATTTATTCGAATTTATAAATGGGCCAAGCACATCAACGTCCCTGGACCGTCTTGGAGCTTCTTATCTCGGGGCATTTCCTCCCCTGGAGACTCCGGTTTTACACCTTCTGACCCCAAATTCAACGTTCTCGGGCAATCCATTTCGTCTTCCGGGGACCAATGAATCCCTTTTCCCAGGTAAGCAAGCACCTGTTCGACCACGGGTCCGCTTTTAATATTCAAGCTCATGACCATATTTGTGTATTGAATATATTTAATTAATTACAAGTCTCAAGTGTGACATGGTGTATCCATCTTCAGAGTTCTTCCCTCAGATCTCTAGACAACCTCCGCCGATTCAATTAAAAGATCCGCCACCTCCGCCAAGGGGCATTAATGCAGAAGAGGAGGAAGAGGACACAAAACCCATACTTCCAGCACCTTTCACGCATCCCTCTCCCCTGCTACACTCGCCCATTCTGATGCCTTTCCTTCTCGATCTTCATCATGGATCAGGGATTTCTCCGTCGTTGTTGTCCCCGCATTTATTACTTCAGCCCCTTTCGGCGACTTTGTCTCCTTTGAGTAATTTTTCGAGCCATTTAAACTCAGGAAATGATCTAATGACAATGATGAATCTACAATCCAATGTGATTATAAAGGAAGAGAACACTCAGTCCAGGTAAGAGATCGTCCGTATCTCCGCGAAAAGAGTTTTGACAAAAAACCCATGGCGGCCTTGTCTGTGCGGACTCGGCAGATATCTTGTTGCCATGTTCAGCTTAGGCGACCCATTTGCTCTTTGCGAGATGTCTAGGTCATTAATGTAATCCTGAGACTGGTATTTTACAAATGGGGCGCAAATTGTAAAGAAAAAAGAGGACTCCCTTCCCAATTTTTTTGAGGTGATTTATGAAAGTTGTCTCTAGATTACGAAACAAAGCTATACGGTTCGTTCTGCTAAGTTATTCGTTTTTATTTGGTTGTCAGTAGACTACATACCAAGTTTGGTCCGAATTGGTACACTCAGGACCGAGTTAGACGGGGGTCGAAACGTTTTTCGTGGATTATACGTTATACCCTAATATTGAAGTTATTATTATATGAGTTCAGTATATCAGAACAAGACTCTCTGGACCAAGCTCTTGATCTCAGTGGGAACAAAGAATTAAAAAAGATGAAGAAGGTCAAAAGACATTTCAAGGGCGTCCACAAATGTCCCCATGAAGGCTGTGACAAGGCCTACAACAAGAGTTCCCATCTCAAAGCCCATATTCGGACGCACAGTGGGGAAAAACCGTTCGTGTGTGATTGGGTCGATTGCGATTGGAGATTTGCCAGAAGCGACGAATTAACACGGTAAGGGGAAAGTATTGAAGTGCCTCGAGAACTGGAATTATAACTGAATAATTTGAGACCACGATTCTTTCAAAATTTTTTAAGATTTGGTCAAAGAGCCGTGGTTATGTCTTACAAAATGAAATCCCTTCTTTGCAGGCATTACCGACGCCATACAGGCTATCGGCCTTTCAAATGTCCGCACTGCACTACAGTAACCAAGTTTGCCCGCTCGGATCATCTCCGTTCTCATGTCAAAAACAGACATCCCGGGCTTCCAGCCACTGTATAGTCACTATCACTGTTATGTAAATAAAAAATAATTGCAATGACCAGTTTTGTGATGTCGTTAGTTGTCATTTCTTGTTAGAAAAATACATATTACACGATATGAACAATGTGATGACGTCACTCGTCATAAAAACACTTTGGAATCTGCTGATAGCGCCATAATTAGAGAAATTCCAGTAGATTTGGGAGTGGCTGCTCCACAATCACAAGGGTTGCCGAAATTAAAAAAAAATCAAATCAAGTGTCAATATCCCGCATTCATTGTCGGATCTAAAAGTTAATGATAATAAATAGTTCTGTCCACGGAAAAAGTGTCCTCTCTGACCGCGTTGTTTCTCGGCCACAAAGAACGTCAAATATCTTGGCTGATTTGCAAAGCGATAGATAACACTTTCATGAATTGTTATGTGGCCCAGCTCCAGCTACAGTAATGTGATTTTTAACTTGGCCACATTTTACCACTTTGGCTACCATTTATTAAATTTGGGAGGGGGGGCTAACAGAGAAGAAATCGCGGTTTCCGGCCACGACACTCGATTTGGTGCGTATGTCACCATCCTTATATCTTTCAGTTTCCCCAATTATGTTTTTGCCCAATTGGCGGCGTTCCTTATCAGTAGTATCGTTTGATAAACTGTCGTGGTTTCATTTTCTGTTTTCCTTAGTCTTTGAGGAACATGTCTATCCCTTATTCTAAACTAAGAGGTATGTTGAGACACTATAATCCGGACAGATTTCTTAAGATAACCCCAAATTTGGGCCTATTAAAGGAACGATACCTCCGAGGACAGTGATTGTAATCGACAGATCGGAAGCTAAACGACAAGGTAAGAATGATCAGATTATCATTCTGTCGAGAAAATAATAAGCACAATGTCGCTTCGCCGATGCCAAAGTGGAAAGCAATTTGTTTTCCCGCGACACAATTCATTTTTCATGGCGGTGATGCGATTTTCTATGCGACAGACTACTCACTATTTTCCCGACAGACCGATAGAATAATTACAATAAGAGTGTACTTTAGAATGGAAATCCTTGATCTTTTTCGTCATCATGCTTTCTGTGATCGGTCTAATTCTATTTTCTACCGCTTTTTTCGCTAAAGCCAAATATGGATTTGATAGTGCTGATAAGGAAATGGACAAGTTTCTTCATATATTTGATCCCCCTAACGCCCCCCAAGAAGATGAGATTCTTCTGCCTTTACCTAAGAGATTCCCCATGACAATAGAACCCTCCAGATGTAATCTGGATCAGTCTTGTGGCAATCAAAAAGATATTTTCACTGAAACACAAGAGAAAATTGATTATGAATTTGGAAAGTGGCTGTTAAATCATCATGATTATAATGGTATGCTGCAGAAACAGATGAATACCTGTTTAATCGACTATCAGAGCCCATACAGAGATCTTTCTCTACCGTTTGAGAGGTGTTTTGAACGAAAAATGCATCAAGTTAAAGAGAAAATCGCAGATGTTAACAACGCCGGCCCAATTAGTTCTGCATTGAAGGTGCACTTTGGAATCGACCATTTGATTAAGGTTTGTTAACCCTCTTGATTACAATTGTTTAGGCAACTGTTGAGCCCAATTACATTGCCCCCAGCGGTAATCTAAAATACATCATCTACATTGATCAGGCAATTCCTGAAGCCCCAGTCAGATATGTAGCTCCAAGGAATTCTATGCCAAGCGTTTCTAAACTTATTCGTTTAAATCTCCCCAGAATAAGGTCTTATAAATCGGATTCAGAAGATTCCTCGAAATGGAAGAGCTTTACAATTGAAGAGGCCGACCAAAGATGGACATTCCTCTCATTTCAAGACTATTTCGAAGGTCTGGGAGTAGACACAAAGGATCTGGTTTTCGTTGTAAAAACTCCAGAGTACTTAGATAAACTGAGCAAACTGTTCGAATTAGTGCAGACCCGTCAAGACAACGATGCTTTACACATAGCATTAGCAGTAGGTCATAACAGGCGGTTTAAAAATAAGTATTCTAGTCATACACCCTTAACTTCGAGTGCGAAAAATACCTTGGACAAGGTAGGATCGAGAGAGAGCTCGAGGAGAAATACGGTATCGGAGTCGGCCACACCGATGATACAGTAAGTATTACAGGTACTAATGCAGCATTCTGTAGGAAACAGAAGCGATTCGATTCTGTGGAAATTCGATGAGAGAAACTCTGGGGAAATATTCTTCTGCAATCTTTGATGACTTGTTTCGGAATTCTAAAAAGAAAATTGACATGATCGACACGATGGTGGAGAAGATACTCAGGCAAATGAAGAACATCGTACACAAATCTACAAATTCGGAGGCCACGAAATCAAGGATGATCCAAAAACTAAATTCATTGGAATGGGACTTCAGTTCTACAAATACTGAGGATCTGGGAAGACTTCTAAACGGATTTAGACATGACCAAGACTCACATTTCGTCGAATTCATAGAAAAAATCAAGGGGTAAATCAAAGTTATCTAAGACACATGTTTAGTTTGCGATTTAACGAAACACTCAAACAGTTAAAAATGCAAAGGATCCCCAAGCCATCCTCGACCTTTCAACCCATCGATTCCTCTGATCTCAGCCATCTGAAATACAGTAGAACCGGAAATTGGATGAATATTCCCTCTGCCTCACAGATCCTTCCCATTTTTACCAAATTTGGTGTCCCGGTAAGCTTAGTCATTATGGAAATAATATTCTTCAGAACGCTGATTTCTACGCCCAACTGGGGTGGAAGATCGCTTCGGAAATGGCAAAGGCCATAGATAATGCTGGTCTGAGATTTGACGATTGGGGAGTTTACAAGATCGAGGACGAATACGAGGATATAAATGCATGGGAAGGTAGGCTGAACTATTATTGTAAGACTACTCAACAGACTTGACATCTGTCCTTCCGAAAAGGAGTAATGAGGAGACTCGGACTACCACCAATGAAATCATTGGCTTAAAGGTCGCTTTTGATGTATATCAGCAAGAACTCAGCCGCCTGAAAACCCTCACTAACTTCGATGACATGACCAAGATGGCTTCAAGACAATTTTTGTCTTCGGCAATGCGAAACCCTTGCGGACTTAGACCGAAAGAATCGCGAAAGGTAATCCAACATGGAAAAAGTTGGGGAAAAGACAATTGGGGAAACCGAAAAAAAATTTTTCCTGCATAAGTGTCGAAAGTAGGGTAATCGATGGGGTAGATTTCAAAAATCATCTTCATTTTTTCTGATTGTTACTTTTTTAAAGAGTACAGGGTGGGCCACTGGAAACTTCCTACCTTGTTTTGCGTATTTGTCCGCCGATATTGCTGATTTTTGTTCAGATATTTTAGGCCACACTGTAGACATAACATGTAAAATTACAGTTCACACTGATGACTTTCATTAATGCGCTGAACAGAAGAGCAGAGAAATGTCCAGACACATCAGAGTTCGTTCATGTTGGCATTGGATTTTAGAATTTAAATAAAGCATTTATTAACCTAAATATTGTTTCGAAGGACGGATAGCATCTGAGAATGATTCAGAATCCCGCAATCGATAAATTCTTTTGATCTCGGCTCGGTTCTGAAAGTATAAAATTTATAAAAAAATTACTAAGCCAATCTGCATTACTTTAAGTTACCTTAAGTATTCAATCCTGATGTGATCATGAGGTTGGAATGATTTCTTAGCTTGGATTACAAAAATATGCGGGATCCCAAGTTGATTGAGTTCGTTTAGTCGACGCCCAACGCTTTTCTGAATCCTGTCGTCAATCAGAATATCTCCATCAAGATTTCTCAGTCCTTCCAAGGTATCCAACATTGAATAAGCAAAATCTAAAGGTGGAGTCACAGCCCCCGTTGGCTTTGGAAGAACAATCGCAACTTTGAAAGGACTCAAAGGATACGGTAATCTCATCGCATTTCCAGTCGAGAGTGTGTCGATACTAAAGAAAACACTCGATTTAAATAGAACGCATACCTTGCTGCTATCAATCTGGTCAGTCCTATTCCAAAACAATTCATTGAATAGGGAATACCATCGTCTCCTTTGGCATTGAATACAGAGGAGTATTCCGTTCCCAGCATAAAAGTATGAGCAACTTCCACAGTGGGTACACTCTCCATCTTATTGTCACATTTCTCACATTTAATATTTGGTGACCAAAGCGTTGATGTCTTACAGTCTCTACATAAAGCAATATGATCTTGTGCTGCAGCGTTTTGCAAATGATACTCATGGGACACATCTCCTCCCATGTCCCCATTCTCAGCATCTACAATTTGGATTTCGGTCAATCCCAGACGCTCGAAGAATATCCTTTTGTATGCATCAGTGACAATCTAAAACAAAAAAAAAATAAAATAAAAAGCTGCACCAGACCTTGTAAGTATTAGATGCGGATTGTAAGCTGACATCGAAAGAATACAAATCATTCATCAAGAACTGCGTGGATCTGATCATCCCGTACTCCGGACGCGCCTCGTTTCTGAACTTTTCTGTACTCTAAACTAAAAATATACAATAGAAGACAATTACCTGATATAACAATAAAGGACGCCCATCCGATATCCCTGCTCCATGATGCGCAACGATCTCTGTGATCATTTCTTCTCCAGTCGGTTGAAGACAGAACTCAGCGTTCTCGCAGTTCTTGGTTTTAAACATAATCGATCCGTTCCTCTCCCATCGTCCACTTTTATTCCATAATTGTGCAGTAGCCATCAATGGCATAGACACCTTCTGAGCTCCAATCTGATTTAATTCATCTTCTACCACCTTCTGAAGCTTATCCAATACTCGTTGGCCCAAGGGAAGAAATGCAAATTGTCCTTTACCTAATAAGATTAGATAGTGCCTGAAAAGAGACCTACATGTTTGACTGATCATTCCATTCGAAATCATCAAAGAATGGCTGAGTTTTTTCTTTACGTCTATTGGATACCTATGCCAAAACAATTTAGAGGCATAATTTAACGGCATTGCGAACAATGAACCCCTCTTTATGACCACTAACCTACATACCTATTAAAATATTGTTCTGATTTTTTAAAATTTTCTTTAAATGTGTCAAGTGTTGTCATGGTGTCAAGTGTAATCCCAATCACAAAAAAATTTCTCCACACGGCTGTTTCAAACAGAAGGAAAGTGGGTCCTTCGTTTTTCCTTCTATGAAGCGGGGGCGCTGCTCGCGGAGGCCAAAAAATTAATGTTTTCTACTGTAACTTCTAAACTAACAGTCGAAATAAAAATCGCCCAGACGATGGCAAACTGCAGGTTGTCCTTCATCTGATGACTTATTAACAACATCGGAAAAGTGAAATCAGAGATCAATTGCCTGTGCGGCTAAATTGACCTATGTTGAGAACATCGTATCAGAGTCAGAAATAAAGATTGGAACTTCATATGGAAAGGTGGATATGTAAAAACATCATTCTGTCATAGACACCGAAAACATTAAAAATGGTTGACTGAGGACGAATTATGAAGTCATCCTAAAAATGCTGATTTTTGTAAATGTTGGAAAACTACAGTATCCGTTGAACTAACAGTCGAGCAAAAATCGAGCAGAAATTTAGAAAATACTTTGCTTAGCTACATTTTGGTACACAGCATGGCATTTTGTAAGTCATCAAATGAGTGGACTTGTCTGTGGCCGAAAGTATTTTTCTTATGTTATGGCGGGTCAAAGTTGATTGTGTATCAAATCTTAAGTTAGATACTAAAAGGATGGTCACAGAAGTTCTCGGCTTTTATTTTTGCTGTAGTCGAATTTCAGTGCCAAAAAGTATCGGCACTGAATTTGAAAATTCATTGCCAAAAAAAGCTCGAAAATGTGAGGAAAACCAGCGTAGATTTTGGAAAATCGCTGTAGGATGAAAATTAAAGCGTTTACTGATATTTCAAAATCAATTTCAACTTTAAAGTAGGCAAATTGACTGTTACCTCATTCGATGTTTTTTAGAAACTTTAATGAACATTGAAGTTTCTTTTTTTTTTTGATATAGCGGGTCAAATTGGTCCCTGGTGAAAAGACCAATGAAATTTTTTAAAATTGTTTTTGCATCGATTACGTCATGCTTCTGATGATACGGTATGCCGTATCATCACTACGGTACGATTTCTTCCTAAACATGTTCTATCGTATAACTTCGTGCTATGCGCGTTTCATTCTTTTTCCGAAAATTTTCACAATAGATGCTTTTGAAACCGCCGTGGAGCTCCACACGCGTCAAGGCGTGACCATCGGTTCCTCCTCTCTCTCTGTTCGAAGTCTTTTTCTTTCCATTGTAAAGATATTCTACTTGGTTACTCGCAATACTAATAATGGCTGACTGAGTCACTCTTCTTGACTCAATACTGCTCCCGGAAAGTAATGGGGCAGCGAGTTAGTGGTCTTGTCGACCATCTCAACCCCTTCTCAACAAATAATCCAGCTCCAGAGGTGTCAGATGACTTCAGAAGACGTCGAGCATCCCGGGAAGATCCGAGTTCGGATCATTTCTTCTTTGGATCCCATTTTCTGATGGGAGGAAAAAGATTCGAAGTGGCTAAACCTGAAGCATTTCTGTTTGGACAGAACTCGGACTTGGATTTGTTCGGATCTCCTGTCAAAGTAAGCTTCCAGCATCACTTTCATGTTGTTATAGTTTCCCTACGGCGGCGTTTCGGAGACAGTTGGTGCATTAAATGCCTTGGTTAACATCCGAAAGGATTCAATCAAGATTGTTAGGTAAGGTGTTATTTTATTATCTATAATTTTTTAGGAATGAAAGAGAAGGACTCTATAATCTCGAATTCATATTCGATACTGATGTTAATTGTTACATCCAAGTTCACTACTGTGCCCGGGAATTAATTGAAAACAATTTGTTTAAATTTGACGTCCGACTGCCCGACATGAAGCCATCTGAGAAGTTTTATTTTAGCATTGGTGCCAACCAAGTGTTTAACCGCTTGACATTAGAGGAATGTCAGTTCGATCCTCAGAAAGTAAGGATTCCTATTATTGTCAAGACCTTTTTTAGATAAATTATAATGGTGGATTCTGGTACCCCGTCGTGATTGAGATTCGCACAGCAGACGAGGAATGTGGGTTCAAAGAACAAGTGCAAATAACAATGTGCATATTCGAGAAGAGTTCCAATGCTGGCTGTCCTTATGCACTGAAGCCCCTCAAACAAAAATTGATAACAGATGGAGTAATATTCGTAATGCAAGAAGTTTTCGGCATTGAAAACCGAGAAACTGATCGAGATCGCGCCTTTGAATGTGTCGTCTGCCGGGATAATCCGAGCGACACCTTGCTCCTTCCTTGTCGGCATCTCTGTATCTGCAACCAATGTGATTCTGATTTCCTTAGTAACGTAAGTACAAAAAGGGTTTACTCAAAAGCTAAATATTATAGGTGAAGGAATGCCCTATCTGCCGTACTCCCGTCAAAGCATTACTCACATTGAACGCAGTAAAGTCAATTGAGATTGGAACGAAAGGCCATAATTCAGCGTGAGTAATTATGTTCTCTCTGTGACGTTATAATTTAGAATCGAATCGGTTCATCTAACTGAAGCCTTAAATGGTCCCTTTATGTTGTCCAGAGCAGGGTCAAGACGTTCAGTTATCTCCCGAAGATCAAGTCAAACCTCGTCTCTGAGGTCGAAAAGGAATGCGACCTTGGATTCTCGAGGCTCTTCTGGCCAGTTGCAAGTATTCCCCCCAAGTATTCATGAAAATCCAGCCAGTGAGTGTATAGAACTCGAGGATATCGTGAGTGTCACCTGAGTCGTATGTACATTCAAAACTTGTGATTGAAAACGGGTTTCTTTCAATATCAGCCTTTCATTAAATTTTTATTGCGTTTATTTTAAAGCACTTATGCTAATGTATACCCGTAAAATAAATTAGTAGTCTATATCAATAGTTAGTATACCCATTTTGAATTAACAAATTTCTTTTAAATCTGAAAGACTGGCAAGTGGAAATAGACCATTCGAAGCAAAGCTTTCGAATTTACTAGCCGGACAAAGACCATGAATAAGACTCTCGGAACAGAAATTTACATTGGAAGTCTGGTCTAATCCATTAAACAAAACTCTCACAAAAAGATTTTCTCCAGAGATATGAGCCGAGGATTCGAATAATTCAAATACGATCCTCGAAGAGTAATGAGGAGGGATTCTGTCAGTCAAATTTAAAGTGTTAACTAAGGCCTCTAGTGTAATATCGTGACCACTAAGCACCTTGACTATCTTAGAATTCACTTTTCGCCCTTTCAAATTCTGAATCATTATACTGAGATGGTTGAAAAGGGCGTAGGCTTCTATGACATTCATGGATTTGGTAATCTTGGACGACTCTGTGGCCATTCTCTTGGCAATTGTTGCACTTTCATCAGCAACTTCCATAATATCATTCAAAGTCAAACAATCTCCGTCAGCTTGGCAAGGGAAGGGGGATCGCCTGCAGGCATATCGTCCAAGGATAACATCAAATAATTGTAACGGATGTTCCACCTTCTCCATTCCGACCATTTCTCCAAGAGATTTTATCCGTTGTTTTAATCTGGGCTCAGTCCGAGTATGGAATTCTTTAATCCTTTCCTGCAACATTGTCATCTTGAAGATCATGGCTTACCATTTCCGAGAGTTTACGAATCTTGTCGTAAGAAGGGCAGTAACAAGGAGCATGATCATTCAGGCAGAAGTGAGTCGTGTTAGAAGCTTTCAGATGAACGTTTTTTAGATCATCCAAAACATAAAAGAAGGTCGATGTAAAGGCAATAGCCGATTGGAATGTCCTCGAATACATCGAAGAACTCAATGTGACATCAATTGTATTTAAATCTGGCAATATATTTTACTATACAATTTAACCTACCGTCAAACAATCCTTGGAGCTTGTATTTCTCATGAAGATAAGAGCCCAGTTTAAGCAATTGCAGTGCTCCTTCTGCCGTCATATGGCCGTATTCGCATTTAGAACTATAATACAATAAAATTGAGCAAGAACATACCTGTGTGGATGCCATGAAAAATTCCTTGGGAATATTGGATCCACTATCAAAAATTCTCGAAACTTATCTGAAGCCAGTAGCTGCGTGTATGAAGCAAACGCCCGCCTGTCGATATCAAAGTAAGGAGAACAATTGGGCCCATAACTGTTCTTCAATTCAATTAATGGTGATCTACAAGTCCTTATAATTATCAACTATACTTTCCCTTACCGTTCGCCATGTCTAAAAACAATCATAACGCCCCTCAACTTCCATTCTGTCTTATAGAAGTCTCCTTCTTTCCCTTTCACTGGATGTTCTAGATATTGGCATCGCTCTATAAGCATTGCAGGTCGCTCGGGATGGACAAAGAACTTGCCATGTCTCGGACCTAAATAATATAATCTACAAAAAGGGCAGGAATAGCATACCCAACCATTCAAATGGAACCAAATAGTACAAAAACAAAATGGAGAATAAAGCACACAGCAAACACTTCTCTTTTCTCATCTCACCATCACTTTCCACCTGCAGTTAGAGTTGGAATAATTAGAAAATCTATAAGATAATCATGGCATACAACCAGCTTTACAATAAAATTGTCCAAAGAGAAAGATTTTATTGTACTATAAACACAACTGATAACTCAATATTTCCTAACTGGTTCCCCAATGTTGAGAAGGGAATCACGGTTGAAGTAAGTCGGGTCAAAGTAATCAAACTTGTCATTCTGATCGAGGCCCTTGGCCAGAAGACCGGGATGATCTTTCTCAATTTGATCGGCACTCCTGATATCCCTTTCAGTAAAGACAGTAAAACCAGTGTATCGTTGCCAGTTCTAAATGTTTAAAAATAAATTTAAAGCAAGACTTACCCTGGCATTGTATTTGGTCTGATAATATAATGCTTGAACTAGTATTAGACCCATCAAAAGCTTTGGGACAAAAGCTCGAATGGCTAGTCCATAAAAAGGTCCCTAAAACATAAATCAATTTGTTGAGCAATTTTCGTTCAGTCTCTTACGAAAGTTGGATTGAGGAATCTTCTGTACAACACATCCCAAGGTTTTCTGTAAAGGACTCTGACAGGATTCAGCTGACGATGCACAGCGTCGACATGAACTGGTTCATCAGGATGCAGATGTTGATCTTTCAACCACTTTCTAAACAAGCCTAAAACAAAATTAGAGCACACTTACGCTCTCCACTCCCTTTCAGCCGGAGATAATCCAGCCATTCTTTGGCGCTCATCGGCCATGTGCAGCTGGAGGCTCATCAATTCATGGGTCCGGTGACCCGGCTTCTCCGACACCTGAGTCAACTTCACCGGAGGTTCACCGGATCGAGTAAAAGGACTGGGACCCGTCTTCTTGGGCAGAGAGTAAGAAGTACCCATGGCGAGGGTCTGCAAAACATCTCAACGTGTATAAAATGAGGGAAAACAAAGAATTCGCGGATAATTGGAGCGATGTTATCTTCTCAATAAGAGGGCACCAGTCCATTAAATAAAGAACTCGTATTGGAAACTGGAAATAACGTCAATCAAATTTTTCCTGATCAAAAGATCCTAACTAAACGGAAGTTGGCCAATATCTGTATACTCAAAACATACTTGCAAACAGTAAATTGATCTTAACAAGGGAAGGCTTCCAAATGCAATGCTCAGATTTTCTTTAAACTTTGCACACGTGTCAGACATAGGCCACTTATCAATTCTTAGAAGTTTTAGCTCGCGCTTTGCAGGTGTAGCAGATATATGCATGAAACTTTTCACGCAAAAATTCGGAAAAAAGTATCGCATCTTTGCCAACTCTCGATCTAAAAAGTTTCTGCAAAGCGCGAGCTTGGAGACTCGCATATATATTAGAAAAAATAGATCTAAAACTGTGCCAAATTCCATCAAAACCTGAGCGGCGCAATTGGAGTGCTTGTCCTGTAAGTGCAAACAATCAGGAATAAATACATCAAATAGCTAAACCAACCAGACTCTATAGAGGTAGCTGCCTCAAACTTGGATAGACCATTCTAAACAATGTACATGTACATGCACACAATATTATTAATAATATATTGTGTGCATGTTGTAATTTTCTATATTTTCTTTTTTCCTTGGCTTTCTGTTATAGAAACAGTTTATCTTTTTGGGAGCCAATAATGTCGCGGGAAGACGGATTTCCAAAAGAAAGAAAAATTTTATTTTTCGCGAAAAATGAAAGTTTTCTTTCTTTTGGAATTCGACAATTGCCGAAAATATCATTTGAATAATATTTTTCTATACACGAGTCATAAAAGACATAACTCCTCGTAAAGACTTATATGATAGGTCAAAATAAGAAGTGGAAAAGTGACATATAAGTCAAAAAAGGCGGAACTTATTTGGGTTGACTTAAAAAATGGAATAATAACTTATATTGACAACAAATACCGGCCGACCGGTATCGGACAGGAAAGCTTTTGAGCGCCAAAAACGCATTTTAGTTTGTGTACATTTTGTATTGTATTTATATGTCGATATTAGAATAAATTTTTCATAGTCAATTTTCCCCGAGTGGCGAGATTAAAATGACATATAAGTCATTCGGGTAGTTATGTCTTTTTTGACTCGCTAAGTAATCCCATTCCAAATAAGTGAAGTTTTAAGCAAATCCTTTATGGACGGTCTCAAACGACCTCACCGAGTGGATCAGCCAAATGTAAAGAATGATAAACGTCAGAAATTAGATCTACCGGATACCCCGTAAGTAATATTATCACAGCTAATGATGGAGTTTAGTATATACATCCGAGTATCCGATGTTGTTCAAGGGAGTCAATGTCTCCATGTCTCAGGGAAAAGAGTTGACGATCTTAGTGAAATCAAGGTTATTCTGAATGATATGTGGTCTTATTCAGTCGTTAAGCCTGGGCATTTGATTGCTGTAATGGATGTCTCTAACCCGTTTACTAATGTAAGAAGTTTAATGTTAATTTTTATCCACCAGGTGCTTGAGGTTGATATGAACGAAGGAAAGCTTGTCGTGGAGCCGTTATTCTTAATCTCACCCACGGTCTTGACATCCGTGATGTTTTGTGAACGGAAGGCAATGCTTAACGAAAGATTCAAGGCGGCAGGGACCAACAGACATATGCTTTTGGGATGTGCTGTCCATGAAGTCTTCCAGGTGATGCTTTTCTTATCGCTTCTGAGTTCTTATTTTAGACCGCCCTTGAAAAAGATCTTGTGCGACCATCAAAAGAAGATCTACAAGCTATTGCAGAAAAGATTGTCCTAAGTAAGTACAGCGTGGACCTTGTTCTTCTGAATGAAAAGCTGGATTCCTTCATGTCGGACTTGACCCCATACATTGAGAATTGCTCCACATGGCTAAAGATGCATGCTCCCAAACCAATAGGATTCTCGAAGCCATTGGATAAACAATTGCATCGGATCTCTAAAATTTCCGGGATCGAGCATTTCATCTCGGATAAGACATTGGGGTTGAAGGGGAAGATCGATGTTTCGTTTTTGGTACGATTTTTTTATATTGCATTTACTCCTTCCAGGCGTTTAACAAGTCCCTCACATTTCCGTTGGAACTCAAAACAGGAAAGTCTGCCAAAAGTTTGGAGCACCAAACCCAAGTATTTTTATATTCTCTGATGTTAAAGTACACTTCAAATGAGAAGCAAATTGCTCCAGGGTGGATTTTGTATTTGAAGGACCTGCAGATGTTCAAGGTGGAGCCCGGAGAAAAAGACTTAATTGGAGTTATGCACATGCGGAACTCACTGGCGAGTAAATTGACTGATCTCAGCATAGATTCTTTTCCTCGTAAGTGACATATTCAGGCATGGGTATTTACACGTCAATCCAGCATACTTGAAGCTTTTTCCTGACCACAATGCGGCATTTCATATCTTTCAAAAATCAAGTTTAGCCTTATCAAGCCATTAAAAAAAATCAAGTTGGAACACCTTGTTTGCTATTTGCTCGTTACTAAGTGCTCGAAGAACCCGGATTAGAAGAAATGCTTTTTAAGATTAAAAATCGGGCACTTTAGGTCAAAGTTACAGCTCGTTGAGTAGTTACTACAAGTTTTGAAAGTGCGATTTTGAGTTGAAGAGCAAAATTTTCGTTCATAACTTTTGATTGACTGCACATATCACGACATTTTTCCACCAAATTTGAGGTCTCTATGAAAAAAAATTTTTGGGTCATAAATTTTAAAATTTTCAGTGTTGTTTTTAGAACGTTTCCTGTGGGCTTTTAAACCATATTTCGTGTAATCTACACCAAAAAATTATGGGTTCATAAATTAGCTGGCAAAACTCGATTTTTTTTTCTTGTGCAACTCTGCTTGATGTGGAGTGGTTTTGTCTAATGGTCTAGCCACTGAAGCTATTTTACATCTTCGTGTCTAACAAATATCGATGTAAAATTTTTGGAAAGACAAAAAACTAAATTTTTACAAACAAAAAAGAATACCGCTTGCAAACGTCTTGGCACATCGTGACCTTAGGTATTTTAATTATTACATAAGGTCCCACTACACATTTATCATCAAAATCATTGTCTAGTGGGACATTGCAGTTCGTTAAACATGCTGAATCCGTGATGAAATCCATGGTTTTCAGGAAAAAAACTAGGTATTCGCGACCTAGGTCGTGAGCTTGTTGATGACGACTTCACCTAAAGAAGGTGTAATTACCATCCTAGTTTAGTATTTTGGGGTCAACACCTTGACTTTTTGGCGGATCTTTTTTTTATTCTGCTATATTGGTTATTAAATATTGGGCCGATCCCGCTCTGCCACAAATGAAAAGCACCAAAGTTTGCGGATTTTTTCCTTTGGCTTTGCGTAGATTGACCGTTCCCAGTACAGTTGATGTCTTTCTTTTTTATCCTTTGTGTACTTGCCATTGTAAATCGGGATGTTTGTGGTCCTATAATTAATTTAGCTATCACCAAGGATCCAAAGTTCTGTGAAGGATGTGAACAGAAACTGAACTGCTCTCTGATGAATAAATTCGGTGATGGCACTTGCAAAGCCAAGGATTCCATCGCTTTTATGGAAAGTCTGATCGAACATCTCGAGTACAAGGAACTCATGTATTGCACTAAATGGATACGATGGCATTTCATGGAATTGGGAGAACAGAAAAAAAGAAACGAGGAGAATTATTTGAAGGACAGAACCAACTCTCTTGATGGATACACAGTGTTTTCTCTGGCTTTCGAGAACACTTTTGCATTAATGCAGAATACACCGGAAATGTAAGTCTCAGTAAGTCATCATGTTACTACTCTTTTTTAGGGCAAAGTTGCGTGATATTGTGATTGGATTTCGTAAGCCCCGATTCGTCCCATTGAATCATGTTCCTCTGACCAAAATAAAAGGTTTTATAAACGAATTGGACGAGGATCAGCGAGATGCTGTTGTAAAATGCCTCCGAGCCGAAGATTTTGCGCTTGTCCAAGGCTTTCCTGGAGCTGGTGAGTTTTTACTTTATTAATGATTATGTTTATATTCAGGTAAAACAACTACCATGTGTGCCTTCCTGAGATCAATATTATCCTTGAGGAAAACGGCGATTGTGTCTGCTCACACCAACTCAGCCGTTGATAACATTTTACTAAAATTGGCAAATGACGTTTCCCCAGATTCCATTTTGAGAATTGGAAGTCAGAAATCTATTCATCCGGGATGTGAAAAATTTGTCTTGGAATATCGTTTGAATGCAATTGCAGATGATGGAAGTATTGACAACAAGGAAAAGATGGTCAAAATAAAGAAGCTTCTAATGGAGACAGTAAGTATATACTCAATTATAGGAGTGCTTTTAGCCAATAATCTTCACCACGTGCTTGATGGCGTCCAGTCATGCCTTGTTTTCCTCCCGTCGATTCGATTATTGTGTTCTGGATGAGGCGTCTCAAGTGGTCGAGAATATTGCATTGAAGCCTTTGAGTTGTGCAGATGTCTTCATAATGGTCGGGGATATCAATCAGTTGTGTCCTCTGGTGGTTAACGAACGAGCTGGGTAATCTAATCATTTTTTTATTTAATTTTTTTTTAGATATGAAGGAATGGAATTGTCGTTGATGGAACGACTATTAAGATACCATGATTATGTTGGGGAACATACGGCCACGCTTTCCAAGCAATACAGGATGAATAAGATGATCTGTTCATTATCCAGCAATATGTTTTATGAAGGAAAATTGGTATGCGCGAACAAGACGGTGTCCGAGAAAGTGTTAGAGGTCCTTTCTACTGAAAACAATGAAAATATTAATCCAGGTAGGTGGGTCAAAATATACTTAGGGCGTTTAGAAGTCGTGATGGGTTTGGTGTCCCCGAAATTGGAGGATTCCGTGCTGTTTATCGACACTTACTCTCAAAGTTATGGTTCCGAGTTTGCGGCCAATGCGGCCGTTGGATCGAGGTCTCGTTTTAATCCCGGAGAAGCTTCTTACGTCATCAGAATATGCAGTTTCCTAATGGAGGTATGTGCACAGACCTGAGCTTATCTTTTAGTTTTTTTAGTCTGGACTACCAAGTGACGAAATTGGAATTGCTTCTCCATACAAAGGTCAAATCGAATATCTGCTAAAGAAGTTATCTCAGAGATTCCCAGAGAATGCTCCCGAATGCAGTACAATTGACAGATACCAAGGAAGGGATAAGTCTGTCATGATATTATCCTTGGTTGATGGGGGTCCAGAAGGGTCAAGTCAAAGTCCAGACCTGTTGTCGGACCGCAAAAGATTGAATGTGGCCCTCACTCGGGCCAAGAAGAAGTTAATTTTGGTTGGATGTAAGGAAACTCTCAGCAAATCTTGCTTGATTGAACATCTGCTCAACAAGATCTCTCTAACTATCAGAGCTTTTTGACTATATTGTATATCCCTGTGAATTATGTCTTTGTATCCAGTATCTTTCTTTCTTGTAATGTTATTTGATATCTCCCATTACCTGAATATTATATCCCCTCCAATAAACTGGTAATATTTATTTTACCGTTCTCTGTTATTTACCAAAATTTCAAAACTATTTCCGGTGCGCGTAACGAGAACTCGATATTTATTTATTTGCCTAAGGGCCTAAACAATGCGCTCTCCAGTGACCACCGCAAACTTCTGGGTTTTATCAGGTATTCGGGTCCAATTTCGTTTCGCTGATGCAACAGTATATAATGGCTAGCCGGTAGTCCACTCGCGATATTGCGATGAGCGTTAAACTGGTGATTTTGTTGACATTACCGTCGGTCATCTTGGCCTGTGGCGGGATTGAGCCGTCTCAGGATCCCTACGATCCCTTGGGAAAGTGGCATGGAAGAGTGAGTTAAAAAATCGCATCGTAAATAAATTTCCGATTTGTGTTCTAAATATGATTCTTTAGCATATGACCTGTGGCCATCCTGTTTATATGTACCGTCTGCCAGCCGATGCACAGGAAAAGATTAAGCAGATCTGGGCAAATTACGAAGCCGGGGACGAGTGTGATAAGGAGAACGAAGCCACTATGCAAGTGGTCCACTCGATCCCGGAAGAGGTCCGATTCAAGGTCTTCCACGGAATGTGTGGCCCAGCTTTCCTCAAAGATGCCAGTCCAGCAATCAGAACCCAATTCCAGAACATCTGGTTCGATGACAATCTGTCCCTCGACGAAAAAGAATCCGAATTCAAGAAGTTGGCATTCTCTCTGCTGACTGGATCTGCTGTAAGGTCTTTAAAAAAAAAGCTAACATGAACGTGTTCTAGTTAACCAAATTCAATGAATTCGAGGCTGGTCTTCAAGAAAGGAAAAAGCAACGACAACAAACCATCGACCTCCTCTCTCCTGCTGCTAAGGAGGCATACAACAAGTGGAATACCATGAGAAAACAAGAGCGTCTTTATCTCGCATCCCTCCCAATGGATGTCCGAGCTGAGCTCAGATTAGTTTGCACTTTCTGCGGTACCCAGAAAGTTGGAAAACAGGAACATCACCGCGCTAGAAGATCCGCCGGAGTCGAGGCCATCGAATTGGCTAGATCTCTCAGACAAAGCGACGCAGAAGTCTTGGGAGCTTTCTAGATTTAAAAATATACATATTAATAAGCATTAACATTTAAAACCTGAATAATGTAAATAATCATTTAAGAATTTAATGGTAACAAGTAAACTCAACAAAGTATAATATAATCATTATATCGCAATAGACAACCTTCCTTTGATGTAATTTGGGCTTGAAATGTGACGCAATCTTACCCATCCGGAATTTGAAGCTACTTGCGAAATATTTTTCAGTTCAATAAAACCGAGGGCTTCCGTCCTTCCGTGAATAAGCGAATGGCGAGAATAAATTATTCGTCCCAAAGGTAATAATTCCTCGGATTTTGGCGTGGCTAATTTCGGTTTTTTGGATTTTGGCGGTCCAAAAACTTTTGAGACGTCAAGAGTACCCTCTGATTCAAACTCCATGAGAAGATCCGGCTTGATTGACGATTCTCCAATAGGATGTACAAACTTTTTCTTCTCCTTAACTCCTTCGGCTCCAAAAATTAAATCATTGTCAGTAATCCTCCCTTTTCCAGATACAGTTACTCTGATTGGAACGAGGACATTCTCTGGTACATCTTTTACTTAAGGATAAAATGTGCGTTAAAGTACAGTAACCACTCACGTGATGCCTTCAACTTTCCTCTCAGCATTTGTTGTAGATTTCCAAGAGACGCTCGACTTGTCAAAAGGAAATCAAAAGACTTAAGGTCGTTCCACGTCCCAATGGTCCCACTGTTAAATTCTGCCATTTTAACGTACCTCTTCCACTTAAAACACCGCGTTAAAATATCCATTTACGTAAAAAGTTTTACCCTAAAAGAAGCCTTTGGAGTTGTTAACGGTAACCAGTGATAGGGATACGAATAATCGTTGAATTCCACGGCCAAAATGTATCTATCAGAAAGGGATCCCACCCTGACACCTGACCGATATAGCAGTGATAACAGAGAGCTGGCACTAAGCGAGGGCATATACAATTCCACTTTTGGGGTAGGTCCAGAGTTTCGGACGACAATTGTAATTGGAATCTAAACTTTTTTATTTTCTAAACAAGTCGACAGACCTTATAATCACTTGTTGTGGGTCTAACGAGACGAGTGGAGTTAAGTTCATTGATTTTGGCAGTAATTTTGTGTTTGGATATGAAATTCTCAACTACTTTCCGATCAAAAAAACCACTTGATTGTTCCAAACTTGTCATAAGTGTACCTAAAAAATTTACTTAATTCCGATGTGTCCAAACAGCAATCATACTATTATGGTGGTAAGTTCGAGAGGCTAATTTTTTTGCACCTACTGATCTTCAATTTCGTGCACGGTTTCGATCAAAAATGTAGATTTTTTCGTACTTACTAGAGAAAGTTTTTTGATTTTTACGTATGTGCAAAAAAAGAATGGGCTCTCGAACTTGCCGCCCGATATACATCACCTTGGTTATATTAACCATACCTGCAGGTTTATATTCCCGTTGTAATCTTTTGGCCGGTTGTAACCTGGGATCTTCAATCAAAAGTGGAAACGAAGATCCATCAGGCACTACAGATAAAGAATTTGAATCAACAAGGATATTCCAAGAGATATGACGAGGTTGGTAATCGGACAAGTTGAGATCTCTAAGTTCGGAATCGGCGGTAAGAGCAATGGAATCATTAATCGATCGCAGACAGCAACTCCCATAAAAGGAAAACTTTGCGTAGAGGTTAGTGATATCAAAAATCTGAAGTATGCCTAGTTAGAGTAGTAAATAATACTTACGGTAAAATTAATGCCCTCATAAATATTCAGCGGCAACTCGGTCAAATATCCAAATTCTTTGGCCTTGATCTTCATTATATCCTCATCTAGTTTACTCACGCTTAATCCTAGAGCGTTAATAAACTGACCCGCGGATGCCACAAATAAGGGATGAATGGATAAAACAATTTCGTGGGCATCGGGTTGAAAAAGCGTATATCCACTTTTGTGTAGCTCATGTTTTTTAAAATCATTGTAATCTTCCGAATCCAATTCTTGCAATCTCTCAAGTATTCGGTTACAACATTCAGCTGATTTGAATGTAAATCTGAGCAATCGATAATAAGAATCATCGAAAACTACAGTATGATCTCTAGCGTCTCGTAAAAATGGTCGAATCCCACGCTGGTAACTCCTCAATGGCAGTTTGTAAGACCATAAAGGAATCATTTGAAACCTTTTTGCATGGAATATGTGAGTGAACAACCATCTTGTACTAGCTGACCGTTTCTTGTATTCCTGACACTTAAATCTCTATTGTAATGAAATAATTACCTTTTGCAGATTATTGGGCCGTCTCCTCTTCATTCTGCTGGGTGGTTTCTTTCTGTGATTACTTTTGGCGGTGGCTGATTTACCGAAATCTCTTCGGTTTCTCGGTAATCTCTTGATATTATGTGACATTGCTCTTCTTCTCATATGTCTGGGTAATCTCTGTGTTGCAGTTCTTGGTTTGTGATCTCGACCTCCTTTATGAATTACATCCACCAGATCCGAGATCTGTGCCAGTCTTTTGGAAACCGTATCCGATGCATCGATGGACTGTGGAAGCGGCCCAACAGCCCTAATTGGATCCATTTCCATCTGAAAAAGTTACGAAAGGTCAGGATAAAGTCACAGTAGAAATAGGAAGCAAAACCAATCTAGCAAAGAGAAACTACCCGGTTTTATTTAAAAAAATAATTTATTTGTATTTGATAAGATTTATCGCTTTTTCTTTATTTTTCTAGAGTTCTGTGGTTTATCCGCCTGGGAGATCTGTACATTGCTGTCCGCCAATTCTTCTGAAGTCACATTCGCCTTCTCCAACTGTTCGGCAAGTCTTGTTTGGGCTTCGAAATGCATCATCAGATCAGAAATTTGTTCCTCCAACGCTTTAATTTCCTAAAAAAATCAAAACATTACGGTCATCAATGGCCAACTTACAGTAGCCCTAAGTTTTTCCAATTCTTGGTTCTTTAAAATCAGAATTTCCTTGTCATCTCGAATCATTTTGGACATTTGCTTTTCATCTTCTAATTCCGCTTGTAACTTTCTAATAATTTGTGTGGATTTCGCCATTTTCTTTTCCAAATTCCCCTTTTCAATCAACAAAGATACAACTTTTTTGTTAGTTTCTTCTAGATCCCTGCAGCTTTTGTTGATTTCGGTCTCCAATCTCAGAATCTGAACAGAACTAAAATACTATGGTAAAAACAAACCTTTTCATCAGCCTCTGCTTTATGTCCATTAAATCTATTCTCCACTTCTTTCAGTTTTCCCTCAAAATAAAGTCTCTGATCCTCAAGCTGACTACTCAATAAACATGAATATTCCAACTGGATTGCATCCATCTTTTCAGTTCCTTTTTGCTAAAGAAAGCGTCCTCAGAGATTGTGATTACTTACATCTTCAGCACCTTGAAATTCGACCATTTTTCCGTCGGTGGAACTTTGAATTAGTCGATGAACATAGTTATCTCCTGCGTAGTCCCACACCAAATTTCCCCCCAATTGAAGTGTGAACGTGTGGGACGTCTGTTCAAAATGTCTACACAGGCAACTAGTAATAAAAATAACAACCTTTTACCTGTAAGCATGAGCCGAAGCATAACGCCCACAGCCAATGTTCCCACATATCAAACACATCCAGAGATCAGAGGTCTTCCCACATTCCGAACACGTCTGATCAGGCAACAATTCTGGAGTCTGATTAAAACGGCAGACCGGACAAGTAGTATCTTCCCAATGCTGTAAACATCCTGCATGGAAAGAATGATTGCAGAGAATAGTCATTACTCCGTCATCCATTTTCTCCAAACAAACAGCACACATGGGTAGTTCTGTCATCCCATCAATGGGCAGACTGCCTTGACCCTCCTCTGTTGCCTAAATATCAATTCATTTCGTATAAAAAGTTATAACTGCGTTAAAACTTACAGTTTCCATTCTTTCAACAAAAAGTAGATTACAAGAGGATGTCTCAAACGAGTTGAATGAGGTTCCATTAAATTCGCCAAAGAAATCAAAGGCGGCTTGCTGAAACGGAATGGATTACTTTTAAAAGTGAATCCCTTGGCTTACCGATGTTTTAAACTTGATAAGAACATAATACTGATTTGGAATTCCATCCCTAATAATCTTAGTTTCTCTTATATTGTCAGCAGCTGGCGATATTAACCTTATCAGCTCCGAGCAGGTAACATAAGCAGGTACTTCCATCATACACAAGGTCCAACAGTTGTCCCTCATGACTTCATGCGGCGATTTATTTTTGTAGAAATGTAAAATTCCGGTTGTTTTTTCCACCAAGGGATTTCCAGAATTGAAACTAAGCGTCTCAGGAGCTAAAAAGCTGATATACCTAAAAAGCCCTACCGTTTTCCATGATCGACGGAGTTTTACTTCGGACTGAAGATCTTGAAGTGGAAGGCTGGACGGAAGATCTTTCATCACTAAGGAAATTTACGATTGGAAAAGGACTATTACCTGGATTTTAAGGTTTCAACCACTACTTCAGAATAGGTTCTTCTGCCAAAACATTGTCTTTGTGTTGGCCTAGAATCCGAAGTTATCGGAGGTGGAGTGGCCTCGTTCTCGTACAATGTCGCCGATGGCCGTGGGAGATTGTTTTTACGCGGAAACATGGTAAACGAACCGGATTTCGATGGACGTCTTCGCCGTTCGAAAACTATGTGTAAGCTTAAGGCTGATGGCCCTACCTCTTGACTCTTCGGGATCCGCAAAAAGTCTCAAAATTGGTGCTCCTTTTGCAATTTCCAATCTCAGTGCAACTGGAGTTAGAGTCAACATTCATTCAATTAATTTTCATTTCCAAAAATCTATGCAGAAATTTATAAACAGTTTTCTGAAGAATCAATATTATAATTGGGGAAACGAAATGCCACTAAAATTAATGCGCGATCACTGTTCCAACGCGGCTACGAATCTATCCTAGAAAGTCGGGAATAAATCGTCAAAATAATATTGCATATTTTAACAATGAAAATTAATCGATGAGATGAATACTAAACTATTTATTTTTCTCTTCTTATGTTTATCATGTACAATATCGGGATCTCTTGAATTGGTAAGTTGAACATACATTGTTTATAATGTTCAGGCGTCGAACGACGACCCCGTTACAATGCTGGTGTCCACATTGGATGGTTATTTAACGGCAGTTGACGCCAAAACCGGAAGAGAAAAATGGAGATACAAAGAAAGTAAGGTATCATTTTTTATCCGCATCCTTGTTTAGGCCCTATCGTTGAGAGTCCGCACAAGGTTCGTCAAGACTTTTCTTTTATTCCCAATCCTCGGAATGGGGAACTGTACCTTGTCGCAGATCAGCATCTCAGCAGATTGCCTTTTACGATACCTCAGTTGGTTAAAACGTCTCCATGTAAAAGTTCTGACGGTATTCTATATGCAGGTTTGTTACTGAAGAATTGGCTTGTATTTGGATTTAGGCAGTAAGAAAGACGTTTGGATTGCTATGAACCCAGAAAGTGGTGTACATGAGGAGACTGTCCCTCCTCAAAATGCAAATAGCTGCCCAGTGGGTAATCCCGAAACGATATTCATTGGTCGAACCGAATATAAGGTTACTATGATTGATACAAAAAAGAAAGAGAAGCAGTGGAATGCCACGTTTATTGACTATTCTTCTCATCTCTTGCCAGGTATGCTAGAATGATCTTTTGATTTACTCGTTTTAGTTGACCATCGGTATCCATATCAACACTTTCACTCCGTAGCCGATGGCAGATTGATAACCGTAGATGCGGACACCAGGCAAGTCAAATGGAGGAAGAATTTCAAGAGCGTGGTAGTGAATCTTTACCTACTAAAGGGCGATGGAATGCACAGAATCCCCAGCACGTCAGTCGGGCAAGTTGCCTTCGACACATTACAAGAGGTCAGTTACTTTTTAACTTTATTGGAATCATTAAAATTAACCCGTGGTCATCGAGTTAACGAGATCGTCTTTTTCTACGAGTCTTGTGATTTTTGTTTGGAGAGCCCTCGTTCATTCTTTAAGTTGTACAGATTTGCCTGGAGAACGTCGATGGCTTCTTGCATTTGTTCTTCTTCGTTTGTTATTTCTTCTCCTGCTCCTTCTTCTTCCTCTTCTCCGCAGCAATACATTGTTCCACGACGGACCATGTATCTAAACGAAGATTTTATTACATATAAAATTACTGCAAAATTGAAGAGGCGCCCTTTCCTTCACAAAGAGAGCGCCCGCGAATTCAAAGCAGTGTTTTTTGGTCAGAAAAGGGAGGTACATTGCGGCAATTTTATTGCCTCCTGGAAACAAAATTTCACATTGTTGGGGACTGCATCAGTTCCCCCACTGTTGTATTTAACTAATTCGATCTTACCCATGCTCCGGACATAACGCTTTCATCGATATAATGTTTCCATTAGAATTGTATAGGCACGTGCAAGGAAGTTCTTGACCAGGTGGCCAGTATGGATAAGAGCTTTTGGAATGGGCATCGTCGGAGGGTTCAGGCTCTGGGTCCTGTTCATCAGATCCTGCCTCGAGTTTCATAGGTTCAGGGTCGGGATCATCGTTTAGTAGAGACAGCCTGGATTTTGTAGTTGATGGAGTTGGAGTGCGTGGACGGTAAATGACCGAGGACTGCTGAGATTGAAGTGAGATCTTCTTTGAAACGGGAACACTCTTATTTCTGATTGACGTTAACGTTGATGTCGATTTCTTTCTTTTTCTGACATAAGCTTGTGCCACATAGAACGCCAGTGAGGCTAATTCTAGTACTGATACGACGGATGCACCAATCCACAAGCCGGACATACCTCCTAGATCGGCTAGGAAACTGTTCCACTGTAAAGAGTGTCTTGGTCTCATTTTTTGCTTACCGTATACGCAGGACTTTCGGTCAGTGTTTCGAAGTTGAGTTCCTCGAAAAATATTTGGATCATGGCGGCATTCTTTCTGTATTTCTCCATGCACATGTCGTCTCCTAAGTGGCATTCTCTTAACTTTGTTGTTCCAGACGGCCATCTAGCAGCAGAATAAGATACTTCATATCCCAGTTCGCTAGATAAAGAATGCAGTTTAATGAAAATGAGATACCTGCAAGGTTGATGACATTTGCATATATTCGCCTCGGCAATCATCCTTCCCATGAGTTGGGTAGTGTTTTTGATACAATTTCTGGCTGCCGGGTCTGTTAGTTTGCACATAGTTGTTCCATTAGGAATAGGATAACTAGGGTCAGCACATCCACAAGTTTTAACGATTTCATACTGAGTACAACTTCGATGGCATCCCTCTACGGAGTACTTGTAATTTTTGTAAATGTACCTATCTTCTTCTTCGCCACCATCCTTGCATTTTCCATGAGGTGGAGCAATTCTATAGAATTGTTTCTGAAGAATGAACGCTTGGATTTTTTTTAAGTTCGACTTGCCATTCGAACACCGAAGGATGACATGAATCCAGTCGGAGCAGTATGACCAAATGCGTCTGGGAATGGAACAACCCACTTGTCATGGACAGTTATTCGGAAACCGACGGATTCTGATGTCGGAAGATACTCGGACACATTGGCATAGAGTAAAACTCGTAGACCTGAAATATGAGTGCATGCTTAATTTACTCACCAAAGTTGGCTCCTGCTCTGTGCGCGGTGACATCTTTAGTTCTGTCCCAATTGAACGTATAGCAATTACCAAATGTTGCATCATGAGTTAGGCGGAAATCCCTTAAAGTTTGATTTTGCGTGTACCACGTTAGCACCTTACTTTTTTATTTCGCAGTCCCGCTGATTGAAAGTGCACTCTAATATCAATTCGTCCATATTTTGAGACATATCGACTTTAGCAGATTCATTCTTCTCACCTACAGCAAACTTGATATTCTCTCTGGCTTGTGTTGCAATTGAAATATCGTTTTTTAATTCCTGAAATTTAAATTAGCTTCTTTTTTTAGTTTACCTCATATCCAAGTGCTTCACGCACCGCTGGAGCTTCAGTCGTCGTGGTAGTTGTAGGCCCAACTTTCTTAGGTTTTGCTGTAACAAATGCTTGTGTGAAATTCATGTGGTCTACATCGAAAGTGGGCAATATCTCTGGGATCTCTCCGTTTTCATTGTTAGCGATGCAATGATTATATTCTTTATGGCACAAACAGATGTCTAGATCTCCTTGAAGTTTTTTCTTGTCCTGTTTGCCATGATAAAAACGCATTGGACAATGTCCAAGGTCAGGTACACATTCTGTGCAAATCTTTTCCTTCCACGTGTTATCTAAATATTTCTAAAGAAGCAAGGATTGATGCTTACAAGGGAAACACGGCCATAAAGCTTTAGATGTCCAGTCAAGTTGACATAAGCACCTTGTTGGATGGAAATTGTGCAGATTGTTGTCAATGAAACTTAAGGCTATCTTCCCTTTGTGAACGCCGAAACAACTTCCAGATCTCCGTTCGCCGGATAACCTGTTGATCTCACAATAACATTGCGCATACACTTGTAGATATCGGCGGTCTTCTGATATGGTACCATTCAGCTGTCTTCGAAGGCGTCTTCTTTCTCCTGTAAATGCGTTGTAATAGGAACAAAGGACTTACTTGTCTGCGCGATAACAGTTGCGATCCCTTCCGCCACGCTCCCGCTTTTCATGACATTTTGAAATGATGACATCTTAAAAAAGGAAATGGATTACTAAAAGATCGAATAAGAAATTACGAAATTGAAAATAAATTACCATGGCTCGTGTGGCAGGGTCTTGACCTATCATGCTTGCTTTATACGGATTAAGATTACATAATGTCACGGACGGGAATGGTGCGTTTTCAAATTTCAGCTAAACAAAGTTAAAGCTTTTGGGATAACTTACATCAAGGTCGACTGTTTTGGCATATTGTAAGTATTTATGAATGAGAAATATGATTTGAACGACCAATGCGATAAAACAAACGATAAATGCCGCAATCCAGAGATATACCCATTGCTTTGTAGGTGCCGTTGCTGCATGACTGATGCCATGAATTGTAGTTTGTCGTCCAAATCTTTGCCAGATTTGTCGGTAGTTTAAGTGACCCGATAATTCTTAATGAAGAGTTGAGTAAAACGCTTTTTAAACATACTTGCACGTCGTATCGAACTAAAGTCGGCCCTCGAAAGACGTCGTAGCGCGTTCATTGCATGTGCTGGGGAAGAAGGTTTCTTCTCAAAACTTCCCTGTGGTAGTCGTAGCTGCGCTGCCTTCTTTTCGGCCGGGTGCAACGGCCTTCGCCGAGTACTTTCCTCACTGTTTTGCCTACTGTATGTTCTTTGTCGGGGAACCCCCGAGACAGATCGCGAAGATCGTCCCAATCCCGGCGGCCCATTGCTTGTGGCGGCATCGCTATTACTCGAAGACATGGACAGTAGCAGAAGTAGAAATAGAAACAGGAAATAATCTAGAGAACAGCTGGCAGTGAGGATTTATTACTTAAAAAAGGATAGCCTCCTTTAGTGGTCAAGAAAAGTTAGGAAGCACATGCCAAAGGGGCAACTTGTGTGGACATAGCAAGCTCAGATTTATCCTTCAGCCCTGAGGGACTCAGTCAAGTTCTAGATTTGTCGCAATGGGTTTTCACAAGCAGTGGAAACAACGGTTCAGGCCCTGATTTTTTCGCTTGAGGCGCAGCTGTTATTAACTACCTGTGCTTAAAAAAGACGGATCTTCAATTTCCCCGACAAAAAGCTCAGAGTATCGCCGACCACACGCCCCTCAATGAGCTACCAATTTGCCTGATTTCTTGTGGTTTCCCGTTTTGAGACTCTGGACTAGTCACACCCGCTTTGCCATAAATGTATCTATGTTGAGTCATTGTAGTCTTGCCTAATTAGCCCAATCAAAGCCTTAATGATTTGTTTTTTTTGTCTGATCCGATTTTTAAAGAATTAATTTTAATTTATCGAAAGCGGCTGACTCGTTAGTTGAGCCCTAAGGAAAATTTGACCGTTCATTCGAGTTGATGGACTCAGTTGTGACAATTGCGGCGAACTGGAGGGGCTGGCGTGTGACAGGTGGCTGGCACTTTTATTCCACCTTCACTGACGCCATTTTGATTTATTATAATTATTAATCATCGCCTCTCTTCCAGAATGTCGCCTCATTTATATCTCCTGAATGGTCGGAACATTATCTTGAGGCTGTCCGGGACAGAACCATTACTCAGCCCCAACAGCTTTTGCAAACCTTGTACATTGGCGAATCGTCGGAAGGGTTGTATGCTTTGAATGCGTTTGTGGATCAGCAGACTGATGTCTATGCACTCAGATCGGTAGGACCATTATTAGAGGGACCAAAAGATGAGGTAGGCAGAACTCATTCAGAAAACGGTCTCCTTTATTGTGCGCTCCGAGTAGTGTTTTAGAAAGCGAAGGGTATCCAAAGATCAGATAATTTGGATGGACCAACTTACCGAACGACTGACGGCGAGTTCTTGATCCTTGGTCATCACGAAGTGCCCCCGCTCCTATTGAAAAACTTGATCACCACTGACAGCGACCATAATCGACTTCCGTGGATAACTTATGTAAAAGGAAGGGAAGAAATTAAAGAAAGAATCGGCGGAAGTGGAGCTGTGACTCCAAATTACAGTAATACGCTGGCTTTGGGACACAATGAAGAAGATTTTGATTGGAGTCATCTATTCCAACAAGCTTGGAAGAAGAACCCTTACGTTGTAACATTGTTCCTGGGTGGAATTGTGATGATATTGTTATATGCGGCGTTTCTTTATGGCCAACAGGTGAGGTTATTATAGTTGGCTTATTTTGTTTTGCAGAGAATTACGAACCAGATTCTATCGAGCAGAGGCGAGATCCATTCTGGTGGAAGTAGCACTAGGAACACTTTATCTGCGCCTGGAGCTCTGGATGAGGAAGGATCGGGAAGCGGGCCTAAAGAAATAGGGAAGCTCAGCTTTGATAGTCGAAAAATACTTGGAATGGGATGTGCTGGAACAACAGTTTTCAAGTAACTGATGACTTTTTGATAGCAATATGCTTTTTCAGAGGCACCTTCGATGGACGGGAAGTGGCTGTAAAGCGTGTTTTAACAAGTCAATACAAACTAGTCGAAAGAGAATTGGAACTTTTAAGGAAGAGCGATGCCCATAAGAACGTGATTCGATACTTTTGTTCGGTAAGGTTTTTAACACCTTCCCATTGTGGTTACAGGAACGTGATGACAACTTCCATTACATTGCTCTGGAATTGTGTGAATGCACTCTTAGTGATTACGTCAAACTGAGAGATCGCCGGCAGAAATACTCGTCTGATGTCTTGGATATCTTGAAACAAGCTACCGAAGGAGTCGCACATCTGCACTCGATTTCCATCGTCCATCGGGATCTGAAGCCTCAGAATATTTTATTATCGACGTTGAATAGCAAAGGACATGTTAGAGTCAAAATCTCCGACTTTGGGTTGTGCAAGCAGGTCAAGCTGGGCCATGCCTCCATCTCCAAGGTCTCCGGATTAGTGGGAACTGAAGGATGGATCGCCCCTGAGGCCATAAATCAAAACAATTCCTCTGTGGTAAGAGATGTTGGCGGTTTTTTAAAATCTGATTCCAGACGTACTCAGTGGATGTATTTTCTCTGGGATGCATCTTCTACTATGTTCTTTCTGAAGGAAAACATCCGTTTGGAGAACGGAATGATGTTAGACATGCCAACATATACAGTGGAAAGTTTAATCTGGAACACCTTGTAGGGAAAGAAGACTATGTTTCAATGAATGCCATAGAGAAAATGGTGGAGATGGATCCGAAGAAAAGACCGACGTCTCATGCGGTTTTATGTCATCCTGTTTTCTGGTCGAAGGAAAGGCAGCTACGGTTCTTTTCGGTAAGTTAATTGCGATCGGAGACGAGGACATTGTTCCAGGATGTCAGTGATCGCATTGAAAAGGAAGATGAGACTTCTGAAATTGTTCGATGCTTGGAGTTGAATAGCTATCAGGTAGTTTCAAGCAATTGGAGCGCCAAGCTTTCATTTTCGGTTCAACAGGGTGGGTTTCTCGTTATTATATAGACTTACATCACTTCTAGATCTTCGCAATCATCGTTCATATAAGGGTCATTCAATCAAGGACTTGTTAAGAGCTATCAGAAATAAGAAAAACCATTACCAGGAACTTCCAATTGAAGTAAGACAAGAATATGGGTCTATTCCGGACGAGTATATGACATATTTCACCACAAGATTTCCTCATGTGGGTTCAAAGTACCGACCAATTTATTTTTTAGCTCTTAATTCACGTTTTCAAAGTAATGGCACTGTGTGCCGACGAAAGCGCCTTCGTTTCGTATTATCCATTAGAATCCCGTTCCTTTTGTGGCCGCGTTCTTCAAGAACAACTTCTGGATGAATTCTGTATCCAGGGATCACCCAAACGCACCATCTTATCCAAAACGATGGTACCGCCTTCTGTTTCAACGACCGCATCGCCTTCTAATTGGAGGACTCCAGAACCACAAATGAAACCACAGCCAGGGTTTAAGGCTTTCCCTGCGTCAACTGTAAATCCATCTGTGACATCGACTCCTGAGGGGAAGACACGAAGAAGGAGGAGGAAAAAACCGACGTTAATGGCCCTGGCGTCGACCTTAGAAGGAGATTTAGATGATGCGGGAGACGCCGATATGCTTGATGATTGAAATTCTGATGGAATCGAACACGCAGAAACATATTCAATTAAGGAACTGTCTTTTAAAAAAGCTTCTCACTATCCGCAAATGAAAAACTTTTTGACAGTAAGTCAACATTTAACAGAAAGTTTGGCATTTCCTTTTCGGGTATTACTTTTAAGCGGCGAGTACTCCGGGTAGGCATTGCTCTCGTGGCGGACCGAAAATCGGGCCAGTCTATTCCAGAATAACAAAAATATAAGGTTTTAGCTAGCTAAAAACTCCAAAGAAAAAGCTCAGAACAGAAAATAGCCATGTCTGAGCGTCGTATCTTAAAAAAAATTGAATCTACTCGGTCCTCTGTTTATTCCACTCTTACTCCTGACAATTTTGTGAGTATTTCATAGGATAAATGGGTGTTTTGAATGGAAATCTGACGATATTGTATATGATATCGGTGGTTATTCAAGTAAATGCAGAAACTTTTTTTGTATCTAGTGTAATAGGGGAGCGCTTGTGACTTTAGCCACCAATTGGATTCTTTCTTGAGTACCTTTCTACAATTTATTTCGTTTGCGGATAGTGACAAGCTCGTCCATTAAATTAACGAGTCTTTAACATTTAGTCTTCACTGTTTATTTGAAAATATCAGAATACCGGTATTTTATTTGTCTACCGTCTTCTACATAGAATTGCCAATGTAAATAGTCTTACAAAACCCTGAATAAATCATTCCAATTACAAGTCATCCCATCTCTGTCGAATCATCATCCTGGTCCGTCTGGGATGAATGAAATAAGAGCCGTTGAACAACCAGTTTAAACCATATCCCCCACCCATCTTTTCCGGAGTATATTCCCCATTTAATGACACCGTTCCACACCATTTAGTCCACCATCCTCTACAACATTGGCTTATAAGGAATGTTCCTCTCACCCAAGATGGAATTTGATTACGCAGTCTGGAAGAGGGTCATTGATCTTGTCGACAGTCGAAAAAGGTGCCTTATTGTCAGTGGTGATGTCATACCATCCAAAACTCGCATTTCCAACAAAGTACTCAGGATCCGCCTAAAATATCACCTTAGATAAATACTCATTACCTACCCGTGGGAGACTTCCATTGCTCAACTTTTTCAAAGGCCGATGAGCGCTGATCTCTAGCTCATAATTTGCCGTCTCATTGCCTATCTGAAGAGCTCTGCACATTTTTTAGAGACCTTACCCTAAAGTCGTATTCGGAGACAAAATAAGAATTTTCCCACTTGCTTCTGGGTGTTCGATCCCCGAACAATTCGACCCTCAACAGGGCCGGCCGTTTGCCCCGATTGGATAGATCGTGAATAACATCGTTCCCGAGCCAGAATTCTGATTCTGAATGCGGAGTTCCAAACCCTATCTTATAATCTTCCCAACTTCGATTCCAAAAAGTTTCTCCAGTAAGCCCATTCCTTTGTTGGATCACCGTCCATCCTCCTCCTCGACTTTGTTGATCACAGAAAGCCCATTTCTCTCCACATTTTGTTCGAATTTCGAATATTCCACTAAAGATTACTGTAATTACGTAAGGCTCTCACCTAAGGCTACCGTGTTTTTGGAAGAGATCTTGACAGGAAACGGGCTGAAAGAAAATAAAAGGTTTACTATCTCGTAGGGTCGCGACCTTACTTTATCAGTCGCATGAACATCTTGGAGAAAAACACAAATGAGTAAAACAACAGGGCTGAATAGTGTAATAATATAACATGTTAGACGAAACATTAACCAATTCTACGCTTCTATCCCCAAATATTTATGGGCCAACTGCGATTTTTACAAGAAAAAGGCAACACGTAATGTGTAAAGGTTTAGAAACAATAGAAATTGGAAGTAAAAAAAAGGAACTTGTTTCTTTTTTTTCATAAACGGCGGAAAATAAAAGTCGTCTATTTTATCAGTCTGTCGGGAAAATAACGGCGGGTTGTCGCGCCTTGGAATCGCCCATCATCGCTTTGCGACGACTGCGCCTGGGGATTTGGTGCGCGACTGCATCCTATTTATTATTTCGACGGGGCGAAACATTTATTTAGCTGCGAGGACCCGCTAGGGTTCGGAAAATTCGGGTATTTTCACCTCGTGGGTATAGTAATCTCGATTCTGAGCCCGATATAGCCCTGAGGCACAAGGTGTTCCCTGAGGTCTTTTCCGTACCTGACACCAATGCAGAGTTCCAATTTTCATGACTGTGCACTTTAAATGCACTGTGCAACAGGCGTTTGAAAAATTTTTGGGGCTTCGGTAGTTGAGCCTACGTAGGGGGCTTTATCTAAAACGGAGGGGGCTTCATCTAAAACGTAGGGGGCTTGATCTAAAACTTAGGGGGCTTGTGCTGGACCATACAACTTGGATCAATTCTTTGAAATAAATTTTGGGGTTTAGAATGGACGAGGGGGTTTGTACTGGGTCATGGGGGGGCTAAACTGGACTGGGGGCTGTACTACCTTGGCCCCAAACTTTTGTGATTAAAAGTGAAGTTTTTAATCCTTGGATCTCAAAAGGTCAAACTTTGACTATGCTTGGTCGTGACCTAGATCATGATGAGCTAGTTCAGGTATGTCCCTCCAAAAGATAACTAATATTCTGACACACTCGAAACCAGTCTGCCACTCATCTACCAACCTTGTGATGACATTACATACAATACTTTATGACACCTTTTTATTCATTATTATGTATGACATTTACCCTTAGAGATTATGTTTATCGGAATGTGGACATCGGTGAGAATACTGATGTCAATGGCTTCTTTGTCAAGGTTCCGAAGGTCTCTTTTTGAGTGATATACATCTTAGGTCTGAACTGGGCCATCTGGTTGGAGATGAACCAAAGACAAACCCCCATCGCAAATGAGGCAACTCCGATCAACCATAGACAAAACCAGATCCCCTGAAACATTATGTTAGTTCCTGATTTTCTGTTCGTGATACTAGTCCTTCCGGAAAGTCGCCGGACTGCTTCTTGGCGTTTGCAGCGTGCGAAAAAAACTCAAGGTGCGAGCGACCGCCGAAAAAACCTATTGCACCGTGAAAAAATGAGAAAATTTGCACAGTGCAAACAAAACTTATTTTTTCGCACAGTGCTTGTCGCCGATTTCAGTCCGGCGACTTTCCAGAAGGCTATTATACATTAACATTGATTACGGACCTCGATTGGCCTAACAAATCCATTACAATTGGCTTCGTTGATTTCGACCCTTTCGGCTGACAAATCACTTAAAAAATCGACCAGATTATTGGGATCGAAGTAAGCGAAATTGGAGTTAACATATTCCTCCAGGTTTAGGTTTTGAAGCTAAAAATCCTTATATAAGTTTAAGATGAATAAGCATATACATAACTTAATTAAACTCAACTTACATAAACTTGAACATAAGGACAGATCACACGATGAACTTGACTGTACAATAAGAATACAATTGAAAAGCAGAGCACCAACACGGAACACACCAACATCACAAATGACATTACTTTAGCCATCCGACTGAACCAAAGTAAACTGGACGATCTCTCACCCGAATCGCGATATACATCCTTGATTTTGGCACAAATCATGATTAAGATGAATGCCAGGAAAATGACATACACAAGAGAAATAGCGACCAGAACAATTGTTTGCATGAAAAAGCCAAGGGCCGGCTCCAAAAGTTTGTACTCGTATCCCATCTCTCTGAGGTTGTTGTACTTGTTCAAGATGTCCGTCTCTCCAAATTTAGATGTTTGTTTTGGTTTTCGGTTAACGACAACGATGGCATTGTTAATGGAAATCTCCAGAAACTTGTCCGACGATACCTAAAAATCATGGCGTAATAACTGCCGTTTAGTCATCTTTTCTGCATATGTATATCAATTAAAACCCCACATTTGAGTCTTTGAAAGTAGCCAATTCCCCGGCATTCATGTAATTATTGGTCAGAAAAATGTTGTAAACAATCAGATAAACTGTTCCGAGTAATAACGTCAGCCATGTAATAATCATCGCCGCAAAAGACCAGTTGAATGAGGGATCGTTCTTATACTTCTTCTAAACAGTTGTCATGAAGAGAGGTAAAAGTAAACTTACTGTGACGTCATATAACTGATCTTTTGTTCTGGTTGAGTAAATGTAGAAAGATGCTCCCGAAATAGTCAGAAAGAGTACAATAAGGGCACAAACGGAAAGAATTAAGACGTTCATCAAGGTCGGTTGCATTGGAAAATAAATATCCAAGAAGTCCCATGATAAGAGAGATGACTGTAAAATAAGGCAATGCAAACAATTTCAAATATTAACGTCAGCAAATGAAACATACCTTGACTTTGAGTTGATTCAGTAAAAGCAAAGGATCAGAAACAGCGGAATCTGTAATGAACGAATGAAATCGCTCGGCTAATGCCAGGGGCCAGTCGATCATTTTCGGATACGAAATGCCTCGTCGCACTAGCTAGAAGGATATTAAAGTGGCAGGAAAGGATATAGATCCAGTTACGACGTTTTTTCGCTCTCGTCAAGGCCGTGTTCGCGTGCGCGGACCCAAGATGGAATGGATAAAAGTCAAAATAAAGGACAGGTAAAGTCCGACTCAAAGGCTATGTAAAACCCCACCCCTTTTATTTAGGGCTGTAATTTCGGCGTTCGTTTAAAGTTTCCTAATCCGCTCGAGAAAAATTCGCGGCGTTAGAATTAATAATTCCAGAAGTCCCCTCTCTTCTAATGATGTGATTATGCAAATCTAATCAATCACTTCTCTCCTTCACCAATTTTCATCGGGTACAGAAATAATCGCTTTTAAGATTACGATACGACGGTTGAGTCCGAACACTCCCCCGACGTATGGGGTGTTTCAAAGGGAAATACATTTTGAAACAAGGTAATACCGTACACTGGAGGACATAAAAGTCAATTCCAATCACGATGCATCAAAATGTAATTAAAAAGTCTTAAAACAGCACGCGTCCGAAAATTTGGGGCCCTGGACGCTCTAGGCTCGCAGGCAATGCAATATTTTTTTAACAAGTTCGAATATAATGCTAACCTATTGCACAACTTAAGAAATAAGTGAATATTACAAAAAACAAATTGTTTTCAAAATCAGCATCAGCATCAAGCATCAAATCCGAACTCCAGTCTCCAAAATACACTCAAATGCACACTCTCTTGCAAGGGAAGACCATTATGGGCAGAATTCTGAAATCCCTGCAAATATCCTGAACATCCGTATCTTTGTAAAAAATTTGTATTTTATATATTTTTTACTTGTTTAGTTCGAAAGTTCAGACAATTTGAATGCCGAAAATTTATACTGAACATGGTATCTTGGCATTTCTCAAAGCAGTCGAAGGCTAGAGCATAGAAAAAATTGTCAATTACAAAAATGTTCCCCATGGTCGAAAACGTAAAACCATCGAAGTTTTGTTCTTTAGCTCCTTGGGGTTTTTACACACTAACCCAATCTGTCTGGAAATTGTATCTACCGTAACCCCCGTACACGGTAGTTTCCGAAACTAAAAATTCGTGTTCACGTGTTCGGCAATCAGAGTACAAAAACAGTGCAAAATATCAAAAGATTCGGAGTTTTTCGTTTTTTCAAAATGTAGGTCCTTGTTAAGATTCTGAGTTGGCCGTTTTTTCGAAATGTCCGGCCCTTGTTCCGAGATGAAAAGCTTCAATTTGCAGAAAGCTCTTTTAAATGTAGCATGTGTATAGTAAAACCAAGTTTACCACAATATTTGACCATATATGCCGACAATTTGCTACCTGGGTGGGCTCCGAATGTCCAGGGCCCGACTGCTTTTTCGTGCGCCAAACAGTAAGCTTCAGGTACATCTATCTGTGCAAGAAACTCCCAACAACAAAAACCTCTCTATAGAAAACTTATTCAGTAGTTTTACAGAGTTGCCTGTAGTTTAACATGCCATAAAATAATGTCGCAATTTGTTGCGAGACAACTGGAATTCGAAAAACAGGAGCTTCTGTTGCCCTAGGGCCCTATTTGAAAAACGACTTTGTGGCATTCAGTTCGAGTCCTGACACGAAAACAAATTACATTGAAACAGAATGCCAAAAATCCAGCGAGAGAAAACCGTCAATTTTTAGGCTCACAAATTCATTTTTCTTTGAAGGTGTCATAATTCTTTCGTTTTTTCATTTGTAAATTAATACTTTCAGGTAAAATATGGCCGAACGTTTGACTTACCGTCGCCGTCACGCTTACAACACCAAGTCCAACAAGACCAAGGTCGTAAAGACCCCAGGAGGTCGCAATGTCTTCCAGTACCGCAAAAAGCAGGGTGCTACCCCAGTTTGTGGTGACACTAAGGTCAAACTTCACGGTGTAAGTTATCTTTCGTTTTTATTGGTTTTTAGGGATTCTTAGGCAATGCTCCTTGTTTGTATAATTATTTCCACTAATTCTTTCGGAAAGTAACTTTCACTCAAAGGTTGTTTTTAATACTAATACAATCCTGTGACGGTGTAGTATACCTCGTTGAGCTTGAAAATGTTTAAATCTTTATGCCCACTAGCTTCATCTTTGCAATTTTAGATCAAGGCTGTCAGACCCCGCAAATTGAGCAAGCTTACCCGTCGCCAGAAGACCGTTTCCCGGCCATATGGAGGTGTTTTGTCTGCAGGAGCCGTCCGTCAACGCATCATCCGATCCTTCCTCTCAGCCGAGCAGAAGATTGCTTCCAAGATCCTCAAGGCCACCGAATCCAAGAAATAAGCGTTGTTGAGAGTTGTTAATTTGTTTTTTCATAAATTGTTTATTCAATTTAACAAGAAGTATGTACAGAACAAGTTTTCCGCATTTTTATTTTTTCTCACCACACGTAACATCTCGACTCAGGGTTCATTGTCGCCTTCGGGGAGCATTTGAAGGCGTCAGAGAACTCAGGTTGGTTCGACGCGACCATGTTGATCCTGTATTTAGATGGTGCATGGCTGTCTGTGTATATTTGTCTTACTGATTCTTCTGGTTTTGCGTGTCCGCAATAGCTCTGCAAAATATGTAAACATGGCGTAGATCTTGGCTTACCATAGCATAGCTAATGAAGAACATTTGTTTGTTATCAAACTGTTCAAACCTAGGGATACGGGCTTCTTCCTTTCCCAAAGCTTTCAAATACTTCGTGTATGCCCTAAAGGCTTGTTTAATGCCTCCATTGTCGGCGATGTTCTCTCCTTGTGTTCCATATCCATCAATATGCATATCAGTTCCGTCTACTTTTTGCGCAGAGTATTGTTTGATCATACATTCTGTTCTGTTCAAGAACTCCGTTTGTGTTGACTCACCCCACCAGTTCTTTCGATTCCCAACTTTGTCAAATTGTCGCCCTAAAATGACGTTCAGTATGCCTTTAACCTTACCTTGCATATCGAATCCATGAACAATTTCATGACTGATAATAGACCCAATGGCACCGTAGTTTGTAGCCTTTGGGAACTTGCTGTCAAAGAATGGAGGTTGTAATATGGCGCTGGGAATCGCTTAATTTGTTTGTTTTACTAATCGTGTCAGAGGAGACTTACTCAGGGCATTCTTAACAAAAGTGTAAGCCGCATTAACAGTTGTGGCGCTCATTGGGAGTCTGTATCTGTCAACAGGCCTTAGAAGATCACGAGCCGCTTTCTTCTGCTTCCACAAGGAATGTTTACGAACCATGGTTCCATAAGTGTCATCAACAGAAAAGTTCAACTTGAAATTAGCCCGGTATAAATACTTTGAGATACTTACTTCACTGTAGTAATTGTCAAGTGCTGTAAGATTGTAAGCAATTGTCTGGGCTCCAACTAACGCAATCATATCTTGTGCCTAAATAAATATAAGTAAAAACAAAATAAACTTACTTTGCTAATGGCATAGGTTCTGGTACTATTGTCCATCCAATCACTGGCCTTCAGAAGTTCCATGAATTCGGATCGAACCTCTTCGAAAAGATTTTTGACTTGACTCAAGTCATTCTCATCAAAGTTTTCTTTCACATACAGGGCATCAGAAGCATAAGCCATAGCTATCCCAGAGACGGAACTGCACTCCTTCCATCTCGGTGCTCTGTTCACCGTACCAATAACTCTTCTTATATAGTCCTGAACAAATTCGAAAACACATTTTTTCTCTTACATGTCTCACTTCCTCGAATCGTTCATCCAATTGCAGCCACCAAGCATCAGCGAATCTCCAAAGCATAACATTGGCCAAAGTCCTGGCTGGGGTTCTCTTTAGAAGTTTATTAAGGGCAATAAAGAATTTGGGATTGGCAATTATAACTTCCGGATTAGATGCGATATAAGGATGCACGTCCTCGGGCATAATTGTGTTGAAATATCGTTTCCAATCGACCTTTAAAAACGCAATCTATTACGTAATTTCACCTACAATTGACATGATTCGGTCCATATCTGATAATCTTCTGGCTTTCATCAGAGCGGAGAAGTTGTGATTTGGACTCATGCTCTCTAAGGCGACATGTGCAAATGTCTTTTCGAAACCGATGATCTCCTTTACATGTTCGTTAATCTGAGCTCGGGACCTAGAAATCCCCGTATCTTTGAGAATAAGATATATGACTGTGCGCATATATTGCTCATAAGCCGAGACTTGTCTTCTGAACCGTTTTGGTTCCAAATAAAATTGTGGAATGGACATTCCGAGGCTCCCTTTCTCGAAATGGATCAATGTTCTGCTCACATTATTAAGGTCTATGTTCCCGTAAGCGGCAAAGAACACATCCATGGACCGAATACTGGCCATTCTGGCCAAATAACCAGTCAGGTCAAATTCTGTGGCATTGAACTTGTCATCTCCGTCAATCATAGGCCATACTCCAATTTTCTGAAAGTTGTCTTAATGTACGAAAATGACTTACTCTGATAAATTCGAGCAATTCTGAAGTCTTTTCAACACTTTTGCCGGTCGTATTCATGCATGCTGTATAGAATAATTTTAATTTGGAGATAGCTGTCGAGTTTCTGTCATCGATTGAATCATAGAACGCTAAGATTTCTTAGTTAATTATGTTTGTTTACACTTACCTCTTGTCTGACGATTAACAACGTCACTTAATTGTGAGTATTTGTCATAATACGCACGGTCTTCAGGAATGGGATTGTTTTTTATCCAATTCCCGCATGCAAACTGATATAAGTCTTCACAGGGATCAATGGAAAGATCTAAACTTTCATTCCACAACCTCGAAATCTGATGTAATCCATCCGAATTAGCGACAACAATCGAAATTTTTAAACACCCCAGAAGCAGAACCCACATGTCTGCAATAAAATTTATCAGAATCTGCTCTTTAAAATTATTTTTTATTATAAATCTGGAACGATCCCGTTTCGTCTTGTCCATCAAACCCGCGCGACCTTTTTTAACAAATTAGTGATGATTTCCTTTTCTTTGTGATTGTCATGACTTCTCCGCTTTTTCTTTTATTTTTGTTTTTGTAGTACCCGAGCGTAGTTTAAACCGACATGAACAACTATTTTTTTGCGATCACAGGCTCTCGTGTGTTCTTCTCTGGTCTTCAAGGGTGTGCCGCCATAGCTCAGTCGGTTAGAGCGTGGGTCTAATAAGCCCAAGGTCGCAGGTTCGACCCCTGCTGGCGGCAAACCTTTTTCTCTAATTTGTTAAAAACATAGTATTTGACAAAATTTTCCGAAATGACGTCAAGTTGACATAATTTTCGGTCGTTTTGACAAGAAGGAGAAATTTAGTTGCTAAATTTTTAAATTGCTACAACTTTCAGAAAAAATATACAATATTTTCCAAACAATATGTATTATAGTTCAATTTGACCATCACAATGACAAAACAATTTGACATGACGAAAATGACGACAATTTGACAAAGTGACTGACGCATCAAGTTGACAGCTTTGTTAAAAACTTGCAATCTGCGCCAATTATGTTTTTTGTAATTGTGAAATTACGGAATATATTCAGCGGAATAAAAACAATTTTTCTTGATGAATAAACAATAAAAAAGTTGATTCTTTGTGTATTTTAATTCCCAGCATGATTTTTTGGGCTCGAGTAAAAGGGTACAATGAATTCGTTACTGTTAACTTTGCAGCATCGAATGTCACCTGAAACACAATATGTTTGCAATGACCGGAGGAAGGAGCGCTGACTGCGACCACAAAAAAGAAAATTAACGGAGGCTGGTCATCAGGAAATGGAGGGAAGAGGCGCGGTAGTGGAGGTGCTGGTAGTCTTATATTGTAATATCCCTCGAACGGGGACGATCCGCGAAAACGCGGTTTCTCGGCTTGGGACAGCGATAAGCCGGTGCGCAGGTCACTTCTCTTGTCCTACCATTCGGGCTGGTTCAAGAGTTATTTTAAGCCCTCAGGGCATGGACTGACTATGGAGACAATCAGAGTTCCGGAAGGGCGGCCAGAGCGTGCCGCTTCTGCCGCCTGCGTTGACGAAAGTCAATCGTGAGTATCAAAATATTCTCGTAATCATTTTTGATTATAATTATTTTTTTATAAACCAGATTTTTTCAGAAATTCCGCAGATTCTCCAAATTGGGATATTTTCCGGTTAAGTCCGCCAAAGCCGGACCAGATTGGGAACGGTGGGTGTACTATAACATTTACTTACAACCTTTATAGGGTTCTGGCATGACACCAGTCTCCAAATTCTGAAGATCTCCACCTACTTTTTACTATTTATTACCACTTTATTGAGCTCGGTGACTGCCAAAACAACCTTTCTTCTTATGACCTCAGGCATCGGGAACGGCGGAAAGAACATTTCCATATGCACCGACAAGATCCCCGGTGGGTTTTTTGTTTTCTTATTTCCTGGTCGAGTGGATCTGCGCGATCTCCTCAAAACAAACATATTCATATCTCCATGTTGCAGAGGCCTCGGTAAACAAAGTATTCGTTACCAATCAGCTTGCCGTGAAATGGGTCTGGGCCACGTTGTTGGCCGTCGCAGCTCCAGATGTAATATGTTTTATTCGCTGTTTCCATCGCACAATGTTCAGGAATGTGAAACGTCCAACCCTTTTGCAATTCTTTACAGCAAGTGTACTATTACGTAATGCTAATATCATCTTCAGGTGTTGATTGTGGAGAGTTTGAATGCTTTTGGGATGGGGACACTGGCTTTTGGAGTGTTCCCGTACATCTCCTCGGACACCGGTAAGTTATTACCAAGTCGTATATGATGACAATTCAGCTGCCATGTTGAGTAACGCAGTCGCCATGGCCCCAGCAGTCCTTTGTCTTCTCAGCCGACGATTCGACAGGTGGTATATAGTGCTGATCGTATTCGATGTACTGGCCATCAGTGCTCAAAGCAGTGTCTTCTGGTTGTGGCCGGTGAGTGGCGCTTCTTCCGCGCACACTTAATTTTTGTGTGTTTCAGGCAGCAGTGGCCGAGATCCGGAGTCATTGTCTGACGATTCTGATCTGCGTCACCTTCATCTCCTGTGCTTGGTGGCAGAACTTTGTGTCCCAGAAGTCCTCCCTCCCCCCGATCAAATTGTTGGCCAACTTCAGTGCCGGCCTATCCGAAGCTCGTTCCAAGACATATGTGTTGGTCTCCCTGTGGAAGGTGTTCATCTACATTTTTTGTATTTTCTTTTTCCTCACTCCCAGGATCCCTGCGGCTGATCTCGTTCAGCCAGATCCATTTGGGGAGAAATTGATTACAATCACTGCTGAGGACTTGAATCAAACACAAATCAGCGGTTTTCTGCAGAGAATGCATGAATATGAGCAACCAGGTGAGTAAAGATATACTTTTTAGAAAGGTTTCAGTTCCTCGTGAAACTTCGAAAAATAAAAATCAAGAAGAAGATGTTAATGATGAAATTGATGTAAAGAAGAAGGACTGGAATGATGAAGACGATGGGATTGATGCTGGGGACTATGAAAAAGACAATAAAAAGAAAAAGGAAGAACACAAAGCAGAAAAGAAAGAAGAAAAAGAACCGATTATGGAAGAAAAAGAAAAGAAAAATAGGATGAAGAGAGAAAAATTGGAAGAAGAAGAGATTATCTCGGCCTATAATGTAAGACTGGTACTGAAAGCGATGCATTCTTTTAGATATACGATGATTTCGTGGAGCTCAACCAGTTCACGACACCCTTTGATGCGTTGTGGATCGCTCTTATTCACATCAGTTCCGTCATTCTTTGTTATCACAGCTCTAAATTTGCATGCAAGGTAAGGGGATCTGTGTATATCATCCATGTCTTTTCAGGTGTTAATCCAACGAATGGGCTTCGCCCTTCCAGTGCTGCTCGTTGTTCCGGTTACCGTAACTTTTTTGACGGATTCCTGTGAAAGAAGAGCGCAAGATCCATGTTATATGAGTAATCTGTTCTCCAAGGAACTGTTCTGGCAATGTGATGTCTCCGATACTTCTATCTGGTCGTATGCTTTCTGGTCGAGACCTCAGACTTATATCTGGCTGGGTTGGCTACTCAGTCAGATCTGGGTTTGTATTCATCTCTGGAATCCCAAACATGAAAGGCTGGCTAAGAGTGAACGGTAAGAAAAATAGAATCTCTACTTGCACGGAATGAAGTGCACTTACAATAAGAGTTAATAGGTTTGCACAAAGTTGTTTAGGTTGTTCGTTTTGACCTACTACAATAACTTCTTCCTCGATCAATCCTTGGCCTTCAACAGACGGAGAGATGACAAGGCCAAGATCAAAGCAGAATATTTGGATTTCGATGAAGAGAATCAGACATACGAAACGATCGGATTGAACGGATTATCCAAGACTCCACCTTCGATCTGCTCTATTGCTTCAAGTAGAATTGACTCGGGATTGATACGGTAGCGTCTTTTTATAAAATATTATTACCCTTTAATTATAGGAATGTGGCGAGTTCTGCCGATGCCATTACCAAGATCTATGCATGTGGTACCCTCTGGCACGAAAGTGCATTAGAAATGACATGTTTGTTGAAGTCTCTGTTCCGGATGGATGAGGATCAAGCGGCTAGGAAGAATGCTCAGAAGTATCTGAAAGTGGTTGACCCTGATTATTACGAGTTCGAGGCCCATATTTTGATAGATGATGCCTTCGAGATGAATGATTATGGAGAGCCGATCATCAATAAGTATGTGGAAACTTTTATAGACAAGGTCGACGAGGCGGCTTCGGCTGTCCATCAGACCGAAATGAAGATCCCTCCACCCATCAAAGTCCCCACGCCATATGGAGGGAGATTAGTGTACACGTTGCCTGGCAATAATCGATTAGTCGTCCATCTGAAGGACAAGAATAAGATAAGACACAGAAAGAGATGGTCCCAAGTCATGTATCTCTACTATTTGCTCGCTTTCCAATTGATGGCCAAGTTGGAAGATCCCCAAAGGAAGGAAGTGATATCTGAGAATACTTTCATGTTAACCTTGGATGGAGATGTGGACTTCAAACCAAAGTGTGTAAATATGTTGGTGGATTTGATGAAGAAGAATCGAAAACTGGGCGCAGCTTGTGGACGAATTCATCCTCGAGGCTCGGGACCTTTGATTTGGTATCAGAAATTCGAATATGCCGTAGGGCATTGGCTTCAAAAGGCGACGGAACACATGATCGGATGTGTTTTGTGCTCCCCCGGATGCTTTTCTTTATTTAGAGCTCAGGCTTTAATGGATGATGACGTTACCAGGAAATATGCAATGAAGGTGCAGTACTGTTTAAGAGATAATAGTTATTCTGTAGGCCGAGGAACCGCTCCATTATGTGCAATATGATCAAGGAGAAGATCGATGGCTATGCACCCTACTATTGCAAAGAGGATACCGAGTTGAATATTGTGCTGCATCTGATGCTCTTACCTTTGCTCCAGAGGAATTCTCCGAGTTCTTCAATCAAAGGCGTCGCTGGATTTCGTCGACAATGGCTAATATCATCGATCTTTTATCGGATTATAAGAATGTGATCGCTGTTAATGAGAGTATTTCCATTTGGTAAGTATTGCATTATATATATGGCTCGGGACTTCTAAATCTCTCCGCAAGAGTCCATCCGAACCCTGCAAATTTAGTACAAAGTTAAAAGTTGCGCAATCTGACATAACATTGCGCAATTTCTCTCTTTGTAAGAATTTCTGCCTTTCTCTGTCGTCTCCTCCTTTTTTGTCAACTTTTAACTTTGGACTAAATTTCCAGGGTTCGGATGGACTCTTGCGGAGAGATTTAGAAGTCCCGAGCCATATATAGTTGTAAAATCTTGTCTTGCAGGTACATCTTCTATCAATTGGTCATGCTGGTTTCGTCGATTTTGGGCCCTGGCACGATCTTCTTGATGATAGTCGGGGCTATTTCTATTAGTTTTAATGTGGACATAGCAATTTCTTTGCTGTTAGTCACAGTCCCCGTTCTCTTATTCTGCGTGATGTGTTTGGTTGGGCCTGCTGAGTATCAGGTATGTACCATGACTCCAATCTAGCTACTTTAGCGTATAATATAATATTTTGTTTGATTATAATGTGAATTGCAGATAATTACCGCCGAGGTCATCTCAGCGTTCTTCGCCATGCTGATGACAGCGGTGATTGTGGGAACGACCCTCCAGATTCAGAAGGACGGGATCATGTCTCCACATTCCATCTTCCTCTTTACCGTAATCATCAGTTTTACGGTCTCCGCCATTCTTCATCCCATGGAGATTGGTTGCATGCTTCCATTTATATTATATTTCCTGGCCATCCCTTGTATGTACATGTTATTGCCCATCTATTCTCTGTGCAATCTTCATGTAGTTACTTGGGGTACCCGAGAAGATCCCCTAAAGAAAAAAGAAGAAGAAAATTTGAGAAAAAGAAGGAATCGACTGGAACTGATCGAGGCTGGAATAGCCGGAGAAGCCTCAGGAGAAGTGTCGATTGGATGCGGGAATCTGTGCAGAGTGATGTGTTGCTTAAAACCAGACCCAATCGAGAATTCCCCGCAGATTTGGAAGATCAGTGAGATGGTGAGGAATGTGGACAAGAAGCTGGATCGATTGGAGACAAAGCAACCTTCAGATGCTTCTTCGACTCAAGGAGGCGGCGATAATATTGAGGATGAGGAAGATGTGGTAAGTCATAGTGTTCATCTATTACGTTTTAAGAACGAAGTTGATGACGATTTGGATATGAAACGACAAAGCCAAGCAGCCAAGAGGAATAGACGGTGGAAGGATACAAAAAGCGAAGTCTGGATGAAGAGCAAAAGTCTGAGGAGGTACGTTAGAATTGCTTTAAATGATATTTTTAGATCCGAGGCTGACAGTCTGCGTCCAGATGAGGATCAGTTTTGGAAAGAGATGATTGACAAGTATCTCCAGCCAATTGCAATGGACCTCAAGGCCCAAGAAAGGATTCGAATCGGTTTATGTGAGCTGAGAAACAAGAGCTGTGCCTCCTTCTTCATGGTGAATATCGTATTCATCATTGTTGTTTTGGTTCTGCAAATGCAAAAGGACTGCATTCACATAGAATGGCCGCTTGGCCCCAAATTTAATCATACTGTAATTCCATGTGGTTCTGACAAGAAGGAAGCTGTCTGGGTGATGAGCCGGTTGCAGTTGGAGCCAATTGGACTAGTCTTTCTCGTGTTTTACATGTCGATTCTCATCATACAGGTAAGTGAATTCTGCATTTTAAATAAATCTTGCAGTTCTTTGCCATGCTTTTACATCGCTTTGGGACTCTCGAACATATCATTGCATCGACTGATCTGCACTGCACTAAGAAAAAATTGGATACTGCTGCTGCTGGAGATGTACCAGTAGAAGATATTGTCGAGTTTGCCAGAGGACTCCAAGCAATAAAACAAAGTGAAATTGATGAACCAGAAGAGGGAGAACCCAACGAAGAGAAGCCAATAAGCAGAATACAAGTGGTCAAAAGATTAAAGTCCTCCAGAAACCCCGCAAAGAATACGGAAACATTGGATGCAGTGTTCAGAAGAAGATACGAAGCTATCCTGAATTCACAAATGAAGACCGAAGGTCTCATCGATAAGAAAATGAACGTCTCCACAGCTACTTTACAAGGGCGAGGACTGACTTTAAGACCTGAAACAATCAAGGCGATCGAAAGAAAACGGAATACCATTCTGAGGGGAACCATCAATCGAAAATAACGGGAACATTATTATTAATAATATACATTACTATATTTACAGGACAAAGTATTGCTTATATACACCCGCATTCAATTAGATCTCGGAGCACGGGATCCTTGGGAACGTCGACTTCTTTCGCTGGGTTAAACACTGGGGCTAGGTTCACCACATGCGACTTTGGTAGCTTCTTCAAATGAGTTTTAAACATCTTGTGGACGTCGTTTACGACGTCGGCAAAATAATTATGTTCTTTGATCGGTTTCCTTCGTGACGGACTCTTGTTCAGATTCTCTTCTGAAACGCAACAATTAACTTGAAGGATCAATAATATAAGATGTATAATAACACGATTGAAAACATACTCATAAGGTCAGTAGCTGACATGACCTCAGTCTTCAACACGTCTTCCTTCAGTTTCTTGATCTCTGCTAAGACATGCCCCATATCAGATGAACCATTTCCATTATTAATATCGAACAACCCCTCAACCTGCTCAAAGAATTTCAACCATTCTTCCTTTCGTTTTAACCTAGATGAACCATGGATCCTAAACATATCTAGCATCCGTTTAATGAAGCCACTTACTGTTTGAAGACATTATCTATATAATCCTCCTCGTTATGTAAATCAATGTAGAATCCAAGAGACTCATGTCCATTCACCGATCTGAATTGATACTTCGGCAATATTTCGGCCATTCTGAGGAAAACAGAGAATGCCTTGAGGACAGCCAGATAAGTGCTGATTTTGGAAGTACTTTCAGGAATAGTGGTCGTATTCAGATTCATCAAATGTTGGGAAATCGAAGTTGAGATAACAACTTCCATATCCATGAAGGATTGCCTAGTTTCCGTAAACCTCTTCATCATCTCTAGGAGAAGATCGCCACCCAAAAAGAGGCCGAGTTTCTCAGGCAAGAGACAAAAAAATCGGTATAAAACATCTTTGACAGCATTTGTGGGGTTCTTCACATTAAAATATTCAACGACAATGGACTGCTCAATAACGGCAGGCAGATTAAAGGATTGGCTTTCGTTGCAAAACATTATCAAAATCGATTTAACTTCTCTGTAAAAACATAAATCAGAAGCTAAAACAATGTTTACTTCGTTAAGGGAAACATACTCAGTTAACAAACCATCAAGTAGAGCCAAGGAATATTTGAATTTTACAGAATTGACGACAAAAATTAGCGGGATCCTCCCATTCTCCTAAAAAAAGAATTCAAGAATTACCGTAACCAAACCTACATTGATTTTAACGGCCTCTCCCAGCAAATGGAAAGGACTCTTGCTCCCATTGCAGATCAACCTATCTATATTTGAGGCCTCTAGATTTTTATAAACCACAGACAAGAGGAGATCAACATCACTGCACGTTCCCAATACCTTGAGCAAAACAGGACCTACAAGATTCAACACTTACAAATAACCCTACCTTCTATTGAATTATTAGTAGAAAAGTTATTCGCCACAATTCCTTTTAGTTTAACAAGAATATCCTCAAACAGATATTCAATTAGAACATCGCGAAACAAGGAATTCACGTGCTTCAAATCGTCTGACACCCTGAGGCTTGTCCGGATCAATTTCTTATGACATTCAGAAAAGGCCATCGTTGGCTACAGATTTCTGGAAATACGAAAAGGCGCCTTTGCCTAGGCTGTTTTTTTATAAAAACCACGCGTGGAAAAAAAAAATAAAATTTTATTTTTTTTTTTTTTTTGAAAGAATTAAGTTCGCGCCCAATGTTTTCGTGGCTAAACGAAAACTTAAAAGCTGCATGCATGTGATTCACGGCTTGCCCATAAAAAAAGTGATTTTCAAGTCACTTTTTGTATTCGAAAAATTTTTCAAATTCTTTAGTGCGACCTCATACAGGGTGGGCCACTCGAATCTGACAAGTTGTTTCCTTGAATTTCTCCGCGGGGACTCCGCCGATTTTTCTAAAATTCAGATTTTTCAGCTGAGACCCGCCATTTTCAACCGACTGAATTTCAAAAAAACATATTTTAAATTGACCTTTCCATGCCTTCTCAAAGTTTTGAAAAATTATTTTCAGGCCGAAACCGCTAAAACTTAGAAAATTTTTGGAATGATTTTCAATTGGCTTTCTCGGACTTGGAAAATTTTTGGTTTTTTTGGGGGAAATCTCGGAGTAAAAAGTTGCTAGTGCTCGCCTTAAACTTGTCTAAAGCAAGTTGAAAGCCACAAGAGGGTTGTTTGTATTACCATTAGGGTACGAACATTCAAAAAAAAAGATTTCAAAAAGATTGAAAAATTCCACGTCAATGGTTATCGAGTCAGGCCTGGGGCATCTTGAAGCTTAGAACCCGGCCTGATTGAAGTTTTAACTTTAAAAACCATATCCACAATACGCAATTATATCTGCGCATGACTCTCAGAGGCACTGCAAGTTTGTGATGTTAGAGGAGGTGGGCATAATAACTCAGAGAGAAGCATTAATAATCAGATTGTTAAAAAAATGTTTTCGGAACAATATTTGATAACTACCTGAGGTAAAACAAAAAAAAATTTCACCCAAGAACTCGGAAAAATTACCAAGTTTTCAAAATCATTCCAAAAATTGGCGCTACGACATTTCGGGTCAGGGACAACTCGGGTCGCGACAACTCGGGTCAACGACAACTCGGGTCAACGATACCGTTTAATATTTTCGCTTCGGGACTTGGAAAAAAGAATTTCTTGGTGAATTTAAAAAATTTTTCAAATGTTTTCGCTTCGGGACTTGGAAAAAAAGGATTTTTTGTGAAATTTGAATAAAATTTGAAATATTTTCGAGCTGACTGAGTATGAACTGACTGAAAATGAAAATGAAAACTGGGTTTCTGTTACCTTACTGCCTTTAGGGATTCTTTTTGAAAATTTTTCGACTTATAGCACTTTTAGACGTTAATGGTGTTGTTTTGGTGCCTAGTACTGCTTAAAAAACACATTTTTAACACTTGGTACTAAATAGTATTACCTGGTACTATTTAGTACGAGGTGCAAATTTGGCCGTAAGGCGGTAATGGCGTTGGTTTGGTGCTTAGTAGAACCCAAAAACACGTTTTAACACTTGGTACTATAGTACCAACTGGTACTGTTTTGTGAGAAGTGAAAATTTGGTCATGAGGCAGAAATGGTGATGGTTTGGTGCTTAGTAGAGCCCAAAAACACGTGGTACTATATAGTACCAGGTGGTACCATTGGTTTTAGACAAAACTTTACTGCTGCCGGCACCACAGTTAATATTCAGTCAGACACCCTTTTTTCTACTTCCGATGCGAAAACATTTCAAAATTTTGTTGAATTTTCCAAAAAATCTTTTTTTCCCAGTCCCGAAGCGAAAACACTTCAAATTTTTTTCAAATTTCACAAAAAATCCTTTTTTTTCCAACTCCCGAAGCGAAAACATTTGAAAATTTTTTCAAATTTCACAAAAAGTCCTTTTTTTCCAAGTCCCGAAGCGAAAACATTTCAAAAAAAAAATTTTTTCAGGTAACCTATCCTCGGGGTAACCTATCCTCCGAGAACGCAAGTCCCGAAGCGAAAACATTTCAAAAATTTTTCAAATTCACCAAAAAATTCTTTTTTCACAGTCCCGAAGCGAAAATATTAAACGGTATCGTTGACCCGAAATGTCGTTGACCCGAAGTGTCGTTGACCCGAGTTGTCGTTGACCCGAGTTGTCGTTGACCCGAGTTGTCGCGACCCGAGTTGTCCCTGACCCGAAATGTCGGGACGCGCAAAAATTTTCTAAGTTTTAGCGGTTTCGGCCTGCAAATAATTTTTCAAAACTTTGAGAAGGCATGGAAAGGTCAATTTAAAATATGTTTTTTTGAAATTCAGTCGGTTGAAAATGGCGGGTCTCAGCTGAAAAATCTGAATTTTAGAAAAATCGGCGGAGTCTCCGCGGAGAAATTCAAAGAAACAACTTGTCAGTTTCGAGTGGCCCACCCTGTAGTTAAAATGCTGGCAAAAAAGAAACCGGAAAAATTTTCAAAAATACGCAATAGCCTCGTAGCTTTCTTCACGTTCTCGGAGGATAGGTTACCCCTAGCCATCGGGTCGGGCTTCAGTATTTTTCAAGCCCGGGCTCGGGCCGGGCTGGCCCGGTTTGCAGCCATGCTTAGGCGGGAATGGTCAGCGGACCGGGCTCGAAAATTGAAATTTGACAAACGCCGTGGGCCTGAGGTTTTTTAGGCCCGGCCCGTCTATATTATAATGTCAAGCCGTTCCCATTAATTTTTTGGCCGGCAAAATTCATTGTTGTTGTTGCAGTTTCTCAAGTTCTAAAACGTTTACAGGGTGGGGCATCTTTGTGGCCCGATTTGAATTGACTATAACTTCTTTAGTTTTTGGCCAAATTTTAAAATTCTTTTTTTCCCTGAATCGTCAGCCAACCCCATTTTGTTTGATACCAAATATGTTATACATAGTAAGTGTATATCTACAGTTATTGGATTTATTCTTGGAGTTCATTTTTTTGGTCGTTTTTCGGTTGTTTTTTCGGTCTTTCCCGGTGTGTCCGAAAATGGAGTCCGGTGTGGAAGAAAAGGCTTGGTCTGCGGTTTGGTATAGCAAGTACGGTTCGGCGACAAATGTTCAAAAGGAAATGCCGCATGAAATACGGACGTAATGCCCAACTTCCAGATCGCAAGACAATTCGACGTTCGTGGAATAAGTTTCTTGAGACTGGCAGCGTTAACAGGAAACAAGAAAAGCAGGAAAGGTGGGTACGAACGGAGCTGAAAATTGAAGAAGTTTTGTCAAAATTCCGAGAAAATCGGCAGAGTATACGAAGTTTGGCCAGAACCGAGGGAATGCCTTCAGCAAGGACCATTCGACGAACTCTGGAGGTTGATCTTCACTTTTTGTTCTTATTCTCATCGTCGCTTTTCGGGAGGGTAAATTCCACCGTATTTTTCTTCCGCACCGTACTCCATTTCTGGACACACCGGGAAAGACCGAAAAAACAACCGAAAAACGGCCGAAAAAATGAACTCCAAGAATAAACCCAATAACTGTAGATATACACTTACTATGTATAACATATTTGGTATCAAACAAAATGGGGTTGGCTGACGATTCAGAGAAAAAAAGAATTTTAAAATTTGGCCAAAAACTAAAGAAGTTATAGCCAATTCAAATCGGGCCACAAAGATGCCCCACCCTGTACTAGTCTATAGTTCCGTTTCAGAGCGTTCTACTTTTTTGAAATGAAAAAGGACACCGATTTTTTCGATTTTTTGCTATAAGATTGACGCGTGAAATTTGCAGTGCACTGTAACTGCAGTGCTTATGGAGCAAAGAGAGATCTTTCCAGCCATGTAACTTTTGACAACTTTTATACAGTACCGAATTTGTAACTACCGACTTTGGATTTTCAGGCCAGAAAGCGCCCTTAGGCGGATCTTCTGGGACAAGTAGGACATACCATCTTCTGCGGAATTTATTTCTCTATAACATAACCAAAATGAAAAATTTTACTTAAAGAAGTTTTCCGTCTAGTTATACGTCAAAAACGCAATTTTTACATTAACTTTGCCATATTTTTCAAATATTTTCACTTTAAGGTGATTATTACAAAAATAATTCAACTCAATTCTATTTATTCACACTAATTACATGTAAAAATTATGGAGTGTATCAGTCGGGATTCCATTGTCTGCTCAGTATTCTCCATCGCAGGCCATGGTGCTTTCGAAAATCGTCGGTCCATCTGAGCCCGGGGCGTCCAAGTGGTGGTTTGTAGGGCGGCGTCCATTCCATCAGTCGTTGATCCCATCTTCCTTCCTCGGGTCTTACAATTTTTAGCTGCATTTTCTTCATGTACTTCCATTTTCGCTTCTATTCTTTTAAAACCAGTCCGAGCGCGGATGTCCTCATGCCTTGCATGATCTCTCAAAGATATTCCTAGCATTCTCCGCTCCATAAAAAAATAAATTTATACGTATTTAAGCTTGCATGCTGGCTCGGTTTAATTTTTAATTTTGCCCTGTCATCTTTCTCCTTCTTCAAGAATTACGGAGCTAAAGTTGGCGCTACGACGTTTAGGGTCAGGGACAACTCGGGTCAACGACATTTCGGGTCAACGATACCGTTTAATATTTTCGCTTCGGGACTGGGAAAAAAGAATTTTTTTGTGAGTTTGAAAAATTTTTGACAAGGAAAGTACTTTTATGGGGGCTCCTACTTTTTGACGGGACATATTTCAAAAAATCAGAAAAAATGTGCTGATCAAGGATATATAAATCTTAGCTGCCCATTTTAGGTTTTTAGGGGTGAAAATGCCCAAAAACTGGCTTAATTTCCCTACAAAAGGCGCATGCATTCGAAACGATAAAAAGCGCAGTCGGTCTCTTCCTTCGGAAGAGAGTGGTGTGGCCGAGTGGCTAGTGCCGTAGTTTGGGAATCAAGAAGAAGGGGAACGCCGCACGGGTTCGATTTCCCTTTTGGGCCGAATCAACTTTTTTTGAAGTTGAAGGTCGGAAAAATGAATTTTTGTGCCAATACTGATTTATTACGTCTTAGAAACTCAATAAACATCATTTTAAGCTAAAATAAAAATTGTAAACCTGTGAAAAATTAAGCGAAAAGGGGTTGATATAGGACTTTAAGTCAACTTCCGACTGAGTTTTCACCCCTAAAAACCTAAAATGGGCAGCTAGGATTTATATATTCTTGATCAGCACATTTTTTCTGATTTTTTGAGATATGTCCCGTCAAAAAGTAGGAGCCCCCATAAAAGTACTTTCCTTGTGAAATGTTTTCGCTTTTATTTGCATACAATCATTACGACTATCAATTTTTTGGAGAATTTGGAGCAAAATTTTGAAATTTTTTCGCTTCGGGACTTGGGAAAAGGAATTTTTTGGAGAATTTGAATAAAATTTTGAAATGTTTTCGCTTTTATTTGCATGCAATCATTACGACTATCTTCTTACTCCACTCTCTGGCACTGTCTGTGTTTAAATCCCGTGCTTCCAGTTAAAAACATAAACAATGGATACGATTTTCTTATTTGCTCGTCGCTTATAAACACTATTTTCCTAAAAAATTAAATAAGAAACATCAATTCTCCAAAAAATCCTTTTTTCCAAGTCCCGAAGCGAAAACATTTCAAAATTTTGTTCAAATTCTCCAAAATTTTTTTCCAAGTCCCGAAGCGAAAATATTAAACGGCATCGTTGACCCGAAATGTCGTTGACCCGAGGTGTCGTTGACCCGAAGTGTCGCGACCCGAGTTGTCCCTGACCCAAAATGTCGGGACGCGCTAAAGTTTGGTCCTTGCATCCATTTTCGAAATCAGCACCTTCGAAAACCTCCAAATCGAGTATTTTTAGAAAAGATTCCAAAATTACTTGTTAAGAGCACTGCTTAAGAAAAGCAAGTAACAATCAGAAAAAATTAACATTATTTTTGATGTCCGCACTCTCGAAGAATTACTACTTAACAATATAAGCAAAAAAGTAAATACGGAAAAAATGGAAGTGATTTTCACATCCTCGCGATCGGTTACCTTACTTGGGTGATATGGACAATGTTGAAATGCTGGCTCTGCACTGATGCGCAAAACCGATTTTACTTTTGGATTGCTTTTGGCTGAAAATGAATTAAACGGCAAAAAAAAAATCCAAAATTTAACTTATACAGTGCATAATTAATGTATAATTAATCGCATCACCCGAATAAGGAATCACCCAAAGCACTTACCCGAATTTTCACCACCCGAATATTCTCGACCCCGGCGACTCCGGGGGGGGTTTTTTGATTCCGATTTGTCTGGCAGGATGGCTATAATAAAATCCTTCGAGAATTTTGGTTTGCATTTTGGGTAGTAATACGGGGGTTAAGCATTCATATAATGCAAATCCCGTCATATGAATGTCCAACATTGATGATGCACTACCAATGTTGGAATACGCCCTATCATCGATGAGGATAGTTTGGACGGGAAGGGCTCTCCCAGACTAAATCGTGACGCTATAACAGGGAGTGATAAATTTTAGTGCTTCAAAGTATAATATAGAAGGCTTATCTTTCATTTAAAATGTACTGGTGATAATGCGATTGCAGAGAACGTTTTCTTTTTTAATAAGACGTTTTCTTCAGTGCCGTAAAATTGATCATTTTACTAGGCCTTCGTTTCTCCCTCCATCCACCAAAACTAACTACTTGGGAAGACGCGGGCGGGAGTGTCCCAAGGACATTCGAAATGGTTGAGAGGAATTTTAAACAAACAGACGTGAACGGTTAAGGTTGACCTTTCTTTTCAATCTCGGCTGCGTCGCGCGCGATTCTCTTTTTGCCGGAATGTCCTTTTATTTTTGTCTTTGTGCTTTCACTTTTCGAGGATCGTATTTGTATTCCTTTTCCAAAGAGCTTTTGTCGCTTTTTTCGAGGGATGGTTGATACTACTTCTGCCAGACATTATGCTTTCAAAATTAAACAAAACGCGCTATTTCTTTTCAAGGTCAAACGATTCAACAGTGGTGGGATTGATTGCATGGCCCAGACGTCTCCTTGTAAAAAACCCTGAGCTCACGACCAGAGACCGCTCACGGGGAAAACGAAAGGTGCGAGACGTGTCTATCAATCAGCAATCATTTGGCAACAGTCTGGAGGCCTGAAATGTATAGGGCGTGATAAGAAGGGATGGGGGGGGGGGGGGGGGCAGCGCTTCGTTTAGCTGTTGAGGGAGGTTTTAATCTTTTTGCGATCTCTTTCTCTTGGTCTAACTGATCCTCATCTCTCCGATCGGCATGTATACCATTCTCGGAACCACGCTTATGTTAGCTCAGCGGTAAACGAAGAGGATTCCCTTCTCCGCAACCCATTCCCTTATATAAATCCTTTTGTTTTTGATCTGAAATGGGTCGGGATTCGGAAGATTACTTTTATGTTTGTAAGCAGGACGCTTTGATCTGTTCTGACAGTGTCGAAACCCTCATTATATTTGTACGGCTACTATAAACGCAACGAAACGCGTCTCCACCTCGTTTTTCACAGGAGATTTCATAGCCATCAGTCGCGGCGCCCGCTGAACTCCGTCCCTCGTTTTTCGTCGTCTAGACGTTCTTTCTCCTGACTTTTTTTGCGCCAGTAACCAATGCCAAACCTCTCTCCTACCCGTCTTCAGCTGTTGCCTTATAATTCACGGTGACTTCGTTTGTTCTGTTTCCTTTTGTCAGCTGCGCGGCCTTTACATCTGCTGAGATTCATCGAAAATCACAGAAACGGACCATCTCCGCCGTCGCGCACCAGATTCTAACCTTGAAGATTTCCACCGGAGTTAATTCGTTGTTGTGATTTTGTTTTTCATGAGTCGTTGAAGGTCCCTGCAGTGAGAGTGGGCACTAGCCATCCAGCCGGGTCTCGGTTTCATTGTCAAGAAAAGAAATCTCGAGAAATGATCTGACCAATGTCAAGAGCTGGTCATCCCATTTGCCTCTAGTACTTGTCAACTGCCGCTTTCGCTTTTTGCATTGGTCAGCCCGGTCCTCCATTCGTTTTTTTACACTTCTCATTCCAAAGCAGCCTCACCCGTAGATTCGAGGCGGGCGGAGAGAAAAAGAGAGTGAGTTGGCTAAAGTCTCGTCCCAACAAAACCCGCCAACTCTCCACTCCATACTTTGGTCTGGCCCTCTCTGGCCTATTATGGCCACGCTGTCTGGGTCGTTTCTATTTTTTGTCCGCTGTTTTGTAAATGTTTCCTTTCCGTTCCCTTTCTGCAAATTCTCTCTGGCTATCTTGAGTGCCAACTAGCGGCGCACACTCGCAGCGTTCTCATTCTTGTTTTTTCGCGAGTTTTTACCATGGCCGATTGCGTAATAACTGTTGATGTTCAGGAGAACATTAAGTATGGAGATTGACCAAGAAGTATCTTCGTCCGGCTACTCATCTAGCTCCTCATACACGATTTTGGGTTCATCTAAGGTAGGTTCCAAAGCCGATTTTTTTTGCGTGTCAGTATTTCTTACTAAATTATGATTACACAGCCCATTTTGCATTCAAAAACAAGAGGTTCGCGTTACTTTTATTGAAATTCATAAATTACACAAGATCTCTTCAGGTGAAACACGGTGCTGTCAACTTTGAAATGCTTCAAGCAGAATCAGCCTACATATCTATGGGACCACAAACGTCCACATATTCAAATGAATCTCGTTATTTAATGATGAGACAAAGAAGGAAACCCGAAGGCGCCATAAAAGAAGACCGAATGGCCCGTCAGCAAGTACTAAAGAACAAAAGGAAACGGGCGAGACAAGCCATAATCGATCAGAATCGACCTCTTTATGTGTCTAGCGACGGAGATACAATATTCGAAGATGACAACGACGTATTTGAGATGGGCAAGATTGATCCCACACTATTCAATCAATTGGATGATGGGCTCTACATCGATCAAGTGGAAGTTGTGGATATTTCCAATAATGGAACCGTAGAATGCATGGATATCTTATGCGATCTCGATGAGAGTGATCTCAGCGACAGTGAGCTTAGTTTCTTTGGCTGCGACACCGATACCGAGAGGGAAGAAGATGGATATACCACTGCCGACTTCGATGACACGGAACCGGAATCGGAACAGGAGAATGGTGACATAGCTTTGATTCAGTCGGTTGCATCAACTGAAGAAGAGATTGTCAGGATACGATTCCCTTTTATGTCGATGAGAGTCTTTTTGTCCGACGTTTATTGCCTAATGGATGATGTGTTTGTGAATGATACGATTGTTGATTTCTGTTTGAATCATATGGTGTTCAATGAGTTGCCTGAGGATGTGTATAAGATCCACACTTTCCCCTCGACCTTTTTTTATTATATGCAGATGCAGTTGTTCAGAGATGGCAGCAATAAGAATGATCTACCTGCCCAGCGATTGATGCGTCGGTTTTCGCGGCTAGCGCCTTTTGTTGAGAACTTGGATATCTTTGAGAACGACTTCTTGGTGTTCCCCATGAATGATATGAATCATTGGTAAGAGCTATTTAATGATGCTATCTCGGGTTTCTAACTTTTTTGATATGATTATTTTATATAAGCTTAAAACTTTGCATATATAAATTATATCGTTCATAATTATACATGACATCGTTCCAGGTCGTTGTGCATTGTCTGTTGTCCTCAATTACTCCTCGATGAGACTCAACAAGAGAGACTGGAGAAGTCGAATGTGATCGAACCAACTCCCTGTATAATTATGCTCGACTCTCAATTCAACGAACAACCTAATCTTGACAAATACAGTGGTCACATACGAGAATTTCTTCAATTCGCTTATATTTACAACCATGGTTATTGCGAAGACCTGATGGATCGATTCTCGGAGAAAAACCTGAAGCTTGTTTATCCCCAAAGACTTCCCCAACAGACAAATAAGTATGATTGCGGATTGTACTTGCTGGAATACGCCAAAAACTTCTTCATGAACCCACCCAATATGGTAATTAAACTTGACGTTATGCTAGATTTTTTAGAAGAAAACGGTGGACTCCTTTGATTTCCTGGCTGAATATCCTCAATTCAGCACGAGCAACAAAAGAGCGGCGCTGAGAAGGGAAATCCTCAGCATGAATGACCATTACGAATCTCTACTTCATCAAGATTCGACTTAGACAAGCATCAGTTTGATCTATATATATCTAAGAGCAGGGCACGTTCACTTCATGAGGCCTCTCGTCGATTCCGAGTATCGTTCTACTGTCCACGGGTTCAATTCCTATCGGTCATATTGTTATTTTTCCTCCCACCTTCTTACATTTTCCTTATTTTCTGTTGATTTCCATTTATTTCATTGATTGTTGTTGTTTCCGGATATCCCTCTGGCCACCCCGTTGATTTCCAAATTCTTACTTTGTTGGCTATTTCAACTATTGAATGTTTTTGTTATCTTTTTCATTTGGCTGTTTCCTGTTGAAAATGTTGATTATGTTTTTATTAAACACATTATCCACTTCAAAATCGATGAAAACCTCAAAATAATTTTGCTACGGCTTGAGCTAAATTTGAAGAAACCTCATCTTAGGTTATTCGAAGTATAATAATCTGATAATCAGCATATATGACACGTGATGTCACACGGCGGTTTCAAAGGTCACTTTCGTGGGGGAAAAAACAAAAAATTCGCAGCATAAGAAAATATTCTTCATCGGATAGTGACATTTCGTTGTGCGAATCACCAAAAAAGTTCGGGACATTTTTTCTTTTATTTTGGATTGACGTGTACCGTATCACCAGAAGTGTGATGCTGTGGGATGGAAAAAAACATTTTTTGATTTGTGATAAGGTAAATATGGCAGGGGGGGGGGGAGATATCAAGGAAAGTTTTTTGACTGATTTTTTTTTTTGACATTTCAAGAATGATTTTTTTGTTTTGCCACGGCACGGGACCGAAGCGGATTTCTAAGTTTTTTTAAACAAACAAAAAAAACCTTTCCCTAGTCTAGACTTGGCTCTCGGGCCGGCCCGGGCCGAAAATCGCGGCCCCGCCCGCCGGAAGAGGTCGGCCCGGCCCGTTTCAATTTTTCTTCGGCCCGGGCCGGCCCGAAAATTGAGAAGAAGTAAAAAGCCTTAGATGTGGCGTATTTTTCTTTACTATAACAACCAACAGTAAATTTCTAAAAGAGAGTTTTTTACAACTCGAAGGATGGCCCGGACATTTCGAAAAAACGACCAACTTGGAATCTTTTGATATTTTGCGTAATTGTTGTACTATGATAGCTGAACGTCAGTACGAATTTTTAGCTTCAGAGATTACTGTATATGGGGGTTACGGTAGGTACAATTTTCAGAAAGATTGGGTTCGTGTGTAAAAACCCCTAAGAGTATAGACACAAAACTTCGCTGTTTTACGTTTTTGACCATGGGGAACATTTTCATAATTGATACTTTCGCCGTAGGATGTAGCTTTCGACTACTTTGAAAAATACCAAGGTACCAAATCCAATATAACTTTTCGGCATTCTACTTGTCTCAACTTCTGAAACCTCTCAAAAATACTTTGACATGTGTGTAACAACATACCAAAAATGCGCGGAAATAAAAGGGGTGGTTTTGGAGTTATGGTACTTTGGATGTTGCCGATACGGTATTTCAAAAAATCATTTTTTTTCAAAACCGGTGTGGAAGACCCGCAAACCTTGCCAAAATACGTTTTCGACCATGGCGAACATTTTTGTAATTGACAACTTTACCGTAGGATGTTGCCTTCGACTACTTTGAAAAATACCAAGGTACCATATAGAATGTAACTTTGCGGCATTCTACTTGTCTCAACTTTTGAAACCTCTCAAATATACCTTGACATGTATGTAAGAACATGTCAAAAATGCACGAAAATAAAAGGGGTGGTTTTGGAGTTACGGTCCATTGAAGGCAGCCGGTACCGTATATCAAAATTTCATTTTTTCTAAAATTGACGTAGAAACCCCGCAAACCTCGCCGAAATACGTTTTCGAACCTCGCGAACATTTTTGTAATTGACACTTTTTTTGTAGGATGCGGCGTTTGACCGCTATGATTAATGTCAAGATACCATGATCAATATAACTTTGCGGCATTCTACTTGTCTCAACTTTTAAAACCTCTCAAATATACCTTGACATGTATGTAACAGCATATCAAAAATGCACGAAAATAAAAGGGGTGGTTTTGGAGTTATGGTACTTTTAATCTTGATCATACAGTACACCGAACTTTCGTTGTGATGCTGACGCCCGAAATTGAAAGATTCTACCGTCGTATAGCACACACGACTCCAAACCGTGGTAATCGTTGCAAAAAAATTAAGAAATCGCTGATCTTACTATTACAGTAACCAATTATCTGCGCACGATATGTTACAGTATGCTTAGGCCGAAATTTTCTGAGTTTCCTGGTGAAAATAGTTTTTGAGGGTCGTACAACATACATAGAGCATTACATTTTGTTTTTAAGACAATCAACGTAAAGTTGAGCCGAGAATAAATCGAGGTGTACTGTATGTCCAAAATTCAAAGTACCATAACTCCAAAACCACCCCTTTTATTTTCCTAAATTTTTGATATGTTGTTACACATATGTCAAGGTGTTTTTGAGAGGTTTCAAAAGTTGAGACAAGTTGAATGCCGGAAAGTTATATTGATCATGGTATCTTGACATTCCTCATAGCGGTCAAAGGCCGCATCCTACAAAAAAAGTGTCAATTACAAAAATGTTCGCGAGGTTCGAAAACGTATTTCGGCGCGGTTTGCGGGGTTTCTACGTCAATTTTAGAAAAAATGAAATTTTGATATACGGTACCGGCTGCCTTCAATGTACCGTAACTCCAAAACCACCCCTTTTATTTTCGTGCATTTTTGGTATGTTGTTGCACACATGTCAAAGTATTTTTGAGAGGTTTCAAAAGTTGAGACAAGTAGAATGCCGAAAAGTTACATTCAATATGGTACCTTGGTATTTTTCAAAGTAGTCGAAGGCAACATCCTACGGTAAAGTTGTCAATTATGAAAATGTTCCCCATGGTCAAAAACGTAAAACAGCAAGGTTTTGTGCTTTTACTCCTCTGGGTTTTTACACACGAACCCAATCTTTGTGAAAATTGTACCTACCGTAACCCCCGTATACGGTAGTTTCAGAAACTGAAAATTCACGCTGACGTTCAGCTATCACAGTGCAACAACTATGCAAAATATCAAAAGATTCTGAGTTGGTCGTTTTTTCGAAATGTCCGGCCCTTGTTATGAGAAGCTTCAATCTGTAAAAAACTCTCTTTTAAAGCAAAAAATTACTTACCAACGCATTGCCTTTTTAAAATTAATCAAAAAATTCCCGAGATCCGTATTCAGACTATTAAAAATTGCCCCAAGGTCAATTTTATAGATTCAGCAAAGCTGGAACCACGTTTATCAAGGTTTTCAACTGCAAGGTGATAGTGTTGCTTCACACGACTTCTTAATTGTGTTTTTAAAGATGTGGGGTACGCTTATTTTGAGTGTTTGTTCAAAAAATTACTACAAACACTAGTATACATTAGCACTTAATAGATTTTACTAGTAAAATTACTTATTAATAGCCATTTTTGAGTACTTCCGTGCTTTATTTTTATAAAATTATGCTTACTGTGAGAAAAATATAAACCTTCAGAATTTTAATTTTGCCGGGCCGGCCCGTTTCAATTTTGCTTTGGCCCGGCCCGGGCCGGCCCAGCCCGGCAGCCAAGTCTACCCTAGTCCTGAAGCGAAAATATTTAAAATTTTGTTCAAATTCTCCAAAAAATTCTTTTTCGCCAGTCCCGAAGCGAAAACGTTTCAAATTTTGTTCAATTATTCACAAAAAATCGTTTTTCCCCTCTCCCGAAGCGAAAACATGTCAAATTCACAAAACAACTTTTTTCAAGGTGCACTGTTCGCCCAGGTGCACAATCCGCCCAGGTGCACTGTTCGCCTAGGTGCACAATTCGCCCAGGGGCACTATCCGTCAAGTGCACCTTTCCTTTTTTTTATGGCGCTGATTTTGAAAATTGTATCCATTTCGTCTGAATTTTTGCCTATCTTCCTCAATTCTTTAAAACAATTGTTTTAATTGGTTAAAACTTGGTCAAACTTGTATGATATTGTAAGAAAACTTATGACGCTTTTTTCGTCTTTACAGCGAAAATGACACTACTGCTTAATCAAAATTGTCAAATAAAATCTTCACAAGGAAAGCACTTCTATGGGGTATGGAGTTACAGGTTGTGAAATATATCAAAAAATCGCAAAATTTTTCTGATCCAGAATATGGAAAAGTTAGCTGCCTAATTTCAGTTTGTAAGGGTGAAAAAATCCTCTGAACGTTTCTTGCAACACCACGCAAATGCCTTTTTTGCCCAAGTTTTTACCAAATTAAATGCTTGTTTTTGAGCTAAAGTAAACTGTGGTATCTTGACAAGTCTTAAAATATCAAATTTAATTTATACTACACCTTAATTAGTAGTTGCAATGTAAAAAAGGCGCATTTCCATGGTGTTGCGAGAAAAGTTCAGAGGATTTTTTTCACCCTTACAAACCAAAATTTGGCAGCTAATTTTTACATATTCTATTCTGAATCAGAAAAATTTTGCGAATTCTTTGATATATGTCCCGACCTGTAACTCCATACCCCATCAATGGGCCCATTGAAGTACTTTCCGTGTCAGAAAAAAACGTCTTCCGGGTTTGGTCCCGCCACGAAAACAAGTAGTGCAAATGATTACATAGCATTCCGTCTCTCGCGAGGAAAACGTATAATTTTTTGACCGGCTGTTCTGTAAATCGACTGGTTGAACAATAATGGCTGAAGTTCGTCCTCCAATTGTTGAAGATGAGAAATCCCGGCAGTTGATGTTATACCGCCGAAAGCTAAATGAATATCGGGAAATTGAGGCCAAACTCAAGGAGCTCCGAAGAAAGGTTTGTCGATTTTTTGCGGGTAATTTTTGTTTAGGAGCAAGAAATGCAAAAGGAGCATGAGAAGTCGGAGAACGACATCAAGAGTCTTCAATCTGTCGGGCAGATCGTTGGTGAGGTTCTAAAACAATTGACGGAAGAAAAGTTCATTGTAAAAGCCACCAATGGGCCTCGATACGTTGTTGGTTGCCGTCGGTCGATAAACAAGGAGCTGCTTAAACAGGTAGATTGGAATCTTATCGTTTGCTCATTCATATTGTTTAATGTGAGTAATATTCTTTTTGTTTTTCAGGGTACTCGGGTTGCTTTGGATATGACTACATTAACTATCATGAGACAACTTCCAAGAGAAGTCGATCCCCTCGTGTACAAGATGAGTCATGAGGATCCTGGAAACATTTCGTATGCCGAGGTTGGGGGTTTAGCCGAGCAAATTAGAGAGTTACGCGAAGTTGTCGAACTTCCACTTCTTAATCCCGAGCTGTTCAAGAGAGTGGGAATCACTCCTCCAAAGGGATGTCTTCTGTATGGACCTCCGGGTACTGGAAAGACATTGTTGGCTCGGTGAGTTTTACTATCTCTAATTTCAACTGTTTTATTTTGGTGCCGTCGCATCTCAACTGGATTGCAACTTCTTGAAGGTTGTTTCCTCAGCTATTGTGGACAAGTATATTGGAGAATCGGCTCGAATGATCCGTGAGATGTTTAACTATGCCCGTGATCATCAACCTTGTATTATATTCATGGATGAAATCGATGCCATTGGAGGCCGACGTTTCAGTGAAGGAACTTCAGCCGATCGGGAGATTCAAAGAACTTTAATGGAGTTGTTGAACCAAATGGACGGATTTGACTCTCTGGGGAAGGTCAAGATTATTATGGCTACGAATCGTCCTGATACTTTGGATCCCGCTCTGCTTCGTCCTGGCCGTCTGGATCGAAAGATTGAGATCGGTCTCCCTAATGAGCAGAGTCGTCTCGAGGTCCTCAAGATCCACGCTTCCAGAATTACAAAACATGGAGAGATTGATTACGAATCGGTTGTGAAGCTTTCCGAGGGTTTCTCCGGTGCCGATCTCCGAAATGTCTGTACGGAAGCAGGTGAGATTCAAATATCAAAATGCTTTATTTCCTTCCTTAGGTCTCTTTGCCATCCGAGCTGAGAGAGAATATGTGATCGACGAAGACTTCATGAAGGCCGTCCGTAAAGTCAGTGATGCCAAAAAATTGGAGACCAAGCTCGACTATAAGCCCGTGTAACTAATGTAAATCTATTCTTTTCCGATACTATAAATTATGTACGACAACGTGAGGGAGGGTATTTATTGGACAAAATAATTATAATTAAATAAAGATCCCTCGGTTGATCTCTAACTGATGTTGGGACGCCTCTCCGGTTGTCCCTTCTATTCAAAAAAGTTGGCAGGAAATAGAAAGTTAGAGTTAAATAACAATATAGCCCTGACTGGTGTTCTAAAAGTCGGGGAGATGGATAGGAGAGTATTACAGCGACAAAAGACCTTTGAATCTATCTTCGGTATAGGTGTAAAGTACCTTGGAGGGTCAGTGAGAAGACAAGCTTATTAAAATACCAAGTTTGATAACTAGATGTAAGGGTTGTGTTTGGTGATGACTGGAAGACCCACAACAATTCAAACACAGCCCGTACAATCATTTTGATGATTGAGGGAGCTAAGGGACAAGAATTCTCTGATCTTGGAGGGGGAATATTAAGCGCTACGAATTACTGATTTATGACTGTTAATTTAACTGCTTTCGGCAGGACCGGCGGCTGGACGTATCGCTCTTCCTCGGCTTCCCCCACGTCCGCCACGACCTCTGCCACCTCTGAACCCTCCTCGTCCGCGTCTTGGGGGTCGGCCACCGTTGTCTCCGCCATTGCCGCCGCTTTCACGTGGGGGTTCTTCTCCGCCCGAGGCCGATTGAGACGATCTAAAGTTCCTGCGACCTCGGAATCCGCCTCTGTATCCTCCTCCACCACGACGGGGAGGTCCTCTTCTCAAGCTTCCACCACTACGGCGCTGAAAAGGATTCATATCAATTTTAAATTCCGTGCTATCAACCCGAAATTTTGGTGAAACCTACTTCGTCGCCTTCGCCATTTCCGGACTGTTCACCTTCACTCTTGGGTCTGTAGCCAGCTCTTCTGAAGTAACCACGACCAAAGTGACGACTCTGTTTGTCGGGGGCATGTTTGGATCCCTCAACTGGCTCACCATTTGGTCCAGTTACATTGGCAGCCTCAGGGCCATGTTCTCCTTCGACCACATCGAATAGGACCTCTTCTCCATCACCCAACGATGCGATTGCCTTCTTCGGATTGAATTTGGCGATTGCGGTCTGATGGACAAAGATGTCTTCGTTGTTGTCATTCCTGAAGATGAAGCCATATCCTAAAAGAAATTAGGTTAGCTGAGCCCTAAACAACAACGTCTTGACTCTAGAGTCGACTTACTGTTGACAACATTGAACCACTTGACAACTCCGTGGACGGCGGTCTTCTTCACAACCTTTTCACGCTGAGGTTCAGATTCAGAAGCCGGTCGTTTTTCGACCGCTCCAGTCTTCTCTGACTTGGCCTCGGCCTTCTTGTCGGCCGCGGTCGGTGTCCCTTCCGCCGGTGTTTCCTTCTTTTCTTTTGGTTTCTGCTCCTTTGGTGAGCCTTCTTTCTACAATCTCAATCAGCGGTCAAGTCAGCACACCTACCTTTTGATCAGACATTATGTCTCCTTTCTGGCCAGATGTTCCCAAGCTTCTACCAAGTTCCCTCAAATGAAGATGTTCCCCTCTGGCGGCTGTAACTGTCGATGATTAAATTCCATTTAATCTTCGGTTCACGAACGAATGTCAGCAAAATCAGTAAGTCTCGACGCGAAAGGGTTCGCGAACTAGGGTTTTGAATAATTTTGGAAGGAATTTACCAAGAGTGGAGACAATACTTTTTGAAAAATCATACTCCCGAACAAGGACAATGTACTAAACTTTGAAGACTCGTAATAATGCCAAATCTCTATGTCCGGCATTAGTAAGCACTCGAAAAGACTGATGGATCCCGATGGCCGAGGGTTTATGAGTTCAGACAAACGATGAAGATCAGGTGCGGGCCCAGGGTCAAAGCAGAATAGAAGGCGAAACAACTGCCAATAGTAGGCGACATCACCGAGAGACTTGAACCGGGAGAAGGGAGGGGAGAGAGGCTTTCTCTTCTTTCTCCCCCATCTCATCCGCTCTTCGAGGAAGCGGGGACAGGGGAAAGGGAACAAGCGGCCAACGGCCAGAAGGAAAGGACACAACCCACTAGCCCCGGTCGAACGACCTCGTTTTCACACTCTCAGCCACGCTTCCTCGTCGGAGGTTTGTTGCGCCGTGGCCTAGTACTAGGCATAGGATGAGTTTTGAATTTCCTTCAGCGAAAAATAATTCAGGAGGGCTTCGAGACAGTATAGCTATTTGCAAGTGTTATCGGTTCATATTAGATTCTTCACCTTTCTATCTGTCGGTTAGTTCTTAATTTATCACGATTTAGTCTACCCTTCGTCTATTCACAGTAATTAAAATACCTCCAAAAAATTTGAAATTGGTCTTAGCGGTCCTAATTAAAATCTGAGAGGCACTACGCTTACTCACATTTTTTCATTCCAAAAATCATCTGCAATAAGAAAACAAAAAGTTGCTGAAAAAGTTGAATGTCTCTGACCTCGGAAGTAAAAGGAAGAGAAAGGTGACCTCTTTCCAGGCGTTGTTTCACCCAGGACATGAGTTGAGCTCTTTGAAGGGATCTTAATCCTCTGTCCCTATCCCCACCTACACCTTGACATGGGGGATAAATCAAAGCGAATCTATAAGACGAACGGCAGTGGCGGGGTAACAAACGGGGTGGCAAAGAGAGGAAAACATGATGAAAATGCGGGTAGAGCGCAAAAAGGGGAAGGCCTAACTCTTTTCGGTCTCTCTTTCTCTGCCCGGCTCTCTCCCGTACTTCGTCCAGATGGCCTTGTGCTGACGCTGTCTGTCATCCTCTGGTCTGTCTGCCACCTCCTGTCTCGACTCGTCATCTCCTTCGTGCTCTTTCTATCATCCCTTTTTGTCTCCGCCACCTTTCTGACCGCACTCCATAACTTTTTCCTTCTTTAAGTAGGACGACAACGCATCCCAATTCTGAACTGCGTTTAATGTATTGTGCCTGTTAACAGGGAAATCCCGGCGCTTTATATAATGCACACCTAAGTTTTGAGGATTCGATTAATAAACGAAAAGTGAAGATATTTTATTCCGGAGTTACAGTAAGCACAAAAAATCCCAAGAATGTACAAAACAGTAAAGCTTTATTTTTAATAATATTTTCAATGCTTTACTGAGGAGCTGGAGTTCCAAAGAACAAACAGATGATCAGCTGGAGACCCAAGAGGGGGAACACGTAGCCAAACATGGCTTCGCTGTTGCCAAAAGTCTTGTTTTTCATTGAAGCCGCGACCATCTAAAACAATTTTTGTTAGAAGGGCAAACCTGAGAGTGAGTCTAAACAAACCTGATAGTGAGCAAAGAGAAGAGCAATATGAGTCCCAGACATCCAGATAACAGCTGAAGAACAATATCCAGCAGGAATTATGGAGAATATGATCGAGGCCAAGACACCAACAGCACAGGAGAAACCGATCAGACGAGTACGGTCTTTGCATACGTAGACTGGGCTGAATTCAGAGTCGGCCTTACGTCCAAGAATTAATGTATTTTCAGCTTAAACCTACTAATAAACCCAAAACCAAAGGAACAACGAAGAAAGCCCCTGGCACGGTGCTAATCAATCTGTATCCAATCAGATTTCCAAGAAGGATCCCTTCCGACAAACAACAACCAAACATCCACACGCGCTTCTCGGTGTCATCCAGGGCTAAAGAACTTTACTTAGCATGTTTTAATTAATTAATTGTCTTCAGTGAACTTTTTTTTACTTGCCTGCATTCTTTCTGAAACTCAAGTAGACATAAGAAGGAACCAATCCAAGCAGAGCAATCTGGACCCAAGTATCGAACAATGCCTCAACCAGTCCACAAAGAACAAAAGCGCCCATCAATTCTCCCGAACTGATACCCACCATCAAAACACACAAGGCTGAAATAAAGAGACTTTGCCAATGCAGGGCCGACTTACCCAAGTAGAGCTCAAGGATATTGTTTCTGTTCTCCTTGTCTTCCAAATCCAGTTGATCATCAGAACAGGCTTGAACCAGGTGGTCTAAGAAATCGTACGCCGCAGGCTCAGCCACTTCGTATGCACGTTCAGCCGTCTTGATCAGAGAATTACTGACTTTGACTGAGTAATCATAAATCGCAAGGCCCCTGCGACGCATTGTTTCTACAGTCGTTTGGAATTGCTCCACATAACGTTGTCCGACTTCCGCCATGGTGAAGATGGCTTCCGTTCTCAAGATGATCTACCGACCCGCAACCGATAAACCGGAAAAATGACATCGCCCCACAGCTGCTAGTAACTTTGATTAATTTGAATATATATTTACAAAAACAAAGTTTTAAAATTTTGTTTTTCCAAAAATGCAAATTTCCAAAATTTTGTAAAAAATTTATCATAGAATCAATAGTGACATTTCGTTCTATTGATTTTTCGGGTTTACTTGTCGAAGGAAAAAAGGGGCTTGGAATTTCCGCGGATGGTGCAAATCAAAGCATTCCCGTGGGAATCTTTGGATTTGCACAAGTCTCGTTTTCTTAATTTTTTAATAAATAAAATTACAGACCTCAGTAATGGCCGGGTTTAGCAAACTCGCGCCGATGGCCGTGGCCCGGTTATCTCTTGGAAACCTAACTCCCCAGAACGCTAGACGTATGTTGCAGAATATTATTATTTACGTTTTTAGTGATCGCCGTCCGATCTGGTCATGCCCATCTCTTCAGAAGACGACCAGGTCAGTTATTAACGAATAGATTGAAGGATGTTTCTCATTTTTACATGGTCGGCATTGGAATGCTTCCATGTGCTATTATTGTGATCATCTCACACATTATCTTTGGTGAGTAATTGAATATAATATATTTTATTACGTTGTTCTTTTTGTACTTTAATTTTTAGGCTCGAACTGTGAATTGGTTGATTATCCAGAGAAGGGGCATCCCCACTTCTGGCAGTTCGAACGGACTCCTCTTCGCCAATTTTACGTCCGATTTTTTGGTGTGAGTGATGTTGAAGGATATGAAAGGAACATGGCTCTGGCAGAGAGAACTAGCATCTTCGCTCGCTGGAGACGTTTCGAACAGAGAGTAAAACATCTGGAAGGAGAACGATGGGATTACAAAGGGTTCTATTACGAGCCCGTCTCTTCCCATTGGGTCGACTATTGTAGATATCAAGCTGAGAGATACAGCAAGAAGTACGAACCACACGGACATTATCCCTATTAGGTTTTTTTCTTTGTTCTTCGCATATAAACAGGTATCATGGTATCTGAGACTCGGATTTACATCGTTATTTCGAGGGAAACGTACTTGATTTTGCTTTTTTGTAATTACAGCGTCAATACAGGTGTACAGAATGAGATGCGGGTTCGATTAGAAAAGGTTTTCGTATTGATCGTAGTTGTAGTTGTGGGTTTTTTCTACTTCGTGTCTACTAGTAATGACAGCTCACCACTGGATGTTGATTGTCTGATCGAAGGAACAAGGCGAATCCATTGTATAAAAAAAGGAATAGAAATTTATTTTCCCTTTAATTTTATCAAGAAACAGTTTGATGTAAATGGGAAATGGGTGACCGGTAAGGTAAAAAGTGCGTTTGGAGATGGTTTCAGATACTCGGTTTGAGTATTACACATCATACTCAAAGTCAAAGAAACCAGATATGAAGAATTACAGTTCATTTGGATCGTTTGGCAACTTTGGTTCCTATAATGTTGAAAAGAGAGACCGGGTTGGATGTATTCATGGTACAGAACAGGTCCCGATGAGTATTCAATGGCAGTCAATCCCCTACTTTTATCCCATTCAGATATCTCAGTTCGGTTTGCAACATTTCTCTCGTCTTCAAACAGGTGAGGCGCTGTGATAATCCTTTATTGATGATTTTAGACCCCCCTCCTAAGTTGCATAAAATCTTGAAGGATAATATAAACCGAGGAAATTTCATATCGTTTATAAAGGACGATGCCTCTTACATACGATTAAACGATCTCACAGATACAGTAACCATAGATCTTAACTCAGATCCCGATCTCTCTATAATTTTATTCAAATGGACTCCTCTAAATTACAATTCTTACTTTTCAATATTAGTCCGAGACATCAATGATACATTAGTGATCCTAAAATACGTGATCGAAGATGATAAAAGATGTGTCTGGTCGAATAAAAGCAATGTGAGTGTATGGTACGTATTCAAAAAAATTCCAGTTGTATTATCAATCACTGAACGCTGTGGTTAATAGTTCTATGGATGTGACTCGTGACTTCATCGTCGATATAATAAAAGCAACGAGTTCAAAGAGTAATTCCGACCAAAAGATTGGTAAGAGAATAGCGTTGTTCTAAAAGTCAATTTCAGATTTCTTTAAACCAATTTCAATTTCCTTCAACGGGCCTTCCCAACTTCAATTCCCAATTATTCAACAATCTTCAGCCCACAAGGAATTGTTTCTGAATGCTGCCAATTGGTTATTACGACATCAGGACGAGGATGGAATCTGGCCAGTTCCGGTGAAGCGGAATATCGTAGATAAAAAACTCACTCTCAAACCGGGATGGTCTAGTGCTATGGCGCAAGGTCATGGAATCAGTACTCTAGTTAGGGCTTATCATCTGACCAAAGAAGAGAAGTATAAAAACGCCGCGAGACAAGCGTTGTCGCCCTACGAAAGGCTGGCGGTAGATGGTGGTGTGAAGAACGAAGTATTCGGGCTGCCCTGGTATGAGGAATATCCAACAACACCGCCGAGTTTGGTGTTGAACGGCTTCATCTACTCTTTGATCGGGTTATATGACTTTTCTCAGATCGAAAATGGGACTGCATGGAGATTATTTCAAGACGGCCTTAATTCACTGAACCAGATGCTACCTCTATATGACACAGGATCGGGATCTGTGTACGATCTAAGGCATTTGTTCCTGAAAACGGCTCCAAACTTAGCTCGTTGGGATTACCACAAGGTCCATATATACCTACTAAGGTGGCTTCATATCATAACGAAGGAGAAAATCTATTACGATTATTCGGAACGATGGTTATTATATTCAACGGGAAAACGGGCTAAACACAATTAAAAACAATAAATGATTTAGAAAATAATTATTCGGATTGCTCGTCGGATGCGGGACCCGCGTGATATGTGAGGATGAAGTCATGAAAGGTCTTCGCCGAAGCTTCCTGCTCGAACTTGCAGCAATACAGGATCTCCTTCTTCAGGGATTCCTCCTAAAACACGTAAGAAGAATAGCTTATACTTACCTGTGCTCTGAACAAAACGGAATTTTCGTTTTTATAAGGAGCGAAGTCCTGATTCATAAGAAATTTTAGTGAAGTTTCGGGGCTGACGGTGAAATTTATATAGGCATTTCGCCCCATCTCATCAGCAAACACTTCCACCTTGGTATTATTGTAGCTCATTTCATTTGCATCGGCGATAAGGACATGAAGAACACAATTCTCTACGAATTTACATATGGGGATCTCACTGGGGACTAGAGTTCTCAAAGCTTCTAAAATATACATATTATTACGTTAAGTTTATCTTACGTTGGACTCCATTGAAAAAGGCTTTGATATCATCAGCAAGAGAGAACTTGACCGAGAAGAAAACAGTCTGTTCTTTCAGGTGGTTCTGGAACAGTTTGATTTTTTATTTCCTAACTTACATAAAAGCTCCAAGAAATTTCTCCCGGATTATTTTTGAGTTCCCAGCTAAAATGTTTGTCGATAATATTTCTGGAAATCCTGCGGTTATCTTGGAACACCTCTATGTAAGTCCCACTGATTGCAAGACGCAGACGGATCTTTCCTTCGTCCATTTCTCTCTTCAGAATATCTCTGTCGCCGTCTCTTGTAATGACCGTGAATCTGCGGAACGGCCCTTCGAAGACGATATTATCTGCGGTGGATTCAGCTGGTGAACATGGGGTGGCGACAGCCGAAGGACCTTGAGTAAAGGACGGAACATGAGATTGATTCTGTACAGCCTGTGTGCCAGATTTCGGCAATTCCTTCAGAGTATCGTCAACTTTTGGTTCTTCTGGAGCTTTCACTTCTTCTGCGTCAGTCTCGGTGGGGTTTGCGTCCTTTTTCTTCTCCGGAGACCATTTTCCATTCTTTGGGATACCAAAATATCGATTTGCTTCATCAATGTCCGCGGTAAAATCGAAGTCGTCCACGTAAGTGTCCTCATATCCGTCATCAATCCATCCCACTTGAACCCTCTTTCCTCGAGGATACTCTTGAGTATCGTAAATTTCTTCCTCAGCCGACTCCTCCTTTTCTTCAGGCTCCTTGGGAAGTTCGTCAATTTTGACTGTGCGATAAGAAGTTTTCTTTGAAGGGTCGCCATAAAGAGCCTCATGGTATGCCTTCAGCCTTCGCGCATTCAGTTCTTGGGCGAATTCATCATCAGAATCACTGGCTTCATCATATTTTGTGATAATTGGTTCTTCCTCTGGTTCCTTAGCCTTATTTTGACCATGACCAGATTTCTGAGCCATCGTAGAGCACCTACTATTGATGAGTTCCAACACTTTTTGGCAATCAAAATCTGAGAAATCGTATTGCCCCTGCTTTTGAGGAGGAACATAAGATCTGCCATACGAAACTTCTTGATCCATCTTTTGCGATCTGATCATCGACTGAGAATTCGAATTGAAAGTAAACTCAGGCGGCACATCGAGGTTGTGGCTTGTCGCATTATCCGAATTTTCTGATTTGTCAACTTTTCCGTTTTTGACTTCAAATGTATCCAACTCCTCAAAATCTGTTAAAAAGTAAATACGGATAAACGCATTTTTCTTACCATTCTTCTCGGGTGAATACTCATCTTCAGACAATTCACTTTCAACGAATTCACCCATTTCTTCCTAAATTTAGACCAATATTATTATTTCTATATTTAGTTTACAACTTGAAAAAACGGAAATATTATGTTGAACAATATTACATAACACTCACCTCAGGTTTTTTAACTTCTTTAGCCTTCTCTGCTTCGTTCTTCTGCCTTTTCTTTTGATCATAAAGAGCTTGAAGTTGTTTTCGTAAAGCCTCAGTATGTCTCAAAGCCAGAGATATCTGAAAAAACAAGTGTAATACAAAGGCTCTACAGGAAACTTACAGCATTCAGTTCATCGGAAACGTTGTCCATGATTGATTGTCAACGGTGTGCTGATCAAACAAATCTATAAGAAAACGAAAAAAACTTGGTCAGGCTGTGCCCAAATCAGAAAAAAAGAGATGACTCGAACAAAAAACGGGTCAAGTGGTTCCAGATACGGTAACAGCCAAAGCTGGCCACCGGCCCGCACCGGCGAGGCTCAATCGGGCTGGGCCTGAAAAAATTTGAAACGGGCTGGGCTGATGTTTGCTGGGCCTGGCCCCACGCCTGAGCCATTTCCAGACTCGGCCCGGCTTTGTCGAAATGCAAAGCGTTGGCATTCAATGTTTCTCCCGGGGGTGCCAAAAGTACCAATCCAAATTTTTGGTTTGCCATTAAAGATTTTTTTAGCCTAATTTTGCACAACTATTCCGTCATTTTGCCGAACTTTCTTTGAAGTTTCACAGCCATTCAGACACTTTGGCTAGCCGAGCCAGGTTTTTGGCTTTAAAAAATTTGGCGGTCAACTCATTGGCTGGTCAAATAATGTTGCACCATTGGCTATACGTATTGTGCCAATACCGGAGCTGCCCCAAATGAAAGGTTGCGGGCTTTTGTGAATCGGATTGGAAAAAAGCTGATTGTGAGGTATTTTGTGCTAGTCACTTCACAGTCTGATTTACATTGTCTTAATTTTTCTTTTCTCGTAAAATTCTCAAATGTGTCAGAAATACGGGAATGGGACAAAATGACTGCCAAACCAAATCTTTCATCAAAGATAACAGATTTTTTAGGTCCCACTGATTTCCCTTGCTCCGGCGGAGAATATCGGTGCAAGATAAACCCACGAAGGACGGAAAGGTCCGCTAAAAAAAAGAAAAGAGGAGGGCGGGAAAAAAGGATTTTTTGTGAAAATTGAATAAAATTTGAAATGTTTTCGCTTCGGGACTTGGAAAAAAGGATTTGTTGTGGGGAGGGGGGAGGTTTTCGAAGGCGCTGATTTCGAATATCGTATCCATTTTTTCTGAATCTTACAATTTTGCTTAGGCAGTAGTGTTAACTAGTAATTTTTAAAAAAAGACGTAAGTTATATTGTAATACTTGGTGTTTTGATTTTTAGGTGTGACTAGTCTCGAAAAAAATTTTTTTTGAAATGTTTTCGCTTCGAGACTTGAAAAAAAGGATTTTTTGTGAAATTTGAATAAAATTTGAAATGTTTTCGCTTCGGGACTTCAAAAAAGGGATTTTTTGTGAAATTTGAAAAAAAATTGAAATGTTTTCTCTTCGGGATTGGGAAAAAAAAGAATTTTTTGGAAAATTCAACAAAATTTTGAAATCTTTTCGCATCGGGAGTAGAAAAAAGGGTGTCTGACTGAATATTAACTGTGGTGCCGCCAGCACTAAAATTTTGTCTAAAACCAGTGGTACCACCTGGTACTTTTTATAGTACCACGTGTTTTTGGGCTCTACTAAGCACCAAACCATCACCATTACTGCCTTACGGCCAAATTTGCACCTCGTACTAAATAGTACCAGGTAGTACTATTTAGTACCAAGTGTTAAAAATGTATTTTTTAAGCAGTACTAGGCACCAAAACAACACCATTAACGTCTAAAAGTGTTATAAGTCGAAAAAATTTCAACAAGAATCCCTAAAGGTAGTAAAGTAACAGAAACCCAGTTTTCATATTCAGTCAGTTCATACTCAGTCAGCTCGAAAAAATTTCTAATTTTATTCAAATTTCACAAAAAAATCCTTTTTTCCAAGTCCCGAAGCGAAAACATTTCAATTTTCACAACAAATCCTTTTTTCCAAGTCCCGAAGCGAAAACATTTCAAATTTTATTCAATTTTCACAAAAAATCCTTTTTTCCCACCCTCTTCTTTTCCTTTTTTTAGCGGACCATTCCGCACAGCGGACCTTTCCGTCCAGCGGACCTTTCCGCACAGCGGACCTTTCCGTACTCAATCAAAAAAATCTACGCAGAGCCTTCGTTTTTTGTAACAAGATGTAATTTTCAAAAAGACGTCAAATTTCTCCGCCGAAAAATGGTCTCTCCGCCGAGGCGAGAAAAAATTATTTTATTTACATATTCTATTAAAAACGCCCGACTTCGAATTTTAAGACCAATTTAAACTTCTTGGATAACTGCAAAGAGCCCAAGGATATCCGCAAAGTCTTTGTGCAATATTTCTTGAAACACCCTGTGGTTATAAAGAAGACTAAATTATGGGACAATATGATGTTACAACATTATTGTAATATGTATTCTGGATGAGTCTTGATTCGTCTTATATTAATTCTGTCCCCGGAGTCCGGACGGGACTATTCAAAAATACCTCAAAATTAGCAGCGGATGTTGACGCAACTGAAGAAACATTGACTGTATGCATCGCCGTTGTGATTTGAACAGCTCTATTTTCAAACCTTCACACCTCTATTATGATAAATTTTGTTTCCTAAATTCAGGAATAGGGGTTCCGAATAATTTTAAAATTTTCGCCCGTGACGCTCAAACCACGAGCTTATCGATTTTTTCGCTCTGCACTGTACAAGGCTCACACGATAATAGGTTACAATTTTGGCTACCCTTGGTTTGTGGCAGACTTCATTTCAGATTGTTTATTGTCGGAACACTGTATAGCCAATGTTGCCAAATTGTTTGACCAGCTAGCCAATGAATTGAAGTGATATTTCAACGGATGACCAAAAGTCTGCTAGCGAAAGTGTCAGGACGGCTTTGAAGCCTCGAGAAAAACTAGCCAAAAGGTTGGAATGGGTTGTAAAGAGGAGGAGTGACTTTGCCTAGCCGAGTCAAGTTTTTGGCTAACAGTTTAAAAATTGTAGCTGTCATTTCAACTAATTGGTCAATCAATTTTGAAACATTGGCTAGACATATTGGCCAATACCGGACCTGCCCCAAATGAAAGATTGCGAAAATTTTGTGGTCGAGCGTTATGGGCGAAAAAAGTTTGAATTTACTCGGAACCCCTCTCTTTTGTAATCATGAGGTCGACTTTTCTTTGTTTCCTTTTCTTGCTATGTAGAGCTGCAAAGAGTCAGAAGGAAACAACATTTGGATTGGATTTACCGGGTAATTTTCCCAACAAAATTTTAAAAAATTTCAAGATGATTCGACGACGACCACTGAAGAAGAGTCAACCGATGAAAGCACAACAACGGAGACGACTGAGGAGTTCTCCACCACTTCGGAGGAGACTACAACGACTACTCCATGCTGTCCAACAGGTGGCGTGTGGTCGAATTGGCGGCCAGCGTCCAATTCTTCTTGTTCTGATACCTGTGGGGGATATGGGACACAACAATTGACTAGAACTTGTTTGTCTTTATTGATATCTTCCTCTTGCTCCTGCGATGGGAATTCCACGTCTACTGGTCCTTGTAATCTACAGCCTTGCGCTTTTGGACGCGCATCTTGTGCTCCTGGGTTAAAAGTTGGTTTGTTGGAAGGAAGCTTCGCTTGTCTTAACGGTACCAGTAGTACCTCTACTGACAATTCGACTCTGTCCTGCTGTCCTTCAATTGATTTGTTTAGTGAGTGGAGTGAATGGAGTTACTGTTCGAGTTCCTGTGGTAATTGTAGAAATAGTACTCGAAGAAGGGAGTGTGTCCAGAGAACAAGAGGCTGTAGTTGTACAGAGTAAGGGCTGTTGTTTAATTCTTTTTGTTGTTTGAATCCACTTATTCAAACACTTATATTCAGAAGTGATGGGGTCGAGATCGTTTCCTGCGGCACTTCCGTCTGTAAATATCCCACCAGATCTTGCTGTTCAGGGAACCAAGTTCAACACTTGAACGGATCCTTCGTCTGTGCGCCAACATCTTCCTCCTGAATTCTTGATGACTTCTTTTTTCATGGTTGTAATATTACTTTTATTTTTCTTTGGTAAGTAATGATATGAATAAAGTTATTTGAAGTAGCTTCGGAGGCCAAATCGATTGTTAAGAGACAAATGCCATTCAATTTTATGCCGTTCCAACAGTCTTTCTATCAGCTTCCTCCTTTTCAACGACCTCCGGGGTACTACGGATACCCACCGTTCTTCCAAGTGCGTATTTTATTACATTTGCAATTTTTATGTTTTTGTGTGTTACTTGGCTTCCATGTCATAATATTTATGCAATTGTGATTTAGTCGCCCTTCTTCGAGCCGAGCTGGCTGCCCCGATTGGGCCCATGGGATTATTCTAATGATGACGTCATCAAAAGCAAGACCAAAGACAGTAATTTCCTGAGGGCATTGGGTGCCAGTACTAGAAAATACGACGCCTTCCTTCGATGTCATGATTGTGATAACCTGGAAACAGATTCCAAAATTGATTCAGATTTTTTATTTGATTTTAGTCACGATAAAAATAAAAAAATAATTTGAGAAATCGTAATCTTCTTTTAGGATAAAATTATCTTAAAATGCAAACTGAAGATCCCCTGAGGTCATATTTGCATTTTAAAGCAAAGCAACTTGGCTTTTATCCCTCGAAAAGCGACATTAACCTTGCCTTCACCTGCATTCAACAGGTGAATTTTTGATGAACCTCCGGGTTTCGGATGGTTTAACGTTGAAAAGGAGTTGTCGGAAGATGAAAAAGGAGGCTTCAGCCTTTGTTCCGAGCCGGGGCCTTAAATGGAGTCGGATCGGGGTCTCGGGGATTACTGTAATTCGGGTCGTCTTTCCGGGGCCAAGTTTTAATGGCCTCAGGATTGATGGCCAGTTTCCATGGCGGGATAAATTCATAATGGTGGGGATCCGTATTCGAGATGCCTTTTGTCCGAATCCATTTCAGATTGAATAAATTTTCTTCAGATCGGCTTTCTGCCCTCGGGGAGTGGTTACCAGGCAGCCGAGTTTAGGCCTGAATCCGCGATTCTGTGTCTCCGTTTGTGGGAAACCGGCATAACTGAAGTCTCTGAGAGTTTCGCCGTTAACTCCGGCCTTTGTTCCTGGGAGTATGGACTTGTACAGTCGCTCCACTATGTTCCCCATGATGCATTATGGTATGTGGGAGGGTAGGGGAAGGGGGACAGATGATTTTGGTATCCAAAAGATGCGATTACTTTAGAAAGTACAAGCTGAATTTATTTGTTTTAGCATCCAATGACAGTGAGCAGATTCTTCAACAACATCTCCATTCACAAAGTCAACTTGGACATCAAAAAGACCGAGGTCCGGCCTCAGATCAGTCCCAAGAATATGTTTCAGCTGCTTATGTAGCCGCTAACTTTTCCAACTTTCCACTGGTCGCGGCAGCCGCCTCTCAACTTAATGGGAGTACCGGTAATAACAACTCGGGTACCCAAAACACTTCTGGATCTTCTTTGGGTGGGATGGAAGAGTACCAGATGAACCAATTGCACCACAATTCGTAAGGCCCCTTTTCGTAATCCTATTGCGTAACTTCCCGAAACGGTCACGGTTTTGAAACATCTCCTATTGGGCAACATTCCCTTTCCTCGTCGCGTGCATAATTGATGAGGGGTTACTGTAGGAGGAAAGACAGAGTCTCTCTCTTTGCCAAAATACAAAAAACTACCAGAGAATCTGCTATTGGAATAACTTTAGTACAAGTCGCCCCGATGATTAAACCAGTTCGGAAGCCATTTAAAATGGAGGTCAATGAAGCCCAATTAAAGTGTGGCAAATCAGAGAAGGGGCGTTAATTAGAGCCATAACTAATTGGCACCTCGGCTCGGTGTCCTTTTATTCGGTTGGAGCCAAATAAGCGGGAAATCGGATCGAATAAAGGAGGTGGATAAACTCGGAAATTATAAGGTGAATTAAAGGGACGATTACCTCACGAAAACAAATAAAAGACCTACTGGGCATAGACAAAGGTACTTACAATTCAGAATATCAAAAAAAAAACATATGGCATAGGCCCACACAAAAGGGAACTGGACCGGGGTGACCATGATTGACCTGTTATTAGCGCCCAAAACAGGTGCGACATGGACCGGAAAAAGCAGCGGATGCGTTTGATCTCACCGACCGTTGCGGATAAATCCGCCGAAAATGAAGCCAAAGACTGTGCGAAGACTGTTAAAGAAGCCTCCGGCACTGCCTTGGAGATTGGTCCCTCAGGCGACTCCGAAGTCTCCAAGGCTGATCACCAAGAGACTGATCTAATGATGCCATGGCTTCATCCGGAGGCGTCTGAATTATTTATTCCCAATCTTGTTACCAGGCTTCGGTTCTATGGTTATGCCCTCGGGTCACAATTGATTCCCTAGTTGGCGAAAGATACAGATAAAGGTCAATCTAAGTTTTTGTATAAAAGGGAGGCTATAATTACATCTATAAGGCAAAGCTGAGATAGGTAGGAAGTAGGACAACGAAGACTGAATCCCTTTGAATCAGTCATTTACGAGACAGGAAACCAGAATGGGTCCGTTAACTCCGGGTACAATATTTATATAAACATTGAGAGGTATCAGTCGTGACGGTTTCCCGGACAGCCCAGGTCGTCTTGGAAACAAACACCGTCCTTGTATTTGAGTACGAATGTCAAACGAGGATTTAAATCCTGGACTTTTCTTGTTCATCGTCCTTTCGTTCGAGGGTTCCTTGAGATGAATCGAAATTCCGTTAAGCTGGATTTACGTGATATAAGCTTGATTGGGGCCGGTCCCAAATTCCATCACGAACAGTTACTAGGCGACAACCACGTAAGTCGCGTCGTGATGGAGACGGTGTTGCCAGGAGAACACCGTTGGCCCTCGAAGTCGACCTGACGCTCCATTCCACCTCTCTCACTCCGGTTGGTAGGGACACTCGTTTTTTAGATTTATTTTCCTTCCAATTGATTGTTATTTCGAATGAGAATATAGGAATTGGGTATGAACAAGATTTATTTAAGTTATCTGACTAGTTGTGTACCGTTCTATTGCGACCTATGCTTGCTGGAAGTGTCGTGAGCCATGTTTACCATGATGTAAATTTATTCTCATTGTCTGATTTCATTTCTTAAAAAAATTTTGCATCTCAAAAAGAAAGTTTTAAAAATGATTTCTCTTTTTTTCACGTTGTATCCCTAATGCTTGACAAGTACAATTTCCTTTGTTATTCAGTGTTTCCAAAAGCCAATATTCATAGACAGACCGCAATGTTTTCCGCATGCCATTTGTCCGCACCTCTCTGACCTTTCTCGCCCTGTCATAATTACAGTCCCAGTATAATATAATACACAGTCCCGCTATTTGTGGTTGACCGAATCTGCGGATTTGCTGAGGTCACCATGCCTTCAAGGGCTTCGGAATTTGGTTTTGGAAATGCCAAAAAAGGTCTTCGGGCATCTTTTCTGTGGATCTGATGACCGACAATTATAACATTGCGCGGCTGATCCCAAAGGCCCCATTCCCTGGACTTAATGATCTGAAGACGCAGGTGTGCCGGACGATTCCGCCGCCGGAAGCCGGGCTTGTTCAGGGGATTGGGTGCCGAGTGCCGGTGCTGGCCTCGCCGGAGTGCGGCCTTCGCCGATTCGCGGTCGGGCTTCTTTCGCCCGGGGCCAGACCCCGCCCCCCTTCTCGCTCGTGAATGGAGATAGACCAGGTGAAATTTCTACATGCATTCACTGGCCATACATACATGTCAAGGCCTCTTATACGATTCTGAGCACGCACTGTCCGTCCTAAGGAAAACTTTCTCGGCCGTCTTTTCTCGGTGCCTCAGGTCTAATTTGTGAATATGGTCCAACGTCCTACCCGGCTAGCCGCCCAACGTGCCAATGCTAATATCCAGCAACAAGCGCTCGCTAGTCCTTATGTTACCCAGGAGATGACGCGTGTTTTGCCGACCTTCCAGGTCCGGGATCGTTACGAGACCGTGATTGTGGACGGTAATTACTCCCCTAATGAGGACTTGGCTTACAGGAGTGCATATGTCTACGAGACCAGCAACTATCCGACGTCCTATTACCAGGTGAGTACTCTGTTTTCATTATATTGTTATTGACTGGACCCAATTAGCCATATATTACCTTTCTTGGGACTTACTCGGCCTATCGTTTCATATTTTCTAACGGAAACATCTGGTGCGTCCCTGCATTCCTTTACATCTCAGATTGTAGGACTTTATCTTAGGGGTTGCCATAACTACGAGCTCGGATTTCCCTCCGGTTTTGTTTAGTTGGCTATCAAATCTCTTGGAATTACATGGCCCATCAACCGAAGAGCCCGCTCCTCACCGTCGTATCTTGGGATAAGGATGGGCGATGTTATTATGTCCCGTCTGACGCCTATCTCCCCGAAGCTGTAGGTATCCCGAGGGTGAATGGGACTTCCGGTTTGGCCATGTTGTCCAGTTCCGGCCAAATTTTCGAAATCTGAATGCAGGTCTAATGCCTTGGCTACTTTCTTAATCTTTAAGAGGGCTGTATAAAACACGCAAAACAATCTTGTTCTTTTTCTTTATCTGCAATAAACTTTTTTTAGCATTATCAACCGGTGCAATCGCCTCTCTCCCAGAATGGATATGTCATCAATACTCAGCAAAACTCCCCTCTTTCCAGTAATGAGGAAAACGTCGGCTCTCTTGGCCATACGGCCCGAACTCCACGCGCTACGGTAAGGCCGAAAAAGAGAAAACTTGAAAAGTAACTCGAAGAGACGGTAGAAAACAAAACAAATAATTTTATTCGAATTTTAGCTGGAATGGCTAAACGAGCATTACGAACAATGGGAGGGATCTTCTCTGCCGAGATGCACTTTGTATGAGCATTATTTGAAGTGAGTTAAAATCTATTGATAACCATTGTTTTTTAATACAAAGTCAAGTGCTTCTTTTAGACATTGCCGTGATTCGGGATTGGATCCAGTAAATGCTGCCTCGTTTGGAAAACTGATAAGATCAGTGTTTAAAGGCCTGAGGACACGGAGGTTGGGGACTCGAGGCAATTCAAAATATCATTACAATGGGATCAGAATCAAGTTAACCAGTCCTTTGAACGATCAGGTGTCTGCGGAAGAATACAACAGGATGCATCCAAACAATGGCCATCCCCGGGCTCCGTAAGTTGTATAATTAATGAGTAATTAATTATTTTTAGACGCAGACATACAAATGCAGCCTCCAGCAATCGCTCTTCTTCCTCAGCCTCCAGTAGTAGTTATCAGCACAAGTAAGTCGACCATTAGAGACTACTTGTTTTACAAGATTGTTATTCCTTGGGAACCTTTTCTATTCCCATTCCCTTCCCTTTTCGGATTACGGTAGCTTCTTTGTTTCTCTCCCCCCAACAACATTTCCATTTCCTTCGCGCACTTATGGGTTTTCTCTTTTCTCCAAGACGTATTTGGGGCTCCCTTAACCCTCAATTAGAGTTAGGGTGCACACCTGGTTATTCACGGAACATTTGGCTTAATAAAGTCTCTCGGGGATTATGGCCCCAACCCCGTTTTTAATGTCTTTTCTCTTCAGGATCGAGCAATCCGCTTTCAATGGACGAACTCAATACTCCAATGAAATGGCTTATGATCCCTTGACCATCGCCCAACAAGAAGCAGACTTGATGAGACCGGTGACTCCTCCACCCATCCAAGAGACAGAAGATAATGTACCCAAAGATCATTATGAAGTGGGGGATGGGGAAGTCCCAATTGTAACATTAGAGGACTTGGAGGGACTTCAACCAGCTCTGAGTTCCATCAATATGACAACGGAGAATGTGCAGAGATTCGTGGAGATGTATACGCAAAATTGTGCCTCCTTTTTGGGAGCTATGAAAGAATTGGGATTCAGCCAAGTCGAGAGAATCTGGAGTGAGTTCTGGAATGCCGATCAGGAAAACAAAAGGTACATAGATTAGTGTTTAAAGACGCGCACATTGTAAACAAACTTAACACATGTGTTTAGCCAAAATCCATTAACCAGAGAAGAAATCCGGCGTCTTTGCACTCTCCCCCAGATCGTCAAGTTCATCTACAATATGGATGTGGCTGTTTTTCAAGTGGCCTTTGACATTCTTATCCCTAGTGTTCTCTCGCCATGCTTTAAATGTAAGGGGATCCATTAAGATATGATGATTTGTAGATCTTTATGAGGAATTCCGGATGTTTAATGCAAATGTGGGCTCGAGCATGAAGAAAGTTCTTGTCGATGTCCCAGCACCTATTCAACAGGTTAAGCAGAAGGCGTGCGGTCTTTTAACATATGCCCTTAAACGCCACATGTGGATCAATCACTTTGCAACGTCGGCCCGAGAACAAGTCTTAAATGAACCCCAGACAGTCCAGTTGATGTACAAAGAATTCTGTAAGATCGAATTAGCCCCTGAGGCAGCATGGGTCACACAATGTGATCCCGATCTGGTCAGGACAATTGTCAGCGACTTCAAGGAGAAGCTGCTTAATCACAGTTCCATGGAAGAATGGGCCCAATGGATTGAAAAGGTCCTTGATCAAGTGATGGCCAAGTATCATGATAAACAGCCGGAAGTCCAAGTGAAAGTGGCCAAGAAGTTCATGCTGCGATGGAGTTTCTACACAGATGCTTTGATCAGAGATCTCACTTTGAAAGGGGCCAAATCTTTCGGTTCTTTTCATCTGATTCGTCATCTTTATGGGGAATATATGTTGCATCTGATTGTGGTCCGAATGGCGAAACTTTTAAACCAGCCCATGATTTCTTTGTATGGAGGAGTCTTTAATGAGTCTATGGAAACTTCTTGGAATGATGATCTCTATGACTGTGATTCCATCCCAATGGATGCAGCGGACTTTAATAAATGTGATCTGGCACATCGAGACGTGAATACGGTAAGTGAGGCAGGCTACTTTCGGTTACCTCAATTTAGGATTCAATGGCATGCCAAGACCACAACGCTTTCTACCGTTCATTTGATGATGAGAACAGCGAGATAAATGTTGTTTATATTCAGGAAGAGGTGATGTGTCCAGGTCCCGAGATGGATATCGAACACGGATCTCCTTCTCAATTCATCGATGTCGAGAATCCCGCGTCTTCGGAAGACACGAATGAGACCAAGGAGAATAACAATGTCCATCTGGCCCATTTATAACCAAGCCTCACTTAAAATCGCCAAATGATCTCTTTGTGTAAATTTATTTTATTTAAAGTGAATCTCCATATATTTTTTCCAATGTACATACACAAGTCAGTAAACAGAATTAGGAGTAGATCTCAAGCTGTTTGGAGACTAACAGGCTTGCTGCTTTCCTCCACCGTGGTCACACTTAATTGCTCGGGCTTTTGGTTGGGTAAATGAGGGAAATCTCCGGATACGAGGATATCGTACATAAGATCGATCGTCCGTTCATTCGTCGCTTTCATGTGACTGTAACTGGCAAAGATGCTGAACACACAAAGAACCGCTGAAATTAGTTATTACTTTGCTCTCTAAAGAAAAATCTTGTGTAAAATAATCAAAGCTTACATTCAAAGAAAGCAATCAGAACAAGAACAAGATGGATGGAACCAGTGGAAGCAGTGCATCTCTCAGTCTGAACTGGAAAGCACAACCTGTTCATATAAAGGGTGCAATCTGCAACCAAGGCCAAAGATAACGCAAAGGAAAGACTGGCGGAGAAGATGATCAGCCATTGAGCAGTCCAATCCAAACGACGGGCTGAGATGAAGGATAAGATGGCCGTGATAATAAAACAGAGAGAAGAAGAGATACCGAAGGCCGTGTGCGTTATTTCATTTGTTGCGATATCGAATATCAGAAGGACCAGGCCGAAGAAAAGATGGCCTATGCCAAGCCAGATCGCGGTCTTCGAAGATCTCCATAGACATCTCCGGCGATTCTTTTGGGCTGCAAAGATCAGCACAACGTTATTATATGTAAGTCATAGCATATAAACAAGATGAACAAAAGTGTCCTCATATAATATTATTTTTTGAACCTTTACCTTCTCTGATCTCCTGTTCTCTCCTCAAAGTCTCCTTAATTAACTCGGTAAGCAATGGCCTTCGATCCGACCGTTGAGATGTACTACAACTGCTCATCTGAAAGTAAATTTTGTAATCAGAGGACATAAAACAAGAAAAGACAGATGGGGCTGGCTCGAAAGGCCATTAGACCCATCAAATTGGACATCATAATCTGGGCTGGCTTATCTCCCACCCCAACAATGATCGATGACAGCCTTATTACTGAGTATTTATGTGATTGTAATTATAATTAGAGAAAATAAAATGAAAATAAAAAGGAACGACCTTTGAGCCGACCGGAAAGATCCGACCCTCAGGGCAAAACAGCTGTCTTGAAGGTCGGGACGTCAAAAGCCGAGAACGGATCCACAATATGAGCCCAATCCTCCCTCACTCCACTCCCAGATCAATACATGCAATGGATAACGAGACTTATCAGCAAATAAATAGAGATAAATTGCAATCAAACAGGAGGTATATCAGTCTGTCGGGAAAATAGTGCGGGTCGTCGCAAAGATGATTCGCCTCGTCGAAAAAAAGTGCAATCGCGCACCAAATTTCCAGCTGCGGCTACAAGTCGTACCAGAAAGTGCGTAGAGTTTTTTGCGGCCTTTTTTGGCATCGCAGAGTGCACCTTGCCTGTTTTCGCATCGCATAGTGCAAGTTTCCTTTTTTGCACTGTGCAATTTCATTTCGTGCGCCCAAAATTCGCGCCGACTCCGTTGAGGGTACGAGCGATAACCCGGAAAAGCCTATTGCACGGTGAAACGTGAAGTTTTGTTTCCTCAGAGTGCATTTCGCGAAAATCACTCCAGCGACTTTGCGAACGGACTAGTACTTACTGTGTAATCTTGAATTAATGATGTAAATTTACAATTGAAAGTCTCAAAATACATTGTTGAGTCGACAAAGCTGTCAACATCTTTGTATAATCAAAATGTGATCTTTTTTCGCAACAAAATGCACTCAGAAAGCTCTTAAATTACTTTGTGGCAACATTTCTGGTCTATCAGTCTGTCGGGAATAACGGCGGGTCGTCGGACCTTGGAATCGCTCATCATCGCTTTGCAACGGCAAGCCGAGGCTGGGGCTTTGGCGACGAGGCGAGCCATTTTGCTGCGACAACCCGCCGTTATTTTCCCTACAGACTGATAAAACAACCTTAGAAAACGCGCTAAATACACAATCCTTTCTACAGTCGCCATTTTATAATTATCATGCCAAGCAATGCCCTAATTTATTGCCGTTATTTTCCTCCCAACAATAAGCCAAGCCGTACGTAATTTGGAGTCCGCACTGTGCATCCAGCCGGGGGGCCAACCGCACCGTGCGCCGTCACTAAAATCCGGCCGAAACCGAGCGCACCGTGCAAGCCCAAAAGACAGTCGATTTATCCACCGTGCAACGTCTTTTCGCACTGTGCCCAATTCCGTCACGCGCACCCTGTACAGAAAAACTGCACGGTGCATGCACCAACAGCGCAGTGCGGAACCCTTCGATTGCGACCCAAAATGGGGTAAAGCGACCCCATGGTGTTTGTAGTGGCCTGACCTAACTGAATTGCCAAAACCGCCTGCAACAGCTAGTAAAATTATTTTCAGAGGATTTTGGACATTAATCGCGACCTAGCTCACGACTTGGGTCATGAACTAGCTTGTTTCTCCCAAAAAACACGGATTTCAAGATGGATTCATCGCGTTGACCGAACTTTAACGCTTTTGAAGGGACATACCTGAACTAAAAATTCTTTGCGCGACGCGTGCAACTAGCAATGGAAAAAGCTTTCGTCGCAGCGATTGTTTTTGAAAAATAAAATGCACTGTGCAGTTTCCGTTTTCCTTGCGCAGTGCGGCGCACGGCGAAAAATCCAGACACTTTATGAAAATGCTAATAGCTAATACTAGTTCGTCCGGAAAGTCGCTGGACTTATGTAACAACGCCCGAAACCCAAAAATTCTTTCTTCCCTTTACCGAAGCGAAAACTTCAAATTTTGTTCAATTATTCACAAAAATTTTTTTCCCTGTCCCGAAGCGAAAACTTTTCAAGTTTTATTCAAAGGTTCCAAACAATTCTTTTTTCTCTTTCCCGAAGCGAAAACTTTTCAAATTTTGTTCAATAATTCACAAAAAACTTTTTTCAAGGTGCACTGTTCGAAAAAGAAAATGTCAGGTGCACTGTTCGTCAGGTGCACTGTTCGTCAGGTGCACTGTTCGTCAGGTGCACTGTTCGTCAGGTGCACTGTTCGTCAGGTGCACTGTTCGGATCGAATCCTGACACATTTGCATAGTGCGTTTTTGTTTTTTCGCACCCGTCGCAGAAATTCCCCGTTTTTGCACTAGCGACATGCACTTTCGCGCGAGCTCACACCAAATTTTCTCGCGCGACACCCGCGACAAATGTGTCAGGACTTTATGGCGCGACTAATAGAGGCTAGTTTGGTAACCATACTTCTTAAAGAATACGTTCTTAGCACTTGGTACTATATAGCACGAATTTATTTTTGACAGAAACAAACTTTTTGATTAGTGCTGGGTATCAAGACAACAGCATAAATGACTTATGACCTAATATTCACCTCGTGCTAAACAGTACCACCTCGTGCTATATAGTACAAAGTCCAAAATCGTGTTTTTGCGCAGTACTGGTTTTCAAACCAACAGTATTAAAATTTTCTGTCTGATCTATACATAATGTTCCTAGCTGCAATCGGCTGACTAAAACGTCCTGGGGACAAAACCGCCCCGGGGACAAAACCGTCTTGGGGACAAAAACGGGCCCAATCTCTTCGACGGCTTTTGCAGGCCCTGTAGACATCTCCTACAATCTTTTTTTGGCTCTCCACCCGCCATTTACCTCGAAAGTAAAAATCAGAAAACAGACGCGTCGGGGGTCCATGAGCCAGATTTGTGCATACTTAAAACTTGCCAATCTTCAACAAAGCGAGGAATTTGTTTCGATTTTATTTGTTCGAATTGACCTAAATAATGTTGCACTCGGAATGGTTTGAATTTATTGTGAGTAATTTCGTGCTTTTAGATGCGTCCCATTCCTTCATCTCAATTTGTAGTCTTTGTGGGGAATCCTCTGACCTTCGGTTTTCGACGAAGACCACCAAGTATTACAAGTGCTATTCATTCTACGTGAGGTCCCGGCATCCTCAGCATGCCATTACGAAGGTAGTCTGGTAGATTTATTTTAATTCTCCGGGCTTGGAATATTATTCTAAATTTTAGAGGTATTAATTCGTCCGATCTATTCTTTTCTTTATTTTTGTAATTTGGATTTTCGTTTCTTTTGATGTTTGAACTGGTACGTACGATCGAAATCCGAGGTCAACGGACGTCTTTTGTAGTTTTGGATGGTGGTTTGATGACGGGGTACAAAAAAGAGCATGTTTATTAGTGTTATCTTCGTGGGACAACCTCGAGTTTGTGTTTTTTTTCTTTCCAAGACACTTTCTTTCCTCTAACGTCCCCTTCCTTGGTTACAGGGAGCTTTCATTTTTGGAGAGTACTCTAAAAGTATGCTGTCTAATGTCACCTACCTCCACTCGTTCTTATTTACCTGTGGACGTCAGAGAGCCGGCTTAATTTTGAAACTCCCGCCCCTCGGAAATGCTGAGATTTTGGCATAAAAGGAATGGGAAAGGGCCGAGGCCTTAGTTTTATTCGAAATAAGGTGTGATGAAGATGAATTCCTTGCACGGTGCATATGGGAAAGGAGAGGAAGGGAGAGGGGGGGGGGGCAGGAACGAGACGGGGCGGTGTTGAGTTTTGTTGTGTCTGGCTGACTGGCTGAATAGACGAGGTGAGAGAAAAAAACGAAGAAAATGCGGCGAAGACGGAGACTGGAAGGGGGGGTTGTCTGGGAGAAAGTATGGAGATTGCAGTCCACGGTTTCCCGTCTTTTTGATGGCGCACGGTGCACTCGGCTGCCCTCGGTTAATGAGTCCTATCTCCTTTTAAACATCGTGTCTTTACTTTTATTTAGCTATTTAGCTATCGATTCACGTAATATTACTCGTTCTTAAGAAGACAAACCTCAGGACTTATTTCCATGCTTTAGAATCGGAATGATTTTAGTTGTTTTAGGGTATCTTTAGACCTCAGGGCGATTACTTCCAACAAGATTTTGGTTGTAGCCGAGGCCGGGTTCAGAGCAGTTTAGATGATGGTTAGTAGCAGAACAAGAGGAGATGCAGAAACCTACGGGGAGCAGCGCTGCGGGGTAGTCCGGACGGGGAGCGGGGGCGAGAGAGTGTAGACGGGGGTCTGGAGCGCCAACTAAGGATCAGATTGCAGCGGGAGAGAAGGGGCAGGGGAGGCGGGCAGAGAAGAGACGGGCTGCAGACGCTCACCGAACCCGTCGTTTCCCCGTTCAGCGGATAAAAAACGACTGGAGTGCTGTTTCGCTGGGTCTGTCCGAATTGAGGGGGGCTTTTTCCACGACAACCGGTGGGACGGCCAGTTTGTGCAATGTGAAGGGAAGGGGGGGGGGCAGAAGAGGAGACAAGCCTTGGACGGACGGGGCGAAGGACAGAGACGTCAGTGCATTCTTCTACTGCACCGGCCTCTGACCCCGCCACCACCGCTCCTTGGTCTTCTTCGCCCCATTTTGTAGGGAAAAACGGGGAGAGAGTAGAGTCCAAACCCTCCATCCATTCATTCATCCCAGTCCAATGTCTGCCATGTCGACGAAACGCCGGTCCAAGAGGAACGATCTCCGTCTGGCCTTAAGTTTCTCCACTTTCAGTGAGTTGGTGTTATTATGCTGGATGTCTTTGGCCAGTGATACCTTAAGAAAATGAGTCTACATCTTTACTATATTCCCTTCGGGAATACATGCTCTATATTACAGCTCCTTCCCATCCGGATTTTTTAAAAGCATATGTTTATCACCACATCTACTACCTATTACTGCGGCTTAACACTTCTGAGGCCAGTCATGATGAAATAGCTACAGCGAGAATCAGCCTGGCAGCTGAGGTATTGTCATCATGTCTATCCTCGGAGTGGTTAACTAATTATTCTCTGGGTGCTCTGTCCCTCTCCTCTCTCTTCACACTCTCTCTCATTAAAAGTACACCGTGGAAGGAGGGGGATTAATTCTATGGCCTATTTATAACAAGGCCAGACACCTGCAAAAGAGACCAGATAAGACGGAAGGTAAATGTGATCTCGCTTTTTTATTACTTTACAGATGAAAAAGGCATTTTAAATAACAAAAGCCATTTCAGATTAATTGTAAAGTAATTAGAGAGAGTGCGGACAAGAAGGACTGACAGAAATAGCAGTCAAGTATGGCCACGTAACTGTTTTTATTCGCACTTTTATTTTAGGTCGGAGATACCAACTCTTACCATGGCAACTTCCCCTTTTGGAGACCAAAAACGATGGATGAAGCGATGATTATTAATCTATTTTTGCACATGCTTGTATCTGCCATGCCCTTTCTTAATGCCATTTTATCCGATTAATCCATCTAAGTAAAGGAAATACGACGGTTTGCATTACTTTACATCGCCAGGAAAATTGGCGGAAGGTCGACAAAGGGTTTAAAAATTTGCCATAGAAAATATTGTTTAAGAAAATTAAAATAAAATGAATTTGCTTATGGTAAGAATACCTGAGAATGTTGAGAAAACAATCGCGAAAACAACATGACGACGATGCGAGGTGAAGAAACACATATTACAGCGCATAAGCACCAAAGTTAGGGCTTAGACTGTTCTGTCGTGACAGCCTATCCCAATTTACTACGCGCACTCAAAAGTCCTCACAATTTTCACACCGTGCAAAAGTTTGGGGTTTGGACGTCGCGCCGGCAAATACGGGTTTGTCGCGCGCAAATGCCCACGTCGCTAGTGTAAACACGGGAAATTACGGCGACAAATGCGAAAGAGCACTGTGGGGGTGAAAATGAAATAAAAATGTACAGTGCGAAATCTGTCAGGACTTTTGATCGCGGGTATGAAACGGCCATTTAGGATATACAGTATGCGTCATAATTATAACCGCACTTTAAAAATGAGTGTAACTTTTGTGATTGTGAATAGAAATGTGTCATATTTGGCACCAATGTGCATCAGTATACTAGAAATGATTTCTCAAAAAATTATTTTGAAGAGTTTCCGTATTTTAGAAAAAAGCTGCAAAAACCAAAATTTTGGTACTTTTCGGTGCGTCAAAATTATAACCGCACTTGCGAATTTTGGCTATTAGTCTAATGAAAACACAGAATATCAATATCTGATGTTTAGCTACGCTCCCTGAGGCCTCAATAACGCCCATCACGCGACTCGGAACCCTCTTGGCAAATTTTTTTGGCGCATCCTGGCCCATCTTGTGCCTGAATCGGAAAACGGCAGATTTTCGCGCAGTTAGACCGTTAGGCCCAAGTTGTGAGTAACTTTCTGGTCGCCTCGGAAGCTTTTAACAAATCTAAATGTTATGGCAGACAAAAGTATACCACTGCTTCCGGTTGAAAAGAAATAATCCGCCGGGCTTCTAACTCTGCCATCTCTGGGGTTCACTTAAATCAAGATCTGAGCTCCAATAGTAACGGGATCACCGTGCTGAGGGTCGGAAAACACAGCGACGTCATCACAAGGCATTATGTGACGTTGGGACCCCAGCTGACCCCAGTTTACGGCAACCTGCGGCCGAAAGTTGCCAAGGATACATTCACAACAGAGGTTGACTAGTGAAAGATCGCTGAAACCGACGTTTGACCGTTGCAGTACAATATTCCTTGTAGATTGGGTAGTCGCGTGATAGCTTTGACGGTTTTACATACCAATGGCATGGGATTAAAAACGAATCGCGTTACTTCTTATGCCGTAATTATAGAGGCCGCCGGCTGATGGTTTGGGGCGCCTTCAAAAAAGCCGGAGGCCTTCCGTTGACGGCCACAGCGACTCAAATGAATAAGCTTAAGTACTACGAAGTCTTAATCGAACATCTGGTATCGTACCGGCAACCTGGCTATACTTTTGTTGGAGAATGCCCACGTCCACCATTGCAGGTCGGCATACCAGTTCGTTTAACAGCAAGGCATTTGCCACCATAGATTCTCTCGTATATTCCTTAGGTTAAAATCCAATAGGAAACTTGTGGGGCCTCCTCCCTCGTTAATTGCATCGCTACAACAAGCGGTATTCTACCGTAACTGAACGAAAATCTGCCGTTTTCCGATTCAGGCACAAGATGGGCCAGGATGCGCCAAAAAAATTTGCCAAGAGGGTTCCGAGTCGTGTGATGGGCGTTATTGAGGCCTCAGGAAGCGTAGCTAAACATCAGTTATTGATATTCTGTGTTTTCATTAGACTAATAGCCAAAATTCGCGAGTGCGGTTATAATTTTGACGCAACGAAAAGTACCAAAATTTTGGTTTTTGCAGCTTTTTTCTAAAATACGGAACGCTTTCGAAATAATTTTTTGGGACGTCATTTCTAGTACACTGATGCACATTGGTGCCAAATATGACACATTTATATTCACAACCGCAAAAGTTACACTCATTTTTAAAGTGCGGTTATAATTATGACGCATACTGTAGTATTGTGATGCTGCTGATCCTTCATTGTGAAGAATATTGGTTCCTAAATTTCAATTTGCCTATTCCGAACAAACATTAAATTGTTAAAAAAGAACAACGGAATTTTACATTCCACTTGCCGTATATTCGAAATTGTTTATCACCTTCATACTGCATCACTAACATGAATTTTCATCAAAAATTTTAAGTCTTGCTTTAAAATTTTAGTCCATCCCATCAAGTTTCATTTGATTATTTACTAACCTGCCGTGTCTGCAATGGCTCGTTTCCTTAATAGACATGGCTATCTGGCCTGGCCGAAGAAAATTTGAAACGGGCCGGGCCGAGAGCCATCTCTATTACTCAAGCACAGATAACTGGTAAAGTTATAATACTTTTTGCATTGCACCTGACTTACAATTAAGGTGTTACTGTTTCCAATCAACATTCTAAATTGTATTTATCGAATCGCGCTCAAAAGTTCGGAAAAATTAACGACGTCGCGCGCGCAAATTCGGGTTTTTCGCGTGCAAAGCACATTGCTGGTGTAAAAACGGGAAATTGGCAAATGCGGAAAAATGCACATTGCGGATTGTCCGGAAAATAATTTGGAGTCGTCGCGCCTCAGAATTGCCCATCAGCGATGTGCGACGGCTAGCCGTGGCTGGGACTTGGAAAATCCAAAAAAATGTGGCTGGACTGAAAATCCACTAATGAATTTAAGTAAAACATTCAAATAATCAAGTTATCCGATTTTTTAATTGCGTAATTTTAATGATCTAAACATGGAATTGCGTGGTGTTCAAACATGTTCGTATTACCAATGTTTTACAGCTCAGAAAACAATTAATTTTTATTTTGATTTCCCTGAGGCGTCTTCAAGTGTGTCATCAAGTCTTGAGTCATAGTGGGCGAGGATAATATTACTACGGGATCATGGGGCCTTTGTTAATATTCTACATATACATGTCATTCTTCCGAATGATGATACATTTTTGAAAACGTAAGCCTCTACTTTCTTTCTACATATTTTCATGAAAACTACCTATATTGAAAACTTGTGTATAACGAACTCTTAACGGCCGGCTGTGGGGCTAAACAGAGTTCCATTAAATTTGAATTCCTCAAACTTAGGTGTTGCTTTTCGTATTTTCTTCCAAAGTTTGATGGTCGTATGGTTGTGTATTTTTTCGAGCTCTCGTCGGTCGTATCTTCTGAATCCGGATCAAGCAAACAATAGGCGGGGGATTACGCGATCATCTTCAGTTCATGTGGATCCGGCTCCATAAGCGGAACAAAAAGTTTTGGCCCTAAAAATGTTTCGATTATGATTCATATTGATCCTTTAAAGGGGTTGTGGCGTTGTTTGCTCGGGTCGGGAAGGTGAAGAGGCAAGGGTTTAAGGGGAACAAACTCAGGTCGAGAGAAAGAGTGACCACAGCAATCCCCATTCCATTTAATTTCAAACTCTTCGGGAAACGCCTGAGGCGGACAACTTGCCAACATTTGGTCTTTTTCAATATAACGAAAAGAGATGACTATTGGTGGCTATTAATGGGATTGAGAGATGGGCATTTTGGGATAAACAGGTTACCTTATACGCATAATTAGACCGTTACTTCTTTCCGAATCCCTCGAGGTGTTCGATTACTCTGACGGACTCATTTACTGCAAAGAATGAACCCCTTTTGTAATTCATATTCTCCAAAAAAGTGGAGGTCTTCTTCTTGCAGGTAACCCCCCCCCCCCCCCCCCCATCTCTACCTTTCTCTCAGATCCTTCCCAATCTGCATAAATTAGGTTTTCTCGGTAGGTCAGCCGTTTTTTTTGAACGACCTTGAGGATTTCCGGGAGGGGGGAGGTTTGAAACGAGGAATCGAGTTCAGGGCCGGGTCGAGGGAGGCGAGCCCAACGTGTTCTCGAACTCCCAAGAACCCCTCCCCAGATCCGACTTAACAAACATCCGTCTTTTCAGCCAGCTGCCGGGCCAACTGTTATTTTGGGTCTGATCGGAAAGCTTTTTATAAATCCCCCGAGGCACGTTTGGGATCACGTCAGCCGTTGTCTCGACTGATCCTTGTTTTTCGTGCTGTCATTAAGACTTGAACGTTATTGAGAGCTGTTCATTATCCTGGGATGTTCGATTGGGATGGGATGTTGGAAAGACTTAAGGGCCTTACCCCGATATATTCTCTTATCTTTTACTCTTTTGTCCCGTATATACGGAAATGAATTATAGAAAAAAAGGGCATGTTGCGACATATTTTGATTCTGAAAACAACGTTTTTGGTTGATATATCGTCTCCTGTCTACAGTCATCTCACCTTTCCGGAGGCATAAATTGGGGGTGGGGATCCGAGCGGAGTAATTAGCCCATCTTCTTCTCCCTTGATTCAGTCAAGGAATGTATTCAAATTGGTTTTCGGGATAACTGGAGGCGACGCCGCGGCATCATGTCGAGAGTGCAATTGGCAGGGGTCGAAGCTTTATCTCCTTTTGAAGGTCATCCCGTGTTACGTAACAGCAACGTCAAGAAGCAAGAGCTCCTTCGACGCGGCTCCTGAATTGTTTCCGGAGTTGGCTAGTGTTCAAGAGAAAGGTTGGGGGGTTTTTGAGACATATTTAGCTTCTGTGGATCCAATTGGAGGTCAGGGCTCATCACAATGCATAATATATAAGTTTATGTTACCCTAATATAGCCGTTTTGTGATAGTTTAGTTGTTTATTCTCCACCTGACCATTACAAAAAGAACGACAAGCAGTAGGAGTATTACAATGACCGCGGGGCTCTTCCAGGCCCGTGGGTGTTGTCCCCGTCCTCAAGAGCCCCGATCCATGATTTTTGGAAAGTTGAGTGCGTCGCGATTAAGCGGGGCACTTCTTCAAATTCTTTCCGATACTTGTAAGGGCTGATCCCTTGCATTTCACTTTTTGCAGATCTCGTTGTTCCAGTTGAATGATTTGTTTTCTCATAAGCAGAAGACTTTAATTGGAAGTTCGGGGGTTCCGGTTTCCAACAGATCTTCATGTTTGTATTTGAACTTGTAATATGTTAGCATGTCTTTGTTTTTTTCTAAGTTTGCGAATTATTCAAATTCCATATTTTTGACTGTCAGGACGTCACTTTACTTGTAAGAAACGCCCCCACGAGTGAATTGAAATCGGATATATTCGAAATAATGGCTGGCTATTCTTTTATGCAAAATGATTCCCAGCTCTCATAGATCGCCCATTATTTCAAATGCCTGAGGATATAACGTGTTTCGTTCGTTTAAAACCAGTCCATCCGGGGTCTGACCTTTAATGGACTGGCTGTTTTGTCGAGTGTTAATCCTTGATAAAGAATTCGCTTCAGGCTCTCTTGTTTTGCGAGGTGAGGAAAGACTTTTTGACCGACGATCACCCTCAGGGCTGATCATGGCGTTTCAGAACAACCCCGAACTTCTGAATGTAAGTCAGCTTTTAATCTGCTTCAAGATTTAATGGACCTTCGACAATTAATTATTGCTTTAGGCTATTCGGTCCGGATTCAAGCTCCGACCGACGGTTACCCGAGATGGATCAAAGCCCATCGTTCTGGCCGAAGGAGAGGACGCCAACACTCCACTGGTCGAGTTCAAAGAGCCAGAGAACCCTCCTCCACAAGTGTACATCCCCGTAAAGAAAACAGAACGACCAAACCTTTCCTCAACTGTAAGATGTCTCCAAGGTCCTATTACAAAAGGCCATGGAAAGAAACCCCCACCACCTGGGGCACCTCCACCACCGCCTGGAATGGCTCCTCCAAGGCCCCCTCCAAGTGCGGCAGCACTCAAAAACCCGGCTCTTCTGAAGTTGGGATCAGGCGGACAGGTTGTCGATAGATCCCAGCTCTTAGCCAACATCAGAGGTGGTATTAAATTGAGGAAAGTGGAAACCAAAGATAAATCCGGATTGATTTTGGACGAAGAACAGAAAGCGTTGATTGAGAATAAAGGAAAATTAAACTTTGGCTCAGGTGAAGAACCGGCAACCGAAACATCGGACCCTACGGTCGAAGAGCCGTAAGTCATACGAGAAATGCCATTAATGTTGCTTGTAGATTTCAAATTACAAGAAAAGAGCCGTTGGTGGCGTCCTCTCCTCCGCCACCGCCAACTACTGCACCACCACCACCAAAACAGGAATACGAATCTGATGTTGAAATGGATTGCGAGGTAGTTGATCCAGAACCAGAAACGAAAAAGAAGAAAAGTACGACTAGGAGGAATTCTGGGCCTAGAAAGACGTCTATTTCTAAGAGTGCAAAGGTCACTTCGAGTCCGCCAAGTTCTTCAGCTCCGATTCCGCCACCACCACCTCCTCCTCCACCAGCAGTTCCCAAATTCAACACCGCGCCACCTCCACCGCCACTCCCTCCACCGGCACCTGCCACCTCTCGATTCAGCGCGGCTCCGCCACCCCCTCCTCCGCCTCCTCCACCGGCTCCAGCGCCCTCACGAGTTCCGGCACCACCGATTCCTGCATACCAGCCAGAATATTCATATTCCGAAAGTTATTATGAGGAGGAGCGTGACCCGGGGCCTCCAAAGATCGATGCCAGTTTTGACCCGAAGAGCCTTCATGTTAGCAAGGAGACTTTGGAAGCGGAGATCCCCAAAGGATCGGCGGCTTCAAGGATCGCAGCTTTCAAGAAATTTGAACAAAATGGGGGAGGGCCATTGGTCCCTCGGCCACTTGATAAAGGACTTCCGAACAAATTGAAAATTATCGAAAAGAAGACCAATGAACCAGAAATCAATGGGAAGTTGAAGATCCATGAAGGGCCGGCTCCAAAACCATGGGAAAGGAAAATCGAGGAAAAGAAAGATGAAAGGGTAAAAGACGAACAGCCAAAGAGTAACGGGATCGTCAAGGTAAGCGAATATTTAAAAACATTAAGACCATTATGTCATGTTTTAGACGAAGAGCATAGAGAAAGTTCGAACATTACCGGAACCAAAAAGTATCACGTCGAGATTCTCGACTCCCATAACAGTGAAGACAGATTCAGAGCCCAAGACCAGAGTGTCCAAATTGACGCCAAAATTGACAGAATCTCTAAGCCCAAATTCAATGTCATCAGCCTACCAATCTGAAGCCAGTTCTCCCAGGAGTTCATTGGATTCAAAGGCAGTGAGTCCAGCTACCTCTGGTGTTTCGTCAGCCCATTCATCGGTCTCCCCACCTATGAGGTCAGACAAACCCTCTTTGGGGATCAGCTCCGAACATTCTGAGAGGTTTGCCAAGATCAGGCAATCATTCGCGAACCAAGGGACCTCGGACGAGAGTGGAGAAAAGTTCTGGAAGAGTGCCGCTCAGAGTAATGGGAAGATGGTAAATGATAAATATTTTGTAACTAAACCAATCTTTTAGACTGACTCAATGTTATCAGACCCTGAGCGCCGAGGAAGCAGTACTGTAAACATAATGGCCGCGTGGATGGACCGGGATAAAGAAGCCTCAAAATTGAAATCGAGCTCTTTAAATGGCAGCAGTAATAGCACTCTGAGTACCAGTACATCTTCATTGGCATCTTCTACCAAGAAAGTGCCTCCGGCGGTGAGCCCAAAACCGACTCCACCAGCCGTCAGCCCCAAACCATCAGCTTCTACCACCAAACCAAAGACTAGAAAGAGCTCAACAAGCAAAAAGAGCGGCTCGGCAAGTGTAAGCACAACTAAAAGTACTACTGGTATCGCTAAAACATCCACTAGTAATGGGACGAGTAAGAGTGTTATTAGTAATGGAGTAACCAAACCTTCGGAAAGCAGTGCTAAGGCTGTGAATGGAGTATCTAAAGAGAGCGGCAAAAATGGAACAACTTCAAAGCCGAAGACAGAGAGTTCGTCGACCAAAGCCTCTTCCACAACGTCTGAATCCAAACCTTCTTCAGCCCGCCCCACTCGAGTTCATGATGTTATTCCCAAACATTCTACTAATTCTGTGGCCATGAGGCTAAAAGCCTTCGAGTCCAAGTGAGATTAACATTTTTTGATACAAAGTTATATAGTGAAACCTTATACTTAATAATCTCCCCATTTCGGTTTACTACTGTTTGTCGTGTTTGTAAATTTACCACCTTATTTACATTACGCTTACATTTACTTTTTAACTTAACATGTTTGCAGTTTGAGTGAGGAGTTTAACGAGTTGGACGACCTGTTTGTGAGCTCACATTATGTGTTTTCCATCAATTTGAACTCGGACTTTCCCTTGAAACTTGTACAACGATGAATGACCGGTGCCATCTTCCTGTAAGGATATTATCCATGTACATTTACCGCCCATTTGCCTTCATTTAATTGCCCAAATTGTGTTATTCAGGTCTTTTTTGTGTAATCACGGTGTTCTCGCATAGTATGTGTCTTCCGCATAGTAAGAGTAAAGGTTAACAGTCTTAAATTTCCTTTCTTTTTCAGCTCAACCCTAGTCGTGAATTGTAAATGTTATTTGTACAAAATAGCTCAGAGAATAAAGCAAGTGACTAAGACTTTTAAGCAAACAAACAGCGATAATCTCGCGCGATAATAAAACGCAATTCACCGTTCGTGCGGTCACTTCATTTATTGCAAGGTAAAGTAACAAGGAAGTCGGGATGAAGAAGATAATTCAGTACTTACTGTTGGTGCCAATTGTCTTGGGCATCGGGACAGGGAAGGGTAAGTTCACAGGTTGATTCAGGACGGCCAAAACTTTTTTTGCGAAGAAATTATTATTATTTCTTCGCAAAAAAGTTTTCTCCGTATAATGTGTGTGCAACCTTTCATTCTGACTAGATTTGACTTGGGCAGATCAGGTATAAGTTGGATTTATTTTACTAGCCAGGACGATCTGCTCCAAATGAAGGATAGCCTACAATTAGGGTTCGGATGAGGTACATATACTATACCCGGGTATATGCCCACGAGGTAAAAATATCGGTCTGTCGGGAAAAAAGCGGCGGATCGTCGCGCCTCGGAGTTGCTCATCATCGCTCTGCGACTGCAAGCCGCGGCTTGGGATTTGGTGCGCGATAGCGGCGAGGCGAGACATTTTGCTGCGACGATCCGCCGTTATTTTCCCGACAGACTGATACCCCAATTTTCCGAACCCTACCTTACCTCTGGCGTTATATTTATTTTATTCCAAAAAATACGTCATCAGTGCCTTTTTCGTTAAACAGTTTGAAGTATATAAATTTGACCTGATTTAGGACACCGTCGTCATTGGCGTCGCAGTTGTCACAACGAGATCGACCGGTTTTTATCCAACTTTCCTCCGATTTTCCGTCGTAACGAAAACCTTTTTCCGTTCTTTGCCCGCCCGGGATTCAGAGGATTCGGAATCCCATCAGAAGTTGTGAATGATCGAATGGGGGTCCCTTGCGAGGGCCCAGTCGTTGAGCCCTTGACTTACGGGACCTTCGATCTGAACAATGATACCCTAACTGTCAGGACTACTGTAGCTTTGGTTACTGATGAGAGAAGAGAAACCGGAGAGATCTGTCTGATTCTGGTGGATACGGGAATGGCCACTCAAAAGATGGATCTCCTCAAGGGTCTTTCGGCCGTGGGGGTTCGTCCTGAGTACATTAATAATGTGGTGTTGACTCACATGGATCTGGATACTGTGGGGAATCTAAACATGTTCCCTCGGGCAAATGTTTATGTTGGGAACAGGAGAGCTAAGGGGAATACTGTATTCTTTCCCAAAAGCATTGCGTATTTTGACCCCGAGCAAACGGACCTGCCCTATACTCAGCTCTGTGACAACACTTTTCTCCTTTTGACCCCAGGATTTACAAATGAAGACATCAGTTTGGTGGTCAGAAATGTTACTGGCTTCGGAACTGTGGCCCTGTCTGGTAAAGGAATATGAAAAGTAAAGAAGGTTTAGGTAATCTGATAATATCTGAGGAAGATTTGGCTACAAACGAGACCATCAGTCGGTTCGGCCAGTCAGATGAGCATAAGAAATTGTGGGAATCGAGCAGAAAAGAAGTGGCCTGCTCTTCAGATTACATCCTTCCGGGATATGGGAAGGGATTCAAGATCGATGAGAAGATCAAGAAGACCTTGGAATGCGACAAAGACGATCTCTGAACTACCTCTGACTACCAAACGCTTTATTTTCTAATAAACTTTTCTAAAGATTCTTCAACTCATTTTTAAGGGATTCCATTCTTTCTGTCAACTCTTCAATGTCCGATTTCAGTTTCTCTTTTGGTGTTCTTGCGATCACAGTCTGACTATAAGGATCGTAAGTAAAGTACTGTGTCTTAGGGAGATCCTGGGCATACTTTCTAGAATAATATTGATCACTAAAATCAGAATGAATCAAGTTACCGTAGTTTCTGCATGGCATCCATAATAGAATGTGCCACAAAATATAACGGCTGGTAATCCGAGTCTTCGTATGTCTTTAGGGCGACTACTTTTGGATCAAATTCTTCATGCTGAGGGACATTAGAACAGGCATGCTAAAGACGAACACAGGTGAATACTTTGGTTGACTCGAATGGATTTACCTGTAACTCGCCGAAGGCCGAGATCAGTCCAGCTCCGATAGCTCTGTAGCCGTCGTCCTGTTTGCACAATCCGAACTCCACAATAAACCAGTATACCGTGGACAATCGCTCGATCTGCTCATCTGATGCCCCGAGGGATAAAAGACCGATCTCGTGAGACAACTGGGCCATATTGGGATCAGCAAACATGGGGACATGGCCAAGGATCTCATGGATGACGTCTGGTTCGGGACAATGATGAGGTTTACTGTGATGTCGGACATATAATGTTGCCTAAAGTAATCAAATATTTGATGATAATAAAACAAAACTATGTACCTGAAATGTTCGGAAGGCCAAACTGGCAAGGAAATCCCTGGCGGAAAGTAATCCGCCACAAGGCCTGAGCTGGAAACCAGTCCGTTCTAGAACAAAACAAATATTATACGAAAGAATAACTTGCTTTGCACATATTTGTTGAGTTCTGAAAGCTGCGGGATTCTGTCCAGAGTGATGACTCCCTCTTCTTCCATTTTTTGCACATTCCTCTGATACTCGATGCAAGTGTGGCTCTCCCTCAACAGCTTTAATTGACTGTAAGACTGTTTCCAAGTCTCGTTTTCTTTCTCCGTGTATTCAATGAAGGGCATTGGCTGACCACTTAAGGACCTTATGTTGTAATTGTCTTACTTACTGTTTATAAGAATTGGCAATGGCATTTAATTGAGCCCTCCGGGCGATGTAATCTTTGTCTCCGTATCCCTACAATATTATAATTTAGTCATTTACTACTCGCCGGATGCTTCGGATCTTCAGTCGGTTCGTATTTTACAATGACATGAGCACAGTTATCCAGATCGGATATATGTTTTGGGTACCAGATATCTGAATATTGATATTTTTGGCAATCATCCCACCTGAAATTGGTTCCGTCTTTTTCAAAACAATTCTTTCCACTGGCTTCTCGATACTCAATTTAGTAAAAGCCTCAATAAATTGAGCTTTATAACCAGTAGTCTGAGCAAATAACTCCAATTCTCCCGGCTCGGCTAAGTCCGGTCTGGTCTCGACATGTTCAACTTCAACGCCTGAGGCAAGGAGCCTTTGTATTGTGGAAACGAGGACATCCCGACTGTCAGCACTGCTGTTGATGAGGACGGACAACTTGAGTTTCTCCTGGTCTTCAGCACTCTTCACCAGTTCAATACTATCATCATTTAGACGGTTTAGTAACTGAAAGCAAGCGATTGAAATCTAGTTGAACATGGAGTTTCAGGTTTTCTTGAATCTGGGTCATAGAAAAGACTTAGTTTCGGTCCTCAAATAAGAGTGAAAAAATAATATCGTAACGGGACCAATTTGACATCCCAATCTTATTATACATTTATGAATTCAAGTCTCGACTATGCAAATTTTAAAAAATTTGAGAAACTTGTATTTTTAGAGCTCTCGGGGAGCTATCAACCAACCTTCCTTCCGAATGAAAATGCCGCCGAATGAGCGAAGATTCGATTTTCATGCAAATTTGTAAATTTTGCACTAAATGTATGAGAAGATTGGGATGTCAATTCAGAAGCAAAACGCTAAAACCGCTTTCCCCACTTTTTTGAAAAAATAAACGAAAAATGGGGCCGACAAGAGAAAAAAACACGAAATAGCAAGTTTATTGTAGTCTAGACTAAAGGCTACAGTCTCTTTTTCGAAATCCCAAATCAGGCCTTACTTCTACCTTAAATTTTCAAAAATTTCTTACTTTATATTCCGGTCCTGAAAGAATGGGTTAATTTTTTTTGAGTTCAACGTATCGATATACAAAAGCGATTTCCTGGACCGGCGTGAAATGAGCTAACTTTTTGGATTTGAAACTGCCCCAGCCCTCCAATCAATCCTAACTTACCTGCTTGGCGAGGATTGACTTCTCGAGTTCCCTCCGATGCCTGATCGTGTTCTGTCTCTTGATTCCCTCAATCTGAATGCGGTCTAGACTAGCCTGTTTCACCAGGGAATCTCGACGTCCGAATTTAGATGTCATGGCTACAGTAGGAGAGAGAAGCAGGTCTTGTTTTGTCTGGGACAATATGGCCAGGAATGGAGGCCGTCTCAAAAGGACCGGGCTAATTACTTCCGACGTGGAAATCGCTCTTTTCCGCAGGGTAAACGATCTTTAATGGGGCCTCGATATGATACAGAATGGGGCCTCGATATGATACAGATGGTATCCTTACATAATGCAATGAAAAGAGCTGCTCCTTTCAAAATTCATAGAATATGCAGAGGCTCAGAAGGAATTATAAAACTTTTTACACGGTCTTCTCGATGACCGCGCAAACTTGGACACTAATTGTAACCATTCTCAATCTGTCGGTAAAACAGCAAACCCCGCCTCGTTGCAGTCGCAAACCAAATTTCCAGCCGCGGCTAGCCGACGCAAAACGATGGTGGCCGATTTCAAGGTGCGGCGAATCCACATTATTTTCGTGACAGACTGATATTTTTATTTATATACTCTAAATGCCTTGTTCATTAATTTTGTCTTTTATTTTGGAATATAAGAGTCAAGAAATAAGACCGATTTTGGGATTCCGAACAGCCGGGCCGATCTTATTTCTCCTACATGTATAGTTCTGTCAGATTCAAATAAACTCTTTACCACAGGCTGTAAGTATCCGATTGATATTTTTTACTACAAATATGCCCATTTTGATGCGGATTAATTGAATTTGGGGTCGAGAGAAGAGGCCATTGATGTCCAAGGAGAATCTAATTGTTTGTGGCACCGAGTTTAAGGAAATGATGGATGAAGTTACAGTAAAGCCCCCTTCCCTTCCGCCCCACCACATTTACATTCTGAATATATAAACTTTCTTCTTTTGTTCGGTCCCTTCTCAATTCTACTCAAACACCTGCGAAGAAACATGCCCCGGGGCAAGAGTTCATGGGAGACTCCGTTTCCGCCGCCAGGAAGATGTATTTGAGAAGGGGAATGTCTTCGTATCTTCTGAAATTTATTCGGATTTGGGGTTGGAGAGATAGAAGGAACGGAAATAATCTGAGTTGTAGTAGTTCTGATAAGCAAAGGGATTGCTTTGATGCCCTTTTCGGAACATGTTTTGGCCGTCCCGTCCTCGGGCGTTCCGGTTCCGAGTTAAGTACCCTTTCCCACGTGAACTCCAAGTTTTTCGGAAGATAGGATTGCCGAATTTGGGCCTTCCACTTTATTTCACTTATCCAATTATTGCGGGAATTGTTGTTTTATTTTGTTTTTTTTATTTTATTCGAACCGGAAAAAGCCCTGTCACTGCCTCAGGGCAAAGGGAATGGGCGCGCGGCCGGATTTATTTAGTGCCGAATTTGACAACAAAGCTTTCTTTTTTGTCACCAAAACAAAATGATTACCTTTATTAGGACATTTTTCTCTTCCCTGAAAATATTTTTGACGTAATGTCTTGCAATTTCCGCCTCTTCAATCAATTGTTTTCCCAATGAAGTTAATTTATCCGTCTTCATGGCCAATCCACCTTTTATTGGGCCAATGACCGGCCTGTTTCGGGAGTTGGGGTCCTGGCTGCTCGGAACGTTGAAATTCATTAGACCGTGAGTGTTTTCAGGGCCCTGCGGCAAGGAGAGGCATGAACTTCTTGGCCAAGCACTTCTTCGATTACCAATCTTTTGTCAATCTTCCTCAAAAGGCCGTCCAGCTCCACAAAACAGTAAGTTTTTACTGCTTTCTTAATCCCCGTTCCTTTCAATATGATGGATGATATACCTTACAGCCCTACTCTGAAGCCGGAGTAGATCCCTCAGCAGCATGGGCGCCCAAGAATATGCAGGTTCAGGGAAAGAATATGTCTTCCCCGGGGGCACGGGCAAATAGAAATAATATTGAACAGAGACCGGGATGTCATCGACATGGAAGACCGAGTAAATTGGAGAACAGAAGATGGGGAGAGAGACACAGCGGTATGTAGGTTACATTATGTTTTGTAAATGATCTATCAAGTACAATATTTTGATTCGTAGATCTGAAGGAAGAGAGAATTATCCCCCATAAGGACGAGTGGATGTCCTCTTTGGATGGGGATTTCAAACATTTCGATGAGGAGTCAGACGAGGATGAGGATGCCCTCGAATTAATACCCAGGTGTCTGAGAGTAAGTCATCATTTTAAAGGTAATTATTTACAGAATAAAAGACTTTTGGATGCACAATTGCTGGTTATAATGACATTAACAGCCAGACTTGAGTTTGTGACAATTACTATTAAAAAGATTCGAGGACTTAAAAACTTGAAAAGTAAGGATTGATGTGATTACGATTACTTTTTGCAGATCCAGTTGTGAGAATCCGTCATTTTGATGGGATTGCGTTGGTTGAAGAGAGGACAACCACATTACGGGAGATAGAAATCTCAGTAAAAGATACTGTGGGGAATGGAGGACCTTCAAGGTATGGAATTATTCATATCGTTGAGCACTTAAAACATTTATTTAAGAGCACCATCCAGTCCCCAACTCCGATCAAATCATATCAATCGAGTAAATGTCCAAAGAAGGGCCATCTCAAGACAAGGATCGGAGAAAACGAAAGAAAACAACGAATTCGGAATCAGCGAGTCTTTTCTCCTCAGGGTAAATCCGAATAAACTTAACTCGTCCTATGTGATTATACAGGTAGGACATATTCCTTGTGGAGATAACTCTTTCTTCAGGTATTTGCATCAAGATTTGTAACGGCAAAGCGGCCGAATCCCCTAAAACCGGAAGAAAACATGATCTTGGTGGAAGAAATCATCGAGGAAGTGGGAGTTTGCGTGATCGGGGCCTCTAAAGTTTCCTCCCGAGGGCTCTATCATTGGCGACAGATGATCAAAAAACATGGCCATCCAGTTTGTGCCTGGCATTATCTTTTTGGGGGTGCCCCGAAATGTGAAGACTCCCCTCAATCACAGAATCCTCAGCCTCAGAAGTCTCTCACGGAATCAGAAACAGCAGAACGGGTGTAATAAATACTTTATTAGATGTACATAAACGGTATCAGGATCAGCAAAAAGCTTGCCATTGTAAATAAATTACTGTAATTTTGAGGGGATTGATTACAAAAGTCGACGTCGTTACAGTAGCATATCGTATTAGGAACGCCGAAAACTTCGGACTCTAGACACCCGACATCAGTAGAGCCCGAGTTCTCTTCGGTGGACACAGACCTGGCATAAGTACTGTCAATCATTACCTGAGAGGGTTTACTTACTTTACACTCTTGTTCTCACAACCTTTGCTCACATACTTGTCGCCAACTAAATGAGAACTGGTAATTTTTTGTCATATTCCCAAACGCATTAAAAAAAATTAAAATGGCCAACTCACCCAGAGATTTCACACAAAAATCTCCATAGCAGAAGCCTGTGGAGCACTGATAAGGCATATGGCATTGATAACACATCCTTTTGGGAAGTCCAGCAGCTAAAGAAATGCCGATTACATCATAATTTTCTTTTCCGAGCATTAAAATCCTCATTTCATAAAGACCGGATACCCCCGGAATCGAACCTGAGCCAAATTAATGTCATTCTCGAGCCGTTTTCTCGTTGTAAAAATATGCCGCGGTGATGAAATGTAAAATTACAAAAGGTTCGGCCTCATGAGTTTGAAGACGTATTTTTACAACATTCTCCCCCGCGGGGCTCTCTGTCCTGTTGAGCTTGTGAAGGCATTCATCGACCGCAAGTTTTTTTAACCCACTGCACTATGGGAGCAACTCGATTTCCTCTCTTTCTTTTCTCCCAAATAAAAGACCGCCAAAACTCACATTCAACGGAGAAAAAACAAATAATTAGGAGCAAAACGAGGTGACCCCATGTCCAGAACGACACCATGGTGCACTAGACGTTGCATATGAACATTTAAATATCTGAAAAAATATGATTCTTGTAATCCTGATTGTTTTCGCGGCTTTCCGGGTCAATAGAAAATCGATCGACACGAGGCGTAGAACAGACGGAGAGCCAAAAAAAGGTTGCAGGATGTGCCTACGAGGTCTAGGAAAGCCGTAAGGTGATTGGCGGACGCTCGACAAAGGCTCGGCGGAGACTCACCGTTTATTAACTAACAGGGGAAGTATCCCAAGTGCGACGCTCAGATTTTGATGAAACTCGGCACAAATGTAGAATAATTTTTTTTTGAAATATATGCGAGAATCCTAGCTCGCGCCTTGCAGAAACCACCGAGATATTTTGAACGAAAGTCGACGAAAATTCGAGACTTTTTGTCGAATTTCAGCACGAAAATTTGCATCCCTATTTCTACCGTAAAGGTTAATATTTCCACAAAAAATGATTTTTTTTGCACAAAACTAGGAAAGTTATGGCCAAAAAGTGTTTTTCTCTCTGACCGCTCTGCGCGTTTAGCGTACTCTCACGGCCGCAAAGATCGTTGCGTACCTCGGCTTCGCCTTCAAAGCGCGAGCTAAAACTTTGAGGAATGATATTTATAGTCTATGTGTGTGCAAGATTTAAAGAAAATCTGAGCGTCGCACTTGGGGTACTTCCCTTGTAAGCCTTCTCCTAGCTTCCCCCATGCCTGCAACGACAAATCGAGGCAACTCAAAGTATCGTCGATCCGAACTCGAAAAGTCGTAGCGCCATTTTTTCTCGAGAAAATAATACAATTGACGAAAATGATGCCTATAATACAGTAAATGAACTGAACTACATCAAAAAAAGAATTATATTTTCATTAGATATTCACCAAAAAGCAAAAAAAAGTAACTGCGGCATAAATTACCTAAATCATCTAACTTTTCGGTCTTGAAGGCCACCTAATCACTCAAACACAAAACGATTTAATGAACAATTATTCGGCAGATGGAGGCCAAGGGTAATATTGGCCAAGGAAATCCCAGGAAAAGAAGTTCAGGAAGTGCGGGTCGTCGGACTCGAACCACAAACCCATGAATGTTTTAATCGACCAGATTAAAGTGTTAAAAATAAATAGCACTAAAACAAAGTGAGTTAGTGCTTTCCTTCCGGCGCCAAAAAACGAAAATCGAGCAAAGGAAATTGGAGACCGAAGCCGGCAAAGGATGGGCTATGGAATAGTATAGACAATCCCCGGCCCACATATAAATTGAGCTAATGATGCGACGGTAAGTGCCACACAACTTTTTACTCAAGTTTCTATCAATTAGAGAGCGCCTAGAGCTCTGATTCACTTCCAATGAAAACTTTCATTCCCATAAAATTTACTTTAGTAAGATCTCGTACCTTTCCAGGTTTAATTGGTCAGATGACAAAAACCACCGGAGACTAACAACTCCGCCTTATCTTGAGTATAACATAGCTATTCACAGCTCCAGGAGATTGATATTTTTTGGTTTGATAATTCAGAAACTTTACCATGACGTTAGCGCATTCAAAAGTTATTTCCAAATATCTTCGTCCTTTTTATCGACTTTCTTTTCTTTTATTTAATTTATCTCTGACCCCGCTGAGTCTCGATCCCGCCAAAAACAGTTCGAGAGAAACAAAAGAAAGGAAACCGCAGCCAATTTAGCTGATAGCATCGATCAACTCTCGAGAATCCTCAGTTGCGCAACAAGATAGACATCTTCATCACTGGAATTCCGTCAAGGCCACAGAAACAATAAAACACTACAATATTAACGAAACCTTTATTAGTGGAGAAAACCCCGATATCAACAAAACAAAATAAAATGTACAAGTAATCGCTAAGAAGGTGAGGTAACAAAGTGATAACAAAATAAAACTCTTTATGTTATAATACAATGGAGATGCTCAAATCATAAAATAACCGTCATGTTTCTTAATGCCGGGGCTTCTTGGGAGTGGTGTAATTGCTCTCCTTCTTCACCTTGAAGTCCTTGGACAGGTTAACCTTCCGCGGCGACTTTATGGCTACTTCCTGTTGCAATTGAGTGGTCGAATTCTTGATTTCAGTAGATTCTAGTGACATGGAACGATCTCTCTTCCTCTTAGAAGGTGTCCGAAGATGTGCAGGAACGGAATCTCGGGCTGGCCTTGATCGATAAAAGGCCGGGACCTAAAAGGAAAAAACATTTATTAGGCATCGGACAAACAAAAGAGCCGATCGCATCCAGTTGAGCCCTAAATCCCCATTTTAGATGGCTCTAAACCCCGTTCTGACCTTTCGCTGACCGCACAAAGAATAATAAGAATATTTTACCTATCCAGTGTTCAGCGTAATAAAATCATAAATACTTTCAGAAAAACCGGAAAAAATTCCAAATTACCCACAAACCCTTGAATCAGGTTAAAAAATTACATTATACTTACTTCGTCTTCTGGGACGGACTCATATTCAATCTCAGCACCATGACCGCCGTTCTCAGAAGAACAGGGCCGTTCTCTCTCAAAATCAAACTGCCACCGTTCTTTGGCCTTCTCAGCTCGATTGTGAGCCATTTTATTCAACCATTCGTCAGTTTCCTTAGGATCCGGGACTCCAAACAAGACTCTCCTGACCTGTCGATTCCTCAATTTCATCGAGAATTTGACACCGACGGTCTTTTCTTTAGTCGGACTCTTCGGTTTCATTTTCCCAACCAACTAAAATCAAAGAAATTAACAAAAAAGGAAAATAAACACAAAAAAGGCACGAAATGCACCGCAAAATGAAGCCGATAAACAGAAATTGATTCGGAACGATAAGAAAACCGGAACGTTGGAGGAATGGAGTGCGCGAATATCCACCTAAAACAACATAGGAAATGCCTGCCTCATTCTTTGCGCTCCCTTGCCGAGAATTTTTGACTCTTCGATCTTCCACAAACGCGTTTTTTCCAAAATATTTTCTCGCAGGCGGCGAGCTGCGGCCGAGAATCCGCATGCTGCGGGACATTTTATCCGCTGAAAATGTGAACTCTTGACTATTTTTTTAATTGTAATTTTGTTTTTGTGAAACTACTTTTGTGCATGGTATAGTTTACACAGGGGCTACCATGGCACGTATTTCTTGGGCAAACGCTCCAAACGATGGATTAACGATGCGGCATCGATGGAGAAGAGTTACGTAATTCCGATAATGTGGTTTAGGTGATTATAAAGGTAAGTCTCTGGGTAAGCACACATTTGTTTGCAAAATAATACGCGAATGTGACCTCTCGAGTGAATTTGACCTTCATCTCAAGAGTAAGGTCAACCTTTTTTAAGTGTTAGGCATGGGTTGATAATAACAAGAAATATAGAAAAAACAAAATTGGCTGATATAGTTTGGGGAAACATAAAAAGCCGTTTGTTTGCATATCTCGTGGTAATGTCATCCTTCTGATTATTTCCATTGTTTCACTGATTTTAACGAGTTGGACCCCTCAAATTGATAGATTGCTATTTTCGGTAGTCAAACAAGAGTGATTTGTAATGTCCAGAAAAGTTTTTTAAACAAATGGAGGTGGTCTCGGGAGAAATTGCTTATCTCCGAGTTTGTGCTGTACAAGAGAAGGGAAGGCAGGGAGTTGCAGTTTTATGGCCTTCTCTAATTATTTTATTGGCCATCTAGAAGGCCTGCAGATTGTTCTCTGGTCCAAATCTAGTCTTTTCGAAACTAAACTCACAAACTTGTTTACCATTACGTGTTTTTAGTTTCACGCAGTGTTTTTTCAAACTGAATTGACGCGCCACTTTCACCGACTTTCCCCCGGACGTGAATTTGCATGCCCTCACGTTGTTTAGTGGTTTTGGCGGGTTTTTTCTCCAATGACCACAATTTGCTCTCAAGTTCATGAACAATGGGCCTTGGAACGGAATGGGAGGTGATTCCTGGAATTAGGAATAACCCTTGTTAAAAAACGCGCCAAAAAAGTGAAATCTATTTTAAAATAATTAGAATCGAAACAAAATGTTAGAAAAGTGATGACTTACAAGGAAAGTACTTTTATGGGGGCTCCTACTTTTTGACGGGACATATCTCAAAAAATCAGAAAAAATGTGCTGATCAAGGATATATAAATCTTAGCTGCCCATTTTAGGTTTTTAGGGGTGAAAACTCAATCGGAAGTTGACTTAAAGTCCTATATGAACCCCTTTTCGCTTAATTTTTCACAGGTTTGCAATTTTTATTTTGGCTTAAAATGATGTTTATTGAGTTTCTAAGACTTAAAAAATCAGTCTTGGCACAAAAAATTATTTTTCCGACCTTCAACTTCAAAAAAAGTTGATTCGGCCCAAAAGGGAAATCGAACCCGTGCGGCCTTCCCGCTCTTGATTCCCAGACTACGGCACTAGCCACTCGGCCACCCCGCTCTCTTTCGAAGGAAGAGACCGACTGCGCTTTTTATCCTTTCGAATCCCTGCGCCATTTGTAGGAAAATTAAGCCAGCTTTTGGGCATTTTCACCCCTAAAAGCCTAAAATGGGCAGCTAAGATTTATATATCCATGATCAGCACATTTTTTCTGATTTTTTGAGATATGTCCCGTCAAAAAGTAGGAGCCCCCATAAAAGTACTTTCCTTGTTAGAAAAATAGGGGCTAAGCAGTTCAAGGACTATGTTCTTAGGAAATTACTGTTTTCTCTCGTTGTCTGAGGCTTTGATCTATGTGTTATCAACACGCATCTCGTCCCGGGCAGCTAATTTTGGGTCGGACGTGTGGTCCCTCACTCAGCTTATCAATTCCCATTGAAACTCTTTTCGAAGCAGGTTTACGGCCTTATTTCGGGTAGGGTATTAGTAATAAACGACTTGCTCTCGGACGTTTATCAGCCCGCTGTGTTGAGATTGGACCCATGCCCAACCGGTTTACCGAACGAAACGCCAATCTATAGTCGGAGCCGAGAACTTTATTATGTAATCGAAGCGAGGGGCGATGAGCCATCAGCGAAATAATTAAGACAGGATTGCATAATCGATGAAAAGGTCAGCCTCGGACCCGGCTAAAGACTCACATGCGATCCAAACTTAACAGCTAACCACACGGGGAACGGGGTTGACAGCCAGGGGACAGCAATTGTTACCTTTGTTCGGAGTTGTTTTTGGGAACCGAATTTGGCGCCAAACTGAGAAACAAAATGACTTCAATCAAGGTGACAAGTTGCTTCTTCTGACCGCATTTGCCCTTTAGATGTGTCCTGACCAAAGGGCGGATAAAGGGGAGCGCGATGGGCTTTGTTCGCCTATTAATGGGACAACAAACATACGGTCGGCGGTCACTCTTTTCGCGCACATCCCGCTTAATCCCTCCAAATATGGTGAATGGAATACCGCCTGAAAGATTAGACGGGAGCAAAGGAATGGCCGAGACCGTTTTGTTTGTCTTCGGCACAATAAAGGCCCTTTAACATATGCTTTGGCTTTTATGTGCCGTTTTGTGGTCATGCACAGGTCAATTCTACTCTATGTCAATGCAAATAGTGATTAGAAAAACGTAATGAGGATGAATTAAGTACTATAATTGCCATGATATTGCGCCCTTCTAAGTATAATCGTCACAAATCTCTTAATAATGAAGCGAAGGAATCTCTGAGTTATGATTTGTCTTTTCTTTCCATCTGTTCCACATATGTTGCATAATTGAGATGTGAGGAGTAATTGAGAGTGTCATGTCCTCAAGATGACCGGCCAGATGGTTGCGAGAGGATGTAAATAAGTGCGATCTCATGCGATTTAATCTGTTGGAAGGCCATCGAGATCATTACGGGCTAATCTCTAATTGAGGGTCATGAATCTTATGGTTTAATTGGTTCGATATCGTATAATGGTTAATAAAACGAAATTATTGACCTCCTCACCTTTTTATAACCCTTTGCCCATGAATGAATTTTTCAGACAGTAGCAGGGCCCAGCCGCTTTCGATTAGTTTTGGTATGGGCGATCAGATTCTGACTGTCCACTTTTTGCGATCTAATCAATTGTTATTCAATAGGTGTCTTTGTAATGTCACTGGTTTTGGGACTCGAGATTGCGTCTGTTTTTGGGTTGGGAGAAAAAGGACCGAAGAAAGAATGCCCGTTCCCGATCGCTCTCTCTGCCCTTCCTTTGTTCGGGCCCTGACTCAGACGTGGCCGGGCTGGTCATTGTCCATTCTTCTCTGTTTCCAAACGGCTAAACCATTGTGCGCAAAAAACTTGGCCTCATCGTTTCGGACAGGAATCGCAGGTGCACAGACCCGGATCTTCAGTTTTCCCTACAAAAAATTTGCATTTCGGATCCAAGAGAGACGAATTCGAGTAAAGGCACAGGTGTTTCCCCCATTTACATCCGTCGAACAGGACTTTCAGGCGACAATTATGACCTAATCGAGGGGTGTCAGAGCAACAGGGGAAATAGCCGGTCATACCGGGGGAATGACCGGAAATCGGAACAGCTGGATACCAGATTACGCGAGACTCATACATCATACCACCGGACGAATGATATTAATAGGGCAACTTCCGGACTTGATTTCGCTCGCGGCGTTGGGATAAACGATAATTAAATGTCAGATGCGGGATGAACAAAGAGACCTTCAAGGGAAAGGCATTCATTAAAAAAGCGGAAGCCAATAAACAAATGCGGTCCCAGGAGACAAAAGAGATGGGTCAGCGCTTATTATAACGAACAATGATGTCGCCTCTCCCTTTCATTTTCGATCAAAGTTGGCCACATTTGGCCGGTCAATCCCTTTTCCGCCCGATACCACAAATCGAGAGCCGCCGAGAGTTCTCAGAGGCCTTAAAACTCTGAATATGACATTATAAAACCACCAAGGACGAACTCTCTGCAATTACTGAAGGTCAGCCCTCCGATATTCTTCACCATTATTACAACAAAATGGACAAGGTCGAGCTTTGACTATATAATTTACTGGAGTAAAACTTCTAACAAGCAACGTTATAAATGATATATACATGGACTAAGCAAGGCATTACAACAAAACTGACTAGCAATCAACCAACAACTGCGTTCAGGTTCATGGCTGGAGCGAGAAACGACGATTGGCACGTTGGTTTAGTTGTTTTAGGGGCTTCGAGATGGGTGCAGCTTGCTTAGTATGCTTTCGCCGGCAAATGTAAGCTGAAAAAGGAAAAATTAGTAATTGTGACAACAAAAAATGCATACAATAAAACATACATAATGAGAAAAATTAATAATGATGAAATAACTTACAAGTAATTGGTTGTTGTTTGTGAGGAGTCTCTAGGCCGGAAGGTTGTTTGCGAGGGGTCTGAAGACCTGCAGGACGTTTATTTTTCTGGAACTTTTCGAAGACCAGGCTCTTCTTGAATACTGGATCAAAATTCTCAGAATCTGAGGATTCATCTGATGATGATTGGAACGGGAATTCGACTGGTCGGTAGAACTGAGGTACTTTGTCGTTGCTTAGAACCGTATATTCCAACTGGGATCTGGACGAGGAAGGGATGGGCTGACCCAAATTGAAGTCGAACTCCCAACGTTCCGACTTCTCCCGGGCGATGTCAGCCAGCAATCTATCGAGGAATCCATCGTTGGACGATTCTCCGTTTGCCATAAACAAATTCCGTGCAGAGTCGAGATCTTTGGGCGACCGACAGGAAGTTGAGAAAACACGCTTGACTTGAAAAGCACCGGAAGGCATGACTGAGTTCATTAAATGAGATCTGAAAAATCAATATGATCAATCCGAAAAAAACGTATTACGCGACAAAACGACCATACGGTATTTAAAAAATGGAACTCAAAAGGGAATCGCTCGCTTTGAAGCCGACGAAGAAAACGACAACTGATCGCCGGGTTTTGTCGTCGGCCCGAATAGAAGGAGGAAGGGGCAGGACCGGGTGAGGAGACATTGACGCCGCCCCCTCCGCGCTAGGCACAGAGCGGAGGCAAACACCGGGACGCGCTGCAAGTCGCTCGCTCTCGAAAATAAAGCGACTGCCTCAACCGCCTACCCACGCCCGACCGACGCTCGAGAGCGAACGCGCCCCAGCGAAGGGAGACAGAGCCATGTTCGAGTTAATCCAGGCGATCACACATCCCCGGCGTCCGGCCAACAAGGGTCAATGGTCGGCCAAGAGCACCCCGCAGAGCTGGACATTCCCTTTTTGAAAAAAAACGCCATACAAAACACCTAAAACAGGCGGCCGTCTTGTCTCCCAGTTGACCGCAGAGCCGGACGTTACGACGCCCCAAAGCCATCACTTTTCTCGCGACATTCTACGAAAAAGATTGCCGTTGCGCATAAAAAACCACTGGCAGAAGACGAATCGACTACGAATTTGCATAAAAATGATTTAATGAAGTAAAAGCCAAAAATTTGAATGGGAATCGGACCTCGCCCACCTCGTCCGGCCCTTGCGCAATATCCCATTTTAAACCCCGTTGACCTTTCATCCGGATATATAAAGCAGATGGTTATTGCGTAGGCTATTGCATATGAATATGGATGGCAATAAAAGAGATCTCGGATAAACAGAGAATGGTGAATTAATGGGATCGCCGGCAGCGAGTGTTTGCACCCACAGGCAGCCAACAGACTGAGTGGCGTTTACAAAACCGAGTCAGCCTTCTCGAGCGCTAAGACTCCGCCCCTGTTATGTTAACCTTAAGCGGAGCGTTTGAATTCTTTTTGCGGCCGGAGAAACAAAAACTTTTGCCACCTTTCGCCGCCGTTCCTCCTAATCGACGTCGAGATCTGTTTGAATGGAGTCTTGAGCGAGGCGGCGACATGCCGGGGACACTCGAGATGGGTCGATAATGGAGATGAAATCATCAGCACCACCCAGCGCTTTGATTCGGATCTCGCTTTACACAAACGCCGGGCCACCGTTGCAGTTTTTAGATGGGACCGCAAAGAGTTTGAATTCAAAAGGACGGCCTTTCAAAGTTCAGAGCCGCTCCCGAATGGGCTGAATCAGATGGCCACAGCCAATTGCCCATTCAAATCGGCAACTTTTTTGGTCATTTGTCTCCGCCAAATTGGATTTTCAGTTCCGAGAAACAATCGCAACAAATAGTTTAAAGCGGATTTGAATTCAAAAGGAGTCGGCGTTAATCCAGCGTTCCGAAAAAAATCAGCGAGCAGGGAAGGAAGGCACAGTTTACGAAAGATGGCCCAAGTTCGTAATTCCATTGTCCCCACGGGTTTGCGAAGTACTTCAAAACAATAGAATCCTATGACTTGCCGTTTCCACAACTTTTTGCGACTTGTCAAACGCGCCAAACTTCGATGTTTTTGTGTCATGCGACTACTGAAATGTTGCCTGTCAAGTGATCGCTACCTGTAATTGACAGCGGAATGATTTGCAGCTTGTTCACCAAAAAAGTTTTGCGCTTCAGATGCTCGGATCACAAAAAAACGGCCTGGATTCTTATCAGTGCAACCTCAGCATAACAAAAAAACTCCGAGGAAAAGGACATGAGTGGAGATTCGCGCCAAAAAATGAATGAACAAATGATGCCTGAGGCAGCTACGTGTTCTAACGTTTCGCCCGCTCCCCCCCGGAGGCCCTATCACCACGAACCCGATCTTTCTTTTCGCCCACTTTTTGGCGGGAAACCGTGAAGGAAGCCGGCTCTTTTTGCGTGCTTGTTACTCTGTTTTTTGTTGATCTGAAGCACACAAAAAGACGTCGATTCACGCTGATCACTCGCCATAAATGCCACATTTTCGCGCCAGAAACCTTGTCTTCCGACCATCTGATTCAGTTGGAATGGGGCCGAAATAAACACAAAACAAATAAAACACAGTGGAGTACAAGGAAAATTGTAAGAAAACGACACATTAAGTCCCCCCACGCGCCCTCTTGGAAAACCTGATAGGCAAAATTGGTTTCGTAATGGCCACATTAAGTGAGTGCCTGGATAAAAAGAATTAAAGAAACTTTATAAGAAATTAACAAGCACAATAAAGACAATTTTTGAGTTGAGGTTCCGAGAGTGAAAATCATCCCGATTCCCCCGACGGAATAGATCGCCGTCGTTGATTGATCTTGAGGATAACCTAGATTCCCCGACTGAACTAGTCACCAGTAGACGCTGTTCGATTCGGAGGTTGGTTCTCAGAGCCCTCAAACGATAGGCTTTACAGCTCTTGAAATTTCCCCACAAAGCATTCATCTGACGGGGATATTCGTGGGAAATCTCATGGTGATCTTATGAATAAAGGAGTCTCCATATGGATGCCACCTCTTTTCGTTTCTGTAAAGTTTATTTTTTGACGTTTTGTTTTCTTTAAGACTTGTTTGAGTCTAGAGTCTGTAAATAAAATTCTAAAAAGTTTACTGTTGCCCCATTTTACGACCACTCTGACCTCAACCAGTGCACAAAAACTAACTCAATTTACAGCCCATTCAAGACTTGTAATTTACGAGTTCCCTTGAGCGTTTTCCGCACAAAAAATGACTGCCCAAGGTCGGCGTGTGAAGTGTTTGAGTCAAAAGTCAGGCCTTCGTTAACACTAGTTGCGAAAGAATCGCGGCTCCGTCGACAGCCAGCTGTCCCGTTTTTGAGCTGGCTGCGCGCCAAACACCCTGTCCTTTAAGTGAACACGTCCACAATGTTTTTTGTCCCATTAGCAGCACGTTTTGGCGCCAAATCTAGGCCGCGAAGGTGAAAACACAGAAACAAACCTACACCACAAAAAAGATGACATAACAACAGGGAAACGACATAACGCAAAGTCAAAAGACCCCGAAAACACTAAAAAACCGCTCAAAAATACAGAAAACAAATTTGGCGACATGGGGGACAAGTATAGAAGAAGGATACTGTAGCCATTGGAATCAGAAAACCTCCTAAAAAATATCTAGAGTTTCAAATTTGAAGCTAACGAAGAGTGACACGTCGAAAATAGAGCGAACGCTTTTGAATTCTTTTGTAAGATAAACTCTCCGGGTGTTCGGGAGTACGGTAACAATCAAAAGATACATTTCTTCGCAAAAAACCACTGAACATTTGAGCGAAATTCGTCATGACTCCAAGCTATCCGGCTTAAAATTAAAGTAATATGGGTAAACATCAAAATAAACATGTTTTTGCACTTATAACGATCTGAAATTTAAATACGCAGGCTAGAATTATATTCAACAATCCATAAACTATTATCTTGAAATAATTGGCGGGTTTGGGGAACCGCTGACAGGTTGCGCCCTAAATAAAATAAAAATAATTGAAATACGGACAGGTCGTTTGTTTGGGCGACGCCTTTTCAATTAGAGCCGCAGGTCTCTGGTCATCGCCCGTTCTGACCTTGGAGATTGTTGTGCTTGAAAGCCGTGCCGAGGCGTCCTGCCAGCCTTTTCTAATTTAAAAAAACGACGCTCTCCCGTATCTTGATTAGTTTGGTGGTTCGAAAGTAATTTTTGAACAAATGAGTGACCAAATGTTGGCATGTCATCGTGCCTTCCACGGACGGGCAAGGTCGTCCCTTCAAATAACTCCCCGACAATCATTTAACGCTTGGATTCACTGATATTTAACTCTTGAGTGAAGGCCTGCACCCGTCGAATTTGACTAATCTAGCATGAAATAAAATTAATTTTTATATTGTACGGAAACAAATAAATTAATTTTACGCGATACCAATAAAGTAAGAGAACAATAATAAGAATGAAAAGCATGGACTACAAGTGTTGTCCCATAAAAGGAATTAATGTAACGACGTGTATCCATCGCCCATTTCCCATCACGGAGGCTGTAAAACGCATAAAAATTTGCATAGGCAAAGTCGCGGCCGATTGAGTTATGTCCGAAAGGCGAGGCCATTAAGAGTTTCGAGGATCTTAAAATGCCATTTTCTCTTTTCGGCACCCCATTTATTTCGGCGGGGACGGCTCAGAACGGTGCGCAAAGGGCTCTTTAACTCCAAAGAATAATTCCCGACAGGGTACCGTATCAGAAATTAAACGAATTAGGCACAGTGAGGTTTCTCAAGGTCACGCCCAATCTGTTTCGGCTAATTGCCGCGACAGGTCCAACTACTTTACTCTACTTCTTATTGCCTTTTTGAATTTGGATGGCGTCTTTTTTGAGGAGTCGGCCCCGAGGCTCCAGATCCAAACAAATTTGAATTTGTTATGAGTTGTGATAACAGTAGTACAAAAAGTTTTTGAAAATTTTTGAAGGTCGCTTGACAAATCAAACAATATAAGTATTTTAAATTTTCTAATATTATATTATAATACAAATTGTTCAAAGAATTACGTAAAGTAATATATAAATGTTACATGTGGAAATCCTGTGTATCTGCCACCTTTACAAATGCATAATCAGAAGCCCACCCAGTTTGGTACCCTTTACTGTCGGCCTCGGATACAGTAAGATTCGCCAACTTCTTTAAAGTTTTTATCAACGCCCGAGATCAGCGGCCTTGCTTTCGCGCACTGACCATTTCAAAGCAGCTACTGTATAATTTGAGTTTTTGAAAACAGCCCCAAGGTCGAGAGTAATTCTCTTTTCGATTCGCCAAAAGCCGCTGATCTTAATCGGAATCGCCATCGGACGTTGGATGGAACGTTAAAGAACGCGGAAGACCGTTGACGGGAAAAACAGGAGAAATTAAATAAAAAACTTTCAAACTTGGCTCCAAGGTACTCGAAAAGGGCCAAGAAAAATGTTTTAAACTTGTTTCTCCGCCTGATTCCAATTCCGTTTCTTGGCCGAAGACGGCGCCCTTAAATTGCATTTCTTCGCTCTTAGATTTTGGAAATCTGAAGAGGAAGTGCGCGGCCGAAGGAACTTCAGAGTGCGGTTAGAGTTGAGAGGCTGGCTTCCAATTCCCCAAGCGGACGGACTATGAGGCCATGGCCGTATCCCAATCAGTCCGTTTTCATCAGGTCATGGTCTCGTTTCTAGCCAAGAATATTATTCTGACGTTAACTTTGATCTCCGCGACTGGATCTGGAGTCGAGTTCAACCTTGGTGAGTGCTGTTGGTGTCCATGAGATGTTCTATGCAAGCAATATTAATGTAATCTTGCACTTGTTTTCCTTGTTTATCCGTTTCTAAACTTCAAGAAAATTGAATTGACCCGTGACTGTAAACAAAATCATTCTTTCTACAGAATTTGTAACCTCCACAGAATGAAAAGATTAAGAAATATATTTTAGGAATAATTCATGGAATCGAGGGTTCTATGGTCTGGCACAATGTCAGATATGCCGTGGATGAATGGAACAAGAATAATCTGGCTTCCCCCATTCCCATCACTCTCAACGTGATTTATCCCACAGACTCCTTCGCTTCCGTGGAGGACAGATTCTGTGATGTAGTCCAACATAATCTGATCGGCCTTATCGTCCCTGCAGTCCTCCTGACTTCGGAAGAGATGACTTTCATCTTTTCCATGTGTAATCGCATCAATTTACCTTGTTTAACTACCAGTGATCTGCTCTTGAATGACTCCAGTAAGGGTTACTGTAACAATAATCAAGTTTAGATATCAACAATTTCGTCCATTCCGTGGCCCCGTCTTCCGGGACGGTTGGGAAAGCGGCTGCCAAGCTCATCTCAAGTCTTTCCTGGAACTCTTTTGTTCTGGTTTATGAGAAACCGGAGAATCTGATAGAAGTAACGGCTCTCCTCTCCATCTATTACAATGAACACGGTACTCGCACGTCGATACGGGTCCTGCAGTTACCTCTGTCATTGGATAATTACGATGCCTTCCTAAAATACACAAGGGAACAGCTGAAACAGACGAGTATTGTAAGAAAGATGACTAAATTTATGTTGTTTTAGGTAGTCCATTCCCAAAATATAGGGATTGTTCACGAGTTACTGATCAAGGCCAGCCGACTCAACATGACAGAGTATCGATATTCTTACTTGTTTACTCATCCCGTATGTTTCTGCATGAATGTAATTACAATTATTATAACGAACATCTTAGGATCTTGCATTATTGGAGGATTTCCTGAGTACAGACACCCAAAACTATAGATGTAATGTCAGTGGGATGAGGATTGTCCAGAAAAGTCCTTTAATTAAAACAGATCTCGCACTTTCCCTGGATTCTGTATATTTATTTGGCCAAGCACTGAAAGATCTGGCCAGAAGACCCCTCTTACCCATGCCTACGGCAATTCTATGTGATGCTGATGATCTCTGGGCTGACGGTGAGATCCTAAACGAAGCCATCAAGAAGGTAGGATAGAAAAGTTCGACCGTTGACAATTCAAACTTTCTTGGACAACCTTCCTTTTTTGTCCGAACTTTTAATTCTTTTTAAATTACTCTCCACTCCTTATTACATACCTACAATGTTTTCTGCGCCTCTGAGATTAGTTCTAGTTACATTGATGAAGTAATTTCTCCGAAGATTGATAATTTTTGATTGATCGGTCATTTTTTACTTCTGTTTTTTCACATATTTTCTATTTTTTGAATTGAGCGAAAGCGCTCTTTTATTTGTATTTTAGGATTATTTTTAGACATCTGTATCCGGAAAGACAACTGGACCCGTAAAACTAAGTCCAAGTGGGATAACCAGAGACAACGCCACTTTCATCGGCCTCACAAGGACTGCTGGAAGGTTTAGAGAAGTAAGTCTGGCAAAAAAGTAATACTTTTATTGATTAACCGTTGTATTTACACTTTTTGGTGTTTTTCGTTGAGATTCTTGGTGTAGCCCGGCTTAACCCTGCATGGCGGATTCGATTTCTTTTCTGACGGCTGGTGGGAGTTGGCTTACGAATTTCTCGATCTGTGCATTCTTTTGGGCCGATGTCAGAGATGGGTTGTTGGCAATGGTAGAGAGCTTGGCATCGGCTTCACGAGCTACAGAAGAGAATCTGGACACAGCTGCTTTGTGAGCAGCTTCGGCTTGGGCTTGGTGCTTGGCAAGATCGGACTTGAATTGCGCGTACTTGTTCTAAAAGATTCAAGAAATGTAAAATCATCATAAAACCCCTGAAATTTGCATTTAATAGCCATCACAAAAAGGTCAGCGTATTTACCTTAACAGCGGCGCTTTGAGTTTGGACCCATGCGTCGACTTCACGATCCAATTGGGCATCAGTCAAGTCGTTTCCTCTTTCCAGAACTCTTTGGAAACTCTGGATAACATCGGGGGATTCCCCAGCCAAGAATGGAGGTGGGGGAATATTCTGAGCCTGAGATAAGGCTAGAAGTCCGAAAAGTGCGACAAGAAGGACACAGGAAAGAGAAGACATGATTGTTGCTTGAGGTTTGAGTGGAGCCTCGGGGCTTAAAAAGGGTGTTGTTGACTCCTCCCCGTCTCGGGTCGTGGGGGTACCTGCAGTTGTGTTTGGCGAAGAAACCAGTTTCTGCCTGGGGTGTTTGGAAAGAGAGACGCACGTCAAATTTGTGGGACGTCTCTATTTACTTTACTGTCTCTCGGCGATCATGACCGCAGGGCACGTTCCACATAGTTTGTAGTCTGACATTAGCCGCGCTAAATCCGCGCGCAAACATTTAATACATAGCCCGAACAAACATCAAAACAACGCCCTCCGGGGCTGCGGATTACGTGGGAATCCTGGGGATCTATTGCGCAATCTTCTAGAAGGCATTCTGCACAAGATCAAAACGATGAGTCAGATCAGAGGTCACAAAAAATGTTGAATTCGCTCAATTGTTCATGTTTCCCCGTTCCTCGAATACTCCGGGAACTGTTGATCAAACAAACTTTACTTTACTTAACCTTACTGTTTGCCTCCATCTACTTTTGGTCGCCGTCCTCGAATTTGTATTACGTATTGTAGAAAAAACGGGACCGTGAAGGGAAATCGGAGTTTGAAGTTCTGAATCCTCTTTTCGGAATTGAAAATAAAAAGATGACATTGGGTATTACAGATCGGCTCATGGTCGGAATCCAAAGGAATCTGGAGTTTCGACGAGAAGTATGATAATAAATGGAAGTTCAAGAAAAAGGGAGACCGGTTGGATCTGAATGGACATAAACTGAGGGTAGTTGTTTATCTGGAAGAACCTTTTGTTATGAGAGTGGATGACAAAGATGGCATCAGTTATGACGGTTTCTGCATTGATCTGCTCAAGGAAATGGCCAAAGTCCTCAATTTCACATTTGAAATAATCGAAGTTGAAGATGGCACATATGGGGTTCAGGTACGCTTATAAAGATTGAAAGATGACATCACTTAGGACGAAACTGGAAGATGGAATGGAATCATTGGAGTGCTCCAGAGACACGAGGCGGATCTCTCAATATCCGCGGTTACAATCACCTACAGTCGAGTTAAGGTCATCGGTAAGATCTGTCAATCGATGGACGTCCATTTCAGACTTCACCCTTCCATTTATGCATCTGGGTATCGCCATTCTGATGAATAACAAAAATCCAGAAGAGGTTGTTCCCGCTGGCAGTACTCTTTTCACCTTCTTGGAGCCCCTTTCGTTTTCTGTTTGGGTGGCACTGGTTGTGGCTTATCTTACTGTAGCCCTGACTATGTGTTTGGTCGCCAGATTCAGTCCGTACGAATGGTGAGAACTACTCTCAGAGGAGTAAAACCTTGGAGCGACAATTGGTGAAACTGAAAAACATTATTTTTCCTGTATACAGGTGTCGAAGTTAGGGTAATCGACTGGTTAATTTTTAAAATCATGTTCATTTTTTCCGAACGTTATTTTTCTAAATAGTAAACTAGTAATTTTTTGATTTTCTTACAAATATACTCGATTTAGGGTTTTTTGAGTGTGCTGATTACGAAAATCGTGCTCATTTTTGCTGATTGCTACTAATTACTTTATAGTACTACTTAAAAAAGGTATATAAAAATCAGATAAAATGAACAAGGTTTGCGGAATCAGCACCATCGAAACCCCATAGATCGGTACTCGTAAAACAATCAAAAAAAATTGTATTTGTCCGGAACCCCTGATAAATTCACAGTGCGCAAAGCTTGCGGCCAAATGTCTACGCACTTTTGAAGAAGCGCAGTACTTTTCAGTTTCCCCAATTGACGACGTTCCGAGTAAAAACATGGTTGTTTTAGGTTTGACGTTCAACAAATCGATGAGAGGGATAGGAGTATGGACAATCACAAAAATCAATTCAACATTTGGAACAGTCTCTGGTTTGCTATTGGGTCTCTAATGCAACAAGGAAGTGATGTCATTCCCAGGGCTGTGGCCACAAGAACAGTGGCTGTGATGTGGTGGATGTTTACTTTGATCACCATATCATCGTATACCGCTCAGTTGGCCGCTTTTCTGACAGTTGAACGTATGAGTACGTCAATTGAGAATGCAATGGATCTGGCTTCACAACAGAGAATCAAGTTCGGCACCTTGAAGAATGGCAGTACCATGGATTTCTTCAGAGAATCCAAGATCCCCATCTATGAGAGGATGTGGTCGGTGATGCAATCTACAAGTCCCACTGTATTTGTGAACTCATCTAAGGAAGGAATCGCTCGAGTGAAAGCCGGGAACTATGCCTATATGATGGAATCTATTATGATCGAGTATCAGAAGGGCCAGGACTGTGATCTGGAGACAATTGGAGGACTGTTGGACTCTAAGGTATATAAGCGCCAATTCAAAATACATATTGATTATTCATAGGGATACGGTGTCGCTGTTCCTAAAGGCTCTCCGTTGAGGAACGAACTGTCCAAAACAATATTACAATTACAAGAAAGGACAATCCTCGAAGCTTTAAAGAATAAATGGTGGAAAAATAAGGGTAATATCCAGGCATGTAACTAATTTATGTTTTAGATAACCTCAAATGCCCAGTCTCCGTAGATGCCTACAGTTCAGCAACCAGGGTATACGGTATCTTCTTCGTGCTCTTGGCCGGAATTCTTGTAGCCATCTTGGTGGCCATAGGCGAATATTTCGTGGAGTCCAAACATCAGAGTCCGCGATTGGATTTCACATTGTTGGGTAAACTTTCCTTATGGATCCACAAGAGGAAACAACCTCAAACCATGTCTGGACTTAGACAGCGCCTTCAGATGTACGATGGATTGTATGGGTGAGGGTCGGCAGGAAATATGTTTATGTTGATTCAGTGCCATTCCGATGGGTAATCTCTGGATGCTCGACATGCAAAGAAGAGCGGCAATGGCGGCGAATCAGAACAATCGGACTAATCGGCGAGAATCATTGACCCAATTGAGTATATCAGATCACGGAAGAAGCCCCTCTCCGGGCTCCCATCAATTCGAACCAATCAGAAGAGATGCCCAGCAGAGCCTTCGAAAGTACAGCAGGCTTATTCCGCCTAGTGATGTGGGACTTCTCAATCGGCGGATATCTTCCGGAAATCCGTAAAAAGTTTCGAACCTTTATCTGACAATGAATAAAGTAACAAACCCAAGAAAAACGAACAAAAATGAGCTAACTGACAATGGCGAGACAGAAGATTCGTTCCATTCAGCCAGAAATATATTAATCTCGTGTCCGGACGATCCATTTCTTGTACTACCAAAGACGACATACTTCCCATCATAACTTTGCATTGGAAAAGCATCAAAGTTACCAGTGGCGGTAACCTGGAAAACTTTGGGATGAGGCGTTTCTTACTTACTCTTTCCAATCCTGTTCCATCATCATTTATAATATACAGGGAGAAATCATGGAAACTCCCTCCTTTACTCTGATGATTCGAACTGAAGATGATTCTTTTGTTGTCATTCAAATAATAAGGTGCCCAATTAGCCCCGGTCAGATTGGTGACTTGAGTATGATTCCTGGTCTCTAGATCATAAACAAAGATCTCCATCTCCACGGGTTCCACGATGTGATATTCGAGAAGATCCTTATAATGTTGGATCTCTTCTTCAGTTCGAGGTCTGGATGCTCGATAAACGATCTTCTTACCATTGGGACTAAAGAAGGCCCCACCATCGTAGCCCAATTCGTTTGTGATCTAGTATGTATATATAAAGCGTCGAAAGTAAGGTAATCGATGGCGCTGATTTCGAAAATGACATAACTTTTTTGATTACCTTTTTCCTTAAGCAAAACTGTAAAGTAGTAATTTTTTGAATATTTTTCATAAATACTTGATTTAGGGGTTTTCGATGGTGCTGATTTCGAAGTAGTTAATTGGAAAATATAAATTTGGGGCACTCCTAAAGTAAAGAAAAAAAGTAACAATCAAAAAATGAACATCATTTTCGAAATCAACACTATCGAAAACATCTAAATCGAGTATTCAAAAAATTACTATTAATTTTTTGATACTTTACAGTACTACTTAAGAAAGAAGGTAATCAAAAAAATGAATGTCATTTTCGAAATCAGCGCCATCGTTTATCATAATTTCGACACTTGCATCGACGAAAAATAATACTCCCCAAATCATCTTTTTCCCCAATCGTCGCTCCACCGCTGTGAATACCCTACCTGTTCCAAATAAGTTCCATTGACAGTCATAAGATGTAATTCGAGGTCTCCAGTGAAGTCACTTGTATATAAAATGGTCTCTCCATCCGGAGACAACACTGCTTCGGCATCATATCCCTTATGGAAGGTTAGCTGTTTGATAATAGTACCGTATTCATTAGCCACGAAGATATCATAATCTGGGATAATATCCCAAAAATAACTCTCGTTTTTGTTGCAGAGTTCATGGAGTTTCCCTTCTTTATTCTTTGGATTCCTGGCGTCACACTGTTTTATAGGACAGGTGTTTTTGTTGGTAGAGTTGGCCTTTGTAGTGATTACTATTTGAAATTACTACTTACAGTCAGAAAAGTTGAAGCAAAGATAAAGCTTCGATTATCAGGAAGAAAGTAGGAACAAGTGCATACTCCATTTCCGGAAGACACTCTTCTTGGAGTTGTATCCGGATGATCAAGGTCGATTTGATAGATCTGAAAGGACAAATTTTTGCGATTTTTATATACTTACTTGGTCACAATCAGTGCCATAAGGACCACCCATGGCTTGATAAGTCAGCTTTTTATTGTCAAAGCTAAAATACGCTTTACATTATTCTATTTTATGTTACCTAAAATACGCTTCTGCATTTTGACCTCCAAATGTAAGTTGTTTTACAGATTTAAAATACGTTTCCCCTTCCAAATGGATATGATCATGTGCAAAAACCACATTCAGGATAAGAAGCAACACTCTAGACATCCTGAAAACTAAATAAACCTGGTTTGGAATTATCACGGACGTTAATTAATTTAATTGCATCAAATGATGCAAAGAACCCTCTACTCTTATCATCACTCTTTAATGTTAACATAAGAAATGAAACAAACACGATAAGAATGAACTATTATACTTGGACGTTTCACAGGTAGATCTCATTGGGTTCGGAGTAAGTGTTCTTGATGGAACAGGACTCTTCGTTCGAGCTGACTACTGTAGTTTCACCCGCCAATCGATAATTAATTCTTCGAAGGAATGCTCGTCGGTAAGGATGGACAATAAAAATGGTGGCCAAGGGCTTACAGGCAGGCATCCAATGTATCGAAATACAAACGAAATCATGCATCGAATTGAACTCAATACCCAACAGAAAACTTGAACAAACCAAAGCTGCGGGAGCACAGAAAACAATACAAGGAAGGAGAGCCTGCAAGATCATGATCCGTGTAATCTGGACCGAGATCCGGCGGGATTCTCTTCTCACTCGGCTCCTCTCATTGGCCCTTAAGGTCTTCCGAATCTTGAAGGTACAGTAACCAATGATATTGTATGAAATGGAGATGATAAGAACGGCAGAAATGAAGTTGTAAGAGACATATTTATTTGACTAAATGCATGGAGAGATTATTATGGACTTACTGGGTCATAAGCAGCATACGGTAGGGTAACATCATACTGTAACGTTTTGTTGATGACTTTCCAGTAATGCAAATTCTCAGGACTTGGTCCGAATTCAATACAAAAATTTGATATCAGTGTTTGGATAAAGGCGAAGCCGATGGACACACAGACACAATACATTAATCTAGATGTTGTGAACTGTCTATTTCTGGAAACTATTCACATTAGTATGTTTTAAAACTTACTTGCATACCATCATATATCTGTAAAAATAATCAATGGGAATTAAAGTAATCTCCAGAATAAATATCATTGTGTAAACCAGTATTGTTGTTCTTCCCAAAGTGGGCCCATAGTTGCTCAGTACTCCAGTTACAACAACAAATAGCTGAGTATCAGTTGTTACAACTCTCTAAAATAATGTCATTAAAGGAGAGTCTTAGATACATACCAATGAACAAATGGTGAAGATGAGAACAAAGAGAAGATCAGCGGACGAGTGTAATGCCAGTAATCTCGAATAAGCTTTTATGTCCAAACTGGTGGCATTTTTGACCAAATAAAGTAACAAAAGATTGAATATAACGCCGAATACAGAAGCCAGAAGCTGATTAAAGGTGAGAAACGTCCCCATTTTCATTTCAAGCATTTAAAATGGAAGGAGTATGACCATTTCCGAAGCATGTGTAATTTAATAGCCGTGAGCATGTTTCGGGCTTAGATTTATCTTTATGTCGTCTGAATCCTTTCTGTTCATTAAGACAAATGCATGGTCAGATTTCCGTAACCAGTGTTTATTTTCAAATACGGTTGACTTCGCTTTTCATTCAATGCAAGTCCTCACAATTCCTATGAAGATATTACAACTTGCGTTAAACGAATGAAAGAAATCATGAAACTTTGATAAGTTACTAAAATTATTGTCATCCCGAAGTGTTCAAAGAAAATTTATCTACACTTGCAGCTTTCGTCGTATAAAATGTCGCTTTCCAAGTTTTTTTCTTCCAATTTTCGTGTTTATGGAATTGCAACTAGCGTTTCCCACGCGTTTTTCTGTATCGTTTTTAAAAATATTATAAATACTAATTAGTCTAATTTTTGTGTAAATTCTAGGCAATGCCTCTCCTTCTCCGTGTAGGCCTAAGAGGAAATCGATTGATTCATATTTCGGCTGTTTCTCGTAAGTTTAATGTGAAGAATATTATACTTTAAAGGCCGAGGACCTCTCGTTCATCCTGGATGGTACCCCAGAGATCATAGACCCAGGCCATACCCAGAAAACGAAGAAGAGCGTCGGGCTTCAGCCATAAAATATGGATTGAGACCCGAGGATTACAAGTAAGTTCAGATAATACAGAATAAAATGTTTGTGAAAAGGCCTTATGATCGAAATGACGTGACCCATTCTTGTGGAGACTATCCAGACCTGGGATTAGTCACTTTTGATAACAAGGATATCTACGAGAATTATTCTGATGGTTTGAATAATCGGAACTGGGGAGAACCTGTAAGCTTTTATAATCTGGAAATCCTATGTTTAGGTAATCTTTGACTTCATGAAACACCGTGCTGATCGTAACTCTTATAACGGTCTTGACGTTGAGGACTTTACCCTGTAAGTTTGTATAAATTATAATACTTTCTTTTTCGGGCTATGCGGTATTACTCTATTATTTTAGGTATCGCGGAATCTTGATGACACTTTATGTAGTGATTCCTATGGGACTTCTGTGGTGGTTTATGGGAGATCCAGATCCGGCTCGTTTTCGATGGAAAAATCCATTGGTAACCGCATAAATTTCTCTTTTTATTTCTTTAGATGCCAAAACAATATGCTTGGGATTACTTCCCCACCTTCCCTTACGGCGATCCAACTTCGATTCCCATCAAGAATTATACTTTTGAGCCAGCTGAGTGAAAGTTAGGATTTTTTATTAGAGAATAAACTTTATGAATGGACTGGTCTTGGTCTTGTTTTATATGTTGTTTTCGTTGACATATATGTATGTACTTCGGGTGAATTTTATTTTCAGTTGTTTATGCAAGATGCACTTTTTGGATGACGATTTAGAGTGTAAGTTTGTTTGAGATTAATTTGATTCGTTGCCGTTTTTACTTTAATGTAATAGTTGTAATTTTTAGTGGTTGATGGAATATCTGCTGTCTTTCGCGAAAGATGTGCAGAATTGCAAGAATTGGATCGTGACGCCACAAATCTAAATACTTCGATGACTGCCCAGAAGAAGAAATTATTTGCGAATTATAGAAGATTTACAGAAGAAGAGAGAAATAAAAAGGCAAATGAGATCAGGAAGGGATTGCGGAAGGTTACCGAGTTATATAGGAAGAAGTATCAGTTGTCATGCGAGTTGGAAGCATTGATTGGAAGAGTCAACAACAAAGTCAAGAAAGATGTGCACGACTTCAGATACGAGCTAGAGATGGAGAATCCTGAATGCACTTACGAATTCGAGAAAAGTAAGTTGATGTTTGCAGTTGTTCTATTTTTTAGAATTTGCGGAAGACTTTAGTTTCAAAAAATCGACAAGACCCACGAAGAAGGAGGTGGAAACACCAGGCAGAAGTAGAACGAACACCCGGTCAAATATCCTGTCTGATCTATGGCCTGTCTCAAGAACAAATAACAGAAGCCGGAGTGGATCCATAGTGGGAACGCTGCAGAGAAGGCTAACTGTAAACACGCAGACCCAGCTATTCCTTGGACGCAAACGTGGTTAGTTTAGATTTTTTGTATACGGTTAGGATCGTTTTCTTCTTATTATTAAATTTATTCAGAAGCATCTTCAAGAGCTTCGTCAGAACATTCCCCGACTCCATCTACATCAAGATCGACCCCTCGGCCATCACCTGCGCCGATTTCTCCAGCAATTAGAGTATGTTTTTTGATTAGTACGACATGCAGGGTGGGGCATCTTTGTGGCGCGATTTAAATTGGCTTATTTAAATTTGGATAACGCCGTGAATCTTCAGACGTCCCCATTTTGTTTAATATCAAATATGTTATACCCATTTAGTAGACTACAGTAAAAATTGAAGACAAAAAAAAGCTCTAATTTTCATAGCTGACAAGGGAATTACCCCTAGTGCGACTCTCAGATTTTCTTTAAATTTTGCACATGGGCCGGACATAGGCCGCATATCAATTCCTCAAATTTTTAGGTCGCGCCTTTCAGGGGCGGCCAAGATACTCAGCGATCTTTTGCATCCAAGAGTGTACGAGAGTCACACAGAAAAACTTTTTGGCGATCTCCAGTTTATGTAATAAATTTGGTATTAAACCAAATGGGGACGTCTGGGGATTCAGGGAAAGAGAGAATCATAAGATTTGACCAAGAACTAAAAAAGTTATAGCCAATTCAAATCGGGCCACAAATGCCCCACCCTGTATTTTTCTTTTCTAAATTTCACATTTTTTGTTTTCAGAAATTTCCGCGACAGTCCTTCTCCATTTTGGACACACCTGAATCCTCCGCTTCTCCTCAACCCGACTTTGATCCTAATTCTACAAGCATGCCAGCATTCGCCGGAGGACAAGAAAGTCGTCACGGGCGACCGAGAAAACTGACAACCAAAGTAAAACAAATGTTGGAGCAGAAAATGAGAGGAGTTCAATACCATCAACAAGTGTCGAGTCCTCTGATCACTCAAGGATGCACAGCTGCCACCATCAACAATCCACCGAGACCAGCTTCTCGAAATTCAAGAAGGAATTCTGTGGCCAGTACATCCAACAGAATAAAGGGAACAGTGGAATGTGAAACGGATAATAGCATGGATGGAATGGATGAGGATTACGAGACTGAAGAAGAAGAAGGAGAAGAAGCGCCTCCAGAAGAGGAAGAAGAACCCGAGGATACCGACGAATCGCTTTGGTGTCTATGCCAAACAAAGGCCTTTGGTGATATGATTGCCTGCGATAATCCTCAAGTAAGTATACCGTGACAATAGAGTTTTAACGATGAGTTTTCGTCAAATAGTCAATATAATTAAATGCCTCTCTTAGTGTCGTCTTGAATGGTTCCACTACGAATGCATCGGCATGGTCGACCCTCCCACCGGCAAGTGGTATTGTCCGGAGTGCACTCAGCTAGGCTTCCAGCCATCTCCAGTCAAGCGCCTTCAGTAATTATTTGGTTTTGTTTTTTATTAATTAAACGCTAATTGAATGAATGACATGTTTTTGCCATGTCCGACGCTTATCTTGTGGCATTTTTCGGGCGAATAGGTCGTGGGAATTTACCTGGTTGTTTATTGTTCGGTGTGGGAGTCTGAGGCCTACATTAATCACTTCCTCAGGCCTTTTTGGTTGCAAGAAGTAACCTGGTTGAAATTTTTCCTTGGCTTTTTTTGAGTCGATGACAAGTCTTGACGCCCCCGTTCCATATATCTTATTGAGCCCGTCCAGTCGTTGTTCTCCAGGGAAATAGAAAGATCTGATGAACAATATCTCTGGAGCTCTTCTTTTTCCGGGACGAATAGGGGTCGGACGGACATGAACAAGATCTTCGCGGCCTTCTGAAGAAAGAGGCTCGGGACAATACGATTAACGCCTTCTCTTCGAGGAAGCGGCCGTCATGCTCTTTGCTTTTCTTTCGTTTACATCTTGACATTCAGCTTCTACAGGATTAACGATGGGGAATTGACGGTGGGAAGGATTCAAATTCACGGTTAACAGTCATCATGACATTACGAACAGGAGGAATTGGACCCAAATCTATGAAGCTCCTCAACAGTGAGAGTCTTCTTCATTCGGAATGGAATCGACGTCTTGGAATCTGCAGTCTGGTAGCTATCGGTGAGTGATCTGAACCAACGAACTTCATTTCCAGGTGGTGTTGTCATACTGAGCACGAATTTTGGGCTCTTGTTGACCAATTTGTTTGCCGTCAGCCAGTCATCGTCCCCTCCTCTGACCTCAGTTCTCATCGCTTGCTTCTTATACCTCATCGCGGGTATTTTTCATCAAATTGTCGAACCATAAATTAAAAAGTTGTGCGCTAATATAAATTTTTTAGGTGAACAATATCGAGTAATTTCTTATCGTATACCTCTGAACGGCTTACTGTATAATCTCGCGTTTACTTCGCACTCCGAAATGTTGGCCTTTGTCATCGGATGGGCCCAGGTCTTTGATGGGATTGCCTTTCTCACTGTTTTGTTGAAAGTTCTGGCAGATACCATGGTAGAGAACAACAGATTGACCTAATCTTTTTTTCAGAAAATGTTATTCAATCATCGGCTGGAGCAACCCGTGCCTTCAGAATCCGTTCCCCAGACATGGCCTGTTTTAAATTACTCCGAATATTTGATAATCCTCTTCTCCCTGTTGATGATGTCATGTTCTTTGAGAGTTTTATCAACCGTCTCCATTGTTTTTATAGTGGCTACACTGTTTACTGTAACAAGTACAAGCGTTGTGGCCTTGTTACATAACGTGGTCCATCTTCAAGTCCATTATATTGGATTTCCATACAATTATCAAGAGGTTCGGGTTTTCTTTTATATCGGATATTGTTGCAGGTGATGGATGGAGTGGAAGTTTTGATGATTGGAATGATGGCCATCGAATGCATCTCTTATGTCTCCGAAGAGACGGATCATCCTCGGAAGACGCTCCCTCAACTCTTCCCTTTCCTTTCTCGCAGCATATCAGTGATCTTGTTCTTGGGCACGATCGCCTTCTTCCCCTTCTCCTATCGCCGACCTTACACTTCCTCCACTTTACTCCCTTCAACTTTCGATACAATAGGCATTTTCTCAGCACGATATCTGTTGAATGTGGGTTCAGTCTGTGGACTCAGTGCTTCTGTTTGTGTAGCCTTTCTTGGACCTTCCCGGATACTTTGTCAGTTTGCCAAAGATGGAATCATGCCTAAGGCAATTGGGGATTTGTATGGGAAAGGTAAGATTTCACGATATTTATATCAAGTAAATTCAGGAGGATCTCCGCGCCTGTCGGTCTTTCTGGTTGCCCTGATCTCCTGTGTATTTGCCCTCTTCCCTCGACCTTGGTTATGTTCTACACTTGGTTGTAGTATAATTCTGAGATTATTTATCCAATCTATACTCATTTATAATGTCGTGTTACCAAATCCGAAAGAACTTGAAGAGGAGAATGGGAATACTCTCCCCAGGTATAACACATTGGACGTCAGCAGATGCTCGTCACTCTCGGAGCACCATCAAAGTGTAATCGACAGCACTTATTCCGAGATCACATCTGATGATGAGGAACACGTCATGGAAAGAATTTGGAAGGTGACCGCTAATGGGAATGAGGAAACACGCCTCCTCAATGAGAATGTAATCACTTACAATGCGTTAACACAGGTGGAAAGTAGATGATATTAAGACTTTACATCATATTAAATTTTAGTGCAAAGTCCACAACTGCCTTAATTCTTCATGCCAAGCTAATCCTGGGTCTTCAGTATGGCGGAACTATCATGTATACGATGCTGAAGATCAATATGAAAGGCCCCGGGAATGCAGAGAACAGTCGACAAGGGCTTTAGGCATCGATAAAACACAGAAAAACGGGCAAAGAGCAGTTACTTTAGGGCTGATTTCATCCATTCTCATCGCTCTGTCTTCAACTATCATCAGGGAAACGGTAGTTGCGATAATTTTAATTCTTATGTTGTTTTAGCCCGAATATCTTCCCGTAATGCCTGTTGTGACGTTGATCATCGGTTCAATCTCGTGTTTTTCTGTCCTCGCTTGGATATCCAGAATCCAGCCCATTAACGAAAAAGAACGCTGGATTCCGTTCCTCTCCATGATGATGGTATTTGTCGTAACACAGTTATTGTTCCACATCAGGATATTGTTCTTGATACCGATTCTCACTTGGAATTTGATTGGAATTATGTTTTATTTTACATTTTACTGTCAACGGAAGTAAAGACCGGTATCTACAACACATAGTAACAATCGTCTGAGGTTGTATCGAGGTGCTCCGCTCGAGAGGAAGGAGGTAGATTTAAAATTTACAATCAGGAACTCTTATGACTTCCGAGATTTTTCGATTGGAAAGCACATTCCGTCATCCGCCAGCATGCCCGCTCTCTCCATTTGTTTGTTGAAATTTGACGGAACATAACTATAATGAACCTACAGGAGAAAATTAGGCGCTAACGTTATCCCTTACCGTCATTCCAGTTTCAGCAACCTTTATCTTATCATAGAGATCTTTATTGGCAACCGGCGACCCATCCTTTTTAGTCCACTTGAGTTTGTTGAATTTGAGAAAAAGTTGAGAATCCGTAACAATGTAAACTTCATCCAGTCCACCTTCTTTTGCCAATTCAACAGCCTTCAAGATTCCTGTTAATTGTGTTCGGAATTCAGTCACTGGGTATCTCGCATATCGCCCACAATCATCCGCTGTCACTTTTGAAGGCCAATGTATCCCATAACCAGCCAATGTAAAATAATTTCCATTTCGGTTCTGAGTGGTGTGGACTTTCCCAGCAGTGTAAATGACATTCGAAGTGGTGGGAGGTAGGGAAATAAATGGTTCTGGGGTATGGAGATGTTTATCCTCTTCTAAAGCCACTTGGAAATCACTTTCGTTCTTCAAATGCGCTATAACATCATTGGTAAACCTCGTTTTCAATTGACTGAATACCACCTTAGCCTAAGACAATGGCATACGAATATCCGATGAATAGAACTTACATCGATCTGTTGAAGAAGCCGATCCAAATCTTCAATAAATAACTTATTCTTAACGGGAGTTCCATCAACTTTCATAAAGCTATTTCCTCTCCAAAACTGTAGATATCTTGAGCAAACCTTGGCCACGAATTCAGAATCTGTCTCGATCACAACGCGAGTCAAATTCTTTTCGAAAATAGCCTGTCTCAAGGCTAATATAACAGCATCAAGTTCAGCCAGAGTAACGGTAAGTGGAGTATCCGCTCCTTTTAGATCTAACTCTTTGTAGACATTCAACGCTTCGCCTTTTCCCCAAAATACTCCAATTCGGCCGACCTTTCGTTTGTCATATGTCTTTACAACTCCTGTCGTTTTCACCACGGGTACACTAAAAGCAAAAGTAAACGCTAAAAAACTAAAATACCCCTTCCAGTCATTGTCAGTTGTTGTTTCGTTTGGTTCTTCTTTGGGCACGGCATTCTTCATGATCTCTTTCACAAACGGATCATCCTTCTGGAATAAAGATGTAGTGGAGACAGGAAGGGCCACGTTTGGAGGAATTTTATCTTTAGCATCTGGACTTGTTGTGGCTACTATGGTGGAGTAACAGCATCGGGTTCGATGTCCTCTGTCATCTAGGCGATCCAAACACCTGATCCGGTTGATTGGCAATAATAGCCGTTTAAAGTTCATCTAAAGACTATATTTACAAGGGAAGTACTTGAAGTGTGACGCTCAGATTTTGATGAAACTTGGCACAAATTTAGAATAATTTTTTCTAAGATATATGCGGGAATCCTAGCTCGCGCTTTGCAGAAACAACCGAGATTTTTAGATCGAAAGTCGGCGAAAATTTGGGACTTTTTTCCGAATTTCGGCACGAAAAGTTTCATGCCTATTTCAACCGTAAAGAATAATGTTTCTACAAAAAATCAAATTTTTCCGCACGAAACTGCCAAAGTTATGGCCAAAAAGCGGTTTTCTCTCTGACCGCTCTCCACGTTGAGCGTGCTCTCTCGGCGGCAAAAATCGTTCAATATCTCGGCGGCGCCCGCAAAGCGCGAGCTAAAACTTTCAGGAATTGATATTTAGTCCATACCCGATGTGTGTGCAAAATTTAAAGAAAATCTGAGCGTCACACTTGAAGTACTTCCCCTGTTAGTTTAGTACTTTATACCGGTAAGAAATACGCCCGAAAAGCAGGGGTGGCAACCGGCCTCTTTTTGACAAGGAAGATATTTCTATGGGGTATGGAGTTAAAGATCGAGACATATATCAAAAAAATCGCAAAATTTTTCTGATTCAGAATATGTAAAAATTAGCTGCGTAATTTCGGTCTATCAACGAGTTTTATCAATAAATGTATTTCTCGAGGAAAAAAATCGGCGGCAACAAAAGCGCGCGCTCGGCCTCTTCCTTCGGAAGAGAGCGGTGTGGCCGAAAGGTTAGAGCGCTAAACTGAGAATCTGATGGGAAGCACGCCAATTTGTCCACACAGAAAAAATGCAAAAAAAAATGGATCGAGTCAAGTCTTTCCCCGGTCATTTTTATCAAGTGTTCCCCTCTGCAGAAATACCGTAATAAACCCGCAGAACAAGATTGTATCAACGCAGAAATAATCACAGTGCGGAGAAAAAACGCAGACAAATCATTAATTGCATAAACAGCACACAAAAAAATTCTGTTTTGCCTAATTTGGCAACCTTTTTCAAACGTTGGAAAAAAGTAAGTCAATTTCGATCATCTGTAACTTTTCTTATGGAACGAAAGCTCAGGTTTTCTTCTTATAGGATTATAGGATATTGCTTCAGCTTTCAATAGGTACCTCATTTTTAGCCATTGCATCACCTTACGTTGAGTTCATTCTCAAAAACTGAAATTTATGACTTTTGAATTTAGATGAAATCGACTGGTTTTACACAATCACCCTCCGCTGCAACTTCGACATCGCTGTATTCCAGAGAGGACAAGAAACGAAGACAAGAGGAATAGAGTCAGCTCATGCACGAGAGAAAAAAAACTCAAAAATCACGATATTACACTACCCCAAGGTGATCAAAATCGTGATATTCGTCAGAATTGGTAGGTTTTTTGCCTTAGATCCTCTTGATTTTAAGATATATTATACTTAGAAGCATGGGCTTTCAGAATCCGTTAAAATTTTTAAAATCAGACCGATAAATTTTGAGAAAATTTCGATTTAATTAAATGCCCGGCGGGGATTTTTTACTGGAAAAATTGCTTTTTATTCATGTTATAGTTTCAGAACGTCGTTGGATACATCAGCAACACAACTGCGACTCGATTATTGCAATCCCAAACACAAGACCACAGGCTTAGCCAGAAAGATGACAATGAAATCTCAGATTTTACACTATCCCAGAATGACGAAAATTTTGATGTCTCGTCGAGAATGGTAGGTTTTTTGCCTTAGATCCTCTTGATTTTAAGATATATTATACTTTGAAGCATGGGCTTTCAGAATCCGTTAAAATTTTTAAAATCAGACCGATAAATTTTGAGAAAATTTCGATTTAATTAAACGCCCAGCGGACTTATTTTTCGAAAACTTGACTTTTATTTGTTTTTTGGTTTCAGAACGTGCTTGGAGGCTTAACAAATCATGAATACGAACTGCAGGTTGCAAAATCGACAAGACCGGGCATTTGCTAGTACCTAAAGGCAAAAATTGGGAAATTTACAATTAAAATCATAAAAAAATATTTTTGGATATAATTATTTCGCTTACTGCTTATAAATAATACTAAGAACGTGTATGATTGCTAAAAACTAAACTCGTAACTCTAATTATTACCTAAACGTGTTCGGTAAGACAAAACCTTATTTTAAATAGCTTTCGTATAATATGGCAACAACATTTTTAGAAGTCTGGGTCGCAGCTCGAATTTTTGACGAAAATGTTTTTTTTCACAAAACAAATTGGTGTGGGGAAGGGCTCATGGGTTATATATCTTTTGCCACAGAACCCTTTTTTACATTGGAACTACTATTAAGGCGTAGCGCGTAGTGTTAATCCAATTTGATATTTTATGGCTTGTCAAGATCCCAGAGTTTATTTTATCGCAAAACAAAAATTTTTTATTGGTAAAAACATGGTCCAAAAGACACTTGCATGGTGTCGCGAGAAAATTTCTGATGACAAAAACTTGTCATTAGACCAAAGTTAGGCAGCTAATTTTTATATATTCTGAATCATAAATTTTTTGCGAATTTTTTGATACATATCTCGACCGGTAACTCCATACCCCATAGAAGTACTTTCCTTGTGAAAATTTCAGGCCCGGCAAAAACCGGGCCCGGCCCATTTCAAAATTCTGCAGGCGCGGCCGCACGCGGCTCGGTAGAAATCAGGCCCGGCCCGATAAAGCCCGGTTACGGCGCGGACTGAAAAATTTCCTTTGACCTTCTTGCCTCTGTGGTGCTAAAATTTGCTATGCAGTATATTATATGTTCTAATTTGGACCTTAGATTGTAACATATATGCAAAAAAAGTACTATAAAGTAGTAAACTGTTGTTAAACCTGAGATACTAAAAATGCAAACCCATCAAAAAATTCAACGGCGCGAAAACATATAATGCCAACGCTTGGCATTTCGACGAAACCGGGCTCGGTCCCTTTCCAAATTTTGCCAAAATTTTCTTTTCATGAAAGAATGAATTCATTTCCCACTTTCTTTCCAACATAGTATAAAAATTTTCCGGGCCGGCCAGCTTTGCAGGCATGCTTACCGTCGAACCTATGAGTCCTTTTATTTCGCCCGTCATTTTTTGCAAAATCCGTCCAGTTTCCCTACAGCCTTTTTTATTTGTTTCTATTTTCTTTTTCAACTTGTGGCTTTATGAATCCAAATGGGCGATTCTGACTATGCGGAATCAAGTAGTTACGAAGAGGAATACCGAGCTCGAAAAACGCGGCGGAGAAAGCACGAGAAGAATATTAACCAGGAGATTCAATTTGCAAGTACTGAAAACGAAGGTAAGATGAACGTTTTGTACCTAAAATCTTCGCTTTAGTTGATAATGCTGTCTACAAATTTTTGATACAGAGGTTTGAGGTCTCCAAAGGAAGGCATTCATCTAATTATAAAGCCGTGAGTTCACACTTTGCATTTTGTTTTATTGTTTTAGGCAATAACAGACTTCCTTCGCTTACTGATTGGATATGGATTCTGCGAGAGTGTCAAAACATTACGGATTAACCGTAAGTCTTATGATATAAATAACATCTGTTTAGTCCTACCTGCAAGAAATTATTACGCTCAGTGCAACAACATTGCAGAGTACCCGAATGTTATCAGATTGTAAGTTCTTGAGATTTACGGGTATTTTGTTTAGGTTGTTGAAAATTGGAGAGATGGATGATTTATTCGGTACAGAGTTGTGGGATCAGCACTTTTTCAATATGCCTAAATTGTGAGTTTTGTTTTGTTTAATGTATTTTTAAGATGTATGGATGTGAATCTTGACTTTGCGTTTCGGTCCTCGATAGTCAACTGTTATATGAGCTGTGTATTTTCTGAGCAGAAAGGGGATTGGGCCTCGATCGCTATTATTATTGGAAAGTTGGAAGCCGAGAAGATTCTTGGGGGAAGAAGATATACAATCCGACCGCATTCTCCCTATCTTCCATTACTTTTTCTGTGTTCGATGCAAAGAAATCTTGCTCTTCTTCTTCCCACTGATCTTTTGAACGCATCGACGGATACGGTAAACTTATTCTAAAAAAATTATGTTTTTTAGACGGTTTCTGTTTTCAGAAGCGTTTCGTTTGGATTAAACGATCTCCTCAGGAATCCGACTGCGTTCTTTGAGCTCAATTCGTTCATTTTCAAGATAGCTAATGGTCTGAAAGATCAGGCGTTCCAACAGGGACGATCTCTGGTTCAGGCCGGGGCTTTCCAGTTTACAGAAAACGAGGTATGGTTAATTATATCTCGTATTGTTTTCTTTTTTGACAACAGTCTATAGTGAGCTAATTACATAGTATGCAGACCAAAATGAGCCGATTTCGAGAACCTTTCAGATATCTGTAGTTACCTTATATCCTGGGTAGGAAGTGTAAAGATGTAATATGAGTAGTAAGTAGGTAATTTGACAGATTAAGCGATCTACATTGCACTCACAATTTGTTTGTACCCAAATTTGCCTTTTCGAAGTTGAATCTTATAACTTAACTAAACTTACAATTTTGCAATCACATTTGTTCTATCAGGATAAGAGTTTTCACAGAAACTGAAAGGTAATCGAGAGCTGCTGTTTATGGCCCATAATGGAGGTACACGTTTTTTAGTATAACCGAGCTCTGGAATGGTTAAATCTTGTGAATCAATTCGAGATGTATAAGGATAATAGGACAGAGGAGGTGGCCAATACTCTTTTAGATGCATTTGTGTTCCAAATAGAGTCCTTGGTTACTTCTTTTATGTCGGAAGCAGTCGTTTTAATGCCTGGCGTATTGGAATTGATGTCAGATTTAGATGATTTCGAATCTCTTGACAAAATATGCGAAGTTTGTTGTTCGGATGTTTCCATATTTCCCACTGTATGTAGAGTTCTGAGGCAACGAGAAAGGGTTGATTTGTTGGCGAAGGTGTTCGGTGAGGTATGGTAACTTCAGTGTATTCTTTTATTTGATTTTTCTCAATTACAGGTGATAAAACAAAATGCAATTGAGGTCTCAAGATGCGAAGAAACGAAAGAGTTGATGTCTCATCGAAGCGCAGAGCCCGAGAATTACGGATTTAGAGACGACATTGTGGAAGAAAACATACCTGTTGTATTTGGAGTATTAGATCTCGGAAGGAATCGCAGTGATTTGAAGGCCTGGCAAGCGCTATATGATACTTTGAGAAGAATTGAGAGTCAACCGGAGAAAGTCAGACCGTTTTATGAGAGAAGGAGGACTTGGTGGCCTCAATTTCACAGTGGAGAAGTGGATTTTGAATGCCGAAAGGTTCGGAAAAAATGTTTTAAGCGGCTTCGGAAATGTTTATAGGCTTTTTTTCCCTGGTTGTTGTTAATTGTATATTGCTGTTGATTTTATTGTTATAAAAATGAACTTTTCGATGTTCAGGTTAGTATATACGTTAGGTCGTTTTATATTTGATCGACTTACAATTAGTTACATTTCATGTAGACTTTAAAAAGCTGATCTAGAATGGAAGATTGTGACGGAAAAGATCTTATTCTTGTCGAACATCCGGCGATCGTAAAGAATGCAAGCAAGGGATTGGAAACATTAGGGGGGATCGAAGAAATCAATGAAGTAAGTACAATTAATGATGTGTTTAAGGTGTTCAGGCATTTAATGGAAATAAATCGCTTGAGCTACGATTCAATCCAGAGAATTTGTACCAAAGTGCAATCCAAGCCGAGCGGAAGAATATGGTGGCCGGGTTGTCTGGGTTGATGCAGGTTGTGTTCAAGATTAGACGAAAGAAGTCTAATCCCGATGTGTGTGAGACTGAATGTCTGGGAGTGGTAGGGAAGACATTCTTTTGTCATGTCTGTTTTAGATAAGTAATGTGTACACATTCAAAAGCATGGCGGATTTCCAGTTTTTGCCAATAAAACTGACCGATAAACAACAGAAAGATCAGCCAATTTACGAAGATCTCCTTCCCCGGTTAATACCGACTTCTTTTCATTCCGCATTTTCTTGGTTAACTCACAAAGAGCCAAATTCAGAAGTAACTCCGAGATTTCTACCTCCCTATATCTTCAGTAGATACACAACAGGAGCTTCTACGAAGATTCTTGCTCATGAACCAGACAAAAGTGAACTGACGGGCAAGGTTTCTCATGGAAAAAGTCGGTCTTGTTTGTATTTCTTGACGAGCCTTTGAGTCAATATATATATTTATATATGTTCATTTTAGATCTAAGAACCGAGCGGAAGTCATATACTTTGACGTTGCAACACAACGATGTATTTCCGGATTTCCCTTCAGAGCAAGCAGTTCAAGATGTAGATAATCGTGTCAAGAATCCGGAGCCTCATCGTCTAATGAAAGAATTATACGAGGAACGGCCAATGTGGAATAAGGCCGCTATCCAGTGTAGGACCAAGTTGGATGACAGTATATTAAAGTATGCCTCATTATGAATACACAATGATTTTAGAGTGCTAATGGCAAAGTATGCATTTTACATATACAGCGGCCCGTGGGGTCGGTTGTGGTGTAAATTCGGCTATGATCCACGAACAGATGTGAACGCCAGGAAGTACCAAACAGTTATGGTGTCTTTCCGAAAGCATCAGAAGATTCCGGAAAGACATCGGCGACTTAGATCTAGCTACAGAGAGAGCAGAGGGCTGTCAAGGATGGACGAAGACTTCGTTTATACACCTGGGCATTTGCCTGCAGTTAGACAGATGTGGTATTCTGTGTGTGATATTCAATTACCAGTGGCTCAGAAAGTAAATCGCGCGGATTACTGTAGTGGATTGGACCATTACGATGCAGTGACGGGCTGGCTGACTCCAGTATGTTTCCTCCAAAATCGGTCTTATTTCTCCCCTCTTAAGTACTGGATTTATGGGTTTTCGATGATGCTGATTGCGAAAATCAAATCCATTATGCTTACATCAAAAAATTAAAAAATTTAATTTTTATAAAATATTCATTATTTTTACAAAAAATCAAAAAAATTACTTTTTAACAGTAGTACTACTTAACAAAAGTAAAAATTATATAAAGGGTGTTCAGGCATGGCGCCTAAATGCGACTTATTACGTCTTCGGCCGACTGGCAGATGAAAAAACGGCAATTTGGCGGAGAAAAAATTATCCCATTTAAGAAATTGTGATGAGAAAACTATCTGCCGAGCATCCGCCGATAAGAAGAGTCATATTTTTTGTTTGATAAGGGCCGTATAAGACCTACAATTTTAGTTTTCTCATCATTATGTGTTAAATGGGTTTATTTTTTCTCCGCCGATTTGCCGTTTTTTCTTCTGCCAGTCGATCGAAGACGTAATAAGTCGTATTTAGGCTTGGAGTTATGGTACTTTGAATGTGGCCCGGACGGTATATCAAAATTAGATTTGTGTCAAAGTCGGTGCAGAAGAGCCGCGAATCTCGGCAAAATACGTTTTCGACCATGACGAACATTTTTGTAATTGAAAAATTGTTTGTGTGATGTAGCCTTCCAAGTTGAATGCCGAAAAAGTATATTGGACATCGTACCTTGGTAATTTTCCAAGTAGTGCAAGGATACATACTAAAAAAATTCACTTACAAAAATTTTCTCCATGGTCGGAAGCGTGTTTTGGTGAGATTCGCGGGTCTACCGTAACCCCCGTATACGGTAATTTCCGAAACTAAAAATTCGTGCTGACGTTCAGCAAACGATTCGAAGTTGGTCGTTTTTTCGAAATGTCGTGGCCATCCTTCGAGTTGTAAAAACTCTCTTTTAAAAAACGCTAGACGGATCGAACCTGTCTTTTGCCGGGCCGAAAATCCAAAAAAAAGATCTTGTCGCTGACCACCCCTGGCCGCATCCTGTGCATTACAACTTTGATAAGAGTTGTCATCCAATTTTGTAAACATATCTTATTTCAGGACACAATCAACAACATTCGACAAGCAATCAAAGAAGATGTCCGTAGGACCTCGAAACAGCTAGAACTAGCAGATCCCGAGACTGGAGATGCCAATCTTTCCGATGGAAGTGATAACAGCGAAATGAATGATATCACGGACATGAATGATGATGGGGCGATAATGGAGATCACCGAGGAATGGTGAGAAAGGAGATAACAATGTACATATATTTATTTTGATTGATGAGTGATAAATGTACAAGTGAAATTGGCCAATCTTATTTGAATTATGCTTTATTGTTGTCCCATCCTCGAGCTCTCTTCACCGCCTCTTTCCATTTGATCATCTCCTTCTCCCTTTGTTCATGTTCATTTATAGGAGAGAAGGTCTCCACTTTCTGGTTGATATGTTCGGTAAACTCTTCTAATGTTACTTGTTGAGCTCCAAGTCCTCCGGCAATGGCTGCACCCCACCCAGATATTTCAGCCATTTTTGAGCATACGATTGGCCGACCGAGAGTATCAGCCTGCATTTGGTTAAACAACTTGTTTGAGGTCATTCCACCATCAACCTTAAAGGATAACTATAGTGTTGTCTCACAGGTTAGAATACTCATTTGCCATAGATTTGTTACCTTAATAGTTTGAACTTTGGTGTCTTCCATGTCGTGTTCTACAGCCTCAACCATCTCGGCAGTCTGAAAAGTGACCGCTTTCAATGCAGCCCGGGCAATATGAGCCTTGGTTGCACATTGGGTGAGTCCACAGATGGTCCCACGAGCAGATGCGTCCCAGTATGGAGTGTAAAGACCAGTGAAACAGGGGACAAAGTAAACATCTTCGGTGTCCTTCACTGATCCGGCCATCTCCTCCACGTCGTTTGCCTCTTTTATAAATCCAAGATTGTCCCGAAGAAAGCGAACAACGTTTCCACCAATGGACCCAGATCCCTCCAAGGCATAGCAAACAGGTGCATGAGGACCAAACTAAAAAAATACATGATATTGAGAACAGCAAGGTTAATCACTCACCTGGAATCCTACAGTAGTCAAAAGTCCATTCTTGGAGAGGATTGGAGCAACTCCAGTGTTGCATAGCATAAAAGTACCGGTGCCATAAGTGTTCTTCACATCTCCCTTCTTCAAACAATTGTGCCCCACCATGGCGGATTGCTGATCCCCCAGACAGCCAGCAATCGGTATCCCGACCAAATCTCCTTCCTTCATGTATCCATAGATCTCGGCCGATGATTTTATTTCAGGGAGAATTTCCATTGGTATCTCGAAGAAGTTGCATAATTCAGAGCTCCATTTCCTTTTATGAAGGTCCAGCAGAAGAGTTCTGGAGGCGTTGGTGACGTCAGTAACATGAGCCTGACCTCCCGTCAACTTCCAAATGATCCATGAATCTACCGTACCAAAGAGAAGGTCCTTTTTATGAAGGCATTCCTTAACTTCGGGAACATTCTCCAGAAGCCAACGAAGTTTTAGGGCGCTGAAGTATGGATGGATTGGGAGACCAGTCTTCTGCTTGAAGTAATCTTTGTCTCTGAAAAAATCAATATCATAAAAAAAGTATACGGTACATTTTGACCAAAAATAAATAGATGACTTACTGAGTAGGAGTCTTCATGATGGTATTTTGAGCCAATTCAGATGTCCTAGTGTCCAACCAGACGATGGCATTGTGCAGAGGAAGGCCTGTGGCCTTGTCCCAGACTACGGTCGTCTCTCGTTGATTGGCCACTCCAATCGATTTTATCTCTTCCTTTGAGATCCCCATGCTCTCCAATTTGATGCAGCACTTGTTGATGGACTCAGTACAGGTGTCCAAGATCTCCAGGGGATCCATTTCCACCCAGCCATGGTTTGGGAATTGTTGGCGGACTTCGATCTCAAACCAAATCCGTTAGGATTCACGTGAAAAGAGCGACAAGAAGATAAAACTTATTTTATTCTTACTTGATGGCTGCAAACCAACTCTCCAGTGTCAGATTCGAAGACGAGGAATCGACTGGACGAAGTTCCTTGGTCAATTGCACCCAGAAGCACCATTTTCGTTTATTAGTCAATGTTAATAACTAACGATCAGGTCTGAAAATAAAATCATTTAAAACTTTTTGTAGGAGAAAGACGGAGTATGGTTGGTGGGAAAAGGAGCCGCAATGGCCAGCGACGTCCGGCGAGACGCGTCTTTTAAAGAAAACCCTTCCAGCTTGAATCTTATCAATATTACCGTATGCATTCTGCCCCCCCCCCCTCCACCAGATTCAAAACAAGTCCACACGGCAATAAACCGACGAAAGCTTTACAACCACCGAAATGAAGAAAATATAAATTTCTGCGCGTCTTTTAAAAGTCATCATCATCATCGGGCGATCTCTGAGAAGGGACTCGACTCTTCTGGGCGAGCAAACCCCTTTCTTTTATCATGAGAGATGATAAAATGATATAATGAGTGATAAGGAAGGGTGCTCGGAAACCAAGCACGATAGTATTCACCATGACTTGCTACCGTAATGTCCATAATTGTAGAACTGCAGAGATTTTGAGAAAAATCCAAAATTTCCAAAAAAAATAAGACAAAAAAAGATAAATGGAAACCAGGAACGCCAGATAAATTCCAACGTGATAAGAGATCTCTCCGTCCCCACAACCGTGCACGCCACGTGACAGTTGTTTGAGATGGGTTCCGGTTTGATATAAACGATAAAAGAAGAGGACATACGACCTCTGACGAAATAAGTCTCTGATCACAAACACTTCGTCAATCATCTATCTCATGTATTGTGTCTAGTATTCTTTATTAAGAAGAATGATAAATGATGGGACCTTTCAAAGCAATCGATAAACGGAAAATTGTCGGGAAAAAAAGTGACGGCAAGGAGAAAAGTAAACTAAATTGTTTAACTGATAGCAAAAATATAAGTAATAAAGATAAAGACGGAAATCATATGGGAACGGGAAGGGGCTCCACTCGGCTCCACAAATCTGGAGATCACCGTATCCGGCACAAGAAGGACGATATTTGGACTCTGAGAAAGTGACGTCATAAAAAGGAACTTACAAATTTCACTTCGTGATTACAATCCGACTTTAAATAACTCAGATTGACATCCGCAAGGCTGTTATCTTCATCATAATCATCAGATTTCAATGCACATTCGCCATTCGAACCTGATTTCGTTGGCAAAATTAGTTCAACTTGACTGTCTGAGAAAGATTACATACGCAAAATTTAATTTGATTACCTTGCGTTGTTTCATTACCCTCGTTAATTTCACAACTCTTTTCTAAGTCACTGAATTTTATTTTACATTCTTTGTCAAAGGATACGGTAATTTTGCTGTTCTTTGGGTACTTCAACATCAGTGGAATATCCAACTTTTGAACTTCGACAGTCCTGAAACCAAGGTTTGCATTGAAACGTTGTTATTATAATAACCTTACAAACGGCCATCCTTGTACGAGATGTAATCTTTATATAAAGACGGCATCTCATCTTCCGCGGTAATTGCCACAAACTCTTCCAATCCGGATATCAAATTGCATGAAGAAAATACAACGAGAACAATGGGAATCCACCGCATTATATGTCAACCAAAATAGTGATTCAAATTTTGGAAATCTTTGACAAAAAATCTGAATTCCACAACCATGGAGATTTCCTTGCCCTTTCTTCCTATCTTCTTCCTCAACAATTAGATCAAGTACAGTGACGGACCTGATCCAGTGGCGAAAAACGTACCATTTTGCATCCGGTAAGTATCAAAAAATGTGGCAAAATGCCTCCCTCTCCAATCTTTTGAAGGGCGCGCCCTTTCCCTCGCTAAGAGAGAAGAAGAAGCGGATTACGGTAGCTTTCACATAAAACCTAGCGTCGAAAACCCTTGAGAAAGATAGTGGAGGCCCTTTAAAAGCTTATTGTCGTAGCTACATTGAGACTTTAGCACCGGTGTAACATGTGTGTGTCTGCAACTTGTGGCTGTTTATCCAAGAGTATTCTCCATTGTGACAAATGTCATTGCTGTTCGGAATTGTATTTACGATCCTACTGCGGATTTTGACCTGCTGCTATCGAGATTAACCCCAGCAAACCAATTCCGTCATGAGGGCATGCGGTTGTAGTCGTCAGGACATATTTATATACAAAATGTGCCAGTAAGACTGCAGAAGGATGCAGTTTCAAATCAGGACCTTTTGACATAAAATAAACCAAAAATTTTAATGGCCTCTAGCCCTTAAGCTGCTTGAATAGTTTGTCTATTGACCAATTATCGCCTCTGGTCATGATCATGAGTATCCAGGGGTGGTCAGCGGGCCGGGCCGGCCCGGCCCGGGCCGGCCCGGCCCGGCCCAAACGGGCCGGCCGGCCTCAAAAATGGAAAATTACAAACGGGCCGGGCCCGTCACGGGCCGGGCCGGGCCGGGCCGCGGGCCTGGGGTTTTTCCGGCCCGGCCCGGCCCGTCTAAATTACAATGCCAAACCGTTGGCATTCATTGTTTTCGCGCCGGGAAAATTAATTGATGTTGTTATAGTTGCTGTTTCTCAAGTTCTAACACGTTTACAAGTCTATAGTTCCATTATAGAACCACAAAACTATCACATTGATCCTTTACTAGCTAGATCAACGCCTTTTTTGCCTCAGTTTAGATCCCGAGCCTGGGCGCAGTTCGCAGAACCCTCTATAGACGGGCCTGCACGGGCCGGGCCGGGCCGGGCCAGGCCCGTCACGGGCCGGGCCGGGCCGGGCCTGGAAAAAGACTAGACGGGCCGGGCCGGGCCGGTGATTAGACGGGCCGGGCCGCGGGCCGAAAATCGGAAAAATAGGGTCTGCTGACCACCCCTGTGAGTATCTTTTCAGTGTGAGAGTTGACACACAAAGATAGAGACTTGACCGAATAAATTTTTTTGCGAAAATATTTTTTTGGGGACTCAGTTTCTCAGTGCACTGAAAATGTCTAAACTAAAGGTAAAAGTTATATCTCGGAATCCGGACGATTACCAGAGAGAAACCAAGAATGATATTTACAAAGGCAGGTCCCTTTTCTTATATCAATAATTTGTTCTTTAGCTCCCCGTAATTTCAACGCCCCGGAAGATCCGTTCAGACATCTAACAGAGTACACCAGAGCTCTGAATGCCGCGAAATTAGATCGGGTGTTCGCAAAACCGTTTATTTGCGCCCTGGACGGTCATTCAGAAGGTGTTCATATTCTATCCAAGCATCCTACAAGATTGTCAACTGTTCTCAGTGGTGCTCGTGATGGTCAAGTAAAGATTTGGCATTTGAATACAAAAAAATGCCTGACGACCATCCAAGCTCACACAGGTCCAATTAACGGGCTTTCAGTGGACAGAGATTCTGGTGAAACCTATGTTACAGTTGGTCAAGATGCGCAGCTAAAGCTTTGGTCGTTGCCTGATGTAGTCGCGGGAGATCTAAATGAACCATTGCATTCAATTCCCTTGGCTGATGTTCCTCAAGCCGTTTCCCATGTTGCGAATTCTTCAGACTTTGTGACTTCTGGAGATGGGATTTGTGTTTGGAAATTATATCGAGATTCTCCGATTAGAAAGTACGACATGGGACCCAACAGTATTCACAGTGTGACATGCAATCCCATCGAAGAGAGTGTACTCGCTGGTTGTTCGACAGACCGATCAATATTTTTAGTGGATTCTAGACAAAAGGTTCCCTTAACTAGGGTTGTTTTGAAATTGAGGAGCAACAAAATAGCATGGCATCCACTGGAAGCGTACTCCTTCTTGGCAGCCAATGAGGATTACAAGTAAGCGATTTGAATACCTGGAAGATTTTTCAGCGTATATGCCTTTGACATGAGGTACCTGGATTCAGCTAGGATGGTTCATCAAGGTCACACTTTGGCTGTTACAGATGTAGATTACAGTCCGACAGGTCAAGAATTTGTTGCCGGAAGTTATGATCGTTCGCTGAGAATGTTTAATGTGGACAGAGTCAAGAGCCGGTATGTTGGTCATAACTTTCAAATCCGCTTTTAGAGAAGTGTACCATGCTCCGAGAATGCAACACGTGGTCTCAGTGGCGTGGTCATTAGATAATAAGTACGTTCTTTCTGGAAGCGACGAATTTAATATCCGCCTCTGGAAAGCGTATGCATCTGAGAAATTGGGCCCAGTAAGTAAACGTTGTTATTATGTTATCTTCGTTTAGTTGCGACCACGAGAAAAGGCCGCCATGGAATATAATGACAAACTGAAAGAAGCGTATCAACATCACCCAGCTGTCGGCAGAATCCTTAAGCACAGACAACTCCCCAAACCAATTTACGCTGCTACAAAGGAGTTACGAATCATTCGGGATTCACATCGGCGAAAGAAATTCAACCGGATATACAAGAGCAAATCTGGGGAAGAGGACATACCCAACAAAGTTGAGCCAATCGTTCAGGTTGGATTCGAGAACAAACCTTCATCGCATGAGTAAAGTATCTATTTCATTTGTTGATTGTTATATTCCATTAAATTGTTATACAAAATCGGAATGTAAATATTAACATAAGGGCTGTTTAAATATGTGATATTAACTTCTCAGGCAGTTGGATTTTAATGTCCTCCGGGATCGCATCGACGAATGCTTCGTGGTCAAGACGTGGAGCCGTGGCTAACACTCCACCAGTGTTTCTGTGTTGAACATGTTCACCGTAGAGGATATCTCGGCCAGTGATATCCGTTAATCTCCCGTGCGCGGATTTCAGAACCGCCTCCGGGGCACACGTGTCCCATTTCTTGCACCCGTCGCTGGCGAATACATAGGCTGTCGCTCCTTCCAAACATCGCAGGACCTTGAAGCCAGCTCCTCCGACCTGCTCAACATCCTGAACCAGTTTGGCATTTTTCAAAGAATCCAGGGCACGGGTAACTTGAGGAGTAAGATGGCTTTTTGTTGTGACAACAACTTTGTTTTCGGTAGCTGGAAATTGAAATACGGGTAAATAAGGACTCCAATCTAACTTACGCTTCATTACCTGCAATCCAAAGGTTCCAATTCCAGCAATCGCCCAAATTGTTCGGCCGTTTTCGTGTCCTGGGTAGAACGGTTGATGGATAACACCGGCAATGGAGCGCTCTTGGTAAGCTATGCCAATCAGAACCGTGACTTGCTCTAGGTCTTCTAAAAACAGAGATCGCAAATAAAGCCGAAACTTACTCGACATTGTTTTGACGGCCTTGGCAAATTCAGATGTCCCGTCTAGAGGATCAACCCAGATAACCACGTCCTCAATATTTGCTTTTTGAAATTCCTCACACACTTTACTGTCATATTCTAATACATCCGGACAGATTCCGAGTTCCAAGTCGTCGACTGCAGTGGTGTTTTGTTCTTCTCCGATGATGGTTAGCTTGTTGTTGAATTTCGTTTGAAGCGACTTCTCGATACAATACTGAGCCGAGCGATCAGCTTCGGTCTGAATATCCGCCTGTCCACCAGTACCTTTGTCCACAATCTTTAGGTCTGCAGAAGCAGTCACTTTCTGCAAAAAACATATTTTATCAAATATGTATACCTAAAAACAAAAAATGCGGGTAAACAATACCTTAATCACATTTCCAGCTGCCTCGGCCACTCGAACGCAAGAAGCGACCAGTTTGGTGATAGCGTGAGCTTTGTTGAACATTTCTTCAATTGGTTGTGACATTTTCGAATCAAGACTGCTGGAATAAATTTTAAAATAAAACGGTTTCAAAAACGGGTGGGAAATGATTACAAAGAAAGATTAGATCTCGTTTTGCTTCGGGGAGAGAAAACTACCTGCAGAATCATCCTTGATAGAATCAATCTTGGACCGATGTTTGGTGACAGCGCTTTTATAAAAGCTTTTAAATTCACGCGCCTCTGGCGCATGAAAATTGTAAAGGAACAGATGACACATGGGTCAAGTCTTATCTTCTTTATGCTTATCATTTATGAACAACAAACTTTGGAATTAACATAATTAACAACATTCAAAACGACTTTAGTAGTCTGCAATATTCATTTCCACTTCAGTTCGGATGAATTCGTTCTTAACGGAAGCTAAAAATGCAAAAGATGATATTTTATATAGGACACCTTACTTTTCATTTCCAGATTATGATCCTTGTCCACAATGCAGCCTTCTAACGTGCAATTGTCTCCGATTACAGCGCCTTCTGACACAATACATCTCGTAATTTTTGTGCCATTACCAATCTTGACATTGTTGAATATGATAGAATCCTCGATCTTCGCATTATTTAATATAACGCATCTCTCGCCGATACTCGACTTGACTATTTTCAAGTTTTCCAGTCCGATTTGTGTTCCCTTTCCCACTCTGCTCTTGATGACATGAACTTTGTTTCCCGGGAATTGTTCTTGTTTGAATTCGGGGATAAAAGGCGGATTTTGATCGAGAAGGGTCTTATTCGCTTCGATGTATGCTCCCAGGGTATTACAACGAGCGATCGTGTTTACAGCCTCTCTGGTGGTTTTATATCCAAACAATCGTATACCGAATGGAGGTTCTACCTCGACGCCACGCCTCAATTCGAAAGCATGATCAACCAATTGCGGGTTTTGGAAAAGACGGCTTAAATCGTCTGGATCATACTGTTTCTCGACGAGAAAGGGGATAAGGTCAGCCTTTATCATTGTGATATCTCTATAAAAAGTTTAGTAACTCGTAGAGACAACTACAGCAATTCTCTTACCGCTCCCATTCCAAAACGTGTAAAATTCTCTTGTCCATCAAATAGACATGACAATCTATGTGATTACAAGTCAGTTCTACATCCTTGAGACGACTAATTATTTGTGGGTCCAGATCAATGACATCGCTCTCGAGGTCTTCTTCTGATTGAAGATAAACCACCTGCCCTGTTGACGAAGATAAAGCAACAAAATCTCTATCTAAATATCAATTATTGACATATTTTCTCAGGCATACATTTTTGCATTTCCTTAGGACCCGGAGCTGTTGAATTACAGGCTTGGTTGGATAGGAGAACAGTCATAATCGACTTTCTAGTACGATGGAAGTCGATCATATTTCTCAGATTAATATCTGATACAAAATCGCATCCCATCAAGATGAAATCGCTCTAAACTAATAAAAAGCACTTCAAACACTTACCGTAATTTTATTAGCAAAATGCCTGAGGACATCGGCCGTTCCCCAATCCTCTTCTTGAGGTCCCGGAGAAACAACTTCTACTTCTAGTCCAGGAAGAGCTGGCAAAGACCCTGAGTCCAATAAGCCCTTTATCTGAACACAGTTATCTTCATTGGCAATGAGAAGAACATCTAAAGCCGGATTGAAAGTCATTTACACCTTACTATTAATTCCGTTTTCCGAAAGAACATGAAGAGGGTACCAGAATAAAGGAAGATTGGCCAGAGGCAATAAGGCCTTGGACACGTGCTCGGTCACATTCAACATTCGATTCCCAATACCACCAGCAAGAACTACAGCTTGGAATGACGGAAACTTTGCGACCATCTAAACAAAAGATAAAGGTTATAAACATTTGGTTACAGTATTTGTTTGGATTTAAAACTAAATGCGTGAAAAGTATTTACCAATAAACATAATTTATTATAACCACGGACAAAAATAAACTATGGCAAGATATGTCGGCATTTTGACGTTAAACCGCTTAACACAGGAAGGGAATGATCGGCTTTCTATTCTTGGGATAGTTAGGGAATTCTTTCTTGTAATTACGATGCTTCCCATCGGCCCAGATTTTCATTTGAATAAATCCAGCAGTTGTGAAGAGAAGGGCTAAAAAATTTACGTACAGGGCGGGGCATTTTTGTGGCCGATTTGAATTGACTATAGCAACTTCTTTGTTTTTTGTGCCAAATGTTAAGATTCTTTTTTTCCCTGAATCCTCAGAATTTCCCGTTGTGTTTGATAACAAATATGTTATCCCTATTTACAGTAAAAGTTAACAATAAAAAAAAAAGAGAATCTTAAGATTTGGCCCAAAAAAAAGAAGATACAGTCAGAGATCGCCACGGCTCCGGAGCCGTGATAAAAAACCCTGATAATTTTGCACCGTGCGGATTTGAACGTTTTGGGTCGTCGCTGCGAAAACCGCGAAAAAAGGTCCCAATTTTTCGCAGCGACAAAACATTTTTTTCAGAGTGCGACAGAAACAGCGGAAAAACCGCACGGTGCAAAATTATCAGGACTTTTTGTCCCGACTGTTATTAAACCATAAAAATTACCTGGAAGACTCTGTGTGAAGACAGAGAAGGCAATCCAAGATCCGACCTCGTAAGTGTAATTAGGGCAACTGACAAGGTTGTACAAATTGGTAAACGGATTGGAATCGGGATAAGGGATTTTCCTTTCCTTAGTGCCCTCAGGTCTCAAGTTTCTCAATAACAAATGAATTGAAAAGTTACCTAAAATAATAAAATCATAAATTATACGACTTGCCAAGTTCACAAAGAGCAAATGCAGCGACACCTCCATATAATTGCAGGTCCCCGAGAACTGGTGGAGTGTAAAGCGGATGGTTGATGAAGTATGAAATGAAAGCAGCAAATCCCCAGTAGTAAGAACAGTTCTGAAAAAGAGATCCTTCGTTATGAAAAACAAAATACCTTGAACAAATTAGTAAATGGCATCGTCCCGTTACTGAACCTGTGAACAAATTGGGTCTCGTATAATCTCTTTATATAATGGAAGGAATGACAGATCAACGCCAAGGTAACAGCATGATGAACCGGCTTTGAGACAAGATCTAAAACATATACAACGCCAAATTTCTACATACTTCCATAAATAAATGAAGGTCGGAGGTAAAATATGGGGTAAACAAAGAGAGGACCGGCATATTCGAACAAGAAAACTGTCTTCCATCCAATTTGAGGACCCAAGTCCCTGTAATACAAAGCCGAGCCATTAGAAAGCTTGAGATTAGACACCAATTCTTCATCATTCAGAGTTTTCTCCTTTGGCCCCAGGCGCAGAGCAATCCTCTCCACACTCAAGTGTTCTAAACCGCAAACGCTATAGAATTATCCATCACCTACTTTTGGAACTCAACTTCGCTTTGATGCTTTTGATATTATCATTTGGAGACACCTAAAATTTAGATAATTATACCATTATTAACAATAACCCACGTCCTCAATCAAAATGTGCGACTTATTGGGGGCTTTGACGTTGTATAACTCCAGGGAGAACATTATGTTCTCTGAAAAGAAAGAAATAATTGCAAGAAGTCGCTTAAATAAGGGTAACTAAAGAAACGGTCCATAAATGGCGTGATTACGGGTGGCGGCAGTGAATTCAAGATAAATTGATAAATAAACAGCACAGAAACAGAATACTATTATTCAGCGCTTCAGCCTCCTTCGAAAAAACGCGAATGCAACATATTTTTCTAAAAAATACATCCAGAAAATGGGTCATTGTTTCAACCGGGATGACGCAATTTGTAGAAAGAGCTCAAAGTGACCTAAAAACGTTTTTATTTCTGTTGACAACAAACACAAGTGAAATGTGGAGGTGATGGCTTAAACTTAAACTGATGAACAACAATACGAATCTATAAAGGAAAACAGTGCAGGTCAATCTTATACAGAAAGAAACCAAAACTAATATTTGCGGGTCTATGTTTTGCGGATTGTGCAGCTTTTCTGTCATTTGTAAATAGAAGGAACATGATTTTAAAAATTGACTCTCTTGGACTTGAGAAATTTTTGGCTTTTTGGTCTTTAAATTTGTTTCAGGCAAAAAGCAACAAGGGTATTGTCTGCAATTACCATTAGGGCATAGATCTAAAAAAAGATTTCCAGAAGATTGGAAAAGCCCCATCATTGTCCGGTCGGCATAGGGCTTAAAGATGGTCACCATGCGCAATCTCTGTGTGCACAGGATGCCTACTCCCCCATTTTGCCGAAAAAGCCAAAAAATTTCCAAGTCCGAAAGAGTCAATTGAAAATTATTCCGGAAAATTTCTAACAATAAGGTTGTACCGGTGTCGCGGTCCAGAAATCAATCTCAAAACCTCGGAGGTACCGTAAATTGTTGATGTAAAATCTAGAAATTATGGTAAAAATGACGGGTCGCACGCAATTTTAACAATCAAAAGTTTGGGAAAGATTGATTCAGAATTGACGGGGAAACTAACCAAAACAGCTTCGAGTGGCCCACCCTGTATAATGACTTAAAACATATCATTTCATTATATGTAAATTTTGGCAGGTGCATCAATAACATATCGAATTACGCTGTTTTGCATCGACTATACCATTATCTTTAACATTCATTGTTTTACGACCTTTCTTTGCTCCTAAATTGTTATCAATCTTTTAATTTCGGGAGATAAAACAACAGGAGATGTTAAGTACGCCGAAAACTAGACGTGCTTTTTGACGCATTACAAAAAGAATGCCTATCAAATTCTCAATTTTCCGCGTTTATTGGTACTGAAAGCTTTATAAATTTGATGTAGGACTTATTAGTTTTCCTTATACAGTAGCTGTCTCAAGGGAGATTCCTTTTGGCCCATTCGTTGTATTGAATTCGGTAATAATGAACGAACTCTTCTTTCTCGACTTTCCCATCTCCATTCTTATCCAGGCTCTAAAATAATATAAAAAAGTGTAGAAAAACTTGCCTTTACATCACTCTGCGGAAGCAGTTTTTCAATAATTCTTGCTGCATTTTCTACTGGAATTTTGTCCGCTTTGTTTTTGTTGATGTAATCAAATACTGACAATGACAGTATTTATTTATGTAAGCATTACTTACTCTTTGTGGCCTCATCGTCCAATCCTGCGTCTATTACAGTAAGACAACATAGAAATAGTGCAATTATTTTCATGCCGGTTATCCTAATCCGCTGTTTGTGAACTCTTTCCCGTTAAATAGGTTACTCTTTCCATTGAAAACACGTTTCTGATGGGTGTGACCACCCATCAGAATAAGTGGTCATATCCCGGATTGTTACAGATTATTTCCTGATTCAATGGTTTGTTTACGAACATATTTTGTGTAAAATAAGTAACTAGAATTGTAAGAATGGCCGATTTGCAAATCACAATGTGACTTTACTCTTTGCATTAGAAATCCGAAATATGAGAAACAAAAGTTCGCCCAATCAAAGTTCAGACGATAAAAATAATTTTGCCTAAGGTGATAAGCCTCTGATAATGCGAATTTACTTTAATAACTACTTCCAAAAATTGTCGCAGTCTTACATGAATTTCTAAGATTTAAGATCGGAGAGAGTGGAAAGATGGAGTTCTTAACATTGAAGATCATCTTGCTGGTGTTTATGGGCATCGTCCCGTTTGTGTTTGCTCTAATTCCTTTGCAAGTAAGTAGCCTCAACACGAAGATCAACTACTTTTTAACCGGTCTGTTTACGGTGTGTGTCACGAAATGTCAAAAGAGCTCGGTTTTTTGTGACATTTTGTCCAGGACTCCGTAAAAATCCCAATTCGAATATAGTTGTTCTTGCTTTTGATTATGATTTTACAACACAATCTGTATTGTAGTTGTATAAAGTTCTGGTCAAATCCAAGGGACGATTGGGAAAGAATGCGGAGACTACCATCTCGTTGTTGTCCTGCTTTTGTGGAGGCGTAATCCTTGGAGTTTGTTTGATTGAAATGTTGCCAGACGCCAGGTAAGGCAAGAAATCATTACATTAAACGTAATACTTTTTCAGGGAAGACTGGGAGAAAGCCAAGGGCTATATGGAATACGAGAGTGACTACCCTTATGTGGAGTTGCTAACGGGAGTCGGATTCTTCATTGTCTACTTCGTAGAGGAGTTTCTGAACCAAATGTGTGGATTAAAACATGATCATGAGGATGAGGGGGTCGACGAAGTCTTATCGTATGTTTATTGTAAAAGAATATCGCACAATAATCGATTTCATAAATCCAAGGACACTGCGAAATAAAACAAAATCTGTTTCAGAACATTTGACTCTGATTTTGACGAAGCTCCTGAAAACGTCAGAGACAAAAGAGATGCCGATTTGAATCCCTTGAAAGATGTCCACTCCAAGAAGGGGATTACCAACGTTCTGGCATTTGTCCTCGCTCTTGTCTTTCACACTTCCTTGGAAGGATTTGCTTTTGGAGTTCAGAGAAATGTGATTTCAATGTCCTCGCTTTTCTTTGGGATCATCACTCACAAAGCTTTGGTGGCCTTTAGTTTTGGGATGAACTTGGCCAAACACTTGTCTCATAACAAGATCCTGGTGGTCATCTTGGTCTGCATTATCTCCTTATCCAGTCCCGTTGGTGGAATGATCGGGATTTTGATAGAAGTGAGCCAAATCTACGCTTTGATCTGCAACTTCCTGTCTAATTCATGAAATTTTAATTCGTATTTTAGAACTCAGAAATGGATGCGACTTCCCGTTTTGTCGTCTCTACCATACTCACCAGTTTCTCGGTTGGAACTTTTATTTACATTGCCTTCTTCGAGGTAGGAAATGTCACTTTTATTCATTGTTTAGGTTTTGGCCCCAGAACATGCAAATCATCAGCCTCCGTTGCTAAAATGGGGTTCTTGTTGTTTGGGATACTTCACAATGGCCGGATTCTTGGCCTACAAGCAAGAAGAGTGACCTCTTCTTTGATCTCCATTATTTGTAAATACAGTAATCTTGTTGTCTGTTGTGAACCTAGTAATCGATAAAGTATTTTTTATTAAGCATGACCTTATGTAATACATATCCGTTGTGAAGTATGAGTGTGTCACTCATTTTTCTTTTCGTTTTCTTCTTTTTCAAATCCCCTGTTACTGTAAAAGTAACAAACGGGGTTGTATTGACTGCTGAATTCGGCCTCCAAGGCTTCGGTCAGACCAGAAATTGATTCCTGATAAGAAGGAGGAGCTGCAAGAGGTCGTAAGAATCTGGATTATCACTCACCATCTCCAAGATTCGTGTCAAGGCAGTCATATGCGGGTGGGGCATCGGCTGTGATATGAGTGCCGATCTCAATGGGTATCTAAGACCTAATTAAAACTCATCTTGATCTTACTTTCAACTGAATCAACGGGTTTTTGTGGATTTCCCGATCAAATCCAACATCTAAATTAAGGTGGTATTGCATCTGAATACATCCACTTATATTCAAATTGGGGACCAAAGCCGGGACATTAAAGCGGATGGGATACTGTAACGATTTTCCTGCGGTAATCTTTGGCTCCGGGAGTCCCATCCCGGGGGTATTGTAATAACTCTCACGGAATTGCACTTCTGGTTTTAAGGAATAGCAAATCGTTTCTTGATTTATATACAGAAGAGCTTTTTTTACGGATACGGAGGTACTGTAACATAAAGTATTTTATATTTTATCCAAAGCTTACTTATTATTGATTGTTATGACTCCCTTAACAGCTTCGCCCGGCAAGAAATTGGTCTTTGTTAATTGTATTTTAGTCATTACAACTCCCTTCGAGGTCTTCTTCATTTCATCTACAGTAATCTGAGAGTCGGGTTGCAAAGTTAACACCTTAGGTACAACGACCGGGAAGAGATGCTTCTGTCGTCGAATCACCGCCGTTCCATTGTAGCATTTTACCTGCAAATTATTTTTTGATGAGATAATTTGTGTGCCTTTACCAAAATATAGTATCGAACGTATCCAGCAGATCCCTTGGCATCGAAAGATGTATACAATCCCGCGGCCGGGAGGTCGAACTCGAATTTAAATTCATGTTTTCCAGCTTTGATCTGGCTTCCCGTTTCTGTGGGTAATCTGATGGCGGTCGGGCTCACTTTCCTCGCGATCTCTTCCCACTAAAAACAAATTTTAAATATTGACTGAATTTTAATTAATTGTAATAGTACAATAAACTTACAGTAATTTCAGTCTGTGGCTTTGAGCCGTCATCAAATACGCTCTTGGTCTCATTGACAAGAATAATCTGCTGTTCATAGGATTTGCTTTGGATTAAAGCACCTGGTTTGGACTGCAAATTAAATTAATTTAGGCCTAAATGGACCACTTTTAACAGTTTTTTTTTATTTTTTCAAAACTTACAATCTTCTCGACAAAGAAAACCCTTGCACTTCCAAATAGCTGAACCTCAATTCGATTGCAATTTAGAGGCCGTTCCAAATCAAGGATAACATTTCCACTCAACTTTTGGCCCGGGTGGAGAATATTTTGATCGAGGAGAATCTGCACTTTCCACGGATTCTCCTTGAACATTTTGCGAATATATAGGAGTATTGGAATATTACATAAGTTGCTCTTTAGTCGCTCTCTCCCTTTCACTCTCGACTGTCAACAAATCGATAAAAAGGGGCGCGGAACGGGGAAATAATCGTTTCGAATTTCGAGCTCTGTTCTGAACTCTTATCAGCTGAAATGTCAGCAATTTGGTAAAATTTAAGTCAACGCGAAGCTCTTATTCACCCATTATTATGTGCCGTAATTAAACATCTTTGTTGCGTCATTTGCTCTCTATAAATTGTAAAGTGGTTGTATTTTGTATATTTTGGTCATTAAAAACAAAGAAATTCGTACAGAAGGAAACCTCGGTTTCAAATATATCCAATCATGATCCCTGAAAGACCGAACCAGCGCAGTCGTACGATGACATTCCCGGCTTGACTAAATTGGCCTACAGTGGTCGTGAAGTTACTCATCTCAAACAAGAGAATGTAGAATATGTAGACAAGAGTAACTGGACCAGACCCTCAGACGGGCACAATGTTTCTTGTTGACCGTAAACATGTTTAGTCTGGATAAATGCAGATCCGTGGTGCCAGTCGGAGCTGAGGGCGGCTGTCCTCTTTCGCCGCGGCTTTCTTTCCGTGATTTTCGCGCGCGACATTGCACTCGCGAGTGACCTGGGTCGCAACTGGGTCGACGGCGACAAGCGCGACCGCACCGTGGAAGTCGGGGTGGATGCGGGGAAGCCCCAGTTTCCTTCCTTTCAGTGCAATGTCACCCCGATCGCAGTCCATACGGGCCCGCCTTCCTCTCCCCGTGCTGCTCGGTGAGACCCAAAAATAAGAGAGGCGAGAAAAGAAGGTCGATCAGGGCGCCATTAACTAGGTGCCCTGCGGCAATCGTCCGTTAAGGCAGTCGACAGTGACATCGGGCTTCCTAAATATTTTGAGGAGGGCCAGGTTGCGGGTTGTCGGTTTGTTAAACAGAAAGTTATAGGGATTACTGTAATCTTTATTTTCATATTATGGTTATCGTCGATTAAAAGACTTTCGCCCACTATTATGGATATATTTGTATCCTTAAAATTCAAATTGAAAAAGTAATTTTCAATTCACAGATTTAATTTGGGTCAGATCCGGCAAATCTCAAATTTTGATAGTCATGTTGCAAAATGATTTTTTTTGACTAGCTTGCCAATGCGCTGACAAAGCAGCAAATTTTTTGCCGTTTGGCTAGTCAGAAAGTTGGATAAGCAAGTGTTAGAATGGCTGTGTAAAACCGAGCTAGCCACAAGTTTGGGATGAATGTCAAAGAGTCGCAGCAACAGTCCACATTCCTTATAGTATGGCTAGCAAAAAAGGTGAATTGGCATACCAATGTATTGGAATAACAGCAAAATTCCAGAAACACCTAGCCATTGGATTTAGTTGACCTGTCAACTATTTTACAGCCATCTCAACTTTTTTAACTAACTATTTGTGGGTTTGGGTGCCACTCCTATTCATCGACACCTCTTGGCTAGCTAATTTTGAAACTCCACAATGATTATAACAATTTTGGCTAGTCAATCTGACTTTTTGGCTGGCCAAACGGCATCTTATTTGGCCAAATGAAATCTGCCCCAAATGAAAGGTTGCAAAGGATCTTTGTTCTGTGCACCAGTTCAAAATCGAGTTTCTCTTTAGGTCATCGCTGTGTTCGCGACGTCGCTGAATGTGTTTTCTTTTGTTTTCTTCGCTTCCTTTGTTTCCACAACCAGCTCAATCTCTTGTCACGACTGCTGTTCCAAATTGAGCGAGACAACAATACCCTCAGGGTCAAGTCGATTTTTTGTTTTTTAGGCGTGATTGCTGAAGTTTTTATCGCCCTTGTCTGGTTTCCCTGTTGCTCAATTCAAACTTTTATTTCATCTCCATTTGAAGAGGTGACCTTTACTCCCCCTCCCATTTTTACCTTTCACGTCCACCTTGCCCATCATCACTTTGAATGTCTAGTTTTACTTTTCTCCGTAGGACTTTCGGCCAAAAAACGACTCCGTTCCGTTTATTTTCGGCGGATTTGACAGGAATTAAATATCCGCTGAAGGACACCTCCCCCTTCATTCTGGCGTTCGCTTTCGGAAAGTGCAAAAGCCCTAAGGGCGCGAGGAGTGACCACCACGACCTTGCTCCTCTCTCCTCGCGGAGTGGTCAGTGGCCGTTCGAGCCAGCCACTGCCCCCCTTCCTTCCCCCCGCCCCTTTTCCTCAGGCGCGTCTTTCACAGGGACTTTTTCAGAGTGCAAATGTTGCGCGCAAATACTCTGGAGTCGCCGCAAACCAGTCCGATTTCAGAGTGCCCCCATGCCATGACCCCCCTCAAGGCGACTGATCTCCATCTGGCACTTCAGTCCCCTTCCAGTCTTCTCGATTCTCCTCCTGCTTCAGTTGCCAATGACTCCAATGAAAGATCCAATCTACGTTCAAAAGTAAGTTTGTTTACTAATAACACACATTTTGATTAGTAGCCAAAACTGATCGGTTTTTTACACTCTGTCAGTCGTACCCCGTCGTATCAGCCGTTTGATTATTCCATTTTATAATTTTTCTTTGCCTTTTACAAAAATCAAAGATCTAAACCAGAATTTTCAGCATGCGAATTCAGAATCTCCATCAGAGCTATTTCTTGGCACCTTGACAGTTTCTCTGCCCTCTGGCGAAATCCTTCAAGTGACTTCAGAATCGTCGAAATTATCAGAGTTTGTTGATGTTGGAGGTAATCTTCTGGGTAGCCTGCACGGAAAAGGCGGCCGCATTTTAATGATGCAGGCCTTTTGTGGAGGATCCAATCCAAGGATGTACGCCAGACTAAAAAAGTGAGCAAAATATAGTTTTTTTTTGAGATCAATGATGATTTTAAAGTAATTGTATTTAATTGCAATTTCAGTAATTCCCGGACTCTTTCCTGCTCCCTGATCTGTGATTTTAAGAAGGATGAGCAGAATCCTGACATCAGAATCTGTTCCGTGAATGTCTACGCTGTTGAATTTGTCCGGACGCCTCAGGCCGGCGTCAAATGCGAGTTCATTACGAGACACAACTCCAATTGCAATCTGATTTACTTTGATTCAGCGTAAGTTTATTTATTTTTCAAATGTTGCGTAAGATTGCGAGATCACCCACTGACCTCAAAAAGAGTGGGTCAGCTACGGTTATGACATTTTCTTTTTCCCGCCACTTAATTTGGGTCATAAGCTGCTCTTTCTTTCTCCGATCAGCCGGCTTTCCGTGCCAGTACCGGCTTTGTTTTTGCAACTCGCACTGGTCACTAGCACTCTTCCAGGACCATAAAAACGAGCGGGGGATAGTAGTGCAAGGCGCGCGTTGGGAATGACCACTCGGGGCAAAGAGAGAAAGAGCTGTTCCGCACGCTTCGTGTCTTCCACTGCCAGTTTGTACCGCACTGCACTCTCTCATTGGAGAGCAAAGGAACAGACGGGGGTCACTCCCTTTCGGAGACATTCGGGGACCCACACCCGATCACCGTAGTAGTTAAGTATGCAAATGAGGTCGCGACACCTTCCCTCCCTCCCTTGTTGCATTAGTTTTATAATTTATGACATTAATGTTATGTTTTCATACAAAGTCGTAAATGACACGTGCTAAATTAGTCTTGTGTCACTTTAATTTAGCCCTTATATTAAACGAATGATATATAATGCAGTCTTCCCGTTTCAGATCAGTCCCTTTCCTTGGCCACTTCCCTTCCGAAAAGACAGGAAGTTCCTTGTTTTCTATTGTCCATCCAGATGATGTAGCCATCCTCGAAAGAGTCCACCAAGATCTCAAAGCGGGAATTGCATTGGCTCGTTGTGCCGGCCTTAGATTAATCACTTTCGATGGCCGAATTTGTGTGGTCGATTCGGAATGGGCCGCTTTCACAAATCCCTGGACTGGATTGGTCGAAATGGTGGTTGCCAAGCATACTGTAGTTGGATTAGAAGATGATACCACCCCCAAAGTAATGGCACTGGATGATACTAAACGTTGTGACATGATGATACGTAGAATTCTAGAAAATGTAAGACAATTTTTTATTATCTGTGAGTTAAAAGTCATTATTTGTGACATTAAAGAGTAGAATGCATGCCTATGGTTTTCTATTTTAGACCGATGATTTTGTCACCAAGCCGGATGTTGTACAGAATACTGGAGTTCATACCCCTCCTTTAACGAAGAACAGTGGCTCATCTCCAGGCTCGCCCGACCTTATGTTATCTTATACTCAGATGAGCTGTTTGGATAATGTTCGTCGACTTCTCAGCTCTCAAAAGACCTCAGATCACTTGGTTGTTCAAAATTCAACCTTCCACACCTCAAAGGCTAATGGAAACTCAGCACCTCTGACCAAAGAACTTCTGAATCTGCACGATCGTCGCTGGGAAGCCGTCTGTAAAGGGACCTGGCATCGGAGACTTCAAAAGAAACGGCCGATGAGTTCGGCCGACGGTTTGGACGCCCAGAAGAAACCGAAAGTTGAACCCAATCCAAGTCCATTGTTGGCCAACGCCTTAGGCCATACCAAGCCATATCCTCAACCTCAACTGGTCAACTACCTCAACGCTCTTTTTGCGAATCCCCAGACTCAAACGATGGTCCAGTCTCTGCTGGGTCATGCCACCTCCACCCAAAGTGTGCCACCCTGCTGAAATTTGGTGCTGATCAACCCGGATCTCATATCGAATATTGTTTTGTTTGCCACTAATTATTCCCATCACTGCCGACAGCTTTCATTCCAAATTCAAGGTTCATTCGTCTTTCCAATCGGGTGGTCGGGGAGCGGGTGATGGCCATCTTTATCTATGCTTCTAGCCATCCCCCTTCCAGTCCCGTCTTAATTAATTGGCTTACTTAACTACTATTATATTATCCATGTCAACTACCGCTTCAAAGTCTTTCGTGTGCAATCGGAGAGGTCGAGACGGGGACCATGTCCCCCGACTCCCTTTCCCTTTTTCCCCTCCCTTTTCGGACAATCCCCCCACGGCTCACTTCCCACGATTCTTTCAGGATCGGGCCAGTCTTTTCCCCCGAGGGCAGACTAACGCCAATCCAACATTTTTTTGTACAAACTCAGATTTGTTGTTGAATATTGTCCGATTCTTTATTTAAATTAAAATCAACATTCTCCCTCATTCAGGGCTCTTTTCATCTTCTACAAGGGCCAATGTTGATTTTAATTTAATGATTAAAGGTGCGAGTTACTTTTACTTAAGTTTCTGTTATTGCGTAATAAATTTATTGAACAGACAACATTACACGTATCTTTTAATTTTACCTTATACTCGACCCCTTTTGGTTATTCCTCGACCTCGACCGCCTCTTCCTCGGCCACGTCCTCTTCCTGATCGGCCACCAATTTGGATCTGCTTGTTAAGATGAGCATGGTTAAGATTGACGCAATCTTCATTTAATGTCTTCTTTTCAAAGTCACAAAAAGCGCATCCAGAGTATTTAAGCGATCCATCGGGCAGTTTAGACTTTCCCTCCTAAACGTGATAATCAATAATATCAAATAAAAAACTGCAACTTACTCTGTATTCTGCTGTCATCTGAAGAGCTCCACAGAAGTCGCATTTGCTCTCGAGCACCTTAACCTTTTGTGCCCCTTCGAACACCCCCACAACAGCTGGGCATTTATTACAACTTAATCTCCATTTGGGTCCACTTTGCGGGTCCAAAACAAGGACTCCGGTTCTGTTATTACAGTCCGTGAGACACTGCGAAACTCCCTGGGTACTGCAACAAAACATAATCATTATATAACTTTTAAACATACATAGCAGATTGCGGGCAAGAAGGATGGAAACAGTTATTGCATCCATCTCCTTTTCTCATCCCCTCAAAAGGTGGATAATTGTAACAATAAGGGCAGAAGGCATAGGTATCGGACAACTTTCCGCCAGGAGTGTGGAAATAAAGTAGTTCAAAGTCATCCAGAGGGCATTTCCTCTCCTTGTGCAACCGAATCTGGGAGTTTTTACCAGTTGGAAGGGCATAAGTGTCGTTACAATTGGGACAAAACAGCCTCTGGGGACGAGAATCGACCAGTTTCATAAATCGACGACACTTCCCGCATCTACTCAAAGGCTTCCCACAATTGGCCAGGGTTGTGAAATTAGCTGAAAAAGAAAATTAATATACACAAAATAACTTTAGTTGCTTTATACGGTAATTTCGAATAAAAAGCTGAGTTTTTACCTTCAAAAAGCTGATCCACTTCACCGATATTCTCCACAAAATACATAAACTTCAATCTGAACATCGCGAGAACATGCCCCTTCACCTTTAAAGAATACCTTTATTTGTACAGGGTGTCCAGAGAAATGTGCCGGAAAGTGTTTGTCGATTTCTTGGCGCTCAGTCAAGATATCGAAAAAAAAAATTTCAGGAGAAAGGAGGATACATAGGCGGTTTTTTCTCCAAAAAGATGATTTTCTCTGCCGACGCGGAAAGCGGTGTATTCGGCGGCGCCCGATAGCTTTTTTGGTCATCACACTAATCTTAAAAGCGTTTTTATGAATTTTGATGGTTGGAAAGAAGATGTTTGTTTATTTTTATGTTTTTCAAGCATTTGGCGGAGGTATCGCGGACGCTTGCCATATCGGCGGAGACCATAACTCGGCTTCGGAAAAAGATACAGAGCTGGAAAATGGCTCAAAACGATTCGTGTGGTCCGCTTAGCAGTCGCTGTTCATTCCGTACGGAAATCAAAGCGCATAACGAGCGCACCGTGCGGAATGTTGTCCAAAAATTTTTCGTTGTTTTTTGGTGCACCAAATCATTTGCCGTTGACTCAGTTTCTGCCAAACCTTGGCCACAAACTTTTTTAAAAACATAAGAAATGGGCAGGGAAAGCCAAGCGGTGCATACGGATCGTTTTGAGCCATTTTCCAGCTCTGTATCTTTTTCCGAAGCCGAGTTATGGCCTCCGCCGATTCCTCCGCCAGACTGAAAAAAAAGACTTTGATTTCAGTACGGACTGAGCAGCGCATGCAAAGCAAAGCATACGGAAAGTTTTGAGTCATTTTCCAGCTCTGTATCTTTTTCCGAAGCCGAGTTATGGCCTACGCCGATATGGCAAGCGTCCGCCATACCTCCGCCGAATGCTTGAAAAACATAAAAATAAACAAACATCTTCTTTCCAACCATCAAAATTCATAAAAACGCTTTTAAGATTAGTGTGATGACCAAAAAAGCTATCAAAAGGCGCCGCCGAAGACACCGCTTTCCGCGTCGGCGGAGAAAATAATCTTTTTGGAGAAAAAACCGCCCATATCCTCCTTTCTCCTGAAATTTTTTTTTCGATATCTTGACTGAGCGCCAAGAAATCGACAAACACTTTCCGGCACATTTCTCTGGACACCCTGTATTAGAACGTACCGTCTCATAATCAGCCTGTCCTTTGGCAATGTAATTCAGTTGAGTTTCCACATCAGACCTCATGCTGGGTAAAATTAATTCAGGATCCACCTGCTGATATCCTCTAATTAATGCAATCCCCAGTTTGGTCGGAATCAGAGTCCTATTTGCTCCAACTGTAACATAATTCCGTTGACAAATATTATTGACGTGCACAGGAATAGAAGCGTCGGTTCCGATTCCATACTTCTCCATCAAAGTAATCAACTCAGCTTCAGTCAGGTATCCGGGGGGACTGGTTTCTTTTTGCATAACCGATACTTCCCTTAAATAAATCTTACTTTAGATGCTAGGGTTGTAAAGTTGTCAACTGGGCGCGTAAGTCACGTCGTCAAATTTTATGTTTCGTCATGTTAAATGTCATTTTGATTGTCAAATTGAACTTTTTTGGAAAATTCTTGTAGATTTTTGTTGTCGGATTTTTTTCGGGATTTTGTACAAAAATTCGGCTACCTTTCGCTTGGGGCAGATTTCGATTTCATTTGCGGCTTTTCATTAGAGGATTTGGGAGACCTGGAATCGGCTAGCCAAGGCACCAGAATGGTCTTAGAGTCTTAGAAAAACCAGTCAAAAGGATGTTATAGACATCAAAGGGTAGGATGACAACCAAACTTTTAAACGTTCTACATCTTCGAACTTCCTCGCAGAAAACCCGCATTTCTTGTCTACCGGGCCCACAGACAAGAAATGCGGGTTTTCTGTGAGGAAGTTCGAAGAGATGTAAAACGCACGCGCCTTATATGTATAAATATTGGGGCGTTACCCGATCTGCCCCAAATGAAAGGTTGCGGGATTAACGTGTACTGGTAAACTTACTTTAATCCAAGTTTATCTCCTTTACTAAAGTTTCCCAGACTTTCACCTTCAGATACAGCCAGCCACGACATGGCGAGAGTGAAGCCGGGGTCGATCACCTTCTTAGATTGAACTGTAAATTGTTCAGTGGCAATATTCAGTCTAAAATAATAATATCTTGTCTCAGATAACGACAGTACTTTAATGTTTCGGTAGTATATTTGCATGGCTTCATGACAGTTGCAAGGAAATGTTGGACAACATAATTGTACACTCTGACGCCATCTGAAATACTGTTTGTTTGTAAAGTCGCACTGACCTCCACTGATGCCTCCATCATTTCCTTTCATGGGAGTGATCGGTGGATGGTCTCCTTTGTCATCTCCACCTTTTGGTTTGGAAATTCCGTCGGCCAAGACTTGTTTGGCCAGATCGCCAAATTGGCCATTAACTTGTTGCTCGATTGTTGAATAAAAATTGAAACTACTCGGATAAGCACTGGTCTCCGTCCTTGGATAGCTGATGTACCCTCTCGTATATAAATGCTCAGCCGTTGACATCGCTTGTGCCGGGGAAATCCCGAGCTTAGAAGAGCAAACTCTCAGCAATTCGACCGTATTCAACGCGGCCGGTTTCTCTTTTCTCCCTTCTTTCTTGCTGATCTCCTCGACCACAAAATTTTGGGCGGATTTTACTCTTGCCAGTAACATTTGAGCTGCTTCTTGATCAAACAACCGTTCTCTGTTCCAGTCTAAGGCCAAAAGTTTTCCGTTATTTTCAGCGATTGCCTGAAAGAAAGTTAAGCAAATTGATCAGTGAACAATATATACTGCGGGACTAAAGTTTGGAACAGGCTATATTTTCTTTGCGGCTTGAGATCGGAGTTTCATTTCTTTTCTATAAGAATCGGAATATATTAAAACCCCATAATGGATGCATAGCCGTAGAAATCAGAAAGCTCATATGAGCAAAAAACAAAATTTTTAAAAATAGGTGGGACAAAAGTTTGGAACAGGGTTAGGAATGCGATCATAAATTTCGCAGTATAGTCAAAAACTCCTAGGCTTTGGTATTTTTAGATGCTGCGAGGAGTCAGGATCTCAACGACATACTGATTTTCATCGATGAACTCAAAATGAAAAAAATTCTTATTGAGCCAACAATGACGGTCAAACTTGCGAAAAAAATTATTTTTTGGGTTGGGTTCTCTATGTTATCGGTGTGTAAGCATTCTAAAATATTTGATATGGTCGTATAACCGTACAAAGACACTCAGATATTCGCATAGGAACCTTATCCGCACAGTATAATTTATGAAAATTTTGGAATGTGCTTCGAATCTTGGTCTAATGAATTTTAGATTTTTTGTATGACGACATGAAGACTAATTGGCCCTTTTATGATCACTGTGAGATAAAAAAGTATCTTCACAAAGCGAAACCTGACCGCAATTTGCAATATCCCACGCCAGATGTTTCAAACATTTAAAAAAATTTTCGGTCACCAAAATCAATGTTTATATCGACCTGGATTCCTAGTATGATACATTGTAGAGTTGGCTAACAAAACTATATCAGTGTGGTAAGGATAAAGGCATTTAGTTTGGCGCCATATGGCGACCTAAAATTAAGGTAAAAAATATGGGTCATCTTAACATCTCATATATCCGGGTTTTTCGAAGTTGTGGCGTTTCGTGTTGCAAATAGCGGTTGGTTTTTGTTTCTTGAAGATACCTTTTCATCCCACAAAACCTAAGAAAAGGCCAATTAGCCATCAAGCCGCCTTATAAAAAATATAAAAATCATTGAACCAAGATTTGAGGCACAACTCAAAATTTTCATAATTTATACTATGCGTATACGGTGCCAATGGGAGGATGTGACTATCTGTATGAGATTATGCGACCATAATTGATATTTTAGAATGCTAATACATCGATAACATTGGTAACCCAACCCAAAAAATAATTTTTTTTCGCAAGTTTGACCGTCATTGTTGGCTCAATAAGAATTTTTTTCATTTTGAGTTCATCGATGAAAATCAGTATGTCGTTGAGATCCTGACTCCTCGCAGCATCTAAAAATACCAAAGCCTAGGAGTTTTTGACTATACTGCGAAATTTATGATCGCATTCCTAACCCTGTTCCAAACTTTTGTCCCACCTATTTTTAAAAATTTTGTTTTTTGCTCATATGAGCTTTCTGATTTCTACGGCTATGCATCCATTATGGGGTTTTAATATATTCCGATTCTTATAGAAAAGAAATGAAACTCCGATCTCAAGCCGCAAAGAAAATATAGCCTGTTCCAAACTTTAGTCCCGCAGTATACCTTTAAAACATAATAGGTTTCTGGTTTAAATTGAGTAATAAGATCATGTCTTTGGACACAGAAAGCGAGAGTGGGAGTCTGGCAGGGACCGAAGGAGATCAAAGTGGAATCAAGGTCTCCGTACTTATCCTAAATCAATATGTATGTATAAGAAAGTCAGAACCATACTTGGAAGTAGCAGGTCTGGAACCTTGTAAAGGCACATCCAACCCTCAGATCGAGTTCCTGTCTCGCATCTACCGACAATGACTCGTTTAAATTTGGTTTCCCGAGATTTCTCATCGCCGTTTTTATCTCATCGTTCGAAATGGCCGAAAACTTGGCCCGATAAACAATACTCATTATATCTCCCGAGAACTTGAGCTTGTCCTTGCAGGCATCAATCACTTCGAAGCATATATTCTCTCCTTCCTTATCACAATCCAGCCACAGAACCAGGCAATCGCATCCTTTAGCTTCATTGGCCAAGTGCTGAAGTATACTATACAAAATGAAAGTGCTTAACCAACCATGACCATCTTCATCTTAGGATTGGCTTCATTTCTTTCGGTCGGACAATCGAATAATTGGGCTGGATCAGTCCTGTTCCAGTTGTTATACTTGGCCGGGAAGTCGATCCCCATCACATGGCCACAAGTACTGGTAACTTTGAAGTCCGCCGGTCTTCCCATAAACAAACTAGAATACTCAATGACTGGACAAATCCCATTCTTCCCTACAACAGTATCAGTTATAGCAGAATCATTTTTCTGACCTTTTCTATGCTGATATCTCCCATCTGATAATATCTTCCCTATAGCCTCAGCCAGAATCGGCTTTTCTGCCACCATCAGCACCTTCATCTGGGGTTAAACTTTAATAAAAAGAAGAAAACGTAGGCATAAATATTGTGTGATATTAACCCCATACGTTAAGTTTCCCAATTGATTTGAAAAATTATTATTAAAACTCAACAATAACAAGTATACAACAACAACAAATCACGGAATGAATTTCTTGGGTGGCCAATCCAGATCAACTCTTTCAACGTCTAACTGTAAAATGTCTATGTCGTCCGCCTGCAGTCCCATCAATTCACCAATAGAAGGAGAAGTCCGCCCAAAATCACTGTGGACAAACTCCTTGATATACGTTCCCGCTTGGGTTTCCATTCTAAAAAAATATTACTCAGGTCATCGTAAGCGCTTACTTTAATTGAAAATGAAAGTCATCCAATCTAAGAGCCTTCAGCAAGTATATTTCCCTCTCCCGATCATGTAATGCCCTTCTTTTGAGGACTCGGACTACTGTTTTCTGGATAATCTTGACGGGAACTTTAGCCTCCAAAGACCTCAACATTTCATCTGTTATAATTCTCGATGAGAAACAGACACATGAATACATTTTTCTCTTTTCTTCTTGGCCAACATTCAATACTTGTGCTTGATTATTGGATATTACACTTAACGGGCTGATGGAGATGTCCAATTCATTGTTAATTAACTCCCTGAGAAGATCAAGGGTGGTCTGTTTCTTCAATCCCTTCATCGATTCTGTTTTCTTGGCATTTATAATATTAACAGCAAAAGGTCGACCATTTCCCAGCATCCTCACATCAATATCTTCTCTGCCTGAGGCTATAAATCTAAATCCAGTTGCATGGAAACTTTTTACAAAGATGTTTCCAATCTTCTCGGAAACCTAAAAAAATATAAATATATATCCACAATGACACACCGAATTTCCATTCACAATTTGGATCTCCTCATCAGCCGTCCATGGAGATTGAGGAAGACATCGAGAATATTTACAGTACCTTCCGGCAATAAAGACACTTTCTCGTTGAAACAGCACGTCAACAGACACCTTGGTGGATGGGGAAGTCCATTGGTATTTTCTAAACGTATGTTCAATCCACATTATTCGAGAACCTTACTTTATTCCATCCACTTCCATTCGATTTACGATCTCCTGAACCTTTGTTTTGGTATACAGCTGATGAATTTCGGCTAACTCGGGTCTCCTTTTCCTTCCATTGTTAAGGAAGACATTTGGACAATGACAAAGGAAGAAATCAACATCAGATTTTATGAATTCGTCATTTCCCAAAGATACTGTCATCACTAGATCCGAATATAATGATCCTCTCATTCCTAGTTTCTAGAAAAAAGTCAAAAAATATTTGGGACAAACCTGTTCAATATTCTTCAACAACACATTCGAGAACAGATTCTTCGGGCTCATTTCTCGGCTACTGTAACAACCGGGAAATAATTTTTCAAAAAATAAATCTCTGAGATGCATCGTCGTAGGTATGTTGAGAGCCAACACAAATGTATTGCCATCATACCCACTCGCTTTAAACACCTCCGCAGCTTTCACGGCGATCAAATTGGCCAGATCCGGATCAGAAAGAATTCCAAAACATAACGAACACCTGAAGCCTTCATCAACTAAATCATAATTTTCTTCGGAGATTCCTTTCTGAACACTAATACAAGCCTTGCACAGTGGAATGACCATTTTGTGACTGGCCAACAGCTAAACTATATTATATTATTGTTCTAAAAAACCATTTTTCGCGAAAAATTTTCGAAGAAAAATAAATAAAATCTGCAATTTACGGAATGCCAACGACCCTTAGTTTTCTTGTCAGGACTAAATAATTCGTTTCCTAAATTTTTATTTTCTGAAAGAAAAAAATTTGGTACCGAGATCTGTCAAAAGCACTTATCCTGTAATGGGAAAGCCATACAGAGTAAAGGTCCGATCTGGCCGATCCAAGAGCAGGTTGCCAAAAGGCACAACGTAAGTTCGATGCTACAATAGGAAATAATATACTGTTATAGATCATCAAGCAACCCAACTGTTTCTCGATTCCGAGATCTCGCAAGGGCCCAGAGGGATGCCCGAAAAGCCCCTTTGATTGCTGTAGATGACCGCGTGGAATCTTTAAATACGGGAGAAGATCTGGTTTCATATGTTCCTATTGTAAGTTTTCATATTTTTATCAATGATGCGTTTAGAATTCAATGTCCATCAATGGAGACAGCAGCAAGTCGATGATCTCGGAGGGTGGTATGTCTAGACTTACTTCCTTCACAAATTGCACCAATGCCACATTTGCTGCCGTTCATCGAGAATGGAGATCGGGCTCCCATTTACATTCGGATGTGATTGCTGTTCTTGCTGCCGTAGCTCAAGCAATCAAAGAGAGAAACGGATCTGAGACAGACGAAGAATACTTTATGGGTCTCTTGGCTATTATTGACGTTGCGCCTTTGGACGAAGTGGAAAAGTTAGCTGCTGCTTCTTATTTGTTCTACCTTGTTATTAAGAAGATGCCGAAAGAATATTTGATTCACAATTTTGGATACGTCAACCAGGTAGGGACTTTTATTTTAATTTTGTTATTTTTAGGTTTTATGTAACAAAATAACGAAACTGGAAGGTCAAAATGAGGCGGTTGGTGTCAAGTTCTTGTTGTCGGCAATGGGACACCTTTTAAGAGCGATGCCCTTGAGTACATGGAAGCAACAAACATTGAAGTATGATTGTTCTTTTTGTTTATTTTACTTTTTTAGAAATTCTATTCTTCTGGTCATCGTCTTCTCCGTTCATGATAATCCTGCAGTCAGAACAATCAGCAGAAAAGTGACAAGGAGTATTTTGACTGACCCTGTGACCTGTTTTGAGACAGGAATACATCCTGCAGCTAAAGTTGCTGGAGAAAAGATCTTGGCCGATCTCTGCAAGGAAGCCACCCCAATTGTTTTGACAAGATTGCTTTGCCTATTGGAAGGAATCCTTCACAAACAGCCTGAAATAATCTTTACGTCCTTAACGTCTCAAGTGTTAGAGTTGGCCACAAAGGCTGATCCAATGGTAAATATTAGAATCTTCACATGGTTGTTTATTTTTACTTTCATTTTTATTTTTTTAGGTACGTTGTGCGGCTCTTCAGTGTGTCCACAGAACCCTCCAGCGTCAACCATCAGACTCGACCCTCTCAATTCTCTCCAATGAACGTCTCGTGGGTGTTCTTCGTTCCTTCCCCGTTCCCGCTGACACTGCCGTTTGTGCCTATTGGCTTCAAGCTTTTGTTGAATCTCACATTTGTCTGGCTGCTAAAGATCAGATTAAGAACGAACACTTACTTGGGGAGAGTATGGAAGTTGTTATCCGCGCTTATCATCGAGGAGACGGTGCACTGGGAGAAACGATCAAAGCAGGGGTCTCAAGAATTATCCAACGGTGCATCCAACAGAACGCAAAGAATGCCGTTAAGTGCTTACAATTATTGGACATGGCTCTGTTGCCTAACAACACTGCTAGTTGGCATTTCATCTTACTGAATATTGCCGAGTTATTCGAAGAAGCCGGGTCAGCTGTGATGGGACGCGTATTTGATGCTACACTACAGACTTTAGCCGAATTGAGAGAACGCGATACTGCTCCTGGAAAACCCGATGGGTTTTGTTCGGAGGAAATCGAAGCCATCTTTGGAGCCGCGGTCAGACATGTTGATTTGGAACGAGTCATCAAAACTGTATCATTAGGTTTGGATATGGATCAACCAGTTCTGGCTACGGGCTTTAAGAGATCCTGGCTCTTGCTTGTTTTTAAAGGACACATCAAAAGAGCTCCTCTAGCCATCTTCACCAAGTTTTTCCTTCCGTTGGCCATTTCGATCCATTCCCGTGTATCGAGTCTGGATGGGATCACAAAGAAACTTTACACAATCATCGAGCACCAGATCTGGGATCTTTTACCAGGTTTTTTGTCTGCCCCGGTCGACTTTGATCAGCTTATTCATCAGGTGGCCCCGATCCTTGGAGCAGCTTTAAATGAACGCCCTGACCTTCGACTGAGAGTTCTGGCGGGTATTCGAGCAATGCTAAAGTTTGTTTCGGGACCGGATTCGAGTGATGAAAGTGCCGAGATTGTCAGAAGATATGCCAAAAACTTTTTGCCTTTGCTATTTTTACATTACACTACTGAAGCTCCATCGGAAGAAGAGAAGCGACAAGTCGATCACAGAGAGGTTCAATTGTCAGCCCTGGAAACGATTAGATTGTATATTCCTTATGTGCCGGACGAGTTAATCGGCAAATATGCAGATGCCGCCATTCAGAAGATCAACGATGCAAACAGTTCGCAAGACCGAAAGGTAACCTTTCTGTGTTCAAATTTATATTTTTATGGCTTTAGTTATTGTTAATGGATATTCTCGTCGCGTTGACAAAGGCAGTGGATTCCGACTATGCATTGAAGTTGTTCGAAACTATAAAGCCTTTCTTCTCGGTTAAAACAAACCGACAGTCTTTGCAAAAGAAGGCTTACCGTGTGCTCTCGGAACTGTATTCACGACTGAACGACTCTTCATTACAGATTTTTTTTGAAAAATCCCAGACGTTTGTTGAAGATTTGTTGGCCAATGGAAAGGCTTCAGTTGCGCCGAGCAGTTGGGCTGCTCGACTTGTTGTCTTCAAATCTGTAAGTGCAATGTCGACTTATATTTATATTGTTTTAGATCTTAAATTCGCTGAAAACAGTTGAGGAAGTAAACAAATTCACTGAAGTTGTCTTTGATCAGGTTGTAATGTGTCTGGATAAGAGCAGAAGTCAAGCAGTCCGTCATAACGCGGTTAAATGCTTCCAGGACATCGTCAGTTCCCTTCTTTTCTTTGGAAATGAGAATGAGTAAGTTATGTTAGTTTGTCATAAATATTTAATTTTTTTAGAATACACGCTAGTCAAGTGCTTGATGGCCTTGTCACCAAGATATTTGAGTTCTCCGGAGTCAAAACCAGAAGTGAAAGCGAGCCTCTTGAGAAAGTCAGAGCTACCCTTATCGCGTACAATGTCTTGGCTCAAACTCATTTAAAGGATATGAATGCCGCCCTCACTGCTCAATTCCTCCAGAAGACCTTCTTGTTTTTGAAAGATCGCCGTTCTCCCATCAGGGTTTTGGCCATTCGATTGATCAGAATTTTCTGCAAGAAGATGCCGGAATATTCATTCAGACAATATCAGGTATATTACCATCTTTGTTCGTTTACTTTCTTTTAGGACTTAATCTTGGATAACATTTTCAACTGTCAAACAGCCGATGAAAACACAGTAAACGTGAGGAGAGCCAACAAAGTTTTGTTCACCCTACTTATCGACATCGTTGGGGTCGAAGTTTTATGTAAATATGCGAATAAACAACAAGGATGGGGCAAGTTCCTGAGGAAATTGGACAAGACGAGAAGGAAGAAATTGGGTGAGAATGACCTCCCATCCAGCTCTAAGTCAACTGTAAATGGAGAAGATGATGGAGTCACCGTTGTCTCCGAATCGAGAACCATCAAAGCAGATTCTATCTTCCAATTACTGGAGGATAGTGACGATGAAGGTGAACGGGACACGGAGGAGAAGATGGAAAGGAGATCGGCGGTATGGATCAGGGAGAACGTGGACGATGAAGATGATGTGGTCGATCTGCTGGACAGGAAGTCCGTTCTCAACAAGATTGTAATGGAGAAACCCAAAGAGAATAAAGAAGAGGATAAGAGCAAGAAGAAGTCTCTCAAAGGCTTCAGATTTGCTTCCGATGGAAGATTTGTGATTGATGATGAAGATCAGAGTGATAAAAAGAAAAGAAAAGATGACTTCAGTGACGATGATGACGATGACGACCAAGAAATGGAAATGGATGAAACCAATAAAAGTAGAGTCTCGGTCTCCAAAACAAAGAGTATTATTGGCTCTGAGGTAAGCGATTTAGCCCGTTTTTATGATTAAAACACGTTTTTTGAGAATTTGAAGCTCTATGAAGCGGTGTGGGGTGGAATTTGACCCTATGTTTTTTTTTTGATATTATATCGTCGCTATTTTATATACGTCTACGAAGTTTTCCCCAAGTCTGCATACCGGAAATAATGACAGTTCAATTTCTGGGAATATACGGAAAATGAGAGTAGGAATGTTGGGGGAAATGCACAGACAGGTAATCTGGCCGCGAAGCTCCGCAAAAGTTTTTGCAGATGGCCAAAAAAGTCCTTCCTCTAATCACTCTTTGATTTTTAATACAAGTTATAGGCCGTATATTCCCAAGAATTCACACGTCATTATTTCCGTCATGGTGACATAATTTCTTCGTAAAAACTTTAGAGGGGTGATGTGGACTATGTAGGCGACAATATAAGATCAAAAAATAGGAAACATTTCTAGCGTACCCCTTGCTTCCAGACCTCGCGAAGTGTTTTAATAACAATTATTATTTTTAGGTGGCGTCTGAATACACTACAGGAGGAAAAGGCATTCATCGGAACTTGAGAGGTACTCTCAAAGGTGGAGTATCCAAGAAATCTGAGATCAGGGGAGGAAAAAAGGTGGAGCCTTATGCTTATATTCCATTGAGGCAGAAACACGGTCGGAAAGTGGGTATTAAAAACGTTGTTAAAAACAGAAAAAAGAAAAATTAGGTCGTCATAGTTGTGTTACCAGGTCTTTTATTTAATTGTTTATTGTTTTTGTTGATTTGTTATGAATAATAAAATGTTATCTTTGGTATCTAAAGTTGCATCGAGACTTGTTGGACTTCTGATTTGTCACTTTTAACGCTGGTCTTTTCCATGATATCAGTTGCGGTCGAGAGGGTGTTGGCTCTTGATCTACCCAGATTATTCGGGTTCTCCAAAGTATCTACCCGATTCACAGCTTCGGACAATTTTCGGAATCTTTTCAACTCCACTTTGAATCTGTTTGATTGTTTTTATTGATTCTGGTGGCTTACTTATGTTGATAATGGCATCGGAAACACGCAATAATCGAGAATCCAACGAGTAGGACACTTACAAACCCAATAGCCATGAATTCCAAAGGCCGATTTGAAATCAGTAGGGCTCTTTCAAATTTAAAATCTGTTTCCATGTTATCCTAAAATATATTTGTATATTGGTGTATGTTACCCTATGGATCGTATACTGTAATTCGATTAACGGCCTCAAAGTGATGGGGTCTACAATTTTGTTGCCTCTGACGAACAAGATTCTGAGAATAGTGCCGTTGTTGAGTGGGACCCCATTCACAACATAGTAATTGATGCCTGCCAGAATGGCCTTGCTTTCTGTCATTTCGCTCAGCTCTCTAAACAAATATCTTTAAACGCTCTTATTATCCTTACTTTATAACCTTGGACATTTTTTGCTCGTTTATTTGGGTCGGGGGTACCTTGATGACAATATTTTCGATGTCATCAATGGTCGCAAGCCAGACGACAACAGACGTCTCGATGATTTCGTCTTGTTTTTGAGCCATTACATTCAACTGGAAGTAGCTCTGGGTGATATTGTACAAGTTTTTAACCAATCTGATGTCTCCAGACAAGGGATTTACTTCAAATATATCATCTATGGTCTCTTTGTTCTGATAGTAGGTCTTTTTGATGCCGTAAAACACATCTGAAATTGTACATTTTACTTTATAATCAACATGCCTACCTTTGTTGTGTATCTCGTCTTTTACATTTAATTGTATTACTTTGGTCCCTAGTTTGAAGTCGTTAAGGACAACTTCGTACTTCGGTCGGGAAAATGCCAACGATTGTTTGATGCTGAAGCATTGATATTAAAATGTGAATGGAAAACTCACGAGGCCACAAACTTTACAGTAATCTGACACTGGACTCTGTTTCCATTTTCTTTGTCATCGAAGACGTCCACTTTCAGATGATATTCTTCTTTTTGTCCGGTGTAATTCTTGACAGAGAGCTCTCCTTTCTCGTCGATTTCGAATACGCCGTATGATTTGAGTATCCGGTACCTGGTATCTTTGTTTTTTCCTTCCACGTTCACTCTTCCCAGTATTATATTCGGTTCTATATTTCCTTTCAATTGTAAAGTGACGTCATTCTCCATGCATTTCATTCGTTTCCGACTCTTTTCCCCTTTCCGCACTTCGATTTCGTATTGTATTTTATGACCACCATCTTCTGCTGTTATTGTGATCTAGATGGGATCATCTAGAAAAAATAAAACTTACAATCTTGTCTTGTTTTACTTCTTCGATTGAGAGTTCGCCCGTTTTTTCGCCAATGGAAATTGAGGGATCATCGACGGAGAATGTTAAATTACACTGATCAGTGGAATCGACCAAAACGATTGTTTTTTCGCCCTAAGTGTGTGAAATCGTTGTAAATCCACTTACTTCGTACAAAATAATCGGATTCTTATCCGAAAAACTTGGATTACAATTAGAAACGGACAGAATCTCGAGGAGAATGGAAAATCGTTCAGTCTGGTTGCCAAATCGAGCTATCCCAATCATACTATAGACCCCAGAGAGGCCATTTAAAACATCCGAAGTCTTAATTACACCTTGCTGATTAATTCTCAAGGCATTTGATAAAACGGCAGATGGTGGGGAATAGGAAAGAGTGACCTCATCAGGTGTCGATTTCAAGTCCAATTGCCCTATGTAACTGCCGACGTCTATATCTTCGTATATCCGGACTTGTGCTGGTGCGTTGGATCGAAGATTTACATCGTTTTGTGAGCTTCTTACGACTATCTAGAATACTTAGACATGTTTCCATATCTGAATTTGACATACTGGGATTTGCCTGACATTATTTCCATCAGTTGCTGTTACTATGGCAGGAATGCTGGTCTCATTTGAATATTCAAATTTGTCATTATTCCAATAGATTTCTCCCTAAACAGTTCGATTTTAATTATAACAATGATGACTTACTTCTTTGCTAACTGTAAAAATATTTTTTTCAGAAAAAATTGTTACATCCTCAGCTTCTGATATTTCCACTTTTCCAAGAACTTTCTGATTTGAAATATCCGGAATGTAAAAATATTTAGTGGATTCGGTAAGATGACTGGCTTTAGTACCATCAATCACAGCTTTGGGGGTCTTGTTCAAAAATGCAATAAATAAAATCGCTGAATTCAAAATTTTAAGTGACTGACCATGAGGGTGACTCACTTTTATCACTCGGCTCCATGGGGTATTGTAAATCCCTGACCTCCACTTCTAATTGAACCAAATTTAAATGCATGCCCTCGACCTTTTTTAGAGTCAATCGGCCGTCTTCTGTTAGAGAAATCATCTCCTTGCATCCAGGATTATTGTAACAATTAACGGAGGTTAGATTGTAAAACAAATTGGAGTCCGAGTCCTCATCGATGGCCTCGAAAGTGAAGATTTCGTTTTGTTTCAAGTTTTCAGAGTCCAGTAATAAATTGGATATCTTTTCTTTGAATTTCGGAGGCTCAGAGCCCAAACCAATTACAATAATCGATACCTTGGAGATGTAGATGTAATCTTCGTATGACGAGATTATCTAAAAACAAAATAATTAGGATTGAATGGGATACCTGGACATTGTAGACCCTCTCGAATTTAAACAAATCGCCGATATATTCAAATTCTCCGGTATTTTGATCCAACTTGAAGCCGGAAATATCCCCCATCATCGAATAATTCAATTTGTAACCGTCGTATTTCGGAGCAAACTTGTGGATAAAATGGGTATTTGGGACTACTTTGAAGGAATATTCATCCTAAATAGGTATAACCGTTTCAAAAAGCAAAAAATTACCTTCTGAAGTTGTGCTGGATTCTCGGGGATTAATGAAATCTGGAGGTTCTGCTCTCCCCGCTTCTTCGAATCTTTTGTAAGAAGTATTGAGATATTAAAGTCTCTGCCCAAATTGTCGATTGTCAGCCGAGAATGATTCTAAAGTACTGTTAGAAGCATCCGAAGGCTTTTCTTTACCTTTATACTCAAGATTCCGTACTTTTTATCGATTTCAAACACCTCAGAATTGTTTGTAAAGTTATAATTAAACATGTCCTGATCGTCGAAATGAGCTCGGACCAGTCGATCAAAGTGTTTTGACCTCTCCTTCACCCCGACCTTCAAAGTATCAAATACTGTGGTAGTATCCCATAACATAACAATGTTGAGGAGGACATTGGTGGGCAACCGATTCCCATCCGAGATGGTTAATATCAGCGGAAAATGGGCGGGGAGCGATGGACAGAGAGAGGAACAACCCTTTGCACGCAACAAAATCAAATCAGGATCAGCGGGCTCTATCGAAAAACTGATGAATTGATTAATTAACTGTGCAGTATAACGCACAAAATTTGATTCAGACTTACAATTCACTGAAAGTACCCTCCAGGTTGTATTGGAACATAGTGGGTTGTGTGGCCTCAGAATTAACTACCTTAAACTTCTTCAAAATCCCTTCAGTGATCGGATTGGAGACATGGATAACATATTCGAGACTGTCAAACTCCAACATCTCCAATGGCTGATCGTCGAACACAACTTTTATGTGAATGGATTCATTCTTTTCCCCATCCGAAGCCGTCAGCTATAACACTATTTCTAATAATTGTGTTTGTCTTACTGTGGCCGTATATGAGACATGTTTGAAGAGATCATCGTTGTTCTTCAAGAAAATCCCAAAGCTCTGTCCGGGGGCAAGTTCTTCAGGAAACACTCCAAAGACTCCAGATTCCTCCTTCAGATGTATCGGCGACTTCTGAAAAAGCGGTGACCGAATTGCGTAATCAGATTAGAGCCCTCACAACCGTTAAAACTCTGATAAAAAGATTACTTGAGCACCTTTCGATGCCTTCAGCGGACCGTCACAATCCAAATGATGACCTAATCGGGATTTTTTAGCCAAATGACAAGTCGTAGAAGGGATATCGAGTAGAGAGTTAGTTACAGCTTCAACATTACTGGTAAGAAGAAAGAAAATGAAAAGAAAAAACATTTCATTTGATATCGACAATCACGAAATGGGTTCAGCCGTCTGTTTTAACAATTGGGTCATCGAGTGGCGATGGGGAAGCTGCGAGTTTTCACTTCATTTCAGATATCCGAGAGTAACCAGATCACCTTCTCAAGTCTTATAATAAGACGCCGACGGTCCATAATGGGCTGAATCCAGAATGTGAAAATACCAGATTTCCGAACTTCTTGCAAATATTCTGAACACCCTTGTATCTTTGTAAGGAATGTGTATTTTATGTGATTTTTACATTGTCTTTCAGGGTAAATAAAGTGTAATTCTTTAATTTTTTCTGCAAACGCAGTACGTGATTTAAGGGTTTTCGATGTCACTGATTCCGAAAATCAAGTTCATTTTCTCTGATCTTTTCATTTATAATTTACAGGGTTATTCAAATACAAACGTAAAATTTTTGATTTTTTCTACAAATACTCATTTTAGGGGTTTTCGAGGATGCTGATTACGAAAGTCATGTTCATTTTTTGATGAAAGTGTAGTTTTGAAAAATAAGCAAACTTTGATAAAAAGCTCACGGTAAGTCGGACAGACCGACATTTTATTTTTTCAAGTCGGATCCGGAAATGCAAAAAAACATGTACCGCGAGCTGGAACACCCAACAGAATATATAATATTAATCTCGAATTGGCTCCCCCATCAGCTAGGAGCTCCCACTTTGATAATGTAACCTCCAGCGACATGTCGTCTTCTTCATTGAAGGTTTTCTTGTATTGACATGTCTTATTGGCATTATTAAACCTAGACTTGGTGGTCGACATACAGCAGTTTGTCATGTAATCTTTCAAAGAACTTGGCCAACGACGGGTTAGCATTCGACATAGAGGCATTGAGGCCTCTATGGAACACCTCATACGAGTGAATTTTAATCATATCATCGTCAGAATCGGCCAAATTCAGCTTCGCGAATGTGAGTGCAAGGAACTCCTTAATGATGTCATTAAAAGAGCCAACATTTCCGTCCTTCAATTTGTCCATAGCCATCGTATAATTGACTGGCTGTAGTGGAAACTACAGAGGCGGATATTCGTCTGTGGTTCGAGCACGCCCACAAATGCATTCTGCTCAGCCAATTCGAAGTCCAACAATACTACCCGTGGTTTGTTTATCCATGGAAGTTCACGTAAAACTCGTTGGGAGACATTTGTGGTCTTTTGCTATAATAAATAACTTTTTTTAAACTGGTGCCTGGTATAATATCAGAGTGTTCGGCCTGGTGCGGGCGCAATTTGACTCCAAAAAAGGCGAAACTTGCGGTGATGAAATCTCATTCAGCGACATTTCGAAT